GTTGTAATTTTGGATTGTGAGTTTTGAGGTCTGGATTTGGATATTTTCTTATTTTGGGTCTGTAATTTGTGTTGTGTTGTGTGGTTTTTTTTTTAACTACAATATTGTTTGGATGTTTCCTATGGTTATTCTGAGGGCTCCTCCGGCCGCCTGGATTTCTGCTTGGAGTTCATTATGCTGAGATTGCTTTGTTACAGATAAATACTTCTTATAAATTATTAAACTTTTAAATAAATCCTTTAATCATATTTTCTTTTATCCAGAATTTAAAAACTTTAAAATATTCTTCGTTTATTAATCTTAATAATTCCCAAATGGGCTGAACTTTTGATAATATAAGAATTTTCATATTTTCTTTTTGTTATAATAATAAGATATTTTTTTTTTTTTGAAAAAACTTTGGCAAGATTTTAGAATTTATTAAAAAATTTAATAATTTCTTTAATTTTAATTATATCATTAATAAATATAATTTATTTCCATTTTCTTCCCAAATTATAGATAGTAAAAATAGGTTTTTATTTTATAATTCTCTTAAAGGCTTTTATGCTTACAATAATAATCTTAGATAAATAATTCATATATATTTAATTATTTTCTCAATCAATATAAACTTTATACTTTTTATGTTATGGTTTTTTTAGGTTTAAAAATTTAGTAATATTAATAATATTGGTTGGTATTAACGATTTTTTTATGGTCTTGGATTTTTATTTTGAATTAAGTCATTTTTTTAACGGATTTTCTAATTTTATTAAAATATTTTATAGATTTAGAAATTTTTTTAGAATAGAATAAAAAATTATTCTTAATTATAAATTTATAATTTATATGTATTTTTATATTATTATTATTTAAATATATAAGAATTTTAATAGGTTTTTGAGGATGGGGGATATAAAATAATAGAAATTTTAGTATAAAATTTAAATAGTATTTTAGTTTCTTTAGGGTTTAAACAAAAAAATAGATTTTAGAATATAAAAAAAATTTATAATATTTTTTAAAGCTAGGGAATTTTTGAAATAACAAATCAGATCCTGTTTTGTTGTGTGTTATAATTTACAATTAAACTTATTTTTTTTTTGTTCTTTTTTAATATCTTTTTGTAGGTAATATTTTAAAAAGAATATTATTTTATTTTAAATATTTTTATAAATAAATTTTTGGATATTTTAATCTTTAATAAAACAAGGGTTGTAGGGGATATATCAAATTAATACTTTTTGAAATTTTTTGTTTAGATAATTATTAATAAAATATCCTTTTTTTTTGTAATATAGGTATAGTTTTTAAACTTAATGTCAATTTTTTTTTTTAGGTTAATTATTTTTAAATATTCCCAATAAATTGATCTATAAATTCAAATCTGAAATAATTATTTTTTTAGGTTTGCTAAAACTAATTAGTATTATTAATCCTTATTAGTCCTTTTAATATTAAAATTAGAATATTCTTTTTTTGAAATTTTCTAGTTATTAAATTTCGAGATTTCTTTTTTACATCCAAAATTTATTAATTATTATCAAGGTATTGACAAAGAATAATAAAATTATTGAAGTTTTCAAAAAACATTTCCTTAATAATCAAAAATTTTTCTATTTCGATATATAAACTATATCATAAGTAAACAATTTAAACAACATTATTATAATTCAAGTATCCCATAAGACATCTGAATTCTATCAAGTAAATAAAGAAGAATTTATTAATTTATCTTAAATTTCTTAATTTTTATTTTATAATTTTAGTAGGATCAGAATCTTTGAAAATTTTTTCAAGTTATATAATAAATTTAATATAAATATTTTAATTTTATACTTTATTATTGGTATTATATTTATTAAAAATTAATTTTACTAAATTTCCTTTAAAAAAATTAATAATATATACAATTTTTTTTTTAAATATAATAAATTTAATAATTTCTTTTTTATATTTATTATTAAACTAGGCTAAGAAATTTTGTAATTTATAAAATTTAGTACTATTAAAAAAATTAGAATCTAAAAATTTAATACTTAAAACAATTATTAAAATTATTATAGATATATTATTTTTGAAATATTCAAAAACTACTATTATAGTTTTAATTTATTTAATAATAAATCTTAGTAAAATAATAATTGTAATTTCTTTTTTAACATCTTTTCCCTTAAAGAACTCATTTTTTAATAAAGTTGGTGCTGATATTTAAATATTAGATTAATAAGGTTATAAAATAACAAAATATAAGAAATCGTATACAAATTAATTATGATATCAAGATAATATATAAATATTACAAAACAAAGAGTAATATACTAATATAAATATAAATTAATATTTAAATTATTACTTAATTTCTAAATATATAATAATAAATATAGCAATTTAAATAAACAATTAATAAAAAAAATAATAAAGTAAATTAAACAAAAGTTTTAAATCTAAATTAAACATTCAAATATATAAAATATTAAATTGGATAAAAATTAAGATTACATAATTTATTAAATTAAACAGAAGTTAAGTTTAAACTAAACATTTGAATATATAAAGTATTAAACTAGATAAAAATTATTCCTACATAAGCTAGAAAATCTATATAAAACAAAAACCTAAACAAACCCTATACCACACTTATTAATATAATAATTATAATTTTAGACTATAAATTTCAAAATTTAAATTTGGATATTTTTTTATTTTGGGTTTATGATTTATATTACGTTGTGTGGTTTTTCTTTTAACTACAGTATTGCTTGGATATTTCCTATAATCATTCTAAAAGCTCCTCCAGCCGCCTGGATTTCTGTTTGGAGTTCATTATGCTGATTGCTTTGTTACAAATTTAAATATTTAATTTAATTATTATAATTTCATTTTAAAATTTTAATAATCTATAAACTCTAATAAATTCTTTATCTTTTTTAATATCAATTTTACTTTATAATTTAAAATTAAAATTTACCTAATTTACTAATAATTTAATTTATATTATAACATATCTAATTACTTTTTGATTTATAAATTATACTAAAATTTTAAAAAAATTATAAAAATTTTTTTAATTTTTATTATGTATATTTATATTTAATAAATTATAATTTTTTAATATATATTATTTTCTTTTAAAAATTAAATCAATTAAAATATTATATTTATTTTAAAATTTTTTAACAAAATTTTTTAAATAATTTAATATTTTATTATATTTCTTAATTTTATATATTCAAATTTTTTAGAAAATAATATAATATTTAAAATAAAAATATAAAATTATATAAATAAAAAATATAATATAATAATTAACTATAAAACTAAATATTATTTAAATAAATTATAAATTAAATTAATAAATTAACTAATGAAGTTTTAAGATAAACTAAAAATTATTATTACTTAAAGGTTTTTAAATATATAATAAAATTTCCTATAAATAATTATAAATATAATATTTATTAATAGTTATTAATAATTGTTAATTTAATAATTACTAACAACATCTGATAATTATAATTTTAACATCAAATATTGTTGTTATACCTGTCCCAGGATTCCTTGGCAAGGTTTCCTAAAACAGCTTAGTATTCTACTGTATTTTTCAACTTTATATGTTCAGATTTTTTAAAAAGTAGTATAGTATTTGGGGTGAAGATATAAAGTTATATAAATAGAAAATATAACATAGTAATTAACTATAAGATTAAATATTGTTTAAGTAAATTATAAACTAAATTGATAAGTTGATTGATAAAATTTCAAAATAAACTAAAAATTGTTATCACTTAAAGATTTTTAAATATATAATAAAATTTTTTATAAATGAGTGACTAGATATATAATAGATGTTTGGTTGACTTGTTAATATTGTCGACAGTTAATTAGTTGATATATTTAATAAAAAAGATTTGGTGTCGAATATTGTATGACAGGTTAATATCAAACACTTCTGTCTGTTAATTAAAATAAGAAATGTGTTGTTTTATAATATATTTGTATATGAGGTAGAAAACAGGTGTATAAACTTTTAATTTAAAGAATCTGAATAATTATAACTAAAAATATTCTTGTGAGATAAAGAGAAGCAGAAACAAGAAGTATGTTTGTCGCGCCAAGATATATTTCCTAATCGGGTTAGTCAATATGGCTGGGCCGTGACAATTGTATAACAGATTAGTACTAAAGATTTTTATTTATTAGTTAAAATAAAAAATATATTATTCTACAATATATTTGTACATAAAGCAAAAAACAGGCGTATAAACTCCCAATCTAAAGAATCCAAATAATTATAACTAAAAACATTCTGTAAGCTAAGGAGAAACAGAAACAAAAAACATGTTTATCACGCCAAGACATATTTCCTAATCAGGTTAGTCAATATGGCTGGGTCGTGACAATTTTTTATTAAACTATATAATGAAATTTATTAATAATAATAATAGGTTTAAAAATTAAAATAATTATATTTATTAAAAAATAATATAAAAAATAAATTGTAATTTAAGTTTTATTATATAAATAAAATAAATAAGAATTTTTTTATATTAATTGTTATTTCTGAATTAATTTCAAAGTTAAAGTTGAAATTAAAAATTATTATTTTAGGAAATTTAAATAAATAGAATTAGTGGTTGGAATTAGTGTCCTTTTTTATGCTAAAACTACAACTCGTTTGTATGGTGTTGAACGGAATCAGTGACCCATTCCGACAACTCATACCCCGTAGGGGTTGGAAATAATAGTTAGAATCCTTTAACAGAAATAATAGTTAGGTAAAACCCCAATATAATAGTAAACGAAGTTAAAAATAATAGTTAGGGTTAGAAATAATAATTAGGTTAGGAGTGGTGGCTAATCTAAAACAGATTAGTAGGAAGTTTCGACGAACGAGAACTTGGGGTTGTTGTTGTTCAGCTGTATTGATCTAAATCTGAGAACGGAAATGAAGAGGATATTAAAAGCAGTTGTGGGACCAGAAGCAGTCGACTAGTCGTCGAATATAATCTACTAATCTAGCTGTGGTGCCATCGATGGCCGCATCGTTTCTCATTCCGACTACAGAGGTAGTTAGATACGTTGATTTCGTCAGCTGATAGGATAACCGATGCACCTCCGGGCATCTCTTTTTCACGAATGGTATAAAACTCTTCAAACCACTCCGGATCATCGTACTGGATTTGCGTCGAATCCAGATGTCGAATCCCCTCTACGAATGCCGCGTCAAACGATAATGAAAGTGTTCGGCCATTTGAACCTTTTATCTCCGTAAGAGCTCCTCTATAAAGGAGCGTTCGCGCAATCGTGGGCTTGATCAGCCGCACGGCACCAAACAACGGCGTCGGGCCAAATTGCCCGCGCTCTTCTATATCAGCGCCTTTATCCAGGAGGAGATCGACCAGCCACCCCAGACCTGCTGCTATAGCCTTGTATAGCAATGAATACGGGGTTCCATTGACTAATCTCGTTTTGATATTTGCGCCCCTGTTGACAAGTACGTTGATGTATTCCGGCACCAGGTCGTAGTTTTCGGTTGCCCAGAGTAATGGTGTGAGGCCATCCTTGTCGACTACCTCCATGTTTGCGCCCTCTCGTAGCAATAATCTAAAGATTTTTAACTTCTCTTTCCGGATGGCAGGATCAGAGGGATGCGCTTCCAAGATATAAGATAGTGCTGTATGGCCGTTCAAATTGGCTGCGTCGATATTAGCCCTCGCACTCAACAGTAGTTCAATCATTTTCCCACTGTAATCGGTCGTAGCATAGATAAGTGCCGTATTTCCTGTTGAATCCCTCGCATCCAAAGCCGCGCCATTGTTCACTAGAATGCGAGCTAGCTCTAGATCATTTTCAATGGCGGCATGGATAAGTAGTGTATTCCCTGCTCTATCAGTTGTGTCTACAGCCGCACCATTCCGTATCAGAATTAGGACCTGATCCAGGTTACCTTGAAGTCCGGCCGTGATAAGCGATCTATTTATAGACAGATCCTTTGACTCGACTCTTGCGCCGTAGCGCCTTAGGATTTCGGCCCCCGCCCAATATTCATCATTCATAGCCTGTAGAAGAGACATATTTCGGTCCTTTGCCCCAATATTTCTGCCGTTGACCAGCAGGAGTTGGAGCATTTGATAATCCTTTTTAGCTGTGGCCTTCATTAATGGCGTCTCGCCCCTTATGTCGACGGCCTCCATATTCGCCCGACCCTCTAACAGTAACTTCACCATTTCAGTGGAGCTGAACATCACAGCTGAGATTAATGGTGTCCTGCCGAATGGGTCTTTTGCTTCTATATCTGCGCCGTAGGTTATAAGTAGCCGAGCTACTTCGTGGTGGTCTCCGACTATGGCTTTCATCAATGGTGTCTCGTCTTCTTTCCCACGTTGATCAGGGTCAATCTTGCCGATTTCCAGCAGCTGACGGACAGCGTCGTAACGTCCATTCTCAGCAGCTGACAGAAGCAACTTCGCGCTTATTTTATCCTTCGACCCGATCCCGCCACTCTCCCTTAAAAGTTTCAGAACGTCGTTGCGCCCGCTACAGATAGCGTAAGATAGTGGAGTCCCTCCAATATCATCGCTCAAGTCAGCTGCAGCTCCTGCTTCGAGTAGCAGCTTGATGACGCCGGTGTTTCCGGTCCACACTGCATAAACCAGCGGCGTCCGCTGGTATCGATCCTGAGAATTCAAACCCACGTCCGTCGGCCTGGAACCAAAAAAAGGAATCCACTCGGTCTGGGTACGAGGCCAAATCCGAATCCACTTAAACCAGCTATGGCTCCCTAAAAGTTCTGCAACAACTCCCTCGCGGCCGTTCCCCGCAGCCCAAGATAATGCAGACCGGCCATGTGTGTTATCGATCGCGTGCCTATCGATATTGCGATCTACGTTACGGCCTGAAGACGATTCGAGGAGGAGTTTGACAACGTCTTGCAGCCCGAAATATGATGCTACCATGAGCGTGGTCATGCCATCGGGGTATTCTGCACCTGTAGTGTTCCAGTATACGGCGAACCAAATTTTGAACCACGTTGAATTTACATCGCAAATTTTCATGAGATCTAGCACGTTTTCTCCGTCCAGTTTAATCTGACCTTTTTCAAGGTGCGTCGTCCAATGGTTTGCCGAGTACGAAAGAAATTCGCACGTCTGGAGGAGTTCTGTGGCGTATTCTAGTGGTCGGGCCGCTAGTGAGCGGTGTCTTTCACTGGTATGGGTTTTGAAGTCGGAAAAGAGGAGATGTTGAATACAGGTGTTAAATAAAATTTGATGGCAATCCGGCATATGAAGCGATTGTCCCCACTCAATCGAACTTTCGCTTGGAACAGTTGTACTAGAGCCCCCCCCTTGGCTGATGACCAAGAACTCTTTCGCGGTTTGATGAATTAGATAGACAGCCGACTCCAGAACGACGATAAAGAGACCACATAGATCTCTGATATCGTGGCGAATTCGCTCTTCTGGATGTTTTTGAAGTTGGTCGTAAGAATTCAACTTATGGCCATTTTTAAGATTCAACTGGAGCGCAAGACTCATTTCGGGAAGGGTAAGGGGTCGTTCCGCGGCGACTAAAATCCTTAGCAGGATCCTTGCTTGCTCTGGATTGCAACTCCTCGATAGGATTTTTTCATAAGCCTCGTTGACGGTCCTCGGGATAGTTGAAATCACTTTAATCATTTTTCGTTCGTCTATGTGAATATTTGTCTCCGTATCGTTTTCAATCAAATTGAGGGTGAGGTAAACCCAGAGGTATGTTCTATTCGGAACAGCTGTAAGTTCATTTAGCAAAATCGTTCTTTCTGCCTTCGTTAAGAACAATTTGTCACCAACTTCGTTAACTCTAGCTTCAATAAAAATTTCGATCTCCTTAGAAATCATTTTCATCTCTGCTTCATTTTCTCCACTCAGATGAATGAGAGGGAATCTTGCCTGTTCCATAGGGCGAAATCCATGCCGGATATCACGGGTTGGACGGCTAGTTATCAGAAATCTTAGCCTGAGGTCGGCACTTTTTCTTCCAAAGTATAGCTCGTGAAGTTTTTTCATAAGCCAGGAGCCCTCCTCCTTTTTGCATTCATCAAGTGCGTCGAGAATGCAAATAATCTCGCCGTCAGCCGTTGTGCTCTCCTTTGTGGCAACAATCAAGAGCGTGCTCCAAAGTTCGTTGAGGGAGCTACAGAACCCTTCACCTGCTATTTCGAACCGCCGAAGAATCTCTTGCGACAGCAGTGAAGGTTTTCTGTCGAAAATCTGAAAGAGGATACAGCATAGTGCGGTAACAGCACTCCCCTGCCCTTCAAAGTCATCTTTGAAGAAAAAGTAGCATGTCGTTGTCGACTTGGTTGAAGGGACCACGGAGTCAACCAAATATTTTGCAAGAACCGATTTACCACTTCCGGGGTCGGCTGACACCCAAAGTATCTTTTTGAATGGTATATCGCCCAGGCGTGATGGTGCGGGCGCCCTCCAATTCCGAAACTTTCGGTGGTTCGTGAACCATTCGCACGTTCCCTCAACTCGATCCGGATTTCGATCTTTTCGATTTTTCTCGACGAGTTTGTATAGCGCGCTTAAGAGTTTGTTTTTTTGGCTTTCGCTTTGCAACTGGGCTAAAGTAGATGTGGATTAGCTTCTAGACTTTGGTATCGGATCATCCACCTTTCCATCGCACGTGCATGAAACTCCACGCCCTTTATACATATATATTCTATTGCACATATATTCGACATTATAGTACAGTTTTTGGCATACCGCTATCAATACCATCAAACTTCATATCCCTAGTATATGGCGTGTGACATTGTTAGCAGGTGCTGTGGCTTTTATAGGTATACACTGGTCTCGTTCCCAGCCTCACCCAGCTATGCATCGGAATATTATCCACATTGCGGACACGAAATACAATACTGACCCCTGAACGTTTATTGATCCCGCTTGAACGCCTATTTTAGGCCCCAAGCTAGTGTTTTTGAAGGTAACACCAGCGCTGGTGTCGGGAATTTCTTGATCCATCGCTGCGGCCTTATGCTTTTCGATCCGTGAGCTCCTCTGGCGTTGGCTTCACCGGCATTCTCGTAGTTGGTTAAACCCCGCACGCCTTAGCAAGACCAGAACCTCCGGTGTGTTCTCGACATCGATACTGTTTGTTCATGAATTGAGTGAAGGCTTTCTACTCTACGGCAGCCTCGGAGCTTCACTCCGAGGCATGATTGGCACCCGGCCTTTTTATTCGGTCGGGAGATTGCGAGGCTGGGATTAACGATCGGCGCACCTGATCACAATCTTGCCAATGGCCACTGCATACGTGTTTTAGGCTGTCGACATATGGAGATAGATGCAGCCCTTGACGCGATGTTTGATCAAGTGGATCCTTTTCAGCCTTTTCAGCCTTCCCTCACATATTTGTTGACCATTGAACAGTAAATCCGGTTTTGTGTTACTGTCAGGGGGTATGCTACGCCACAAACAGTGGCTGACGTACGCCACAGTACTAAATACCACAACGGCGTTGAGCGGATACACCACGAAAAGTGCTAGTCTGCTTAAGCACTCCTGGCAGAAAAACGCCTGGATCATGAGCTTCATTAGCTGGCGATTAAGTTGCCCCAAAGATATATGCACCTTCTTTCTACGACTCTATTCACCCATTTATATATGCGAACCCTGATGATGATTCGGCCCCTGATTTCCATATCTGATCTCAATTGCAGAGCTGCAGAGTTTAATGTCTGTGTTGGAGGACGGAATCTTGTATTTGGGCTGTCGATTACATAGTCTAAATTTTATTGGCCTTATCCGTATCCAGGAGCCATTGTGAGGTTAGGGACGTATCATAATAGCCGGTAGTGTCATTATTCTCAGCGTAATTATAGAGGCTGTTCAGGGATTAGACCAGCAAGTCTAAACAGCTACTGCTTAGTTATTCTAGGTGGGAAATAATATTATATTAGCTATTTGAGGAAGGAAATAGGGTATCTGTCCCAGCCGCATATAGCTCCGCCATTGGACGCAGAGACGGACCGGTAAATGGAAAGGTACCCGGCACTGGGAAAACAGCAACAAAACCGAGGACTCGTACGTGACTATGCCGAAAGTAACCTCGCTTTTTTCCGTGCATTCCGTCGCCTTGAAACATACCGGCAGGACTGTGTTGCTTACGTCATCTACATTTAAGAGACTATGGCTGTCCCTTAATTTGTACCCCAAGAAGGACCGGTGGAAAATACAGGATTAAATCCCTTGTGGTAAATGATGTGATACCCTACGATCCACTGAATCTCGAGCTTCCAAAAGTTGAGCATCTACCACTTCCGCCACGAATTCCACGAATTCCGCCAGTCCCACCACCAATTCCACAAAAGATTCCACTAATTCCACAGCGGCTACCACCAATTGCGCCAATTCCGCCAATTCGACAACAGCTTCCACGACTTCCATCTCCTCCGCGGATTCCAAAGTTTCCAAAGGCCCCAAAATCCCGAAGGGCTTTTGAAAGTCATTCCATATATGCAAATGAAAGGGCTACCTTTTCTTTCGGTGGGGATTATGAAGTTACCGAGCATCATTGGTGTTCCAAAATTTTATTCCCTGATGGCGATTACACCAACGTCAACTTTATGAGCTTCATTATATCGCTAACTTTCATATCGCTTATCTGCGCCACAAACTATGCATACAACATAACCTTTCTCAAACAAAAATATTTAAGCCTACCTCACTAGTGGAAGGCCCGCAGCACCCCCAAACCCAACTTTGCAACATGGTACCAATATTGGAAACCCTCCAGCTATAACGTCAGTATAGGAACGGGGGTATCGTCGTTTCCTATGAATGATTTGGATAGCCACACCCGCGGGAACAGCCAATGCCTAGAACTGGGACAGGAGGAATATACAATACGCCAAACTGAGTACGATGATATAGATAACCCACTTCCAATCACGGACGTGGAAAGACTATCGTCCCTATGATATGCCGCAGCAGTGAAGTGACCATCCTGTTATTTAGGGCATCAGCAAGCTGCTCGCAGTAGAATAAACCGGTTGTATATTGATTTCATGAATTAAACGTACTCAGCGTGAGCGGGTTTGACTACGGGTGCAATCTGTGGCGCAACAGAGCTTAACTGCCACAGCCACCCACGTTCAACAACGCTACGAGTACTTTAAATATTATGTCACTACCCCAATGAATCAACGAATTTTCAAAGGAAAAAAAAGGGCACGGCTCATCTCGTATGGAAGCTCAGATTATTAATGTATTTGGCTAAGAGTGACCAGCATGCAAGCAATCGTGAAATAAAAAAAGGAGATTGTAAAGAGTGGGAAAAATGTCAAAAAATGACGGAAGGCAGGTTCAAAAAAAAGGTAGTGTCTAAGAATCCGTATATCCAACGAACCCCATTAAAATAATAAAAGCGTAATCGACCAAGCCTTCGGCGACGAAGAAATGGAAGAAGGAAAAGAGACCAATAAACATTACCCATCACCGAAAACATAACTCATAGATAAATATTACACGAAATTTTGATACGACAGCACATAGGGTTGAAAATAATTGTTCAGTAGATAACATAGTCAGACCAACTATTACACTTTGTATTATGTAATTGTGTAGTATATCTGCTTATATATTTTTTACTTTTTAGTTATTAATTTATGCAGTTAAACTCAATCGATACATTTTTTAATTACAATCCTTTTTATTCTGTTTTCTATCTTTAACTGTAACTGGTTAGTAAATCGCAATTTTATGGTTCCCGCCCAGCTATTGTAATATAGGTAATTACACCCAATGAAAATATTTCGAATTTGACACCCGGGCTCTATCCCGAAAAAAGTTGGCTGGAATATCCTCCAACTTCTCCTTATCAATATTGGGAGAACCTTCTAACACCTTGATTGTAAACTCGGCCCCCCGCCACTGGGATGTTATAGTCCGCATGGGGGGCAGGGGCTGATCTTTTGAAATTTCGGGTCTTTTCCAAATGAGATCTGGATGATGTTTAATAAGGTGAACAACGAATACTGAGCCTGGTGAGTTCACGATGTTATAGGGGGTATTGTCGAGGTCGGTCCATTCGGGTTTACGACCAGTATCTGCTGAATCGTTTGACTTTTGCTCCCGTAGACACCAATAACATCTTGCATTTGGCATAACCTTTTGTTCGTGATCATCCGGGACACCGTACTTATGCCGCAGGTGACAAAAAAGTGGTCCGTTTACCGCGGCGTGGCGTTCAATGAGTGTGAATAGAACATGGTAATCAGGGTAATCCAGTAATTCGGGTCGAAAGTTGGCGGGGTCGGTGAAAAGTTGGTGGTGAATTTCCTTCACGATCTTGCTGGCCTGCTTCCGTCTCCAAGAGTCAAAGAAATGGCCGTCAGCAAGACTTTTAGCAACTTTCATAATATCTTTTGCTATAGCCTTGGAAGGCCGGTTGTCTGTCTCCCACTTGGGGGGGTTTGTAAGGATATAGTCCTGCAAAGAATTCGCGAACATGTCGTAATACTCATCCGGGCCTAAAATCGGATGAAGATGTCGATATTTCTGAATATAATCATCTTTCATAAATAATAGAGCTTTGTGGACAAGGTCTGCTTCTTCTGTGCTACGAGTCAGAGTCCATTTAGTTCGGATTCGGAACTCCACATTGTTCGCAGCTTCGTATTTGATTCCGTGGTGTTGCTCGACAAGTCGAATTGCAGCGCTAGCCCGCATAACCGGCATTCGGTTATATCTACGAAGTTCGTAACTCTTTGGGTTTCCGATCGGGATTTCCGGAAAGCGGTATGAAAAATCATAGGCATCTGCACCGTTTCGGAAGATAAGTTAATCTTATTTTTTGACCCCGGGTTGAAGGGCAATTCCTTTTGACCCACTGATAAAGATGTCATAATGACAAGCAACACAATACTCGTTCAAACTGTCGCCAAACACCAACATTTTTTGTTGCCCCTCTGCGGCTGCTTCTGCAAGCTCTCGGAGGTCCCTCAAACAGACCCTGCAACAGCCTCTTTCATTATTGGAAAACGTGCGAGTTGCCTTCTTCCAATAATCTTGTTTTGCATCGATCAGTTTGGTCTTGTATAAATCCGGATTACTGAACCGATACTGATTGTACCAAAACTCTTGGTTTGCTTCACCGAGACGCTCTCTTAAAGCTCGACAGGTGAAGGAAAGAACAGCAATGTCGGGGGGGAGTAGATAGTTTGAGATCTTTTCTTGTAAATTGAGGGGGAGGGTTAAGAGAGTCGCCATTTCTTTCCTCTTCGAAGACTTCTATCTTTACTTTTCCGTCGAGTGAAGAGATTGACTTGTGAAAAATGACGAGGCAGCTTATCAATCCTCAGATTTACACTTCGTTCCAAGTCCGCCAGTACTTCCGCGCCTGGACAACTGGTGCCTTTTATTGAAACTGGTTGGTGGCGTTCCTTGGCGTCATTGGCTGACGAGGCGCTCGAAATATTGTATTATTGAGGTTTTCTAGCTTAGTTTTAATATAATATGTTTATTAGAAAATCTATAAGCTGCTCTATAGCGCCAGTCCCCATGCTAATACTACTTAAACATTGTTAAATATTGAAACTCGTATCTCACGATTTTAGTAGTTCCCTCGTGCCTGTTGCTACACCAAATCAAACCCCATAGAAAACAATAGTCAATAGACAAACATAATTATAAAAAAATAGAAGCAAGAATAATAGATCATAAAATTAACTCCAGTTGGAATCTAAATTAATTTTTATTGCCTTTCAGTTTCGCCGGGCCATTCTTCGCGCGACAAAGTCTTTCTTGCCGTTAATTAGTCAATCATCCCAGCACATGATGAGAACGACAAAACCCCGTCCCAAATCATCCTGATTCAAATACCCCTGCGGAGACTCTAAACTTTTCCCGTCGCCCGGTTTTCCTTTGGTTTTTCCTCCAGGGTAGGCCATCGCCCACCTCATAATCCCTTCATTCATAAAACCCATCTTTTCCGCAGTGACAATCGATTTTTCGTTTACATGACTTGTAGTCCACCGAACCCTTCGTAGACCTATACCACCGGTACCATTTTCGGGTAAATTAAGTGTAAAGTTTAAAAGCGAACCGACAGCATTTGTCATAACATGGGCCTTTTGAAAAGGCAGGAGGGTGAAGGCAAATTCAATTTCTGTGACTTAATTGCATGGCTAAGGACGTGTTGCAGAGAGCGATGATTCCTGCCAAAGCTCCTTCTCTGTCGGAACCGCCTGCTATTGGATATTGAGTTTTATCAATGACAGCATACAGTACCATTCCGTAGCCAGGCTTATAAATGACTCAATAAAATCCGATGTAAAGCTTTCCGCAGAATTGAAGGGTCCAAATGGGCCGTGTGATCATGCATCTGGATGTCGGTTGGCGAGAAAAATTCAGCAGCGTGTCTAGTTGACTAAACTCAAAAATCCAGTTTTGAGATTTCTTCTGACACAAAATGTGAATCGGTAAAAGGGATAAAGGTACTTTACACTAAAAGGGGTTGACTTTATTCGATTGTTGGAGATCAAAGAATGTTGCCGTTCCGGACTTCGTTCAAAGGACTGACAAATATGACTCAGCAGCTGATTGATACCCTTCGAACATAAGGATCTTTTAGAGCCGCAGCGGACACCGCTCCAGATAGGAAATCTGATTCAATTTCCTCATACGATCTATGATGCCTGAGTAGGCCGTTCTCTATTTCGACGGAATAAATATACTCTTCCAGGGAATTAGCTCTAACATATGGACTATATTCACAATTGACTTCACTAGAACATCGTGCTAGTCGCAGCCTGCTAATCGGGATTAGAACAACCCTGAGGAGTGCTAAGATCGGGTTTTCTTCGCGTCGATCACCCCGGATTTACAGAGTTTGAAATTTTATCAAAACCGTTTCAGGGTCATCGAGAAGATCGATCTTAGACCTCGGGTCTGATGCTGGCATTTTGGTTCCCCGCAATCACGGAAGCATCTGGCTCAATAAATGGCCGCATTTATCATTGTAACCGATTTTGCTGAGAATACAGCCTTTATAATCAAAGTATCCTGCCTGTCGTTGTACCAAAGAGCAAATAAATCCCGTTAAGCTAGCGGACGTGCCTGAAATTTGGGGAAAGGGGGCAAGGGAACGTACTTGGCCCAGACCGCCAAGCGTAAAGTTATATTTCATCCATAGTTCATCTAACGCTTGGAGTAGGGCACACAACAGAGGCTTCAGCGTTTTAGTATTTCTGAGTTCGTCATTTGGTGATCGAGCATCGGCTTGGGATGCCAGGCTCGGTATTTCGAAGAGATCGAGAGTGTACTCTTTAGTGGTGCAATGTGCAGACTGCAGGTGGAACTGAATTGCGGAAGAAGGGCGGCCGTTGATTGCCTCAAAAAGGGCGGCTAGGGAATATTTGTAAGGGTAGTTATAATTGACAAGAAAGACGTAGATATCTGCACTCACGGCGACTTATACGTTAGAAAATTGGTAACACTCATATGCGTGCGTGAACTGGCTAAAATCAAGCCGTTGTCTCACGACGCCAAGAAGTTAAATTCAAGGTTAAACATTAGCTGCAAAAAGTATCTTGATCTAAATCTCAGAGCGACAAGTATCGGCTAGTGGCTTTCATGATGGAGTACATTACATACACATAATTGTTGAGTTATTTCCAATCCAGCTTCAACGGCTTCAGCCAGCTTCACAAACGGCGCAAGATAGCCAGTATAAGGTACTATAAATGCTCAATCAACATACATCATACATATATTTACGTCATAATAGGACCACTCACTTCTGCCCGTCGGTGCTACACTCACAATATTGCGACAACAATTGCGTAGTTAGCATACATTCAATGCATATGGTATATAGACATAACACGTAATTGACTGTATACCCCAAAAAAGCGTTGGAGTGTTCTTTTCCCGTAGGGTATCTGAATAAACACCAAGCCATCTATTTTACCAAGCCCGCGGGTTACAAGATCCAACCGGGCCTCGAAATCGAGGTCTGTTTGCGCAGTCGTAAGCATTCTTTGTTTTTCGATTGAGTCGTCGCGGTAGAATAGCTATTTCTGATGCGACGCTTGTTATTCCGTAGAGTGTGAATGATGTATATATATTGTCCCCATCTCTGTTGCCTGTCGCCTTTAGAAAACGAGAGCAGGACATAGCGCTTAATACTTCTTCATGAATAGGCCAACTCTTTTTGCCGATGATATTAAGAATTCTCTATACTAGTCTCTAATAAGCTAGTTGTTACCTGTTGACTGGTTCAGGACTTGTTATTACACAGAGGTATTCTCTATGAATAAAGATACCAACTTCTTGCGACTTTCTTTAGTGGTCGAGTTGGCGAATATATGGAAATACGTATATGTGATGTATCACTTGTTGATCGGTAGGATACTTTGGGTGTTTAAGCCGCTAAAATTGCGTAAGAGATTTGAACAACAATATCCTAATTACTTTCCAGGACTTAGCTTCCTTAACATCAGATAGGTTATAACTAAGAGGGGAGGACTGATGACTCAGGTTGAAATTAGTGATCAGACCTCGGCCCTGTACCCACGATGTTAGGTTGGATATAGGTATGGTTGGTACGCCGACCACAATAGTACAGGTGATCTCAACGGTTATTGCGGGATGTCTAGCTCACAGATGCATTGCGACTTTGTGAAAAATCTTATGAGGAGCAAGAATTCTGATTATAATATCGCGGGTTATAATTTTTTGGTGATCAGGACCGACAGATGGCCCAACACAAACCCGCAAAGCTCCGCGTTGCAGAAACATGTGTTGTATGAGGTGCAGCGCGTCATAGTAAGGTTAAAGTAGTCACGTTGGTAACTACCAAACAACAGTAAGTACACTTCGAGTGGGGTTAAAGCAACTGGCTCAGTTTACGCAATCATGAGGCGGGGTTATCAGCTGCACATACATGCATATATTCGGCATCTAATAATGTCGGACCTATCTTCTGACAGAAGAGATCTAGAAAGGATAAATGCAAATGTCACAACGATAGGCATAAATCAAACGGGGTCGTCGGCCTGCTTTGGAAGCGTCTTCTTGATTTAGAGGAATTCTGCAGTTAGTGTCGCTGCAACATTTAAAAGCATGGCTGTATTATTTTTACGAAGCTAAATTCATTACTGATTAGGTGGTGAGCGATCATGAAAGTATATGTACAAGAGCCCTCTCAGACAGCATCTGAAATGTCTGTTGGAATTGGAATAGTTTCGACCGCACGTCCACCAGATTGCTCCCCCTTACTCGTAGCCTCAACAACTTCTTTATGTTGTCCTTTTTTTTCAATCTCTGCATCCCTATCCACAAGCTCGCTATGGCGGAACTCCCTTGCAAACTCTGGATTTATATGGCGCATCGGTTTCTTCATGAGCTCTTCTCTTATTTTGGCGACACCCTTGGCCTTCCAAGCAGGATATCCCTCATGCATATTGGGGAACATGACGTAATTGTTGTCGCGGTTAATCCACTCGCGCTTCGGTGGTGGGGCCGACATGATCATATCAAGTTCAATTGAGAGAGTCTCACAGTAAAGATCAAGATTTAAATCATTCACGTCGTCTCCAAACGGGTCCTCAATCTCTCGGCCGATTGCTGCAAAACCGAGAATAATATAAGCGGCGATCAAGGTGCCGGGAATCGTAATCCATTTCAAGGTGGCAACAAGTTGAAATGGTAGAAAGAGGACCTATTAATATAGGGAAATATCAGAATTATGCAATTACTCGTACGTTCTTGCAGGGCACTAATCATGGATCTCTGGATCTAGTCCAGTAATGCAATAGCTGGAAAAGGGGGTATATAACTTACATATAGCCAGGTAATCTGGCTAATGACGATATTATACGCGATTGGTAGGGGTGTTTGAGATATGCGTTCACAATTGGTAAGAGCGTCATTCATACCACCAAGGTATGCCATAGCAACACTCTGACAAGCTGATATTGGCATGTTTCCACCGGCGATAGAGCTATCGATGTAAGAGCTGATGTAGGTCATGATTTCTAAAGGAAGATTTCCATGGAGCTTTCCAGCTCTTTTATACGCCTTATAGCGGTGAGTTGAATGCTTTTCAAGGAAAGTGATTCCTAAATAGTTAGAAATACGCTGAGAAGTACTCAATGTTTTCCTGGGAGGAAGACATCCATCGTGGTGTGCATCCTTAGCAAAAGTTTGTAAATGGCTGATAAGGCCTTGAAGATCTCTATAGTCGTATTCAGGTTGATGGCGAAGTTTATGTTTGAGAGCGACGCAGAATGCGAGAAGCAGGTTCATAGCAGTCAGCTTTCCTAGCACATCCTCCTCAGCAAGATCGCCTTCACGCTCGCGGATGTGAACCCAGATGATGCGAGCAAGATTTCTGGGAGGGATTCCATGTTAGCCGGCAACTTGTGCTACACTAATCATTCCTCCGCTCTCCCTTCCATCTTTTTGGATTGGAAGCGCACATACCGAACGTTGAGGGCCAAGGCACTCCAGCACTTTCGGCCGTCGTTGTACCTCTCATAGGCAGTTGATGATCTAAACGACAAAGCTAAACCGACCAGAAAACCGAGAACCGTCAAAAGAACCGAGTTTATATTGAGTGGTGTGATGAGTACATGCACACACGTAATCCAGACGGCCCATGCGGCCACGAAGAGCATTGGGAGGATCAATCCTGGTAGTACGGAGCCACGAAGGCGCATAAAATAGGGTAGCTTGGAGGCCTTCGTAGCATCGATCGGACCTGTCTGCGAAGAGTGTATAGCTTGTTAGGTTCGGACGCTTTCTACATTGGCAAGGTGGATATTATTGGAGAACTGCAGTCCGCTGGGTCCCCCCAAGCCTAGTTTAAAGATTAGGGTTTTGTGACTTACAAAATATGCATCTATATCACTGTCTGCTCCATTGATATGGGGTTTTGCTTGGGAAGCCATTTTTTCGATTGTCTAGTCAGATTTCGTTATCATTAACTTCGCTGAGGCGGACAATCGCGGTTGAAGACTGGAAGGGAACAAAAACTGCACATCGGGCGGAGCAAATATTAAATACTCCTTTCCTAACGATTAACAGCTGCACACATTTCTGCGGGCCTCATAACAAGTCCTTATCCACATAAGAGACTTCAAGCCAGCCGTACCCAACAGTCCATGCGTTTGGGAAAAGCAAGTGACATCGTAACCGAGAAACGTAATCTCTTCATCAAAAGAGCGAATATTTGGTCGTGTGAGTCTCACGGATTTACCCCCAAAAAGAAAGAACGTTAGTGGAGAAAAAGTAAAGAAATTAAAGTTTAAAGAGAAACAAGCGAGAGACCTGTACTACACAGTCGACGTGTCACCAATAAGCTTTGCGGGGCTAGCGGCGAAGGGACCACGCCAAGGGGCGCCCATTGGAACACCCTGCAGCCTGGAACTCTCTCTGGTGGCGGAGCAAAACATGGATGCATGGATGTATACATGCGCATTGATATGATAGGTTGCCAGATGATATGAAGTCTAGTCATCGGCTCAATCAGAAAATTTTCGAGAGCTTTGCCAAGAAGCCACTCGCAAAAGCGATGGAAGCATTAGTCTGGGGGCGCCCACCTTTGCCTTGGTGGAAGCATGATTCCTCTATTGCTATCTGAAACTTGGTTATTTGTTATCTGAAGTTTGGTTATGCAGTGCTTTATCCTCAACGTAGCCATTGATTTTCAGGGTGCTAGCTACTGTATGTATTATCATACGTTCGAACTAGTTGTAGGAAAACCCGAAAGGTGTGTTTGTCAGGTGTTGATGTGTCCACCCTGTCCAAAAAATGTGCTCGCTGTGGTGAAAATCTCCTGTTATATTGCAGTGTGGTGCTTCTGTCTCGTAATCTAACAACCTTGAATATCAGAATCATATTATCTTCCTGTCAGTGTTGGAGAGCTGTGGCAGCTAGTTTCCAACCTTCGCCATGGCTCTCAGTGGAGCGTATATACACCCGGCTATTTCTGATGATAGTGTATATGATTGGCTTTGATCGATTAAAATACTCACAATTGCCTAGCTTTGTGGTACCATCTTGTGCGTCATGTAAGTACAGTACGATATTAATCCGCCTTTCCGCGAGAGAACAGTGGTTTCAGTATTACTAACAATATTGCAATGAGTATAGCTGCATACAATTAGCAATTAGTTAGACAAATGGAAAAGATTGAGAGAAGATTATTAAAGATACTTTTTAGGTATGTCGCTCCGAATCTCATCACCCGGCTAAGGTTATTTTCCTAAAGCATCATAGAATTCATCAACTTCCTCTACATCCGGAGGGTGTGGAGGAATTGACTAAATCTCAACATTACATTCGCTGTGACTATCAGAAATATATTATACCGACGAGAATCTTGAGGCACTCTCCAGTTGATCTATGAATAAATGGAAGTTTATTGCATCCTATTGTGCCCCTAGCCGTAGAAAAAAAGCCCATCGCGAGATATCTCACGGTTCTGGCCGTGAAAATATTCCTTGGTGTCTATCCGTTTGGTGATCATCAACGATCCTAGCAATTCCAATCGTTCTCGCCAGTTTTAACATTTCTGCGTTGTCATATTCCAGAAGATGGCGAAGAATATTCCAGCCACATTCGTTTTTCATAGTGAAATCAAAATCTCGGGGTTCATCGAAAAGAACAGCTAGTAGTGCACGGTAAGATTTCTTCGCTAGTCCTACCATTGCGACGGTCTGGTCTTTCTTCTTTATTCTGGCCAAGATTGATGAGAAATTTGGTTATTTCAGTCCGGTTCTGAGTGAGGGCCACGATCAGGGGTGATAATCCGTCGTCGTCGTCCGGAGGATTATTATCTTGATTGCCTGCAGTATTTATAGTTTGGAGTATGTCATTTTCCGCAGCGGTGGAATCGGGCTCGCTAAGCTACTGATGTGAAACAAGCAGTATGTTAAAAGCGGGGACCCGTCTGCGCAGTGCCATGGCTAGGCCGCTGAAGCTTGAAGGTGCTCAGCGCACTGTCTGAGAATTTGTACTGGGTTTGCCCCACAGAAAGCGCAATCTTCGAGGATGTTATGTATTGAAGGGTCAGCTCCTTAAGCTAGAAGTAGTTTCGCCAGGCCGAAATCATCTCTGGCCACAGCCCAGTGCAATGCAGCCCAGCCAAATTTGTCAGGTTTATCTATAAGCCCAGCTCTATTAAATCGGCGTCGGTCTTCCTCAAGATCTCCAGCTTCTAAATTCAAACCCAACTTATGTATCCGACTGAGCTCGTAAGCCTCCAATTAAACAGCTAGGTTCGGAAGTGGGTTAACAAGCGCTCGAGCCATTCAGGTAGGCAATCTGTATCCTTATTTAAAGTTTTTTTGTAAGAAAAACGCATAAGGCGTACTTTAATGATTATAAATAGCAAAGCTTTAGCATTTTCCCAAAATTCTACAGCAAACCTATTCCACTGTAGAGGTAAGAAAAAAGTAAATTACATACCCAAATTTCGCGGTCTCGGCGTGCATATTTGCACCATGCATAGTTAAGGAGCACTTCAGGTTTATCGCAAAATCCTTCGTCAAACACGAAATCTGAATCAAGAGCACAGGGGGAGCAATTGCCATCAGTAGAACTCACTGTCAGCATTTATGGTTTTGATCCATGAGGTCCTATAGACACAATGTTTTTGCTTCTACCTATCGAAAAGGATACTGGGGTCTGGAAGCTACATGATATAACGCAGATACCTCATAAATCCGACATTGGAGTGTGGTCTTACATTCAGTATCGTGAAGCCAAGTTGTGCATCAGCATCCCTTAAGGATAACTCTGCTTCTCGTAAAATGACATCGAAGTCTGATTCTAAGCGAGGAAAATCTCGGATGGAACGAAACCGGATGCTCCAGGGTCTAATTTCAATTTCAGAAAATCGAGATACTCGAGTATTTGCTCTGAGCGTGAGTATTTTCGTGATGAGCCAATTTGGGAAAGCATATCGGAGCTGTAGGACGCCTCTACTGCGCTTGCACATAGGAAAATCGCAGTAATTTTGTAAAAAGGGACACCATTGTATCGGATTGAAAGTTAGCCGATGAATGGTGGGATAAAGGCTGGAGTCTGGATTGTTCCTTCGAAGTAGTAACGCAGACATATACACTGGGGATCGTAAACAACGGTAGACTGTAGACCGCCTTACAGTTAATAGTTAACTTAAAGTTGTGTGTGCGTGTGTGCATGACGGGATAACTCGTTTGCTTGTTATTGCGTAACTGGCAATATTATTTACAGGTCCGCCTGATTATATAACCAATATTCCTCTATAGTAAACTTGTGTGTCTAGTTGATTTGTTCTGTACAGAGAATTTGTCCCTTTTTTAGTTCAGGTCTGAAAACCCATTCGCAAAGCCATTGGCTTGAGCTTGGAACCCCTGTCGAAGGACTGATTCCAAGGTGCCAACTTGTCCGGCGATTTGAAACGTTGAGCCTCTGCAAGTTTGTTAGAAGCGACTGTTAAGGTACATAGTAGTTTTTCTATTTCAATTTCGATTCTATTTAACCCGCCCTTGGCTTCTACAAACTTCGATTACTCTTTCAATTGATCAAAAACCGCCACTTGCTAAACTCCCCACTACTGTCCACAAATTTTGTTTGACAATAGTGCTATATGCCCTTAATACTACTTTGATATAGTAAGATGATCTTCTAAGTAGGCAGCTTCCAAAAGAGTATTGAATACATTGTTTGCTTAGCCTGTAGACTTTCCCGAGAACAGGTGCTGAGCATAATAAACTATTAGTTAAATATAATTAACTTTATTCTGAAATCCCATGCCTGAATTAGGGACATCTTTCAGAGCTATGGTCTGATTTATAATGTCATTGCTGACTTGAGAGGCTGCTGTGACCACTGTGATTAAGTATCTATGGAAAGTGGATCCATTGCATAATCTTATGATTGAGCGGAACTTTGTATCCGGACCCCTTCTAGCAATGCTTTATGGATTAAATTTGATATTCCACGTGACTAAGTGACTCTAACCAATATGGCTAAATTGAATGTTATTGTAGAAGTTGCGATTCTATTCGTATTTATCAATATGATTGTTACTAGATGGAAAAGTGAGGACTGAATGAATGAATGAATGTAAAATTCGGATTTGTTGGATTTTTATTGTTAACTGGGTTTAGAGATTGAGGAGTGTAGTAGCAAGTATATGCAGAGTGTGCCAGTCTAAGATTGTGTACAAGGCTGAATCGACTGGTACGATATACAAATATACCTCACCAAGTGCGCATGGATTGGCGAATGTCAAGCCTGAAGAACATTTAAAAACGTGTGCCTTTCAAATTTCTTTACTTTGTATACTAGTATCTATGCTAAAATTTGACTTCTCGTTTAACGCTTTGGCCTACATGTATGGAGTTAAGTTTGTAGGTTGCAGGATGTGGTAGGTTCAACCTGTCGCCGTCAGAAATGCAGCGGGGTTAACATAGATGGGAAAATCTCGTGCTACTCGGTGCGAAACAAGTTAGCGAGAACGCCACTGTGGCTGTCGATGCTACAGCTTTAGCCATTGCATGGATACCTAGCGCAATCCGTCAGGATCCAGATAGTGATTCATCCCGCTGCAGCGCCAGTGTGAATCGGATCCTGACTGCGTGACGTTGCCTTCTATAAAAGGGCTCAACGCCATTAGACGTGACTTCGCGTTCCACGGCTCCTTAGAAAAGCACCAAATTTTCTTCAAGCCCGAAATCTCTGAAGCCGCAAAAATGGTTTACACTATGGAAATCTATATCGACAGTGGCTGTCGAAACCTCGGAACAACCAGAGCGATAGGCTCAGCCGCCGCTATTCTCACGAACAAAGGTGAAAGATCGAACAAGTGGACAACAGACCTACGCCGCGGGCCTCGATCCCCCCCACCGACAATCCAGCGGGCCGAACTCACGTCCGTCATCCTTGCGATAGATATTGCTACGATTCGGTTTCAAGAGCTAGACACAAAGCCATACTTAGATGTCAAAATTTATTCCAATTCCGAATATGCTATCGATTGCATGACGAACCGAATTCATCAGTGCAACAGAAACGGGTGGATGGACGATGCAGGTGACGAGGTTGAGAATCGCGATCTCATGGAGAAGGTTTTGGACCTCGAAGATTTATTGAGGGATAAGGGTGATGTATCCTATTTCCTGATTCCGTGGGAGGAAAACCAGGAGGCAACTCAATTCTGTAATAGAGCTCTGGATGATCAATCTAGGGAACTGGGACCGGAAAAGTACGAGCCGGTAGCTTGATTGATAGTTACAAAGAGTAGCAAGAGGAGAATACAACCTGTTGAAATATAGCACGAAAACAAAGAATATATCTGTCCGCCCGTTAAACTATAATTTGGGAAAATGGTAAAGATCTTAAGACCGACATAATAGTACACATGCAACGAGGCGCCTCACTAAAGGCAGATCTGCGGACGCTACAGTTAATTAGAATACCCACGGACAACACATATTTGATTGAATGCAGTCGTCCAACGGCTCGTTGCCACCGTCACAAGTGGGACACCCTTAGTTCGGTTTTTCAGTGCCTGAATAAACAAAAGAGAGATCCGTAATCGAATGAATCTGAAATCAAAGTAATGAGTGAGTGATACATGCCGTTTCTCCAAGAAACCTTACACCTTCAAGCCATCCAACTTTTCAATCACATCCACCACACTATCCGTCCCACGTCCCAAACTCAGCGTCAGTATCGAATCTGCCTTATAAAGCTGTTCTATCCACCTCGATTTACTTCCATCTCCCACCGAAAATAGACTGTCCAGTCTCTTTTTCGTCGCATCACTCAGAACCACGTTCAGGGACTCCCCGCTTAACTGCAGCGCTCTGGCGTACAGCTTTGCAGTGAAAAACTGCTCACTGACACTACATAACCATCCGATGGTTTTCTCAAAAATAGCCCCGAGAGTCGCTAGAGGTTCCTCTGAATCTTTAGTGAGTTCTGTCAAGATATCTAAGGGGCTGTCACAATCTGGTGATGTTCCCCCCCTTTTTGTTGATTCGGCGATAGGGGCGAGTTCCTCGATTATTATCTTTGCAGCATACATAAGCCCTAGCAACATGGTCTCTGGAATGAAGGCAAAGCTATAGTTCTTGTCGTATTCCCCTAATAGGTGTAATAAACCTGCCTTTCCTTGCTTATACCAACCTTTTACTTCTTCACGGAATGTAGCTAGTTCTTCCGGCTCCGTGTCCGCGGGATCCAATGGGGCATTCGAAAGCTCGAGTATGAGCTGAAAATAACCCAAACTAGTAGTATGTCAGCCTTCATGTTCCCCGAATCAACTAGAGAAAACGTTATGGGGCTTAATTAATTACTGAGGAGTAATAACGAACGGAGCGACCGTATCACCCAAGTTGAGACCTCTGGGTATATCCCGTTTCCATTCTATAGCTCTGACGTATAAGTCCTTTTTCTGTTTTACGGTGAGGGCTCTTAGGTCCGCCTCCGTCCCTGCTGTTTGTGATACGATCAAGTCATGGAGAATCACGCATATATCCGAGCACATTCGGACGCTCTCTTCAAGTCGACATGGTTCGGCTGGTTGAGTATAGGGGTATGGTCGCCAAAGTGACAATATTGGATTTAGTTGCTTTCGGCTGCCATTGTCTGCATTCTCGTCACCATACCTATTCTCCGGCAGCTTAATTGTTGGTATATCCATCGGCGGTTTCTTCTTATTGAGTAGTGTAAAAAACCTTTACAAATGAAATGGTTAGCGGTGTAAGATATAGGAAAGACGACTTTTTGTTCTGTCCAATTCTTACGTCGATAATCTAAATAGCCCCCAAATAGTGGTTCCCAGTGCTCTTTCCATTTTCTCGTCCCGTCGTAGCTTCCCTGATGATTCTCGTTGCTCAAAAAGTCTATGGTATAGAGAAACTGTACTTTGAAAGAGCATGTAGCCCAAATGGTCCTTCCCATTGACGCTGACAACTTCACACAGAAGCATGCCACTAATGATAGTCGTCAACTTTGGTTGGTTACATTCTACATGCCACAGGTGTATTGCCTCCTCGATAAATCGGTGGCCAAGGCTGTTTGGATTGTGCGGGTCAGAGCGGACCGGTATTCTTGGTGACAGGTGCTATAAATCGATCAAGTTAACCATCGGGTCGTGATACCCCGTAGTAGGGCAATGCACAAGAACAAAGAAGACCGCCTTCGCCGTGTAGGTATTATGTAAGATCAACCAAAAATGAAATGAATTTGTATAATTTCGCTCGGAAGAATGTGGACTCACACAAGCTAAAGCTAGGATGCAGTTGACTAAGAGTGGAGTACAGTATGTAAAATCTTTTTGCACCATACCTTCCAAGAATATATCGACATCGAACCAATTCCACGCTACAGTGTCCCATGCAATATAGGAAGATATCAAGTGGGACACTAGCTCGTCATCGTCGGTTATGGTAGTCCAGGGCTCCGCGGTCAGATTTAAATCCGATAACGGCCTATCATCTATTATCCCTAGACTTATCTGCTCTGGTACTGTCTGATCTGTTGTTTCAACTTGCGAGTTTCCTAGGAGAGTCAAATCCGTAGTTGCAGGTGTTGGCCTAATATCTTGCTTCGACAGAATGGATTTGCCGTCATTCCGGATGAACATTAATAATTCTTCTATACTAGTTCCTGTGGGGTTACGAAGGACTGTCATGGTCTTCCGCAAATCAGGAAGGCTCGCAGTTTTGATGTGGTTCAGGATCTCCTTGTATTGGGTATTTTCCTCTTTCTGCCGCTGGAGCTGCCCCTTCATGTCCTTGCGGTGATCCCGTTGGTCAACAGCATTGTATGTGCATTGGTGTTTCAACTTTTGACACCTAGAGCATGTTGGCGTCTCTCCTGAGCACTACCAAAGGTTCGGAACGAGCGGTTTGACAGTTAACCAGGTGAAAACGTGGTTGGTAAAGCGATCTTAGTTTATGAGACCAGCGGCGCGGCACTGGACATGTGATATTTGAGTATGCACTTACTTTAGCTTTTGATTGTTTGCAGATATCACACGCCTTCTTGACACATACCCTAGAGCTCCGCTTGTAGATGCCACTATCGTGTTTCAGTCGTTGCACACGTTGGTGTTCAGCAGTTGGGACGAGGGAGCGGACGGTTGGTTTTATAGCACCGGCGCCAGCAGCAGCCGCGGACGGTTTTGCGACAAGTGGATGCGGGACCGACATTTTATCGATACGAAGCGAATGTTTATGAAAGGAGTGATCTCAAGTAACCGGCAGAAATTTTCCAACGCTGTAGCATGAAGCCGAGGTGGCCGCGCGAGGGCTGGTTGAATTCAAGTTCAGCTGAGGCCCAACACAAGAAGGGTCACCGAGACTAAGCTGAGGCCTGGTCTAGACCGCCAACGATCGAAAAGTGCAACACAAAATACCGCGTCCCAATATGACGTCACTCGCCCTCACGATCGGGAAGATTATATTGTGCATATGTATATATGGTTCGGGATCCAAGCGAATGTAAACGTACTCCACATGTCATAACTAAGTACTTAAGTATCTAGGTACTTGCTTCCTTAAGGATCCTTGCCCTTGATATTTGCATGGTTAGATAATAAGGTAAGGCTTAAATGTAGGAGAGCTCGAGAGTTATTAGCACATGAGGCTGAACGTCGGTTTCTCATGCCAGTCTCGAACTCTGGTTGGTTGGAGATCTCAAGATTTAATTGAGTTTAGAAAGCTAGTTACATTCTGGTTCTGCAATATCCTCGCATTTTAACAAGACCCTTCGAATTCGGTAGAATGCTTCAAGACGTCCTTTTCTCTAATATAAAATACATCCGGTTGTACTTATACATAGGGCCGGCTCCATCGCGTCCCAATGGACCGGACTAGCAGCTGCAGCCGCAGCTCTTTGACTTCTTGCAGCCTTTGCCACAAGCCTCTCCAGTACCACACTGATTGGCGCTGTTGCACTGCAGCCAATTTCCTGAACCACCATTCGCGGCAGTCCAACACCATTCTCCGTTATTTCCACAGGACTTCCAGCAGTACCCATCAGTGCAGCCGGAGGAAGCACCAAACCAGCATGCGTTCGCGGCTCGGCCAGATAGCGCTGGAATGACTGATCTCGCATCGAGCTCTACATTTTGAGCCCGTTCAATCTCCTCAGGAGTTAGAGGGGTGTAGGTGGTTTTTTTGAGATCGCGCGTATGTCCCAAAGGATGACCAGCGCATTTGCGGAGGGCGCTTGGGTCGACGCTGGCAGGAAGGTCGTTCAAGTCGATCTCCAGGACACCAAGGGAACCACACTCAGCGGCCGCAGAAGAAACAGCAGCAGCGAATCCACCGCTAATTTGGGCGGCGAACAAGACGATAGCAGTATTGAACTTCATTGTTATAATTTGGTAGTTTTATGAATGATAAGGCTCGGTGAAATAATTCTTTAAACTTTAAAGATGAGGTTCGTTCGATTAAAGAATTGAAGCCGTGATTTATTTCTGTGATTTGTTTAGAACGAAGAGAATTGTTTTCCGATGAGCAAATGAGTAGTAAGATGGTTCTGATGATGATCTGGAAAAAAAAGAGGGCGATGAGGTTGTGAAACCCGTTCTTTTATAGAAACTCTGCAGCGTCTTGGATCTTGACGATAACCAGAAGATGTCAGTAAAATTACAGCGTGACTTCGTCATCGAGCCTTTGTTTTTCCCCATTATCGATGTAATATTACATTGTATCACGGTCAATCCCCTGCCTAAATGTACGATATAATTCTGCCTTGCAAGGAAGGGGTCCTTTTCCTATGCTAACTAACGGCTTCCGACAATGGCCCTACATGCCTATGTGAATCAGTATTACCCTCGCGGATTCCGACGGAGAAGTATTTCCTATTTTCACTGGCCTTGAATTTGAGCCTCTAGAGCCTCTAGGACCCCAGAATACCCCAGCTTTCGTTTAACGTCAGAAGTCAGTGGAGGGCAGGTGAGCACCCCAAGCCAGGCCTAGGATGCCGTGTGCCCTTAGAATCGAAAGAAGTTTAAGGGAATTTAAAGTGGTGCGCATATACTTAGATTGGCTAGTGAATTATCCCCACGGCGGGCTTGGCGTCAGCGCGGGTGCTCAATAAGGCAATTGGCTACGAATATTTTCACAAGCCGCATACCAGGATTGCCGGAACCATATGTTACACAGAACTACAACAATGAAATTTAGAAGGCGGGCTTGCCGGGACAGTTAGCGCTGACCAGATCTGAGTATTCGAGTTATTTTCATTTTGGCGATATTTACGTAACAACCTCGTATTCAATCCTTACAGTGTAACTACTCTTAACAGCTGCTCAGATTGGCTAGTATGTATCATGGAACCAAGCCGCGGTTGTGATTTCGATCCGCTCGATCGATCACCCTCGGCATAAATGGAACCACAACCCTGTTGATGAACATTATAGAATCCAATATCGATATATCACGATAAGCAGAGCTCTTAGTAGAATATATCTTAGGCATGTTACATTTGCAAGGAATTTGCATTTAGTGTTGCAATGTGTTCCAGAACTGGCTAAAGTGTGTTGTATCAGTATATACCGGGACCAACACGAGAGAATCCAACGATCCAGGGTCCGGCCCCGTTCATACTGGCAGTGCGCAGCTGCAGGTTATGGGCTGCGGTGGTTGCAACATTCTTTTGATTTGATAGCACCTTCCAAAGTGCTATGCATTCGAGTTTTGTCGTATCTTGCAAGCTTATCTCACCGCAGATCCGGAACTACATGCCCAGCTAGTTTCATATTACATAGTGTGCTTCCAGCAATGCTTATTGGGATTACGCAATATTATCTAGATGAACACCGATGTAGTTACCAAGTAATGTTTGTTGTCTCAACAGGGCATTGTCCCCATGGAAATATGAGTCTTTCACTGCTTCAGCGTTTCAGGACGAATGGCTGGAGAAGTTCGGGCCGGGGGGTGAACATAACGAAAATCGAGCCCTTAAGCAAGCGGAGGATGCAGCGGCAGATCTGGAGAACGGCGAGGAGTCGACTGAGGCTTATAAGGTTGGAACGCTCCGGAAGTCATATCCTTATACACAATATCAAAGGACCTCGATGGGCTACTACACGGTACAATCAATTGATCAACTTCATTCATTATATCTAAAGAATTAGGTCTGCGCTGGCCTCGTTGGGCCTACGCGCTCTTTTCAACCACAAAAGAACTTTCAGTTAGTTAGCATATTATGATAATATTCTGCACATCTATATATCGATATATATCTACGAACCCGGTTCACCGCTACGGCACTGGATCATATGTCGCTGCTTACCAACCCTCTGCTACTTGGAATAGCCCGGGGACTACTATGAGTCACATGTGGAACGTTAGAGTAGTTGTGTTAATGTGACAGGCTGTCACTCGATCGATTCTTTTGTCTTCACTCTATTAATTTGCGAATCTAGAATAAAATGTGACAATAATTTTGATAACGGCCTACTGTAGCCCGAATGTAGCATATAACGTCCGATCGAACTTAAAGGAATTTCGATGTAAAAGGCCTCCTGGTGCTCTCATGGCTGTGAGCCATGCGTCGAAGTCGATCCTACCTTGAGGGATGGGCGCAGTCGGAGGGTTCGCCACCGGCCACCTTGTGTCCCGTCGAACTATAAAGTTTAGTGCCGTTTGGTCGGCCCATGCCCCCATCTTTGTTTCGCAATCCACTAGGAATGCAGCAATATAATGGAGAAATCGATAACTCCAACCTGCCCCGGTTGGAGCATCTGACGCGGCGAGGCATGGTGTGCCAGGGCCGTCTCTCGGGCCGTGCTGCTGACCATAAGGAACATCATTATCGAATTGTTCGCTGCACGACGAAGTTAGAAGGTTGTACGGTAAGTCAGAATATTCTGGGGTGGGAGGAGCAATAACGCTTACAATTCATTGTAAAGCCGGACGAAGGTGGCCACAAACACTTGTGCAACAGCAACCCTATTCATATACTGGAATACTGCCTGAACTCTGCCGACGTGCTCAATAAACTCCTGCATATCGAGCCCAACGCCTAATTGATCAGGTGCAGTAGTCGGGGTTAGAACCGCATTTTTGTGCTTGTTGATTCGCTGTTCTAAAACGAAAAACTCGGCAAGGCGTCCTTGATTTGGATAAGCTTTGTTAAACCAGGTCAGTAGTGGTACCATGAACCGCTCAAATGTTTCTAAGTGGTAACGCGACCCCGTGGGTGTTCTGGTGAAAAACATTTCATTAATTCCCGGGCCCTGGGCATCAGCGGTACACGGAGCGCATTCATCGATCACCATTTCGTCGAAAAATCCTTTCATGATGTGATTTTCGAAAACATGTTCCTAGAAATTGTCAGTGAAAGGGTCCGCTAGGACAGCGTCAAGCTAGAACATACTGTAGCGTATTCTGCCAATACGGCTGTTCTTGGATTCGCTCGCTGAGCTCCTGTATAGGCCCGGATATTCCATAGACACGGAATAAGAGGTGGTAGTGTATAGAAGTTGATGTCAAGATGATCAATAGTCAGTTGATAGGCACCGTAAATGCCAACTATCTCTCCGCTGGTTGGGTACTCTGATGTTTTATAGCTGATAGTGGGACACTGGGACAAAGAGTACTTTTCACCAGAGGTACGCTTCTCCAATGGCTTAGACTTCATGGGTTCCGATCGGGCCAGTTTTAAGCCGGGAACTGAGCACCCAGATATGCCGCAGGGGCATGGAGCTAGATCTTCAGGGTCATTTGGCGGATCATCCGGGTCATCCGGGTTATCTGGTGGGTCGGGGTCTGTTGGCTGAACGGGTCCGTAAACATCCCTATGCCACTGCAGAGCGTCGTTGATATCCTGATCTATCATTGCCAATTGTTAGCCATCTTGACAGATATGAACGAGTATCTATCGATACTTACAAGCTTGTTGGATTTGCTATGGTGATTATTAGCCCACTGTATGACGAGGAAGTAATGCTTCAATGACGCATATGTGTCTGCGCGTAAAGACACCACTCACGAGAAAATAATATGCACCCACAACGACACCAGCGGCAATTTCCTCCACCCTTTGTGCAACAACGCCACCGGCCCATCTTTGGACCACCGCTCCTAAGATTCAAGAACTTAGGGTTAGTCACAAGCTCTGGAAACTGCAAATAATGGGCCATTGACCTACCATGCCTTGGCGCCAAAATTAAAGCCTGCATCTCAAACTCCTCTACCACTTGCTTTATTTATGTTTTGATGTATTAGCTAAGGGCACATTCCCAATAAATAAAGGCTAAATATGCAAACTTGGTACGTATGCTTACCGGTGCTCTACCTGGAAGATAGCGGTTGACATATCTCCAAGCGGTCTGCATTCTTGCCGTGAATCTTACATTGATTCCCACTATTGAATCTTGTTAGTCTCATATATTTGGAGTTAGATACGGCCAATCGATGAAATTCGACTTACAGCATCTAAGGCATACTCTTCTCGCGTTTGTCCAAGCCACAGTAAGCCGGGCCACCCATGCTAATGGTATAAACCGCTTGTGCTTATTTCCACCTTGCTGGCTCTCCGCTTCAGCTTGAAGCCGTAGGTCGTCATATTCTCTGAGATCAGTCTCTGCTGCTTTCTCACAAGCCCATAACTCCTCCATAATTACTATCATACCAGCGAGATCTGGCACTTCAAAGTCGGCGTTCTCGTATATTAAATTCCTGAGTGACCCACCGCAGATCTCGCCGGACTCGCCGGCGCAAACGCTGTTACACTGGCTTGAGTCCACTACTGAGCTGGTAAATTCGTCACCCCAGTAGCATGTGTTACCCCCTTGTACAGCAGCGTACTTGAAACCGATTGCTAACTCTAGGCACTTCGCCACTGTCATAGTGGAACCGGTGTCCGAATAGGGGAATGCTCTGTTGCTGGTGCTATCAGAATGACATCCTACGAGCGACCACGGGTCGGGTCCTTCATTGAACTTTGGTGGTTCTGGCGGCTCTGGCTCCGCATATCCTGTGTTCAAGTAGAGCGACAGGCGATTTCCACCTCCGCAATTCTGAGTATTGTCACCAGCACATGGGGTATTACAGTCACCCGATGCCGCTGGCGACGATGAGCTACTCAGAACGTTACCCCAATGACATTCGCCATAGTATTGGACACCTGCGTATTTGAAACCTGCGCCAAGTTGCAGGCACTTTTGAATAGTCATCCCCTCCCAGTCGGTGGTAGTATGTTCTAGGGCTCTTTGTTCCACACTATCTGTGTAACAACCTTGATGCACGAAGGCCCCGGTATCCGGCTGCCCAGGTGGCTGGTATGAAGGATTCTTATCTTTGAAGAAGATCATGTCAGCTATCGCCTGCTTCTCCCGTATCAAAAAAAGTATCTCTTCTTTCTATCTTAGAACTAGGACCCGGAACTTACAGAGTTGAATGCGATTGCCACCTCCACATAGCTCGGTTGCCTTACCAGGGCAGGGCATATTGCAGCCACTTGACTCTGCATGGCTGGTGCCGGCCAGCGTATTACCGTACCAACACTCTTGACCATATTCGACACCCGCGAAGTTGTATCCAGCCGCTCTGGCCATACAAGCCGTGATCGTCATGCCATTTGCATCAACATATTGATTGCTCAAAACCCGAGTATTTACATCATCAGAATAGCAGCCATAATAGTTGAAGCCATTTGTGCTCGGGTTGATTGTTGGTGCTGATTGCCCGGTTGTAGTGGTGCGACTTGTAGTGGCCGCCGTAGTCGTCGTACCATGAGGTACCACGTCTATGGCCTTCGAGAAACAGCCAATATTGACAGCGTTGTTAGCAATCAATACTCCAAAGCCACAATTGCTGTTAGAGGAGAGGGCGACCCCCCCACATCGATTGGGGCAGGACAGTATTTTCCGAAAGTTCGTTCGGATAACCGATCCTTCAAGCCTCGGGGGTGGGGATCTATCATTGCAAAGATAAGTGATCATAGCAACATTGTTGCCATTGCTAGCGGAGGATAAAATGATAGATTCATCACCCCCACCGTAGAAAAGACCGGTTTGAAATCTATCGATCGCATTGGTAACTGCGGCTTCGCTGACGGATCCGGCGTTACAACCTTCGGCAACTGTAGCACATTGGACGGACTGCGCATTGAGTTGTGGACAATTTGACAATACGAGCCCGCTGAGGACCGTGAACGCGCCTTTAATACGCATTTTCGAGGGAGTTCGTCGATCGCCGCGACGTCGGCTGATAGAAGGCTGCTTGGTGAAATCAACGGCCTGACTTCGACGTGATTATATGTACAGTATCGATACAAAAAACCCTTGGACTAGCACTAGTCCGAAGACTCTCTTGCCCACATTTCCGATACCCAAGATTTCTAGCATCCCATGCATATTTTCGCAATTTTCGTTATAGTATAATGTGACAAAATTAAATACATATCGCGGCTGATTTACAGAAGTTAACCTGCCTGTACGTATACGTGAAGACGCATAGCTGCGCGTATAGTCATCTAAGCCAGTTAGCAAAGATCTCACGGCTGCATGCATATGCGGGGCAAACCTATCGTTCACCCCACCCTAGGCCCTTGATATATATCTGGCCCTGCATTGGCCCAAGTAGAAGATTCCGCACGAATGGTGTGAGCTTTGGAACGACAGGGATCGCATTGTAAAGTGGTTAGCTTGCGATTACTGATCGAGGATGACTGCAGCTTTGGAGCGTGGAAGAACTGCTTTTCGTCCGATGTAGCAGTTCGGTATGCCCGCAGTCCGTGAAGGATCTGGTCCGTCGGGCTTCGGTTGTAATTTAATTCACTGGTTTCACATAATTAAGCTCAGGCAATCAGTCCTCTTGGGGAGAACTAACCGATAGCTTATCCACCAATTTTTACTTGGCTAAGCTTGTATTTTAAGCCGTGCAGGCCTGTTTCGTTGGCTAGATTCTCGCCTACAAATGTTTAGTGATCAGGAGCAGGGGTAGCTCCAAGCTTGGCTTTATTAACTAGGCCCCAGGCAGTGCTAACGATATACTTAATGAAAGTCGGCGAAGCCTCAAATTCTTCTTTCAGAACCGCTCGGGCGTACTCATTTGGTAACATTTACGTTCCAAAAAGCGGGTTTATCCGCTTGGTTCTGCTGCCAAGCCATCGAAACTTAACGCTTCAATATCGGATTGGGTGAGAGATTTTTCATCCGTACATGCATCAAACACTGCACTGCACTGCTTGATTCGATGCCAACAGAACTGTACAGAGCTGAATTACATAGCCTCGAGTACAGTTTCACGATGTCAAAATCAATAAGTGCATATCGATATAGGGAGATGTGCTGTCATCTTGAATCCTTGCGTCGGCAAGCGCCCCGGGCCCTCATGGAGGCATTACTGCAAACTGCTATCTCTAGACCCTGGCAACTAAGATTCTAGCACTGCGCAGGGACGCCCACCCGTACACGAAACTGGTCTTTCAAGAGACGCCGTCTTCACCTCCGCGATATATATGCGCAATTGAAATCAGATAGAAATATCCTTCATAAAATACTATCGGAACCAAGTTAGCTTAGAATATTTTAACTCATGCGCCGTTGGTGTCAACATTAGGCCAGATCAACTCCTCAGCTCCTTGAGCAAATCGATCATGAGAGTCGCCGCTCTAGGTTTTCGCTTGCTAAGTATCTCCAGCGTACTCGCCTTCCCCTTCAAAGGTGGCGCCGGAACGGAACTTGGTTCTGTTCTAGTAAAGAGGGGACAGGAGCTTTGTCCGGCACTCTACCAAGAGGGGCCCATACAGTTCTTTGCCTTTCCTCAGTCTGTCTTCGTTGCTGTCACCAGCACAACGAGGCAAGTATCCCATTCACCAAAAATAAATCTAAAAATGCAGTATAGATTTAATCTAACTATTTCATTATAGGACGACGACTCGCAGTTCGACGGCATCAACTTCGACATTGTCGACTACAACAGTGTCGACAACTTTATCGACTACGAGAGCAACCACAAGCTCGACAACCACTACCACCACTACTAGAATAACAACCAGCTCTACGACCACTACGGCTTTCCAAGTAGTCTGTTCCAGCACACCTCCGTCATGCGAAGCCAATGGTTGCTCTGGAACTGTGGCACCGGCTGGTACGGGGAACCCGACCTGCAAATCCACCAATTTCTCTGGGTGCGCCTGTATCCCGTCTGTTAATACGCCTGGGTATACATGTCCAAACCAGAGCTGCGGCGCCAATAATTGCGCTGGAAGTTTTAACAATAACGGAGCCAGCGCAACAGTATGTTCACCGTGATCCGGAATCCGTATATACAATACCAGTCCAAGCATCCGCTAATAAAATTGAACAGTGCAAAAACTACGGAGCCGGTTGTGCTTGTGCCCCAACGACAGCTATGTGCGGGAACTCGGCGTCATGTGACGCAGGTGGTTGCGCAGGTTCTTTTGATAACAACGGCGCCCTAGCCACATGCAAGGGCAATTGGGCAACATGTCGTTGTAATCCTACGGCCAATACGTGCGGAAACCAGGCATCATGCGATGCAGGCGGTTGCGCAGGGTCGTTCGATAATAACGGAGCGTATGCCACCTGTAAAGGAAACTGGGCTACTTGCCGTTGTAACCCTACCCAAGGCACAGGCGGTACTTGTGGTGCCCGTGGGAGCTGCGATGGTGGTAACTGTGCAGGCAGCTTTCTCGGCAATACTCCTCTACCTCAGTGTACTAACATGTGGGCCCCTTGCTATTGTAACCCAACAGACAATACTTGTGGATCACAGCAGAGTTGTGGTTCCAACGGATGCAACGGGCAATGGGATGGTAATACTGGTATTGCTAGGTGTACAGGGAACTTCGTGGGATGCCGCTGTACGCCTACTCAGGGGGCCGGCGGGACCTGCGGTAATCGCGCGGGTTGTGATAGCAATAATTGTGCGGGCGCCTTTACCGGTAACAACCCCTACCCTCAGTGCACTAATGCCTATGCGCCGTGCTACTGTAATCCCACGGACAATACCTGCGGGAATCCGCAAGGCTGCGATTCGAACGGGTGTAATGGACAATGGGACTCGAGTGGCGTTGCTCGCTGTACCGGTAATTTCATCGGCTGCCGCTGTGATCCGACAGGGGTAAGTTACAGTCCTCATATTTCTATGATTATCTATTAGAAAAGCGCGGAACTTATGTGATGGAGTAGATTGTAAAGATTAGGGTGAGAAGATACGTTGCGCTGACCGTAGCCTTATATCTAGAACACATGCGGCTCAAGAGCGAGCTGCTTCAGCAATGGCTGCGCCGGACGAAGGGGCGGTGATGGCGTCTGGCGCTGTACTGGGAGATACGCTCCTTGTTCATGCTATTACAACTCTTTCTGGGGTAATCTTGATAGGGATGCGGGTTGGACGGGTGGTAGATATGAACTCAGATCGAACGAGAATGAATGCAGTAAGTCGATATTTTGCTCTTTTTCCGTGGCCAGTTAATTACTTTTATGTTCAATCTCCTAATTCCGACCTCTTAGCAAACTTACCCTCGAACTGGAACGATGTCGCCAGTTCCATCACCATCATTTCATGGGTTGTACGTTGTCAATTTTATGTGTAAGTTGCACCGAGCGCTCTCAACCTTTCTCGTAGTAAGATAAAGATCAGGCTAATGGTTGATTACACAATTATGGGTGCACCAGTGACATAAATTGCTCCGGTGCCAGCATTTACGGCAACTCAGATCGCAATACTGGGCCGAATAGTTGGGACTTACAGGGAGCTAATTCATATTTCAACGATAAAATCTCATCCTATAAGTGTTGGCTCGATCCGTTGACATTTTGTGGTGATATACCTTGTCATGGATAGGTACATGTACGTCGATATCGTTAATATAAAAGGGCGGAACATCTTGGAAATATTTACATGCTGCGTTACTTTGTTCTCTCCCGTCGGCATAATCGCACATCTGGGATATGATTATCGTCTAGAGAGCTTATTTAAGGATAGTGGGAGTCTTTTAGGAGTAGAAAGGATACTACGGCCATTTCATCAACCACTATTAATATATTTACAATAAAATATATCAACAAGTAATATACGTAGCCTCAGGTACTTCTGAATATACTTTGGAATTTGGCGATTAACTTTCGTTGAAGCCTTTGCGAACTGATCACGTATTTGTTCCGCCGATTTTCAAGGCCCGATTTCTCCACCATGGTGCCAGATAGATATTCCCATCTCTCCCTCATTTTATGCTGGTATAGACGATCCTTTGAACTTAGTCTCTTCAAAAGAAAGTGAATTTAGTATCACGCTATCTTATTAGGATTGTAGGATCAGGCCTTCCCATTATGTTGTCGACATGTCAATTCAGGCGGGGGTGCACATCTTTTGTACGTTGTTTCCCATCCAAGCGTCTGGTTGGCCCCTTACAGGGCCTAGCTTTCGTACGACTGTCCCCCCCATGTGCGTTATGAATAATGGCGTAGAAAGTGTCAGTATTTTCGGCTGTGAACGCCATGTCTCGAGTTCCGTTCAAAAATGACTATAAGCCCCCTTTAATTATTCAGCATTTCCGTGTAGAAGCCTGACGCTGGGAGAGCCGCGCCATTTGTACAATTGTTGGAACATACCTGACTTGTCCAGTAGTCAGCAGACACTCTAATAACCAAATTGAAGTCCATACTAAAAGTTTGTTGATGCTCTTACCGGCCTGTGGGTGGCTTGGTTGGGATTTTGCGAGCCCTAGGCAAGTGTTTCTCTATGCTAGCCAGCGAGCAAGTGGTGAGGGAGGGAAGTTGAGCTGAGAAGCCACCGGCCAAACATAAGTTCGCATCTGTGGCAAGCAACGGAACTGCAGGCTTCATGGGCATCTCTTACAGTATGTAAGTATGCATCAGACTTGATTTCATTCAGGCCCAGGCTGTGGAAGATATGTACACTTCCTTCAACAAAATTGCAACCCTAGCCACGCAGTTGCCGCATGGGGAACTGCAATCACGATTATTGGATGTTAGCTGCATGACTATGGCTATGCGGGCACGATGAAGCTCAAAACTCTTGCTATTATGCCTAGCCGATGCACAAAAAAAATCTGTTGGATCTGGTCTGCATCGTAGTCCTGACAAGGGTCCCTCTTGCAAGTCTCACTTAAGCTTTCGGGGCCACCCGTGCCAGATCGACTAGCGAGCCATAAAACCCCAAGGTGGCCAACCCCTAGCACCGATTAATTGCTGCCCCCTGACCGTTTCAGGCCACTGCTTTGAAGGAAACTTCTTTGATAGGTACACGTACCTAGTGGTTGATTCTGGGTTGCATTGCATTGGTTTTCAGAGCCAGTCAATGGGCGCAAGTTCCGTGTTGGGTTGCATTGAGTATTCCATATGATGAATGTCGCGAAGTCGGAGCGGTTTTCCGGCACCGGGTAACGCATGCTGTAAACAACCTTAATTATATCGACAAAAATATTGATCTGGGCTGCGGGCCGCTCAAATCCGCCTTGGTATTGGCAAGGAAGCAAAATCCTATGCAGGTTTGCGCCGACAAACCTGGCAAAGTTTAAGCCCGGACAGCGATTTTGCGCAAGAGTTACATGCATATCACAACACGTCAGGAACACGCTTGTGGCCAGCCGGCGTTTGGGAGCGAGACTAGTCAGGAACCACTCACACACCAGATCTTGTACATGTGGTAGTAGTGAAGTTACAATGCGCACCTGTCAATACGTCCCGAAAGCCACCAAATAGGGAACTCGCATGCACCAGTACCGTGGTAAAAGATAAATTCTATTCATACATTCAAACTCGGGATCTCGTCATTGTTATCCGACGGCTATGCGAGCACGTAGCTTAGGCATAGGCTTATATATTATATTATTGACACATTTTGGTCAGGGTCACCTTAGCGAGTTTGCTTCCTAGAATACATATTATCTAGATTTTCAAAGGGCAAAAAAGCCGCAATTCTCGACTATATAAACTAACCCTGTGACGTACAACAGTTTCCGGATATTGCATTGCGAAATACTTCCTCAGGATTGCGCCGTATCGTCGATTTCAATACCAACATCAATCCAAATTTCCATGCTATTAAGAACATCTTGCCTACCAATCCAGATACAATGAAAGCTTCTTTCATCTTCACCCTGGCTCTTGCTGCCGCAGTCACGGCATCCCCTATTGAAAGAGGTAAGAAGTACTCCGATTCGGTTTTGGAATTTAGATCTAAGGCAAATGTCCTAACAATTTGCAGCCAACCTCGAAAAGCGTGGCTGTCCAGTGGGAACCCCCGGGTATTCATACTGCTCACAAGGATGTCAAAGCAAATATGCTATAACTGCTCCCTGCGTACCAGCAACTTGTCAGTTGCTATCTCTATATCTAGCAAATTGCTACCGGTGCTGCATCAGTACCTGCGGTTTGTGTTGAGTCGGTCCCGCGAGTGTTAGGAACTTGCATCTACGACTATGAGTGCGAAGGCTTGTGATCATTTTTATTCTTTTAGATTAGTTAAGGGTATATTGTTTTAGATTTGTCATGAGAGGCCCGTTACATATGTACATACTAGAGAGCCCCACGCGACATCGATCCCAAGGCACATGCACAACGCCTAGTGTATATACGAGCCACTCTAAAAATTCAAAACTCAGAGTATTGTTGATGCAATATCAGCTTTATTACGATCATTCAATCCTATGCTATGCTCACGTATGGCTCTGTGAAGCTTTGATCTGGTAGGGCGATCGTGGAAGTGGGATAACACGGTGACAATCGATGCAATCACACGTGTTGGATTAATTTGAAGGTGTTGTATTTTCGATATCTCAACGCGGCCTCAAACTTCCTTCCTGGTCTCGACACTAAACCAACGTCGAGACTCGGCTGCAAGTTTCCCTATATCTGGCACCATGGATTCGAACGCAAACATGTTAATGTTAATATGGCCAAGCACCTGGGGCTAGATTCCGGCTATTTCGATATTTCATGTTCTATGGATGAATGAATCGATCGAACTTGCACTATAACAAAGGAGCAATGTGCATGTGTCCTTCAAGGGAGCTATACTTCAAGGTTTAGGTACGAGACAAAGAGCTATACGTCACATATTGTTCAAAACAAAAATCGGTGTCTATGTAGAACTATATACATATATAGAGTTGTTGCTAAGCCAGGCCACTGCACCGGCTGCGCAGGCACCCTTTTTTGGTAATATTATATCACGATGCCCAATGTGCGAGTATCAAGGCAGGGTTTAAGCTTATTATTAGAACTGTTGAGAGTACGAACTTATTTAGCAAGCTAGTTACTATCCTTAATGCGACATGTGGAACCTCATCGGAATTGCCAAGTGAACCTATAAGCTTATATAAGCGTCTGCCCTACGCTACGTATATCTAGGAAGGGCACAGTCAATAACAATTGGTCCCTCAGCCGTAAGCAAGACAATAGATGATAACTGAAAATTTCTATTTTAACTCGTGGTGGGACATCATGCATTCTTATGCATGCTTTTCGATCTTGCCTATAATTCATTTTTCGTCCGCTTAAATACAGATTCATAGTTTCACTTGCTACAAAGTGTAATGACGTATAAACCACAATTTAAATTATATAGCTTAGGCTTAAACTAGGTAGTCAACATCCTCTGAAAGGGCCGAAGGACGACCAAATTATTACACCTCAGCCTTGGCTATTGTATTGTCAAGCATGAAATTTCGAAAGATCTTACTGTATTTAAGTCATTTATTTGCGTGATTGATACTTTGAGAAATGCTTTACTTCTAGGGTTAATCAAAGCCTCAGGGGCCTTTTTTTTTTTTTCAACTAGTCCACTAAAGGATCAGGCTACGCCTTGGATCCGACTATGAAAGTTATGTTAAGGAGAGTGTGAAGGTGTAAAAATGGTAGGCCAATACTTTGGACCACAGTAAAAACTTGCAAAATGCCATTAAGGAGAGTATAGAGACCGAGGTCGAAGTACCCAAAAATTGCTAAATCTTCCCCGAAACCTTTGTGTTAATTTTTTTTTTTCCGACTTTTTTTTTTTTCCCTGCCTAGAAATATTTTTTGTCGAGCTAACACCCACAATGTGTTTCCCAATCCCAGCGCTTGAGTTTATCTGCCGATAGGTAGCAAAGAATTACTGCACAGAGTCTGATAGTACGTGCATGGTTTTCGACTTGTGCAGCTCTAGGCACTACTATTTAGTCAGCCGGAGTTCTAATTTCATATTAACGTTGCTTATCTTTAATATACCCAGAGCATTTTATTCAGCGGCTAGTAGTAAGATCCGTATCCTTTTGGGGAGGGCGATGGGTGGCGTGGGCGAGAATGTGAGCGGGAACGGGAGCGGGAGCGGGAGCGGGAGTGTCCGCGATGTTTCTTCTTCTCTGGCTTTGGCTTTGGCTCGCTTTTGTGGCCTTTGACTTGGTATGATTTGTATCCCTTCGGTGCCAATGCGTGCTGGTGTGGGGATCGGGAACGCGATCGAGAGTGCGACTTGGATCGGGAGCGGGATCGGGAGCGCGATTTGGAGCGCGATCGGGAGCGTCCACGGTTTTCCTTATACCCTGGTGCTGGATTTGGTTCCGGACCGCGCTTCTTCACTAGGTATGATTTATATCCCTTTGGCGCCGGTGCATAGTGGTGTGGGGGGCGGGGGCGTGAGTGCGAGCGGGATCGTGATCGTGAGTGTGATTTGGAGCGGGAGTGTGATCGTGATCGTGATCGTGATTTAGAGCGGGAGCGCCCACGTCCACGGTGCTCCTTATGCCCAGGCTCTGGATTTGGCTCCGGACCGCGCTTTTTGATTTGGTATGATTTGTATCCCTTTGGCGCCGGTGCATAGTGGTGCGGGGAGCGGGAGCGTGAGTGCGAGTGCGAGCGGGATCGAGACCGAGACTGAGACCGAGACTTGGAGCGGGAGCGTCCGCGCTCCTCCTTATGGCCTCGTTCCTTCTTGTGCTCCGGCTTGTGTTTACCAACCTGGTATGGTTTGTATTCCTTTGGGTGCCCCGAGGGTTGGTATGCCTTTGGCACCCAGTGAGTTGGTGGAGGAGGAGCTTGATACCCGTAGTCTGCCGCAACTGCCTCAGCCTTCGGGGCGGGTTCGGGGGCAGCAAGAGGGATGGCAGTCACGCCTGAAATAGCGCCCAAAGACGCAGTGAGAACGGTAACCTTACGAAGCATGTTGACTGTCTGACTTATTTATTGCGATTTGAAGTTAAATATCAAATTTCGATCTTTAGGAGCGAGTGTGCGGAAACTAGAGTACTAAAATATAATGCTCAAGATTTCTACTAGGATAAAGATGAATATCGCTGCCAATGATAGTGGGAGAGAAAGAGGACCTTATGGGATATCTGCCTTTATTTATGCTTCGGGTTTCTGTAAGTGCGGCCCCGAAATTCATGTTTTAGAAGTTAGCTTAGGCTTAAGATGCGACAATATGCACTTGCACTATTCTATCAAGATTCTCATTGGTACGAAGTATGCATTTCGTTTTGGTGGCCCCCGGCCGCCTAAATGTTTGACGTATACTTAGTATGTATGGAGAAACAAATTATTTTACCACAATCTAGATATGTCAAATAAGATTGATAGGGACCTGGACTGAAATTCCCACTCGATCAATTGTCAATTTGAAACCCTGGAGAATGCGAATGGAAATATCCATTTAAACTTGGCTTGAGGTGTCGTGTGACGGGTCTCTCCTCGTCTTTGACCTAATCAAGGTTATTACCGCATCTGGAAGTGTTGGGGCAACGACCAAAATTACGGGCCTGCAATCTGCACCATACATACATTGTTAAAGCTGTCAAATCACATACATCAAAGTTCGATATATGTACACGATATGTATAAAGCTCAGGTCAACGTTGACGATTGGTATCCTAGAATACTTTTACAAGCCGCTCGTTTGTCGTTGATCCGGAAAATCCCAGCCTTTTCATTGGAGGTTGATCGTTGAAGCCGCGCTTGCGTTTGGCTGAATATTATACTTTAGGCTTGGCGCGGTTTATCCCGACCTCAAACAGCTCTTTGTGAGTACGATTACTTAATATATATTTACGGGTGAATTACTTGGCAGTGACGCTTCCTACGTGAAATTCGAAATATCTAGATCTTACTCAGCCTACGTTCTACAATATCAACTTAAAAATGTTAGTGTATCACGCAAAATATACATAAATATTCTATTGGATTCGGGAAAAAAGAGTTGAAGTTATTTCGTTGACAAGTTTGAGAATTCAGCATGAACCTTCAGCAGATCAGAAACTTCCCCAACATTATTCAAAGAAGCAGAAAATTTAAACCCAACTTGAGTACTGTACCAACATAACCCTCCTATTTGTAATTTCTATGGATTATTAACCTTCCTTACTAAGCTTGAGGTCTATTTTAAGGGTAATCTAAACTTATTCATTGCTTCATGATCTTCAAGCCGTCTATAAGTTCGTATTGCCTTGGTTACCCAGCCGCTCCATGCCTTGGTGCCAAGGGGCGAAAGTCAGTGGGGTTCATTATGCTATCTATTGATGCCACAATAGCACATTCGTAAAGTTGGTGAAGGCGCACATGATTTAGTGCTAAATATATTAACTTTTGAAGTTTTCGTCGACCCAAAGAGAGGAACATAGCCTGTTTTTCATACCCCAGATATCGCGTTGTGGTGTGGTATTTTATATTCTCCGCAAATTAGTAGAATGCCGAGGGAAGCAACGAGCTTACAAGTATGACGCTCTCGCCACATAAGTCTTGTTTAACTAACAATTACTAGCTGCTGAAGTGCCTGAGTACTCATAGATGAATATTATCTTGGAGCTATGAACATTCACACGGTTTCCTTTTGAAGTTACTCTTGTTATAAAATCCCGCTTTTTACATTTTTGATAATTTCAAATATTTTTGGTTGTGTTGGGAGTATGCATATGCGAAGCTAAGGACCAGATTGGATGTTCGCCGTGCCCTGGTAAGACCAACCACAATATCCTTGCTAGACAACGTTAACCCCTCTTATAGCCTGGAGCTACATATTTAGATCCTATGTTCCCTTGTCTTATCCATTTTTTGTTACTTGTTTCGTGCTTACATATGAATAGTTATATTCCAGACTGGAATGAAAGCTATTGTGAATCAACATCCAACTCTTCGGCATTGTGATATCGATGCCACTGAAATGGGCCGGCGAAATTCGCTTTCACAACAAATATCCCCAGACCTGCGAATATAGGATAAAGTTTACCACGAATACCTTCGCGACTAGATTTTACGACTATACCATTCACAGTCCAGAATATGACACCTTCTTTTTGATGATAGCCACAGCCGAAAATATCGCTGTTGCTTGCCTCGGAGAACTTATGTCGCATCTCGTTTTCAGAATCTGGAAGAAAGTCGGTGATGTAAGGATCCCTCGTAAGCCCGATCTCGAATTTTCTGTTGAAATAAAGTCAATAATTAGCTCCAAATAAAAGAGTCAAAGTACTCACCCCCCATTCTCTTCATCGACCGAAATTTGTACTTCGAAGTAGAAATTCTCATCGTATGGAGCGATTGGCTTGTTGGTGTGAATCCTTGCGATTTCTACAAGTGTATGAGTATTAGTAATGGAGTTTCGCAAAAGACCTTCGTATGCTTACTTTTTTCCATTGCATTTACCTCACTCTGCTCCTCTGTCCCGTCTTGACAAACCCGCACGCTGCAAGTAAGACCGTCAGAGGATATCTCAGCACCAGCATGCGACATTTGAACTCCCCATTGTTGAAGCGGTTTGAATATACTTCTCCACTCCTGCAGTCGATTCGAGATCATATGGTCATAATTCGCAACCCGTCCTTGCATCGTCGATTGTTTACCGAAGGCATACGCGAAATCAAGAGCAGTCCAGCCATCTTCAAGCGGTACGAGTGGATCCAGCTCTAGATTTAGGTACGATTCTAGTACTTTGCTGCTTCCGTCAAATATCTGGTCGTATCCACGGCAGTTTGGCGCAAAAGCAAAAGCCCGGAATAACTTTCGATGTGCAATAAACAGCGGGGTGTCGGGTTGCGGGAAGGTTTCAGAACTAACGAACTGCTGTAAGAAACGCGACCCGGCAGCCATGCTTTTCGAATCGGCAGCAAAAGGGCTAGCACCGAAATCAAGAAGGTAGGCGGCATGATTCAGGTATCCACTGTCAATCGCTTTATGGAATGGTGTCATCTGCTGAATCCCTCCCTTCTCTTCCAACAATGTGTTGCTTTCAAGCGGCGTCAGAGCTCCGAGGATATGATCTATCATGTCCCTGCCATTCTCATCGGAGACGGCCCGATGGAGGATAGTCTCTCCGTCGGCATCCTTTTGGCTAAGACCGGTATATACTTCACCATAAACCTTCTTATGTTTCTTCAAGAGTGAATCGACCGCAGCCCATTTTTCGTAATAAATCGCGGTACAGAGAGCATTTCTCCCACTCCACGTGGACAAATACTGGAGGTTAGCTCCCTTCTCGACCAAGAAATCGATAATTTTAAGGTCTTCCGGAGTGCTGGCCTCCGTTGCAATCTTTGTAAGTGCGGTTTCTCCATGCACGTCATCATCATTGACCATAAAATCCACGTTGTGTCCGTAGTCGAGGAGGAGTCTCACTGCGTCGAGGTTTTTGGCGGAAACTGCTTTGTATAGAGGCGTCCTGCTATGTTTATCCTCCGCATTCGGATTTGCACCTTTCTGGAGGAGCTTCTTGGCAAAGGCAAGCTGTAAATTGTTGGGTAGCTTGCATCGTTTTGAGAGGACCGTATGTAGTGCTGTCCTTTGGTTATCATCGCGTAATTCTAAGTCAACAACCATGGTATCAACCCGGCTTAAAGCAAGCTCGAACAAACTTGAATCTCCAATCGCGATAATCCTTTGAAGGGGTAGTTGAGGAGCTTTGGTGAGAGGCATGTTGAGATCAGCCCCATTTTCAATCATATACTTCAGTGACTGTATCAGTTTGTCTCTTTTGTCTTGTCCTTCTGTATCCAATGACTCTGCATGCAGGTCAAAAAATCCGACCTCTCTAAGGCACGTCATAAATGCAGTATTGTCCGCAGAACAAGTGCAATGGCCGTTTATAGCCACTCCTCGCTTGATTACTTCTAGGACGAGCTCTGGGAAACTAAATATGGCTGGGTAATGGAGAATAGTGTGCTTTGCCGGCGTTATGTAGGTTATCTCGTGCTGGAGATCTTCTGCCTTGAGCAGAAAATCTATGAGGACCTCTAGTCCAAAGACACTCCCAGTAATGGCGGGCCTAGAGGCAACAGCGTAGCCCCGGATCATACTAAGGTCGACACCCGTTTGCAACCCGTATTGAAGGGCCCACCGCTTAAATATCTCCGGTTGTAACAACTTTCGAAGGTACTCTCTCATAGTATGCCACTTTTTCGTCGTCCGCTCTTCTGGTGGCCAAAGTTCCCCGACACGGCGCATGTGGTGAGTCCAATGTACAATTTCCCCTCGCCACGGCTCATTCTCCCTAGGCTCTAGAATAGCTTCATCTTCATCAGGGAAATTGGGCAAGTATGCTTGCTGAAATTTTTGATTCGTCAAGACCTGAACTATAGCCGTCGTATACGTGTCAGTCAAATAATTCTTGTGTCATTCGACGTTTAATAGGAGCCTAGTAGGCTGGGTCACCCACGTAAGTAGATTAAAATATCAAGTTCAGTATGTTTTTCGTCTTCAAAATCCGCCTGCGCGTACCTCTCTGCACCGAGTTAGAACGTTCGTGAGCAGCTAGCGCGAACCAAAAAGAGTGCGAAATGCTTACTCGGGATCCGTAATCTTAACACCATATCACCCTTTTCTTTGTCTTCTCTAACGCGGAATAAGTCTCGAATGCTATAGTCCTTCTTTGCAGCCTCTCTAGTTTCTCTCTCGAACCATTCTCGAACCGTTGTATGAATGACATTGATGTTTCTTTTGTCATTCAAAAACTTGAAAAAGTCCCTTCCCGCTACACTCAGATGATTGACGGTAGCAAAAATCTCAGGATTTTGCATAGCACGTTCAAATTGCTCTTCCCTAAAGCTCTTCTCCGAGGCGTCCTTCGGGTGTTCCAATGCATCCTCCGTATTAATTTCGCTTTGTTCTGATTGGCCGTGATTAGGGGCAACATCGATATCGTCGCCGTTTATGCTGCTCTCAGGGCTCTCGTCGCCACAATCATTATAGTCGTCTCCACTCACGCCATCCTCCACTTCCCCTTCCTTCAGGTAAATCTTCTTAAACTGCTCAGCAATTTCAATCGTGTTGAGGACGGAAGGGCTGTACATTATTCTACGGAGCGCGAGCATTACAAGGTTCCTTTCAGCGTCTGTTAGTGAGGCAAGCTGCTGGGAATACAGTTCGTTCATCCCAGTCGGCAAATCACCCAAACGCTCAGCCAACGATAACTCTGACGGTTGTTCAAGGCTCGTTATGACCATCGCGCAATATGTGAACATGCCCTTTGATTTGGAGCGAATCTTTTGGACTAGTGCCTCGATCTCGTTTCGTAGCCGTCCGCTTTTGAGACGTAGACTGACTTTTCCTCCTTTGTCTGGATGATAGGCTCGGGGCATCCGTTGCTTCATGACATGTCGCAGCGACATATTAAGGTATTCAACCATGTCACGCGAGTTCGTCAGCTCGGTAACTGTTAGCATCGTAGTTTCTTCATATGTTCTCTCATGAAAGAAGCTAAGACGAGCAGCATATTCCAAATCATCGGTTGAATCATCATGCTCTAAATCTATCGCCGCAAGCTGTTTTTCCGCCTCCGGATTCTTCCAAAAGTGGCGCTCCATACCTATGTCTGTTCGACTCGAGAGTAGCACTTTTATATTGACCTCTTTCGACCGACTCAACCGAATTAACTCCGGAACGAGATCTGACGTGTCGTAGTTCAAACATTCATCCAAACCGTCAACCACGATATAAACCGTCTTCATTATGATTTTTGCTATCAGCTCAATCTTCGATAAATTACTTAAGAGGCGAGAAAAGTTCCGTTCGGCTTCTTCGCCTTCCTTCTTCTTGACCTGATCTCTCTCAGCTTGGTCACCTTCTTTGTCATTTGAACAATTCTTCTTCTGGGGCTGAAGTCTTTCTAAACTTTGGATTGCTTGGACGAATCTCTCGACTTCTTGATTAGTCTCAATGTTCCTTTCGTCAAATATCTGAGCGAGAAGACTAGATGTAGCTTGCTCCTTGCGTTGTGTTGCATCGAGGCCTTTTTTGAAAAACCAGAAGAGAACTAAAGGTTTGTTATCCTGTTTTGTGGCGGTAGCTCTTTGTGTTTCCAGCCATGCTTGATCTTTTGGCTTAACTATGAATGAAGTGCTCTCATTGATTGGTATTTCCCCTCTTAGTCTCAGCTTCAGTCGTCGTATCGTCAATGCCATCATAACTGACTTCCCAAAACCAGCGAGCCCCTTAACATAAAGGAGCATCTGTGGGACGAGGCCATCTGCAGCCGAAGGGCCGTCCGAACGCTTGCGGGTTTCTAATACCGCCATGTTTGTATTATCCTGTTGGTCCATTGGAACAGGGTTTGGCGGTTCTCGTTCCCACGACTTGTATGCTTCGTTATCGAATAGCCAACTGCACAGATGATCTTTCCCATATCTTAACGACTGCAAGGTGGCGTCGAGCTGAATCTGGTGCGTTTCGTTTGGCTGTAACCTTTTGCGATAGCCTTCGATATAATTACGAAATGCTTTCACGTTTTTTTCATCAACAAGCCTATCTACACCTTCCTTTGCGCTTACGACGGTGGACGATACCACCCCGACCCCGGTTATTAGCTGCACCATGTAAGCGTGCATCGAGTTTTCGATTCTTTTCAACCCTTCAGTCATTGCTGCAAGTTTCATTTGTGGTCAGCATTTCATCAGTTATGTTATCGAGTATATATATACAGGCTAGCCTACTGTCGGTGTTTGTCGATATCAAATCTTGTAAGCGAGATATCTGTTCCTTGTCTTGCCTGCGGATGGCTAGAAATATTGTCAATCAAAATAGCTATATAAACGGTGAGATCCTACATATTCACTATGACTTACCGCGGAGGAATGTCATGACTTTCTCCTGGAAGGCTAGACCTGCCTTCTCTTTAACCGCGCCATAGTGGGTGATCAACTCGTCATACTTTTCTTTTGTCTCCGCGTCGAAGATATTTCGAAAGAATAGTTCTGCAACGGCTCTAAAAGTTAGCAAATCCTCAAGAAGAATTCAACTGATACAGAAAATTGTTAAATGGTGATCATTCGTAACCTACTAATCTTTGTGAATTTCAGTTTTTTCTTGTCTTCCGCTCTCCGAGTGGGAGCTTCGGCCGTAAACTTTTTGGTGGCATGCCAAAAGAATTCGAGACTACCAACCAAAGCTTCCTTAATTGCGGAAAGCAATTGCTCCTGAAGTTGCCGGTCGCCGTCGAACTCTCCTGCTGGGTTTTCAGAGCCGCCATCATCCATGTTTATGAGTTGATTTTCATATAGTCGACAGGTCAGAATGATGGTAATGACAGTGACACAGGTATCTGAGATATTGTCACAATTGTCCATGTCGTGAATGGCGATCTTTCGGCAACAGAATATTCAATTAGCTCTGGTTCGAGACATAGCAGTTATTTGCATTTTTCTACTGGCCATGGGCATATGATATGTGTCCAGAATATAGAGTTGCACGTACTCCAATCAAAGCGCTGAATGTTCCCCAAGCCACGCCAACAATGTCTGGCGCCGCAGATAAAATAGGATCTCCAATGTCTCTAACATCTTGTAGAACTCTAATAAACCCACCGATCTTCCCTTCATATCGTTTCTCAGCCAAACGACGGAGCTTTTGGCATTGGTATAGTGTCCCGTCAAGATTATCCCGAGCCTGCAGAAAATCGTGAATTCGGGCCTGGATCTCATGGACCTTGTCGGTGCCATCGTATTTGGAAAGAAGTTGTTTTTGAAAGATTTCTTTGGCTTGTTTCCAGCATTCCGAGTCTTTTGAAAAGTTGGAATTGGTTTGCGGTCTGCGGGGTGTCCTTGGCCCTGTCAGCGATTCAGGATAAGGACTGCTAGCCCCTGATATTCCCTCTGCCCGAGGCGGGCCTCTCGTATTGATCTGTAATGGCAACGCTGCCACCATTTTTAAACCGAAAATAATTCAAAACCTTGAAGATACCGACATTTACACAGTAGTACTAGAAGAGGGGCCTTGGTAGCGCTAACACGCAGCAACAATTGGCTTAGCTGAGCTTAGGGCTATGGATATCCCACAGCTGCAAAGTATCCGTTGTGCGTGTGGGTCAAAATGAATATCTTCTGTGTTGTTCAACCCCGCACAAGAGCTTGCCATGCGACCACAAACTGGAGGTTCGGACCGACAAGCTACATCGTACTTAATACCACCCTGTAGCCTCAATTTCATTAAGGCCAATCCGAATGCTTAGTATTTTCTTTGCCAATTTCCTCAAAACGCTGTCACACCCAACTGAAACCTTTGGCCTTGCCTATAACTACACTCGAAACTAACTTAGTGGCTTCTTTTTTGTAACTCTAGAAGGACCCTTGCGCCTAGCTAACAGGAATCGGTAATCGGTATCCATTACACGGCTGTATATATATAAATGTACAGCCAGACTGCCAGTAGTTGAGTCCCGTACTATGCCGGCCAGCGGGCACATTATGAGGCAAACCGACAACACAAAATGCGATTCCAACGGTTTCCAAAGGCTCGTCGATCGTCTAGGTACAGCCGCAGGTGTGGGCCATGGCCAGGCCAAGTCGCACAAGATAAAGCCTATTGCTTAATTTAATACCACCGGTTCGGACCGTCCCTGAATGCCCAGATCAAATTGCGAAGTACCGGTATTGAGGATGCCGCTCAGACCTACGGTGGCTCCTGATCAGTCTGATCTGGCGCCATTCCCCCGATTGACTTTCGTCATGACCCTGAGATCTGGTGTAATTGAATGCAAGGCATTGGAACCCACCCGCCTAATCCGTAAATCCAACAGGCAGCAGGAAACAAAATAAGCATCTCTTGGCGAAATAGAATGCAACAGTAAGACCCGGGATTGCCTTGTCACGAACCGAGGTAACTTTCCGCGGTTTAGAAATTCCTGGGTGCTAAGACTTCACAAGATATTCAGGGGGGTGGCCAGCTAGGTGTGGCTACAAGCTGACTATTCAAATTTTCACGAACCAACGAAAATTGACCGTGGGAGCATCCTGAGGAATGCATGTGCTCGTGTATTAGCTAATATCCCGTGGTACACGGTTAGAACATCCCTGATTGGTGTATCCCTTAATTCATGAAGAGAGGTTTAACATTTCTCAGCAATGCGCGTGTTTTTTTTTTTTTCGTTCGATGAAGCCGCATTGTTATATAAAGATTGTATTTCATGGCTTTATTACTGATGTTGGCCTTGCTATCCACAGCAAAATCAATCCTCTAACATCCTGAAGATTCCGTCACAATGAAGTCCTTTTCTCTCTCTCAAGCGGTTTCCATTTTGTCGCTCCTTAACCTAGGAGCTTCGACCCTCCTTCTCGATTTTGATGCTCAAAGAGGTGATAACCCATCAATCTTGGGCCTTCTTAATCTAGAACAAGCCAGAGGTGATTCCATCTCTGCAAATACAAAAGACTTGTATATCAAGCTCGATAAGGACCCGAAGGGAGTCCAAGCAGCCCACGTTCACAGGAAGGCTGGCTACATCAGGGCCGAATATCATTCGCTGAAGGACAAGACTAAGGAGGATACCTCATACTTCATCGGGTACACGTTTTCCCTGGGTACTATCACCCATAACCTCGTTGTTTGGCAATGGTTAGTTCTACCCTTCCATATATTCCTCGCAAATTGAACCTCAAGAACCCGGTGCTGACAAAATTCGCTCCAACTTAGGAAGGAGTACAAAAATGCTGCGGCGCAAAATGTTCCTCTCAACCTCGAGTTCAACAATGATGTTTTGTAAGTCAATTCTCCCAATAAGCTACTACATCGCGCGAGACTCTTTATTTTGCGTATTAATTATTATACTTACCCGTTCCTCCTTTGAATAGGGAATTGATTTACGAGGCACCAGGCACCAATAGCAAGAAGGTTGCCAAATGGGGTAAAAAGCTTCAGACCGGTGTAACTTATCGTGTTGGGATCGTCATCAACACCTCCACGACCGACGGCGCCCTTCAGTTCTACTGGAATGGTGTCCGCCAAACATTAAACGATAACGGGACAGCCACCAAGACACTTAAGGGTGTATTCTGGGCTGGCCAGTCGGATCCTAAGTTTGGTGCTTACAGAGGTGAGGAGACTGTGATTGACACTTACATCTACAAGGTTCAAATCGGAACCAAACTCGACGATATCAGGGATGCAGCTGGAATTGGATCTGACCCAAGCCCATCTACTACTTTGGCTACTGTTACTACCACTGCCAAACCACCAACAACTACCTGCTCGTGGGAAGGTCACTGCATTGGTGCTCCATGCAAAGACGAGAACGACTGTTCGGATGATTTTGTTTGTAAGAGCGGGAGTTGCGCAAAGCCATGAAACTAGTCCGTAGACGAAGCCCTACCTTTTATATTTTATGTTTAAATTATGATAGATTTTTAGTACGCGATTTTGTCATAGCCACCTTCGATGAGTTGCAAATAAAGCAAATGGGGAGAAATTCCATACGTTTGTAGCTGCCCTTGGCCTATACCTTCATGAATCTACCACCCTACCTAACAATATATATATAGAAATCAGTATCTTTTTGATTAACTACAGGAAAATTGGCCTCCTATGTTTATTTTACCCCCGATTTCTGCAATCTGATCAACAAAAATAAAGGACTTTTGTGAAAAGAAATGCAACAAAATGCATGCTCGTAATCAGGATATGAGGTGACTAACTATACACGTGGGTGTAGCGTTTCACATGCACCGTACAAATTGTTTGCATGCGACAACATATCACTCGCAAGGCTACCGTTTTTCTCGATGCTCCAAATTGCAAAACAAGTACTATTGCGTACAAATCTTTGGCCTGAACTTCCCCTCCTTGAACTCTTGCAGCTTCGTCCTTGACCCTGACACAAAACCAGCTTCGTCCCACCCTCTCAACAGGCTTTCGTTTCTAACTAGTTCACTTGCCCATTTTCCAAAATTCGGTAGCGCAAGTAGATTCGCCTTGAAAGATCGCGGAAGTAGTCCGCCGTCACAGAATGCGAAGAGCCGAAGGATGACTGGCGCCGCTACAACCTAAATTCGAGGATACAACTTAGCAGGCTTAAGGCAATGGAATCGAATAATAAATGGGGAGAGGAGACTTTATCGACGTGCGACCAGCTTAAACACTCTCATTTACTGCCGTGTATTTACCTACCTCAGCCATCGTGAATTTTTCCCTCCCTCCAAGGAACGCTCCTCCGCCGTCTTCATCCTGCCTTTTCAACAAGGGATCAATCTCCTTCTCAATAGCTCCTACTACCATATCTTCGACTTCTTTCGCCTCTTTCTCATCCCCAAAGCTTGCCATATATACCTTGTCGAACAATGGCGTAATCTTATTCTCCCAAGCATTAATGAAGAAGAAGATGCTCGTACGAGCCACAGCAGTGACTACCCCGGCTGATGGGGCTGCCGGAAGCAAATGATTCGGAAAAAGGTTCCCGAGGAAATAAATTATGGCGAGACTTTCTGTCAGAATCGTTTCTTTGCCATTGCGGAAATCCGGGGAACTGAATTTGAGTGCCGGGACGGTCCCGCGGGGATTTATGGCCAAGTAATCTGCCGAGCGGGGCACATCAAGATCGACAAAAACTGTGTCAAACGGGAGGGAGAGTTCACGGAGAGTGGTGAGAACCCGGTGGACAAATGGGCACTCGGGATGGTAGTAGAGAGTCAATGAGATATTAGGAGCGGACATCGTTGCCTGACGAAGATTGAATCGCGGTGAGTTTGGCTATATTATTTTAGCTCAGGCTATGTTGATGTTAATTTTCGATATCTCGTAGGATATTAAAGTATCGAAATTTTGTCACACAGAAACCTCTAAAAACTTAGATTCAATGATGTACCATAATATACAGTCTCAGATTTGTAGTATATTACGTCCCTTTCTTCGCAAACTTGAATCTTAAGATGGATAATCTCCCTGTGGTCTTGAGAAGTAGGTAAAAGGTGTTAAATCTGAATTGATCTCACCCTACAGACGTGGTGTATAGCTCAATAATGCTTTAGTTGCAACGAATACGCACATGAATGAAGATATAATCGTTAAAAGTCAAGATTGTAATTATACATCTGAACGATTCCGATCGCGTGTCAATGACTTCGAAGAGATCGCTGTGAATAAAAGGCTATTGGAGGGGGTGGGATCCGGGAGGGGGGGTTCTACCGAATCTGAAGAGAACATTCACTGATGGTGCAGATGTGTAAGATGTTCAATAAAGTACCCTGGAGCATCGTCAGCTTTTGGCTGACATTGGCCCTGAAGTAATTGCTCCGTCATCACCATCGTCTCGAAAGCATCGTATCGAATTCTTTCTTTGATCGGACTAAAACTCACTCTATCTAATTAAGCTTAATTATAGACGGCTTTAGCAAGGGTAACCCGGCATCAACTTCATAGAGCCCCAACACCTCAAATGTAAGCTGTTATCCGTATCCTATAGGCAATCTATACCGCGATACTATAGTAAAATGAAACTGTCGACTATTTATGCCTAGCTCTGCCCCCAATAAATTATTAAGCCTCGGGTACCGTCCCATATCTTTCACAGCGATGAACACTGCTCACTCAGAAAATTTTAGAAAATTCGGTCGGCTAGGCAGTCCGTATAAGAAGGAATTCCAGCCAGCTTGTGGGATGACTTGCATAATGATTGTTTCTGTAAATATTTTTGGAGCGGCTACCGTAGCGTCGCCATTTCTGGGAAACTTAGATTGGGTTAATTAATGGCGAGTGTGTGGTTCCTCAGCTAGCACGGACATGTAGGTGTGAGCTTACTTGGGAAACATATGCTGTGGGGAACTATAGGTCGGACTCATACCAAATAACTGGATGATGGCGCCAGGCAGAGCGGTGCCATTATCATTATTATCAGCGACTACTGCCATCGATTTTGACCGGTGTATGATCAGCGGCCACTTTGGCGTTATTTTCAATAGCAGACTGTGTGGTGCCAGTAGACTGTACGGGTTCGCCTCTGACGGATTTGGCCAAGTCGGCTTCCTTTTTTTGTTTTCGCGCCTCTGGGGTTAAGCTCTGGAAGGATTTTTTTTGGCTATGCCAGAAACCTATAAAAGATCAAGATTCTTAGCTTCTTTTTAACACCATCGTAAAATTTTAAACCTTTAATGTCCTTTAATTTCAACAGTATTTATTACCTAATTTTGAGAGCTCTTTTTTTTTCGGCTTCCAAACGGTCCTTTTCTGCTGTCAAGAAGTCTATTTCCGCCCTCAAACCGCTTGTTTCCATTGTTAAACCCTCTCTTTCTGTTGTCAAATTAATTCTTTCTAGTATCAGATGGTTCTTTCGTAATCTCCGACCATCGTTTTCTATTATCAGAATGTTCCTCTCCGTTTTCAAATAGTTTTTTTCCATCAGCAATTTAGTTATTTCTGTTTCCGACAGTTTCGTCGATGTTTGTATATCTTCGCAACCCTTATCTTCGAGATCTAGTTCGCTGTCCGTTTCTGAGCCTCCTTCCGTTTCAGATTTTTGCCAACGGTACGTCATTGTGTATATATCGTTCTTGTTGCAAATCTGTTTATTCTTACTTTTTTCCTGTATGTGTTGTTTGTGTTATTTGTGATCGTGCCTGGTATGATATCTATGATACCATATGGCCATGGACTTGTCAAGATTTCAGTTAGAGTTGGCTGACCCTGGGTTCGAGGGTCACTGCCGAGCCTTTTATCCTTGAAATCCTCTTAGGCCGTTCTAAGTTTTTTGATGTCGTGATAGTTATGCTTTTGGGTTCATAACCTCTTGTGAGCTGGGATCCGGGCCGTGGTGGTTGTAATAATTAATATTCTCGAGGATGTAAACTCAGTCTCCCACTCCCCACTTACATACAGGCAGGCACAACACATCTATCTTCCCTCGACAGGAGCGATACTCCTCATGCACGCGCACGATGCGATTCCTACCTATATTATTTCCGAGAAAGCCCCCCATACTTGTAACTCTTTGCCGTCTGATTGTTAATTAGTGATGTTATTGAATTGAACAGGAACCACGTGAGGGCACGTGGTGGGTTACATAATATGACCGTTGGGTCACATGCTAGTCACGTGGCATGATTATGTAACAATGATTCTCTGTCTGTTCCCCAGAATTTGTCTGATGCTTGCAGTGGCTTTTTCTGACGCCTAGCTTCTCCAAGCCTGAGCTCTTCCAGTCTGCTCTTTTCTCAGTTTTCGCCCTTCTGAGGTTAAGCTCCAGAAGGATTTTTTTTGGTGGTGCCAGAAGCCTATATAGGATGAAAATTCTTAGTAAGTCACCAATTCCTCTCGGATATTCTCACAAAATTGGGGGAAATGTTTGCTTATTATAACCCTTCATTAAACTCTTGTAATTCTTCAAGTTGAAAATAGATATTACCTATTAATGCGAATTCTCTTTTTTTGGTCTCGAGTAGATTTCTTTCTGCTTTCAAAAGATCTACTTCTCGTATCAAAGAATCTCGTTCGATTGTTAGATCGATTGTTTCTGTCTCCAACTCATCTGCTTCCATTATTAGTTTGATCCTCTCCGCTTTTAAATTGTCTATTTCTATTATTAAATCATTGATTTCTGTTTCTGAGAGTTCGATTGATGCTTGCTGCTCTTTGCTGAGTTCTGGAATCTGAATGGTCTTCACAGTACCGAAAAGCGCTAAGCATGAAGGATCTGAGGTCGTAAACAGAAGATGCCCTCTTAGTCCCTGCGGCAATAGATTTTCGAAAGTCAAATATGCAGCTGTCTGATATTGTAAGCCATCAAAGACGATCAGCCATTCGCCGCTGAACGTCCAAGCGAGGTGGTTTATAAGATGCCTAATCAGATCGGAGCCGGAGCCGGTCCAATCTAGGCTGACACCAAGCGTCCGTGCTATGATTTCATATGAACGATCAATCTTAGAGTTAAGGCTCGCATCCACCCAAAATATAGAACGGTTTTCAGACTGCTCCCACATCCTATCCACGAACATCTTGGCAATTGCAGTTTTCCCGACCCCCTTTGGGCCGACGAGTGCAAGCCTTGACTGTTTGCCACGGATAGAGTCTTGTTGAGAGCAAATGAAAAGACTCTCAACTTCATCGAGTATCTCGTCGCGGGGAGTAGGGCTCCAAACTAAAGGCGGCACTGAAACATGTGTCGGGCTGTTTTGGACTAGTTTTGTCAGCCAAATATGGTTGTAGCAGTTGGGGCAGCAAGTATAACCCTTGAGTATGATGTATATAAGGGAACCTTACTATAATTAACAAATGGTAAAGTTAAGTCCATCCCCGTAATTGAATTTAATTCCCTTATTGCTTCAGGGATCCCATCGAGCATACTAGAAACACACTCCATGCCGTTAACATCATGAAGGTCACTATTTAAGTCATCGAGGGTCGTTTTCAGCCTATATGACCTAAGTTGCCAAATCTCGGTCAGGGCCTTATTTGCATCCGGCGGCAAATGCTTTAAGGTGGGTGGAGGATATCTATCTACATAGGGGTGTAGATTCAAAACTCTCTTCAAGGAGCTTTCGAGCTCTTCCAAAGCTACCATCGGCCACTCCTGATCCATAGCTACGCCAATATGGTCCGATTGCGTGTGTGAGAGCAATCCAGATGCCTGGGACGTGGTAATCTGATTATCGCCTTTCTGCTTTACGTCCTCAGGGAGAGCTCTGAGGGAAAATTCGTGTAAATGTTGCAATATGTGGTTGTCAACTTTTGTATCCGCAGAGTCGGTGGTAAACTCACAAAGGGGACAAGATAACGGTCCTATCGTCAGCTCCTTATTTAGTTCAGCTAAAGTATCCCTTTGATTAGACGGAACGATTTCGCCATGGTTTGCTGCCATATGCAAGTCCCATTCCTGAGCAGTATCAAACCAGTTTGGCTCAGTGTCAGAGAGTCCATTGATCCCCTTACTATAAACGCAGTAGCTACAGGTCCAGCGCGCTGTTGAGTGTTTCTCGAGCATGTGTGTAAGCAGGCGTTCGGCAGTTGTATACATTTCATCAGGGGTATCGCAGCCGTCTATTATACACGAATATGGGATTATATCTTGGACGACATGTAATCTGTATGGCAACATGGTGAGCGGGTTAGATTTCGGAGAAAATCATATGCATACTGGCCACCCTACCTCCAATTATCCTGGCGCTTAGGATCCGAGAATTCTGATGGCAGGAAGTCGTCACAGTATGGGCACCTTAATGATCCATCTAATCGGGGGTCTGGACAATGAGGATAGGACTGTGAAGCCCCTATCTTTGTCATCTTAGTGACCGCTGATGTAGACTTTGTTGCCAGAATTCCTTTGATATCGAACTTGGAGCCAATCTCTGTGGCAGTAACAGCAGCCGTGAAAACACCCGAGGGAGCAAGTTTCCTTGGGGGTTGATGTAATGGGCGGGAGGTAGTAGTACTACGTATGGGCTGATAGGAACATGGTTTGGAATCGACAGTTGGCTCTTCCGTGGGTTTCCTCATCATTATTGGTCCTGATTCCGTCTGCTGTGTATCAGCATTCTGATGGGGTTTTGAACCCCGAGATCTTTTCACAAATTCAATTCGATGCTTGCGGAGGATATTGAGATGGATTAGCCGTTTTTGGGCCTTAGTAAGCCTACTAGAGTCAAAAACTCTTTGCGCCTTTTCAACCGCAGTGAGATTTTTGGAGTCATCGTCTTCAAACCCTCTCAGAATGATAGCGGTTAGATGTTGTCGAAATTCATCATAATCCTTCTCATCCAAGGCGGCATCCGCTTTCTCAAACCGATATCTGTTTCCAGACTTTCGAATGGCAACAGAGATCCTTGCAAGCTGACTCAGGATTGTCTTGATATAAGAGATATTCTCTGAGAGAACTGGGTTTGAAACGTCGCCGCCACCAGAGAGGGAACTTGTGCCACTAGACTCATCCGACATAGCTTCCCATGATTCAATACTTTGCGGGCTATCCGGACGCGAGTCTTCTGGGGCGTTCTCCCCCTCAGTGCCTGTGAGCCAATGCCGAAATCAGTAGTGCTTTACGATCAGAACTGAAGCCGGATATACCGCTGTTCTGAACGCACCTATTAATAACCGCTGGCACTTCTGCAGCGAGTTTATCAAGCCTCGTATTAGGTCACATATATCTTCTCGCACATCTGGCTTTTCCCTAAGACGATAATCTAGAGATGACTTGTTGGAACTAGTTGCCTTAATGCCAAGACACCAAAGGTTAAAATCGCCTTGCGCAGACCTGACCCAAGCCTCTTCCCCCATGCCGGGTGTTGAAATGCAGCCCGCGAAGATTGTTTTGCATTCGCTCGCGATCCGGGAAATATTGGTGCTTTCGTCCATGTTGTCATATGGGTTTCGCCCCAACTCTCGTGGTATTTGGTTTTCCCGTACGCTTATAAACTCGTAGAGCGAATAATTGTAGATGAAGCAGCACCGCACCGAACGGCCATCGAGGGCTTGGATCCTAGCTTAAGCTTAGACGACGTAAGTTTGCGTGGCTGCCGCTCAAAGAGCCCCGCCTCTCAATCAAAATGTAATAGTGAATGGTAAATATATACCCATACAAACATTGCCCGAGGTGCCAAGAATACCTTCAAAGGCGCACAGACTAGACGCAGCGGGAATCAGAATTTGAAGATTGAACTAGTTTCTTTTGAAACTACATTCGGGATCCGATGTTGGCGAATGGTTGGGTTTAGATCAGTTAAACTCAAGGTCGCTAAAATTTCTGGGAGAGGGGCAGCTGCAGATGCTGGATGCATATGTCTGTTGTCAACAGCCTTCTATTTCGGTCTTGGCAGAGCCTTTCCTCGAGCTATACGAGAGGGGCGGTCCAAACCCTTCAATCGCCCAATTGCTCAAGCCGACTCCAAAACGATAAGACTAAGGACAGCGTCGTGACCGAGCGTCAAAACGTACTCCGATTCGACTCAAGTATATGGCACCTCTTATCCGGCAAGCACAGAGGGGGTCCTCAACTCGGTCAGGTGCAACAACCCCAAGGCCACGATCGTCGCGACCGGCTACTCCCAGCCATAGTCTCCCAGCCGACCAGGATCTCGTATTAGACAAAAATACTATAGTTACCTTTGCTACCAGAGCGGTGGTGGTACTCAGCGAAGAATGCAATTCTCTGAAAAGGCAATTTCAGTATGACAGTTTCTTAATCTCGCTCTCCCTAACACTGTCGCATGTGAAGGAGCGGCTGGATGCGGCAGATTCTCCGACTGGTTCGAGGATTTTACGACTTCTCATCGATCTCGAAAGACTGGCGAAGGCAAATATACTCAAATACAATAAATAGGTCGTGTTCAGTTTAGTGACAAGTGGCGTTAATATACAGTGGCCGACTTTCAAGAAGCCAAAAGTCCCTGATAGCCAAATATATCACCACCGCTTCATTCTCGCATTAAACGAAAACCCACAGCATGCGCGGGATTCCATTAAACGCCTAGCTAAGTCTCTGAGCAACGACGCAAGCGAGGACCGAAAGAAGTTCTTAAAAACGTTTAAAGCATTCGCTAACACTAAGAGTGAACCGCTTGAACCTGAATTTTCAGATCTCACCGCATCGAACCCGAGGCTAGCGTCGAATGATGAGACTACCGAGTGCCTCCAGTGCCTTTACTCAATGCTTTGCCAGACCTGCCGTTGCTCCGTTTCCATTAGTAACAGCCATTTCAAAGTAAACGTCGCTCCGGATATTGTGACGGCTCCAGCAGGCTCAGATGGTGTCTTGATTGAACTGTTTTTCCAACACCAACACATTAATAATAACGAAGAGAATGAATGGAAGGAGGCTCAAATACGGGTATTTCTTGAGAGGTATGTCTTCCATTTGAATGCATATGACGAGCTAATAGCTGACAAGTCATACACTCCGGTCCTCGAGAGATTGGCACTCCAAGTCTCTCGCATTGTACAGCTGGTTTCAATCGGATGGACCGCTGTCTATAGCCCCCCACATCGGGTATCATTACACAAATACCTGCAGGGCAGGCATCTTGGAGTGACAGTCTTTAAAGGACTATAGTGTGATTAGATCCGACGTTGACATCTCTACTAAGAAATATAAGTCCCTAGGATTTGCGAGAAGTGGGGACAAGATCCGAGACTTTTGTGGTCTTATTCGATCGCGAGAACTGGGCCGGTTGAATCTCAGTGTCTCCAGTCGCGGCTTTTTCGACGATGGTCTCGAATTAGCACCTAGTAAAAGAGACCTCTCCCTCCGGACTCCGAGTATATCCCTTGCAGATGTCCTAGCATCAACTAGTCTGAGGAGTGACAACCAACGCAAACTACTTCTTTCTTACCTCCTTTCGAAAGCAGTCTGGCAGTTCTATGATTCGGATTGGATGGCTGAAGCCTGGACGAAGCATAATGTACACTTCATGCGACAATGCCTTGACAGGATGCAACAAAAGGTCCGGTTATATCATAAACCGTTTATCTCGGCTGATTTAGGAGTCTCCACGGCGCCGTCGAATTATTTATCCCCTAAAAGGTCTCACATTTTCCCCGAAATCCTAGCTCTAGGGGTCATGCTCCTAGAGATAGAACTGGGTCAAAATATCGAAGACCATTACTCAGACGACTTCCTCGATGCGGATGGCAAACCGCGCGAGAATGCGGACCATATAACTGCTGGTATCATCATTAACTCTGAAAAATGGGGAAGTCGGTCGGCAACCTACCAAGCTGTAAAAAAGGTGATAGAAATCTGTGTAAAGCCCGATAAATGCAAACTAGGAGTTGATCCCACTCGAGTACGGGATAACTTGTACCAATCCGTCGTTGCCCCGCTGAAGAATTTATTTACATTGTCATGGGCTTGCCCCGACGGAAATCCCGAAAACTTTGACCCAGGGCCGATTGATCTTACACTCTTCGATGGGCTTGCCGACAACGACACCTTCGAACCAGACATACCGAATAGCAGCCAAGCTACCACGGCTGGACCCCTACCCCCAGGATTAAATTATTTCTCACGATGCTCCACTCCAGGCAGACGAAACCACCTAAGCTCAGGTGGACAATGCAGATACAAGGATGCTGCACAAAAGGTGCTCGGTTCTCCTAGTGTTGACGGAAATGGGGGGTATAGATACACCATCGGATGGATTTGCGCGATTCCAATCGAACTTGCTGCTGCGACTGCTTTCTTAGATGAATTACACGAAACACCTCCAATGAGTCCTTTAGAAAATGATATTTACAAGTTTGGTCGGATCGGGAATCATAGCGTTGTTGTTGCGTGCCTACCTGCCGGGAGTTATGGAAATATTTCGGCGGCGGCAGTTGGGACCAGAATGAAAGCTCGATTTCCGGCTCTGAGGTTCGGTTTGATGGTCGGCATAGGAGGCGGGATACCCCGTGACGAACTTGGAGTAGCTGACTCTTCTACCGACCTCCACCTGGGCGACGTCGTTGTCGGCACTCCAACGGGGAGTTCTGGTGGTACATTTCAATACGACTTCGGAAAAACGGTAGAAGGAGGGGCATTTATTCACACTGGGTCGCTGAGAAAACCTCCTGACATACTGCTTAGCGCTGTGTCAAGCATACAAGCAAAGCACCCAAGGGCTCTGAGAGACATTTTAAACAAGCATGTCCTAAACGCTCAAAAAGCAGACGATAGACTCAGTCACCCGGGACAGGGAAACGACTATCTTTTCAATGCTGATTACGAGCATATCAAAGATAACATATCCTGCAAGTTATGCGATACGAGCAAGCTGGTTAGTCGCCCACCGAGAAAAGATAACAACTCTTATGTGCATTATGGCGTCATAGCATCCGGCGGTCAAGTAGTACGGCACGGACCTACGAGGGACAAAATAAGCCGTGAATGCCGTGCTTTATGTTTCGAGATGGAGGCGGCGGGCTTAATGAATATCATCCCTTGTTTAGTCGTTCGAGGAATATCTGACTATTCGGATAGTCACAAAAACGATCTGTGGCAGGGCTATGCGGCGGCCTCTGCGGCGGCATTTGCGAAGGAGCTTCTACTTGAAATACCCCCTATCTCGGCTTAGACCCAACTGAGTTCTAAGATAGGATACGAATAGCATCCATAGAGTTGGATTATCTTAGTACTCTGTACAAATCTACCAGTTTTGTAATACAGCATTCCACCTACCATCGGCCGCGCCGGAGCAGATATGTTTATCATAGGCGGATCAATAACACATTACATTTTGAGGTAGCATAAGAATATCAACTGGTCTCATAAACCAGAAAACACGAGACCCACGTATCAACACCAAGATCCACAATTGTACAAAATCACTCAAATCAGCTAATTAATTAGCCTAAACAGCCAGAAGGAAATAAGAATGAACTAAAGTGATTCTTAACTGTGCACTTCCTATCGAAGGTTATCGATCTATGCCTATTTAAATTCCGTGCATGCATTGTGAAGACTTTGAGCTAGATGCAACCAGCGAAACCTCAAAAGCATGGTGTTGCGTTGTATTTTATTTAACCATTTTGTGCTGAGAAACTTCGTGTAACCAAACCACGCGACAATTTAATTGACATAACACACACGATACAATCGATATCATAATTGCGCATATTGCATAAGGTTCTTGAGCTTGATTATGCCTGATATTCTGTTCTGTTACTAGAAGGGGTTGGTCCATGATTGGACCTAGCGCTAGCAATTATGCCGACTAATTAATTAAGGACACGGAAGAAAGAGTATCCAGACAGTGATGTAACAAAACGGCGCCTGTTTAAATAGCTAAGCTAAGATATGTCGATATATCGATCGATATGTGGATTTAAGGATTGGGACATGTGCTAGAGTGCACTTTGACACCAAAGACCCCAAATCTCTGACTGAGAATATACACGTATATTAGCAAATATAAATCATGTGAAAAATGATTACCGATATGTATCGGTAAAGTGGGGTGGGAACTCACAACTTGAGGAACCTGGCAGCAGAGGGCAAGTTGAGTTCCAGGACATGCTGTCGTTCCACTAGGCGCACCTGCATTGCGAAGATATAGCTAAGTTTAGTATATATATATATATCTAATCAACGGCTGATGATATAGGCCGGTAGGCCTGGGGTATAACTAACAAAGGAAACCGTTCAAGGTGTTAGCCGGCAAGGAATAGCCCACAGTTGCAGATAGCGCCTGGACAGCAGGGAACCCGCCGCTAAGAGCCGCAGTACAACACAGTAGTTCGCCTCTATTGATAGATAGACATTGGTTGCTGGGATACTGAGTTTTAATTGCGTCGGGGGCTTCGGCCGCTAAAAGACTCTTAATTATTGGGAGAATGAAGAGGCCTGAGACCTGCGTGAGGAGCAGGAAGAAGCAGACGAGAACGTGACGAATGGAGAGCATTTTGATAGAGTTTGAACGTGCTCGTAGCGCGTGTGCGAAGCGTATAAGTGAAGCTATCTGATTTGCTTGTAAGGTGGTTGTAGCGATCGTACGAGGCTGATCTAGCTGGAGAGTTGAAGGGTTGATCAATTGCATTTGAAATCAGTCCTGAACTCGTGGAGACCAGGTGTTTATATAACCCCATACCCCCCGAGCCAAGCTCAGCCAGCAGAGCGGGAGAAACCAGCCTCAGACCTCGCCAACGCAAGCCTAATATCATTTTCGACAATCGATCGCCAAAAATTCAGGGGAACGAGACTTGTTCTAGCTCTATTATTGGTCAGGTTGATAAGATAGTGGAGGCAGCGCCGCGGCGCAAGATTCGAGCCGATTTTAATGGTAGAACCCGAGATTGGATCGAGGTCCGTGCGCAACCATCTCTCCGTTCCCACTAGCCGTTTTTTCCTTTGACGTAACTTTCCAGTTACATAACTGCGAGACGTTGCTGATCAAAAAACGGTCTGAAAAACGGTTCTCGGCTCACTTGACTCAGCCCTTAAATGTATGAGTTGTTTGTTGGTAAAGTTGTTACATGGCCATGGTTCCAAACTACCCTTAACGGGCGGGAAGGTGCCCGCCAAGGAGGGGTATTCTTTCACTAGTTATCTAGCCGGACGCCGCGCTGGTAGATAGCGTATCTTCTCACGGATCTACATTTCTTAGGCAGACAGTCGTTAAGGCAGCCATAGCTTAGAGTACTTTCGATTGATTGACTGGCCAATATTTTCATTATATTGGCCATACCCAATGCTTCATAGCCTCAGTACTTGCAACTATATATACTCGTAAATATACTAATCATCGTGATCAGAGAATTCACGCATAGGTGATGCAGCGCATCCTCGCCGCGCCCCATCTATATTAGAGTCGAGAGCCCAGGATTTGAATATGCAGGCGCTCATGCTCAAAGCCACGGCACTTTCCAACATTCCAACGTACCCGATATGGCGCTGTGATGCATCGATATAATGTGATACATCTTGCGTGCATACATATATACCCAGTCTAGTCTAGACACCATAGGCCCTCATCTTCATTCGCGCTTCCATGGAAGGGCGCCAACCAAAATGTTGGGGTTGGGCAGACTACACCCAACGCTTCCAAAAAATTGCCGTTTTTGGTATACGTATTGAGAATCACAGGTGCATAGATAGCTGTTGTCTGTCATATGGGATCCATGGATCAATGGCCATGGCGCATATGGCCAGGCCAGGTGACGTTCCCCTTGGCATCGGGCTATACACTTGAAAGGCTGGTAATCAGTAATGCGCGAGAGAGCTCTAACTGTGGCCATCTCTAATATACATATATCGCTCTCGAAAATCGAAGAGGTATCTATACCAGGCCAAGCCGAGCCTGTATTGGCCGAGCAGCCGAGGACAATTATCGGCTTGAATCCAAACAACACATCATTTTCGAGCCATTGTTGCAACTAGAGACTCGCGCTCCCAGGCCTACAAGACAGTACCACCAGTCACTGGGTCCCAGGTCATAGTCTTCTTAAAACTCCAAGTTTGATGGTCAATCGAATGATTTAAAAACCCTGATGGCGGCGATGAGTCAAGCTTATCGGCCTATGAAAGCTTTATCCAACCTCAATCTCGCATCTTCGGTCTAGTATTTTGTTATCACATGCACCGCCCTGGCCTATTACATTGCGAGCTTTGGTTCTAGGTCCATTTCCGGACCCCTCAATCGAATATAGAATATTTCTCACATGCACACCCACCAAGTGAATCCAACTTATCCCTTGATCATGAGCGAGTATGCAATCGATATTATTGGTTACAAAAATCTCAAATGTTCACATATCGCGGTTATTATCTGTAGATATGTACATGCATGCAGCCCTCCCTTCTAACTTATATACACCAACTTCCAACTTCCAACCCCTCGCTCGAGGCCTCGATTGATTTTTCAAAATATGATTTTTGCCAAACCCTCCTCTAAAATGTGATAGTCAAGTTAACAGCATTAGATCCAGCCGCATGACCATCACGGGGGAAAAACTCCCAAGTCAAGATAGCGCTATTGACCCCTGCGGGTTTATTATTCCTAAGGTAATCGGATCCTGAAAGCCAAAGTGCAATGTTATTGGCCTCATAACCCCAGTTTCCGAATGTCCATCTAGCTTGTTGCAATTGTGGAAGCCAGACGGTCCAGTCGTCGCTAACGTAGACACCATTGTCCCATACGGCTCTCACGGCTGCGACTCTATTATATCCATTCCAAGTAATTGGAATCCTATAATCGTAGGTCGGAGCAGTGAGAGTAGTTTCAGCGATAACGGGGACGTCCCAGTGGACGATTGTCAAAGTCAAGAATGCACCGCTAGAAAAGGTCAAAGTTAATACGTCCTTAACACCAGGAGCGCTGTTGGCGGTATAAAGAGTGGACAAGTAGGTATCTGGTAGAGTAAGAACACCGCCCGAGAAGGAGTATTGCGAAGATGTGAGGGTCGTTCCTGCCTTGTTCTTGACGGAAACCAATGTTTTTGATCCAACGTTCTCATAGGTGGCGGTTTGAGTTGTAACTGGTGTGCCGACTTTGTGGAAGATAAATGCAGAGGACAATTGAGGTACCGAACCATCAAGAGTGCTGACTGCCAAGGCGTTCGAAGCTCCGTTGGCAGCATTTATCAAGATACTTTGACCGGCAGGGTCATACCATGTCAAACTGGTTCGGTTAAAGAGATCCTCTCCGTTATCCCATGTAACAATTGAAAACTTGTACTTGTTAGCAGTTTGGACGAGGAAATCAAGGTATCTCCAGCCAGCCGCAGGTTCAAGTGTAGCGGGACTGCCGCCAAACTCTCCAATAACAACTGGAACGTCAGAAAAGTTTCCGCGGAAGTACTTGAAGTCGTTTTCCAACGAGGCCTTCTCGTCTGCTGATCCCCAAGTAGACTTGCCCCAGGCGCGGAAAACAAAGTCATAGGGAGAGTAGTAGTGGAATTGAATACCCCATGGTTGATTCGGGTAGAGAGATCCACGTTTGAAGTAGCTGATAGTCTTGTAGCTGTCCATGTAAAGACCGCACAAAGTCACAACTCTCTGAGGGTTGAAGCCACCAGCCTGGTTAATTTTAGTCAAGAAAATGTCATTGAGTTTATTTAACTCAACTCCATCCTCAGCAGTGGAGCCTGGAGGCTCGTTAATTGGCTCGAAGAGGAGTCTCTCGCCCTTGCACTTGAATCGATCACCAATTTGTGCCCACAAAGCACCAAACTTTTCTTCAACCGGTGCATTACCATTCTTTGTATAATCAAACCAATCCCAGGAGTCGTGGTGGACGTTCAAAATAGCATAGAGACCCTTGCTAAGAACCATATCTACAACTTCTTCAACACGATTCATCCAAACAGGGTCAACAGTCCAGGTTGGGCTGCTTCCGGAAAAGTGGTGGGTCCAGGTAACCGGGATGCGGATGGACTTGTACCCGCTAGCCTTGATAGCGTCAATGACTGTTCCAGTGATGGGAGGGTTGTTCCAGGAACCCTCGTTCGGAACGGCATCAAGCGTATTACCGATGTTCCACCCTGGATGAAGGGCAGCAATAGCGGCAGAGGCAGAGATAGGGGTGAACGTAGCGGTACCACAAACCGCAGAAGAAGTTGGAACACGGCTTGTCGTTGTGGGCGAAGTTGTAGTCGAGCTTCGAGTGGTTGTAGTACTCGAGAGTGGTGTGGTCGTGGTTGTCGGCCTGGTGGTAGTCGTCGAAGAGCGGGTCGACGAGCTTGAGGTTCTCGTAGCAGTACTAGTAGCCAATGTCGTAGACCGGGCAGTAGTCGTAGTACTGGTAGTAGCAGTGCTTGATCCAGTCCCCTCTAAGCATTGGGAGTAGTCTTAACATTCAAAAAAATTATTAGAAACCCATTGTGCCTGATCGTATAAATTCAAAAGGAGCCAGCCAAAGCATTTTCAATATACTTACATGGATTCCAGGCATAACAATATGTCCCCGAGACACAAGTCGTAGCTCCTGTCCATCCAATACCACCGCCTATCATAAATTAACTCATCATGTCAGTGCTTCGTCCATATATAAATTCGGTCTAGCATACTATGCATTTATGTTATATCGGGATGTTCCATACATTGACCCCACAATTGGGCCTGTGCGTTCGCTGTCGCCGCTAAAAGCGCAACTGCTGTCAAACGGTACAACATCGTGATAAAGGTTTGTAGGGGCCTGAGCACCTTGGTTGCAAATTACTGACTATAGAAATCCTTATCATATTGACGACAATCGAGTCTTTTTATATTTTTGTCTCTTCTTCGCAGGACTTAAAAAGTAATTAGTATATATTGTCCGAATGTCCCTATACGCGTCTATACGACGGGAGTACGGTCCTACGAAGAGATCGCGCCTTCAATCTGAAGCTATTCAGACCACGGCAAGGACCGGGGTACATTCATCCAATCTTCAAAGATTATCAAACCATGGCTTAAAAACCTCTTAGATTCGTCGGGGTTTCTTCCAAAACTGGAACGTCTGGCTGAATCTGCCGGCAGAGAACACAGGGAAACCGACAGAAGTCCGGAATATTCCCCTGCCCGCTACCGGCTTTTGGAGCTAGCGTCCCGACGGAATACGCCATGGGTCCCAGGCGTTCCCTTGGTTCGATGGTGCCCTTGCAGCTGTTAGCACCGTTACAGGCTCTTGGAATTGGATCAACTCGGATTAATGGGCCTAGTGTGCAAACAGACATGCATTGAATTCTCGACTGAGTTATTAAGATATTCGTCTAGACTTCGGTTCAATCAAACGACCCGCTCGGTTCTTCACCTCGTCCCATCCTTGGTTCCTTCGTGGCGAGGAAGATCAAAGACGCCAAGATAGTAACTACATATGCGTATACAGCGCTCTAGCGGAGAAGTTTCCCCGCATCCGTGAGAAACCCACAACACAATATCAGCCACATCGAGCGCATTGGGTATGCACCGTCGGTGAGGATTGGGTCCGAGGCTAGTGTACTCCAATGGACTATTCAAGACTGGAAAATTCTAAACTATGGCACTATTGATCACAATCTACATATAACTGAATCTAGAACGGCGGGATTCAATCCGAAAGGCCCACCAATTCAAAACTATCACGGCACTCGGTGTCGAAATTGCGCAGCCGACTCGGCATAAAATCTTCACTTGCAAGCTTGGGCTTGGCCAGCAACCAGTTGAAATTAACCCGAATTTCTTCAACATGCATAACATATCAATTGGAAAGAACAGGAGACAAAATATAACATACACATTACATGCGGACGATTCTTTCTTTATCTACATAGATAGCCCATCAAGGATTTGTACCAAACCCGACTGGCAGCTTCAGATTCATCAGCCGTTTTATCAACCTCTCTTGGAATTCGTCGTGCTCGTCCAACGCTCGCTTGCTGAGATTAGCCGGCCGCATATCATAATGTGCATGCGGCCCGAAACTCTCGAACAACATCTCTTTCGTAAATCTACTATCGTAATAATGGATAACCCCTATGACTACTGTTAGTTTTGTTCCGAGAAAAACGGGAAGGTAAAACTTACTCTCAGCTCCCCATGTTGTCGGATCATCTCTCTTAAATGGTCGGTAAGCAGATCTCTTATCAACCTCCGGAACATCTGGATCAGGGTCATTTTTGAAGTTGATATAGCACCCATGGAACGGAATTTGGTACACGTTCTGGTTCTTACGAGACGTCTTTATGGCGCCTGGGGTATCCAAATAATCCAAACAAACACCATTTGTGTTTCCGAATGTTTGATTCGGATTGCCCCAGTTATTCATACCGCCAACGATTCGACCCCAGTCCACACCGGTTGTGACAATCACTGCGGTCTTCATTCTCCAACTTTCAATCTCACCAATCCACCCAGTACTACCGGGGGGGTATGATAGCACAACATTGTACTGGATGTTATCGAACTTGCTGTTTCTGGCCAGGTTCGCCCATCTCTCGTTCTTGTATTTCATATTTGATACGATTGTGTTCAAGGTTCCTTGCATGTTCTGCTGGCCGACACTGACGCAGGCAGTTGTCTATTTCATTCGTTTCTCGTCAGCATCTATATACTCTGAATTATATTGACTGGGGAGCCAATTCTGGAGCTGACTTACTGCACCAACGCCACCTTCCCTAGCACTGTTATATGGGAACTCATCACACGAGGTCCATGTTGCTTCCTATCCCACCTGTTAGCTACACCCTCACCTATGCCCTAAAGAAGAAATATTAGGGTATGAGCTTACATTCTTGGCTGTATCAAACTTATCGCCATCCCATTTGTCTGAGTTGTAAGTCGAGCATGTTTTACGATTAGGGACGGGGGCATTATCTCCGCAAGCGTCACCACGGTTTCCAGTGCTACCGCTATAGGTTAAAACGGCAGTATTGGGACCCGTTCGGAACCTAGTCGGATTACCAGCAGACTTTGATCGAATTCCGTTCTTAATGTTTTCGCAGATTCCAATCACCGTGTACCCACCAGCTTTAGTATGTTTGTTGGTCGGGTTGAAATTGTAAGATCCGAACATATTGCAGTTGTAGAATTGGGTAGGCCTGTTGTAACAGAGAACATCGCTCTGTCGAGGTTGCAGACTTCGCTCAAATACTACGCTTTCGGATGGACTGAATCCGTCGATAAACCCGATGGCGGAGTCAAGGTCACGTCTTTTAAGTCCATCGTCGCAAGCATTCGATGGTTCGTCGTCATTTTCGCCGTTTGGACACTCAAACAACCCGCCGAATACAGGCCTAGTCTCACCACTAGTTCCGGTTCTGTCATTTCGAGGGAGTAAAGCCTTTGGAATTTCCAAGTCTCTCTTGTCTTGTTGGCTTCCATATGTCAGACATTTCTTCGGGAGGAGGCCGATTGGAGATGATGGAGTCGCCAAATCGATGCTTCCGCCCCAGTCAAATGTGCCCGAGAGTACACTAGTCTTGTTAGTATTATGAATATCCAGACCTTCGAGAGAAGTGGTACTTACGAGACTTCGGCTTCCACAAATACTCGGTATATGTAATCCGCCCAGATGCAGAAAGCTGCTCCAGCACCACCTGAAACGGCATCAGCAGATCCAGCAGCAGACACTCCCAAATCAATAGTGTTATCAACCCCAAGAATCACGTCTCCCTTCATTAGTTTGCCACCAAGTGCCTCAATACCGAAGGAAAGGCTGGGTGTGACGGTCAAAGAAATATGACCTTCAGCCTTCACTTCAGCTTTAAGGGTCTGGTCAACCGAGAAGATTTGATGATTATCTTTGTTGAGCTTGGTGGGGTTCCTGCTTCCTCCTTTCCCGTCGCTATTCTGTGGAAATGCTATCTCAAATGCATTGAATCCAACAGCAAAACCAGCGACAGCCTTACCAGATATGCTCAGAGACGTATCGATTCTTGCGTTAACGTTCAACTCGGGTCCAATACGTATCAAACCCTTGATGCTAAGACCTGGCCACGTGACTCCATTGACAATCTTATAGTTCCCACTGGTCGATTGGATACTTCCAGATCCTTGCAATGTGAGAAGAACATGGACGAATGGCTCAGCGCCAAAGTAGGCGTAAGCTGATTCGGTTTTGGGAACTGGTAAGATCTGACCCTGGAACAAGTAACTGTATGTTGCACTCATAGCCATATGAAGATATGCGCTTGCATCAATCTCGGCTTGGTATAAAGTATTCCCCTTTTGACAACGATCCTCGAAGTGGAAGATTGTGAATCTCTTTTCATACTCCATCTCGAGGGTACCTTTATCCTCCTTTCGAATCGTTGTAACTTTCTTCAACCAATTCTTAAAACTACCAAACCAACGTTTTTCCAAGCCACGCTTTTTATTAGTTCCCATTCCCGAGCCGTCCGGGTCCTCGTCTGTAACATCATCCCAGTAATCCAAAAGATTTGACCAGTCAGTACGATACTGAACTTCAGCACCAGGTTTAGCAGCAGCATTGATAGCCGCAAAGTCAAAGTCAGTAACAAGCTCAAAGACTTGATGTTCCTCCTCAAGATCACGGATTGCCAAGTTTCTTTTCCGCAACTGAGTTCGTCGCTTGTTGAGTCTCTTTTTGTCGCCATAATTGATTTTCGCATCGGGAATATGTTTGAAACTAACAATCCTAGCGTAGGGACCCGAGCCGATACCGTTGGGAAGCTTGATAATCGTATCCTCTGCGTTCATGATGAAGATACGTTTGCATTCAGCAGCTGACATTCCTGCCGCACATACGACACGATAAGTCTCAATGACATTCTCAAAAGTATCATGTCGAACTTCACCAGGCTTCCGATACTCCGTCCATTCTCTCTTCTTAAGCTGGAAGCTCGGGGTCTCTTGATCCAAGATATCCCAGGCTTCAGCAAAATTGTTATCAACTGCACCCTCCGTGCCGTCAACAAGGACAAAAGAGAAGGCTTCGTCGGCCTATATTATAAATCAGATCAGTCGTAAAGAAACTATATTTCGGATTCTAGAATCCACTTACCCCACCTCCGCTTCCGGCAAGAATAGACGATCTTGTGGATCCCTCAGACTGGGTATTACTATCCGGTGTCATCGTGTACTCCTCCTCATTGTCTCCGAGAGGTTTGGGAAAGATATCCGCAGGATCAACGCTGAGTCTGCTATCCTCATCCTTTGGCGGATCACAGCAGTACGACATTTGTCGTCCATTGGTACAAGAAATAGTGGTACCGGACTTCTCTCCATCGACGTATTCCTTTTTAGTCCACTGAACTTTACCTGAAGGACACTTGAACTCCGTGCAACCGTTGTCGGGGCCGATCCATTTACAGTTCTTTGGCTTCTTATCTTTTTCGCAGCAGTAGTGACTCTTTTCCCCAGTTGGACACATGGAGTCATCATATGCGAGCACGGAGCTGAGGACAACCTCCCTATCGGAATCGGGACCAGAACACCTATCGCTTTTTGTGCATTGGCCCCAACCACAGACATCAAAGGCAGGGCGTGAATCGCAGCAGAGCTAGCACAGGTTAGCATTAGATAAGACCTTTGGTTATTTGGTAGCTAAGTGAACATACTCTTCGCCGACCAGTCATCGGTTTGCAGACTTCGGTTCCCTCCCTATTCTTGTAGCCCTCTGTCGCCATGAGGAACTTGCCTCGAGGGCAAGCTGTATCTTGATTGCTATCACACCCGGTCCCTGGTCATAATTTCAAAAGTTAGTTATATCTGGTCTCGTTCCCAGATGTCACAAAGGGCGGTCTAAGGCATGGTTTTTTCACATACATGAACAACCCCTAGGCATAGTTCTCATCGGGCAGCAGATTGAACGGAAGGCATTTGTCGAACACGGTCTTTGCAATGGGATTTGGCCATTCAGAGGCTCATGAATATAGTCAAGGACTCGGTAGCCCGATTTGCACTTTGGAGGAGTCTTTTGGTTTCCGCATGTTTCGGTTACATAACAATCCTCTCCAGTTGCGCCCTTAAGCTCGTCGATTGTTAGATCGTCATCTAGTGTACCGTGTCAGTAATAAAGATAAAAAATAAAAAATAAAGAGCTTAAACACAAGTACACACCGTCTCCGAAATGACCAGCGACATCGGTTCCAAGTAAATTGGATAGCGCGGTAAAATCAGGCGTGTCTAAGTCTATGTATATGTTATATAGTTAGCAATGAACACATGTTAAAGATACCATATTGGATCTTAAGTTTAAGTATAGACTTACCAACAGCCCATATCATTATACCTCCTAAACAGTTATCCCTTGCCTGTTGAAGCTTTTGCTTAAAGGTTTGGTCGTCGTCATATCTACAGCAACTTCAGTAAGGTGTTCTCTTTCGCATACCAAGCGAGTTGTTGACTTACGAAACCCAGGAGTCTTCGTCATATGTCATATACTTGACGGCTTTCTTTTCGTCATAGACCTCTGTAGTGGCGGCCCCAGATTTTAATAGTTCACTGATTTCTACACAGCCGGTTAGTATCTTGCAAATCGCCAAATCAAAAGGTAAATTCCACAATACCAGCCCAAGAGAGAACCCCAGATGTATCAGTGCAAGCTCCCGACGCGCCACCATCTGCATGACGGCAGCCAGGAATATTACACGACGGATTCGCCATTTTAAAACTTCTACCATAAAAACCGAAGCCCATAACGATCTTCTTGGGATCCAACTTCGTGTCTCTCCAAAGTAGATTAAGAGCTCCCTGGATCTCGACAGAGTCAGTGTGGGCGCCCAATACCTTGCCGACAAAGTTTTCATCGGAGTCCCACGTTCCATGCATATCGTAAGACATCTGTCATCGTTAGTACCGTTCCAACCCCCCAAAAATACGGAGAAACGAATACACTCACAATATTCGCCCAATCAGCACCAGCATCAAGCATACCCGAGACATCGAACCATCGGAGATACCAGAAAGACGCTGGGATAGTGAAACTAATACCATACCCACCGCCTCTGTTGTCAAATTCTTCTCTGATCGCTTTGATGAGTTTAACATAGTTCTCCGTGTCTTCTTTCACGCCGCCACGATCTTCAGCACCAGGATATTCCCAATCAAGATCTACTCCCTATGGTACCAAAGATTTTGTGTCAATGTCTGTTTCTTCAGATGGTACAACAATTTTAACTAACATCAAATGCATAGTCTCGGACGAAGCTGAAGATTGCTTCTGCAAATTTACGACGGCTTTCGTCTTTAGAAGCCATATTTGTGAATGCTTTTTGCGTCGGTTCGTCCTTTGTACCCCTGTTAGTTATCGATCACTAGAATAAAGTTATAAAACCGCATATTCTATGGAAGCTCTGACAAACATTGAAAGTCCATCCACCAATGGCTAGGAAAAGATTCACATTAAAATTAGCTATAATCAAATCGACAGTAGTATTAGCGAGCCAGTAGCCTACCGATATAGCACTTCAATCCCGGATAATCCCTCTTCAAATTGGTGAACCGAATGAGTAGGTCGTAGTCACCACCGATTTTCGGGTCGAGTACAATGTAGTATTTACCACCTTGCTCCCTAAAAGTCGCAAAGGAATAGTAAAGATGTGTGAACTGCTCTGCAGGCAAGCTCTCAGGTGGCATTCCGCCACAGTTTCTTAAAGTCGACCAAGATTCATAATAACCGATCTTCAAACCAAAGACGTTTCGGTCACCACACGAGGGCTTTGAGGGAGTGAAGCAGTTATTCTGGCAGCCTTTGCCCGTCTGAAATTCTGGTTAAGCGGATTATTTCGTAAATTATGTATCTGATCAGTGAGGGGACCAACTTACATCACAAAAGTCCTCCGAGGTTCCTGTAATAGGGTAATCATGTCAACTCCCCGACGCCTTATATTATGAGGACAACCGCACAGCGAACAGCACAACTTACCGCAAAATCCCCATTTACTGCAGCAAACATTTAATGGGCACTTTTTTCCCGGATCCTCAGCATCCTTTCCGCATTCTAAAAAAGTTTTCAGCGCCGAAGCAATGTTGTTCAATTGACATGATATTTTATTCTTACCAGCGTGCGCATCGCAATTGCTAACACAACCTTCAGAGCAGAACTCAGCTCTGATTATCCCATATCAACCCGTTAGCTATCAACTTATCTGAGGATAGATTATTAAAAACTTGTTCCTTACCCATAACCGCAGATACCATCATCTACTTCTTTATCCGCGATATAACAACAAGCTTTGTTCGGACACTTCTTATCTTTGCTACACAGAACGTCCTGTGCGAAAGTAAATGTGATAAAATATGAGATGGTTAAAAGAACGAAAAAGCATATTCGACAGCTAGACGCCCACGGCGGGGAAACCATCTTGCGAAAACTCGAAGGACCAACCAACGAGTTTTTACTCGCCTGAACGACCTCTCTAAAGCAATTGGGATCTCAGAACGCAAGCCTTTTGTGAATTGTCTAGGCGAAGAAGTCCTAATCCCTCCTCTGGTTTATAAAAACTGAGGACAGTCGTCGAGATCGGATCTAATGGGTTGCCATCCTGCGTGACCCCTGTACAAACTATGATCTGATGAGCCTCGGACAAATTCATAGAGTTTTTCCTGTTCGTACAATCAAATTAGAGCTTGAACTCAATCGATTTGTGCAAGGTATGTACATATTTCTGGGCTCTACCACTTCGACATGGCTGCGATAATGCCAAGCGATAATATAATATAGGCTCGACAGACATATGCATAAGACAAACCCTTGCATGGATCCTTCTCTCAGCTTATCCATGGTGATCCTAAGGATCCTAGGATAGGGCGGACATATTCTGACGCCATGATTGGCATATCAAAACCGTCGGCCGACGGGAAAATGAGGATCAAAAGTTTTTCATGTCTTGTGAAGATGAAATCTCCGCAAATTTAAAAACACTGTACTACACAGTACGACAATGGCGCGCCATCGGCAGTTATAGCTTAGGCCCCCACGAGATGAAGATAAAGTCGGGTTACAGCGGCCAAGGAATGTGGTACCTTGTTCGCGTTCTGTTTCTTTGTTGGTCCCCTGAACCGTCAGCATTCTGGGGGCTAACCTGAGGCTCATCAGAAACGATATCGATTGGGAAAGTACCTACCCCGCCAAGACCAGGTGCCCAAAGCTTACCCTACACACTATAGGTAAGTATTTTACTCAGAGCTCGCTGAATAAAGCGACTGGTCCTGCAGTGAGAATTGATGATCTCGAAGCTTCAAATTTACCCGCGCAGCTGGATCCATGCATTATTCCTAGGCTCTGCTTCACCATGCATGCAATGTCTCGCCTGTAGCCCTAGTACCCCTGCAGCCACCCGTGCAGATCGAGCTATTAATTCTATCGGAACGTTAATAGGGTGACTTCGGTAATGAGACCAGGAAGAAGCCCGTGCTGCGGTCGACTGGAGTTGACTTTGGTGAGACCAGAAACATGAGATCGATCAATGAAAGGGGTTCTCCGACATCGAAGCAACAGGTTCTGCCAAGGACATATCGACATGGGTAACTGCCGCCCGCAACACAGCTGGCTATCAGAACTTCTGGTAGCCGGTACCATGCGACGGATAGCTATGTCCTGTCTTTCGCTTTAGAAAATTCTTATACCCAGGCGGCATGAGCATAGACTGTTAACTTGACTCAAAGTTTTTGCTTTGATATTAACTACGATATCCCGAATCGATGCTCTTCTGATCTCAAGCCCAAGAGTTTTGGAGCGGGTTGATTCCATCGGGCACGAATTGGCCTCATTACCTCCTTCACAATGTATCGACGAATTTTACAGTTAGCATGCTCTATTTTGTTTGCAATTCTACTACTCTCGCAGGAGTCTAAAGCGGACTTCAAAATCTTTCAGCTCGGTTCCGCTCTGATCCCTTCAGCTGCCAGTTCAAGATGTCGAGTCGCATTGACGACGAACATTGTCTGTGATCCATTGCTGCAGTCAATGGTCACCGGCATGTCCATGAATTTGACAACAGACAGATTAGATTCCATTTGCACGGCGGCTTGTGGAGCATCTATCAAGTCATATGCAACCGGTGTGCAAACTTCGTGCGGATTTAGTCTATATGTCAATAGCAGCACCCCTCTACAGATTCCAGTTACGGATTACGGCAATGAGAACTGGTGGAAGTACAATGTAACTTGTTTGAAGGATTCCGCTGGCAAATACTGCCAGCTTGACAAAAAGGATTGCAGTACATGCAATCTACAGATGGTTCAGATGGAGTTGAACTCCCCATTCGGCCAGCCACGGCTTGGGAGCCCAGATACCTTCGCGGACCTCAAAAAAACTTGCAGTGTAGCCACGAGTTCATACCCATTGACATACACAGCATCCGCGGCGCCGACGGAAACCCCTAAGACCTGTTCAAAGTCATATACCTCCAAAGCCGGCGACACTTGCGTTTCAATAGCAAAAGCCAATTCCGTGAGCACCGGTGGCTTGATAAATCTAAACTCACTCGATGCGCGGTGCAAATACTTGGTGGCGGGAACGACCCTATGTCTGCCTGATACATGCGCTCTCCATGTCGTCAAAGCGAACGAAACCTGTCTTGATATTATTCGGCAACACGCAAACACTACAGGGTTATTTTCGCAACCACAATTGCTATCTTGGAACTTTGAGATCGATCCTCACTGCGAGAACATAGGTGAACTGGTGGGATATGGAATTTGCGTCTCACCGCCTGGCACTACTGCTCCGCCTGACTGGCAAAAGGACAATGAAAAAACGGAAGTGTAAGTTGAAATTGACTCCTGAAGCCTACCATACCAGCAATAGCAAGCTAATCAGCGGACAGACCAAAGCCAAGCAACGGACACCCTCAATCGAACAAAAAATGCGGCGCATGGCATACAATCGAAATCAATGAAACTTGTGATAACATCACTTTCACATATCAAACTAAGCAAAGCGACTTCGTGTTCCTCAACCCCGGCGTCAGGTCTGATTGTACCAATCTTCAGGCCGGAACAGCGTATTGTGTGAAGCCAGTAGGAAGTATCAGACGATATGATGACTGGAAGCCAGTCCAGTTCCCATCTGATATCTTAACCGCAACTATCAACCCAGACCAACCTCCAAACAACCGAAGTCACACGTACCTTTGGCCAAACTCTACAGTTCCAGTAACCATAACTATTACTCAATTATTCCCTCCAGCTGCCGAGACAAGTCGTTGGGCTACGTATACACTCTGTCCCGACTTTGCTGCAACAAATCCGGATTTTGAGGATGGGGACGTTCCTTGGTATGCCCTAGAAAACGAAGCTTGGATGAGTGTCTACGATGAGTATTGCATGATTGGTGGTAATAGAACGATACCTACGGCGACGCCCACGTGGCCTAAGCTCGATGTACCACTGACCGCGGTAGCACCACCTGGACCAACGAACAGCGGTGCTCCCAAAGATTGCTTGAAATGGGTAATCGTCGGGCCTGGAATGAACACATGCCCAGGAATAGCTGCGGCAAATAACATCACAGTTGAAGATTTCAAGAAAATGAACCCATGGATTGACGCTGATTGCCGCAATCTTTGGGCGCAAAATGCATACTGCGTAGACACAATAGCAAGACATGAACCTCCGATCACGCAGCCACCAACTACAACCACCACTAGCCGTACAACCACCACCACTAGCAGATTGACCACCACTACTACTGGCACAAGTTCCAAACCAACGTCTTCCACGACTCGATCTGGAACCCCAGTAGCAACAGTCGCCCCTCCGGGGCCGACTGAATCTGGGTCATCTTCAGCATGTATCCGCTGGCACGTTTTTGCAACTGGGGAAACATGTACGAGAATGCTCGTATCTGAGAACATAAAACTTCCAGCTTTCCAGGCGTTGAACCTCTCAGTGAATAGCGCTTGTAACAACCTCAAGGTTGGAACTGCGTATTGTGTTGCTAGTGCTTAATCCACACATTCAAAGCTTCTCATTTCTGTGTTGATTATGTTGCAATCTTACTCCTTTATTTTGTACATTTAATGGAACAGATACCAATTTGAAAATAAAGGGAAATCAGCATGATTTGGGTCTGGATAGCTAAACTATCTTCAAGACGAGAGGTAGAAATTCTTTTTCCAAAAAAAAATATCTTCAAAGGCAAAAAACTTCGTTTGTATTGGTACCGATTAGTGAGTTGATCAATTAGCCTAGCCTAGCGGACCAGTCGGTGTTTGTAACAACGCCTGCAGCTGCGAGACAAGTCACACAGGAAGTTTTGAATTCATGATGTGTCACCAAATATCGCAAAACCGAGATTGAACATGACGGACATAGACCAGCTCTGAGAATTTAGCAAGGGAAAACACAAATTTGCTAACAAGATTGAGCAAAGGGCTCTTCGCGCAAAGCAAATTATCCTGCCGTGCACAGTGCAAGTGGGACGCCGCCGAGCTAGTGCGCGAGCGGGTTTGAAAAGGATCTCACTAGCCGAGGCATGGAAGGTGCACAAAAGATTTACCGATTGCAAGGAACATGAAACCTGTACGCCCCAAACTTTAGAAAGGCGAGGGAGGTGATGGTCCTGACAATGACGCCAGGGTTACACTGCTGGACAGGGACAGCTTAGAGCAAAAGCAGTAGTAACCGTGAGCTACCTGCCAATTCTATCGAAACTTAAATTCAGGAATTTTGGATCTGAGTATTAGTTAACCCTGACTTGGGTGGATTTTACTGCGCCGAGTCCACGGATATAGCTTGCCTGTAATTTTCTACAATCAGATTTTTGCAGGACTGCGTTAATTGGTAAGGATAAGACGGCGCTGGAGAGATCAGTACTGCAGTTGACTTGATTGATAGGTGGGAAGAAAGTACCGACCTGCATTTACATTCAGAGGTAAAAAATGTCTAAGACTTTAGTAAGATCTCCGAAAGTCAGCATCGAGCCTGCGCCCTGGAACTAGGTACCAAGTGCTTTTTCGAAGATAACCTTCGCAAACTTAATAGCTAGTGCGATCGGAAGTAATATTGTCATGTGTAAAGGAATTAGACAGACGGAGGGGCTGTATCATAGCAATCTAGTGGCCTATGGCTACGCCCACGTTTATGTTGCGTTACGTAAAAACAATCGGTTTTTCGAGGCTTCGGATGAATAGAATCAGTACTATATGCAAGAGCCAGACTATCATGACAATCCCTTTGCTAAAATGTTGTGCACATGTACTACCTATCCAACCCCACCAAGGGAAGAACATTCGTCGGTAAGACAAATGTTAAGCGCGCATGTAGTACTAATACCGCACCTGTCTAGTCTACCCGAGCCTCCCGTCTAAAGTAAAATTTTGCTGGTCAATATCGGGCCTTTACCCTCTTTCCGCGAACCTTGGAGTGGTTACCCTTCCGGGGTTTTCCGGTATGACATCGTGCATTTATGTGCGCATGTAAAGCAAGAAAACTTTCGAAAATGATCTAGAAACGGGCGAATACTACACACAAAATTGCCAATGATGACGCCAAGAGTTCTATCAAGGAAGTCACTCAATTGATAGTGGTGCCATGGGTCTGATATCGCTGCCTTATAATAGGACCTGTATTAAGTTGAGCGATTCTTATAGGGTGCTTAAATTGTCTATTTATCGGATCGGTAAATCCATGACGGAAGTTAAGTTAAGCTAGGTACCACAGCCCCGCTGCATCCTTAAGTTCCGATGTGGTCCATGTTGATCCCTGCTAATAATTTTAAAGGTTGATCCAGTCCCTTTCCAGGGTACGCATTGTCGACGGGTTATAGACAAGGGTATGCCTGTTCTCTCGATACTTACTTCGTGGTGGCGGGAATATGCTCCACAGCCAAGACCTTAAGAGAATCTTCTTTCAAATAAGCTTACAACAGCACGGCACATCTCAGGCTCGGAGAACCACGACATCACAACGCCATCAGCGGAGGCAATTCATCCATCGATATTTTAGAATATTAACTAATATAATGTGGAAAACTTCATTCCCGGCCCGGCTTATGGGTTAGGATTATATCAAGTTGGCCTCCTCGTATAACAAACGAGGATTTACAGATGCAACCTCCAGGCTGTAAGGCCTAGGGTTCTGGTTCAATAGCCCTTGCTCTGAATGCATACCGCGGAACGCCGGTACTTCCAAGCTTTCAAGCATGCCTAACACTCTTTCATCGATTGATCAATTAGATTTTCAACAACTTAAAATTCTTCATCAGAGTCAGAATTGCCAGAGGTAACTACCGACGAGTCTTGGCAGTCGTCTTTGTTCCACAATGCCTCCTTCGCTGATCATGATGTATCCTGCAGGACACCCATTTTCCCACGTTGTGTACTGCAGGGTTGTAGGTTGGGACTTTCTCTAGTACCTCATAAGGCTTTAATGATCACCATGAGCTCAGTCTTTTTTATCGTAGCCTACCAGCCAGAATTGTCCTTCTCAGGTCTCGAGTTACTGTACTGAATCAATCTCACAATGGCCAGTCTTCTCAAGCTCCTGCCTTTCTTCTCTGTTCTTCCTGCGCTTGTTGCTTCTCAATGGACCGAGCCTCCACCAGGTCCAGCAGATCCAAGCACTGTGAAGACTTGCACCTTCTGGATCATTGCAGAAGAAAGCTCTAAAGCGGATTGTCATGGCTTCGCAGCTGATTTAGGTGTCTCATGGCAGGATTTCTCAGCATGGGTAAGTGATAATTCGAGAAAAAAAAATTTTGTTCCGACTAGCTGACTTGATTTCTTACAGAATCCATCGGTTGGTAATGACTGTGCCGGTATGATTGTCGGAAATGCCTACTGCATCGAAGATAACAACGGCGTACCGACCACCACTACCACCACCACTACCCGAGCTACAACTACATCGTCTGGCCCAGTTGCACCCGGGCCAACCCAAGACGGACAAGATCCTAACTGTATTAGTTGGGAATACGTAGCCGCCGGTGAAAACTGCAGAACGGTTCTTGCAAAACGCCCAGGTGTGACATTAGCGGATCTGTACAAATGGAACCCCGCGATAGGGAGCGACTGCAGCGGCCTCTGGGCACAAACTTGGGTATGCATTTCTCGATCCATAAATGCCCTTTTCACAGTGTTCCTTCAGGCTGACACTACCTAACTATCTAGGTCTGTGTCGCTATTAAGGGTTGGGTACCCCCCAGTACCACTACAACCACAACCACAAAGGCGACAACGACGACTGCGGGAAATGGTATAAATACTCCTGCACCCACCCAAGCCGGTATGGTAGGAAACTGCAACAAGTTTTACTTCGTCAAGGCAAACGATGGCTGCTCAGCTATAGCCTCTCAAGCGGGTATCCCTATCGCAAAGCTCTACGAATGGAATCCCGCTTTGAACGGTGACTGTACTGGTCTCTGGGCCGATGTCTATGTTTGCATCGGCACAACGACATATACAGCAACCCTCACCACTACCACGAAGTCGACTACAACCACCACCAGAACCACCACAACTAGCAACAACGGGGTAGCGACCCCTAGTCCGATCCAAGATGGCATGGCCAAAAACTGTAATAAGTTTTACTTCGTCAAAAGCGGCGATGGATGTAGTTCTATCGCCAGCCAGTTCGGAGTTACTCTAGCAAACTTCTATGCGTGGAACCCAGCAGTCAAGAACGACTGTAGTGGCCTTTGGGCTAACGTCTATGTTTGTGTGGGTCTGATAGGATCCACTCCTACTCCTACTACCACCACAAAAACAACTACGAAGGCGACTACTACCAGTGGGATCGTGACGCCTACGCCGACCCAGTCTGGAATGGTCAAGAACTGCAAGAAGTTCCATTTCGTTCAGACGGGTCAAACTTGCGAAACTATCCAGAGGCAGTACAGTGTTACTCTAGCACAACTGTTTCAGTGGAACCCCGCAATCGGTTCTACCTGTACCGGAATGTGGGCCCAGACCTACCTCTGCGTGGGCGTTTAACCAGCTCTGAGGGCGGTTGTTCTGTAAACAATCCAAAAACCTGGTAGAAACAGGGCAAACCATACATTATAATCAGACATAGACACGTTGTGATCGATGAACGACGAAAGACTGTACTTAATAGCATGTTTGTGGAGCGCTTATTGCTAAATGAATAACCATTTAATACCTTCGAGATGAACCCATGCAATACCCATCAAGAAAGAAAGAAAGAAAAAACCATCCAGTATCCATGAGTAAATAAGCCATTATGTAGTCGGTCGCTCGTACTCATTGATGTCTTCGAAGCCTTTCCAATGACTTGGTAGTTGCATAGATTGGCACCAAATTCCACCATCTGAATCATTGAAGAACAACAGTTTTGGCTTCCAGAAGATATTCAACGGAAGAACAATTCGAGAGTTGTTGAATAATACTTTCCCTGTACCTGAACCCGCTTCCAGCGCCGGACTAAAATCCAATTTCTCAAAAGAGAATTTGTTCCAACTCGAGAATAAGGGTGCACCTTCGCTATCCCCATCCTTTGGGAGTGGGATAACCTTTTGCCCTTGGATCGATTCCAAGTACTCTAGATTGTCCTTAATGACACTAGGCTGTTTCGCCATAGCAACGTGCTTGCGAATCCTGAGAGCCACCTGGGCCAACGACTGGGTTTTCATTTCGCCAACGGTACCTAGTGGGACATAAAGCCCGAAGTAATGACCTTGGAAATACTTCTCGCTCGGATCCTTCTGGATTCTATCGCCGAAGTTGAAGGCATATCCCATTGACAGGAACAGCGAATCTCTGAAAGAACTATAGATTCTCTACTTCAAGTGTTAGCTAACTTGCTTCTTTATATTCAGACGAATAGCCGAATCTCACTTTTGTCCACCAAGCATTGACAATATCCATTTTTGAAAGCCTAACTTGTTCCCCCGTTTCCTTTGCCAAGTCGTCAATCTCTCTCTGACATGAATCTTGAAGTGCCGAGATAAACCTCGGTGGTAGGTATATATGCTTCTCGACCCCGGGTTCAGTCAACCCGAACTTCGCAGCATAGTCCTGGTAAATTCCCTGAGCAATGATCCTGGCAAAACCCGCGAGGCCAACTTGGCACCAATTACGGATATATTCCCAGCCTCCAGCTTCAGGAGGGTCTACTAGAGTTGTATCTTCTCCAGTTATCATTTCCGAAAGCTTCTTATCGATCCCGGGCGGGGGTACTCCTTTGGGTAACTCCTTTCCCCAAAGTGAGTCGTTGTACTGACGGACGATATCGTAGCATCCCTGCCCGTCCACGAAAAAGTGCGAGAATTTGAAGGCGATGATAGTGGCATCCTCAAATAAGGTGACCCGAATTGCAAATAGCGAGCCAACAACAAGATTCAACGTCGATAGAGTATCGAAGAACAAGTCAGTGACCCCTAAAACGCCATCTCCTGTCCGGTATGGGCGAATAATCGGCTTATTCCCCTCACGCTCCGTTTTCGCAAGTTCAAAGTCAATCGGTGTGGCATCGTGTAGTTTGGCATCGATAGTCCTATGCTTAAAATCTACCCGGGAACCAGTAGTCATGTGGTACGGAAATTTCTAAGAATTCCTTATCATCAGCTTTCACCACCGAAAACTTTACTATGGTTTGTAATTGACGAGTGGGCGAGGTTCTGATCGTACGCTTGTTATCAAATCTCCTCCCAGTACCGGCCAATTTTTTACCAACTCACGATGCTTCTGTTCTAGCAAGCTCGGATCGAGCCTTCCAGATATCGACAGGCAAACGCAAGTTATACAATCTTGACCGAGTGGTTCATTCGTCTGTAGTGTGTATTCGTTAGGCCAGTCAACCTTCGCCGTCTGCGTCCCTAGAGAACCCATTGTCGCGGATTTTTGCTGGTCTAGACGAAAATCGATAAGGATTAAATATCAATTGTTTGAAACCCAGATCTGGCCAGAGAGAAATGTAGATACTGTCTGCGGGTAACAAAAGTTGCGCTTAACACTGAATTAATCAAGTATTTAAACTAGAAAAATTGGGCTAGTCGCAAACAAAACAAGCTTACAAGCTAATACGCGATGGCGACGGCGATCTTGTTGTCAATGCAAAGGTGACTTCGAATCCAGCGCCAACTGTTGACTGAAGTGCCGCTGATCTGACGTCACAAAGATATCTGCCGAGGGGTTAGGATCATGTGATTGCAAGGATGTTGTGCCAAAGGCTTCCATGCTCCCATTTATGCGGAGACTTCACATCGTACAAAGAAGCCCAGCTGCAATAATATCAGCAGTTGTATTCTTACCAGTTGCCGTGGTGGCAGTACTTAGCTTTGTCGGTTTGCGGCCCAATCTCCAACCAGCGCCTCCAGATCGCAACACAATGCCCTGTTGCATTTAAGTCAACACATCAACACCTGAAAGCTTCCCACGCTGTGCAGCTGTGGCCATGCATGACTACCAGGTACCTAATTTACCTAAGCAGTGATAATAGGGGGTCACTATCTGTCGCACATGGTTTATAAGATTCAGATGACAGCAGCAAATAATAATTGTTCTGCAGACTAGATCCTTTTAAGATACTGTATATATTTGTGTGAACAGTGCGAAAATCCTCGAGATCGTCTAGATTCTTGGCAGATCCTCGTGGCCTCATCGAAGAGAGGCTGTGAATTCATATTTAACTATTTGAAATACCTACTGGGTCTGGTTTACGAGACAATACCTACTTAATTAGTGAAAATATACTCAAGTACAGCTTTATATAGACACTTAGAATGTTAGCTCAAGTGTAGCCCTTAGTTTCACGGAGCAACTTAGCGGTAAGAAAGCGAGTTTCTGTCCTTATCTCTACATACTATAGATCGATATCGCGATCCACTACACAAAAAAAAAACTACAAGAAAAAAAGTCCTCTTTTCTCATTTTGATTTTCGTATTACGCGAACACGTCTAAACTAAAGCGCCACCTTCCCGAAGAATCCCTCTTATCCATTCCCTGGTTTCATCATCTTGAACCTCCGTTAAATCCACCGTCTGGCCAGTGCTGTGATGCGATCTAATCTCTTCCCCAGACTCAATACCCTCAAACGGGACTTTCCCAGTATAAAGCTCCCAAACAGAAATTGCCAAAGCATAGAGATCATCCGCTTTAGTGGGGGGCACGTAGTCATCCTGTGATCGCGATTTATTGTAATACTGCTCAGTAGCTTCTCCAATGATTGATTCATCCATCAAGTGTTCCCATATTTGAGAACTTTCATCAGCTGGTCGCGCGGACTCAAAATCGCATAAACGTATTTCATTGTCTTTGCAGACGACAAAATTTGCTGGCTTAATGTCTCCGTGTACCATATTGTATTTTGTATGCAATCTTTCTACGACGGCGATCATTTCAGCTTTTATTCTGTGCTTTTCAGATTCATCGGTAATCTCTTTTATGGAATCGATCAGAGGACGTCCGACCTCCATTACGAGACCAACCTTTCGAGGACCATTATTTGGGTGGGCATCAAATCTGATGATATGACCGTGAACTTTGACCCCGCAATCTCCTGCAAGCTCTGCCATGGCTATCTCCCGACTCTCGGTGAAATATTTCAGAGCGAAACCTTTATACTCATAGATAGGATCCAGAATAAACCGGTCGGATAATTCTCGGAGCGGTTGCTTCAAAAGTCTACCTTTCTCAGGGTCAATTATGAAGAGATCATCCCATAGAACGTCGTTGGGCTGTAGCTGCGTCGACATCGTAGTATATATCTAGAATTAAGGGTAAAGTTTGAGGGAGGATAGTTGAAAATGTATGCACGGTGTTATAAAGAATATTGTAGAGAGGAGAGGATGCGGCAGACCTCAGGGACTTTATAGCCCTATTGGCCATGGCGGTCAGGAAAGAAAACATAAACTACTTAAGTGTGGTGCGGGAGATAACCTGTATATGTGTGTATAGGTGCACACTAGTCTCGGAGCCAATCTAACATGAGGATATACCACCCTACGCTGATTCGGACCAACCTTATATAATCACAGTCAATAGCATGAAATAATATGAATTAAATGAAAGCGAGAGGACTCAGTATACTTCATGGTATCATTCAAATTAAACATAGTCATAATTATCTTATAGAAAACCAACGAGTCCAATCTTAGCATCATTCATACCCTTCCATCCAGTAGAGAATTCAACACAGAACCTCGACCAGTCACCCATATTTCCCCAAAGAAATTGCAAAATAAATAAGATGAAAAAGATTGGATGCTTCAAAAAAGTATAAGACTCAATTATCTATCACTTTGCTGCCATGAAGTAATTTTATTTTATTTTATTGAAGTTTTCGCAAAAGTTTTCGCAGAAGGATACCCGCGCTGGGACTTCGGTAGGACGAGGGTCGCCACATCAGTCACCCACATTCTACCAGCAAAATAAAACAAAAAAACAAAGCGGATGAATCCAGAGAACAGCTGGCATAAAGCCCTAGAACCAGTGTTAATCTACTCAAATTTAACATAATTAAATAGTTGCAATTAAGTGTGTCGCTTCAGTAGGTTTGGCCTCAGGCCGTTCACCAGCCACGAAGATTCAGAATCATATCGGGATTTTCGTATCTAAATGTGATCCACCGCTCGGATTAGGGTAGAGGGCAAGAGATCCACGGATTTTTTTCTTCTAACGTCCCAGGCCCAGTCAGATCATTTACCTATCGCGCGTACTATCACCTCAAACTACCAAGTAGCCCGGATTTAATTGCGCGACCTAGTTCGCTCAAATCATGTACACCCAAAGACTCCGAGCTGCTATAAAGCCCCAGAATACCCCTATATTTAAGCCCGAACCTTTTAGCTCCATACCTTTCATCTTGATCTCGAAAGATTAAACTATCGGATAACCATTCCAAACATCTAACTACCAAATCACAACCCTTGATACCCCCACATTATATATACTTTGACTATCCCAGTATGTGCGAGTATTCAACAAAAAACTTCCAATTCTGTTGCCAACCTAATGGCTATGAACACTATTATTCCATCACGAAATTCTGTTCATCTGAACGAAGAGACCAAGGTAGATGCAAATCTCTCGTCGATAACCCTGATTTGGTGAAGGAGGAACGTCGAACCTGCCCCTTCTGTACGCATACGAATGGTATATCTATCACGGACACAGACGCGCAGGGGAGGCCTCTTCAAGAAAACTCTTCCTAGCTCTAAGTTAGTCTCCGAGTTCATGGATCTTTAGCCTGGTTAAGTAGCGCAGCAGCTGAATTCCTCTAATCTATATAGGCATTATGCAAAGAAAAGACGACAGATCCACGTACATACAATTAGACAAAATCCCTAACTAAGACCCTGAAATCTGGGACACGTCTCGTTTTCCTTCTTGCCCTTTCTTTCTGTCTTCCTTTCTGTCTTTCTTTTTATTACCCCTCATGTACCTATGTCTATTTATGGACTCTATTAATTTCGCTATCTGTCTTTCCTTTCTGCAAACAATCATGCCGTTGTGTAGCAGCTTACACATAACTCGCAAAATCATTCGTTTTTAGTTCCATTAGCCCTCTCACTAAGGTAGAATAATACATACTGATCCATGCGTGGCCCAAAACTCCTTTGGTGCGTGCAAGCACACTATCTGGTTGCGCGACTAGCTTCTAATCAATCTTAATGACCGATGCCAGCTCCTAACTTCCCTTTCCTTCCCCTTACCTAAGCGTCGCTCAGCCTATGCGAATGGAGACCAAAGTAGCGTAAATGGACCTTTCGGTGGTATTTTATTGGGGGGAGGTTCAAAGAACACATGCGTGGGGCTGGGTACGAGACAAACATACTGCAAGAATGAACGGTATTGTGATAACTAAATACATAACTAAAAACCAATATTACTATACAATAATCCCTTACACCTTCTTTTTATCATTAACCCGAGTCCATAAAGTCATTCACACAGAAAAATAGCAAGGTAACATATCATTGTCGTAAATTTTCGTTCCCGAGATGTCCCGCTTAGCACTCAAGCGGCCGCGGGGAAAGGTTGTGCGTTCCAACGAACACGGCGAAGATGCCTATCTGGATCGTTGACTTGGTTGCGGGCGTGTAGCCATTTCGCGTTATCAACCACGATGACCATACCATCGGGCAAATCTTCGGCCCTCATGACTTTCCTCAAAGACCTTCCCGAAGACGATTGGCACTCATCAAGGATCTTGTCAAGTTCCTCAAGTGCCAACTCTGCTTGTTTCGTCAAAGGACTAATAATGTCGCGACGGAATCGAAGTTTCGGTTCTCCATCACTCATATCAAGCAACGCTCCGACCAGGGTTTGAGAAGTTCCTTTGTCAAACTCATCTGGAACCGCAAAGACAAACTCTGGCATGCTTAACCTGCTAATTGTCTCCTCACAAAGCTCCTGTACAATATCGCTAGTTCTAACAAGCGACAATGAGCCGCCACCATATCTATCGGCATGGAGGACGTGTAAGGCGAAGTGGCGGGGTGGGTTCGCTTCAAACGAGCAGTCAGTGTGCCAAGGAAAAACATGCATTGTCTCACTTCTAGCGAGAGGATCGTTTGCGCTGTGGACCTTGCCGTGGATCGGTTTGACATCCCACAACCAACCCTTTTTCTGCGAATGGTCTACCGGAAGACCATGACCATGCGTCGGGTGCAAGCCATCTCTAACTAACGAAACAAGATAATCCGATTGCGGGTCGGAAAAATTGAGGCGAACAAGCGCTACCCCGTTTTCCTCCAGCGACCGATGTACCTCCGAAACATGCCTGGCAGCAGCACCGCAGGAAGGAGAATACGCGTCGATAATCTTGGGTGGGAAGACCATCAAATCGGCGCTGTGTTCCGAAACGGTCCTCGATGGACGACGAGCTTCGATAGGCTTGGGGTGCATTGGGAAGGGAAGACAGTCCCTATCACAAACACCCATCATCCAGCTACCACCCCTGGATAAGGCGCAGATCTTCTCTGCTGATGACCTCCATGGGCCAAATCCGTTGAAATACCCATCAACCATAAAGAAGGTCCCCACGATATCCCATGGAACTGTTGTCATTGACCCTTCAACAGGCATGACGAGATTCATGGTTTTGTGATTAACCGCACGCTGGAGAACGTGGGAAAGCTTAGTCGTCGAAAGGAGGGTCTGCCATTCTTCTTCCGGAATATCTTGGCGGAATATTATCCCAGCACCCTTTCCGCTACCAGCTGGCTTAAAAAGCCATTGCTGCGATCTATCGCTACTCGAAGCAGCCTGATATTCAAGTGTACCAGGGAGGCATGTCTCCGCAATTGAGTTTTCCAGAAGAGCGGCAGCTTGGATGGAGAGAACGTTTCGGGTGACAAGATTCACAAGCTGATGACGGACTACACCTAGCATCCTCTTGTCGTGCACTAGCATTATTGTTCGCATATCATTGATCCGAGACCGAATCGAGATCTCCCATAGCAGAGGCTCAGAGAGGGAAAGAAGCTCATCTTGGTGCAATTCAAGCACGATTTGCGAGACTTCGATTTCGCTCCCGTCGACAACTTGTATCAATCTATTTCCGGCATCGGTGGGGATTATTCGTAGCTGGGAAATATCGGCGAAAATTACTTCGGTGCCAAGAACCTTGGGAAGGTGGTGGATATCATATCCAAGCTCTCTCCCCTTCAGGACGTGTAGCGGTTTCGTGAGGTCGAATACATGGCCGAATACGTCGTCAAACTAGAACACACAAAAACTGTCAGGTTTCTCAGTAGGTAGTATTATAATTTTTGACCTCCTACCTGTGAAAAAGCCGGCTGGAACCGGGAGGTATCATCTCTATAAAACCCATTGGCCATGCCAAGTGTGCAAAAGAACCCATTGAACCCGAATCTCGCATTGATTTCGCAAATTTTTATTCTGGGATACGCCGCTTCCGTGTTTTCTTCAACAAGGAAGTCCGGGCGCCAGCTACCGCTACGCCAAGTGACTCCCTCATGATCGAGTCGCCTGAGGAGCCTCTCAAATTTAGGGTCAAGTGGTATTGTGCTCGAAAGATCCGATTCTTCCCACCACCTCGACACGATATCTGTGATGGCGGTATATAGATGTTTGCTGACGCTTTGGACATATCGAAGATATTGAGGGCTAATATAGACCGGCGGGACGGAGACTTTGTGCATTAAAACCCCAAGGTTATCTCCCGACTGCGACTCCGGGAAGAAGGTATTATTCAATTTGATCTGTTTGGGGATCAGGATTGACGGGTCGCAACCAAAAGCTGGCTCTGCAGTATCGCAGTCAATGATTTGGTATAAATGCTCCATGATGGCCTTTATAAATAGTTGTATAATATAGTAAACGTTGCAAAGATAAGAGACGTTGCCTGTTTCTTTGAAGTGAGGAGATTAAATCATTTGCGAAGTCGATAACAGTGGGAGGAATGTGGCATTTTATAAACTAGTACCCAAAGGCTTCGTGCGCGGGAGTCAAGCGGAGTGACGTTAAGCCCATTAACTATCCAGGAGGTTGACCAAGTATACACCATCGGGTTCCATTGCTCGAGAATTTTCAGTCGCAAAAGTAATAATGATGTTGCGTAACATGCGGCAGGGGCCGCAGGCGACAGGGCATTCAAATGGTCCGATCTGATAAAAGTTCAGCTAGGAGAAACGACACGGTCGTTTTTGCCTTGCAGAAAGTTCTAATGGGACCGAGACGCTAGTGATGGTAATTTCTGGAAAGGGGAATCATCGTTCCCTTTGTCGTTTAGCTTTCATCGACATGTCTGAGAAATCTACAAGTGCAACCCGAATTCCCCGGTGTGACGGCATCGAATCTGCAAGCTCCCTTAAACAGGAGCCCTCAGATATGAAAAATCTGTGAGCTGCACTGCACTGCAGGGCGCATTTTCACAACATGCAGCTTTGCAAATCCAATATGGAGTCTCGCTTATGCAAAACCTATTAAATGTTGCAGCCAATGATTCGGAGAAGTGTTCAATGCATCTTGCAAGCTTTGCAAGCTCTGCAACTTCGCAGTTGCATCAGGATACTAAGTTCAAAAGCCTACTTTTTCCCGTTTCGGGGAGGATATGCTTGTGTGTTGCTGTCCTCGCATTGCGAATGCGAAAACCCGGAATCTGCGAGGGAGTTACCTGAATCTAATTCGATCGAGCTCTGTGAAAGCTGCCGATGGGGCCTTTCCTCTTAAGCTATAGCGAGCTAGCTCGGAGAGCCTATTCCGACCGACCAAGCTTGGGATAGTCGTACGGCGGCTGCGGAAAATAAGTTATATGTTCTCAAGATGCTTACGGAAACTTCATGAAACCGTCCTAAAAAAGATTTGTCGTTCTTGATCTAAAGCCCAGAGATCAGTTCATAATAAGGCTTTTTTTTTTCTGGATGAGAGGTCGAGACCACACCGACCATGCAAGTGTATGTAGGGTGACCCTATAACATTCTAAACTTCATGGGTGGGGGTAGATCGATCCTCTCTCGATAATATCATTCTATCCCCTCTGAGGAAGCCAGGCTCCCTCTGCAGCTCTGCAGTTGGAAATTGAGGGACACGGTGCATGGATTCGCTTGGGCTTGCGGATGCGATTGGATGCACCCCCGGAATTTTTTTTTCGTCTCGATCTCATCGAGTTCTCATTACGGCTTGGTTCCACAGAGCAAGGGTCCCGCTCCGCACCTGCATACGAAAAGCCTTGGTTTTGCAAAAAAAAAAAAAAATGCCCAATTGTTATTCATCATGCTACTGTCGTGCTGTAGGCATTATATGAGAGGCATGTTAAAAACCCCCGCAAGGTGGAATCGTAGATTTTGACACGGGCGGATCTCTCATCACTGATTGCTCAGGGACAAGGTGGCTGGCATGCACATCGGAGCCGTCTTGCATCGGGCTAGGAGAGCTGGATTTTCAGCTTCTTCTCCCAGCTTTCTCAGCTACAAGATTTTTTTTCAGAGACGGGCCACCGTCTTAGTTCGGGTAATTGCAGCTTTCGGGGCGCCAAAAGACAGATCAAAGATGTCGCTCGACGCCAGGGTTCAATGACTACTGCAAAACATGCATAGCAATGCCAGTCGCTGAAGCCATCGATGCATCGCTTTCGCAATTAATCTCGGATCTGTCACAATATTCTGACTCCCGTCCGTCTTTCAGATCTCTGTCCTCGCTTCTGGCTTCCCTTCCAGGAGCCATTCTCCACAGGTGCTTCGGGCCTCGGTTGGAAGGATGATCAATGACCTCCCAGCATGAAAAAACGTCTTAAGACGAGACCGGAAGCTGATGACAAGGCCGATGATAAACATAGATATGAGCCAAGCCAAGGACTGCGGCTCTGGCGGTCAATCGCCTAAGACAAATTATTAGCAGGTAGCAAATATTTCAGTGCAGGTAAGGGGGTGAAGAGTGTGGGAGGCGGGACGTTCTATCATGTCTTAGACACTTATACAGACTTCGAAGGCAGATGTCGGCGCGACAGTGTTGCAATCGGCATTCGCAACACAATTTCCAAACTGCGGCCAGCTCTGGTATTCCTCTTGTGGAAACGAAACAACGTCACCATAAAGAAGGTACTCCATGCGTGGTCGTATCTAAAGCTTTGGAATGGATATTTCATTGCTCGCGGCTTAGTGCTACATATATCCTATACTTTATCAATTTAAGAGATGGAAAAGGAACAAAAGGAACTTAATCGAAAGAGTGTGAGAATTGAAAGACGGTGCACGCGGTGTAAACGACATGAAAGAGGGTGATACCAGCCGAATCCAACCCTGAAGATCTCGAGCTCTCACTTACGACACCTCGCAATACAATCCCTCGTTCCCGCGATCGCATTGCTAGCAAGATTCGGAACCCTACTTCTAAAGCTCGAAATATCCCCTCCAAACGCATTACTAACAAGATCAATAGGTAACTCAAAAAGTGAATTTGCAAACGTCAACGTGCCAGGATCCTCGCTAGAGAGTGCCGACACAAGCGTAGCCTCAGTGCACCCCTCATTAAACATCGTATGAAGGGCCGCTTGAGGAAATATCGTCATAGTATTCGGCGTAAGTGTATTGACGATGAGCTTGGCGCCGTTTTCTTCATAAAAATATGTCTTGGTCGAACCCTTTGTTGCAATAACGTAATTAGCGGCCCTTGGGTGGATGTGTGCGGGCAGTATGCCACATGGTGCCAGGGTTATCAAAGCTAAGGACTAAAGTAGGTTCCAAGATATTGAATCATCTTAGCCGCAATGTATCTTTCGCATGGTTGCGGTAGGCTGGCTCTTTATCATGTGGCGTGAATGCCCGATAAGGGGATGCAACATACCATGCCATTGCCAATCACGGCCGGAAAATTCGCTGCACTTGCGGTGACGACTGAGCCGGGGTCTTTTCTGTAGGATGATTGAGCGACAAAATTAAAATCTGTTAAATTGTGCCGACACATCATAGTGATAAGGATTAGTAACTGCTTGCCAATATTTGAGACCACCACAGTCTAAATCACTTACACCAAACTGAACTATCATTCAAGATCGAAAGTCTATCGAGTTGGGTCGCTTGCGATTTTAGGAGCTGGTTCGTCTCTGGATACAAAGTTGGGTATGCTTCCGCAAAAGAGCAAAGGGTAAAACTAATTAAAAAGAGAAATTTGCAAAACATTGTGGATATGACTAGTAGAAATCGAGTGATTCAGGGGACACTGATTTTAGCGCGTGAATTAATAGTCGGACCGCGATATCTGCATGTACCCTGAGCGAGGTTTTAAATCCTTGTATCGGTATAATATTGATGAAAGATATATCCCAGACGGTCTATATTTGAGATCCCTGGTTTCTTACAAACTTTACAAGGACTTGCTCTGAGGTGACTGATCACCAGCCTTTATAGATGCAATAATACCTGACACGGCATAAATGCCTCTTTATCCATAAATTTAGGCTTCATATGGAAATAATCGCACATGATTAAACCCGGAATGGCCCCGGATCGATATTCGCAGAGTTCGTCCATGGACGCCTAAACCTAGATGGCTGAATTTTCTGAGGGTATGACAGAAGCCTACATCCCCGCCCAAGTATTTAGATTCCCAGTCCTACCGCTGCATCGGCCTCGACGTGGGTGGTGACACAGAACTGTCATAATCGTATCTAACATCGATACGCGGAGGCAGTGGGTCCATGGGGTTTCCCGAAATCTATCACGAGCGCTTTACAATCATGCATGCTAACTACTTAAGTATGTATATTCCTAAAATAGATTCGGTACGTTGGATTCGAAACTGAGAAACTGAAAATCCCAGCGATCAGCACCCTTGATGAATTAGACAGTGCTCAAGAGTTCCAATTCGTGTGGTAAAACATTACCATGGACCCTAATATAGCCAGATGTATCACCATTAGTATATTCAGAACCTGTCTTTCAAGTAGCGTCCAGGTTACGATCTAGTTCGGCGACTTTGTATACTCACCAGGTCTTGAAGCATGCTTAGGTTTTTGTCTCATGCACACACTTGCAAGCTTGGTCACGTCGAAATATATTGATACGTCAATTTTTCTAGCCCTCTGACTCCATAGTTTTCGCGAGATGTCACCGCTACATCGAAATGCCCCCCGATACATACCTCGGCCAAAATTAAAAAGGCCACCAAAGTTTCAATGACATCAAGCCACACTCAAGCTTTCCTTGCATATGTGACATCCCTTCCCAGAATCTCAATATAATGCCTTAAATCCATTCATACCCTCCAAAATCCCGACCCACCCATCAGTTAAAACCTTAATTCGCGAACCAAAAACTCTCCCCTGTGTTCCCATCTGATAAAGTTTTTAGCTTTTGACTATAAGTTTCTTCCAGACCTGAGCGCGCGCATTCGGACTTTGACCATTTTTTCCCTTCCTTTTTCCTATTCTAGGATTCAAAGTTTCTTAAGTCTTTCTCCCTAGGTTGTTCTACAATCCCTGCTCCCTCGTTGAAAGAACATTCTATTCCTTCCAATGGTTTTTTGACTCTTTCGACAAGTCAACAGAGAACCAACAGATATATCGTTGAGCTCTCCAACAAAACATTGGAAGGAAATTCCTAGGAACTTATCACGTGTTCGATAGATTATATAATTACTATATTTTCAACGATTTCCAATTCATATATGTTCTATAAATGAATAAAATTTTTAATTATTTTATGACTCTTTTTATTCTGTCGGTCTTTATATTTATAAGCAATAAATTATATTTTTAATGGCATCCGCTCAGCTATTGTAGCGAATAATAAACTATAAAAAACGCAGACCAGACGGCTAGTATACGGTGGCCTCGAGGCCTAAGTAGGAGGGGTGCTAGTTTTTTACCTATACTCCAGAAGATACCAACACAATTCGTCTCTTCTCACTCGTTTCCGGTATTAATTCTGTGAGGTGAGCCGGCAGCCTTTACAGGTGAGAAAGCACATTATGATTGTTTAGTTAATAGACCTAAGCGTAAAGTATTTTATGTTGCATGGTTATTGCAATGAGAGTTAATAAGTGGGATACCTGCTGCCCTTTGTGACGTCTGGGAACGAGACCAAGGATACCTAACGAATTGAGATGGAATCGCAATATGTCATGAAATCTGGCAGCCGCGATTACGTCCGGTTCGAAGCATCATGCATCCCCGCATTAGCATTTTTGGACCGAGGCATAATTTATATGCGGTCACAATTTACGAGATTAAAATTTGTACAAATAAATGTTTGCTGAATTGGTCGACATGTGGCAGTTTGATGTGGATCGAGGAGCACCGCTGATTGATGGTACCCCGCCCGTAGTTATTTCTTTGGCTGGACCGGTACATGTCTCCGACAATTCGGCCCCCTCCTCAATCATAATTTTTATTTTTCAATTTTGCTTCGCAAAACTAACCACTAGTTTGATGAATAGCTATTTCACCTAGTGCTAGTCTCGCACGTAAGGGTAAATATTCTGCCATATACGTGTAAAGAAGCCAGGCCATCCTGATCAGCTGAAAGTATATAAACGCCCTTCGAGCATCAAATAATCTAGAGCGAAGCCGCTTTTATGACTGTTCCATAGTTTCGCAATGCAATACCGCCGACCTTGTTTCGAGCTCTCCTCCAAACCCTTTCGATTTCTTGAAGCCTTCTATAGTTACATAAGACCAGGAACAACCCCCGACACTGATTGCCAAAACACTTCCCTTTCGGGGCATCCCGACTTAATAGAAACTCGTTCACTAGCCAGTGGCCCAGCAGAAGATGAAGTTGCTGTGGTAAGGGTATATATTTATGCGAGAGCATATATTGTGCAAGATGTAGCCTTGTAGCCTCGCAGCCTCGAGACTAGCTTGTCATAGGCTGTGTTCGCGTATACCACGCTACCAGAATCACCCATGTGGTAGACCTCATATCTTTAAATAAATATGAATCCTTCTAGCCTCCCCGCAATTCTTAACAGTTGAGGAGTCCGGCAGCGAGACAAAATTCTAAAGGGTACGCTTGAGGGAATATGATGCGTCAATGCAATCACACTGGCGCCGAACTTGACACCGGGTTCACGGTTGCCTTCTGTAAAATTCTCAGCTGGCGCCACGGCTGCAAATCAGAATTGCAGAATAAATGACGGGCTGATAAAATTCATTTGATTGCGTGTGTACTATTCCATATTACTCGTTATTGCTTGCGAGTGATTCGAAGGTGGAAGCACATGAGTTTGAGGCATGGGTGTAAGAAATGAGTATAAAACATGGGTATAAACCGGCCTGAGACTGAATAGATTTCTCCGGAAGCAATCTTAACCTGTGCAGGTTGGACCACAATGCAAAGGCCGCTATAAAAACGCTTGAGTTTCACAGCAATCAATACCTACCATCAGCTTGATCAATAAAGTTTTGCATACTATACCAATATATCTCTTTCAATCTTATAACACTGCACTACCGGGTTGATCGGTGCCACGGTTGCCACTCCTGCATCAGCATTCGCGCGGAGTGCTTTTCATCGATCTGTCGCTAGATTTCCGTGCGCCGACGCTTTCTAACGCGTCAACGCCAACGTTAACGTTCTCCGCAAGCCCCAAACCTGTCGGCTGCTCGTCTAGAATAGTAGACGCCTCCTTTATCGTAAATACATGCCCCTAAAAATTCCTTGTATCGGCGCGCCAACTAATCTCTATAGAAACAGTCTCTGCGAAAAGATGTTTTCGAGCATTAACGACTGGGGATTCAAAAAGAGAGGAAGAGGTATTCTGACTGATTGTGGGAGATGTGAGCGGGAAGTCTTTTGCAAGTGGTGGATCCTTTGGGACAACGTCGACGACGAAATGGCGTGGTATTGTAGCGAAGAATGTCAAGAAGATGACGCTTACGAACATTGTTACTGTTGTGGTTCTCCCGACTGTGAATGTGAGGATATGGACTCTTGTCTCTGTGGAGGATGCGGATGCGGATACTCTGATTGTTACTCTAATTGTCGCTGTGATGAGTGTAACAAATGGGTGGATAGTAATCTATGAATGTAGTCAAATTGCCGATGTAAAACAGTGGGAAGTTATTAATTTAGGTATCACGATATCGATGGTTTTTATCTTGTCCCTGTATTAACACTTTTAAAATGAGTCGCGGGCTTGTTATAAAAAACATTATTCATTCAAAATAGTTAATTTATCCCCGAAGCTGATTTAAATATTTGTTTTAAGTTCAAATATTCCAACTATATTTATCCTATATTATTATTTATTTATTTGGAGGTTATATAATCAGCTGGCGACGAGACAACCTTAATAATTATCCAACCTATCTATCGTCAAAACTTAGTAAGGGGATTTAGATCCAAGCAAGAACCTCCACTTTTCTAACTGCACAAGGCTATGGGATTAGAAGGCCTAGACTTACGGTAACGTAGTACCAGATATATCCCAAGAAAGGGGCCGATCCAAACGTGGTTCGGAAGTCAAAGCAGCCCGTCCTACCAACTTTACGCCAGACTTTGACCCATAGCCAAAAGCCTAAAGTCGACCCCCACCCCCTCCTTTTCTGTTGTTCAGTCTTGGGAACGAAACCAGCCCTTTGTTCATTGGCTAATTCGACTGAGAGGCCCACCATCCGTCTTTTCGTGCTACCCCAAGATGGTTGTGACTTCGGGGACCGCCCCAAACTATGTTTGCAGTCGCTCGCCCCTGGGCTCTCCATGAAAGATATCAAGTCCGTTGAATAGCCAAACCCCGAAGGGGGTCCATAGATTGGCCCCCGAGGCAGTTTCGGCTCTAGATTCGTACACCAGTCTCGAAATCGAAACTCACGCATGACCACGCTATAGCATCAGCACTAGCTTGGCTTAGATATAGAAAGGAGATTATCTCCGTTCGCATAGTGCACAAATATCAGCCTATAAGCATTACTGGCCGACTAACCGGGATTGCATCAATTAGTTATTCACGGTCCTACCATTCTTACGAACTCACCAACTTTAAAAGGCACAATTATAAGGATAGGGTACTCAATTCAGAAACCTTGTTTTCTGGGCTATTAATATTGCTGACGTAAAAAGGCTAGTTGATTACCGGGAATAGTAGGTTCCATACTTTTAACATCTTTAACTTGGTTGTCATCAGCGTGATACCATTCAGCTATGCTGTGCAATTTATCTTTACTACCTAGCTAGCTAGCGATGTTGCACAAAATTAAAAAAAAAGTGCAAGATATAGCGAGTGGTAACGCAATACCACGCTTACGTACATAAACACAAATCCTGAACATGGCCATGGATGTCCCAATACCCATTAAATTCATGATCAATAATTGTAGGATCAAATACCTAATAATACCAGCCGCCGAATTCTTAAGCTAGAGTCAATCGATATCGACATGCCAGTATATCGGTATGGCTGGCAGCGCCGCAGCAGAGCTCAGTAGTACACGGCTCAGCCCATTCCCAGATCCCCAGCCCACTTAAAATCAGAAACTTCTCCGAATTATACGATCAGGTAGTATTTATGATATCTCGATCAAGGGTCGTTGGATGCCTAAGCGAAAAATTACAAACTAAAAACAATACACAGATCGATCAGGTGCAGCCCTAAAATCTCCCCAAAGGACGGGTTTCTAATTGATCGGATAATACTTCCTGGACCACGCGAGCACGTTTTCCCGCGGCTGGGTAAATTTACAACAACCACGTTATCCCGCGGCCGCCCTACCGGTAATTACAGATAATTGTCATAGAAGCTCGAGGAGCACAAAACATTTCAGCTCCCGTCTCCCCAAAACTTCACAAATAGAGACTCTGAAACCTAGGATCTGAGACTTATCCACACTACCATCAGATGGAAAACCCGGGTATTATAAGAGTTAACTTCTTGCATGGCTTGTAATACAAAACGTGGGGGGACAAGAATAATCTATACATGTCTACTCGATTCTATCGTTTCTAATTGTAAATACAAAAGAAGCTGAAAAGCAAATATAATCTTCTATAGCTTTGTAGCAGGAACATCCCTCTTTCCCCTTGGCTTAGTATTCCGAGAGGCATCCACCATCAAGGCAACCTGCGTACTCGTAGCCAGTAACTCGCCGTCCTCGTCCAACATGACGACTTGCAGATCCCATCTACCGTTCTTAACCTGCTGGCTGTGAACTTTGCTAAACACCCATTTGACGCCATCCTTTGGAAGAGACTTCTTGACATCTAGGGTAAATGACAACGTGGGATACCAAAACTTTGCCGATTGGAATTGTTGTTTCGGGTCATCCCCGCCGTCGGAATCCATTTGTTCAACCACGCCGACAAACAAGTCGGCAATAAGGGCGATAGCCTCGTTGGTGATACTGTCGGACTGGTTGGTAAAGGTACCCCAGTTGCTGACAACACCAGGAGTAGGCTTCTTCGCAGAGAAGAAACGTGTTCTCTTGGAAACCTCCCTGAAGTCAGCAAATGGCTTCGGATGCTCATACCAGCCTTCAACCCCTTCCGGAGTTAAAAGTTTATCCAACTGTTTCCTCCCAACCAAACCAGGATCGGGCTTTTCCCAGAATGTATTCAAAGTTGGACCGCTCTCGTTATCAATATTGGTCATGGTCACATAGGCATTCACACACTTCATGCCTTCCTGCAGCAATTCTATGTGAAGAACACTATAACCTCTTCCAATCTTTGAATCGGCGACCTTCACTTCAACGGCTCCAGCATTCGTCTTGATCATGAACATTCCATGGAAAGAGATGGCATGCTTCTGAGGTGGGGTTATCCGTGCATGGGTAGTTGTCATGTGTGTGGCCGCAGCCCGTAACATAACTGCAGCGACATATCCGCCATTTGGGACCGCACTGTACTTGAAAAGGATAACGTTAGAAACATAATATTACGATAACGACCAAAATAACTTGTCGAATGGCAAATTGCATCGCTTCGGTAAGAAGACAAGATTGCCGTTGTGTACGACTATGTACGTACCCTATACAATAGGACTTTGACAGATTCCCGGAGTATGTATGCGATGTCAACTGCTTGACAGCCGAAGCCTCGAGGAATGTCGGGATATGATCCATGTTTGGAAGCTCGACGAAGGAAGGGAGGAAAGCATTGGAAGCGATGGCCTGAATAGCGAAGACAGGCCCTTAAGTCCTAGTTCTCGTTCGCGGTTCAAATTTCGGCTGGGCCGCGGGAGACCTGGAAAAGGAATGAACGTATGGTGTTAGCCGAAGATGCAGCTAAGCCAGACGAGACGGCCCAAACAGGCATGTGATTGGCTCCACAAACCTCACGTGATAGTCTGGTAGAATGCAACACAACACAACACAAAATTTGCTCAATCCTCTCCTCGTCCCGCCCCCAAATTTGCAAAGGCCGAGTTACGAGACTGCCCATCCTCGAGACTAGTTTCAGTGACACTTCTTGCATCCTATGGCAGGTATCATAGTCATTATTATTTATCCATAGAATTCTATAAGCGTACTATTTCCCCGCCATCCCCAGACTAACGGCATGTATATCTATAACCCTGATTAAGCTTTAGCTATCTATCTAGAATACAGGCAAATAATTTGCCATCGGCCTCTTTCTCAAACCTCACAATTGCACGAAAGAAGTAGTCACTTCGTTGAGTTTTCCTATACCAGTTAATTAAAATATCACCTCGGCTGCTCTAAACCTTAGTTTTGATGGATACTATTATGCATCATACGAATAAATATACGTATGCTCGGACGAATCTAGGTAAGAGAAGCGAGGAGCAGAAATTTGACGTACGTGTTTATTGTTGAGATATACAACTTCCAGTTTTTAGAAGTGATCCTAGAAAAAATAGAGAGAAAACTCGTCAAATGTTGCTAGTTACGGGGCTCTATTCATACACCGAGGATACGAACTGGGTAGTATTCTGCAATTCTGCGGCACGGATAATGCTTTAATACTGTCTTCATCACCAGCGCACGCAGTGCTTAATCTTTCAAGCAATCAAAAACATACCTTGAACATTGCAAACGTCCTACCGGTCCTCGACAAGACCGCTTCTCCAATCTTAGGTCGGAACACCCGTGGAATCATACACTAACATTCTAGGCGTAGAACTACATATAGAGAAGATTTACGAAATTATGGATTATAATTGGTCTAGAGGCAAGACGGGTGTGAGTTCAGATTATACCCACTTAGGTAGCTACCTAGGTGGTGCTATAGAATTGTAAGTATTAGTAGAGACTTGGTCTGTTACGACCACCGATGCGTATGTGTATGTACAAAGAAATTAGGCGTATGAACTTAAGTCGATAAAAATAATGGGGTACATAGCATCCAATACTAGCTACTTAGACACAGCAAATACCATCGATGAGTGTGTAAAAGAGTAATCTGAAAGCCGTAATGTATAAACCATAAAATCAAGCAGAAAGAAGGCTAACATACAACATCCGCATGGTATCATACTTCAAAATATACCTCCAAGTGAATTTCTCAAGAGCAACATCTGTCATCATCAGCATCTCATATCCAAAGAATCTCCATCTCCAAGAAAATGAAACACAAAGGCAAAAATAAGGTCGAATCTCAAATAAATCCTTCACATCATTCTAATCCCATACTTCTCTGCGAACTCCTGCACACCGCCCGGTAGCTTACCCCCCTTAGCCATCCCACTTCTCTCCGCATACATCCCACTATTATCTTCATCATCACTACTCGAACTACTACTACTATCACTAAACACCAAATCACCACCTTCAACAGCATCCCCGGGGTCTCCTGCCACCTCTCCACGTTCCCTTCCCTTTCTAACATGCGCCTGTTTCATCTTTTCAATCTTTTTCCCTTCTTCGCCAGCACAATGTGATACGATGACGTCAAATCCCGGGAACTGTGCTTTCATGAATTCTCGAAAGGCTGGTATGTGTTTTTCGAGAGGTCGGTAGGTACCGGAGTCGTTGTCGATATAGAGTTGGAATCTGACTTGGTCGGTAGTGTTTAATGAGATTTGAGAGGGTCGTCGGGAATCGTCGTGGAGGAACATGAGACCCAAGTCTCTATCTCTGTCTATGGTGCCTACTGAGTCTGTTCTGAATGGCGCAGCATATGGCGCGGCATATGGCGCTGCGTACTGTGCCGCATATGGTAATTGGGCAGGAGGAGACCAAGATGGTAACGTAGCCGGTGGTGCCCAAGCCTCAGGGTTCCTATCAGCTGTGGGGAGAGTATCACCCAGCATATTTTCACCACGGGAGAAAGTTTCCCTCGGTTGGCTCACAGGCCTATTCTTCATCTTTCTGTCATCCCGGTTCTTTGAATTTCGGTACATTAGAACACCGCTACTCGAAGATCCTGTTCGTGAGGAAACCGCGAATGATGGGCGTCGGTGGTGTTTTCTCGGTTTTCTTCTGATGAAAAACTCTCCGGCGAATGCTACGTGTTTGGCACCATTCGCTAGAATGACGTGTTTCGAACCGACTTCTCTAGCCCACCCAGCACCTACTTCGGACCATCGCATTTGGCCATCTACCGTAACTACGTATGTAAATAGTGCACCGCCAGTCTGTTCCTCTTCTTCTCCATCATCGCCTATACTAGGTTGCTTCTTCACCTTCCCAGACTCTGTAAGTTCTCCACACATCTCCAAGAAACGCTGAGATTTATCTAAATAAGAGTTTCCACACGGTTGGCCCTCCGTAGGCCGAGGGTTCTCCAGTTCCATAGCTTTAAATTCCGGATCACCCTCCACTTTACCGCCCATAAGAAGGCGACGAAGTTTTGATTGGTTTAGTTCCTCGCCATGGCTGTGGGGTTGGGTTTGGTGCGAATGTGCTTGAGGCGAATCCATCATTGTTTGCTCGATTGGGATTTCTGACATGGCCGCCGACCGTCTCATTATGGCGTCTTCCCTGTCATCTTGGATGATGACTCCGTAGACTGTTTTGAGGTCATGAGAGAAGATGTTTCGGTGATGTGCGTGTAAGGCGTGAGGAAGGATCTTTCCAGTGAATAGTTTCTTGATAAACCATTTAGAAGGGACGAACGGGTGGTTTAATTCTGGTGGAACAGGCCCTTGAAGCTGGAGGGCATTTGCTTGGAAGCTAATTTAGAAGATGTTCGAAATTAGTTTCTAAATTTTCGTAATTAAGAAAAATTAAGGTGTGCAGGTGGTCGTACTTGTACTTCTTGCCCCCAAACAAGGCACTTCCCGAGTTAATCGATGCATTATCGTCGGTCTTCTCAACGATACCAGTCATACGACCAGCAAAGGGAGAGAAGTGTTTCGAGAAGTAAGCTACAACAGAAATTAATTTAGCACACCAAGCTTAAATTTTTATATGTTAAGTATCCCTACCGGGTCCTGAAGTATAGGGAAGCGGTCTTCCACCATTGTCCCTAGTTTCACCGATAACTTCGATGCTCATATCAGCAATCGGCCTGCCGCTGCTAATCTTTTGACCATTAATCGCATTAATAACCGGCGAAAAAGCAAAGGCCCTCCAACTGCCACCTCCGTTCCTTCTCCTCAATTCAATTCTCATATGTTCCTTCTTCCAACCAATCCCCGTTATACCCTCAATTTCAATCTTAGTTTTCCCCAACCCATCATCTTTATTCGAAGGATCCTCGTCCCGACAGATAATTGTCATGGAAAACCCAGATTCGGGAACATTGCTTACGAGCCAAAACGTCTGAGGAGGGAATATCGGATGCAGGGTCTGGTGATGAGTTGGGGTACGAAAGACGATGATGGGGTCGTCCGGATCCGGACCGGTATTTTCCTTGACATGCCAGCCACTTTCTGTGGACTTTTTGGAAGAGACACCGAGTTTTATCTTGAGGTATGGGTCCGATGAGAACTTCCCAAGGTCTGCGACTGGGAGGTTTGAGACGGAGTGGAAGCGAATTACGATGTCGTACGTTTTCGACATTGTTGCAGGTACGTATGCCTCACTATGCAATGCACCTATGTATGTACGGCACGTACCACCGACGCCAATGCAATGCAGTCAAATGTGCAAATCAAGATCGAGCGAGCGCAAACTGCACGTCCAAGAATTCGAAGGAAGGTTCCGACGCCAAGAGAAGGTTTGTTCAGTTTATCTTTTGCTGTGTTGAGAGAGATGTCCGTCACAGCTACTTAGTAAATAGGCTGGTACACCTTCGTCCAATAACTATCGATATCTATTCGGTAAGAAAGGTAAGTAGGGAATTGATAAGCGAATGCTGAGGTGAAGCATGAAGGGACTAGCTAGGAGAGGGGTACTCGACGATTGCAGAGGGTTGATATACCTGGTAAACGATAGTAGTAAGCTAAGATAAATTCCGCGGAAGTCCTCGGTGTATCTATGAGCGAACACTCATCTGTAGACGTCCTTCAAAGCCACGGAAACCGAAATAAAAATTGTATTTGGTCGGGTTTAAGTTCGTGCGAAGAGAAAGAAATTTAAAGTGCCGATGACGTTGGGTTCCAGACGATGTTTGCGCTGATGTCTTAATTGGCTGGGCGGGGCACAGTTCGCACTCTTCAAATTCTAATTATAACTTACTCTTCTTTTCTTATACTACGCCCCAAAGCAGTTCATCTGGCGATAGTTATCATGAACAAGAAGAATAGAGACAAAAAATAGAAGATATCGGTGACATCTACAGTTACTAATCGAAATAAAAGAATCAGGTGTAAATTAATTGGTATTCAGAGCGGGGTGGTGGGTGTTAAATATATACTTTCTTAAGCTGTTAACTTACAACGTGCAACCTCACCTTGAAGAGCTGTTCGCGCGCACGGTACATACTTCATTCCATATCACACACCCTCACCAATTTATTATTAACCCCCCTCCCTCAAACATTAACACGGTCTCCTTGGCCTTTTTCTTTTCTTTCTCCAGCCGCTGCCGCTTCTGCGACGTTCGTGGCTCATGAAACTTCCTCTTTCTAACTCTTCTTCGCTGAATTCCTTTGCCCATTCTCTGCAACCGGCTTGGCCTTCCACTTATCGATGTCGACAAGACTCCACTCCTGCAGCTAGGCATGACTGGCAACAAAAAAAAAAAAACCCATAAGCTCAGCTGCAATATTTGGATTCCGAGATCCGAAAATCACTCGTTCGCTTCGACTGTCCTTTTTGCTCGTTCTTTTCTTTCAAAAATGACGGACATTCTTTGTGAGAAAGAAAGAAAAAAAAGGTAGCATTCCGATAGGACCAACCTACCCACACTCGGAATTGGACTCCGACCCTGCCCAAAAAGTCTGGGCAAAGCTTAGTCGTTATAAATTAGGTGACAGCTTGCGCGGCCTCCCCTCATCCCTAGTATACATGCAAGAAAAGACGGGAAAAGAATCTGCAGGTTTTGTTCAGCTACTGTACTTAGCTTGCCTTGTCAAGACAACTCGATACCTAAGTAGGTACATACCTAATGTATAACCTAAGTATTACATAGGAACCTGGAAATTCCATGTCGACTCGACTCGAGCGACGTGGTCACAAGGGTGGTCGCAAAAAAATTGCACAAACATGTTCCGTGATCTTAACCTTCAATCGTCCCAAATCGGGTAAATTGTGGGGCTCCGAGGTGAAGATTATTAAGTAACCGGCCCAGCTAAGGCTGAATACAAGGCTCACACATGGGAAGTGGGGTCTATCAAACGACCTCCAAGACTCCCAAGTCCGAAGGGAAACATGTATGCATACATACAGAGCCGACATAACTCCCCTTGCAACCGTCATATCGTTTCCCGTAACCGTAAGGCGATTTAGTCTACTAGTACCGAAATCCAAAAGTTGTCCGACGGCTATCTCGGCTGCCTTACGGCGTCATGTACAAACCTAATAATACAACATCATATCGAAGGGGTTTATGCATGATCTAGCTCGATAAGTTCTCTAGTGCTTGCACTACCCCCATAAATGTCGTGAAACTGGAGAAAGATGTTAACATGTTTCGTAGAAAGTCTTGCAAAATCAGCTTCCAAACAGGAATGTGGGCCGGGGTTGGATTGGGACTGATATTAGGCGGGCGGCACGGCGGACAGGAGACCTAACCTTTAAAGAAAACACTGGACACCACAGTAGCATCGGCATATATGCATACTCCTTTTAAGGTTACTTATTATATATATCAGTCCAAAAGTTCAAATTTTCTGGTTGCGTTATAACTTAGTATTACTCGCATGGAGCAAGTAATACTTGGCTGGCCAATTGGCTACTATCAATTGCAAGCTAAAATAACAAATTTTTATTTAAAGATAGTTATGAATAAATGGAGAATGAATGAGAGATATAGAGAATAGAGATATGAATTCAAGAACACATCAACGAAGAGTATAGAGCAGATCGTAGAGAAATAAGAAATAAAAATAGGTGACGGATACAAGATATCGACTATTGCGGCCGAGCAAGTGGATCAGACCTTAGCTATTTAGCCACTGGTTTGTTCCTTCCATATTGTCCACAAATACATGCCTGGCGTATACGTACTATGCTAGATATCCCATACAAATCCCTGAGAAACGCTAATTCCTCCTGAGACTGATGTCCAAAACATATAAGGCCTCTCTTTGAACAAGCACATGTCAACACCTGTGTTCTTACCCGGAATTGGTGCTTCTCCGTCACAGCTCAGCTTCTTCTGTGGCTTCCAATTACCGCCATCGACGGAGTCAGAGTAGAAAACTGTTTGGGTGGCATCATCAACCCAGAACAATCGGAAGAGATAGCCGCCGTTTAACACTGCCGCATCAGGGTTTGTTCCAGGTCGGAAGGTCATGCCTCCGTTCGTGCCCATCATTGGAATTGGCTGGACTGCAAACTTTCCTCCAAAGCATGTTGAGTACCAAGTTCCATCATTTGCGATACCGTTGAAGAAGAGGTACAACTTATCGTTAAACACAGCGGCGCTGGGGCTGGTGCCAGGAGCGACGAAAACACCCCGCAGCTGAGTCCAACTGGTTTTCCAAGCGTTGCCATCGAATGAAGTCCAGAAAATGCCCGAATTTGAAGTATAGAAGAGGTAAAGGAGGCCTTCGAAAACAGCTACGCAAGGCGAAGAATTTTCGTTCAATTTTGTATTTGCGATTTCGACCTTTGCAACTTGTGTCCAGGTTTGTCCGTTGAATTTGGTAACGTAAATACCTTCCCGTCCGCTTCCGTTGAAGAACAGATACAAAGCATCCTTATATTCAACTACAGCTGGAGATGTCCCTTGAGCGATACCGAGGGTTTTTGCCCCGAGTGTATTAAGGTTTTGAATGGGTTGCCACGTCTTTCCAATGCTCTCGGTGGTACTCGTGACCCAAACGCCATCAAAGCCTGACCCAGCATAAAAGAGATAAAAGGTATCTCGAAAGACTACTGAAGCTGGAGATGACCCGGGAAAAACACTGACTCCTTGGGTAGGGAGGGACTTTGGTTTAGTGAGAGACATATTGTTTGATTATAAGAAGATTTTAAAATTTTAAAACGAGTTTGATATTGGTTTGCGGGTATTGATATATCTGCTGATATTGATCTGTTGGTATCGAATGAATGAATAAGAGGGTATGAGGACGAGCTGCCCCCAATTTATACTTTCTGTGCCGGCTATTAATTTCCAATATTTTAGGAGCTTACAAGAGACTATCAACGATCAAGATGTGGGCATTCGCTGTAGCTGGTCACGCTGAATACCCAGGGCTGACTGGTAGCTTTGATGTTGAGCTGAAATCCAAAATGGAAATAGGCTTGCTGCAATGCGGCCCCCAGTAGGAAGCCCACGATCAATTCAGGTCGTTGTATTTTACAAAGAAGGCCAGCTCGCCGACGCATGCAATGGCTTGAAGGCAAATGAGACGCCTAGAATGCAATGTGCGATATCAGATCACACACTCAACTCAGGCGTGGATTGGTAGGTTTCCCATCCCGACTGGACACTAAACTTCTTTTATGAATTCAACATATAACCAAATGCCTCAAAGAGTGCGGATGCGACTAGTGTTAATCCATTGGCATGATTTGGTCCAACATGCCTAATTTTTCAAGAAAAAGAAAGAAAAAAGTAGACAGATCTGCAGACTGTACTTGGCGGGAAATTATATATGCACCTAGAGTGGGTTCAAAAAGCTTAAATCATAATCAGAGAATCCACTTGAGAATTTGCATTGTGGACAACATTGCCGCTGATATTACTGGTTAGCTTTCTATCAGTTTCTCCGAGGCATCTACTACGGGCACTCTAAAACAGTGGCGCTCTCAGCTATTCCGCAATGCGCGAGTGTAACAAGCGAAACATTCTTCGCAAAGCGGCAAAGGATCCCAGAAAGGTCAAATCTGCAACACCTGTTCACACGCCTCAGCAGACAAAAATCACACGACCATTACATGTATGTACGAAGAATATGTATTACTCAATTCTTCAGCGCCATGGCTTTCAACGACCATTGGAGGCCAATCATACGTGTGACACAAGTAGAGAGGACGACTTCTGCGGCATATTATGCAAAGGGCCATTCTCACTCAGACTTCAGTACTATATTGACGAAAAGAGTGAGCTGCTAGCCATCGGATCGATCATTACCACTAGAATATCGGCAATAAAGTCCTTTTTTTGGCCAGGCTGGCCATAGAAACGTCAAAGCAAGGCAGCAAATCAGGTATCTGGCTCATATCTTAGGCTTCGATGATAACCAACAGCTATTCAACTTAGGTAATTTCAATGATAAATCAATGAAGAGAATATATCTAGCTATTAAGAATATATATACTTCTCTTTTTACTAATATTTACTTGTAATAATAGGTTGACCCCCAAGATTTCTCAGCAGGACTACATCCTACCCGGTAACAAGAAGAAGAAAAGGAGAAGAAGGAGAAGGAGAAGGAAAAGGGGGAGGGGAATGAGAAGACGTTGGTACTTTTCCTCTCCATGTATGATCAAACTATGAAGCCAATAGTCACAGACGGCGAGGGCGCAGTAGCATTAGGTTATAATATATGGAGAACACGGGAGGAGCATGCACAACCATTGAGCCCTTACTGAAAAGAAGCTAAAATGCTTTCAGGGCAGGAAATAAATCCAATCAATTATGCCAACTCCCCCACGATATGCGATAGAAGGACAAAGAACGAACAGCAGATGTTATTCCGGGATATATATATGTTCCCTCAATTGTGTTGTGAAGTGTGGGATTTTAGTGTGCTATTTTCATGGCATTTAGCCTCGCGCCCGTGTCTGTAAATGAAGATCTCAAGATCAAGAAAATTTCTGGATTATCCGTAATACTAAACTTTATAAAGGTACAGAACCACTACGCTACATGGTGGTGGTTTACGTACGAGTCGGGGGATCGAATCCCTAGCATAAGCTTTGCCGTCGGCTGCCAACCCTTCCCGACAGACAGACTATATAGATAAATGCAAATTCACAACTAAATTTAAACAAAAGAGTAAAAGAATAAGGGAAAATAAGGAAATGAATTGGATATGATACAACGAGTGTGGTGGTAGTAGATATGGTGGCGCGCAAAAGACGGCCCGATATATACAGAACGCCGAATATGTGCAACTGATTTATAAATCGCAGTTTAGTGTGCTCCGAGCTGAAAACCCAGCCAAATATATCGATCGACCCAAAGGAAAATTCTTGCCAACTGGAAATAGAAAAAGGAAAGAAAGAAAGAGATATATGTATTCAAAAATACTTAGAAAAACGCCTCATTAGATGCCGTGGTTTGTTCCCAATACCCTCCCAATTATATCAAAAAAAAAAAAAAAAACAGACAAAAGAAAGAAATAAATAAAGAAAGAAAAATAAGCAGTTAATGGATACAAGAATTGAAGTTCGAAAGACAGACGACGACAAAAAAAAATAACGCCAATGATTCGTGCAGATTTGTTGTGTAGAGAGAAGTTATGATCATCTCGATCTACGGCTGGTATGTACAGTTCGAATTGGAAGTGGTGGAATCGGTGGAATCGGAGGTACGTCCGGTATTACTCCTAACCCATGAACATCGATAACCGGAGTAACAGGTTCAGGTTCGCTATACCGCCATTGGACCTTATCGAAAGTCCATTCATGTCCAGGCCTGGCGGGTGCGTCGTTAGACCCTTTGTTGAACATGGTATCGTGGTATCTCTGAAGATCGTGGATCGAACGGATAGTCGGATTCGCCTCGTTATCAGAAACGATTTCTTCCAGTTCCTCAACCGTGGGGACTGTGATAACGGTTGTCTGAGATTTGATTGTATCCCTATTCTTACTCCTCAGGGTATCGAATTCCGCTTTCTCCTCTAGCGAGATCCAATCGAATGCCCCACCCGGCCGACTACTATCGGTGCATGTAACACCGCTCTCGGCTTGTCCTCTAGATCCAGATGAACTCGATACGCTGACGAGTCCTCCGTTTTTCCATATAAGAATTCGAAGGGATGGGAGCGAAGCAATGATGATACCAATCGCTACTTCGACAGCTGACCAGACGGCGATATGAGTTTGGGTAGCAGTATCGGCCAAGACGGCGACACGAACGACACTGGCAAGCATGCTGAAGCACCCCAAAGTAAAGATTGTGACTAGTCCAACAAGTTGTGACCGACGTTGGAACTTGATATTGCGAAGTAGTGGGAAAGGTAAGATGAAAATGGCGATGTCGGTGAGAATGTTGCATGCTGTAGAAATTATGAAAACGGGGATGGTTGCGAAACTGAAGCAAATATCTTCCTTATTCAATGACCTACATCAGAGCCGCGATATCAAATTAGCTTGACTGTTCGACAGAAACACGATATATATATAGTAGGTATATGTAGTAAAAGAGAGAGAACATACCAATTGAGGCTAACCGGCATACACCAGAAGATATTAATGCTCAAAACCCCAAACATAGAAATCAACACCGCCGCCGTCACAAAATGCAGTGCCTTTCTATGTGCTGTCAACGAAGGCGGTATAATAGTATAATAAAACGACAGCAGAGCGCATTTAACCAGCCATAGGGCCGTATAATAAGGAAGCACCGATCCATATATAATCTTTAGGATCAGTACATTTTTTTCAGGGTCTTCGGTGATATGTGCAAGGTCGTGGTTGTAGGTCCGCTCCGGTATCATCAATCCCAACTTTAATAGCCATGTATCACAGGCAGCCATTGAAGATAAGGATAACCAAGCAAGTACTAGCAAGATATCACCGAAATTCACTCGGTCGCGCTGGATGAGCAATCTGGCCACCAGTCGGAGAGCTACCAAGTTGAATGTCAGGACTACTAGGCACCACTCTATCGACTATACAAACCCCCCAATAATGTCTAATTAGAATATTGTTCCCATAAAAGCAAAGAAAAGAATTAGTGAGAGGAGGATACATACGATGGTACCTTGCCCTGTGAGGGCCATCTCGCCGTAATATTATCGTCTCGACAAGCTCGATATTTGGTTGTTGCTCTTCATCCCGAAATTCAAATAGGTCCAAAAAAGGATATTGTTTTTGTTGGATATTCGACGCCGCCCTTCGTTTTCCACCAAAAAAATGCACAGTCCTCCAATCAATTGCAATCAAAACCGACCAAGCCCAGAAAGACCACCAATTACGAATCTGCCCCTTCTCGAATTCGATATATCCGAAAAATAAAAGAAAATGCTGGAGTTTGTTGAGGAAATATGTATATAACCCAAGTTCTCTTTCCCACGTTATGTCGCCTAATGGTATTGTCGGATTGCTAAAACCCTTTTGAAAGTAAATAGACAGGCCTCGAGAAGAGTCGAAGAATAGGGAAATCTCGTGGTTTTAAACAAATTCTCTAAGACCTTCGAGAAGGAATTCAAAATCTGGGTCTGATTTCCCGCCCATCCTTCATTGGCCCATCCAGTTTTAGCATCCCCCCAAGGAAAAGAAAAAAGAAACGAAAAAGCAACCTGCGACATGCATGGGGCTTGAGGCAATGAATTCGAATTTTGGGTGGAGAAAAGACCTTCATTTCGACAGAAATGGACCACGCACCCGTCGTTTTACAACATTTATCACGAAATATCATTGGGCAGATCAGGACTGAGAACGTGATTAGTGTGTGTGGAGCCCACGCCGAAAACCCTCATTTTGATGCTTGAATGGAAAGGAAAAGGGAAAGCCGGCTAAAAACGTGCTCCTTACCAGAACCACTTTTCCATTCACTTTTCATCTTTCCGGCTGGACCGTTTGTCTGGGATCGTTGGATCTGGAGCATCCTTCCCCATGCGAAGACATGGATACCGCTGCTTACACCAATACGAGGGGTAGGCCCGCGCAGGTGAAGGGAAAAAAACCACACCTTTTCATTCTCAACATGACCAAGTTCCCATCGGAACGAACCTTGTGACGCTCAAGCATCCGTGCATGTCCATGCGACAACAGGCCGGGGATACAAAAGAGCCTGAACACTCTCCTGGGATTTCTTTTCAGTTTTCTTTACGAACTCGAAATCTTGGATTGCATTTTTAATTCTGGTCAGCTAACCAAAACAAATAGTCCTTTGTTTCCCGTATTTCTGGGTTTTCTAAAAAAAAATGATTACTCAAAAGGAAAAAAAAGTCCGCACCGCCGCCCATAGTCGATGGTCTCCGTAACCGCCTGGCATTGTCAAACTTTGTGTAAGGCAAAAGAGAATCAGGAGTCCTATATTTTGCGAAGGGGGAAAAGTTTTCTAACAAATTCAACAAAATTTAAACTGCGTTTATAGAAGGAATTTTTGTCTTTCTCGAAGCCGCGCCTTTTGTGTTATTAACTCCCCCAATCAGAGATGAGAACACAGTGGATCATGACTTCCAGAAGGCGCCGAAGTGAAATGGTGAGAATACGTGATGGCAGAAATGGCAGAAGTTAATTATGATGACACTAGCCGGAAAGGGGGACAAAGTCCCGATAGACCCTGGCCTTTCAATACAAGATGGTTGCTTCAAGATAATCCGGACATGGTAATCTTCAAAACAATTTGGTTGTTTAGATCATATCCTTTTCAGGGCCAGCGACCCAAAAGCTTGTAAGATCTCAGGGGCCAGGTCTTAAATATATTAAATTCTAACTCCGGATTATTTTCGCTGCGAACACAGTATTATGTATTGATTTACGTCTACATAGTACACAGGAAGTATGTATATATGTATATATGTATGATGCCTGCTGCAGCGCTGGCAGCTGATGAGCATCCGGCAAATATTCGTAGAGTGCCGCTACTCCGCAGATGTGATCTAGTCCTGCGCCAGTTGCATCTAGATCACTATCCCACGCCGCAACGTTGACGAAAAAGTGGGGGGGAAAGATCTGTGCTTCTGTAAGCCCAAAGCCCAAGCACACAACTAACGACGTGTATCTGCAGAACATGCATGCAAGTTCCGATCACCACCTTAAGTTTCTCCAAGTTTATCCGTAGGCGCTAGTTCGAGATATTGATATAGGATAGCGCTCGTTAGTTAGGCATCTCCGTGTACTAACTATGGTTCCGTTGGATATAGTTAGGTCCGGACAACGGACTAAGCTCCGCTTTATTATAACCTCGGAACCAAAAACTGCGGCACTGCAGTCGTGAGGTTCTTTTATGTGTGTGCGCTGTTCATGACGGCAAATTTTGGAGCATGCACCATCGATGTATACCAGGTATCCTTGATATAAGAAAACCAATAAACAAAGTACTTGATATGCCTCAAGACCGGATCCATGGACTTGAGCCATATTACTCACTTCCTTCCATAAACGTGTAAAGATTTAGGATGATACATCCATATTATGCATCTCTATTTTCCCCAGCTTTTTCGACCGCGTGCGAAGCCAAGTTCTGTAGAAAGTCCTTTTCGCTTGGAGGGAAAAAGCCAAGGAGGCCTGACCCACGCCCCCAGCCTCCAACCTAACCTCTTGACATGGAAAAGCATTGGCAAACCAGACCATATGACGACATTTTGGATCGCCCTCACGGCTCTGGTTGGTCCACGGGCGCCAGTCACGACCCAACTCTTTCATGACTGGACCTTTTTTTTAAATATCTACGCGAGAAATCTAAAAAGGCCGTATATTCTTATTTGCTGTTCAAAATGATCGATGATGAAGGATGCGGTGACGATGATGTCGCGTGCCAGGGCGCTGTTCTTGAGTGGATCGATCTTAAAAAACCAGGAAGGTCCCACCGATCCTGTGTGTTCGAGGGCTACTCCGTACAACTATCAGATTCCCGTAAAATTAGCTAAATATCAGGCACAAAACTTGCTCACTTTCTGATTATCAATATCAAACATCCGAAGATAAACCCCAAAAATATCCCAGAAGCTCTTACCTTCTTATTTTGTTAAAATTGTGAGACGTGGTCGTTTCGGTTCTTCGAACGAACAGAAGCTAGATCTATAAACAGCAGGAGCTTGAAATCTCCCAAAAATGCCGACCGATCTGCCTGGACACGACGACAGCTGGCAAGATGTGTGGAACCGTATCACAGCAAACGTCGGACTCGGGTTCCTGAACTTGCCATCAAATGTGGATGTGAACGACTTGATATGGTTGCACACAACCACAGCATTCCAGCGAAACGGCGTTTGGTGGACGGAGTTTAACGCCTCGTTCTTCCATGGCGATTCAGGAAATCGTGAGTAACATCGAAGCCGTGTTGTATTTTTGGCGACACAACGCATGTTTCGTTATTATCCTCGATGCAATGCTAACCCGAAGCACTGTACACGGTAATAGATCCCTCGAAGCTTGTCGCAGAAATAGCGAGGTTGATAGGAATAACAGAGGATGACAAAGAAACCCGCGAGATTGTTGCTAAGCGGGCAAAATTGTTTCTCAGGAAAACCATTATCGGGCGGAAACTGAATGTTCAGATCGAAAATGGACAAGTCGTTGCTCTGCCAGGCAGCGGGTCAAGCGGCATTAGTGCCAAAGAGCTTCCCATCCCTTTTGCTACTGCTCCAAAGGGTGGCGATATCGTAAAACTCTGCGGGATACTCCCTGCAAATTCCAAATACGGGCCCGTGGAAACCGATATGACAGTTGCTGATCCGGAGGGCTGGGCGGTCATCTCTGGTACGTCAAATATTCATGGGCCTCTGTAAAAAATACCTAAAGTTAGAGCTTTGGACTAATAGTCGAGTTATAGATATCGACGACACGATAAAGGTCACAGATACTCTTTCAATGAGGAGCCTCCTAGTTCACACATTTGCTGAAGAGCCAACACCTACACCTGGGTTCCCAGACTTCTACAAACACTTGGATAAGGTGCTTGACAAGCCAGCCTGGTTCTATATCTCGGCCTCACCTTATAACCTGTACCCTTTCTTGCTCTCATTCATCAAGGCAAATTATCCTTTCGGTCAGCCCATCTTGCGAGATATGTCTTGGATGTCTGTCGCGGGTTTGATGGCATCAGTATCAACTGGCACACAAGAGTATAAAACAATGGAGATTAAGAAGCTTATAGGCCAGTGGTTACCGAAACGAAAATATATATGCATCGGAGACAGCACACAAACAGACCCAGAGACTTACGCAGAAATGTACAAAGCATTTCCGGAAGCTATCAAAGTTATTTGGATCAGAGTGGTGACAGGTGTTGACGAGGCAGAAGAGAAAAAGAAGAATTCGGCTGAGAGGTTTGATAAGGCTTTTAAGGACGTGCCCAAGGAGGTCTGGAAGACATTCCACGATGTCTCAGAGTTGGGCGGGTTAGCTGAGGGATTGAGGCTTTGATGTCAAAGGGATACGAGTCTAGATGTCTAGACGTCTAGGCTATGGGCCAATGAAGTATCGAGGGTTGCAAGCTCGGCGGTATGACCCCAATTGAAATGCAATAGAAAAAAATCCAAAAAAAAGTCCAAAAAAAACGGGGGTGGCCGAGAGAGGTTTTTGGGAATCGAAATGGTACCCTGCGGGAGCGCCCCACCACCCACTTACTGGCTAAGTTTTAGATCGACTCGAATCCGAATTGGCTGTTCCCAACCAACTCGGCCATCTCTCAGTTGAAAAAACATAGTCCCATCAGCGATATATATACCCGATATGCTTCTAGGGCACTACCACCACTACCACCCCGCTACTATACATCTTATCGTCTTTTTATCTTATCCGCAGATGCCATCCATGGTCATGAAAGGAGGAAGGAGTCGCTTTATTTAGGATATATTTAATTCCATTATCCAGGAAAACAAAAAAGAATCAAAAGTCTACAAAAAAAAAGTGGGGAAATCTACAGTCTTTAATGTAATTTGGGTTTGGATAAGCAATTAAAGGATTTGAAACGGCCTCCTTTTATATCTTTTACGCTCATTAATTCTTAATGGCCGGGTTTATACAACTTCGATCTTAATTCCGAATTTCAAGGAGCGGGTATGCGAATCAACTTTCTATCCTTCTTGATATGTTACAAAAACCAATGTAGTACTAACTAAAATGAAAACCGTTCTGTACTGTTCTATTCCATTCTATTCTATTTTGCTCCATTGCTCACTACTTGATGTATCTAATATACTAATCTCGTTATACTATATCCGTTCATACTAATAATGCTAAACGTGTACAGCTGTTTTAATATATTCACTGATCTCTAACCCGGATCTATCTGTGTAATACTGGTCGCACGACACTGCTTCACATCGCACAAATTATAGCACCTACTATAGTTTATAGCTACCCACCTGCATGTCAAGAACTTGGTTTATGTGTGGCGTTCCTTCCATGCGCTGGCTTGCTAGCTCTAACTAGCCAGCTCAAGCTCTAGCTGCCGCTTATAACTATAATTATTATGCTTACTGTTTCTAGACGCGTCGACAGCCCCCTAATATGATGCTTCTCTCTGTACAAAGCTATTATTAGCTCTCAGTTCTCTCCGCGCGTGGTGCCTAGCTAGCTCTCGACGAGGCCGCGAGGTTGCCTGTGATATAACGTTATTACCGAGAGTGGGGCGAAAGCTTGTGTTGTCTTTGAAGACTTCGACGGGGATTTTAGCGAAGGACGAATCAAAGCCTCAGAAGAGAGCACAAGGCTCCCAGGTTTCTCCCAGTTCGTATCAACTGATCCATCCTCATCCGATTCACTCTCACCGAACTTTCAACCGGCTGGCTGGCGAAGGAGCCGCAATCTATCGGCGTTCTCGATACTCCTTCGTATTTGTTACCCACTTGTTGCCAGGGAGCCAGAAGAGCCGCTATAGCTAGGCAGTTAGAACCCGCAGTTTTGAAGGCTTCAAGGCTGCGAACTCGACTGATATCGCTTGCTAATTTTATATTTATAAGCTTCTACAGGTATAGGCTTCGAAGGCGAGGCCATGATACAGCTATAGCTATCACTACAGCCGGCATGAAGTCATCATCCAAGGTTAGTTCGGAAAGAAATAGCTTGCCAATAAATATAAATTCTTGTTTGAGTGTGAGCCCTGTTAGCGAATAGCGATTCAAATGGACCCTTCGAACTAACCCGATTCCATCAGCCTTGTCGACGATCCAACCGAAAAAGCTAAGTTTGAGGTTTGGCATTACTCTCGATTGAGAACAAGGTTAAATGCGGTGTGGAATTTCGCTCTTCCGATATCCCGGATACATGCAAAGAGGAACAGGCATGCGACCACCCTCGACGGCTGTGCAGCTGTTGCTTCCAAAAGAGCGACTTAAGGGCGACCCTTTCTGAGGAAAAAAAAGCGGGAGATTGGTGCCTTGGCCTACCTAAATACAAGCCTTCGCAAAGCTGCAGTTCCCGATTGCATTTTTGGCACGCTGGTGGTCCACACTTTCTGCGCCCAGCTATAAAATTAAAATATAGAACGAACTGTTGTTTTCTTCAATCGTCCATCCATCCGATCTTTGAAGCCGAAAAAATCGAAAGGTTGCTGGCTGTGCTGCGCATGCGCCGGGGAAGCTTTATAAGTTGCTCTGCCACTCGAGATTGCTACTGCGACTTTGTTCGCGTGTGTGGATCGTTCGAGTCCTCGGGTTTTATATATTGACAGGATTTCCCCGAACGTCGTCTCGGGTTCTTGCTTTAATCGATATACATAGAACAAGCAACTGTGTTCAGCTAGCCGATTTATCGATTGAGCTCAGCTTCCCCGCTATTTTGAGTTCCACCAAATTACAACATCGCAACTCTACCTTCGCGTAACACGATTATCCCATATTGCACGTTCGCTCTTTCGTATCTATCGCGATAGACCCCCAGCGACAGAGGACGGTCCAACTCGTTCCCGTCGTTAGTTCGAAATGGAGAACCTAATATTCAGAACATTGGATGACGATAAGTCGAAGAAGAAGGACAAAAAGGACAAGAAGAAGAAGAACAAGGATGGTACAGCGGCGGACTCTGAGTCTAGCGCGGCTGGGTCCGAAAGAAATCCTTCAATTGACAGCCGTGCCTCGCAAAGCACAAATGATACCGAGCCATCAGAGGCGGAAGGAGAGTATGTTTCCCTTGACTAACATAACTTCCAATCCCTTTCCCCAGGAACACTAAACCAGAAGGATAATCAGGCTGACATGAAGTAGTGTCCCGGCGTACTCGGAAACAGCAGAGCTACCGGTCCCTCCACCTGCTTTTGTCGCTCCCATGATTCGCCATCTCCAACCAAACGTTTTCCCAACTATGGACCACTGTATGGCCCATCTAAAGCTCCTACATGCTTTCAGCGCCATGCGAGATCAGATCGAAAACACAGATGGCATCTTTTTTGCCACAGTCCCGGCAGTTGGTGAACCCATAACCGATGATCTTCGCCTCAAGGATAAAAGATGGAGTATCTTTGTTTCAAGGGCAGTATATCGCTTCACCGCCTGGTGGAACACAATACCAGCCCAGAAGGCAGGCGCGACGTGGCACCGACTGAACACTGGATACGATTTCAATCACGACATGGAGTATGCTACTATTAGTGGTAGATACATGCCATTTGACATGACGAATCTACCACCATTGGACGTCCTGATGGTTTGGCATGCCTATACCTTGAATCCAAGGTGCTTCTTCCAAGATTGCCTTCGCTACGGGAGGATGGATTTCTGGTTTACTGGATTACCGTGGGTTGCAATTGTATGTTCTCTATAACGTGTCCCGTATAATGACGACTATTGACCCAAGCAGAATGAATGCATAGACTCGTATACCTTCGAATATAAACTGGCGGATTCAGCAGTTTACAAATGGGAAGCCAAAACGAGGCTTCCATTCAATAACTTAGATACGCCCAATTATAAAGGGCAATGTGCGGGATGCGGTAACGCATTTGAGGCGCCCTGGAATGCCCCAGACGATACCGGGTTTGCAGACAAGGGCTTCAAGCTCATTTGTCCAACTCTGAGCTGTGGTAAAGTCCACAATATGGACACTTTGTCCAAGGACAAGTTCACCAGAGAGGCGAATGAACTCTATTCTTCAAATTACCCGATGCCGGGGACATTATTGGATCTTCATGGTCTTCCAAAATCTATCACGGAACACGAAAAGGCGTGGGACAACTTTACGATGCCCAATAGACTACTAAAGGAGGTTATTTTCAACGTTCGGACGGTGCCTCAAAATAGCGGGGTTTCTGCTATTAGAACAGTCCTTGAGACTGCGCTAAAGAGCAGCACCACCGTAACAAAAGCATCAACTACAGAACGAATAACCCAGGGAAAATTACTCAATGTCCACAAGTTGTCCATTCGCCGCATGATGTCAGCCTATTGGGACAACCCCTGGCCCCAGAGCATAAACCTCATCGGTGCCGTTCTGCGACAAGGGACTTTCGTATCCAAGATGGCAAACGACCTTAACTGGTATCACTCACCGGCCTTAGGGAACACTGTATCTCGAGCTTGCACCCGGTACAACCGATTTATTTCCCTAATGAGAGCTCGGTCGCGGAAGATACTGGTTCCGACTCTTGATATTGATTTGGCATGGCATACCCATCAAACGATGCCCCACAACTACTACACCTACACCGTTGGCGCAACCGCAAGATTTGTAGACCATGACGATAAAATTGATGAATCGAAACTTTCCACCGCATTTGAGTATACCACCAAAGAATACCAAAAGATCTACAAGGAGGCATACTCGGAGTGCGGGTGCTGGTATTGTCAAGTTGTTCGCCAACAAACAGTTGGTTCGGTAAGCCGAATATTCTCGAAAAAGCCAATAGAATTCGACTGCGGTACCGATGAGCCTCGCAATCACCTCTCCACACACGGTGTCGTCAGAGTTGAGGATAGAGCGATGGAAATGCAAAGAAAAATACTGAAGGCCAATTTGGATAAGGCATATAAGAAACTTTGCGAGGAAAGAAAAAAGAAGGGGAAGAAGCCGCCAGCGCGGCCTGACTACTGGGGGTATTACTATGGACCTTACTATCCATATGCATACTACCCTTATGGAGTACCATACATTCCTCCATTTGGTATGGACCCTTGTATTGGTAGCGGCGTGTATGGCTGCAACCCAGGGTGTGTAGCTACAGCTGCTGGCGCGTATGGAAACTGCATCGCAGGTGCCTGTGGAACTCAAGTAGCAAATGGAGGCTGCGGAGGAGGAGGTTGTGGCAGTTGTGGTGGTGATAGAGCGGCATGTGGAGGGTCTAATGGTGCATGCGGTGGTCACGCTGGTGGTGGTTGCGGAAGTGGAGGAGACGGAGGAGGAGGCGGTGGAGGTAGGTTCCAGACCTGAGTTTATACTCTTCTGATATCAAAAAGTAGTGGTTAAGCTAACGTATTCTTTGTAGATGGTGGTGGTGGTGGATGTGGTGGCGGCTGCGGTGGCGGCTGCGGAGGTTAATCCCTAGAACTTCTTTCAACAACTAGAGGGGTGGGCATTGGAAATGTTTATGCTTTTGTCCACTATGAATTCATGACAATCTTTTTTGGGGGGAGTGCATCACTCTTTTAAGCAACGATTCTAGACTTTTTTTTATGCGGTTTTGCGGCATTGCGGGGGGTTTAATGGGGCGAGGTCGATCGAACAAGCGTTAGACCTTTTACTTTGCGATACGACGAAAATTTGGAATTTTCAGCTGCATCAACTCTCTCTGCTCCCTTTTCAGATTATTAGGTTGTGAAGAATTTGTGTGCATGATCAAGATTTAATTTCTTACCTTGAGCCGGATTTTGTCGAGATGGGATTTAGGAATTCTGCATCGAATTTGAAGATTTCCCATGTACATGTTCACGGATGTCCGTGAGTTCATGGACATCACATAATTGCATGCATTCCCGCCCTACAAGGCTCCTGCAAGCCCTATTGACTTTTATAAATCGTGATTTCCGTTCCACGATGGAATATTATGACAACATCGCCCATATGCATGCAAAGTTGAAAAACCCCACCAAGACCTATCGGTTACTGACTTGTTCTCAACATCAACTTCAGAAACCTCAAAACAGAACTGACTCCAAATCCAAAATATAATCACAATATGCCGCCCGATAGTATTACTGTGAATAAAAAACGGGCTCCTTTCTCCTCCCTGCCCACCGAACTTCACGAACACATCCTTTCCTTCCTCCCCTTCGACACCCTCTTCCTCGCTAGTAAAGCCCTTCCCCTCTGGCACAGCATATTCACCACCCGCTTCCTAACGAGTACCGAATACACCCCACCATGCAACTACAACATCCCAGGCACGCACCAAATCTTCTACGGCCAAAATTCCGACTTCACCTGTCTCGTTCAAAAGGGTATAATCCACAAGATCTATTTAAACTACGACACAGGATTCAAACTCGACATAACAAACGATCCAATCCTCAATTCTAAATTCTTCCGATCAGCTGAAGATAGAGATGTAATATACCCTTGTGTCTCCATTGTTCCTGATCCAACCCGCAGAAGACGTACTCGTCGTAAGACGAACCCGTATATCCTACCTAAGGAAAAGGAGCTGGGATATTACCAGATTAGTCCTACGGTTTACCATTTAGACGAGATTTCTACAAGGGATACAATAAAGCGGGTTGCGGAGGCATTGGCCCGTGGACACCGTTGGGAACTTCCGCAGGGGCTTTCGATGAAGAGATATTGGATGGAAATTGGACCCGGGGTAAGGAATCGACGGGGTCTGCCTTACAGACAGGGGTTGGAGGCGTTTTTTCGGGGTGAAGTTAAAGGGGAATTAATTGTTTGAGGAACTTTTTTTATCAATTATTAACGCGGGTAGGATATTAAGCGTAGCTTAGTCAATACTTACTGTCATTTAGGTAGAAGGCTTAGCGACGGGTTTGATATTAAACTTTATTGCGGGGCTATAGCAAGTTGTATGTTATTATAAAACTGCACGTATTAGGGATACTATGAATTTAATGTTATTATGTGCGCACTGGATATCAAAAGATGCATGTGTGATTTGGTTGAATTGAATGGCGTCTCGAATCTTAAAGTTAATTAGGTAAATTAACTAATTAAAACCGATAACTATTCCTAAGTAGTTATCGTATACATGAGAACATTGATCCATATGCCCATAGCAGATGTGATTGTTTTTTTTTTCGGTGTGAATTTTGAAAGCAAAAAATGGTAGACTCCTGTCCCGATGAAATGTATAAAAATAAAAAAAAAGACATAAACGTTAAGATAGTTTAGGTATCAAATGAGTGAACAAATATCCCAAGATTCCCTGATATGAAAGAAAAATATCCCAGCCCAAACAAATTAGGGGAAGTTTTTAACATAAAAAAAAAACATGAAGGCTTTTAGTAGAAGTATCCGTACTTCTTGCAGTACTTGGAACCATTAGGATTAGACTTATTAGCCGCGATACAAGCATCACGTTGCTTCTTGCACTCATTGCAAGCATTGTTGTAGCTGTTATAGCTATTACCACGGACCCAATCCCAGGTCCAGCCGTATCCGAAAGTTCTCTTCTCAAGGGCCTCTTCCTCAACAGAGACAGACTTCTTGTGCCACTTCTTGTACCTGTTCAACTTTGGCTTGTTAGTAGAACCAGCGTATTGAACACGGCAGTTCTCGTATTGAATGTTGCAAGCCTCGATACAAGCGCCACCGATGGATCCACGTGGGAAGGAAGCGCATTCCTTGTTCTTGTAGGAAGAGAAGACCTTCCAGCAGTTACCACGGTTGTAGTCAGTCTTATCATCATTGCAAGAGACGACTGGAGCCTTGACACCACCGACTGGGCTCTTGTATGCGGTTGGAGTGACACAGACGTTATCAGTTGGGGTTGGGGTTGGCTTTGGTGGTTGAGGAGTCTTGGTTGGCTTTGGTGGAGGAGTTGGCTTGACTGGTGGATACCAACCATCCCAATCGTCGCAGTCCTTCTTGTTGCACTTGTATCCACACTTGTCCTTGCAGTATTTGTGGTAGATGGCACAACCGGAGGCGAGCTTGGTACACTCGTCGACGTAAGCGGCACCGGCCTTGTTGATACATTCGTTAACTTGGGACCAGCAGAGGGCGGCGACGCTCTTGCAAGATGGCTTGTCTGTGAAGGTTGGGAGAGGTGGAGCGCAGTAACCACCGCATCGGGTTCGGCATGAAGTGGTGGTAGTCTTGGTGGTAGTGGACTTGGTGGTGGACTTGGTAGTAGATTTGGTGGTAGTTGGAGTAGTGGCTGGAGTGGTTGAGGCAGTGGTAGACTCTGTAGTGGCTATAATTTCACGCAAGTCAGTATATAACTTCTAGATATATATAGAAAATAGGATAATCACATACTTGGAGTAGGCTCAACATAGGATGTAGTAGTAGTAGTGGGTTCTGGTTCTTCAGTAGTGGTAGTGGTGGTAGTGGTTGGCTCTGGCTCCTCTGTGGTAGTGCTGGCAGTAGTAGTGGGTTCTGGCTCTTCAGAGGTGGTCGACGAGGTAGTTGGTTCAGCAGTGGTGGTAGTGGTAGAGGTATTTGGGCCCTCTCCGCATGGCTCAGTAGTATCAAGCTCGTCGTTATAGTAGACGTAGATAGTGCTGCGTCCACCGCATGTCTGGTCGGTATTACCCTTGCATGGAAGATTGCATTTGGCATCATCGATAGGAGCGACACCTGGGGCGAGTTTTCCGGCGCACCAACATTCCTTTCCGTATTCTACACCGGCGTAGGCGTAACCTTGCTTACCGCACTGGTTGAGACAGAGTTCGACGGTCATGGAGTCACCATTGATATCAACTTGGTCATCGGTAAGCAGTCTGCCGGAGACCTCGTTGAAACATCCAATGGCGGTGTAGTCAGCACCAGCAGTTGCAAGTTCCTCTTCGGTCTTTGGTGGATAAGTGGGATCGTAGTAGACAGAGATAGCCTTGCTGCCACCACAGATCTGGTCTGGGTTACCATTGCAGGCATAAGTACAACCCTTCTTAGCATCTCCCACATCAACATATGGAGTACTAGCAATGGTAGAACCGCAAGAGCACTGTCCGTAGTACTCAAGACCGGCGTAGCGGAAACCGTTGTTCTTACAGGCGGACCAGCACTTCTCGTGGGTCATACCAGGACCATTGATACCTGGTCTGAATCGGAGAGTAGAACCGCTTGGGTCATTGTAACATCCAACATATACGAATGGGTCGAATGTATAAGGGCAGACCGGGTAATGGGGTGTATAGGATCTCTTGCTCATGAGATTATATCCCATCCCTTGGTCTGAAGCCAGGACATAGGGAACGAGCGCGGCCAATGCCAGCGCCATCTTAGAAGACACCATCCTCACAGGTTTAGGCTGTTGTGGTGAACGAATGTATGAAGATAAGAATAGTCAATGACTAGATTGTAAGCGATAGACAATAAAGACTGTATATGAAGGAGAGATCGAGCCCTGCCAGATAAAAATGACGCCTTCGGGGGGATTCCTTGAGGTTTATATAGACTTATCCATTGAAGTCAATATTGTCAACGAGCCGACTGCTATAATAGCCCTTCGGTCCTATAGGCCTGGCCTGGGCCGCATAAATCTGATAGCTGATAGCGCACGGTTGCCGAGCGCCGACTAAAGAAAAAAAAATACATCCCAGTAGAGAGATTCGTGTGATGCTGTAATTAGTTGCTTGCATAGTGCAGCTTAGTTACAGCCAGCACAGCTGTTGGTACGAAGGGGGGGAAGGAAGGATGTTTCCCCTATCGACATGGTCAAAATGGTCGTTCAGCAGAGCACATGGATATCGACCCTAAGAAAGAAAGAAAAAACCACATAGTATTAACCCGATAAGCGAAATTTCTTTTTTAAATTGGAGCTGATTGGGTTGGCCATACCATTTTAGGAGCCCCGGGTCTGTGGGTTGGCTGCGTGGTTTGTGAAGTCCTGCTGAGGGTATCTCGGGCGGCAAGAACATGTGTATCGACGTTCAGTGGTTGCTACTCTGCAGGAGCCTGTAATCTTGCGCAAGTCATCCTATCCCTGCCAACTGACGTCTGGTCTAACTCCCTTCGGCTGGGTTGGATTGGGCCGCTCAGGGGTATTATCTCGCCCCAGACCTCTGCGGCGTTTGCGCATTAGGCCCTTTTGGTTATAAATTTTCCGGTAACACTGTCCGGTAAATTCGGCTTTGGGCGAGGAGAACCCACGAGAGTCAATGTTGGGAGACGTGGAGTCGAGACTCGAATTTCTGCGCCTTTGGTAGCTGTATATCTCGGCGTGCAGCAAATCAATGCAGGCGCAGCAACTATGCTTGCTAGGTGACCTTGTCAGGAAGAAAAGAATCCTTCGCATAACTTTTCCGGTCCGGCGAATAGATGACAGCTGCAAATTCGCATCTGCATCCAACAGGGTTTTTCGCCGAAGGTTGAGAATCCTCGAGAAGGAGTCTGGGACGCGTCGTTTCGACGCACTATTAACGGATACGATAACCTCCTGTTATCCAACAGGTTGCAATGCGTTTCAACCATCCTGGTGTTTCCATTAATAACAAATTGGATAATATCAATTTCGGAGGCAATACCTCACTGAATGGAATAGAATAATGAGATGTTGAGAATGCGGCGGCTTGAGATTCCAACTTGGGCCTCATCAAGGGACGAGCGCTTGCCTCAACATCACAGTTGAAAAGCGCACCGTGGGCGGAATGGTTGTTTCAGCGTCTGCCGTCATTCATATTAATTTGCTCCGACGGGAATCCTGTGACGCAAATTTGTTCAGGAAGGTGGATCTGATATCAAGAAAGCCTCGCCACGGGAAATATTAAGTTAGTTTTACTAGTTAGTGCAGGGCTGGGCCCACTCTCGCTGTCAGAATCGAAGAGGCTTGCACCAAGAGTGGTCCATGGTTGAGGAGGCCCAACAGCGACAATTGTCCTCTGGCAATCGGAGAACATTAGCCCTCGGCCTTTGCCAGAACCAGCTTTGGTCTGCGACATCAACATCAACATCTGATGTCTCTGTTGAACCACAGACCAAAAAGTTCCACGGCTTCTTTCGAAGTCTGTGAGATACTAATTTGCCGCTGCGGCTGATGATTTCATGGTGTTGAAACCGACATCGCCTATTTCAAAAATAAAACTCAGGGAGAAGGAAAAAAAAACTATCATGTGGAGCAAATTAAAACGTGCACATTCCTCGCCCAGATATCCGTTCTAGCTGCAGAAGATTTAATTTTGGGTATTCGACTGTCGGCCTGGAATGCTCGGGCTTTTGGGGACTTAACCGGCTTTGGCTCTGGTCCCGATAACCCAGAGCTCGTCTGATATCTTCCACTCAAGAGAAACAAGCCGCCGTCCGTTAGTCCAAAGACCGAGATCTATCTGCTAACTGATTTCGGCATCGGCGGTTTCGCATGGGAAATATTGTGTGTCCCTTAGCTAGACTTCAAAGTTATTCCGTGGCTTTGTAAATGCTAGCCTCGAGCGTGAGGGAGTCTTCAAAAACAAGACTACTCTCCTCGAGGGGTTTCCGGCGCCAGCCATGTGGGTTTGACTAACTGGTTGATGGTTGGTTCAGGTGTCAAGATCGGGACGGACCTGTAGGGTGCATGTACGATGGCTGCACCCTGCAGCTGACGGCACAATTGGCCCTGGCTTCCCCGCTCTCCCACAGCCTGTCTTGCTTTCGCTAACCTGCAATTCTGTAGCACAGGGCCCTTTGCGAAGCAAAGAATTATGAATTCGAACCGGAGCGCCTACAGTCCACATGTCCACATGTCCACAGTAGGGCTAAATCATAGGAGTCTCTTAGCTATTATTATTATTATAGTTTCTCCCGTCGGTTCGTTTGTGATCTAATGCAGGATCTACTGTACATACATACACAGTATAAATGTAGCCCATGTTTAGTGTTAGTTGTTCGGTACGTATATGCTGTGTATCGTCGACTCTTTGTCGCCTTCCGTGCGCCAACGATCGAGTGAACGTTGAACAGGTGTAGCGGACTTACCCAAGAGAATCTGATTAATTACCTTGATCAACTTGACCGCGAGCGCTGTGATGCATATGCCGAAGCATCCGGTCGGCGGGGGCGCGAGCACACCGAATGCGATTCTGAACCCCCAAAGAACAGTATCAGTTGCATGAAGATGGCTGAAACTGAATGAACGGGGACCCATTGATGGGAGCCTCCGCATCGTCATACCACTCTCGCAGAGCAGCCCTTGCTTCAGCCATAAAGTTCACATTGTAACTAGCCGACAACACGCTCGGCCTTTTTTAATTTTTCGTTTTTTGCTCTTTCGCTTCGAGCAAAGATTCTGATCCTGACCATCACCGAATGCGACTTTCACATACTGACTAAGAGGCTAGTCAACTATCACTCCTGCAAGATCTTGTGCGCGCGCTAACTAGAAAATTTTTATCTTCTATGACTATTCAAGACAAGAGGCACTCTGGCTGGCTCAATGCAAATGAGAACAATTAAAGGGAAAAAGCACATGGTGACAATGTGACAGCCATGTGGTCGAGACATGACATCCACCACGAAATTTGGATATCATTCCAGACTCAAGATACCTGGCTAGTTAGTAGTAAAAAAACTGGGAGGAAGAAAAACGCCGGACACCATTATCAGGAGATCGCCCTCTCTCCACAAACCAAATTCGGTCTGAGGGGATTTTCCCAATGGCCCAGCGAAGCGAACGGGAGATCGGTCCTTCAGGAGAGAAAAGCACATGTGGACAGGGGTTCGAGGAGGGTTTGTCTTTCGCCCAGTTTGTCTATAATTATTATAAATAACAATTAATCTCGATCTTGATCCCAACAGATAAAAGTCAAGGCTGTGGGCAAACTGCAGGATGACGGTCTCTTCCGCCACAAGGGCTTTCCTTATGATTCGTTCAGGTCCTCTTTCTTTTCGTTTTCAATGACTCGATTCAACATTCCAGAGCGGAATGCAAGGGATCTATCGATCGTGGTTTGCCAGTGTATGGTTGTCGTCTATTTTCCCCAGAATATGTGGATGTATTATCATGTGTGGGATATCATATATATGCACACACGAACATTCCAAGGGATACCCTGAGAACGTGCATCTCCACACATGATGAACATGGCCACTTAAAAACAAAAACTTCCCGTGTGGGATATCCATATAGCAAATCCGAGGAATGTAGACTACTTCGTATACATGTATTCTAGAGGTTTACAAGCGAAATGCCCGTATCCTATCGTCCAATCGAGTAACTAATAGCCTCCTGCCACGTCGAAGATACCACTCAGTACACTCATCTATGTATCCGTTCTCGACCGGTACCAGATAATATTATCACACTCCCGGGACGCCATCGACGTATTTACTATGCATGTCTCCAAAAGTGTGTTTTTTGTGCCACTCACAAGCCGAGGCTGAAGCTTTCGCTCTAAGCGAGAGGCTGCATTTCCGTGAAGGCTCTGTTTTACATTCTCTAAAATAACCACCAACTTTTGCCTTACCTCTTTCCATTCGGTAGAAGCCGGGAGCGCTCGAACTAGTGCTTTAGCAGGTTTTAATTATGCTACGCAAGAAGGAATAACCGATGATGAAAACGGAAATACACGATCCTTGAGATAGTCATACTGAGCTTTGCAAACCGCGAGATATCATTATTTTGAGCCCAACCTCGGATATAAAAATAATAATAACAAAGAATTCCCGCATGAACGCATTGGATTGTGATACTTGGTGAAAAACCACACCGCTGCAGCTGGCATGCTGGGCCGGTGAAGTTGTTATCGTGTAACAGTTTTCCCCGCTCAATCGCTACCTTGAGAGCCAGGGAAAAGGGAAAAAAAAGCCAGTGCGGTGTCATCCTGTGCAACCAATTTCCAACGTGCCCCAGACTGCACTGCACGCCTACTTCTGCTGAAAGGACCAATCCAATGATATTTTGTGTGACAATAGAAATTTTCTTCGTTTAAGAAGGTCTTGGCTAAAGCCTTGGGCGCTATATATGAGGTGTTATATAGAAGGATGGGATGTATGCGCAGTATACATAGTACGTACAGAAGTGTATTCTAGAGATTCAAGACATGTTTCAAGAATCTTCGTTCCCACTTGTGGATGAAAGAGAAAATTATTAGAGCCTTCTTTCAATGCTACCACAGCCAGCTCGACACGAAGTTCATGCTTATCTATTTCACCCGTTGCGAGTCCGATCGTAGTATGTAACAGCTCAGGATCCGTCCACTCTCGCCTTGCCTTGTAATCTCGGGTCCACATCTGTGGCCTAACTGGGATTTGAAGCTCCACCCAACCCCAGAATATTGTTTCCCTGGTCGAATTCGGGAATGTGACCTGCATGGGATCGTCTACCTGAGTCCAAGTGGTTGGGTTCTACAAGAAAGAAAAAAAACTACCGGATATCCGGATCTACGTATACACTATAGGCCTAGCTAGGGCCCTTCCGTGTTCGAGGCTCTAACAGACTAGCATACATCCTCACCCGTCAGCTCTAAGTGTATAACAGCGAACGTCGAGAGCTCTCGAATATATTATTTTTTGCGTGCACAATATTCCCAGCGAATGGGAGTTATACGTTGTACAAACCAGGGAAGAGAGTTTATTGTACTTATGTACGAAGTATGCTAAATATATGCATACCAAGGTAAAACACTTGGTAACAACCTATGGGCAAGGAACAGGTATAACTATTCGTAACATGGTCGCCGGAGTAACCCCGCTCAAGGACCAACATCTCCGCCTAATTAATTTAAAAGTTTGGTTATTACATACTAAATACTAGGTATGCCAGCAAGCGTCTAGGGATATATTTATACACCCCACGGATTTAATAGAGTTATCAACTAGATCTAGAGCCAGGACTGCAAGTTCGTTGTACGTTGGTGGCGTTGTGGCTTGGGCTCGTTTGCAAACCTCGCATTCAGTTGATAAACAGCTGTGAATTTGTCAACGTTAGCAGGCTACCTAACATATCTAAGTAGCTGTCACCTACGAAGGAGGCTTGGCAATCTAACAAAAAAAAGGTCTTCGACAAAGACGAATAAGTATGTTGAAGTAGAATCGATTTAAGGCGTACGGACGTGAGTTCTTCAGATCGGATCTCCAACTGACGTACTCCTGTTGAACATGTACGCATGTTGGGTGTTGCATGTTGCATATAACGTTACCTGTTAAACACACAATAATATAATTAATTTCCCATTCCATCGGATTTCTTGTAGATCACTACAACCACGTGCGCTGTTGATCGGATTGTGCGACATTTCCAGAAGGAGTATTCGGAGACCTCATAATTGCTGATCCCAACTCAATAGCTCAAGAGCCCTTATGCGGGGCTGTGTTGAAGTCGGATTGAGGGATCTAGACTTGCATGGCACGGGGAAGAACATGACAGAACGTCATTTGGCCCAGTAGCCACTTAACACTTTAGTGTATTAACTTCTAGATTTATAGATTCAAGTTTAGTTGGTGGCGAACTTACTTAGTGCGTTCTAACTAATGTACCAATTAACTAATACTGCAATATATCGTAGGCACAGTTTGTACCTTCTGTACAATTAATTGTGAGACTCATCGGCCAACGGCAACGCAACGTCGCACAATTTATAATTAATCATGTTATAACCATGCAATACATACAGACATCATTAATATCCTTCAATTCGAATTCTAGCCCTTCTCAAAGAAAACTACAAAAAAATTGACTACTTTTTTTATTGAAGCTCGAGCTCTAGACCTTTTCCTCCCTCGAAAATTTTTGAAAAAAAGCCTTCACCTTTTCTTCTTTCGGGCCTGCTTCCGAGCTCTGGCATAGATACCAGTTCAGCTGCGAACCAGCCCTATTTTTAGGTTTTCCCTTTTTTTTGGCCCTGGCTTTTTCTCCTCTTCAGCCAAGGCGTCAACCATCCCAGCCGTACTAGCGTCCATTGGTATAGATATACCGATTTTAGTCGCTTTTGGGAGCCATCCATCAGAAAGAGGAAGGAAGGGCAACACATGAGCATCCCAAATACCACCCTCCCCGAATCAACAGCTATAACAGGCACAACAGCCGTGGAACAGGGACGAATGATTGATCCAACAAGCTTTAGAAAGAAGCTCGTCCAAGCCCCCCTCTTGACCGGTCTAATGGCACTAGTGTTCTTATGACCTATTGAGGAACTGCTCTTATGCGCCGATCCAGGTAAACAACCTGAAATCGACGGTCACATCCTTGAGGGATGATGCCGAATGCAACGCTTCTACCTTCTTTATGACGTTGCCGGCCGGCCGCGAATGCTAGTTTGATCGATTTGGGCTAGCTGCGAACAGAAAAAATTGGGAAAAAACCGAAATCCTTTGGATGTACTGAGTACATTCAAGCGGAGGTACCGAATGTCGCATAACTGCTGCGTACTGTCAGTAATAGGAAGATAAAAATAAAAACCAATTTAGGCGACTTGAAGGAAACTGAAAATTACATATATAACTGGGCTGGTAAGGCTAGAGCTTCTTCACGATATCCCCACCCTATTGTATCCTATCCATTCTTTTAATAGTCTTCCCCACCGGCTGGCTTGGCCATCGAATTCATCTCGTTTTCGCTACTGACCGTGTGGTTTGTTGGATTTTGCACTAAACAACACGGGAAATTCGAAAATCTCACGCTCCCCAAAGCCATGGTTCGCATTTCAATTCTGCTTGGCCTTGTGCCTCTTCTGGCTTCGGCCTCACCTGTCCCGGGGGATGACTTCGATCTATCTCCGAGAGCGACTTTTGTCGACTGTTTATCTGGTAAAAATGTCCCGGTGGTCCTACAGTCCTCGGCAAACTTCGGCCAACTAGCTTCGGCCTATAATCTCCGCCTAAGGCCCAGACCGATCGTCGTAACCATCCCAGCAACAACTACACATGTCTCGGACACCGTAAAATGCGCTAAACAGTACCGCTTGAAGGTTAGCGCCAGGGGTGGTGGACATTCCTACTCAGCTCAGGGACTCGGTGGCGCCGATGGAAGCGTGGTTATTGACCTTCAGAATTTCCATGATGTTAAATATGATTCTACGACAACATTGGCTGAAGTTGGTGGCGGCGCTAGGCTTGGAAACATTGCACGAAAACTTTATGATCAAGGACGACGTGGTATTCCACATGGAACATGCCCTGCTGTTGGTATGGGACATCCAAGTCTTGGTGGCTTTGGCATTTCCAGCCGTAATTGGGGTCTCATGGTCGATCAGATAGTGCAAGTTCAGGTTGTGACTGCGGATGGTTCCCTGAAGATCGCAAAGAAAAACTACAACGGCGATCTTTTCTGGGCTTTGAAGGGTGCTGCACCAAGCTTTGGTATCGTTACTAGATTCTGGTTCAAGACATACGCTGTTCCAGAGAACATTGTCAACTACTCCTACAGATTCCAGCCAGGATCTGTAAGCTCAGCGGTCGATTCATTCATGAAGATCCAAGAATTTGCCAAAAAGGCACCTAAAGAACTCGGTCTCGGTGTCTCTCTTTGGGGAAGCGGCGTCAACTTCGAGCTTTCGGGAGCATACTACGGCAAGTCTATTGATGATTTCAACCGCCTTTTCAAACCCCTCCTTAGCTCGTTACCAGCACCCACAAGCTCCACACTTGACTCAAGAGGTTGGATTGATACCCTCCTCCGTTTCGCCGGTAGCGGATCCCTTAGCGTCCCTGAGACTGGTTACAATGAACACACCACCTTCTACGCCAAATCTCTTGTCACCTCCAGCAGAGCCCCCATCGAACGTAAGGGTATGGAGAATTTCTTCAATTATGCCGCTCGCGAAGGTCCAAATGCCGCAAACCAAGGACTTCCCTGGTTCGTTATCATAAACCTCTACGGAGGGGGTAACAGTGCCATCACCAACCCGGATCTTCTAAAAGAAAGCAGCTACGGTCATCGTGATACTCTCTGGAACTTCCAATTCTATACTACTCTAAATGGTGGTCTTACGCCACAGGGAAATACCGCTGCCATTAATTTCTTGACCGGTTTTGATGGTGTCGTCAGAAGATCAGGCGACTTTTCCTATGTCAACTACGCCGATCCTACATACTCTAGGTGGTGGGCGCAGAAGTTGTACTATGGGAAGCAATTGACTCAGCTTTCTTTGGTAAAGAAGAAGTGGGATAGGGATCAGGTCTTCTGGTACCCCCAAAGCATTGATCCTGCTAAATAGGAGGCTTGAAACACCAATTTGGGTCATGATTTCTCAAAATTAAATCTGACGATATCGCATTTCCTTATTATTATTATTATTTCTGCATAGCGCCTGGGGTTTAATTCGTTTTATTTTTGCTTTCGTTCCTTCCTTTGGAAATAAGAACAATTATTATTTAGATCCGTATATATCATAATTTATACAACTTTCATCTGCAAAGCTTGTATGCCAGCTTAATTTGAAACATTGCAACCTCATCACCGCTTCCACATAGTTGGATAGAATAATATAAAACTTAGCGATTGAGTCTCTACGCTAGGGTCTATTCGCTTTGTTTCCTGAAGCGAACTTACCTATCTGCCTAGTGCACGGCCGCTTGTTGAATCAAATTAATTGAGGTAGCCTCATTTGTGTTCTGTATCACGATACTCCATCCGTCCGATGGAACTATGGCTTGCGCCCCCTAAGATACTGAATAACATAATTTCCATCAATTTAGATCCTATTGTTACATTATAAGATAAACTCTGCCACTCGAAGGAACGAAAGAGAGAGAAAAATTGAAAACCCCCCCCAAAAAAAAAAAAAAAAAAGAACTTTTCCTTCGCCCTTGCACTCACGACGAAAACGCTTTAACCATAGCAGAAATAAATGTTGTAAAATGTTCACTCGAAATATTTGTATACGCATCATGCTGCGTAAGATCAGACATAAAGACGTGTCCAACTTGTTTCGTCATTTTGGTGACAGAGGCGCGAATACTCTGCGAATCCGTCGGAGCCTCATAGATAATAAAACTGAAAGCACTCTTTGAAACACCGTACTGAGCAGCAAGACCGTCATACTTGGCCGCAATGGTATTGTAATCGTCAAAGCTGTCTTCAAGGACGACGGTGATATCCGTGTTTTGGGTTGAAGCAAAATACTCCTTTGAAGGAACGGTTCCAGGGTTTTGGATAGTGGTCGATAGACCTTGTGCCTTGGCGAAGGTGTTTACAGTTGCGACATATGAAGCGTTTGCAGCGGAATCAGGGGACTCGTCGAAGAAGATTCCGTCGAGTGTGATACCGATCTTTGGAGCTCTCCAAGCTGCATAGGCTAGTAAATCGGCTTGAACGTCGGCCACTGGTCGTTTACTATAGGATTGGTGAACATAGCCAAATACTTGAGCATTGGAAAATGATTTGAGCTTTTTGATTCCAGTTTGGAAGTTGACATCTGGATCACCGCTTCCGGGACCGTTCTTTGGGTTAATGATAATGGTGAACTTGGTGCTGGCGGATGAATTCAAGGCTTTGAAGACTGGTGCCCAATCTTGTGCTCCATCGCCAGGGTAGGAATAAAGTGGAACGGTGATACTGGCGTTGATAGCAGTGCCGAGGGAACCTACAACCCCTCCAGTGGTGCTTCCGACGGTGCTGACCGCTCCGCCAATGATACCGGTAGAACCTGGCTTTGTCGAAATCCCTCGATTTTCAATGGGATTGATGCGTCCCTTCCAACCTTTTGGGTTCTTCCATTGACGGTTGACTACCCTTTTATCAATGTTGCTGATTGAATGCCAACCCTTTGGCTTCTTCCAGGAATCTTTGTCCCTCTTGTCAATACCTTTCGAAGGAACTTTCCCAGTCCATCCTTGTGGACGTTTCAAAGTAAAGTCTCTTTCAAAAATATCTCCCTCATCAGAAGTTTCCTTGGACCCAGCGGGGACGACAATTCGTTTTGTAACCTCAGCTGTGGTTTCAACTTCTTTCAAGTCTTCGCCTTTACCTTTCCATCCAGGTGGAACAACAATCCGTTTTGTTACTTCAGCGGTGGTTTCCACCTCGGTCAGATTGATATTTTTATTCTCCCACCCTAGTGGAACAACAATACGCTTGAATATACCAGGCATATTTCCTAAATGGCGAATAGCATCTCCTGCATGGTCCCCACCACAGCTCATCTTAAGAGCACCAATCGTAGCAACGACCGAGGTTAATAAGAGAGCAACGATAACAACTATGAGTTTTTTATGGGGTTCGGCATGTCTGTATTTAATCTCTCCGCGGATAGGGCGGTAAAGAAGACTTCTTTGTTCGCCCTGGGTTTCGATGTCGACTGTCTCGTCGTGATCTATGAGATGGATCTCTGGGATCTTCTCGGCGGTCGTGTATGGACGACTCATATTGAACAATTTGGGTAATGTAGATATAAGAAAAAGCGATTTGAATAAAGGATTTATTGAGGGAATATAATGGGAGTGAGAGAATGGGTAGATATCTACACCCAATACTTGGATTTCTTGCTCCGAAGAGAAGGTAGGGAATGGAAAACCGGTTCTGTCCACAAGAAAACGCTGTCAGTGTCACCGAATCATTTATAACCAAGATATTGTTAGGCAAGCGTACTCACAATGAATGAAGTTATATTAATAGCTTGCTCAGAGGGCATCTAACCGCAGTCACTGATCGTTTGGAGGGGACTAGGGAAACAGGTGGGGATCGAGCTGGGTTCTAGTAGCTTTATACGGTCTCAAAATATACTTTCGCGTCCGACTGAAATCCTAGAAAAGTCAGTGTATGCTATGAATGGGTGGTTTAGAGTTAAGGTTGAAGTTTAAAGAATACTGATATGGCGATCAATGCAATGGTACCTGATTCCGCCCAGTCATTTTGTGTTGATAGGTATGGCTATACAGAGTTTGTATGATCTTAAAGAGCGGTGGAAAGCTTTCGCAAAGGTTATTAATATTGTGAAGTTTAGCTGAATATGGCCTATGATAGACGTAAAAACCTTCTAGAAAAATGCGATACGGTGTCTAGACGCTTACGTTTCTGATTTAAAGTTTGGCCGAACCCGGAATTTAAGCCCAGCTCAAAGTTTTTGGTTGTCGATATTTGGTGGAGGGCATTGCCAATGTACTTACTATCGGTCAATTGTCACCTAACAGATAATTATATAGTTCGATTTGAGAGTACTCACTCAATCACGCATTTGAAAAATTGAAAAGGCTATTGAGAAAGTCTTCTCGGTTGATCAATGTTCCTATTGAAATGATACATAGGCTTGCAGTCTCGTAACTGCCCCTTAAAGCACTTCTCCCCTTTCTTTCAATTGTTTTTTGATGTTGTAATATTTGTAGGGTCTGCCACTTTCATCTTACTATGAGGCTCTTCTACATAGCTCGTGTGTTAGTGGCAGGTCCATGTGCGCACGTGCGCCAATCTTCTACAAGACTTCTACGAGACAATAATTGGGGTCTATTGATCATGAAGTATCTAACTATCCCGTTTTTTGAGATATGGAGAAAAGAATAAAGATGTTTATGACGTAGGGCTAGGTTTTAATGTTTCGTTCAAACAATTAAGACCGGGCCCAGTCTAAATAACCCGATATAAGACTTCTAGTTAGGCCTTAGATTTATGAGCAACCTAGAACATCCGCCAAATAAAAGTGGGTATCATAGAAAGCTATATTTTGACCGTCTCTCTTCTCGGGTCCATACATAATTTCAAAAGCTTGGCCTTGCTCTATACGTTGATTGTCTTCTAACGTAAAGCCCTGTCGATAAATAAGCGTATCTGCCGATGGATGGGGGCCATCCAGCTCACGGCGTTCAAACTGATTGTAGAATTTGAACCCCACATCGAGCTTCTGGGTGCGTGTGTTCAAAACTCCAGGGAATGCGCCTTCGACTGGTATCAAGCTCAAAGCAACGATGTAAATCGGCCTGTTCTGCATATTATAAATTCTCGCGTGAGTACCCTTAAAACAGAGGACTGGGCGTTTTGTAGCGAGGGACTCATGATCTAAATCTTGGCTCTCCCAATCGCTTTTCGGAAACCCGAATGCCCCTTTGTAAACATAATGGTCTTTAGTGTCTTCGAATTTGTGGGAGCTTAGTTCCTACAGAATTTGTTAGCGCCTTTGTGCTAAAATCAAACTCAACGTGGAATATCATACATTAGCTCACCAAACTGGCTTGAATGAAGTAATGTGGAGAAAGGCGCTTGTTCCTACAACCGTCGTGGTCGGGATGTTCTTCATTGACCCATTCGCGAGGCGCCCGGGGAGGGGGGAGTGAAATGTTATTTATCGTTGCCGTTGCCCTCCAATCAGTGACTCGGGTCCCTTTAGTAGTATAGTCCTGGTTTTCAACAACTCTAGTATGTCGCGAGTGGGGGCGGAATGTCGGGGCACCAGTTGGGAATCCTGTTGAGTGATGGGAGGTTCCGATAGATTCGATAGAAAGGATACAAGGGGCGGTTTCATATGAGGTCACTATTTCGGGATCCTTAACCCACATCGTGGATGTGACTCCCCCTGTTGCCCAGATCGTGGTAGTCCGTGTGCATGTGGTAGGGCGGATTGTGTCCCAAACAGTGGTTTTAACAGTGGTTGTAGCCTTGATGACCTAATCACACCAGTTATTATTAGTATGGTTGTATTATATTGGCATTGACCCTGAGACATGTTTATTGCTCACTGTGGTGGTGGTGGTGGTTGAGGTAATGATCTGGGTGGTAACCCCACTAAGGATTTTCGGTATATAAATATCCTCGAGCTGATGCTGGGATACGGGTGCACCAATGTCTATTTATCAATTATTGATTTTATAGTTTATCAAGTTAGCTGATCGGCATATCCCTGTATGTGTACAATTAATCCGATAACAGCCTATGCCAGCGTTATAGGATTGAAAGTATTGATGATTAATATTATCGTACTGTTCGGTCCAGCAACAACTATTCCTAACGACGCAAAGAAATATTTCAGGAGGAAAATTTTCTGCTTCATGTTTAAGTTGCAATTGGTAGAGGATGGGCGACAAAATATCGGTTGTTATTGGGGGATATTTCTGAATTAAATTTGAGAATGCAAGATATTTTATTATAGAGTTGGAGTGAGGATTTCTGCTTTATTACAATTCTTGGGTGAAATAAATCGGGTTTTATACTCGGAATTCATTGGCACCCCCAATATAAAATCGTAGTGATCTCGGTGTCAATATTGCAATATTTGCGAAGCTCTGCCTGGAATTTGAGCTATATTAGAAAAGTGCATGCTGACATATAGGCCTGTCTAAGTATAAGTTCACGCAGCCGTGCAACAGTTTCTATATGAAGGATGCAGCTTTTATTCCGTTTAATTATCCTGGTGTGGATAGAAAAGCTGCAGGGCAAACGCCTTGGTCCAGAAAGTAGTTGGGTGATTGGCCAACTATTCGCGTGAATTGCGACCAAGATTCAAGGGTTACGGATGCTTTGAATATTATAGACGCGTTGTAATGTAAGCATGAAATGACGGATCCTGCACTTTTGCAATTCGGGACGAGTAGCTTCCGGGTCTGGATACGAGACAAGACGAGTAGATGTTAATGATTTAATAGATTTGCTCGTCTCTTATCGATGCATGTTCTATAGCTACGTGCTACTTGATACGTAAGCTTACTGTGTTTGGGAGTAGCACACAATGGCCCGCATGCGGTACCGTGGAATTAACTGCAAGACGCAGGTCATCTATCCACAGGTCGATAGACGGGGTAACCAGTGCGTGTGTGGATGTTAGCGCAGGATCTACTCCTGCATATTGTTAGTGTAGTAGTCAACGTTCGGAAACTATCAATGGATGGAAAAAAAATCATTGCAAGAAGGACGTCGACGACATTTATCATATATGATCCACCTATCGATATCAATATTGCGCAATTGAAACCCTATGGTGATTTGCCCAAAATCCTTACCCTAATAGGGTATTGCGAACTCGAAAATTCGGAAATCTAAGGACTGTAATAGGATTTCGAAACCATAGTCCTATTTAGTTATCATTTTAAGGTATAATGTCCTTTTAGCTTAGGAACTCTATAAATCCATTCTGGTTGTCGTTTATCTAAAGACGAAGGTCCTATGATGGTGCTTAGTGAAGGGTAAAGTTGGGACAAAACCCATCCAATTGGAACTCCTTCCGGAGTGACCCGAGCAGAGAACTGCTCTATAGATTATCCAGAGCGCTGTAACACTCTCTGCAGCTCGTGTTGGCTTGCATATCGAGCCGTGCAAGACAAGAGTGATTGAGCGGTCAGGATGGTAAGCGGGCTACCTCTCCGGCCGCACGAGTCCTACATGCAGCGTAATGTATAGTAATATTAATGTTGGCTTTCTTAATAAGGATTGGATGGTGTTTGCGCACTAGCTATAGTTCCGGAAGACCGGCGAGGTTGGTTAACTTGAACCCTAGGATGACTCGAACATATGGATCGTGAAACTTCCTTAACGCGTCAACGTTAATTTTATCAATACGGTCAATTCTTCCATGCAGTCCTAGTACAGTCCTTGCAATCAGCCATTCTCGAGACTTTGTGGCTTTGAGAGATCAAGACGTGGCTAACCGAGATCCTAGGAAACAACACTCTAAAAGCTTTAACGTGTTGTTTTTGGGTTAAATTTTCGGATGAATTCTGCCTTCTCCAGGTTAGCTTAGGGCATTCGCGGCGTCTGGGAACGATACTAGGGCATTCGATATTCGGTACTACGATTTTGGTTAGATCGATGCTCGATTCTTCAGAAATTCTCAGAGCTAGAGGACCCGTTGTTTTTAGAACAAGATTGGTGTTCGAGTGAATTAAATTTTATGATTGCATATATGCATATTGTATTCGAATATTGTATATCCCCTTTATACCTCCCAGACCATACTATAGATACACGAGACTAATCGTATAATACCTTGATCTTTCGAATTTCGCATTCAGAGAAGACTGTAACGCTGTGCTTCGGAAAACCAAAATCCTTTAAAAGCTTTTACTCGGGAATTAGGATGCGAAAAAACTAACAGATCAATTCTTACTCTCGAATTTATTTATCGGATCAATATCTTATAGTTCGCTTGAGAGTAACTTCCGCGAGTCTGTTGATTGGGCTCATAATTTAAATCAAAGAAATTTCTTAAGTCTAGCTGGCCAATGTTAAATTCGACAGGTCATCTCTGAGCTGATGGCCTTAGTCCATATTTATATAGATATATCGATCCTGTCAATAAATTCAGATGAGCATTACGAAGCCAAAAAAAATAATCGAAACCTAGAAACACTACGTAGTTAGAGATGTTCCCCAATCTCTAATCGGGTTTGCGGAAATATGATATGTGTTTTACTATACTACTATCGCTATCAAAGAATCAAAAAGCGGTAGCCTTGTCTCGCTTTGCAACGAACAGTACATAAGCCCGAGTGAAGGGGGAGTTGACTTTGTCTACGTTTGCATGAATATCCAGAACACGTATATACGCCGGTAGTGCAGTGTCAGCGTTTACCCTCGCTTTCTGTATTGAATTTTCGACTATTCCTTCGAATTCAGTCGATCTAGATCTATCGATTGAAAATTAAATGCGTAATGCAAACTTGGTTGCAATGTAGCTAGTACTATAGCTAGTGTGGCGGTACTGACTGAATTGAAACACAACTTGATCCTGTGGCACGTTGCCCCTCGAACTTGATGAATTCAGTCAGCCCTGCGCTGCGCGGCTGCGTAACCATCAGCTGAAAATTAAATTGAGATCTCGAGAACGTTCCAACGGCCATCACAAACAGCCAAAAGATCAACTATGACTAGTAGCTAATGTTTGCATCTCAACATGCGCCAGAGATCATGGATCCACTCAGTATTACCGTCTCAGTCTCATCCCTGATCGTGGTCTGCACCCGTATCATAAAACTCTCTTCCGATGTTAGCAACGCATACCGAAGCGCAAGCTTTGTGCTATCAGCAATCGCATCAGAATGCGCGGTTATCTCCGCCTCGTTAACCAGACTGCAAAACATGTTATTAAGCCAGCCTGAAAGAGCCAGCCCGTTAGCGGAGAGTCTCGAAACTGCTTTGCTAGGATGCGCTTTGACAATGTCTGTTCTGCAAGAACAACTGGGAGGTCTTGCAAATGAGACTGAGGACGGCCAGTTGAAGGCGAAAAAGTTCAAATATGTGCTTGAACAGGATTATTTGAAGGAATTACTTCAACAGGCTCGCGGGCAACAAGTATCTATCACTTTGCTGCTGCAGACCTATCAGAGGTATGAAGAGACACCACTCAGGCTGAAGACTTCGCATGAATGAATGGATACCGCTGACCGTGGAGGTATTGAAATTGGATTGCAGCGAGTCGCTCACAAAAATCGAGCAATCAATGCAGGACTACAACAAAATCTTGAAGCATATGGCCGATAAAGGTATTTCGTTATGGCGTGGGGCTCATTCATCAGGAGGCTTTCCAGTTCCAACTGCAATTGTCGGCAACAACGAAACAGACTCTGTCTTTGAGCTTTCCTCCATTATCACAGACACCCGCTTCGATTTTGATGACCAAGTCATCGACTCCAAAGCTTATCGCCGGGCTCTTGTGAACCTGCGACAAGCGCAAGCCTACTCAGGACAGCCTGGTTTTAACTTTAGTAAGTATCAGGAAATACCCGACAACCTTGGAGATGAGGCGACATTGCCGCAGACAGAATTTACGCTCCCCTCTATACATACGCCCGAGTTTTTCGGAGAGAGTCACTACGGACTAGGGATAGATACTCCGTCTGATGAGGAGGTCTTGGATATCCCTGTGCCAACACCTGCTGGGAACGGGGAGACTTTGAGCGTAGTGGCAGAATCAACGTCCGATGAAACTGTATATATACACCCACAGTTTCTGTTTGGTCAGGCGGAATACAAGGATCCTAAGGATTCCCGGCCTCAGAGCGCAGGACAAGGAACGTCGCCAAGGGAAACTACCCCGGATGGACAATATCTCTGGTCCGCTGGAATGTTCACCGGGCTTGAGGATAACCATTCCGTATCATTACACTTTCACCCTCAGATGGAAAATTTCGAGCCTGGGTTTAAAACCGGAGAACATATAATGGGTTCAGCTTCACCAATTTTGGAACAACCACCGCCAAAACCATCAAAACAAGCAAGCGAAGCTGTTGCAGAAACATCGCCAAAGCGGTCCCCATGGAACTTTCAGCGACTCTTCTCAGGTCTAATTAAGCCTCCGTCTAATCTAGTTCCAGGACAATCTCTATTCGGGACTGGGGCTGAGATAAGGCGTAAACTGGTGCTTGTGGGCGACCCCTGTGGCAAGACCTGCTTAGCAGTGGTATTTTGCAAGGGCTTCTTCCCTAAAGTCGACATGCCAACCATCTTTGAAAACTATGTCGCTGACGTCGAAGTCGATGGGAAGTACGTAGAGCTGGCTGTATGGGATACCGCCGGTCTAGGTGACTATGACTCTCTGAGGCCGTTAAGTTACCCAGATTCTCACGTTGTGCTTTTATGCTTTTCGGTGGCGAACAGAGATTCTTATGACAATGTCAAAGAGAAGGTATGTTTGAATGTATTACCATTTTGCTTGGATATAATTCCTATCAGTACTAAACTTAGCCTCTAATGATAGTGGATCGGCGAAGTTCTACATTTTTGTCGGAGTATACCCATCATCCTAGTTGGGACGGAAAAAGACTGCCGAGATAGAGGTGCGCCTTACCCGTATGGGGATACGGGAGCACCAGTAACCACAGAGGAGGGAGAAGAACTGCGGCGGAAGATTGGGGCCGAAAAGTACATTGAATGCTCGGCTAAAACGAATGAAGGGGTTCGCGAAGTCTTTGAAACTGCCACTAGATTAGCGCTAACAGCTCGGCCTCAAAAAAGGAGGAAGAGGCGCTTATAATCATTTTGAAATACTGTATATATATAAAATAAATGAGAAGAATGGATGATCACTTCTTAACAATATTAGAGCCAGTAAATTTAATCTGGTTTACAAGATGAGGAGTCATGATCAGCTCAGCGATTAGATTAGTCTCTCAGCCATGTGCGTAGTATAGGAATTCGGGCTAAAGGATGGGCTAGAGATGTGTTGTGCCGCCAAAAATGCAACAGCATCGGCCATCTGAATTCCCAGCCAGTCGCGTCTTCCCTTTCCCTCGGCCTTGGCATTATCCATCCTCAGCTAGCAACTAAACATCAGGCAAACCAACAGCCACCAACTTTATAACTTCACGCCGCTCATCGCAGGCTTCTAGTTTTATATCCCTTCGACTGGTGATGTAATTCTCGAAGCTGCGATTGCAACCAAACCGTTATTCGCCGCTGGTTCGGATCCTCTAAACAAATAAACAATCATGTCGTCGTTCAGCGTTTTCGATAACAGTCTGTGGCGTGAAGGTACAGCTGCCCTAGAGAACGTTAACTCCATTACACCAACCCCACCGATGGAGCCCTCCGTCATGTCTTTAAATGATATTACGACGACTCCTCAAATCGATCCTCAGAATATGAACAAGCCTTCGATTTTGCTCAGATTATTTGATGCTTCGGTTTATTATCCCATCTTCTCCGGCATTTTCGAGAACCTACAATTCGATGATATTGCCCGCCTCTCGTTTACTTGCAAGGCCTTTTCCACTTTGCCGCGACAGATCACGAACATAGAATGCGATATTGATAAGATGCTTTCAAGATGGTTCAACAATCCCAAAGGCCTTCGTGCAATTATGGCAGAGCAGAATATCATCATCGGGAGTCACTTCGCCACCGCACTTTTCAGTAGAGAGTACCGTACTTCTACGGTACGTTTCTATGCTACTGGCGGCGCATCCTCTACAGCGTTGGAGCAGTATCTTCGATCGCATGGCTATGAAGAATTGCCACGGGCGGAGGGTAAAACGGAATCAAGGGTACGTTGTTATACCCTCTCTTATCGAAGTATCTATTTTCATTTTTTTTATGCTTGCTAACCTTATTTTTGCTTTTGTCTTATTCAGCGTAGGAAATATGAGAGACCGACACATCGAGGACAAGTGGTTGAGATTAGAGTCTGTTCAAACTCACCGCTCGGAGCCTTCCTAGCTGCCGTAAATACGACCCACCTCTTAAACCTCGTTACATCTCATAAGGCATATGCTTTGTTTCCGAAATCCGCCTTCATGCACAAAATGTCATTCATCACGCGAGACCTGAATACGGATAGCGTCCAACATTCGCTGCTTCGCTACTCACAATACGACTATGACTTTCAGCCAATCATTTGGAACACCTCTCCTCTGCCTTACACTCAAGAGATAACAAGTCCCCGTCGTGTCGGCGACAAGTTCACTTGGGTGATCGAATTCGACAATGAGGGTATCCCTCCTCCAATTGTCCCACAATATGTCATCGAATCGACTTGTTTTCGACTCTCCGTAACTCCTGATCCAAACATCTTTATGAACCGTCAACCGAACTACACAAACGCACGCTATCGTCTCTCATGCTCTGGTTTCTATTCATCCGTTCTAAAACATCATTACACCTTCGGCTGTTCGGCGTGGAGGGCTTATATTGGGGCGCGGGTGGACGCCCTAACGAAGATAGAGCTCTACAAACTCCCACTTAAAGACCGTGCCGGCTTAGATCTGACTATTAAGAAGGACTTTTACAAGCTTGAAGGGCGTTTTCAAAAACCCGCTCGCTGGAAGTACTTTGACCATTTGGTCAGGGAGTGGTGGGATGATTGGGTGAAGGATAATGATCCTGGCTCGGCATAGTGCTGGTCACCACCTCTTCTTTCTCATGTTTTCTTTTGCTACTTATTTTTCACCATGAGCTCTACATTATCCGGCGTATCGGTATATATATCCCACGGCAGGGTGGCATGGTCCAAGATCGGACTACGAGGTACTACACTTACATGTATCTACTATCAAAAAAAGGCTTCTAAAGGTGTTATGTTTTTATATGGTGGAACTCGTCAGTCCTCCGGCGTTTGGCTTGCTTTTTTCATCTACACGGCTTCTTGTTCTATACTTGCTTCTAAAACCTATGGCGCTTTTTTATCTTCACATCATAGATACACCTCCCCATGATAAACGAATTCAATTTTACTCATCCTTACAAATTTACTGACGAGGCCTTACAATTTATGTGAACTATCTAGCTATTGATGTAGGGTTGGAACTATATATGACTGATGACGTTATCTTCGTGATTTTGAAAGTAGAGATTATTACATTTATTATTAAGAGAGCTAGCATCTTCGTTTAGGAAAAATGATAAACAAAGACATTAAAAGGCTCCATAGGGTGGGCACATATATACTTAAATGCCATGCTTTTGGAAACGTAATAAGCAATAATAAAATAAAGAAATTCTGGAGAAAAAAAAAAAGGAAAATGAAAAGGAAAGTGATGAGCACCGTCTATCATGCCCCCAAAAAATCAAAGTGAGGAGTGCGTTATGTCGAGAATGTTATCTTCGGTGCGGGAGGTTTGTGTATGTGTGGGATGTTTCAAACGCCAGTTGTCTATGCCGTAGTCTTGTCTATACGATATCCAAGGAAAATATACTTCTCCCCCACCTCACTTAAACGACAACAAAGATCTTACGATTATAATGTAACCTCGCAATCACCAAAAGGAACGTTCCAACAGCCATACAGGACCCCGAAAAAGCAATCGCCGCTGTATATCCATAATGCGTAAGTAAAGCCCCAGCAATAGGACTTCCCGTCAGACCCGCAACACCGGAGATACCCATAGCCATACCGATGTAAGTCCCCATTTCCCTAGGATTTGGGACAATCTGTGCCATAACCGCGGGAAACAAGGAAATGACACTACCAGACCAAAACCCGAAGAAGGCGGTGAGGACGATGAGACCGGTTGCGCTGTCGACGGCTAGCCAGCACCAGATTAGGAGCAAGGTGATCGTTGGGGTTACAATCATAAGATTCAGCCGTCCCAGTTTATCAGCGAGAATGCCGGGGAGAACACGGCCGGGGAAGGAAAGGCCGTTAAGAATGCTGACGAGGTAGATAGACATCGAGTGGGACATGCCGAGATTCAATGCGAATGTTGGAATGAAGAAGAATGGTGTGAAAAGTCCCCAGAGGATGAAGAAGAAGGCTGCGACTAAAAGAGAATACGTGACATTCTTGAAGGCCTCTGGGAGGAAAAATGTTCCTTTTCTATGGGGTAAACGTTCGACCACGGTGAAACATGTGATCGTTAGAAGTCCAGCGAACAAGAATCCTATAGCACGAACGGTCCAGCCGAAGGTGGTTTTTTCGAGGAGATTGGCGAGCATGATGGGGAGGATGACACCTCCAAGAGATGACCCGGCGACGACAAGGCCCATGGCTGCACCACGCTTCTTATTGAAGTATTGACCGATGACGCCGATAGCTGGGGTATACAAGGCACCCTGTGAGAGGCCACCAAGGATGCCCTGGCACAGCAAGAACTGATAGTATTCTTTGCAGATACTAGTCAACATTATGGACGTGACGAGAAGAATCGAAGCTGGGATAATAATAATCTACGAAAAGTTATGTTAGCATATTATGCCTTTTAAATAAAAGGGAAGGATTAAGTGGACATACTCTTGCGCCGTATCTATCGAAAATCGATCCTGCGAACAAACCGCTACCGAAAATAAAGGCGATCTGGATAGATCCGATCCAAGCAATATCATCGGCTGTCTTGTTCTTTAGAATTACAGTAAGATAATAGGACTCGTATACGCTATGAATCATACAGTTAGCAACGTGATTTTGCGATATCGATTGAAAGTGGTAATATGTATATCTTACCCAAAAGCATTGACATATCCAAAAGAGCAGAACATTGATATCGCAGTCCCCAAGACGATAAGCCATGCTTGTAGCCCTCCATCTGGGAATGTAATTTCAGGTGGAACTTCTTGCTTCTCAGTATCGAGAGCGGGGTCATCCCCAACTATTGTGCCCTCCTCGATATCTGGATTCCCTGTTGTTAAATTTCCGAAGTCTTTTTCGGACCTTGCTTGGGGTGTATTGCTCAGAGTCTCGAACTCCTTAGAGTTGATTGAATCTGCTTTTGCCATTTTGCTGATATATATTGTCTTTAGAATGTGGATGAAGTTCTGGAATTCGATTTCTCAGCCAGTCCAGTCGATACAGCTCTTTGACAGAAGCTTTGTTGTATTATATGCGTTGTCGCGTTAGAGCTGTGCCACAAAAATATACCGAATACTGACTTCTGGATTTGTGTACTGTTGTACTGTTGACACGAGGGATAACCTTGCAGTCTGGATTGTAGATGTTAAGATAATCCGGGCGGGACGTAGAATATAAATACACCGCCAGTAGCATTCGACCAACTTTTACTTTTACAACTTGCGCAATATTAATTGCATCGTCAGTCGGTCGGTCGGTCTTACTATGCATGCTCTGGTTATAACCGAGTAGAAGAATTAAACTTCATAATATCTGCGTAATCCCTGCCCTCACCATATGCATCTGCCTCAATTGCTCCTAAAGGCCTAACGTCTCAGTACTCTTGTCGTTTTAACTGTTGAACCAACAGAGTAAACTAAGGGGAATGAGCAATAAGCGGGAGAATCGTCAGATTAAGAGGAATATCTGCCATCATGTTATCGACTATCTCCGCTTCGTAATTCTCGTACGAAAGCAGTCGGTTGAAATGACGGACGAATCATATCGCAGGGCAGAACACCAAATGGAGACGGAAGTTATGCGGACCGATCTTTGTCAGCGTTTTCGGCCCTGAAACGAAATGCTTAAATTTTCTTGGTGTTAAAAAGGATCTGATAAGATCAAGATCAATGACCGGTGTTATACGTTTGGTCGGTGATAGTAAAAGTGGGTCTAGTTATATATAGACCGCACGATGCCGTTATAACCGGCGTCCGCCAATTTTCTTACCCTTCTCCCACGTAGTATCGCTTACGAAATTTGCATATCCATGGTTAACAGCGAGTAAATACGAGCCACACCGATCATACTTCCTAGCTTTCGTCGCTCCAGGGACATTATTAAGCAAGGCTCTCTGCTGTCCTGTTTTTTCTTGAGCGATCTCCTGTGGACAATAGATGCAAGCACAAAAGGGTCAGGCGATGGATGGTGAGACGGAGAAGGGTACATGAACTTAGCTGTTTCCGTCGAGCTGCCGTAATGGATGGAGGAAGTACCGGCATCTCCTTTCCCAACCTTTCCAACTGCAATAATACCACGCTTGAAACCGACCATTTAAAGCGTCTCTCTGCGGAGCAGTCCTCGCCACATAACTTGTCGATGGTTGGCTTGGTGTTCCGTTATAAAATTAAATATTTGGGATGCCAAGGTGAATTACGTTGGCCCAGAGTCCTTGTCGTGTAGTTCAGTGGCAGGGCCGAAATCCGTCCAATTGGGATGGTCCCTTCGTGGGCTGAACCCAGGTCGCAACGTGCCGGGTTCCAGAGCCAAGATCACAACCAAGAGATCAAGCCTGGCGCGAACTCAGAAGGAGGTTGACTTACGACGACCTGACTACCGAATCCCTCATCGGACGTGGACTTTTTGCAATGCGAATTCTTCATCGACACAATCCGAGTTTTGTAAAGTTTAGTTGGTGTTATTCTTGTATACTACCGGCAAACTGAAATAGCTGAGGCTCAATCTCAGGGGGCTAGGCTAGCTTCTTTTCGCGCACCTTACACAACCATGCCTCGATGCCGGTCGACAGGGCTGGCGACTATCGCTGTGTATTCCCTGCTTCTTCTCCTTCTACCGCCGTTACCGACAACAGCACAAACCCAAAGTGGCGATCCCAACGCTGCCGCATGTTCATATCTGGACGACGCCCTCGATGTATGCTGGCGAAGACGACAGTTACTGTACAACGACCCTACAGTGGCGAATTGTATCTGTAATGTAGGAGGCCTTCCGGATCCTCTCATCGACCCAGCGGTCCCGTTATGCAGTTCGTATCTGAGGACGCTGGGGCGAGAGAACCGTGCTACAGCATTCTACAGCAGCTTTAACGGATACTGTGCTTCGTACGCACCCGGGGGTGAGATGACTACCACCGAAGTTATGGATATTGTGACGACGCCGCCTCCTGTACCACAAGACGGGCGTGCGAGCTGCACATTAGTACTTCAAACCTATAGCTTTTGCCAAAAGGCACCACAGGATTTGATAATAGAGCCCGCAGTGGCTTCTTGCATATGCCACGACCCTACCGGAGCCTTCACCACTAAATTCGATGAGCTGTTGACTCCATGTCATAGCTGGGCTACGACCGGAGAGCCGGCTTTTGCCAGCGAAGTCTCTAGCCTCTTCGGATTCTGCACAAAATTTGGGACCTTCACTGTCGAAACCATTACGAGTATGACGTCGCAATTCACTCCAGGACCTGCGGCACCTCGTACATCGTTATCATTTTCTCAGATCGAAGACGCCGCAAGTTCGGCGTGCGAACAGATGGCTCGGATTGCCAACGCCTGCCGTACTGGCCCGGTGGACCCGCTGACCAGGCCTGGTGTGGCGAATTGTATCTGTGTGGATCGGAATGACCCTAATCATGGCTTCGGAGTCGAGTTTGATACATTACTATCACACTGTTACCCCTATGCTAGGACGAAGTCTCCGGCAGCTGCTCGTGAGATAGAGAATCTGAGTGGATATTGTACTAGATTTGCAGAGGGTGGAAAGACCTATACAGTGGTAAGCCGGACTCTGTTGATACACACGTGTCCACCAGACCACCTCCACTAACCTTTGTTTGTTTTAAGACCTCTACCGAAATAAATACGACACGTACAGTGACGGATGATGTATTCGTCTCTTCCACAGGCCCACCTGCTGAAACCAACCCTGCTGAAGCTAGAGCAGGTCGAACTAAGGTCAGTATAGTAGTCCATCCCTAAACATTCATAACCCTGGCACATTCTTTTTTTGTCTAGGTTGTAGTAAGACTCTCAAGCTAACCGTTATTCGATATAGGTTGGCCTCGCCATACCCTTGGTCTTTTCACTAGCCGCTGTCATAGTTGGACAATTCCTATAATGCTTTCTTATAGAATCATGGTATCAGCTGCTGGAACAGCTGATGGAGTTAAGAATGTTATGATGTAGACTCTTACCTGCTACTAGTATTAATATTGTCTGACTGGAAGCTTTTTGTGGGTAGCAAGATACCATGTAAAATTATACCTGGGGGAGTTATATATAGAGTAGTTGGGTTATACTAGAGAAAGGTGTTCAGGTAGTGAAGTTGATAGGGTTGGTGAAGCTCCTCCTTTCAGCTACATCTTAGCAAACACCGTCAACTTTCTCACACACATTTTCCTTCCATCGACACGTCGTCTACCAGACATCGCTCCTCTCACTTTCTTCAACCTCTCGCTAACAAGCCCCCCACGCGTGTTCTGTATCATCTCATTTTGATCAGACGCATCAATATCCTTGCTATTATGTTGCCGACAGACTCTAAGCCCTCTCGTCGCCGTGTTTCCCTTCGTGGACACGCTCCGGATCTGGCTATCAGATGTGGTAATCGCATCTTCAAGACCCACCAGGAACAGTTGGTCGGAAAGCCAGGGATTCTTGATGCAGTTCGCTACGAAGGCATCCAAGTAATAATCCTCACGTCTTTCTAGTTACATCAGGGTGTGTATACCGGAAGCTAACATCGATGTCTTTGATTGCTCTAGGATGGTTGCGCCATGGTTTTAGTCCATGACGTCGAACCTACCGTCCTTTCTTGCATCCTGGACTACTTCTATACTGGTGATTTCGATGAGAGCGGGTCAAATCCTTACGTTCCAAGCGTTCTCGTTCCGGACAGAAATGATGGAGCTACAGAGTCCCCTTTCAAATCTCCGTCAGGATCGCCATCAGCTGAACCCAACAAAAGGCTCGCTGCAGTCTTTACTATGGCACAGAAGTACAAGATTAATGAGCTGAAGGAATTGGTCCAAAAAAAGTTTGCAGACAGCGGCAAGCTCTCTGAATATCTCTCTGCTATCATTAAAGATAACACCTTGGCGGAAACTGACATGGGGAGAACCCTTCACGTTAAATTACAGAAGGTTGCTTTGGCTTCTGTTGACTCTCCAGAGGTTGAAATAATCGACCAATCTATTTGCAACAATGATGACGGGAGTACCGACGACGACACCACGAAGAATGGTATTACCAAAATCGTTGAGGATGATAAGGTCAAAAACCCCACAAATACCCCGGTTGTTGACGAACCTCTTACGGCAACCGCTCTTTCAACTATGGAAGCTCTGAACGAGAGTCTCCAAACCGAGCTTGCAGCTCTTCGCACCACCTACGAAGAACAAACAAAGGAGCTCAATGGGCAAAAGCCTTTCCTCTTGAGTCTGAAGGTTGAAAAGAACCAGGCTGAGCGTTGCCGCGACAGTGCCATCGAAAGATTGGAGGGTTTGATGAAGGTAATCAACGAAACAACTAAGTGTAAAAACACCAATTGCCTTGCCTCGCTCAACATTTCGGTCATTGAAAATGAAGTTCGCCTTGGGGGTAATGTTACGATCCGTTGTGGCCGCTGCAACGCCCGTCAACGTTAAATCCAAGGCTGAAACTCCGATGACGTATCTTTTTTCGCTTTCATTATATCTAATGTTTAAGAATGTACTTGAATCGACCTTCATGTACACTTAAAATTCGAACTTTGTGCATCGGGGGCCGTTTGTATGAAAGTACACTTTGGACTTATAATGGGTTCCCTATAATAAAACTAATGTTACAATGAATATTACTGAATCCTCCCCAAGTAGTACTATCCTGAGCTACAACTATGGGCTGTCCCCGGTCCCGAGGATCGATCCTCTCAGCAGCTTGGCGGGTCAAGCTGCAACATCTTGAGCACATTGCCTTTTTTATAAATGATCTATATACGATTGATCAATTGATTGCAAAGCTAAAAATGAGCTATGAAGCGATATTAATCATCCTATACTACGAGAATAACTTGAAGCGTACGCCACTCCTGAAGGTAAGTACAAAACAATATAGAGAGATTAAGACCGGATATATATCTTATTCAATAAAGATCCACGAAGTATTAAATGGCGCCTTCGCCGTAGGATCCACCTCCATCCCAAGGATCTCAGGATCATCTTCATCTTCATCATCAATCTCAATAGATTCCAAACAATATTCCCTGGGCGCGGGAATGGGTAAATCTAGATAAATATCCGGCAAATTTTCCCCAGGTCCATAAGTGGCTTTGCCCTCCGAATGTCCATAAGTTCCAGCCAGTATCTTCCTTTGTTCTTTTTCTTGCTTCCTATCGCTCAACATGCTTACGACCCTTGAAAATCGTAATATTTCACGATATTCAAATGCAAATATGAATTCCCCACGAACGAGGTACTTACTGAAGTTCTCCACCGTAGTTGTCCAGATATTTTTAACCCCGACTTGTGGAAGGAGACCTGGAGGCACAGGAACCCCAAGGGAAGTGAGCAAAAGCTCGAATGGTACGTCAATTTCAATTTCCGGCCCAAAGCTCTTGCTTCTATCTCGCGTGATGAGTCCGTTGACACATGATTTATACCCAGTAATCATGAAATAACGGGTTTTCTTTCTCGCTTCTCTGAACTTCTGAACGGTTTTATCTCTAAGAAGCGCACTAAACATATCCTCATGTTGAGGAAGTCGCACTGTACGGATTAACTGGGCGTCAATCTCATACTTTTGGTTTGTGGTTCTGCTCCACATAACCTCGAGGAGGCCTTGGAGGATTCCACCTAATTCTTGAGATTTCTGATTGTTGATTTCAATTCGGGCGGTGTTCATGACACTCATTTGAGGGGTGTGAGCGTGGTCGTTCGGCGCGAATGTCGAAGAGAATATACTTGAGGCATCATCGGGCTTCCAACATGATAGAGGGTCTTCCATTTTCTCACACAAGGCACCGAGCATTTGTGGTCCTAGTTTGATGGGAATGTGGTAGCTTTCGTTTAGAAGGAAAAAAGTCGGTTTCGAGGTCATCTTCAATGGCTATAATTGGCCGGAGGTGTTCAGTCTTTCGGGACGATGTTTCGATATGAATAATGGGATATTTGTTAATATTAACACGGGGGCTTAAAGATTAAAATGTCCACCGAAAGAATCACTCAAGTACAGCCTCCAAGGCTACGCATCGATTAAATAGTGTGAGGAAACAATGTAGGAAGTATATAGAACGGTGACATCTATCGGCGAGCGCCACCATGGCACAAGAGCTATATAATTGAATTTTGTTGTCCCAACAAGGCTGCTGAATTTCGCCCGATGGCAAATTTTCAAAACCTTCATTTTCGTACAAGGTCATGAGTTCAATTTTACTGCATCTTCGTAACTCCATTACCACTCATTGACCTGAATTCAGGCGTCGGCGCTCGCCTGTATCGATAGAATTTAGGTAAAAACTCGATGGATCCGTTACCCTCTCTGCTCCGGGCTGATAACTGTCACGGGCTCAGATTAGCGGAGCACATGCCTCTATGCGCGCTTGGTTGTTCTGGAATCGGACCACTACAAAAGTGGCTTGCATATTTCAATGAAATCAAATCGCCATACGCATAAATGATTTTCGACATATATCGGGTTCGCCCGTTAATTATTCTATGATCACGCCACAATGAATGCGAATGTTGGCTTCAGATCCCGACGAGCATAAATGCGTCAACAACCCCTCGTCCAGGCTTTCAGCCAGGCTCAAATATGGAACCACAAAATACAACAAATCGTGCATCCAAACTTATATCCTACTAATCACTCTGGAAAAAAACGTATAAAAGTTGCAAAAAAAAATACCGGATTTATGAGCACTGATTGGGAGACGAGTCCAAAATGGCTACAAGGAGTATACAAATAAAAATTCATTCTTTATCCGAAAAAAAAGGTTGCGTCGACATCGAAATCTCAGTCTCAGACTTTGGCAACAGTGAAAGCGCCGTCAATGTCTCTTCGTATACCATTAAGGTAACCAGACCAGAGCCAGTGGCGGGATTTGAGGAATTACTTGCCAGACATATAGAAAAATATGCACTGCAAGAGCCGTTCGAGACGAGGTTAGCTGGGAGAGTCGAAAATGCGATTACAGACTATGGAGAGGATCTATACAATCAAATACGGTTAGGCGAGCTACTGGAAAAGCTCGAGGACATTGATACTCTACCACCCGTAAAAAAACTCGATCTCTGCGTTTTTGAGGAGCCTAATAGTATCGTTCCAACTATTCATTGGGAAATATTGGAATTAGTTCAACTCCAGGAACTACATCCTAACTTCGATATCCATGTATCCCGAGTGCCCACATTAGCCTCGACAACGCCGTCAGAGAAATTCGAGGCTAGGTGGGCCTCCAAAAAGCCAGAAGGCTTAAACATCTTAGTTGTCGTTTCTCGACCCAAGGGCAAGCAGGATATTCCATATCGCAATATCACTCTCCCACTCGCCAATATATCCAACGCTTTCTCTAGCCAGGTTTTATCTGTTGATATAGTAAGACTGGGGACATGGGATGCGGTGCAGAATGCACTAGCTGCAAAACCGTTTGGTCATTACCATTTTATCCACTTCGATGTTCACGGCTACGTCGAAAAATCTAGGTACGTGATTTTGGACTTCAGCGATCGTTTTTCGACATACGTTCTAATGAAGCAAAATTATAGAGCATTTCTTCGCTTTGAGTCTTCAGGCTCCCTTAATGATGATATCAAACCTGAAGATGTTGCGACTTTACTTGGCGAACACGGGGTTAAGGCAGCAATACTGAATTCCTGTCGATCGGCGCAAAAGCCGGCACTAGTTGGACCGAGTATCGCATCAGCTCTGATTCACCATGGCCTAGATTTTGTAATCGGGATGTCTTATGATATTCACCAAGATGCCGCCCAATATTTCCTAGAGGAGCTATATAAAGCCTTACTGGTAGGTAATCTACCTATTTTAGAGGCTGTATCCCGAGGAAGAAAAGCGATGCAGTCGGAACCAGCTCGAAGGGGAAGATTCGGCATCAAGGTCGACGTTCAAGATTGGATCAACCCAGTGTTATATTTGCGCTCTCCTATATTAGGCCAGCTACCTATAGTCTCTAAGTCCCATGAGCTAGTAGAAATAGCCCGGAATACTAGTGACTGGTGTGCTAGTTTTTTTGGCCGCGATTATGATATCGCATGTATCGAGAAGGCCCTTTGCAGCGGTACGGTCGCCCGGCTTCGGGGCTTTAGAGGCGCGGGGAAATCAACCTTAGTGAAACACCTCCAGGAGTGGTGGATTCGATCCAACTTTGCTCAAACAATTTTTGTAGTCGACTTCTCAGAGACCGATTATTTTACAGCCGAATCCCCCAAGATCTCTCCGACAGAGATTTTCACTGAAATAGACAATATCATCACGGAAAGGCAACAGAGTGGTATGAGAGAGCGGAAGTTATACAGAATCGGACCAATGCCATCAGACGCAACTTCAAAAAATACCATGTTAGATGGAAATATCGGTGTTTCAAACATTATACTACGGCTTAAAGCTGCCTTTTCTCAAAGCGCTTATATTATTCTGTTCAACAGTTTCGACAACGTTTCGTCTATTCCATACACTGGAGACTTCAGATTCCAACCCTGGGCTAAAGAAATGCTGGACTGGTTCAAGAACCTCGATTGGGTGAATTGGCAAAGCATGGTTTTATTCTCATCTACCTTGGACGAGGATTGGCTGAACAAGATACCTGCAGTCTTAACCACCAACCGAGGCCAGAAAACTAGGAGGTTACCCGCTGAGATAATTGATCTTGAAGGACTTGATCCCGGCGCCGCTACTAGATTCGCCGAGGGGGTTATTAATCTTACACCATATATGGAGAACCCGGCATCTCGCCTATACCTCGAAAGAATTCTTCAATACTACCAGTACCAACCATTAGCCCTAAAAGTTGTACTACCACATCTTCGCGCCTCGAATTTAAGCACCAAGCAGTATTTTGAAAGAACTCTATGCTCTGAGATCGAGATTTCACTAGAAGATACAGGGGAGCAGAAACGTCCCTTGATGGACATCATGCTAGCGTCCATGGCCGCTTCTGGTGCAATCCCAGTACCTATACTAGCTGCTACAACGGCGTACTGCCCACGTATCTACCTCCTCGATATCCTCAAGGGCGATGGGCCTTTTCAGGCGGAAGAAGACCCATCCAAGGCGTTCGAAGACGAAATAGACACGTATAAAGATTTTGGACTCGTCCGCTACACAGAACCCAGCACAAATTCCGAAAATCCCGATAGTATTAACGCCGGTCATCTCTTGATACATCCACTGTTCACTTCTTACATGAGAGGAGTTGTTTCGGAGATGAGTAACCAGGGCGGTCTCGAACCAATCGATATAACTTTCGCTTACCTCGTCTACTATCTTGCACAGCGAAGCGACGACTGGGAAGAGATCGATGGGTTTGGGCATCCCGGTAGTATTGAGATCAATCGAAACTGGTTCAATATACTCGCTGCATTGCGATACTGTGTCATCAGGCCGTACGGCTGGGATCAAAATACCGAGCGATTATTTGATTTCCTGATGAACCGTATTGTGGCTTATGCTGCCTATTATAAACAGGACTCTTGGGACATCATAGCTGAGGTGGCGATAAACGGCATCATTAGGGTCATGAAACATTTTTCTAAATCAAATAATATAGCGGAGCCTTGGTGGATACACCTTCATCTATCCGACGGTGAGTCGGTGGACCAAATTCGGAATACCCCCAGGAAACACTTCCCACTCTGGCTTCTGGAAAGGATGATCAAACTTTACGCGTTCCTCCAGTTCTACGCCTACAGAAAGTTTGATTCAAATGGATGGTACTACAACTCCGCAATAATCGGACTACTCAATCTAAAACAAGCCCAAGGGTATCCACACGGAGATGGGGCGATATTCCTTGAGCAACAGGCATTTATCGCGGCCGCTGAGATAGCACACCAAAATAGTTCCCACTACGAAGAAGGGCTCGCATATCTTGCCAAAGTGGATCTCGGGAGGGTTTCTGGGCCGATGAGGCAACATCTTGAGATACGACAGCGAGATATTCTAGCCGAATTAATGGGATTCATTCTGGACGCCGAATCGTACCAAGGGGATGTGGAGGAAGAGCCCACGAGTCATGGCGTGATTCCTAAACATCTGGGAGAGGAGAAACATCTAAGCAGACCTATGCGAGCTTTAGAAACGAGGAAAGTCTATGAAAAGGCATTAAGAACGAAGGATGAGGGGGATATCGAAATTGCCAAGAAATCCATCTACCAAGCGCTAGACTCACTTGAAGATCCTATTGATCCATATACGATAGTTTTACATAGATTCATGGGAGAAGTAAGTTCCGATAATCGCCCTCAAGAACTATATCTAACTATGCTGACATTCGCGTAGCTATTCAGGATTGAAAAGGACTGGAATGCTGCGATAAGACAACTTTGCATTGTCCAAGAGTTTATTAAATTCAGCCCCGGAGCATTTGAAGGTATTGTTAATGAAAATGGTCGCGACTCGTATCTCATTGAGTTACACCAAGCTATGACAAAATGCTACAGTGAGATGGGCGATAAACTTAGGGCCGACAATCATCGAAAGATATCGCAAAGGATTCACGAAGAACGAGAGAAAACCTGGACATCTAGGGATGCGGAGGAAGAAGCTGCTTTGAATGTATTTTATTCTTTGCAAATTGCGTTCCAAAGAGCTAATCTGGGAGATCCGCCTAAGGGTTGGAAGTGTTCACTGACATAAACAAGTTATATAGATAGTCCATACTTGAAGTAATTTTAGGATGATATCCATTAACTATGCCCAAATTATGTATATATTCGGCTAGCATCCATTCATATTCGAGATGCGAGTTTAAGATCTCTGCTACCGTCTAATCATAGACCTAATCTACCAAAGCCCATACAACTTGCCGAACTTATCATCATTAGCCCCAACTCTGTTCCACTCCATCCCATTCTCCACACCCGTGGCAACAGCGCTGCCCCAAACATACTCGATCCAGCCAAGCACACCGTCAACACCAGCCGAAACACCACTGGTAGTCCAGACATTTCTATCCCTGATATATCTAGCCTTAGGATTCCACCTAACCCTCTGCCCGAATTGAGTAACGAATGCCCAAGCTCTCTTATTCGTAGTAGCGCGCTTGCCGTCAAGAAGTCCTGCGCGTGCGAGGATCGAGGCTCCGGTGCAGACGGAGATAATGTATTGGAGAGATGGGTAAACTTCCTTGACGAAAGCAATGACAGGGGCAACACCGGCATCATTTCTAGTTCCAACACCGCCTGGGACGAGTAGGACGTCTAATGGCGGTGGGTTTGCGTATGAATAACCCGTTAACACGGTAGCAGAGGTATTGGAATTCGTAGCGAATGGAGTGTATGGTTTGATTTCAGATGAGACACCATCTTCAGAAAGAAGGTAGATATTAATAGGTTGGCTTGTGCCTAGTCCCCAGAAGGCCTCAATGGGACCGAAGACATCTAGAGGCTGCCAGCCCTTGAAGAGGGCAATGCCAATATTCTGAGGTTTGGGACCCGGCTGGGGTTGCACATTTGTGGCAGCTATGGAATAGTGTTAGAACTTTTGATATAACCTCGATGAGGACCAATTTCCATACCAGCAAGACCTGCACAAAATGCAGTGATAACAGATGCGATCTTCATGTTGTGGGGTTAGAATAAACTTTAAGTTATAAGCTAAGTTGTGATATAAAGTGAACCTGGCGGGTGGGATACGAAATGGTATGCAAGGTACGTACGAGGCCTTTCAGAAACGAAACATTGATGTCGTTTTCTCACCTTTATATCCTCGGAACCAGGCCCCTGGGTCGGTATCCAGATTTGCTATTCGGTCGATAGAGGTTCATAAGCGCAGATTCGCATCTGCATCTACATGGGACCCTAACTCTCCCCGAAACATAACTTCGGTCAGCAATTGTCCTCGTGGTTGTGTTGATGTAGCTATCGGCAGTTGCATTCCCCGGAAAGGGTTATCTTGGCGTCCATCACCCTCGGTCCGTGTAACCGACGCTGTACAGCATACCCAATGGCAAGCGCAGTTAGGCGATGAAGGACCCTGGGAAGACCCATACTTGAGTGCATTGGAGAACATTATTCAGCCTCCTAGTGTGTCTTCACGATGCTTGGCGGGTAACGTAAACTAAAATAGTAATGGCGAATATGAGGATTTGGGCCTATAAGTGATAGATTTTAGACATGGAATGAGGCGTCATTCGTCCGGACGAGGCCGGTATGACGGCACAAGGCTTGATGCAACATCGCCAATACAAAGCGAAATAGGAACTTAAATGCGGAAGGTTGAGATTGAAATTCCAAGATGATGGAGAATATGCATTGTATCTGCAGGTTACATACAGCCATTCTCTACCCTGTTGGCCCTGCAGTCAGGGTCACAGCCTCCTAGCGACTCCGATCCCCGACATTTTTTCCGTTGACACTTTCATTCGGAAAGCTTACGCTCCATGAATCTCTGCTGCTGCTTTCTCTTTCCAATCATCTCTCCACCTACTCAAAGGAGGTCTTCGTTCAATGGCATCTCCAGCTGCCCAGGCCATTCTCTTCTTATCTGTCACTTCATTCACCTCATTGTCAGGGCAGATCACATAGAATTCTCCCTTCTCCATTTTCTCAGCTAGGTAGTCAGCGACTTGCTCTGCGGTCCAGGCACCGCTTGGCTTCCCTTTGTCGCCTGCTGAGCCGGTCATTCCCGTATAGGTCCAACCAGGTACCAGAAGATGAACGTGCGTAGTAGCATTATCTCTTAAGTCGAAGTGAAGACTTTCGGCAATGGATTTGATGGCAGCCTTCGAAGCGTTATAGGCTGGGTTGCCAGGTGGGTTGGTGATACCTTGTTTCGAGCCGGTCAAAACCACGACTTTAGGATCTTCTACTGTGCTGGCAGTGATTTCGTCGAAGAATGTCGAAATACCATTGAGGTATCCGAAGTAGTTTACATCCATAGTCTTTGCGAAGGAAGTGGGGTCCTTCCAATCTGACTTCGTGTGGATGGCGGCGTTAAGAACAAGGAAATCGATCCTGTGGAACCGTTTGATGAAGTCCTTCTTCAACAAAGACCAGGCGCGAGGATTTGAAGCATCTTCTTGATAGCCATCTATGGTAGCCGATGGATACTTTTCTTTCGACGAAGCGACAAATTCCTTTGTCGCTGTAACGTTGGAGTCGACAATGGCGACATTCATGCCCTTAGCGAGGCAGAGGTTTGCAATTGCACGTCCGATACCACTTGCACCACCGCTGATAAGAGCGACTTTGCCTGGTTTGAATACTGACGTCGGCATCTTGTTGAAGTTTGAAACAAAAGTTGTTGGTTATCGATAGGAGGAGGGGCAGCTTAAATTATCTGGGTGGGCCAGGCTAAGCTGTGACAGTGGGTGAAGGTTGAAGGGAGTAATTCGGAGCAAAAAACTCCAGATGGAAGATTTAATCCGATGCTGACCCGCCAGGACCCGCTGCCGTTAGACAATGCCGGCTTCATTGCTGCATTTGGTTGATTACTACCGATTAGTAATCGTTTGAAGTTGTCGATGTAAGACTATGATGTCAAGCGTCCAAGCTCACGATTCAACAGGAAGTTGGATGGAAGCTAGTGCTCGGCCGGAGTTAATATTAACACCGGTTGTCGAGATCCAACAAGAACAACACCAGAGTCGACACTTCGCCGGCATCTGTATTATGATCCTGATGCTACGGTGTATTTGAGAGTGATATTTCGGCGATTCCTATGCTGGAGAAAAACCTAAGTGGCTAGCCTCGTAAAGAAACACTAAGATCTAAAAATGATTTGGCTTATGAGAACCATTTGACAACCTAGTAATATTAAGTTTTAGATTGATCTAAAAGCCAAAGTATCTGACGGAAAATCCTCTCCGTCTCTATAAACTTAACTTGTAATTGCCTTGTTTTGTTGCAGCTCAAAAAAAGTTTAAACGTTTGGGATGGGGTGTATCTATGAGGGATAGACATATACGCGTACGCCATCACTATACAACTTTAATATCGATATCGTAATTCCTTCCATATGCCATATACCTATCCTTTAGCTTCAACTTTCGAACTTTGCCAGGCGTCGAAGCCGGGAGAAATATTTCTCTAACAACATGAACTTTTTAACGCTTCCAATTGACAAAGTTACATACATATATACGTGTTTGAGGAGCCTTAGCATATGAGCCTGGCTTTAATTTACTATCGTGCGCATTGATTCACCGTGACGGCCACAAAAATATTTATTCCACTTGCTCCTACCTAAGTGAATATCATAAACTCCAACTGGCGAAGTTTGGATATCTGAGTATAAATTTAAATTATTAGAAGTGTCAACTAGAAATAGAAATTGTCGAAAACTATGCAAAAACCTTATCAAATCGGTAATCTCCAAATCCGTAAAGTAATTCCCGGAATTGTCGAGATAACTTGTCTCGTACCCAGACCTAAAAAGTCAAACGACCTAGCCGGCCTCGCGTCAGGAAAGCGAAAGGCTACTTTAGTATGGGATATGATCTGCAGGAAGGCTTCGAGAAGCTCTGTCGTCTATCTTTCCCTACAGCGTTCTGGGGCGGTGCTGGTCTGGAACGTTACAACTGTACAATGAGTGTTAAGGTTTCAGGTACGCGACGAGAATGGGTGGAGGCCTGATCCAGACTTGACGGGTTTGGCTTGCAAGCCCGACTCGCGAATTACTCGTGATGAGCAACAGGTGGAGGTAGAAGTATATTTAAGGGTGAGATATCCACCCTTTCCTAACTGGCTTCTAGATTTGGCATCTATAGCTACTAGATATCTATTTCGCTCGTTAAAGGAATCTAGATATCAGCTATTTCTAAAATATTTCCTACACCTCTATTCAACCTACTTCAGTACTTTTATTCGAATATTCTAGGCTACATATATAAGCCATCCTTTTATATATTTCTGGGGGATCAAAACAACTAGTTTGGGACAGCTGAGTTCCATATATGCAATTGTCAAAATTAAAATGAGACTGCACACTGCTCTCCTCATCTTCGGACTCACATCCACCGCTGTGGCTCTCCCAAAAGGCCAAAGAAACGACGTCCAAAGGTCGTCGCCGGTGCTAACCCATTATTATTTCACGGACGGACCCAGTTTCACACTTCCGTCCGTCCCGCCACGACCTCCAACCGCCACTATGCCCCCTCCGGTTCCAACTGGAGGGGTCCCAGCAGAAAATCGGAATGATAGGCCACCACAAGCTAGCGGAACGGGCGCATCCCGTACGGGCAGCCCACCACCGAAACCGACTGGAACTGAGAAACTACCCTCTAAGCCTAGCGGTACCGATAATCCGTCTTCAAGCGTTACTAGTGCAGGAAGCTCAGCTAAAGTCAAGGGCAAAGTTGGCATTATTAAGGCTGGCAATTAATCTACTCGTTCATAGAATATTTATATTAAAGATTGTAAGATTAGTATGGCGATAAAGGGCTTTCGAGGTAATTTTTCTGAAACTCGATTGGGAAATGCGGTACCGATATATCTAGGAGTTAGTGGTAGACTTGGGGGTGTACTAGTTAGCCTCGAATATATACAGTGCCAGTATTGATCTTTGCTTGATGTACAAATATCTAAATTCCTATCGATACATCGTACCTTGATGAAAATATAGATCTATCCAAGTTACAATATATTAATAGCTACAAATAGAGTACTTGAAGGCTTGAAACGATATACTTTTTAAATTTTGAACCGCCCTTCGCGATGACCCGAGAGTCCAGTTGGAAAATGAAACTGAGGTACGAACTAGGTGTATAGCTTGAACGTTCTTAATTAAGCATACATACACGTATACACCACCCCACGGCCTAGTCTCGTATTGCAGACGCGGTCCACACTTTGCCCACGGCCATTCCGTTGATTAACGTTCTTCAAATCCAATTACTTCTAGCTTTTACCTCGCAACAGCATTAATTCTGATTAATGGGATAATTCTACCTAGGTAGTTGGTCCTAGGCTGAGAAAAAGATATTATTGTTGTTCAACTAGATAGTACAGAGGGCTGCTCTACCCAGCCAGAGGCCCAATTAGAGCCTGTGTAGTCGTTTAGGGGTCCTTATTATATAGGAAATGATAGGCCTAGGCACAGTTGAGGAGTCTGGCGACGAGACAAGGCCTAGGAGACAATACTAGTAGCCAGAAGTAGCATGAACGTAACTGTTTAGTAGGAACTCAGTCCCAGATTCCACCAGAATCTGTGTAACGCCACCTCTCGGCCTAGAAAACAACACAAGAGCCTTCAAAATACCACACGCGTCTCCAAACCCCTTTCGCTCCTATAGCACTACAACTACCTTCAATCCCGTCTTAACGTCTTCAAAATCCTTATCGTGACTTCAGCTAGAATACAATGGAGATTTTCCAAGAGCTTCAAAAGAGGGTCCAAAAGCCTTTCTCCTTCTCCTTCTCTAATCATATTCATTCCTCTTCACATCTTAGCTCTTATGCTGCTGCTGCTGGCGAAAAAGTAGCGTCCCAGATGCCGTACAATTTGTCTCGTTGGGCTTCGTATCCTCGTTTGTCAGAACCATCTCCTGCTTTGATTACCTTCCTTAAACATATCAAAGATTCCAAGAGTACCGTCTTCTCTAGCTCAGAAGCTCGAAACCTTCTTACCACTGGAATTTCTTCTGCTTCTGTTTCTCAGCAATTATCGATTAGCTTCTCCTCGATCTCAGAAGACGCGTCCATCAAGGAACAATCTTCACAGACCTCCAAGCAAACAGACAGCCTTAACAGTCTCAAGATGCCTACCCAAAAGTCTTCCAACGGCCTAGAGACTTCAGTCTCCCCAGAATCTTCGGATGAAACATTCCAGACGGCAAAGTCCGAAGAACAGGCCACTATCGATTCTCCAACTCAAGAGACAAAATCTAGCAACAGTAGCAAGGAATCAACCCCTACCAGAGATGCTACCAGCGATGCTACCGAGAAGCCAAAGTCTACCCAGCAAGTTGAGATCTTGCAAGTCACCGCTTTCGTCGACAAGCTTCCTGCTACTTCCCTCGAAGGAGCCGAGCCTGTTCCAGCGATCTTGGGAAGCAAGCACTCTTCCCATCACAACCTTGGCACCATCTTCCACGGCAAGGGAGAGCGATCTGACCCTCCGGTCCCACCAAAGCCCGCCCAATACGTTCCCACCTCCCACAAAGCCGATGAGGAGAACCAAAAACAACCTGCCATTCAAGAGCTGGTTCAAATACGCCAACCGGCCGAGAGCAGGTCCCCAACCATGCTCATCTTCAAGGTTCTGGGCACCAGAACCAACCCAGATACTCGCGAGTGCGAGTATCACATCCTCTATAACTGGTCAGGGAGCAACCCACGCTTCCCGAACGGCCCTGTGGTCAAGGAGGTCTTCACTTTCGAAGACCTCTTGATGCACAGGGCCGTCATTACTCGGCTCCGAGTCTGGCACTCGACTCACATTGGGGTCAGTAAGGACCCCAGAGTCGAGGAGATGAAGTACCGCATGTCTCCGGCGGAGTACACGGAGACCAACAGGTATCCGTGGCCGCCCTTCGACCCACGCGGCTGGTACTGCTGCCTCATTTGGGGCAATTTTGGATCAGATACTGACAGCGAGTAATCGCTGTCAGCTTTGTTTGTAAAGCGTTGGCCGGGGGAACAGCCCCATTGTTATGTAAAATACAAGCGGTGGTATACCGAGTATACCATAATGACACGATTGGATTTCCGGAAAACAGTACTTTCCATTCAAAGTAGCCTGTAAAGCATTTAGTACCATTCGGTAGACGTAGTCTCATAACAAACTCATGTACGCTGCTACTACGATGAACGTGATGAAACCGATAATGGAGTAATCCTGAAATTCTACAGGAATCCGTATTAATAAATGGAGGTCAATATAGGACCCCCAAAAGAATGCCCCACTACTAAGCAGTCAATATATGAGGGTTTTAAGCGTATGGTAGTCTTTTTACAACGATATTCTAAGCGTGTGCCTCTCTTTTACCCGACAATTGCATGCTCTAGAAAAGTACAGTATGTCTTCTAAGAACATTTGAACACACGTAGTAATAGTTCTATTAAAGAATAGTAAAGGCGGTAATTGGTGTCTTCGTGATAAAAACCTAGGAAGTAGAGCCTCTATTCCCAGAAATGGGACGAAAAGTGGTATAAAAGTACCCGGCGTGATTCCTCAACACAGTTGAGGAGCCTGACGACGAGACAGGGCGTGATGCCATACCTTTAAGGCCTGTACCGCTAGGGGTTCGTAGATCCGGCAGACCCCTTCCCCTCAGATCCATCCATATTATCTTTACCGACACTCTTCTCGTCATCTCCCGCCCTGTCACCCTTACTTACCTTTGTCTCTTCAGGTCCGTCGTCCTGCTCCTCCTCTCCATGACCGTATTTTTCCCCTTCTTCAACACCTTCCATCTTTTCGCCCTGATCAAAAAACCTGGTTCGTTTCAAGTCTCCTCTATGGCTACCCGCAGACTCTCTGCTTCTCTTACTCGCCAAAGGGTCAAGTGCATCACCAGCATCTTCTGTATCCGCATCGAATTCTTCGTCAAAGCCAGCCATAACGCTATCACTCATTTCCTCTTCCGTCCCTTCGACAGACATTCCTAGGTTTCGCTCTTTCCCACCGACATTTCTACTAGATTTCGAGCCTTTCTTCTTCGCAAGTGGCCTCTCGTATCGGATTGGGGGTGTAACTTTAATATCGGTGAGGAGCTGGTTCAAAGTCGCGAGCTTCGGAGGCGGTGAGGAAACAGATGGTATTGCGTTTAAGTTATCATAAGATGGAAGAACAACTGGTGGTAACCAATCGCCATAGCGGTGGTAAAAGTTTGGCGATTGCCACTTTTCAGACGGCTTGTTGTGAGGGGGCCGTAGATTATGAAGTGTCGTTGGAGGCTTCCACTCAGCTTGGTTTTTGTTGTTGGTATCATCATTTTTATATTTCATATTTGATGGGCCGGAGAGTAGTCTTGCATTTTTGATGCGTTCAGCAGCCAATCTCATCTTTTCACGCCAAGCAGCTTTCTCCAACGCTTCTTGTTCCTCGGTTTTTTGGTCAGCATGAAAGGCTGTAGTACTCCTCTCCGCCGGACCAACTGAAAGGTGGCGGCGGAGTCCTGGGCCTCCTCCGGCTCTAAAGTCCTGCTGGGCTTTTTCATAGATAGCTAGCATTTCAGGATCCTTTCCTTCCGAATAGTAGCTATGGTCACTAACGCTTGTAACATCGGTCATTTCAGTATCCGATGGGTCTCCTCTGGGTGGAGAGCGGGTGAGTGTGTGCCCCTTGGGCTTCTCAGAAGCTCCTTTACCCTTTCCGTGTGTTGATGGCGAGAGATAGAGCGGAGGAGGCGATTTCATGGTATTCCGACCTCGATTCATGCTCTCATTAACAGCAGTACTGTTTTTGTAAAGTTCGACCTGCTCGTATTTCGTTTGGAGGTAGATCATTTTTGAAAGGTACTCTTCTTTATAGATATCTTTGCCGTTGAACCACTCCGATCTTTCGACTCTTGCCTCGGTAGCGAGAACACTCTGGTCTTGCATCCTTACGTCCATGGGTCGGAACATGTTTCTTTGGTGAAAGCACCGCATGACGCGGATACCCCAGGACCAATTCAGTTCTTCGAAGGTAAGCCATTGCCTAGGAGCCTCTCTTCCATTTGCCCAGACGAATTGGGCTTCGTACTCAACAACCCTAGGGTCCGTATCTGCTCTGTAGCGAGATTGAAGGATCGATTTCAACGACCATTCCGGGTTGCCCAACGGACGATTAAACGATTGGGGGGAAAAGGTGCAAGTAAGTCCCAGCCGTAGCAGCCTTTTTTCAAGTGTAGAAAAGTCGTTGACGCGAGAAGGGTGGTCTTTTGGATCGAATGGTCTAAAAACACTGGCATGTAGTGGTAATGCATCCGTCTCCTCTTCAACAAATCTAAGGTTCTTCTCAACTGGCTTACTACCGCTAGCAAGTCTTTCCGCACCAATAGGTGGCTGGGAGCCAAGTTGCTTAACAGTAACTTTGGCCTGTTGGGCTATTTGAGCAAAGTATATGGCTGTTTCTTGTTCCGGAGCCGTATATGCCCTGCGACCCGAGGCCGCAGGTAAGTTGTTGCTGGATGCTGGGTCCACCGTTAGTTTATCCTTTGGCGGTTTTTTTGAATCATCCGGCGCCTTCTTGGACGATGAGGCTTCAATATTTTCCTGAGACTGAACCATTGGAACAACTGGTAATGCTGAACTAACCATTCTTATCCCGTTAATATACAGGCCGGACCGATCGATGTCATGAGACAAAGGTCCTAATTTCTACAGAAATCGAAGAAATCATGACTTACAAAGCTCGAGAATCTTTTCGAAAAGATGAGAGAGAAAGGTCCAAGACCTTTAAGATGAAGGGGAACTGGCGAGGCTATCGTTATTTCTAGTTCAGAGCAAACCACGGCGTGGTAAGTTTGCCGTTTGATGCTATTTGGACGGGAAATCACCAACCACGTTTCAAGGAGGTGCGAAGAGCAATCTTAAGATTGATGGCTCGAGGAAGTTATGGAGATGGTTGGTGATTTGGAGAGAAATGAGACGGAGGTTAGTGATTTAATGGAAAGCGGTAAACATAAGGGTCGGTCTGCCATGACGATGCGGCTCCTCCCCGAATGTCGCACAAGAGTCCCGCATGGAGACGTGGGATGGCACCGTGGCCGCGTACCTCTGTTTCCAGCCCATAGTCTATATATAGTATATATTACGAGGCTTTGGGGTTCTATCAATCGTCAGGAGCCCTGGGTATGTGAAAGTTCTTTAAAACGTCAAAGGAATCTTTCAAGTATGTACCATCTTATTCTAGGGCAATCTTAGAGTCTAGAAGCAGCTTTAAATCTCTCCTAAAACCTTCCTTTAAGCTAAAGGCTTGGTATTATTCGAATATTCTTTTGGATTCCAGTCACTTTGAGCCTTTTCAAAATATCAGATACCGCATTCCGCGCCCAAGTTACTTCCAACCTGTAGTAGTGTGGATAAGGAGTTTAATTCAGTGTGGATAAGGAGTTTAATTCAATGGAATATTATAGTCTTGTATCAAAATACTTCGGTAAGCTGAGGGAACATTATAGATATTCTGGTTTTTATGATTGCCCTTCATATATAGCCTAGTACCTAGCTCTATATTAAAACGCTTCAGCAAGCTGAGCTAGTACCCCGAATTAGCTTAAAATGGCAATTTCAAACGAGATAACCTTGCGGTCCCTGAATCTCCAGCCTAACCGGTGCTGGCATCAAAGTAGGCAAAGACTCCAAAAGCAAAAGCAACTGCAGTGAGCTATCCCGATAAAACTGCAGAAGTTTAAGCATTTGTTGACCGAGATCCCATATCGGCGCAAACTCGTAATGCTTCTTATCGTATACATTCCAGAAAAAGCTTTTTAATTTATTCTTGAGATTCCAGGAAATTTTACTCAACGTCTCATAGGTATCTTTCACGGTGAGATAGAGATTATATCTCCCAGCAACATCGTAGAAAGCCGCACCCTCCCATTCTTCAAGAGCATATATCCATGTCGTGAGCTCCAAAGCCGTTCCTTCGCCTTTATCTTGCGGGTCCCACATCAAAAGTATCAAAATATCCCAGATTGAAACAGCCTGCGTACCTCCAGGGACTTGAGGTCGGTCGTCAAGATTTCTCTGATAAAAGTTCGCTGGAGCACTGATCTTTGCCGTCAAAATTTCTTGATTCAGTTTGTTTAACTCCGGCAATTTGGCGATATTATACTCCGCTCCACCAAGCAAATCAAAATGTGGCGGCCCAGGGCCACGCATAAATGGCTCCCCTGGTTGGTAGCGGGCTTTCAATTCTTCCTCATCCTCATCATCCTCAGAACTCCAGTCAAATTCTCTCGCATGTATCCTTTTTTCCAAGGCAGTGAGGATCCCAGAAAGTTGCTGACCCATCAGCATGTAGTTTGGATCCAGCACACTCTCATAGCCACCTGGCCGCTCTATAATTGAGGCCGTCTGTTCCTCCCATGTTTGAAGATTGTTATCTCTTATTATCGTTTCATCGGTAACTCCGATTCGATATTCATCTCGTCCTTTTCGATACAAACTTTTCAGCAATTGGCTAATTTCATCAAGTTTCGGTCCATTGTCTAGGGTGTATTTGATGACTTTATTATAGTCGACGCGCCCATGTTGCGCCCGGGCAACTCCTGACATTCTATAAATTGGATTAAAATAATTTTCTGAACAAAATCAGTTTGTGTTCTATGGGTAAAGAACAAAAACTCACATAAGAATACAGATCCCAATACCATAACGAACTCTACACCCGTGGAAAACCCGCATAATGATAAACCGTAGGAAATATTATTTTCCAGGACGAACAAGACGAACTGATTACTTACTGATAATAGTTGTAATTCAAATCGTACTGAAACGGAGATACACGTGGGGAAACAACTACCCCATGTTCGAGAAAGAAAGAGCCTATATTATTGCGTGAGCAGAATAGTTAATTCACTCCCTCTGTTTATAATAGCCTCAATCTACTTCGCAGCCCAACATGTATCGCTTATTATTGCTCCACTATAACAAAACTGACTAATCCATTCGCCTACCAAGAGCATTACATATACATATGTGGACATAAAGAAGAGTGAACATGAAAAACGAGACGGCTTTGTGGATTGGACACAGTCATATGACCGTAAACCTACCTGTTAGCGAGACAACCAAAACGGAAAAAAGACTTCTCCAGGAGATTTCCTAGCATGGCCGCTAGGTGCGGATTTGCTCGTTAGCAGAAAACGCCGTGCCTCCAACCTTCCATGTTCCAAGAGTCATGTCAAAGACCGATCGATACTACAGTCACATTCGTCGGCCACGCCGATCGCGATCGAACTAGTTACATTCTGTCTCATTTGTAAGGCCTAGGCGCCTCGACTGTCAATGAGCTATCCTTGAATTTTCATACATGCAGTCAATCCTAAATGCACATGTCTATCTCCGAATTCCCCAACTCCTAGTACTATAGTCTCAAGGAGAAAAGGTTTCCAGAAAGAGAATACGCCCCCGTGTATATCCATATCATCTTCTAACTCTCGCCTAAAACAAACTCCGTCTTATTGAATCTTTTGTTGGGCTATACTACAAAATGCGATATGTGCACGACTCTAGCTCTGGTGCAAATTCTATATTGAAACTCCAATCATGGGAAATTTAAATACTTTCTCCATAATGCAAGGTTATATTCGGCGTTAGCGAATTCAAGCCTCGCCGCTCTAACATTTTGTGAGACACTTGCTTCTTCACGCAAAATTACCTTTGTTGTGCGGCCCGGCAAATAATACCTTGAAAGAACTGGAAGTTGGAATCTGTTTCGAACTCCTTTGCGTGCAAATAGCTAGGATGGCACGGAAGGACCAATATAGTACCTCGACCAGCCGGCTTTCTATCTCGGGTAAAATTTCGGGTCACGTATATTCTTTTCTATATTTTGACAAGGCTGGCTCCCATATCAATAGAATCTCATTTACAGCCATCTTTCGCCTTCCAGGCTGCCGTACAGATATTCCTATGAAGAACTGAGCTCATCAAATCACATATTTTCATCTAAATTAATATCTATATACATAATTCGGAAAACTTTCCCAAAGCGTCGAGATGCAATCTTCTCCTTCCCTTCCTAGTCCAACTTTTACTGTCCAACCCCGCTATCAAATCATACATCTTCTCCTCCAACTAAACTCCTGTACCTCAGATTTCCCGGAGTATCCAGACCCACCCACAGATCGCCTTCGAGGCATGATTTACGCAGCAGCTTGTCAAAGAATTCAAACCCGAGCCAAACTCACCAACGAAAACCTCAAAAAAGCCTTCGACTTCGTCAAAATATTCACCGACTTAACAGGATTCCTTTATCCATTACACAGCTATGACCTGCAAGTCGAAATCTGCGTCAAACTGGCCCTGTTTCAGCTTTTACTCTCGGATAAAGATGCTATTAAGGAATTTGAGAAGCTAAGAAGCTATATGGCTAGCGGGCCTGCTTTCAACGCCATGAATACTTCTTCACCGGTGGTGGACAGCCGGTTTATACATTATCTTGCTGAAGAGGCGGGGTTTATACCCCCCAGTCCGAGTGAGATTTCTCCACCATCTTCTCCAATGCGAACGGATGGCCCTTCTAAAGGTAAGGGCTTCGGCAGTATTTCACAGACTAGGGTACAACTTGCCTTGATGGAAAGCATTATCCACACTCTTGTTCAGAGTCGGTCATCCATAGGCCAACAGAACGAAAAGGGAATAAAAATTCAATCCGAGAAATTCAATATGGAGGGTCTTTTCAAGATTCTCCCAAATTGGATTTTCCCTTTGGATGAGTTTGACGAAGAGGAGTATGGAAAAATATACCTTCCCGTAACCGAAAACTTCGTCGGGTTTACCAGAGCGGTAAGTCAGATCTCACTCACCCTCATCGAGCAAACTAAAAGTTCTCCAATATCAGGCCAAACCATAACTGACTCCCAAGAGATATATCAGGTATCTACCATAATGGCAGCCTGTAATACTCATCATAGCAAACTCCAAGTTCCCCGAGTTGCATTAGAAGAAACTCTAAACTGCTATACATCCCTCAGAAAGTCCTTCCAGCCCCACCCCCAACTCTGGAAATTCGCCGATGCCTACCTCCGAGGCTTCGTAGGCGCAACTCTTGGAAGCAGCGAAGGGTTTAAAAATTTATTCATGAGCGACTGGAAGATAGTTCTACAGAATGAGTGGCATAAGAAACGGACATCCACGAATATGTTTTCGTATCGAAGAATGAGTGCTGCGAGTAATGCAAATGAGATGGAAGTTGATGAAGTAGAAGTTCCAATTAAATCTGAGAGTGTGAGACGCAAGAGTATTGTGGAAGAGTACGATAGCTGGGAGTTTCTTCGCTAGGATATGATCTTTTGTTCGTTTGGCCCTGTTGACTGTATTACTATCAACCGTTCGGTTTTTGACCGCGAGTATCTGTATATCGATTATATTTCGAGTAGTAGCAGCGGAAACACAGATGAACCTGTAGATGGTCGTAATGTAGCAGTAGTATATTAATATATATCCTTTCAGAACGGATTCGAAGCTACCGTCGTTTATTGACATGTCTCGGGTTTCTTCGTGCATGCATGTTGGGAGACCTCGCAATCCGGGTCCTTCTATCACACAATCGATCTAAACGACACTACGAACATCACGAGATTTACCATGTGAACTTCACGTATGAAGGAAGCGACAAATCAAATAACATTAACAGTAATAAACAGTAACAAAAAGTAAAAACATGATGAACAAAAAACATGAAGGAAAGCAAAAACATAAATCAAAAAAAGACATGAATACAAAAAATACAGGAACAGAAAATACATTGGTAAGAACAAGCAATAGTAGCAAATAATAAATGGCAAGTAAATAACAATAAAGGGAGGACATGGGTGAGGAGGTGCTACATGATATAACAAGTAAAGCAAAAACAGAACAGAACGACCGAATATAAAATCAAAGATAAAACCAGAACAAAAACCAGAACGAAAACCAGAACAGAAACCGGAACCAAACAAAAGAAAACAAAACACGCAGAGCAAAAAAAAAAGTATGTACAAAGGGTGCACAGGGAAGGTAAATCGGAGCCCCCCTAGTGGCGTCGAGGAGGTCTGCCGAATCGTCGTCGTCGATTTTGAGGGAACCGAGGAAGAGGAACCACCACCCAGGAATAAGGAAGAGGAGAGGAGGAGAGAGAAGAGAAGAGAGATTGTCGTCCCCGTCGGTAGCATAGGTGACGGGGACAACAGGAGGAAGAGAGGAGTTACGTGGAGGAAGAGAAGGGGAAGGTGGTGGGTGGTGGGGGCGGCGAAGGAGAAGGAGAAGGAGAAGGAGGGCAAGGAGAGGACGGAAAACTGGGCCCCCTCAATCAAGCTCCATTGGCTCTGGCTCAGCCAATGGAGCTTGGAGGGGAGCGGTAATATCTACCGCGTTGGGTCCAGTTGTCGTCGGGGGGGGCCGAAACACCACCGAGACGACAGAGGAGGGGCTAGGGGGAGGAGACGGCGAGAGTGGCGGCGGCGGCGGGCGACGCACCGTGTACTCTGGCGGGTAGTAGAAGTCCCGCAGATACAAGGGCGTCACCATTAACGCCGACCGCCATGGGAACCTCGCCTTGGTCTCCTCCAGGAGTGCCTCCCAAGTCTCGATGGTGTGGGCCGGTTCCAGTGGCAGGTACATGACAGGAACCGGCCCGCGGTAAGGAGGGGTCCACAAAGGGTCTATGCCCCCGTGCCCCTCCTCAACCGCTTTTCGGCCCCCCACGGGCTGTGGCCGGAACACCATGTTGATCAATGGTGTCCAGCGGCCGTCGGCTACCCGCTGCGATGCCCTCTTTAAGACGAGGGCACCCCCTCCCAGGTAGAAGGAGAGGATGTGGAGGACAAACAGCAGGGCAGCCGACAAACCTACCATATGCCCAACGAGGCCCTGCTCTTGGACCCAGGCCAGGGTTCTTCGTTGGACCAGAACGACGAATCGTTCTAGTCGGCCTGGTCCAGTGCGAGCAATAGGACGACGTTGGGCGGTAGGCGCCCGTGGCCTCTGCCTGGCTGGTAGTTGAGGAAGTCGTTGCCAGCCGGTGGCAACGAACCTCCAAGCCAGGGCAGAGATCTGTAAGAGTCATGTCAGTAAATGCATGAAAAAGATTGTCAATAATGATGAATTCATGAATGGACCAACTTACCGCCCGACAAATCCGTCCGAAACTCTCGGGGAGGAGTGTGGCCATGATGAATAAGGCCATGGCGGCCACCTCCATCCCCTTGAGAGTTTGCCCTTGTGGTGTGAGCTGGTGGAGGGGTGACCTCCAAACGGCGTCCAGCAAGTTGATGGTCTGCAACGAGATTTTTGTTAGTATTGTGCCCGTGTTCAATTTCTTGCAACGAGATTTTGGGATGATTTACCTCGCGACCCTTCGCCGCGAGCGAACCTTGCGGTTCCCAGTTACGATAGACGACGCTTCGGGGGTGCGTCGACACCAAGAAGTAGGTAGTCCCGACTACCTTACCCTGTGCGGGCCCAGAAATAAGAGAAAAGAAGAAAAGGAAAATGCGGCAAACTGCCGCTACAAGATTTAATTCGGCACCAACGCCGCGGGAAACATGAAAAAACGAACGAAAAATACAAAAAGCAGAAACTAAACGAAGCAAAGAAACAAAAACAGAAACAGAAACAACAAAATCAGACGAATCAATATTTACAGTAAATGGGAAAGCAGACAACAAGAGCGAAAGGGAAACGAGGGGGTAGAGGGCCATGGGGGGGAGAACAAACGAAAAAACAGAAGAAATAGAAATAGAGAAAGCCATTTTGAAAACCGCGGGAATGGCGAGTCCTGTCGTGAGAATTAACCTACTATGAATATAAGCAGGGGGGGAAAGATAGGCCACACAGTCGAGAATAGCGCAATGACTCTCAGACTGTTACCAACAACGTCGTCTAGGGGCCCGAAGGAACAGTAGACGGAAATGATGGTCAAGAACGGAAGATACCAATGCAGCTGAGAATAGCACAATGACTCTCAGACTACTACCAACAACGTCGTCTAGGGGCCCGAAGGAACAGTAGACGGAAATGATGGTATGGAAGATAGGCCACAACAGCTGAGAATAGCACAATGACTCTCAAACTGTTAGAAGTGATGCAACTGAAGAAAGTCCAGAGGGCACGAGGGCAGCAACGGACAAAAGACGCGTCGAATGGTGAAGAACAAGATGGTGAGCAGTCGTCTTGGAGCAAATGAACAATGCGACCGAAGACAGACGAAGAGAAAGCTGTTGAAGGTAGTAATTGTGATGGTCGTAATGAGCTGAAAGTTGTCGAGCGAGTTAAGTTATCGTAGTGTGAAGTTGTTGAATGGAGTTGGCGAAAGTTGGAGTAAGCTTGTTTGTGGATATCGGAAACGTGCTTAGAAGAGAGAGAGAGAGAGAGAAGAGAAGAAAAAGAAGAGTTCAAGTTGGAGTTGAATAATTAGACAGATGTCCGTTTCTTAAGGGAATCTTTTTAAAAACCTTGTCATCCCCTGATGATCTACAATACTTGGTGCAAATTATTATTAAGTTCTTCTGGTTTCCACAAAAGCTGCAAAGCCGAGCGTTAGAGATATTTTGCAACTCTTTCTATACAGATTGTGCAGTATAAAGCCCACCATATTCAACAAACACACGTTGTCAAGTGACGAGCTTCCTTATATACTATTTACGCAATGTTTCAATTCCTTAAACAAAGTGCGGTCACTTCGTATCTCTCGATGTCTACTCCTTTGCAGTAGCATTACAATTGATTGTGGTTTGCGAAATAACTCGGAACTGTGTCCAAAAACCCACCTGCAAATATACAAGTATGTTGTAACGACCTGTTACCTAAGCTAGGCTTTTTGGCCATGACGGCGATATTACAACCAAACACCCGTATACACGTGTCCTTATAACTTCAGTGCTCATCATATACAGGACCCATCTTAAATAGCAGCAGTATGATATCTAGAAATATCACCTCTTTGTTCGAGACTACAAGTTATTTAGCGTCGAAACTCTACAGGCCGCAAGCAAACAACACTTTGCCAATTTGCCAAATGTGTTGTTTTTGTTACATGTCGTTGCTTTCCATTTTGGGCCACAGTCTCCAGTCTCGTAACCAAACTGTGCACAGTCTCGTAACTTTTGGGTCAGCTGGAACCTACCAAGTTCGGCAAGACCACCCCACCACGACCTTCAGCTCGTGAAGAATGTCGAGACCCTGTACATGTGCTATAATTCCTAACCTCAGGATGGGAATGGGTATACTGTACTGGACGCGGTCCAACTATTTTTTAGATTTTCACATAGCTCTTTTTAGCTAATTATCACTTTCTAGATAGGAGGTACTATAGTATATCAGCTTGTCGCGTCCCGCCCCGTCGATTTATGGCCTCCCCACCGAATATAGATATAAATCCTCATACAACTATCATACTTATGTTATACAAACGCGCTATTTTCCCACGATCGGAAAACTCTCCTCACCTTCCAATCCGTTCAAAATCTCCCAAATACTTGGCATTTGGCGCTCAACGGAGGGGCCTGAGGGGCCTAGCGCCAGCGTTTTACGTAATTTACGTAATAGCATCCAGGAACATGGTTGACAACCTCTCAACCTTCAATAATACCATGCACTGGAGCTGCAAGCCATGCGCGGGAATGGCTTTTCTGGTTGCGAAGTGCGAAACTATCATAATTAGACATCCTCTTTTTCCTCATTCCGTGATCGATACACGAGTCAAGCCCCCCGCGGCCGGCTCCATTGTTGATTCCAGTAACTTGGTTTATTAGATATGGAGAATAATTGAGAGGACAGGGTTTGATACGCCATAGTATTGGTTGCTTCAATTGAGTTATACCGGTTCTGACTTCAAATTCCCATCTATCCTTTAAAGTTCCCATGAAGAGCTCCGTTCACGAATCTAAAACAAAGGCTAATCTCCAGGGTTGTCTAGATATCCACCCATCCCGATGAGTTTATACCGAAAGCCATATGCTTATCTCGCATGGAATTAGAACCCTCGACCGTATTCCCGGATCGTTATCTATCAGCCATCCTAAGATCCTGGCTTTGAGACTATAGTCATCCCGTATCTGCACTAGGAAAACGAAGAAAATGCTCCATTATCTGAGAAGGGAAGGCCCCTCTTGGCTCCGAGAGCTAAGGTGTCGACGGGTGCCGACCCGACCCTATGGTCCGATGATTAGATCTGAAGCCAAGGACGGAAGGACATACAGGGTCGGGTCTAATATAATCGATCGATGCCACCGTATCCGCGGCTATTGCTGGGATATCACATACTTAGCGCGTACAGATGTTATGAAGAATCCTGCTAACAAATTCCAATGGATCTATAGATTTCGTTGACCACAATCATCCTCAAATACATTCGCTGTTTCTAGCTTATTAATTCAAACAAGTTTTCAAGAACCCCAACGGGCTCATCTTGCAGTTTTCTAATAGCATTATTAATGTCTGATATCAACAGTAATCGATTCCACAGACATGTTTCGAACAACAATCCCAAAACTCGATGACACGAATGTATCCCTAAAATACCCGCGCAATCAGTTCCTATCAAAAGCCCTATCAGCCATTATATCCATAAATTGATAAAAATCCCGCATTGCCACATCCGAAAACGTCCTTACCATGTTTCCTTTTGCTATGTGTCATTAGTATGACAGTCGTGACAGCCCTCGTGAATGCAATTACCTAATAAGCGAGAGCATTCAAGCACCAGCCAAAGCTTAGCCTGCTACTATTGCGTTTCATGTGCAGAATATGGATGGGAATTTATAGATTTCTGGGATTGGAAACTAAATTCTAGCGCCGGTTCTGGAAGGGAGAAGATAAGGAAATGTTTCTCATTAGGAATTGGGTTTCGTGAGTCCCAAGCCTTTCGATAACGCTTTCCGATGTCTTTGATGTCGACGTCTCCCATGTTTATACGGCAAGATCAACACATTTCCCACCCCGAGATCTCGGGATTTCCCAAAATGGACATGCCAAGCATATTGAATGATTCGATTGGAAGGGCTTCAGGAACTTTCGATTCGATCAATTTTCGCAAAGATGACAAGGACGAAGAGGCTGATAAAGCTTATGGGGGGGTTTATAAGTCTGTACTACGGCATCTTGAGCACAGGTCCGCAGTAGCAAAAGTCATATCTTTGTGTAATATCCCGTCTGCAAAGCCTGGCCAAGCACTGTACCTTCTACCGTTCCGCATACATGTCTCCACCAGAGATCGATCTTAATTAAGATCTTGTGTGTCGATGCTCATCCTGTTCGCTGACGTTGGTAACGCTGATGGTTTCACGAATACGACTCCAATCCGAATTTGAATAACGAGCTCTGCGACTCCAGGCCTCGAGGCAGATATCATTTCTGGTCAAAATCGATTATGGAATTGGGATTCGTATTCGTTCACGCGATTCGATGCCCAGCGAAGGGCAACTGTTGCCAATATTTCTTTGCCAAAATTAGCAGGCATTAATATTACGGTAAGTCCCATATGATCACGGCAGCATGGCCTTTTCTAGGCCCTTGCTTCATTCGAGTATCATAGACGAACAATCAACTAGAAGAAGTGTTTGATTGTTAGACCTCAAGCTAATGCAAGAAAAATGACCCCAAATAGTGACTTCTGCTCCTGGCGTTTAATAGGCAGCGACTCGGTCGGGCTAATGTATGCACCGTACGTCAATACATCATACATCGACTAGACTCCTAAGTCACAAATCTCACGAAACCGAACCGATCGAAAACTCGTTAAACTCCTGCAATGGAAGGAGAGCCTACGGCCTACCAATTCAAATCATCTGCCGACGCCGGTAGACATTTTTCCCACGCGGATCGCTTCCAGGTCGGGGTACTCGTTATTTGACATCAACTTCCCCGGCGATTACACCCCTTGACAATAATTCGATAATTTCGGCCGAACCAAACAAATGCTACCAGCTGGATCCATGGAAATATTCGAAATACTTGATTCTCCTAATTCTAAGACGAGTTAGGTATTATACTCAAAGGAGAGAAATGGAAAGGGAAAAATAAATTAAAAAATGAAGTGATGAAAGTTCATCTCCAGACGCGAAGAGTCTCGTCCGACAATAGATCCGATCTCGCTTCAGAACTCATTCGTTCGCCTTAAATTGAAGACCCCATCGACGGGCTTTACAAGGTATATATCTCCAAAAGCCTATTTTTTTTATCGGCGTTGTCAAAATTTTCGTCTTTCTGAAGCAGGAGACGTTCTACCAGGGTTTCCAAGGGACGAAAACAAAATAACCTTCGCCAATTAATTTTCAAATGCATCGGTGTCCAATAGATGCATCTGTACCCCGGACTTTTTCATCTATTCATCCTCCCACAAAGATCCAAATAAAACCGAACTATTTTACCTGCATCTGCCAATATGTATGCTTCTGCAAGGACGAGTTTTTTTGCCCCGAGAATTAATTGCGAGGGGTGGCCCTAGACCAGACAATTCCAAACCCGGTTAGATGGGTAAGTTCGGCGACCTACATCACAACTTGAAAAAGTACCCTACCACGCCACGCAAACAATATCTCGTCCTTGTTAGCGTTACTTTGCCAACCTCACAAACTCAAGTACAAGAGATAGCGAAATATTCCGGTCAATAAATGGTAGGGTGATTCCGGGAGCTAAAAATATGCAGCCCTAAAGCCCGATCCTATTTGACCGTTCTCGACTCGACGAACCCCCACCGAGTTAGCACCAAGTTGGTCGTCTTCACTTTCGTATTCAGTGTTTGAAATAATACATTCGCCTCCCTCGGTAGACTTCGGAGGAAGCGAGCATTTCGTCGGAAGAAACCTGAAAAGGCCACTTGAACAACAACCATTCTGCCAGAGACATCAAAGATGTTACCCTCGGGCCGGAAGGTCTGGCACAAAAAAACAAAAGAGTTATGAAACTCATGCACGTAAAACCGGTAACTGAACCTGCCACTGGAATTACCCACAGCGCCACCAAGGTCTTGAGGCACCGAGTTATCATTCGCAAAGCCTTTCGTCGAAAGGAAATCAATGAATGATATGCGGCTTTTGGTGGGTTTTCTCAATCTGCTGCATTCCAAGTTGCCGTTTCGCTTATGGTTACTCGCCGCACTTGGCAAGCAGCATTGGCGCATATTCCACCCCAACCCATAGCCCAGCTGAAGCGGGCTTTTAATTGGAGTCGTTCGACTCGGGCTCGAATTCTCAATACAAATGTCACGAGCTAAGAAGCCGAATGTTCCTGATAACGATTCTGGGCGTCTGGTCTTGTCGATGCAACCTCTCAAAATGTGTATCAACCTGCATTTGACTACCCGCCGAAAACGTGAGGCTGTGTGTGTGTGTCCTCCCTTATCTCTATTCAATAAGATCGCGAGAGCACCGCCCTTTTGGTGATCCTGATCCCCCGCGAGAGTTGAAATATGGGTATTCGGATATCATAATGGAGCCCTTTATTGCATAGGAGAAAAAAAAGTTGCATCTTTTTCTTCCCTGCCTTGTCGTTTCGTCGCTTGTCACATCGTATTTCTGTTGTTTGTCACTCTGCAGATGTCTTGTTGGTTGCGGGTACATAGGTTGGAATTAATATGTGGCGCGGCGAAAGCCATCGTCTGCATGGTTATCAATATCAACGGATGCAAACTTAATGAAAAAGAGTGGTGCACGGAAAAAGCCTAGACGATTCTTATCTCGAAGAAAAGTGATATGATACCCATATACACACTCGGCAAACTTTGCAAATTAACAACCTTGCTTGCATGCTAAACTCCATTCTAATCATGATGTAATCTCCTCATAGACGGGAAATCCAACTAACCTGCAACCCACCAATCCCGTAGATTGGTTTGTTGCCCAAAGAAAAACCCCACAATTTTCTCTAATAATGGAGAATCGTGGAGAGCCTCAAAATTGTGCCTAGTTTCTTTACTGGTAAACACCTGTATTGGATGAGGGACGAGGTACACACGCGACATATCGTCTAATCTCTCATGCGAAGTCCAAACCTTTGGCAATTTCGAGCTGTCAGATGCGAGATCGGGCTTCCAGATTGGCAGCGCAGGATAGCATGACAACATCCCTTTACGTAGTCGCCGGCTCGCCTGTGGTATGGGAACGAAAAGGAAAAAGGCCAGCTCCAGAAATTGCCCTTAGCTTGGCAGCTACCCCTGGTGCGAAACACATCGGAGATTCTGCATTGGGATAGCACCTTGCTGGACGGCGTATCGAATTTTTTCGGTCGGTGGATGGTGCCCTAGTCCTGTTTTGCTTTTGGGAAGCAGTTGAGGCTGGCAGATGTCTCTGCTCTAGGCAGGGTCTAGGCAAAATTGCCAGAGCGAGAATAGCGAGAGATATGCTCAACACCTCTCATTTGTCAGATTTCGTGGCCCTTCGCTCAGCAGAACACCAGGTCAGCGGTATCCGCCCAATATGCCCGAAGATTCCCCCATGCTTTTTTCGGGATCCACTCGTGCTCGGGTGTTTTAAGGTTCCTTTGCAGGGAACCAATTTTGTGGTGCGTGGAGGCATGGACGATGCAGACAGATACACAATGGAGACACCCCCATGCTTCCCTGTCAGTCTGTATCAACCAGGCTGGTATCAGTCAAAGTATAGTTAGCGGTGTCGTACTTGTATGTATGGATGTATGTTGAACCCTTCAAGTATATATTCAGACTGCCCTCACTTCCTCCCATCCGCTCAATCTTAAGTTCACTCTGTGTGCATTGCAATCTCTCTCGCCTCGTGGGAAGGAAAGATCGTCAGTGACAGTCTTTTCTTATATAACCTTTCCCAGATAAGTTGGACGTTGAGAAACTTTGAGGACTAACAGCCTCCTTCTCGGCCATCTCGACATCGATCAAAACAGAAACAAAAAACCGACTTTAGTCAACATATAGTTCATCGACACTTTTACAAAATGGCTGAAGAGTGGGCAAATCTTGGAGCCGCGGTTCCAATTTGGAACGGCTCGAACACTGACGATGGCGGTGATTCCAGTTAGTACACATACCCAATTTTGCACATTTTATTCGAATAGAGATACATTTAAAATTGATTGCAAATGCAATACCAATAATGGAGATCTCGAGGGATATTTGGATACTAACAGTTTTGCAGCAATGGAGGATCTCAACGTCTACTTCGCGACTGGTGACAGCGCGTACATCATCATCGCGGCCGCCATGGTCTTGATCATGGTTCCAGGTCTCGCCTTCCTATACTCCGGACTCGCTCGAAGAAAGTCGGCATTGTCGTTAATATGGGCCGTCATGGGCTCGATGGCCGTGGTCAACTTCCAATGGTATCTTTGGGGCTACTCGCTGGCCTTTTCGCCCACAGCCACCAACGGCTTCATCGGAGATCTCAATCACGTCGTCTTAAGAAATACCCTCGGAACAAGATCCCCTGGCTCGAACTATGTCCCCTCGCTGCTGTACTCGTTCTACCAACTCCAATTCGCTGCCGTCACGGTCGCCATCGTTATGGGAGCCGTTGCTGAAAGAGGTCGATTGCTTCCAGCCATGGTGTTCTGTTTCTTCTTCATGACCATTGTCTACTGCCCTGTCGCCTGCTGGGTCTGGAACGTCAATGGATGGGCCTTCAAATGGGGAGTTTTGGACTATGCTGGTGAGTAGCTTCGATCTGAGTTCCCTCTGTGTTTCTTTTACGTAAAGCTTCGAGAGAGCATCTCGAAGTGTATACAACGCCTCAACACATCGACGCATCAACACATCAACGCATTTATGACTAACAATCTTCCTCGTATACAGGTGGTGGTCCCGTCGAAATCGTTTCCGGTGCCGGTGCTCTTGCCTATTCCCTCGTTCTCGGTCGTCGTCAAGAACGTATGCTCGTCAACTTCCGCCCTCACAATGTCTCTCTCATCACCCTCGGAACTGTTCTCCTTTGGTTCGGATGGCTCGGATTCAACGGTGGTTCCGCCTTCGGTGCTAACCTTCGTGCTGTCATGGCCTGCTGGAACTCCAACTTGACCGCTTGTTTCTCCGGCTTCACCTGGGTTCTCCTCGATTACCGTCTTGCCAAGAAGATCTCTATGGTCGGTCTCTGCTCCGGCTTCATCTCGGGTCTCGTCGCTGCTACTCCAGCTTCCGGTTTCTTGACTCCACACGCTTCCATCCTTCTAGGTGTCGCTGCCGGTGTCTGTGCCAATTTTGCCACTAAGATCAAGTACCTCATCCGAATTGATGATTCTATGGACGTGTTCGCAGAGCACGGTATCGCCGGTGTTGTCGGTCTCGTCTTCAACGGTTTCTTCGCTACCGAAAACGTCGTCGGATTGGACGGTATCAACCTCGGTGTCGGCCCACAAGGTTGGATCGATGGAGATTTCGCTAGAATGTACAAGCAAATCGCTTACATTTTCGCTTGTCTCGCATATACCTTTGTCGTTTCCACGGCTTTGGCTTATGTGATCAATATCATCCCCGGTCTTCACCTCCGTGCTTCCGATCATGCTGAACTTATGGGTATGGATGATGACCAGCTCGGTGAATTCGCTTATGATTACGTTGAGGTTCGACGTGATTATTTGGCCTGGACCCCAAATCACACTAAGGCTCCTATCGCCGGTCTTGAGGCTGAGCCCCATACCACATCTTCGGATGCTGAACCTGAGGTCGAGCCAGCAAAGGCCCAGTAAACCTCTTCATCTTCCTTTTTTTTTGTTTTAAACAACTGATACTCCATTCGTTTCTTTTTGATTTTTTTGACTTATAAACGCTATATATAATTCACCTGTGTATATCTCTTTTAATCTTCGGTATCCTATCTTTTCAGTATATTCCGATATCCTACTAACCACCCGTTTATTATATCTTATCATTTTTCTGTTATGCCTGGGTTTACTGTTTAGCGAGATGCCGTCGGGGATTTTGGAGAAGTTATTTCCTTTATATACGTGTGTTTCAGCCAGCCTTTGAGTGTTTTAACCTAGATACTCTGGGTTTTAGAGACTAGATGTTTTTGGAATTTTTGGAATTTTCGTTTTTAGCTATAGCGGACTATACCTTGGGAGATTCCCCTTGCAAAGGGGAACTGGAAATGGAAATTCACTGTATCTTTTTACAAACAATATCAATACCTACAATCGTTAAATTAGATCCTTAACTAGTCTAGTTGTCTCCTTAACTAGAATTTATAATTTACGTGAGACATCGTTCCAAATTTCATCCAAGGACTCGACGATATCACTTGCCTACTTCAGATCTTCCAGATCCAAAGCTTCTAGATGTAGAATGTGAAAACTAAGTAGGAGTGCATGCATGCACGTATGCATCAATCCCATAAATTTATAAACTTTATGTAGGACCTTAGACGCAGGGTCAATTTCACCAACCGGGTGGTTCTATCTGCCGAACCCCCTCCCCCATCCTAGTTTTGTTAGCGCTGATGACAGGAGTTCCACAACCTAACCGTGAAATGGGGCCGTCGCATGTGGATTCCCCAGTAGATGCGGGACATGCCTACTGCTACTGGGGTATATGTATGCAGGAGTGAGTTAGCTTGGAATAGAATCCTTGGTAGCGAGTCATAGCGTGTCCTTTATATAGACTGCGTAATGTATATACGGCCTAGGCCTATAGGCCTTCACGATCTTCAAGGCTTTATGCATATGTATACGTATAGTTGGGATAATAGAAAAGCAAACTAGCATTCTGCGCCGTCTAAAGAAAAAATTACGAATACAATTCATGGTATTAATTTTAGAAGATAGTGCTATAGTGGCACACCATAAGAAACTTTCATTTGGGCAGGGCCCATATATAGAGTATAAGACCGTTGTACTGGATCTTTCTCAGGGCTTCTTGCCCTCCCTCCCTCTCTCTGATACCCAAAAACGTGAAATTTCAAAACCTCCCTCTTAAATTCCTTATCTAAATACCCTTACTCTCCTCCCTTCCCCTGCACACGTTCTTCCGTCTCGAACCGCCTATGTTTGGAGGCAGACCAAGCTCCGAAATTGGAACGAGCTCTCTTCTGACCAGCAGAACCAGCAACACCAGCACCCATGAGGGCGGTGGTAGCGGTCTCTAGACCAGCAGAGTTCTCAAATTCCAATCTAGAGCTATGGTCACGATCCTCTCGATGCTCCAAACCACTTTGGTATCCCTTTGTCCAAGAAGGATATTCCTTTGGGTCATGGGTGCGAGGACACCCAGCGCACTTCCCGGATTTGAGGAAGGCCAGACACAAGTCAACATGTGGTGCTGCTGGTTTTTCTTCTTCTTGTTGGTGTCGTGATTGTGGTGGGTGGTGGGGACGGCGGTGGTTCTGCCTCATCTGTTGTTGCTGTTGTCGGTATTTTTGGTATTCTTGGTCTTGCTGGCGTAAGGGACCAGAGGGCGGTTGGGCCCGGAGCCGTCGACGTCCACCGTTATCGAGACGATGGGCTGGCCCCTTCGCAACCGCCTCCTCATCTCTCTGCTGCTTGCTATGACGGATAAAGCCAGCAGTTGGCGGTGATGACGGTATTTCATTCTCCTCCCCCTCGAACAACAGGTCGAAGCTGGGGTTAGGCGAACGGGGTAGAGGTCGAGCAGCCTGTCTCCCAGCAACAAGTGCTTGGAGTCGCTCTGCCTCTCCTTTCTTACCACCGTAGCCACTAGTATACTTGATTGCGGCTTGAAGGGTGGCTAGGTTTGCCTGGTATTTATGGGATTCCTCTTCGAGTTTGGCCTTTCGTTTGAGGCCTCTGATGATTGCATCCTTCTGTTCCAGCTTTTCTTTCAATGCAGTGTTTTCTTTCTTGAGGCAGTGTATCTCGTCTCCGAGCTTGGTGTAGTCCTTTAGACAAGCGTGGAGGTATTCTTCAGTCTTCATCTTTTATCTTTTGATGATGTTTCAAATTCTTGGTTGGTTGGTGAGGATAAGATGGTGATTGTGGTTTCGGCTATGTTATTTGAGCAGCTGAGGATCGAACCAAGCTTAGGGGGGTTGCATATATTTTCGACGGCTCTAATGAGACAAACGATGCTCTGATATTATACAATCAGGAGGTGATTTGAACTAATAGTATTTGCGAACTGGAGTATTGAAAGACAAAAATATGATCAACTACGGCTCAGCAGGCTTTTAAGTACTCATCAATGGGGCCAGCATGAGGGTTATTCTAACATTTTTTAAGCTCAATGAGTATATCATTGGTAGTGTGCGTGCTGATTATCTTTTCTTCCTCACGCTCAATTGATGAATCTCTTCAGTCAGCGCAATAAGAACTGTCACGAACTAGCAGGTTGATATAATTTACCCTAGTATACTATGGATGGGGCTAGGCACAAGACAACCCTACTATGAAACTACGAAAGGACTATCTCATGAACGAACTGCTACCATTTACTTAAAAGGACAATTTTATCCACTTCTTCTATTTGATACTAAATGAAGCCGGTTCTGAATATCATGAAGTGTATTGTATGGCCTCGCAAGACACTCGTAGTAATGACAACGCAAAGAGAGCGTGGTAGATTGATGATGTCTCCCAAAACGGTAAACTTCCAAAAAGGGAATAGCGCAGTGAAACCTTGAATTTCTTCACGAACACGAAAGGAATGTCCCCGCATCAACCAGAAATCAAAAGGATTTTTCTCAAGAAAAAATAAATAAATATATATAATGAAGAAGTTGTAGGATAAGAAGATGATCAGCTTTCTATTTTCCCGAGTAGACGTGTAGCGGAAGCAGGCCGACGGAAAATACTCAGTTCAGCTCAGGAAACCAGATGCAACAGAAGAACCCCTGTCGTTTACATCATGGGTCGACGTCATGCGCCCCGAACAAACACTCCCGACGACCTATCTTCCAGTTCCAGACCCATATTTGATCCCCAAGGAATGCAAGAGGGAAAAAGGGTTCCTTCCCTGAAGCTATGGCTAAATCGCGATTTCCCTAGCCAAGTAAATATGGCGATCGGAATATACTCCAAGTTCATAGGGTTTTTGGTTTACATATAATATCTTGATCACTCTGACGTAGGCCCGATCCGATAGTGAACTAACCAAGGGACGCTAAGAAACAATGCCCCAACCCCAAGCCATCCAGAAATCGTCAGTGTACGCCAATCAGTTTCTGGAACCAGCGTCTTAGAACAGGCTTGGAAAGGCCGGAAAGATACTTCGCACAGACAATTCTTTCACCGAATTTTTTTTTGGTTGGTTGTCGTCATGCATATGGCTTTGCTAAAACTTCCAATGGGTTCTTATGTGGTGAGAGTATTGAATTTATTCCTGTTGGCCCAGATCGCCATGTATTAGGCAAGCGAGGAAGAGAGGTTTAAGAAACCCTTCCTTCCCCCCAAAACTTACTGAAATCCATTCCTTTAAAAAAAAAATCTTTTCTTTCAAATATATGAGACAAGAGTGTGCTCTTATTTGTAAAATTCAGGGCTCGTGCTTTGGTATTGATCGATATTAATCATTGATACACCGCGAAAGGGCGCAGTCAGCAAAGCACGGCGTCAACCGGAAGTGGCGTGTTGGCAGTGACGTCATCAAACTTGTATCACCACCAGCATCTCCCAACTTCTTCCAACGTCCTCAAAAACCCACTCTCATCTTCACCACCGAAATTATACCACCACAATCGACATTCGTTCGCTTGGACTCAAGATAAGGCTAGTTGACAGTATTATTAGTCAGCATGGCCGTTCTTGCAAAGTTGCTGTCTTCAACCTTCAGGGTTCTGCAGATTTTGGGGACCCTGTTCAATACTGGTTGTCTCACATATTTTATCGTCAGACTTGCGAATAGAAATTTAATCAGTGGAAGAGCATTGGCTGTGGAAATTATTGTAAGTATCCTAATCCTAATCTAATATCGAAGTTTAGTGTACAATGTGATATACGAATATATGCTAACTGGATGTCTGTATAGAGCGGTGCTGGACTCCTCTGGTCGATTTTTGCCTTTGTATTTTCAGTCTGTCTTCTACAAAAGACCTCCTTCCAGTTTTTCACTGTCATTGGAGATGCTCTGTTCATGGGTGGATTCATTGCTGTCTCTGTTCTTCTCGGGAATTCTTGGGATGGAGACTGTTCTAGCTCGAACCTCTACATTCCTTGGCTGCAGCGCGGAGGAAATAACTTAGTCGCCAATTGCCGAATAATCAAAGGCATTTTTATCACTTCCATTATCCTATCGTAAGACTTCCATATTCAAATCAATTGCGGAATTGTGTAAAGTACTAATTTTTGACTGCGTAGTGTTCTATTCTTCCTCACAGTGCTGACGGCATTCCTTGCTCACAAAGCTGCTAAGAAAGATAGAGCATATGGTCCCTCCCCAGCCAACAACTATACCTCCGGCCGTGGCAAGAGGCATAAGAACCGTGATCTTGAATCCGCCGCCGTAGCAGGTCCAGCCCTGGTCCCACCAGTTACTGACAATCGTGTCTCCCACGATTCAAAATACACTGATGCCACTGAAAAAACCAATGACCCCGCTCTCCAATCCGGTATGACCGGCACAGATCGTGAATATCTCGCTCCACGTGGATACACCGGCAACAACGCCACTGTCTCTCCGATCCCTTCGCGCGCTAACATTCGTTCCAAAGACAACTCTCATGCCGGCCAATACGCCGCTGCTGGAGCACTAGCAGGTGGTGCAGCAGTTGCTCACCATCAACACAAGAAAAACGCCTACGGTACAAATCAAGATGGTCTTCCTTTACACCCAGGTCCAGAAGATCATACCACCGAACATATTCCTCAAGACCCAGAACGACTCGGCACAATGAACACTTACGGAACAAACCCCAATGTCGTACCTCAAGACCCAGATCGTCTTGGTACAATGAACACCTACGGCACCAACACTAATAGTGCATACTCCGAGCTAGACACCAGGAACACCGATATGCCATCTCCATATCACGTTCCGGGAGCATACCCAGGATCTAAGAATTCTATCCAACCCACTGCTTTCTACCCTGCCTCAAATACTCATGAATTATCATCTGGCGCCAATCCTCACTACTATTCTAATGAAATGGAAGCCGGTGGATATCAAAACTACCAACAGCCGCCACAGGAGCTAGGAACAACGACAACAACAGGGGGAGCCCGGAAATACGAGGAGTATCAAACTCCTGTTACCCCTCTTGCTGATGAAAGACGCGAAGAGGTTGGGTTTGGATATGGGAATGGGCCCGGAATGGCAGGTGGTGGGTCGAATCAGGTTTCTACTTTACCAGAGCTGGGAAGAGAGGATGGAAAGCGGTTCTAAAAATGGAAACACTCCACTAGGGCAATGGTATATGATAGATAGATGCGAAACGAGAGAGAGAAAAGTAGGCCCTTGGACGGGTATTTCGGGGCGTTTATAGCATTGTATTGCGGTCTTTTGTTGCTTTTTGAACCCTCAACACGTTTTTGAGTGCGTTTTCTCCCCTTGCAGATTCCCACGTTTTCTTTTCCTCCCACCCACAATGACATTGCCGCCGCATACTATCAATGCGGCGAGATATATCACCTCTATTCTTAATTTATGACGAACCAAAAATCAATTTCTTTTGTTGCATTATATCTGGTACTTTTCCTTGGGATTGTGGATCGGGTTCTGGTGATCCTGGTTAATCGGATACATTCATGGTATGGCATTACTACTGCCGCTTCTATTTCCTTTGTTGTCAAATATCTCTATAGTTGTAATCGAGGAGAGCGATATTGAAATATACATTATACATCAATAACTTTAAGAAGCTTGTTAATCAGTATTATCGATTATTGCACGTATGGTAGTGTTATGTAGCCCTCAAGATCCTTGCCATTAAAGTGATATCCAAAGGCCTACTTGCCTACGGCACGCATAGATTATATATATGGACTATGAGCTTATGATTATAGATACATAGCTTTCTGGGGACTAGGCTGTAGATACTTGATCAAGTGGCCGTATATATATAACATAGCTGATTTCATTTTATTAATATAGAGACTGTAGATAGTTTCTAATGTGAAGATTCTCTGAAAATATCAGCACACAAATTTTTCTATTCATTTGCTTCTAGGTAGTGAAACTTCGGAAGCTGGCAGCCTTGAATCCCGGAATCTAGGTTCTAAGCTTGGATAGTTGAATTTATGCCGGCCTCGAGACTAGTCTCGTATTGCAGACGCGGTCCACACTTTGCCTCGAGACTAGAATCCAACTTATATAATCTATGTAACTTCCGCGTGGAAATTTGCAAATACTGGATACGTACGAGTTAATTCGATGTTATCCCTGCTTCGAGGCTAAGTACTAGATATTGATTCTAATATAAGAGGTAGTTTGATTGACAGGAAGATACATGGAGTCTAACTAGGATCACCAGCATCAAGGATATTATCGTGGGAGTTCGGAAAACCCAGAAGACAAAATTTGAAACTAGGAGCGTTCCTATATCCAGAATTCCTTGTGGCCTCCCAGTCGACAGTCCCGTAACACAACTGTGGTGGCCTCCTCAGCAACGTCTTTTTCGTCAACCCACAATAACCCCCATTTTCTCTCATACTATTTTTTCCTGTTATAAAAGAACCAGCAATGTGAACGTCAACTCATCTTCTTCTCCCCTTCGCCAACCTCCATCTCGACCTCCATTGCTCTTTTTTTCACAGCTCTCAGCTTGACCTCCAGCTCTTTACTTTCTGTCTCGCGAAGCAGACATCGTTTAACACTCATAACTTCCACCAAATATCCTCTTCGGTTCTTTCGATTTCAAAAACTCCTGTTCTCTGTTCACCTACCTTCGCTAGCTTCACAAAATGCCGTCTAAGAAATCGAACAAAGGAAAAGGTAAGGGAAGCAATTCCCACCGTCAAAAGCAGAAGGCAGCTCGTCGTGCCGAAAAGGAGAGCATCCTTGGCGATGCTGCATCCAACCAACCATCTGTATCCGAGGCCATTCCGGATACCCAGCTCCCGTCGCCAGACTTGGCGATTAAACCATCTGAAACAGTCAATCGCTGTGAAGACGCGTCGGAACAACCTCGGTGTTCCGAAGGTAGTGACCCAATTACCACGGGTCCTACCGCAGATACCTCTCTGTCTGCCGAAGAGGTTGCCAGCACCTCACCCAAGCTGGCACCTCGCGAGGAGTCCGGGCCAAAGGAGGACGAAAAATCAGCTTCAGAATCCTGCGGTTCCGAAGAGTTGTCGCTCCCAGACTCCGGTGACGTTGACTTCGCCCTTCCCGAACCAATCCTCCCGATTGAATCGGAGGTGGTCGGAAAGTCCGCCTTCCTCCAGGAAGGCGGCAGGAAAAATGTGGTCATCGAAGTCGATGACGATGCGGATTTCGTCGCCATGGTAACTGAAGACGGATATTCCTTCAGTTACCTGGTGTCCAGGCACGTTCTAATCCGCTCCTCGACCATTATCAAGAGCCTGGTCAGCTCAATGCCCAATGACGCTCACACCGTCAACCTCATCGGCGACTCTAACGCCATGAACATCATCCTGCGAATCATCCATTTTCACTCAATGGATGACGTCTTCAATCTGACCTTTGAAGAGGTCAAAAAAGTCGCAATTCTTTGCGACAGATACAAGTGGCACAACGTACTTCGGCCCTTTAGTAGGGCGTGGCTACAGAAGTACGCCAAGAAAGCCCTGGAGCCGGGCTTTGAAGACTGGCTCTTCGTAGCCAAGGTTTTCGAATGCGACCTTTGGGTCGAAGACCTACTGCTCGTCTCGGCCGAGCAGTGTGGAAAACCCAGCCCTCGCGGCGGGTTTATCCACCGAAAGGGAGTGGTCGTCCCTACGGCATTGTGGCCAAGGCACCACTTTGGTAAGTAAAACAATAATCCTCACGCTTCGGACTCCTCCTCACCAACGATGTTCAAAAAAAATGCGTGCAACAAAAGCTAACAAAAGTTTTCTAAGTAAAGCAAAGATCCTCGCCCGCCGGCAAGAGAAGCTCGACTATTTAGTCGAGCTTCTCAACCAGTTCAAGGAGTTTGTAAAATTCTCCACCGGCCCATCGGGCACGACTTGCGAGTCAGAGGTCTGCCTAAATCTGGCGAACGGATCTTTTAATAGATCCGTTCGCCAGTGCGGCATGGGCCAACTGATAGAGGGGACGGGGGAGTGGGAGTGGGAGGGCTCTGTCCAAGAGCTGAGGGAGGAGATCTGTGATCTCCAGTTTCAAACGATGTCGTGGGTCCTTCCAGGGCATATCTGCTGGTTACAAAGTATCTGGCAAAACTTTGTTGCCCGCATTTGCGGGATGACCACGAAAGAGGAGGAGGAGGAGGAGGAGTAAGGGGAGGGAGTGGGAGGAGTGGTGGGAAGCGGGGGAGTGGTTATGGTTATTTTTTTAATTTTTTAGATATTTTGGGAGGGGTGGGGGGTTATAATTATGAATGAAAAGGCCTATTAGATATAGGCAGTGCTCTCTATTTTGTATGAACTACGCCAACGGATGCCGTAAATTCTTTTTGTAATCGTGACATCGTTAGAACGCACCAGTTTACAACGCTCTCTGAACGTATTCCCTTGCGAGCCACTTATAATTACTTGACTCTATCACTGATACACACTATACTGAGCATCTATATATACTAGTCTGTACACAACATGTTTGACAATCTATATACTTAAATAGGTAGCGAGCAGATATGTATGCAAATACCTGGATCTCGAGGCCATATAACAGTTACGAGGCTTGTCATACAAACCGTAGATGTCAAGTGTTGGATAATGTGTGTTGATTTCCATACTGAGAGCCGGTCTGTGTCGACGTCGCTGCCTCCTACAACCCACCAACCTCACCATCATCAATACCAATTAACATCCAGTCGATTACCAACCAGACTATCAAGGAAATCTATAGAATTTCTATCGGACAGTTTACCCTCCCTCTTCGTTAAAACTTTCAGAAGTTCTAAATCTAGAAATTCTACCAGTTAAATATCCTTGAGCCGGGCACCGTTACACACGAAACTCCAAAATGGCTTCCTCCACGCCTTCTATTACAGAGACTCCGATGAAGTCTTCTATGACACTTGAAGATATCATCGATGATTCTCCCGATGCCTCTGAATCTGAATACGACAGATCTTGCGTGGCCTCGACACCTTCTCCTGTTGATGCTGAATCCGAAGCAGATGAGGAGACTGCAGTTGAAGCAGATGCAGATATGATGGAAGAAAATACCATTGAGACTCCAGTTGAGGCAAGTATTGATACTCTAGAAGAAGCTAAAGTTAAAGCTAGCATAGATATGCCGGGGAAAATCAATGCTGTATCGACCGTTCCTCCCGAGTAAGTGATACTTGCCCTATAACAACCCTTTTAGACTAGTAGCTAAAGAATATTCAAAAAAACAATAGTAAATACAACAAGTTCAGAGGCGAACGCGTCTATGTAATTGAAGAGTGGAAATCCGATATCATTCTCTGTATGCACGGTCTCGACGAAAGAATTATTCATTTCTTCGTTTCGAGAGATGTGCTTTGGCTTTCCTCTCCAGTCATGAGAAGGCTTCTCGTCTCCCACGCGCAAGAGTATCCATTCGATGCCGAAGATGACATGGAGAAGACATGTATGACATGTGAATGTCCGGAAGGTTCTCGAGCCATGCACCTAGATAACGAGGACCCAGAGATATTCTTGAAACTTCTCCAAATTGTTCATCACAAGCCAGATGCCGGTTTGTTGGATGCAAATTTCGACACAATTATCAGGATCGCTATTAATTGCAAGAAATACCAATTGCATCAGGCGATACTTCCTTGGGAGCAGATCTGGATTGGAAAATATCTGAAGCACATTCTCGAACCTGGTTACGAGAATTGGCTGTGTATTGGAGAGGTTTTTGATGTCGAAGATAAACTTATAAAGCTGATAGAGATCTTGGCCGAAGAATGTAGTATCACCTACAAATAGCAGCCATCTGGAAGGGTTTACATCCTTAGATATGAAATGAAGGTCTTCGTCGACCTCTGGCCAATAAAATATCTTGGTTAGTACTTTATAAAGAACTGAGTAGCTCAAAGAAGTTTCTGCATGAGCTGAGGGACACTAACGAATCTCATTGGGTTATTAGATCGAGTATTGACGGAGAGAGCAGTTAGAGTCCAGAGGTTGACCAACACGATCAAGGAACTAAACAATATTCTCCAATCGTCTCAGAATATTTGTTCTCAAGAGGCATGCGGGAATCTATCATATGGATCTCTAGTGCGTTCGATAAAGGCCGCAGGCCTTTGGGATATCGCAGAAGGCCGGGGGTCCTGGCACGGCTCTGCTACTAAGCTATCCAGGATTATGAGTCGTTTCAATTTTATGACAAGTCGGGATCTCTGGCCCCATCATAAGTGCCATCTTGTTGCCCTTAGGGAGAAATTCAAGGCTTATACGAGGGAGGGTTACAGCTTTTATTCTACGGATTGGAGTGACTATGGTTTATCCGAAGAGTGAAGAAAAATCAGCGTCGATCCCAACATTATCCACCGGAACCTCGTGCCCAACTATTCAGGTTTGGGCCACCAATCTCGCGGTTTACCGACTCTCATGCCCGGTTAGTCCCAGAAACCAGGGCTTGGCTTTTTTTCTTCTTTTTCTTACAAACGAGTCTACTTTAACAAAATAGGATGCCGGCACTGTGGGTTGCCGCTCGTTTAAACTTCTTACTATGGATTTATTCTTTCGAGGCGCACAACTGTATTTTATTTTTATGGAATACGCAAACCCATTTCAATTCGAACCCCAAAAGCAACGGCAAGCCCCTCAGCTATTCTAAACCGCTATAAGATATCAAGAAACTGGCAGTCTGGTGTCCTGCTTTTGAGAAACTGTTCACAACTCTGTTAACTACAATCGAGACTGATAAATTTCGAATATTTCCGTAAATCAGTCTTTTTATAGATACTTCTATAGCTAGGCTACCCCACCTACGCGGCGGGGACTAGTACCAACGATAGATCAACAAATCGATAACTTCATTTGGATCACTTGCTTAAACTCGGGGAACAGGAACTTGTTGTGACGACGCCAACCGACGGAATATAGCGCCTCTGTGCCACATCGGCTACTTGCGTTGTTGGTGAGATTCCTTGTCTTATTGGCCGAGAGGAAATCATGCCTGAAGTGGCAGCGGCTGATGACACTATTTATTGCTGGCATTGGGTTTTGCAATTAGTACTGCCATCTGAATTGCATTTGCATATTTGATGGACAGGTGTAGAACCTTGAAAATAAGCCCTTGAGACCGTACGTATCCCTCGAGAGCAGATAAGTTCAGCGAAAAGTGAGCCTCGAAACTTCAAAAACGGAAAGTTCTCAAATCCAATTGCAACCATGAAGTCCGGGCCCGGTGACGAAAGTCTTATGGTCATGACGGTTATCGATGGCTCTAGTACATATGATTTATCTTCTCAAAAGCCTGCGCCTGAGAGCTCCCCTTATGTCCTGACGCCAGTATCTTCTCACGAGACGGTCGACGTCCCAGTTTCAACTACATCCTCTCAGTTGAAAGTAGATACCGAAGAAAATACTCTCGTTCCAAAAGAAGAGAGCACAAATGCATCGATATCTGAGGCGCCTAAAGCCGAGCGAGTTGAGAATGTCTTTGACGGCTTCGATGGTCCGAAGGTCCGAAAGTATCTTCTGACTGAAGAGCATGATTTTATCATTCTTAATAACGACAAACGTCAGGGACGGCTATCCAAGTACCTGGTATCTAAGGATGTTCTTTCGGTTTCATCGCCGGTCCTTAGGTCACTGATAAAACCCTCTACACAAAACCAAACAGTTCAAGCTCAGAAGCCGGCCTTTGAGAACATAAATGCACCACCGACTGCGATTATGAGGACCGGCAATACACTACAATTGGAACATGACGAATATTCTCTATACAGAATTCTGAGTATAATTCATTTTTGTTCCACCGTCGACAAGCTTCACAATCTCGACTTTAAAGCTTGGAAAGGCCTTACCGTTCTCGCAGAGACATACCAATGGACCCAAGTATTACGACCATGGAAGTCGATATGGGTTAGAAAGCACGGCACCTCGTTTTTGCTGCCAGGATATGAGGATTGGTTGTACCTATCGAAAGTTTACGGGAGTGACTACCAGGTTGACGCATTGACAAGAACGCTAAGTCTATACTGCCGTTTCAATGGAAGACAAATATCAAGGTACGACAGTATAACAGGGTCTGTCGAAGTACTCAATACAAAGATTTGGCCAGCAGAGCGAAAAGGTAACGCAAGATCTTTTCTTTCATGGTCATGACCCGCAGGCGAGACTGTTAGTACTAACTTCAAAAACGTTACTAGCCCGTATCTTAAGCTTGAGGAAGAGCAAAGTTGAGCATATGTTATCTTGTCTAGAGGCTTTAGAACTTATGCTGGGGTCTCAGGGGGATTCCGAGCTAGGTAGAAAACTGTGCAATTCCGGAAATTCTAATACTTGCAGGGCTTTAGCCTACGGGTCTTTGCTTCAATCAATCAAGGCGAGTGAGCTCGATCCCGAATTTTCGGAATGGGAAGGGTCAGTTGCCGAGCTTCATGAGCAAATTGAGAGCCTTGCCTTTAGTACACTTGGTATCGTCATCAAAGAGCACAAGTGCGTTATTCAAGGTCTCAAAAAGAGTCTAAGTTTCTGCCTTACAAGCTTTGGACTCTTGGATCTCCAATCCCGCCATGATGAAATGATTTTGCGAGCATCATCGCTATAGCAGCGGGTGTATGGCACGTATCAGAGGTCATATATAAATATATTAGCCGACGCTTCCTAATACCATACACCTTCGATGTTACGTATTGTTCGTATGATCATTCTAGTGTCTCCCCCCCTCGCATTTCTCTCGCTTCTAACGTACTTGATCCTATCCTTAAGACTGTTGTTTAGTTTTGGACATATCATTTTCGCGTGTATTATAAGTCATACTTCGGATTTAACTAGTGGCCAGCAGGAAAACAGATACACTGACAAGGACCGAACGCATATATACTGAATCTGGATCAATACCATTTTTTCTACTATTGTGCTTTCCGATGTAGAAATCTCTTTATGATATGCTTATATAATTAGAATTTTAGTTATGCCTTGAGTCTTCGGGACTAGTACCCCGAAGACTGAGGGCCGGTTTTCTTAGACGAAGGATCCAAAATACAAAAGCGGTTGGCAACACAACAGCGCGGCGCGACGAATCATCATTACGATAGCTATTAATAGTAGTCCAGAGGATGACTGAAGAGAGTTATGACCTGAAATCATCATGAGCTCGATGGTGGTACCAGCCGCGCCTATAGAGCTCGGATCCAACGGCGAACCTGGGCTCTCGAACCTCACGGCTATGGCGACGCTCGATGACCCTGTACCTGATTTACTCTCCCCAGAGTCTGCTCTTGATGATCATGAGGGCCTTGACTTTGTCCGGGAGTTCTATCTTCCAAGGAGCCCGTCTTACTCAGGCTCGGAAGCCGACACCGAGTCTACGATAGAACAGCCGTTAGATACACCGAGCGAAACGAATGCCGATTCTACGACCGAAATGGATTCGAATGTCTCTAGTGAGTCCAATGACGAGATCAACATCAACAATATCCAAATCACCGAACAGAACGATTTTGTTATCATCGCTGAAGATCCCGCCACCAAAGAGATATACAACTTTTTTGTTTCGAAAGCAGTGCTTTCAATCTCATCTCCATACTTCAAATCTCTCTTCCAACAACACTCGCCGAATGTGGAGCTCTACGCTGACCAGTTAGCCGAGGTCAGGGGGCTGGGGGTTAAACCTGGAGAGCTATCCATTGCTGGAGATAAAATAAAACTAAAAGGGACACCGTCTGCTTTTCGTTCGGTTCTCAGAATTCTTCACTTCTGCCCTGAAGCGAACCTCCTTGATATCAATTTTGAATCTTTGAGAGACATCGCGTTCGTTGCAGAACAATACGGTTGGACGAAGGCACTTCAGCCTTGGAGTACATCATGGCTTCCAATACACTCGAAATTTGTGCTATACTCGGGATATGAGGATTGGTTATATGTTTCCAAAGTTTTCGGCACCGAAGATCGGGTTGACGAACTAGTAGATACGCTGTCAAGAAGATGCTCCCTTAATGAGGAAAAGGTCTCAAGGAGCTTTTGTACCTTCAAGCGTGTTTTGAATACGGAGCTTTGGCCGACTAACTTAAAAGGTAAGATTTCTAGATCGATTAATTGTACACTTTGTTTTTTGTGCAGGATTAAGAAGCTGACTAAAAATATTGATAATACGACCTAAAGATCGTATCTTGAACTTGAGACAGCAAAGGATCAACCACCTGCATTCCTGTGTTAGGACTCTACTTTGCGTCCTCAGATCTAGAAAGAATATCGAATTGAATCTAGAAATCTGCACTGAGCCTGGAGGGATTCGAAGCGACGAATTGTGGAATCGTCTTTGTACCTCTGATCATTGCCATGCACTGGCTTTTGGGTCTCTACTTCAGTCATCAGACGCTATCGATCTGAAGATCGCCATCAGTGACAAAGAATTGGTTTGGCTTGGCTCAACAGACGAACTTGAAAAACGCTTCCGGGAATATATTAACATCGGTACACTTAATAGTATTATATCCGGGCATAAATGCGCTATCCAGGGCCTCAAAGCCAGTCTAAATAAATGCCTGGCGGAAGAAACCATCTTGGATCCAAAATCCCTCGCGAGAAAACTACTACAGACCGTGCTGTCTGCCCAAGGGTTGGCGTCTACACCTAGTTCAATATAACTCACCCTGTTCCTGTTAATTCCGTGTTTCGGGTTGTATTGTAAAATATCGGCTTTCTGTTAAAGGAAACAGGTCAAATGGATGGCTACATATGGTAGGAAACCTGATTAAAGATGGAAGCTGCATAGCCCTTACTGTTCTTCATGATATCGATCGTCCTGTCTGCTTTTAATTTGCCCTGGGAGTTTTCGGAATGTAGTAAACGATTAGAATGAACGAAAAACAACGTGTATGAATTCAACGACTTTGAATAGAATATTAAATACCTATCCACATATGTAATTTCAATTTACGCAATGCGAAAATTTGGCGCGCGGCCCGCCTGAGTTTTGCCCTCTTCCAAGATCATCACCTGCATATTCTCGTAGTTGCTAGTACTTTGGTGTTATTTTGCGGCCTGGTTATTGGATAAGATATAAGTCGATGAGTACTGGTACGCAATGCTATCATCGCTGTGCCACATAGCTGCGTTCCGATCGGTGGCTGTTACAAGTACCAGCCTTGTTGTGTTTTAGGAGCGAAACTTGGAAGCCTCGTCTGCTTCCCCGCCTCCCTATGTAGATCATTATGGGAGTAGTTCGAACGCGAACCCTTCTCAGGTTTCAATCACTTATACTATAAGAATTCATCGAAGTATCATTCCTTTGCGCGTAACGAGGGTGACACATCTTCTAGAGCGAAACAGTGGTGGCATTTTTCTGGGATACTGGGTCATCATCTAGTCTGATTTGAGTTATGGCAGATCAGACCTTGAATAGCGGGCGTCACGACGGCTCTACAGAGGCGTGGCCAAGATATTGTCTTACTGTTCGTGGTTATCGCTTGCCAATCGAAAGTCCCCGATCGCAACGGGAAGCTATTTATTCGAGGACTCCGTTACATTCAGAAATTAGCGGCATATCGACGGTTCAAGACACTGACTCGGATTCGACAGTTCCATGGTCGCCAATACGAACAGATGCGAATTCCGATCCCCTAGGCCCTAGATTACTCGTTCATAGCGATGAGGGCGATGAGAGCGATGAGGACAATGATTCTTGCCCGTCAATCTCTCTGCCTGTTATTTTCGTCTCAATCGCCGATAATTACGATTGCATCGTCACCGTATTCTCTAAATGCGAAACGACAAAGTTCCGGGTCTTAGAGAAGGTCCTATGGGTTTCGTCACCAGTTCTTAAAAATCTCATCACAGAAGCCAAAACTCGGACATCTGGCGCCGTTGACCCGATTGAGACTGACGACAACGAGTCTTCGGAAAGCGAAAATAGCGATTCCAACACCTCTTTGACATTGGAGGGCGACCCAAGTGCGTTCAAGATCGTTTTTCAAGTATTCCATGGCCACTCCCAGGGTCATGGCGAACAGCTGAAGAACATAGAATTTAAAGTTTTTACGCAGATTGTGTGGTTATGTGAAAAATACGGGTGGCATAAGGCACTTCGAAGGTGGACCCGGTTCTGGCGCAAAAAATATGAACCTCACGCGTTGGAGCCTGGATATGAAAACTGGCTGTATATTGCCGATGTGTTAAAGAAGACAAAACACGTTGAAAAGCTCTCTACACTGCTGGGGAGGGATTGCGGTATCTTCCCAGCTGGAAGATCCCCGGAGGGACCGGGCCAAGGGAGATTCTTTTCAAGAAATGGCCAAGTTGTGGATGCAAGCCTCTGGCCACCTATGACATTTCGTAAGATATTGAGGACCCCTCTGGTAATTGCAAGCCAGCTCAAAACCCCCATCAAAATTAAACTAATTTGGTTTTAAGTCCGGATATCAAGGATTAGGGATGGTAGAGTAAACCATCTCATCTTGCATATCAAAGCTCTCCTACTCCTGGTTGAATATCCCTCGAAAGTATGTGATTCGTTATGCCTTTCTTCGATTCATAGAGGTATTCTACAGTCGCTCCGAGAAGTGGGTCTTACGATGATTACATCGAAAGACATGCAATGGCACGGATCTTTGGAGGAACTAGAGTGGAGGATAACCCGAATGCGAGTCTATACGCATTGTTCTAGGGATTCGTGCCAGGTTGAGCGTATGCTTCACAGGATGAGAGGTTGCTTCAACGGCGAAAGATGCGAAGGAATTCGAATTTGAGTACGGAAGCTGAGGAGTATTCAAGCCCCAGAGGTGTCATAGCGTCTTTCAAGCGAATATGTATTACTATTGTTTGGTCTGGTCAGTAGGCTGACCGGCGAGGCATGAACTATCAGGATCTTGCATGGACCCTACTGGGATAGGCTAGGGCTGTGGGCAACACAAATTCAATACTTAAATTGTTGTATAAATTGTTGTGTATTTTGATGCAGCAGTCTTCAGTAAGATTCGGCCGCACTTGCGCAGCAGCAATTAATTATGGTTTACGAGATAAGCTACACTAGATTAGCAATGAGTTCCCTAGGTTCTTGATATAGTCAATCATCTGAAGATTGTCTTCCATCAGTAGCGGGTTTAGCTCAGTTGGTAAGTTTCTGATCTCGGCTGAAAACATTCCAATCCACATCTTCTAACGATCTTCATAGGGAGAGCATTCGACTGAAGTCAAACTTCAATCTATAAATCGAAAGGTCGTGTGTTCGATCCACACAAACCGCACTCACAATCATTTTTTTTTGGTGGGTTTATCTTTTTGCCGGGCTCGAAGTCGGTTGGCGTCGAATTTGGCGATTTCGAGAAGCTAGACCGACTAGGATCTTGGGATTTTTGCCGGGGTTCGATCGTACGAAGACTTCAATGATGTGTTGTTTTTGTTGGCTAAAGCCAGAGTATATTGTAAATGGATATCTGCTGGGGAAGAGGTAGGATAGACTGCGAGTATTGGGCTTCGGAAGCTCTTCGGGTGGGTGGTTTAGTGGGAGTGGCTTGAAGGGGCCAAGTGGGTAGATATACTACGTCTATGCTGAAGTTGTGGCTTCACGCATGTAAGTCCTCTCTGATATAGTTAGGTGCGTGTAATCGGTAACATAGCACTGAAGTTACTTTTTACATTACCTATCTTTTTCTTTTACTACGGTTAATCTATATTCAGCAGCGTGCCAAAGCGTTTTCACGGAAGACTAAATCCATATAACTTGGAGACATGCATGTACATAGTATTGTTTAGCTGCTAGCCATCGGAATGATACATTCAATACAGAACAACCTGACCCATAACTGAAGGAAATGGTCTCAAGCCTAGATAATTACCTATAAGTAGAATTCTGGAGATGTAACAATCTATCTTTTTAACAAGATACAGATGATTTATCATAGCTAGACGAGATATCTCAATGAGATTATAAGGAAGGCTTCAAGACTAGTAGATACGGGGGGTCATATGAAGCACCCTTTGGGTCAATTCATTTTTCTTGATTCTTGCGGATTCCAACAGCCTCAACACACAAATTTCATGTTTGCTTTAACAAAAATCCAGAAATCTGGATTTTTGAAATTGAATAAAATAAAATAAAAAAATGATTATTTAATTATCGCTACGTATTTTTTAACTGGGTAGGTAGGCAGGTATATAGACAGTTTAATAACCGAGTAATTGGGCGGGCACATAGGCAGTTTTTGACTGGGTAGCTAGGTGGGTAACTACTAGCTGGGTAGGTAGGCCGGCAGCTGGGTGGGTAGCTGGGTAGCTGGGTAGGCACCTCAGATTTTCAGTTTGGTTTAGGTGTTGTGAATCTAGATTCGACCGAACCCAGATAACACACAAGCCGCTTTTAACGCCTAAACGGAACCGAAATTCTGAGGTGCCTGCCGCCAGCCTGCTCACCCACCTACCCACTTACTTACCCAGCTACCCAGCTACCAGCCCGCCTACCCACCCACCTACCCACCTACCCACCTACCTACCTACCCACCTACCTGCCTACCTAAGTACCCAGTCAGTGAAACTACTTATGTACCTATTTAGTTACTCAGCTGGAAAGTATATAGCCATAACAAAGTAACCAGTCATTTTTTATTTTATTTTATTCTATTTTAAAAATTTAGATTTCTGGATTTTTATTAGAGCAAATATGAAATTTGTGTGTTGAGGCTGTTGGAATCCGCAAGAATCAAGAAAAATGAATTGACCCAAAGGGTGCTTCATATGTATGACCCCCCGTACCCCGTAAGTAGAAGTCAAAATGCAACAAGGTCTTCCTGTGTTTCAAGTGCATCCAACACAGAACAGGGCAAAGAGTCACCATGATGTTTCCCTGATTAGGTCACAGCTCTGTGGAACACACTTTCCGTTGGTCCTTAAATTCTCAACATGCCCCAAATCCTGACAATTCCTCTTCACCTCTTCACCTCCCTTCCTTGGTGAACCAAAATTCATCTCCAACTTCTCTCCTCCTCCTCCCACCTCACATCTCCTTCGAGAAGTCTTCTTATACCCCGTCACTGTCGTTTGTTTGACACGTCTTTTCCACTCTTTTCAGGTTTTACGCGTATATATATTATCGAGATGGTTGTTACACGTGCTGGAAGTGTTCGAAACCAGAAGAATGATGAAGGAATGGAGAAGACTTCGGAAGCCGAAGACAATCATCCAGCTCCCTTGGGCCAACCTCAGAACAAAGTTACTCTCATGGTTGCCCCTCCTCAGCGTCGTCTCGCTAGGAATGGTCAAGTTCAGGCTCCTAATCGTCTCTCATGGATGGGACCCGCTGAAGTCAGGGGCGAACTCCCAGTCATTGACCTCAAACACACGACCATTCCGATTGCTGATGAAGCTAACCACGACATGACAATTGTCATCACTTTTCATCACCACCGGGTTAGGTACCTTGTATCCAAGAATATTTTATCCCTCTCCTCTCCAACAGTCAACCAATTACTTCAAACCAATGTTCAGCTCGAACTTATCCCCGGTGTCGATATGGGACAACCACACGAAATCAACGAGTATACGATGCACCTAAACGGCAATCCGAAGGCCATGCAAGCAGTTCTCATGATGCTCCACCTCAAGGGGTTTGATGACTTGTTCAACATCAGCTTCGAGCTCTTCACCGAGATCGCTATCCTCTGCGCCAGGTATGGATGGCAGGATGCCCTCCGACCATGGGTCCGTAATTGGTTGGACAGGTTCATCAAAAACATCCTCAAACCAGGTCACGAAAACTGGCTGTACACATCTAAGGTCTTCAAGTGTGAGAAGAGGGTCGACGAATTGATCTCAACCTTGGCAAATGAAGTATCTACTCCCAGTGAGTGTGGTATCTTCATTTTCCGCCGAGAGAAGCGTATCTCAAAAGCCCTTTGGCCAGCCAGCACTACTGGTAAGCCCTGCAAATATAATGATATACCCTAGAAGCTAGGATGCTCCGTTCGTTATTCTAACAACTTCACAGACCAGATTATGCAACTCCGAAATGCCGAGGTCGCGAGGTTGACCGCCGCCCTAAGAGCCCTCGTGAACACCTTGAAGAACGATCCCGCGGAATGTCGCCGCCTCTGTCCTTCCGACAACTGTGTCAACCATGCACTCGGCTCACTCGTCCGCTCGGTCCAGCAAAATAATCTTTCAACCCTCCTGGATGACTATAACGGCTGGCCAGGTTCCGTAGTTGCCCTCAGGAACAACTTGTGTGCCATCAACTATGACACCCTGGACAAACTAACTGTTAATCATACTTGTGCCTTGAATCTTCTCAGAGAGAGGTTCATGTTCTTGGTTATGGCCGGTGTCGAAAAGGAGGATGGGGATGCTAAATCTCCATCGGACAACCAACCTTTCTCCATTTCTTAAATAGACCAGCTTCGGTTCTTGCCTACGACCACATTCTATTTCCTTTCTTTTATCTCCTTTTTTTCCCACTTTTTTTCTTTCGGTGGGACAGTTTCTAAAAAATTCAAAATAACAACATCCAAGCCCTGGCTCCTCTCAGAACATGGACACTAACTGTTTTACAAAAACAAACTCCAGCCGCCGGCTGAACGGCAAAATACCTCCATATTAGAGATGGTAGCAGACGATCCGGGACTAGACAGCTTCGTCAGTACCGTCGCACATGGCACTTGTGATGCAGGTTCTGCTTATATAATAATCAGGTATTTTCAGTACTCGATCCTGTTAGAATTTTTTATAGCGACTGCTACTAACCACCGGCTACAGACATACAGACTCCTGATAGCAAATAGCCGTTTTCAGGACTATGATAAATGGATTAAGCTACGAATTGCAAACGTTATTCTAGCTGTATATATCTTATATGCCACCCTCTTGAACTCGCAGGAGTTCATGTCAATCAATAAATATAGTGGCCAAGGCCCCCAAAATAACTTTTTATCTCTTTCTCCATGTCGTGAAACTCCGTGGTTTGTATCACTTCATATACGTTAACATTGAGCCAACAGCAAATCTGTAGTTAATGTCTGGTCACACAGAGGATCTGCAGAAGCTTTCCTAATAATGGTTGGGAGAATTTTACTTCTGGACATAACTAAAATCGTCGATCATGCCACGAGGAGACTACGTGAGCATGTTCTTTGATCCCAAGAACAGCGAACGGAGACTCCTTTTATAGACATATAGGGTACCACTGAACGATTAATTCACGCCAAGACTAGTCATCAGACAAATAGCCTCAAAGTGGCCCATATTTAAAGACGACGGCCCTGTTCCCTCCGCCAGGAGTCCTCCTAGCTTTTTAATATTTCCAACACAATTGCTACAAGGTAAGCAACCGCCCCTCCCCAAGCCCCATCTTAAGATATATGAATACTAGTCCGCCCATGGGTATCCCATAAAAGTACCATGACCGGAGCTAAGTATCTTCAGTAAGTATCTTTTAAGGCCTAGAGGCCAGAAACGTATCTTCCTCGTTGTCCCGAGTGGTTCAAATAGAGAGACTACATAGTGCTAATGCATAACTTATCTGCCACGTGGCGAGGTAAAACTTTCCGACGGGCATCAGAGTTACCAAAGGGATTTAAAAATGGCAGATACGTCACCGCCTCAATAAGACGAAACTTATGGGCTCGGTATTGCCTATCTCATCATTTGCCTTAGAGAGCAAAGAGAGAGAGAGAGAAGAAGCGGGCTCCCTTCGAAGGGGGGCCTTACCGTCCCTTTATACCTCCAATCTTCGAAGACTACGGGGTTAAATTATGGTGTTATTTATCATATATGTTGGAATATCATCTTGCACAGCATGAGTTTAGTCGTGCATATACGTAGATCAAAAAGGGATTATGATGACTTTTCTTTTCATCGGCGGCTGTCACTCACGATATAGCCGTTCGAAGTCTGCATATATTTCCGACATTTTTCATATTTCCTAAAGGTTATATTAAAGTAAAGTCTACCAGATACCCTCTGGGCTACATTGATGGGTACGTTTCTGTGGATATTAGATATAAAGTGTAGTATTATTTACCTAGTTAATTCATTGTATAGATAAATATATTAACTAAAATGCGATAAAATAACTCGATAAGTTCTCTCAGTAACTCGTATTTCTTTTGAATTTTACCGCTCTATGATACCTATCGGTATGGTCAGTTTCTACCATCTATTCCATACTATAGTACGAGGATACTGAATTTCCTCCTCAAGTTTAGTAGAACTTGGTCTGCAAGCTCCCCTGTCTAATCCTAATTTTACAAAAGTTCATAAATTCCGGATGTTCGCTCGTTATATTATCGTAGTCGTCAAAAATTTTACGGCACAAGGAGTCCCAGATGACGACGAAATTGCCATACGGGGTAACGCCCTTCGCAAAGCTCTCAATTTTAATACAGAGAATACTAGCATTCCCAAAATCGAAAAAACCTCTCCACTGGTATGTGAACAATAGATAAGAACAAAGTTTACAGAATGAAATTATTTCTCGACATTATGATATAATCGCCTAACTAAGCATACGGTATCTCTCCATTACTAATATGAATTGCAAAATTGAATACAGACTGCGGACCAACTCGAACATTTCTAACATAAAATACCAGATTTGAGAAAGGAGTTACTCGACATCGAAAAATCCAAAGACGGGCTCGAGGGGCAGGAATTAGACAACGTCGCCGAAAAGATATTCCAATTGGACGCGGGTATACAGTTCATTACCGAATACTTTAGCAAAGCTATACATAAAAAAGTAGGTTTACGTGAGCAAGGAACCATAACTTTCGAGCTCCCCTGGACATTATTTGGACCGGGTATTTTAGTCTACAAAAAAAACCTTCTCGGAGAAGGTTGTTTGCACCGTGTCCAGCGCTGTCGATACGTTAAGACCAAACCACCGTGGTATTATATTGAAGCTAGCTTTATTAGCTTCGACGGTGAGGATTACGGTTACATACACGAATATGATTTTCGGATTCCACAATTCCCTGGGCAGAGACCGATCTCATCCCTACCATTATATCCATTCGAATTTCACGCAGATAGGGAAGAAGAGGAGAAACGACTCATAGAACGTGCTGAGAGGGCATTCGTACTAAACGATCGTGTGATCCATAGGTATCTCTATGAATACAAGGGACATGCGTTATGTCGTGCCCCTGAAAGCCGAAATCCGATTCCGAAATATTCATGTATTTAGGATTCGACGATGACGAGATAAAAGAGGTGAAATTCAGTGTAGGTCTTCGCCCGAATGAGCTAGGCTTTGAAGCTTCCAAATATATACAGATAGTTAATAGAGATATCATAGTCGCGTGGCCGCGTTATAATAGACCCAAAGGGTTTCCAGGAATTTACTCCAACTAAAAGCATTATGCCGGAAATAGCCATACCGATTGCGCGAGGGATGTTTACCACGGAACAAAAGCTACTCTACTCCCCCGTTCTTTATGGATTCAGTTTTGGTGATCGGATATGGGGTCTGTGCGGTTCAATGTCTGTTATTTTGCTTTATTCCCTTGGATTACTAACTAAAGCACATCACAGGGGCCTTTTCCGTCCTCCGGCTCAAAGAAGTTCAGTGGAAGCCTGAAATTATTAAGTCTTTGTCAATACCTCCCGTGAACAAAGATTTCCTAAGAAGCGTCGTCCAGGCAAACGCAACCAAACAAGATAATTTTGACGATATCGTACAGGACAAAGGGAAATCATTAATTGGGCTGTTCACCGGCCCTCCGGGTGTAGGGAAAACTCTTACCGCAGGGGTTATGGCCGAAATAGCGGAAAGACCTTTGTACATGCTTAGCTCCGACGAACTAGGCGATAGCGCAACCACGGTTCAAAAAGCACTCGATAGCGCCCTAGATTTGGGTAGTCGATGGAACGCGGTAGTACTCCTCGATGAAGCTGATGTCTTTCTCGCCAAACGCGACAACCAAAACCTAAGCCGCAATGCGATCACCTCGGTATTTCTGAGAAAGTTAGAGTACTACCAAGGAATACTCCTTCTGACTACCAATCGCTTGGCTAGCATTGATGAGGCATTCAAAAGCCGGATTCATATTGTTTTGGAATATCCCCATCTTGATACAGCTGCGAGGAGGGAGATATGTAATACATTTTTTAACCGTGTGCCCGAAACCGTGGAGATTAACTATGGAGAACGAGTGCGACTTTCCAAGTTACGATTAAACGGACGACAAATCAAAAATATAGTGAAGTTAGCGCAAGGGTATGCTGTCGAAAAGAAGCAAGATATCACTGCTGATACGGTTCAAAGAGCACTGCAATTTTCAGGATTTGCCTTAGGCGAAATTGGTGGTAGGCATCAGGTTATCCGTGTAGCCCGCTCCTTTTTGATTCTTATTGCATTGCCTTGCTTGATTTACATTATAGCATGGTATTTCAATAGTCTCAGTCCCATAGTTTTAATCTCTATTACTGACTGGACTATGGATTTGGGGTATATGAGGTTCTGGGGCTAGGCTAGAGGCCTATCGCGCAGGATCAGAGGCAGAGCTGCAATTCGCCATAAAACAGACTAACTGCCGGGGTGTTACCAAGCTGGAAAGTTACATGATTCCTCAGATTTTAGAATTAGTACCGAGTCGGGCTTAGTTTTCATACAAGGAGGAGTATCTGCAAGTTTAGCTTGTTTTCTTTTGTTATATTCGGGTAATTCCCCCAGACTAGTAATTCTATAGTTTCAGCTTTCGAAATTTCCTAAATTTTTTTGTTTGCATCGGCATAAGTCCTATAGTATGACACTGTCAAATCATCCAAAACAAAGCTGGGTCCGTGTGAACTCTGGGAACAAAAATAACATACACATGGGCATACAAAGCAAAGATAAGTCAGTACTTAAGTTGGAAAATCGACCGGCCATCGACAGCTGGTAAGTATACCCACGACCGCTAGCAAACTCAAAAAGGTCAACCAGCAAATAAGAGCCCAGGAGCGCTCGAACCTGAGTACGTTGTCTACATGGATGTAGGTTGTGCTCGTTAATTTCTAGACAGGACGGTATATGCACGCATAAAATGGGCCAATTGCCAAAAGTGCACCAATTCTCAATGATGTAGGTCTGTGACACGAGGCAATGTTATCTTGCGCATGTGTACGTGTCCTCGTCAGGATAGTAGCAGTTACCATCTTTGTGCAGTGTGTGCATGGGTCACTATCCCTCCAGGTATACCACTAGCCTCGAACCCACTCGAGGCTAGTATACCACCCCCTAATTAGGCCCCGTCTACCTGTTGTCTGCATATATACGAGTTAGCGCTGCAACCAGGGCTTGGGTGGTCTCGTAAACCAGACAACGCACGGGGTCCAGGCTTGGACGTGTTTCGAAGAAATAGTAGCTGTAAGAATACAACAAAAACAACGCAACGGCAGGGGGATCAAAAGGTGATCAAAAGGTGATCAAAAGGTGATCGATCATCGCTTTCCTTTGCATATAAACGTGCGTTAGAACCGCTTAAACGTATTCCTATTCTTCAGCTATCAACTCATACGTTAAAAGCACTTAGGTCGAGACGATTCTCTGTCGATAAACCTTTTCGTTCTAGCTCTACCCGTACATCTAGCCAGTGGAATTGCTAGTCTCGGTTGGTCTCGTAGTCTCGGTTGTAACACCATGATTTTGTCGCCAAATAAACTCAACTACTAATTACCCAGGTATACAAAAAACAACGCATCTCGTTGATCAATTTACCACAGATAACGCCAAGACCCGCCTCGAGATCTTGCCAAGCCCTGTCCTCTGCAACACTCCGGCGATTGCATCCGCAAACGTGCAGAAATTCTAATGTTGCCTGAAGTAACATTGGAATGAAGTGTGAGAGACATACCCCGCCTCTGGAAATGTCGAATCCCGGAGTTAAGGGAAAGAACTTATCTGCCTCAAGAATAAACGCTATCCTCCCGATGATACAAAGACGGAACCATCATCACAAAACTTTCGTCTCGATAAAAGTTATATGCAAAGCTGACTACCTAGGTATACTATAGGCATATCCTGAGCTCTCACGTTCATAGGATTTGATCGGTCAACTTGCGTATGCCCGAGCTCCCGACAAATAGGCAGTTGTATACTAGTAGGCGACTAGTAGACAACCTACGACTTCTAAATCCTACAGCTAGCTGCTGAAGACCACATTTCCGGGTCTCCATAGCCTACCACCGATATGGCGCTCCCACTGCCCATTTGCGACCAATGCACGGAGGCAATGGCAACCGGTGAACATCTACCAACCATGCACTGTTGCACGTGCGATCTAAACTTTGACGACACCGAAATTTACAACTTGCATATCTTATTATTGCACTTATGGAAATCTAGAGGACGGGAAAATATTCCGTCTGCTGCATTCGCCTGTGCCGACTGCCAAATAGATTACTACGATGAAAAGGGGTTCAATAATCACCTCAAAGAGCACGAAATGACTCAGAATGCTGTTCAACAGCAAAATATAACGGAAACAAAGACGAGGAGGAGGAGGGGGAGAAAACCTAATCCTGACGCCTGCAGCGTACCTAAGCCTCCCAAGCAGAAGAAAAAATCAAAAAAGAAGAACAATAATGACACTCCCAATGTTACCGCACCAAACGCTACACCTGCGAATCCAATAAAAGAACCTAAAAAGAAGAAGAAGAAGAAGAATAAGATATGCCCAGACTGCAATCGGGATTTCGTTTCCAAAAAAGCCCGGAAGAATCACCTGTGCCCAAATCGGTACCCCTGCATAAGTGAAAACTGCTTGAGGACTTTCCGGAAACTTACAGGGCTAACCGACCACCTTGAAAGCGGGGCGTGTAAAGGTGGCCATACTCGCGAAAAGATCAGCCGAATCATCTGCGAAAGAGATAAAAAGGGCTTGGTTACGGTGCCGGGAGCTCAAATGCTCCTAGAAGGACATTACGGACGCGTACCGGAAGTACTAGACGATGACGCAGCTTCGGATCTTGGAAATGCGATGGAAAATCTATCCCTCTCAAGTTGGGGCGTTTTAACCCCGATTTCTAACGGCAGCGGGGAGTCCTTTGAAATGGTTGCAAATGAGGGTGTCCCACTCGATCTCGACAACCTCGATATCATATCATTAGCTTCAGGTGATACCTTCTCTGATGCCACCCCAGAGTCTTTAGGCTCGTCTATTCTTATCTCAGAGCCGATCAACCCGAAGCAGTGCCAGATCTGTTTTAAAATATTTAACAGGGTCGAAGACTTGAAGCAGCACAAAGAATCCGCTGCTCACGTGCCAAAGATCTATCACTGCAAGTTATCAGTGTTAGGCCTTACACCTACGGAGCCTGTCAAACAGTTTAATACTTTGAGCGGATTAGTAGCTCATATCGAAAATGGATCATGTAGGGGAGGCATGGCGGCATTTGACATCGCGATCAGTATGATGGGTCAACTGGCCAAAGAATTTGGATTCACTAGTACGGCTGATACCCAACAAAAATTAATAGCGGTTGCTGCTAGCAAAAGAGCTGCAAAGGCTCAAACTTCGCCCTGTCGCCAGAATCCTCAAATTGCGGCTCAAATGGTGTAACTAGTAAGTACTAGTACTTACACTCCATCACCGATCGGGATACTCGGGGCGTCGTAGAAATCTTTTACGCCAGAAACAGAACGCAAATTTTCCCTTTTTGCCTTTGACTTTATCTCCCAACGTCTTTCTTTTTGTTTTTTTTTTTTGTTTTTTAACCATTCTGGATATCTTGGGCCTCACGCTAGATGTACTTTTTATGTTATATTAACAAGGGCCATACCTCTGGAGCCTAGCTAGGTTTGAGACTATACATAAACAATAAGATCTTAGGCAATATCTTAGATTTTCACAATACCATACTTACATTAACAGTTTTTACCAAATATCCAGACTAGTTATTTTGATCCGAGACACCTGTATTGAACTATTTCGTGTACATACGTATATCAATTTCGAGAATATGATCCTTCTCCAGCATATTTTCCAATACCATAAGCCCTACAAAAGTGCTTACAAATATCGGTGAGCCTCGCCTCAGGCCTCCACCCCAAGTCATTTCTAACCTTTTCCATGTCTCCAATCGAAATAGGCACATCCCCTTCCCTCCTCTTCTGACAATCCTCAATCTTCACAATCGCCCCACTTTCATTTTCCACCTCCTTCAAAAGTTGCTTAACAGAAACCCCCTTTCCACTTGCTAGGTTATACACTTTACATCTTTTCTTCGTCTCGTCTGCACGTAGACAATCCTCAAACCCCATGACAAACCCCCTCGCAATATCCCCCACGTGCACAAAATCCCTAATACAGCTACCATCTCCGCCATCCCCACTTCCTCCAAAAACTTGAAACACTGTATCATCCACTACAGCTTTCTTAATCATTTGCATAACCCCTCCAACACACCATTGATAATCTCTCGGATTCTCCTTTAGATAACTGGAGGGATCGCTGCCAACCGGGTTGAAGAGCCTAAACACCACAGCTCTCCGTCTAGGATGATCATCCACGAACTTCTTGATCATCGCTTCGCCGAATATCTTTGAAATGCCGTATGGCGTTAACCCAGCAGTCGTATCCTTTATATCGACGTCAAGTCCGATGATGGGTACCATATCCTCATTCAACGCCTTGGACGCCATTTCTGATGGTAAGCATCCGTAAGCCGTCGCCGATGACGAGAATACAACGTTTCGAATCCCATGTTTCCCTAGTACCCTTAAGAATCTTTCCATCTTGATCACATTATTTTCATAATATTTCCAAGGATTTTTCAAGCTCTCCGCAACGGACTTCGACGCGGCAAGATGTATTACTCCCGTAACCCTTAGGTACCGGCTGTAGAAGACTAGGGCCCGATCTAGGGAAATGGGGTCTCCATAATCGATCGGAATGTGTATTAATCTCCTTGACGGCAAATTCCCCAGACCGGACGCTTCCAGCGTTAGCCTGATATCTTGTACCACGCTGCCGAAAGAATTCGTCAAATCATCGACAATTAGAATGGTATAGCCCTTGCGCAGAAGTTCAATGCAGACATGACTGCCCACGTATCCTAAGCCGCTGGTAACGAGAACCACTGGATTCCGGGCCCCGCCGAACGGTTCGTAGAGATAACATGGTAACGAAGTCAGTAGATTGATGACCTGTTTGATTAATCGCTTGTGGTATCTTTCATGCCACCAGGGGGTTGGCCGAGGAGACGAGGTCCAATTAGCGAGAGGATTTTCTGCGCTTGAAAGCCCGTTTTCATGAAAGGGGTTGACGGTAGCGAGGTAGATATGCTGCCGAACAAGACTTGTTAGGCCAAACCAATGAGCCCTCAGAGATAATACTGGCATAACATCCCCCTTATCGAACCGAGAATCCATTGCCGAGAATTGCAATCCCTCATAGAGCGAACCGACGTCACCCATCTAAACCTCGTCCGTGCAATAGCCGAATCACCGATCAACGTTATGAACCCGAACGCCTTGAGTATCCACAACCTGATTTAGAGGAACACGTCTCTTCATGAGCCCCTTAAATTTCAAAAGTTGATCGAATGGCTGTCCTCCCGGTCTTTCAGGGCAAGAGAGAAGGAAACCCCAGTATACCCCACCCCATACGATGCGAGATCGAAAGCCGCTAGGTATTGCAGTTATCATGATGGAACAGCAAAAAATCACCAGGCGGGATAGCCACGATAAAGAAGAATCAGGGTTTTATTGAAAACTCTCTTTTTGCGAGCTCGTCGCCGGATCTGGCGGTTTTGTTGAATACTCCCGAACGCGGAAGTGGATATGGTGATGCCTTGAGTGACCTGTTGGGCATCGCTGATCAGATATACTTTCGATAATGAGGGATAACTGACAAGATCTAGAATTGTACTTACTATTCGTTTTCAATCGAGCAACGATGGAGCGTGGGTCCTGACCATTCAATATTTGTGTTCATAACGTTTTTGCATATGCATGCATGCATGCAAGAGTGTTGGGATGTCGTTGGTAGTTAGCAGCAATATTAAACGGCTTGGCACGGGTAGCCTTTCCGACGGCCATATCAGGCTAAAATGTTCACCTTATAATATCTCGAATGGCTCCCGCTAATTTTATAAATGGAATCAAATTCGAGGATCGGTGTAATTTCTAGAATTTTGATATGTCGAGGGAAACCGAAATGTGTTCTACTATTGAGATTATATAAATGTGAAATAATTGCGTAAATTCTTCCAATGACCAATACGACTGATTCAATTCGCACATTTCTAGGAGAAAAAGCTATTCTAATGGCTTTATAGAAACCATTGATTCTAGTGTACCTAATCAAAATCCCATAATAAACACCAACCGCCAAATAGCTAGAATGCACAATGGTAACAAATGCAGCTCTAGACAAAAAAACGCCTTGCAAATGGTGTTCTATCCCAAAGCCTGTCGCCCCTCCCAACCAATAGAAGGAAAGCATTTACTTGAAGATTCTGAAAGTCTCCTCGAGAGGCTTGAGGGTGACAAGCTTTGGTCTATCTCCAGGTGGAGAGTTTGGTGTTCCGAAGACGAGCTGAGCGATGAGTCTGTAGTCCTTGTCGACGCCCCATTCCTCCTTGACCTTGTCGTCGATAATTGGGCTGTAATGTTGGAGGTTGGCTCCGAAACCCTCGGCCTCTAGAGCAGTCCACACTATAATACGAGTTAGTGTTATATTCTTTCAAGACATCATATCATTTGAAAGAGAAGATACGTACAGAAAAACTGGTGGATAGCAGAGGTATGCTCCGACCATTGTGGGAACTTGTCGGCATATGGAGCGAAAGCGGCCTGGAGCTCCTTGATTGGGGCAGAATCTTCGAAGAAGAGAATCTATTGCTTTCAGTCAGTATTTTTTTTTTTTTTGATGACAACGTTGTATAAATTGGGATAATAGAAACATACAGTAGCATAGGCATTCTTAAAGCCAGAAATCCTGGCCCCGCTTGACTCCTTCTGTTCTTCAGGGATAAACGCAAACAAGCCATCCCTGGTGATATCCCAAAGCTTCTTATGGTGATCACCGTAAAGAAGGACCAATCTAGCAGATTGGGAGTTGAAAGAAGATGGAAGAACCTCAATAGCGGTCTTGACGATCTCTTCGATACGGGAATCTGGAATTGGAGATTCGGGCTTCAAGTCGTAGTAGCTACGACGGTCCTTGACGGCCTCGATGAAAGTCTTGGTGTCTGCCATTTTGATAGATGCGAAATATTTTGTTTGTATGGTTGGAAGAAGGAGTCGTGGCTTTGCAATTGGGATTTGATGTGGAATTGGAGTATTGAATGGTTTGAACAATGTGACAGGGCGAGCAACGGTCTTATATAAACTTCGAAACATGGCCACCTAAAATTATTATACTAAGGTAGTATACTATACGTAAGTCAGTGCTTACTTATCCATACAAGATATCGTACTGCCGATATTCTTCCCTGCATTCCATTTTATGCAGGGGCGCCGCCGACCCTATCGATAGTTTTTTTCTCTTGATCAATCACGACACAATTCACTCAATTAGCGCCATTTGAATTGGGGTATTCGGCCGGATACACTTAGTTCCGCTGCGCAATAGTTAATGGCGCTACTTTGAGGTTCTTGGACATAGATTAGTTGAGGATGAGCTAATCCATAGTGCCATTTAATTTTTTTGCCGGCAAGCTTGGAGCTTGTATAATCATTACCAAACACCCCCCGAATCCACCTCCTACAAATGCTCCATATTAGCGTGGCCAATAGATTTGCTAAGCAAGACTAAGCAGGTAGCGCCCCTCGAAACTTTCGAAAGAAAAAGCCTAGTGCTGCTTTGCCCCAAGGAAACATCCGAACGGCGCATCACGTGAGACTTGGCCTTTCACGGGATTCTGTCTCTTGGCTTTTCGGGCGTAAAAAAGCTTCCGGAGCTCGGGACCAGGGTTTGCACGAAAAACCTCTCGGTCGATAACTAGGGCTGCTTTGGGACAAGGTTATTAATTTTGGTCATGTCAGCCAAAGCCAAAAAGCTATCCGGGGCGTGATTTCTACCCATCTTTCGATTACTCAGCTGTCCGACATCAATGCTCCTAGCACTAGCTATCGACGATGCATGGATGATATCCCATCCCAACATAATTCTTAAGGGTTCCGGCAATTCGCAATTCCGTAGGATGCTGTTATTTTTGAGACTAGGGTATGATACAATTGATGACCATTATGCATCATCCCAAGCCGGCCGGGGAGTGCTTCACGTGTATCTAGCACAGACGAGCTGTCGAGTTGTTTCTGCATCGTTAGAAACCCCCAACAGGCTGACCAATGCATTGTTGTCTTAACTTAACAGGTATGAATGCTATGCTTAATCATAAATCCCACAAAAACAACACTTAAAGAGGCAAATTGTCATCTGTGCCCAATCGTCCACCCGGGGTATATCTAATAAAACATATACCATATCTTTTGCGTGCTACAATACTGCATATCGTATTGTTTTATTATTCATCGATTTTACCCGGCCGATAAGCCCATGGCCGCTTATTCGACAATGCACTAATTGGGTGGGACTCAATGTTAACTGCCGGTGGGCGCGAACATGTACATGCATATCTAGATTTGACTAATACGGACGCAGCTGGCATTATATTATTTTTATCTAAATAAAAAAGACTCGACAATGGAAAGCAATAAAAACAAGGGGCTAACAAAAACCATGCAACTGAGAGTGAAGAATTCGCATGTACTTATTGCAAGGTGATTTCTGATATAGGTACACTTACAAAGACGGAATCTATCGAAATTAATACTATAGCGACAAACGCTCCCCGAGACCAAGGGACAAACAGATCCGCAAGCCCAGCACATTGACTAAGAAATAACACACACCCCATAACCTTTTTTAGAGAGCAAAAGCGACAGCCGCAACTACACCACCAGCCAATACAGCCATAGAGCCAACCTTTGCGCCAGCACCACCAGTAGCAACAGGTGGTGGAGGAACAGGACTGCTCTGGTCCGGAACATAAGAAGGACGAGTGCTAATAGTAGTAGCAGTCGGAGGAATCAATATTGGCTCTGGTGGGACAGATACCGTAGTCTCAGTGGGTGGAATCAAGGTTGGTTCAGGAATAACAGTAGTTTCAGTGGGTGGGATCAAAGTCGGCTCTGGAATGACGGTTGTCTCAGTAGGTGGAATCAATGTAACTGGATTGCTGACAGTATAAGTCGTGTTGTAATGTGGATTGACATATGAAATAGTCGTATAGGTGATCGGATTGGATGCTGAAACCGTTGAGGGGGTTGGAGTAGAGGTAATATAGGTAATCGGGTTTGAGGCCGACACGTAAGTCGAAGTATTGTCGGGTGTAGAGTTTGCTTCGGTGGACTAACTTCACTTTTTAGTTCTACCCCAAGATTATAGCGTTTTTGTCATCGTTTCGCAGATAAACTTACGGAAGTACTTGTAAGATTAGCAGATACTGACGTCGGCGCAGTAACCGGTCCACAGTATCCAGCATACGGTGGGATGCCCGGAGTCTCAACCGGACTGATAAAGCTGACAGCCGTTTGGATATACTCCCAGCATCCGATCAAGTCCTTATCAAAGTCGGCAGTCCACTCGCAATAGCAATCCTTGAGCGGTGCAGCGGTTGCCGGAACGTTTTTATCGGTCCAACACCTCGAAATAACGTCGTTAGCAGCGTAACAGAGGTATTCTCCATGGCCGAATTCAGTGGTTTGCGCAGCGGCGACCGCAGCAGTCAAGGTAAAGATCGCTACGAACTTGTGCATCTTGACGGGCAACGTTATGTATTAAATCGAAGAGTGCGGGAAGATAAATTTAGAAAAAAAGTTTAACAAATGCAGAGATACTATGTATCAGTAAGTTAAGGACAAATGTCTAAGATGATTGATCTTTGAATGATTGTTTGACGATACTGACAAAGTTCTTCGACCAAAAGGCAAAGAAGCCCGATACTTATACACGCACCAACTGATCTCAGTCGAGAACTCACAAATATATTGAAATCAACTAATTGGGTCTCAAAGAATGATAGTCTCGGCATGCACCGATATCAGCCCTCCAAGGCCGACACAACTTGCCTAGTAGATTCCGACAGCTCACTATATTCATCTTGAATCCATCCAATAGGATTGAAACCTTTGCACGACCGCCGACGGAAACTTGCATTCTCCCAAGGCACCATTTTCTTTACAGTAATATCTTCCGCAAACCGCGCCGAAGGAGGCGCCCGACCTGGCAAATGCAACACATTCATGGACAAGATGTCTACATTAAGCCAAGCGTTAATGAGAACCCTGGTTGAACTTCCCTATGGAGGCTACTAAAGCGCTTGGGACTTGGCATTCCTAGGCCGAGAGAGTACCATGGACCCAGATGGATGAAAGTTGTTCAAGCATGATGGACGCTGAACATTTTGGTTACATCAGAACTGCGAGCTATACTATAGGGCTGGGAAATTTATTTCTCGGACCAGAATAAAGATGCTGACACTCAAAAGATAAATAGATCGCAGTAGTCGAGTTGGCCGAGTTCCGACGAATAGCGCCAGCACTGCAGCCAGTTTTTGTGGCGAGGGATCCGCATCCGTTATTCGGCCAGCTAGCTTCGTTAAACCCATATTCAATTAGGTATGGAGCAAATGGGGAAGAAACACTGCGGAATGATTAAAAAAAAATCATCAACCCTGATGTGATATGGCTCCCAGACGTCGCAATAGGAACTCAATACCAGAAGGCCAGGCGATCGACTATATTATATCATGAGAAAATGTAGAAATTGAAGACATCTAGAGCCCAGCTTTGGTGCATAAATATATAAATAATACATTAATGATATTGAAAAAATCGAAAAAGAGAGAGGGAGGCAGAAAAAGAAAGAAAGAAGGGAGGAAATAAAGAAGAAACGAAAAGACAGAAAGAAAGATACAGAGAAAGAAACCAGTTTAATTACTCATACCCAAACAATTCGATTGTGTCATTGTGCTTAATGAATGTTTGGCGCGGATATTTCACAGTATCAACTTCACTCAATAAATAGAGGTGCATCTTATACTTACCATTGTAGCCCCCTAACTTGCGTTCAGGAGCTCTACACCTGAATGTTTGCTCAAAATCATCACGGTGCCAAGTAACAGGATGCGCATGACACCTTACTCTTCTATTCGTGTACCAGTTCTCCGTTGGTTTTGAAGGGCGGCTACCCCCGGTCTTAGACTCGCCCAGAAAATCCCCAGAAATTGCTTTGCTCCCCTCGCTGAATTCCTTCAAAGCTGTTTTGCTGAACCCCAGATATTCATTCCCGTCGCTAGTAGGAAGCTGGTCCGGATGGGTAAAACGATACCAACGATAACCTTCATTTTGGGACTGTTTGGCGTTATCCCCGATATCGATTTCGGAGAAAGCAACTTGAACGGTAGATATATCCGTAGGGTGAATGACGAAACCGGCACAGGGATTCTTGTTTTCCTTGAGAAAAAACTTATCCATTCCTGCAAGGAGGTCCATTCCGCAGTATACGCCTACTGATCCCGTCCTTTTGGCTTTATCCCCATCAACATGATCGGTGTTGAAGATAGTCGTGTGGATATCTTCGATCGTGTCAAGTGATAAGCTCTTCTCAGCGGTGGGGGTTTTAACAAGAAGACGACCGGCGGGGCCGTTTGGTGGAAGCTTATTGCGAGTAATGTCACCAAACTCTGCAGGGCGTTCGGTTATGATATCGTCGCCTTCCCCGTAAATCTTAATAGCAGTAGCGATAAATTTTTCACCGGTTGCGCTTCCAATATCTGGATCCATTCCTTGCATCTCTGATATTAATCGACGAAGCGCTCGAACTCGCGCGAGATCAATACCCTGCACCTGGAGAGCAAGTATAAAAGAGACTTCCAAAGAAATCGGTCCTGCTGGTCCTTTCTGGCCACCAGCCGTTGATATCACCCAAGGAATCGCTATTCCCAGATCGTTATTGAAATTTCCTTCCTGAAATAAAGGTTTCTCAGGTGTCCAGGTGAGAAATGCGCACTTTTTTTTAAGTAGGGTTATCCTCTTAGCGTCGAGTTTCTCGAGGTTACCACTCGCCTTCTCAATATCTTTTTCGATGGCCTCGATTTTATCGCCGTTTTGGACTCCTTGCGCGGCTGCATTATTCAAACTGGCCAATTCACCATTTAGCGCAGTTAAAAGCGCTTGAATATTGGGTTTCTCCCCATCGATCGCGTTTATCTCCACGTCTAAAGGTGCCAATACATCAGCTAACTTTTGGTTGATTCTTTGCTGGTTCGTCTTAAGAACCCCCACGATCGTAGGGGGGAAAATCCCATTTATAAATGACTTCCCATCTTTAATTTTGGTTGGAATTTGGTCATCGAAGAATCTGTGCAAATAGGTTGTCTTATCGTTGTTCTCCAAACCCTTGGTTCCAGCGTAATACCAGAGTTGTTGCCAGAGCATACGAATCCGATAGGCCATCTCAAGGTAAGACCACTGTGCAGTATTAGGGTCCTTTTTGCCTTGTGCATTCGGCGGCTCGCCCGTCGAAAACGGGTTCCCCGGCGCGATATAGTCCTTGACGCTCGCCGGCACTAAAGGATTCAGCTTTTTTTTCCCTTCACAAACACCGAAGTCTATGTGGTTTAGGCTAAACGGTACTCTTAAAGATTCCAACGGCGCTAAATCTGATGCCAGGTCAGCTTGGGTAGACTCTAACTCGGAGCGGGGCTTTATAGATTTAGTTTTACCTATAGCTAGCTGCTTGTCTGAATCAAATATTTCATTGGGACCTTGACCTTGAGGGTTAAAATTGCAACTCTCAAGATGCTCAAGCTCCTCGACAAGAAGAGACCCTTTAACACTGATGGAAAAGGTTTTTTGGGGTTTGGATTCTTTGCCAACTCCGTAGATCTTGTAAAGAAAGTCTTGATAGCCGCAAGATTCGAAATACGCAGGATCAAGACAAGCCCGCCAATGCACTTTCTCTGAGATTTGTTGATTTGGAGGGTTATTCATGACGGAAAATACTAGCCCTATAATTTATGAAAAGCTATAACTTATGGTAAGAGATAGTGATAAACTTAGATAAGGTTTGACTATAGTACGAGAATACGTGTTGAGGTCTGTCAGTGAAAGAGCAGAAGAAATTAATTGTTCAACGTGTATATGTTGTATCGATCATCTGGATCTGGAAGATTTAAATTCGCTGGATGATTTGGCAAAGCTCAAGTCGATATTGATAGGAGTCCGAAAGACTGGCTTTATATAGATCCTCGGTGTATAGGTGGCATCGTAATCATACAGGTGCATGCAAAAGACAGGTTGAGTATCAGCCCGCACGACTAACAGATTTGGGCTACACCCAGCCATTCAGATATAACTCAAATATACATTTAGTTTTGGGGGTTGGGTTTCGTAAGGCCTAAGGACTTTATGGCTGAAGAGAAGTACGGAGCAGAATCAATCTAGATCCATCGATTGCATGGAGGACGTATCACGGCGAAAATTAAAAGCCGCCTCATGCAATCGGCCGATTTTGTCTTTGTCAAGGTCGCTATACCTATATTCATCATGGCAAGCGAACTCTATTTTTTTGGTTCTATGGGTGTCGCTGTATGCGATATAGCAATAGTTTGCGGGGTTTTTTCTTCCCGGACAGCGCTAAACCCACTGCCACTGCTTTTAGCATCCAATCATTATATATTTTGATTTATGTTGTACAGAGCTGAAAGCCCACGATGCGGCCCGCATGGAGACTACCTAGCAAGCTACCACAGACTTAAGAAAAGAATGCCGATCTTGCACCAATCAAGTCGTAGCCTTAATCAGCCGCACCATGCTCAGAGAATATTTGCATTTCCCCGAGCCGTGATTTTAGCGTACACTCTTCGAAATTATTATACGCAGATGCTGGCCTTCTAAAGGCTCAACAATGTGTCAAGAAATCTATTTAGAAATGTTAAACATGCGTAAGTGAGCGACTATTATATCTATACATGTACGTACTTATATATATAATTATATAATATTGATAACGAACAAGCACTAATTATATATAAAATCTGGAGCTAGAGCTCCGGACTGGCCAGTACCAACGGAAGCTAATTCAAATGGGCGTGCCGGCAGAAAACGACGACAAGTCACATTTTTCGGAGCTGGAGCTTGTGGCAATATACGAAATTACTATGCGGGCGTTAATTTAGCATACAGGAATATGCAACGGCACACTTAACTAGGTTGGAACAGGATTATGAAGGCTTCCCCCGACCAGCCCAATTGGTCGCGCACTGCGGAATACCTGAAGGGCGCACTTGCGGGATGTAACATTCTTATACACCCCATGTATCTATTGTTTACATGATATTCCGGCCCCTATGTAATCTTCTAGTCTTGGTCTTTCAAGATTTGCAGCAGAAAAATAACTCTGAGATAGATTGCCATATTTCATTCAGATTCACAATGCAGGAGCCGACTTGATGAGGGTGTGGTTGTATGAAAATATGAGCCCCCTGGAAATTTTATATCTTGCAGTCTATTCACATTTTCTCAGCTTCTCAAATCACAGCTAACCCTCGTCGGGCGCTCTAGGCTGGATCCGCCCGGATTCTCTTTTTGAACATATTCAAATCTTGTACAATTCCGATATTTATTGTGTATTGATAATGCTTTGTTGAATCGATGAGGCCAGGTTAATTGGCAAAGCTAAGGCTGGTAGGAAGGTCTAAAAGCTAGTCCGGTTACGAGAGTGCAGCTGGGAGTATCTAGATGTCCCTAGCTCATATATAGTAAACACGGGACACAGATATATCGATATTCCCTGTTCTACCGGTGTACCTAAGAATAATTTTATACGTTAGAGAAGTACTTCGAAGTTGAAAGGCTGAACATCATGCATCATGCAAGGAGATCAGTCATTACGTCGCTATATAGGTGCTAGGAAACTGGACCAGGCGCTAAATAAAGATGCGTGGTAACCTCATGAGATATCAATCTCTCAGGAGGATATATGTATTCAGCGTTTTTGAGATGACGCAGTACCTCCTATCTTAATATCAATTGACCAACCTTGATCAGTTGTGATATTTCAATGTGTTAGATAATTCCTATCGAGATTGATAATAGATAAACGTCAGCTCGCAATTGAGAAATATAGACTTTGGGTATTACAAACTGTAGATGGTATTAGTCTAGTTTTAGAGATGGTATTAAGAGCGCAGAAGGTAGGGCTAGAGCTCGTTGACTGGGTTGGAGGTGTGCCAAGAAAGGATGTGTCGATACCTTTCCTAAAGCAGAAAATGCCTATTTTGGAGATACAACAACTTACAACAAATCTTCCACATCGTGCTAAGGATATTGTAATACAAGCTTCGGACTCCAATCAACTTTGCTATGACGGTGGCCCTATTCAATTGCTCAATAATATAGAGTTTGTTAGGGGATCCAAGCTGATTCAGCCGTCTCAAAAATAGTAGCTGTAGCTATCTCTGGACCCATTCGTTTCCCGGAGGTGCCGAGGCCGATGTTTCTTGCGCAAAGGTCCTTTCTAGTCTCCAGTGTTGCGTCGACGATGTTATCCGTTCTTATCTTCTGAGAAGGACGTCATGGTAACCTAGCTTGAGTTGACTTTCTTCCTTCTACCTTCTCCCTTCTTTCTCTCCCACCTCTTCCCCATCCTCCATCCTCCATCCTCCATCCTCCATCCTCCATCCTCCATCCTCCATCCTCCCCACTTCGATATCCTACCCAGAAAATTTAAAACCTCAAGAAACAAACAACCAAACCTCATCAAACCACGAGTAAGTATCTCCAATGACTCTCTTCTATCTTCCTTGACGTATAAGACGCGTCTGGACTCCTTGTTTCTGCTTTATATCCACTTCACATGTTATTCTCAACGTCCGTTGCCTCATCCGTTGCCTCATCCGTTCCCGTACGTCGCGTCTGCTGCGAGATTTCCGTTGCAAAACACTCTGCCTCCCTCCAGCCTTGTAACTAAGCTTCCCTCTTCCCTATCTTATCGTCAGACTCTCCGACTGTGTTGAAGATCCCTTCTCCTCTCTTCCTCCCCCTCTCTCCATCTCTTCACCTCTTCACCTCTTCCTCTCTTCGCCTCCTCACCTCTTGCTCTCTTCTTCCTCTCTTGCTCTCTTCTTCCTCTCTTGCTCATCAAGACACACAATCACCTCCCCTCCTGTACGCGTAAAACACGTTCCAAAAATCGCAGGAAGCTAAAATATCCCTTCTGGAGTACAGAGTCTGGCATCATGAGCCAGCAAATCGTTTACAAGAACTGGCCCCGTCCGGCCCCCTCCTGGACTGAGGTCCTTTTGGACGTAAGTATCTCCAAGCTATCTAACTTTTTCGCTTCGTCTACCTCTTGAACTATAGTCAGAGGAGGAATCCAGTCTGCGGCAGGTTGCTAACTATTCTTGTAGCTCGTCCACCACTACCTCCGGGTAGTCCTCCTTCACCTGGCCGCCATCATGGGGACGCCCCTTCGCGACCTTGATTCCCTTTGGGAAAAGGTCGTGAAGGTGGTCGTCCCCTTCACCATCATATGGGGCCTTTCATGCTGGGGCGACGATGAAAACAGGAGAGTGACCATTAGGGTATGTTAACTCTTTGAATCCCGAGTAACAAAAAAATCTTCCAGAAAATATATTGACACAACACTTAGGTCCTCTCCTGGTTGACGTCATCCGTCGCCAACGAAACTCTACAGCCCGTGTTGGTTGTGGTGGGGGCTTTAGTCTCCGCTGCAACCATACCATTCAGGTATGTTCGGCGTCTGAACTCTCGTGTTGCGACAAGAGCTACGGCGCATACTGTCAGAGCCTTCTGGCCCAACGCCGAGAAGTGGGGGATCAGCCTCTTGGGGTTGGTCTTCTGCTGTGTGCGAATGGCTGTGTGCGCCGTGGCGATCGCCTCGTTTATGGCGGTTGTCGTATATGTGCCGAATCCCTACCAAATACACGTAGGGTTCAGACGCTGGAGGACGCGGGTGGCAGATGATGTTTGGTGGTGGTTGTTCCCCTTGCCCCCGGTAGAAAGGTCAGTCATTCCTCTGATTCGTCGTAAACGGAACTTCGAGGAAGAGTTGCGAATGGCAGAGGTTGATCTTTATCTTGTCTTCCCCCGCCACCACGTTTTCCCCAGACCTCTGCCTGCTTCTCGTTCTCCACTCCCGACGTCAGCATCCCCAACCCCGAACCATTCTCCCTCGTCTACTCACCCGGCGCCGCCGCCTCCCTCTGTTGCCAGACCAGCTGGTGGAAGAACCACCCATGCCCCTGTCCCTCAGAGGTACAAGGACAGGCCGAAGTCCAAGTACTTCCGGGGGCCGCGGTGGTCTCCGATCCCACTGGTCTAAAGAGATCTTGTCGGGGATGGGGAGTGGAGAAACTCAAAGGTTTGTTTCACTTCGTTTCATGAATGACTGCGGTGCCCTAGAGCCGCCCCCAAATCTAGGAGAAGGGGTTGACGTCCTTCTATAAAAAACGCTCCGTAGGGGGTCGCGATTCCTTCGATACCAAAAAACGCGGGGTAGGACCGTGGACTTTCCTTAACATGATCCCCGGGGTAGGACTGTGGACTTCCCTTAACTTGTTCCACAGGGTAGGACCATGGACTTTCCTTAACTTACATCCATGGGGTTGGGTGGTGGTACATGTTTGTGTTTTTCTTGTTTTTTATTTCTTGTTTTTTCCGTTTTAATATCTTGTTTGATTCTATTTTGGTTTACGTTTTTGACTTTTTGTCCTTTTCTGTTGTTCTTTCTTTTTTTTGGTTTTTATATATTTTGTATATTTTGTTTTTATTTTGCTTTCTTAGTCTGTAGTATGTATGTATGCACGCATGTATGTATGTACGCACGTATGTATGCTCGCGATGTTTTTCATTTTAGTTTAGTTTCTCTTTTTTGTATATATATGTGGTTATATTATGTTTTTTAGTTACTTTAGCTGGATCTTGTAGCCCTTTTCAAAAAGTTCCAAATTATATAGTATTAGCAGCGTACTAACTCGCCGTTTCTTTCAAGATGGCCACCCTAGAGTATTTTGGGTGGGGCTAGGTATGAAGCAAATAGGTCTCCCATATATACATAACTCAAAAGTAACATCGACTAAGTGTTCATCGTCAAAAAATCTCCGTTCGAGGGCTTTTGTGAAATTTGTGTAGATTCTATTCCGTCGGTATCTCGCCCCAGACTAGTTAGAATAGATACTATCGAGATGTATTTTTATCACTCAAATGATGTAGTGGAATTAGATAAAGTAAGAACCGAGGACTCGAGCACCCGATCAATTGAAGAGCTATGAAAAGATACAAAATCTAAACTTTGAGATGGGATAAACTTCATCCATCCGAAACCTTTTCTCTCAACGGAAATCGGGCAACGGAACACCCGAAGCCCTACTTTTCTTCTTCATTTATAAGTGTTTTTTGCCAACCCTATTGTAGTTGACATTTTATTTTGGTCTAACTTGGGTGTATGTTCTTCATGCACGTCTCAATTAAATCTAATAACTTAGTCTCTGCAAGGTGCTTTAATTAAGTCAGAATATAGCTATAGAATATATAGAACTAAGGTACTACATTTACCCCCATATACCTCATAGATTGCCCAAAATACCTTCCCTGGTACTAAAATCAGTACTAGCATACTTCAGTCAAAAGTTGGCTTTATTCAGCAGCATACCAGCTTCCGCCCGTACCAGCACATTTGAAGAGCGTCACAAACTAAATCAACATCACATATGTTTCAAACCCACGATCGATTGTAGAATACTGGTAGATTAAACTTCAAAACCAGCATATCTGATTATAAAAACTGTTTGCCTCCATGGCCAGACCAACAAACTGTTTACATTCTTAATCAGTTACATACATTCACCCCCTCTGCAGACCAAGTTGTACCATCATCAACTCAAGCTCCCAATTTTTCAAGATTTTGGATCCAAAAGGTATTTCCATGTGTTCACGATCAAGTTAGTGGGCTGATCGACTGAGACTAACTAACACGCGTTGCCAGGACCCGTCTATCAAAATAACTTCCAGGTTTCCCTTCAAGGCTGAGTTGGACAAGCACCTCCAATTCAATCCTCTTCCTCCTCCTCCACCCTCAACATCATCACAATCATCAAGTTCTCTCCGATCTGAAGACAAAATCGCGTAACCGATCCCCAAGAAGCCATCATCAAGGATGACATCTAGAACGCTCCGTGCTCCTGTTCTTCCTCCCTCTACCACGGCTGCTACTATTGAAGTCGGTTCCCTTGATGTCATCCCAGACATTAAGGACATCGAGCGGAAGCAGCAAGCCGCTGAAGAACTCCTTGACCAGGGAAAGATCACTGAGGGCTCTGCCCTCACCCAAGAGGTTGCTCGAGACCTCCAAGGTTACCGTAAGTTTTGTTTTATATTCTAGAATACACTGATATTGCTAAACCCTAACTTACGCGATGATATAGAGCAATGGTGCTTGGCAGAGAAGGTCCGGCGCCTCAAAGCCGGGATAGCCATCCAGGAGGAGGCTATCAGATTGTTCCGGGGTCGTAAGCAGCCTCCTGTTTCATCTCCGTATTAGATGATATATTATGCTAACTGCTCTGCCAATAATAGGTGGGACTCCCCAGAACACCTTCGTCTCCTTCGACGAGCTCTTTAGTAGAGCCGTCGATGGTGATATGGTAAGCCAAAGCCCTTCTTTTTCTAATTAAAAACTAATACTAACATATTCACTAGAAGGTGGACGGGGAGGCTCATGACCTCCAGCTTGCCGGGCCTCAATTCGAGAGGCTCGCTAAAAAGATCCGGGTGACAGCCCAGGTCCTCGAAGCAGTCTATCAAGACTACATCAAGGACGCTGCGGCGGCTCAAAAAGACCAATACGCGAGGTACTACCACGCATTTTGTTTCCCAGTGTGTAAGTAGCGTGAACCATTCATTTCTATTGTCTATGTTTAGTACTAATGTTCTACATAGGTTTGAACCACCGGGTTTTTAGCCCTGCCGAGTTTAGGGAACTCGGACTCCGCTTCCAACTAGGGGAAGCGGAGGAGGGGGAAGCCAACGAGGGGGGGCACTAAGTGCCCGTTACTGTATTTACTGTTTTGGCCGCTCCAGAGAGAGCGATAATCGAGATTTATCTATCTCTAAGAAGCTTTCCAGCTATCGGAAAGACCAAATACATAGTCCACTGTAGCTAGAGCTCTAATGCTGAAAGTTGTACCGAGTGTTACACGCCGCTAACGTTTTCCGGGAAACTAAGTATTCGCTTCAAACTAAAGAATCTGTGTTATTAAAGCACAATAGAAACTCTCTATAGATATTCGTATAGTACACTACTATCATGCATAAAATTAGCTTTTTAACAATAATTAATACCAATATCAGCTTTATTTTTGTCTAATTGTATTCTCAAGTTGGCGTTGAGATATATCATCGTCTCAGCATAAATACTAGTATAGTAGCTATAAAACACCCCTACTATCATCCATCGCCGAGATTCCTCTCTTCCACAACCAATGACCCTATATCCTTCCATCTTTCACCTCAGTCAGTCTTTTCATAATCATCTACAATTAAGACGCGTCAAGCTCTGTCTACTACAAATATGCCTCGACTAACCACCCACCAATTAGAAGCAATCCTTATCAAAACCCCTCCAAACCCCGGATTTACCCTCCTGATCGACCAGTTAATCAAAATGGATTCAAAACTGGCAAAGAAGCTCAAGAAGTATCGTGATGACAAAGATACTCAGATCATGATCATCATGAAATCTGAAACGGAGTACATCATGGGACTCCTTAAGAGTGGGAAGACAGACGAGGCCATGAAAGCTCGTTATCGTTTGTTGTTCTGCGCTGAGGTTGAACGTGAGTATATAGTGGTTTCCGATGGAGGCTTCTTGGGAGATGGGGAACCCGAGGAGATATGTGTATAGTTATCTAGTGGTTGCAGGAAGCTGATGGTTACTTTTATTTTATAGGCCAAAAGCTTGCTGCTTATGATGCTACCACTCGTGAACAGTTGATCGCGAGGTTCACTACCCTCTCTAATGATATTGTTGAGCTCTCCAAGCTTATCTATGGTAAGAATCAAAATTTCCAATTTATGTCCATTCACAATATCTGTAGAGTTATGTCTAACATATTCCCCGTGAAACGTGCACCACAGAGAAATATCCCGAAGAAGGCTTCCGATCCGGCCTGGAATACTCACCACTCCCAATTATGGAAATAGTATGTTCTTAGAAATTCTAAATCACAAATTTGGGATTTGTTCGGCCTCTAATAACAGTTATTATAGCTTAAGCGCAAGACAAACTTGGAGATCCATAATCGTACTAGCCAACTTTGGTTCATCGACGGCCTCAAGAGAGAAGCTCTCAACGGTGACAGAGCTGCAATGAATCGCCTCAAGGCCATCGAGCTACCAAGTTAGTCTTCCAACACTCCAGATTTTTCTACTATATGTCTGGGGTTGTCACTCTAACACCACTTTTAACTACCTATAGAAGAGAGCTGGCAAACGTACTTGAGCGGTTATAACTACCGCCCCCGACTCAAGAAGAAGGCTTCTACGGGTACAAAGTTAGATGCCATCCCCGAAACCTCGACTCCGAAAGAGCCAGCTAATGAACCTGAATGCCCTCGTTGTTTGACCTGCGAGCTCGAAGCTGCCCAAAAACCCCCAGTTTCGGCAACCCCAACCGCTTCTAAGCTAGATGAGCAACCCAAGGAAACCTTGCTAGAGGTTCAAGCTGAAGCCCAATCTGCCACCCTACCGAAGGACGGGAGTATCAAACGCGAGGGGTCTTTTGGAAAGCGCACCGTCGCTAATTTCCAGAGCCGCTGGCGCAAAATCCAAACGAAGTTTGGTACTTCGGCTTCGGATGGTGGTGAGCAAACAGCCGGCGATGAAGGAAAAACCACCAATATTGCTTAGAATGTTCTGGATTCTACATCTTGATAGTTCTATCTAGGATCTGATTGTTTTTGAAATACGAGGCCTCATGGAGTGCCCAATATCTGCTTCAGATCAATATCACCTTCCCCCCACCCTTACATGTTTTATACCTAATATTCAGGTTGTCAGGTGTTTAATCAACCCCTCCGAGCTAGACGTGAAATGAACAAGAACTAATGAACCTTTATCAATGACTTCTCCTATTTCCTTTTCACCGCTTTTAAAAAATCTCGGTAGTATTATATTATGAATTTAGAAGGCTAATAGCCAGTGTGGTGTCTGTACTATTTACAGATGAGTAAAGTGTGTAACTATAACACAAAATACCAGAATGAAAAGTCGCGCGATCGCCTATCTCATGAATCCAAAAATTGTTTAGAATATACGTATACGGTTTTCAAAACCTCCACCACAATCATTCCATTTAACCACACGTTCTCTAACGCCACACCGTCGCGGGCTTAAGTTCCGCCAATGGCCTCATACCCCAAAAATTCCCAGCCCCAGCCGTACTCTTCCGAATCGACTCAATTGCCCTATCCACCAATCTCGTCTCATAATTCCTCAACTCTTCCTCAGCGCCCGCGGAAGGAGGAGAAGAAGTATTATACAATCTAACCAAGGTATCGAAAAGATCGGAAGCTTCTTGAAACGCCGTATTAGCCCCCACTGCACCCACTGGTGGCATCGGATGTGCAGAGTCTCCCAGTAAAACTACTGGCTCTCTAGCTCTCTCGCGACGAAGATTTTCCCAACTGGATTTGAAGTTTTCCGGGTCGCAGATGAAGAATGACAAAGTTGATGCGGCATCTGGGTTTTGGTTGTCAAACACGCTTCGAACCTTTTCGTTCCAGTCGGCCGTAAGATCGCCAGCGAGCTTCGCGGACTTCGTCGAGTCTAGATTCAAAAAGTTACGTTCTTCTAGCCTTCCATCAGCAACAAGATCTGATCTCAAGCAAATAACCCAATAAATATAATCCGGCGGCAAATCAAACCCAGCGGTTGCCTCCAATCCACGGTTGAAGTAGATAGCCTCGCTAAACAACTTCAACTGCTTTCCCTGTTCACCACTTGTGATGACTATCCCACCACTCGTCAAATGGCTGGAAACTTGCTCCAACACACTCGTTTTATCAAGGTACGTTTTCCCAAATATAGCCCGCCCTTCACTATCCAACGGTTTAAGCTCTGGCAAGAAATATTTCCGGACGACAGACCTCACCCCATCCGCACCCACCAATATACGACCTTTTTCTACTGTTCCATCTGCGAACTGTACACTTACAACCCCGGTATTTTCTTCAACTTCATAGCCCTCGAATACTTTTCCGAAGGATATTTTATCTTCAAGTCCAGCCAACAATACAGATCGAAGCGTAGTACGATCAGCATTATACGGTGTTCCAGAAGGAAGAGCTCCCCTCGGAATCGTCATCTCACCGACTTCGTTCGTCAGGGCATCGAGTTTACGAGCACCATCTGCCAGCTGAGCACATGTTGCTTCGAAGGCGGTCCAGAGATGTTCAGGTAACAGGTGTTTGAGGGCGTCTGCCCCATCACCCCAGATGCGAATACGGTAACCTTGTGCTCGATAGGTCGCACTGGTATCCCGTTCAAAGATGTGGAATGGTATAGGTGGGTCGGCCTTTTGAAGGCCTTGAGCGAGGGCCAAGCCAGCAAGACCACCGCCAACGATAATGACCCGGTCAGAAAGCTGGGTTGTCATGACTGCGTTGAGTATGTGGTAATTCCGAAATAGGTATTCGATCTTTGTGCAACGTTAAGACGTTCAATTAATTTTAAGCTTGGTTTATAACGTTTAGAGCTATCTTTGGGGATGCACTTTGAAGCGAGAAGGCAGTTAGACGGCCCAGAGGCGATCTTGGCCTTGGCATTTATACTTTTCGGATTCATACTCTCGGAATTCCGTGGCCGACGTTGTTGTGAACTGAAGTCGGATATCGGGATGTCGGCTTAGTAGTTGGGCTCGGGCTTAAAGAGTGATTACGTATACTCGTTTTCAACTATTTAACTACCGGCGCCGGATTCATCTCCGATGGGTATGACTTTACGAGGCTGAAGAAACTATGTATTGTAACCGAGTCATGTAACAATTGAATAATAATTGAAAATCCCGTGTATGAGTAAGTTTTACGGCACGGGGTCCATCGAAGCTAGAGCTGGGTGTTTAGAAGACAAGGGTGGGGTTATATTTATATTTTACCATTTGGGACAGACTGACTCGTAAAACTGGTATATACGATTCTTATCTGCGCTAGTACTGTAAGATAATATAAAAATTCTTGTTATGCTGTATACTATACATGTAACGTTATATTGTAGCTACTGGATCCATAGACTACAAATGTGATCATGGGAGTAAAGGCCATTGGTTGACCAAACCGGCCTAACGTTGGTACAGTCTGTAACGTATATCCATGTCGATATGTCGGCATTTCTAACTAGATGCGTTAATACAAATCCACAGACGACGAGATTACGAGACTATACGATGTCAGTGACCAACCTGAAATACTTCATAAGATACAAGACATGGTATATGCATGTAATAGGACTAGTATCTACTTGACTTCCTCCATCTGAAAACTACTCATCGAAATGTCTTGCCTTCCGACTCGCCTTCCTCGTCCTAACCCCTCGTCTAACAGCCTGTGTAAACCCTTCTCCACCTTCCCCACCCCCTCCGACACCCATGACCCCTCCCTCATTCCAATGAATTTCAGTTCCATGAACCCAATCCAGCAATCCAATCCATCCGTATCCTCCTCTCCCACCGGACTTGTCATGTCCTCTGACCCTTCTCGCAATTCTACCAATAAAGAACGCTTTTGGGAGGTATTCGTATTGACTGTAGCATACGACATCGACAATGGACGTAATAGCCACGAATGCTAAATATGTCAAGAGGTGGAATGATAACATGACACTGGGGATGTAGATCGGTAGAAATTGCAAGAGAACGTAGTCAATGGGCGTAGTACTTGTTAAGTTAAGAGACGAGGTTGTCGATTTTGGGTGGACGTGGCTTTTGTGAAATGGTGATTTGGGGTTCTGATGGATATGACGATGAGGGTAATATATGAATAACTAATTAATATAAACTTTTCTTAGCACCGTATTCGTATATGCCTAGTATTAAGGAGTATACAAATCAATAGACGTAAACACTTACCTCTCGAAGAAGCATCGCATAAGCGATTCCCCTCGCCATATCCCACGGATAAGGGAACGTGGAAGATATTTTCAATAACCTCGGTCTCCGAAAGATGTCAACTGCGATATATTCAAGAAGACCTTGGATTCCAATTCCGAGCATGATATTCCCTATGGTCATGAAGATTGCAAACAATGTCCCACGATTGAGATTGCTCACTTCGAGGGTCTTTTTCTTTCCCCTTCCGGTGGGTACTGCAACCTTCTTTCGCGAAGCTGGTTTAGAAGTGACATATGGTTCTTTCCCTGCGAGGGACGGCAACAAGTTGTCAAACAATGTGAACACCAGCGCCGGTAGGAGAAAGAATACAAGGCGAACGAAAAATGTCGCAATTAACTCTACCCTTAGAGGGGGGTGCGACATGATCAATGTCGTCCAGGTCATCCAGAAGAAAAAGAGGTTTAATGAGCTGGCGGTGTAGTTGTTAAATAGCAGTCCGAGACCACCCAGGGAACCTATGAGGGCGGACATGCTGTGATGGGATTCGCGACGGCGGTGTCGACTGGTACCAGTTATTAATATTATCGACTTGGGAGAGAATTGCGCGTGATTTATGACTTGCGCTTAAGGAGCTTTGATATTGAAGGAGATTGTGGTCGTGGCGCAAAGGGTCGCATTCGAGCTCCTTACAGTGTCATGATCATGTATATGCATGGCCAACTGTCGAGAAATCTCCAAGTCGTCTCCAAGTCGATTGAAATGTGTTGCATGTCATCGCTAGGCGGATTCTTGGCCAGCTTTTTCCCGGTCCTGACGTCAGAACATTATGTTTGGTTCGGTGTTTTACTAGATCTCGAGAAGGAAAGAATGAAAGGAAGGAAGGAAGGAAGGGAAAGAGGTAATTAAGTAGGTGTAGCTGTATAGAAACACGGGATCACGGAGACATGACGAGACAAGCCGGACCTGGCCTTTAAATTGACGTATTCGTCAGCTATACAGCAACTATGCATATAGGTTGATAGATTGGTAAGTCCATTCAAGTTAATTAACATTGAGAAATATATTAATATCAAAGCTGATGTAGTTTAGAAAAGCGATATAATCAGGTTCATTGTGTATATCCAACCGATCGCTAATCCATGCATGCTATGCTCTGCTAAAGTTACAATTCGAACAACCGAAATGCGCGCGCTAATATCGTGAAATGCTAACTACCAAAAATTTAAGACAAGAAACAGTAATAATCAAGTATTTGCATGAAGAAAGAAAGTAAGAGGAAAGACGAGATCCAAGCAATATCCCTAATATAAACAAACAATCATTCAATAAACCCTTAACGAGACGTTCGCTGATCCAACTTGACTCTCTTCGAAGAGCTTGCACTGATAGTGCTTGTCGGGCGCTTGCTGACAAGAACCTGCATTGGCGCGATAACAGTTTCCACATCATATCCATCCCCATTCTCATCACCTCTCTTTGTCACTAAAGGAAACAAAACGACCCTGACCATAGCACCCATCTTTTCAAGTTGCTCATTGGTTAACCCTTCATTGCCCCTGTTGTTCATGCGCAAGGCCACAAAGTCGATAGGCTTGCCAATACTGTTGTCCGGAGCTTCCCACATAAAGTACTCGGCTCGCTGGGTACGCATATCAATAGAAAGCGTGACGGCAAGATTAACCATAGTGCGGAGCGAGTCCACAACTTGCTGTTGAAGGTGACCGGGTGGCGGTAGCAGACTGTGTAGTGTGCGGTAAATCTCTTGGACGACTGGCTCGGTAGCGGCTGGTAGAGCAGCCCGGAAGCTACGTCGTTGTGATAATAGCTGTAAGGTCGTAGCACGCCACATATGTACCGCGGCTGGCGGGCCTGTTGGAAGCTCGGTGTTAGTATTGATATCATATGCATGGAAGTCTAGGCAGAGTGTATACGTACCAACTTCATTGAGTTTTTCTTCTAGTGACTTGAGCTTCTTTCTTTCCTCCGCATCCAACCCGAACATGTAACGGCAGAAAATCAACTCCCAAATCAAAGACATCGTCATTGCCATGAATATTTCCCTTCTCTTGACACGGTCCCGAAGCATCGCTCTAACATCGCTTCCATCAAGAACAACACTTTCCACAAGATCTTTGACACTCTCATTCGTAATGGCGTCGAAATCGACACAGCTAGCGCTGTCAGAAAACTTTGAGAATTTGACACACCATTGCTGAACGGCATTGAATAAGTGGCCGCAAGATCTGGCAAAGAAGACTTCATCCTTGGCATCGATATATCGGTTCATCGCGTTTAGTTTGACTTGAAGTTTGCTTGCATTGTTCTTCGCAGTTGCCAGTTCTTGCTTAAGTTTCTCAATCTCTGTATCCTTGGCCTGTGTTACCGTGGCGACCTGCTGGTTGATGATGTCGTTCAGGCCGGAGCTTAGCGCTGTATACTGTTCCTGAAGGTCGGAATGCTGCTGCGATAGGCTGTGAAGTTGTTCCCTCTTTCTCTCATATTGTTGTCGTTGAGTCGCTTCGGTAGCAATAAGCTGTTCATTATTGAGTCTAAGCTGTCGGATTTGCTGCGTCAAGTTGTCATCTTCCTGCTTGTACCATTCCAGATTTTTCTTGAGCGTCTCAATCTGGCTCTCACGCTCGCTAACTGCAAGGGATCTGATTTCAAGAGCTTCGACGAGGGCGGATCGTTCCTGGAGGTGTTTGTAAACCACAGCTTCCATTTTCTTTGAAGAAGTGTTAGAATCTTGCTGCAATCGTGCCAGTTCACCGGATAGTTGTGAATTTTGCTCGTTGAGGGTCCGTAGCCGGGTTTCAAGATCCAACATTTGAAGAGACTGACGCTTGCGAATGTTCACGCTTACTGGCCGCTCCGGCGAGATCGGGATGGCAGAAGTATCCCCATATGCCTCCTGTAAAGATCCGTGAGTGTTAGTAAAAATTCCAATATGTCGTAAAATATAGGGGTAGCGTACAAAAACCTCTTTGTTGTCATACTCCAGTGACCTTTCTTTTCCTTTTCTTGAACCACTGGGAATTGCGGGTGTATCAAATTGAAACGTAGAACCAGGGGTCGTCATTGCATTTGGAGAACTGATATTGGACGCTGCACGGGCACGGGTGTTCGGCGTTTGGTTTCTAGGTCTGGGAACAGGAGTTGGGGAAGTTATCGTAGAGATGCTGCCTTCCACGCTAGATCGAAACTCTTCCCTTAACGGTTCCATAGTTCCTCGTTTCTTGAGGATAGTCAAGATTGGTGGGGTTGCTTTGGGGCTGCCTGGCCGAGGAGTTGTATTTGACGAGCTTCCGGTGTCAACAATAGCAGAAGGAATAACAGCGACGCCCTCCTTTAGGGGTTCAAGGTCCGCTCCAACTGAGGTATACCGCCTGCCTGAGCTACGACCGGCAGAGCCAGCCGAGGTGGACAGCCGACGAAGGCGAGGAGTAGTTTTCGCAGTTTCGGGAGATTTAGCTAGCGGTGCGAGTTCGGGTGACGTTTCAGGGGACGGGTAAGCCCCTTGAATAGTATTGACACTTCGTCTACCAGCCGAACCTCGACCAGCCGAGCCTCGCGACCGTGGAGTCTGACGGGGTTGGGAAGACGGCCCAGGAGTTGGGCTTGTTGGGTTTGACTTCTTCTGGAAATACTGGGAAAGAGGCTGTGGGGCTTTCTGAGTTGGAGTCGGAGTAGTACCTGCCGAGGTGCTGCTGCCTGAAAAGAGTAGCGAAAGCGCTTTGTTGTCCGCTTCTGTGAACGTATCGCGACGGATTGGAGGACGACGTGGAGCTTTTACCGGGGAAGGCTTGATGGAAGGCGGCAGCTGCTGGATCGGTGACGGCGGGGGAAGTTCGATACCTGGTTCGAGTGGTGATACCGAGCTAACGCCAGAGAGTGAGATCGTCGACGAACGTGCGGATGATACCTCAGAGTAGATACTTTCAGCTGTAGAAGGTATAGCAAGAGCCGGTAGAGGTATTCTCCTGTTAGGCAAGGAGCTGGACTTGGATGCTTTTGGTTTGGAAGGGACCGGTGAGGTTTCTCTGTATGGTGTATCAAGGCCTTCGATACCAAGTCCGATTCCGCGAATATTAGACTGCGCCCCAGGGAAAAGGTTGCGATTAATTGGCCGTATTAGCTTCGGAACTGGCGCAGGAAGGTCGGTAGGCCCTAGCTCTGGCGAAAAGAAAAGATCCCGTTCGTCTGCACGTGTGCTGGCCTCAACTGGGGCAGGCCTATCTTCAAGGCTGTAGTCGTTGAATGTCGGGGAGGGGACAACACTGGAGGGCCGTGAAAGGTCGCTATTGTCTAGTGAGCCGTCTGTGTCTTCGGGGTAGTAAACACTGATGTCGACAGTTGGCGCTTCTCCGAATTTTTCTTCTGACCATGAAACTTCGATCGTTCCAGTCTCCTGGTCGAAATGAACGTCGACGCCTGCGGCCGCGAGAACCTCTTTCTCGGATGTGGCGATGTCAAGAGCTCCCTGAGCATACTCTTGGATAGAGAGTCGGCGCCGTTGCCTTTGTCGTTGGGTCCCTGAAGATGGGCGCCTTGAGCGAAGGGAGGATACACCTGAAAGCGGGGATACTGATACGTGGCGGGGAGAGAAAACGCTGACCGTGTCCCCAGGCTCTTCGATTTCGTTAGGTGTGATAGAATTGAAGTCACGCGGGATTCTTGGAGGTTGTAGACTATCTGCGGGCTCGCCCTCGTTGGCGGGCTCTAAGGCCGCGCGTGGGATTACTATAGATAAGGAAGAAAAGGATTGGTTAGGACTGTAGACTTTGTCGGGACTCCTTCCCGCTAACCAAAAAGGTTAGAAACAAAAAATGGTGGGGCTGGGCGACTTACATGCCAAGGCATTTTTGGGGCTGGATGATGGCAGGGATGGTGACGCATGGGAAGGCGGGCCTGGGAAGTGTCAGCCAACCATCAAAAACAAGCAATGGTAATTGAAAGATGAACTTACCAATCAAAGGCGAGATATTTGGACTAGTCGTAGCGCTAAACGCTTCTTGAAACACGGTTTTAGAGGGAAGCGGCGTTGGAGCATCTGCGTAGGAAGATGTTGGACGGCTCTTTGGAAGGTCGCGACTTTGCTTTGGTGCCTCTTTATCCCGGAGACTTGTGGCGGATGGATGCTGGCTTATTGGCAATACAAGGTCGCGGGGTAATCGGCGAGGCGATGGTCGTGGAGTCAAATCGCTTTCCTCTTCATCCTCTGTTGTTATTTTCGGCGTAGTCGAACGAGTGAGCGATAGTTGCGGATACAGGCTGGGCTCGTGAGGTGACGCTAGGACGTATGACGTTGGCGGCTGGCTATGTAGAAGCTCCCGAGGTAGCGGTTGTTCGGAATATGGCAGGAACATTTCTTCTGATTCATCGTCTGTTTGATAAAATGAAGATGCCCTACTCAATGGCAAACCTCGGCTTTGATGACCTCCGTGAGCATAATGAGTATGAGATGTTGTTGACCGGCTTTCAGGAAGATATCTTGGTGCACTGTCTTCCTCTGGATCCAAAGATGAATGAACTGCCTCCTCAAAATAAGCTGATGAAGTTCTACTGAGTGGCAAATTCCTGGTATCGTAGTCGTCGGTTGCACACCGATAGGTCTGTGAGGTTGTCGGCCGGCTTTCTGGAAGATCAGCAGTGGGTTCTTGTTTTCGTACTTCAGATTGCTGATTTTGGGAGGTTGATGCCTCGTGCAGATAGAGAGACGACTGCCTACTAATCGGTAAGTGGACATTGCTTTGATACGGGCTAGTGGCTTTGATTGTATGTGAAGAGGAAGGCCTGCTTTCATTATCGTCAAACGAAGGGATATCGTCCTCGGAACCGGTCGGGTAATCTGGTGCCCGCTGAAAGAAAATCGATGATTGTCTGCTTAGTGGTAACTCCTTTACTAAATTAGTCTGGTCGATAGAGAGACGAGAATCTGTAGACATGTTTTCACTTTGAGGAAGGCCAGGGATATCTCCGAAAAGAGTACGCGCTAGCGCTAAAGATTCGGCATATGGCGAAGTTGCCCTCGAAGTTGGTATCTGTGATAGACCAAGCCCCAAGTAAGGAATATAGACCTCGTCCAGAGAGGGCGAAGAGACACCATCGCGCAAACCTGGTAGACTGTATAGAGATTTAACGTCGTTGTCGCTCGTTGGATTTTCATACTCAGAAGTAGCCCTTGAAACAGGTAACTGCGCATCGAAGGTTGTTTGGTTGACTATTCCGCCTGGCAGCCTGATTGTTGATGCCTCTGAGCGCAAGGATTCTGTTTGTGGCGGTAGCAAATTATCATCAAACTCGCGGGTCGGGGGAACACCATCACTGGCTTGGTACTCTGATTCTTTGACAGTATGTGGCAGGGACACGGTGCTACCCCTTCTTTTTTGGACAAAGAGGTACTCGCCACTGCCTTCGGAGCTGGGAGACGGTAGCTGCAAATTGTGAGGCTCTTCGGTGTTGCGAGGGGATACGGCGCCTAGCGGAATACGATAGGCGGACTCTTGTCTGGACCCTGGCAGTGAACATACGGTTTCCCATATTCCTCGCCCAAGTTGCTCGATGTCAAGACTATCTTCATCATCGCTGTCCTCAGGTAACGGATCCACAGCAATTGACTTAGGGGCGGACAGATAGGCATCGTGAAGAGAGTACATTGAAGATACCCGCGACTCTGGAAGCCTGGGCGGCGCGATCGAGGGTGGTGCAAACATATTGTCAATTTCCTCGTACGCTTCGCTGTCGCTCTCTGGAAGGTAATCGTCGAAATCATCGAAATCAAATGCCGGACGGGACTCAACTTCCATTTCATTTCCACAGGTATTAACGGAGACCGCTCTGCTAATCGGAAGGGTGAACTGTGGCACCTCAGCAACGGGAGTAACTGGTCCATACAAGGAAGGAGCGATGCTCGGGGGGAGGTATTCTGGCAGATATTGGGTCTCATCGTGGACCTGCAATTGGGATTGCACTTCAGTTTCGAGATCTTGAAGGCCGAACGTGTACTCTGAAGCGATATCTGAGAAAGGTAGTTGAACTGAACCACAAGCATTGTGGCCAGGCAGAATTGAGGCAGGCGAAGAAGCGCGGCTGTTAAGTATTGGCTGCCAGCTTGGATTTTCTGTTGCTTCTATTACGTGGTCCTCCTGCAGTGGCTCTGACAAGGTATCACTAAGCTGGCCATCTGGAGGTGCACTGATGAATGCACGACGGGAAACCGGCAAGTTTGTCTCTGGTTGACGAGGGGGGAGCGGCTCGGTAATGTAGCTCGCCACAGATAGTATTTCTAGTGATTCATTCTTATTGGGCAATTGTTCCGGCAAGGGTAACGGCGGCGAGATAGATTTTGTGAGTGGCAGCTCGACCTCTGGAATGATAGGAGAAATCTTCGGGGAAATTTTTGGAGAAAGTGGTAGCTGAATCGAAAATGGAATCTGCAAAGTAAAGTGCGGAGCTAAGACTGGAGACGCTAAGGGCGATACGGGAAGGGGTATAAATAGGAAGTCTTGTACAGTCTGGGATTCTGGCGTCAGGCGACCTGCAATAGGCGGGGCCGGTGGTTCGTTGAGTTCAACCACGTTGTTGACACTTGCCGGACCAATAGTGGGCTCGCTCTCGGCTTCGATAGGATTTCCGTCTTTGTCATATAATATATCCCCGATGGGGGGGATCGGATTTCCATCTCTGTCGTAAGTAACAGGATCTGTAAAAATCCCAAGTCCCATTAAAGGTTCTAGATTTAGGGTGTCAGCGTATGAAAATCGAAAATGTGGTCTTGGTGCCATACCTCGCGTAGGCGTTTGTGGGTATTCAAGAGAGCCGGTTCTCTCATGTACAATTTCCGGTCTATCATCGAATTCGAACCCGTCTTGACTCGTTTTTGGTGTCCCATCCTCTGACCACGACGCAAGACTTAGTAGTGATTCCCGCCGATTATCTTCAACTTGGCGATGTCCAGCCCATGCGATTGAATGCAAACTTTCGCGCGATGGCCGGGGAAGAATTGAATGTTGGAAATCAGAGTTGTGTGACGAAACAGAAGATCTGACAGAACCTGCGTATGAAGATACGTGAAACAGCGAGGCTCTGTCGTAGTAGGGCAGGCGGTGGTGTTCCGGGCTGTCATCGACACCCACAACTGAGAAACGGTATTTGCTGGGGGCGGGACTATCGGCGGAACTTTCGTAGGATTCGACATCTGATCCAGAAGCTGATTCAGCTAAAGAAAGCAAAGCCGCGGCTTCTGCCAGTCGTCTTCGACGGCTTTCTTGCTCAACATCACGGTCAAGTTTCCGTTGGTTCTCAAGGGCGGTTTGTTGCTCTCTCGTCTCGATAATTTCGCGCTCAAGCTCCTCACGACGAACCGATTCTTTGGCACGCTCTTTGTCTTCCTTCCGTTCGAGAAGGATTGCATGGTCGAGTTCTCGATTGTGGATCTCCGCGGCTAGCCTTTGGATTTCTTCCTTCCTTTGCTGCTCAGCGATCTCGTTGCTCTCTAAGATTGCGATCCGTTCAACTTCGCGCCTTTGGATCTCATCCGCGAGTCTTTGAATTTCAGCCTGGCGTTGTGCTTCAATGATTCTCTGCTGCTCCAAAAGCTCGGCGCGCTCGGTTTCCCGTCGCTGGAGTTCAAGTACAAGCCGTCGGATTTCTTCTTTTCGCTGCTGCTCTCGTTCCAAGAAAGCGGCGCGTTCTTGAGCGAGTTCATATTCTCTTTTCCGCTCTTCTTCCTGACGTCGGCGTTCATTTTCGTACTCTTCGCGCCGTTTCCGGTCTGCTTCTTTCTTCCTCTCAATTGCTAAAATCATATCTTCCTGTCGATTCTTGTCTCGGAGCTCAATTTCCTTTTCATATCGCTTATCTTGCTCCCTTTGGACTAGGTACTGCTGGTAAAGGAACATATCATTGTCGTAACGCTCCTTTTCGCCCATCTCGTTGAACAGTTTTTGTTCTCGTTCGTATCGGTCCACCCGCTCTTGATAGAGCAGGTACAACCTCTGACGTTCTTTAGCGGCGGCATCTTCGTCTTGTTGTTCAAGGATATCGAGAGCACGTTGCTCGCGATCTAGACGACTTGCACGCTCTAGTTCAACTTCAAATCGTTGTTTCTCGGGCGATTTTTCTTCCAGGCGCTGGGCGACTGGAGATTCTGGGTCGAACGGCTCATACAAATGTGACTGCTTAGGAGATCCTAGGTTTTGCGAACTATCCCTTGGGAGATAGTCATGCGTAGGAATGTATCGCGGATGTTCGGGTTTCAGTGCGACCTCATAGCTGGATGAGTTTTCTGTTGGGGTAGCGTCGGGCTGATGGATGTATTCACGGGAGTTCTCGATATTGTCGTCAGATGGGATAAGTGTTACATCCGTGGGCTCTGGTAAGCGAATGCGCCGGCGTGAACGAACAATCTGTTGTGCAGAGGTAGCTTTGGAGCGCTGTATTGAGTCTTGTCGAAGAGATGGAGAGGCTCGGAAGGGCAATTTTCGTCGGCGTTCCCGTTTTCGGTGACGCTTGGGTTGGGATTCCGGCTTAACTAGTACCAACGGAATTTCTGGAACCTGTGGAGGGATTTGAAGCAATTCTTTTCCGAGCTCGATCGAAGGTGGTGCGTTTCCAAATTCTCTTGGGGACGATGCATTCGTTGGCCCAGTCGGAGTTGGTGCTTTTGTTGGCCTTCGAGGAGATTGCTCTTTCACTAGTCTTGTAGGAGAAGGTTCCCTTGCTGGTCTTCTCGGTGATAGTTCCTTGTGCAGTCTTCTCGTTTTTGGTTGCTCGGTAACGAGTGGCGTTGGGGGAAGCGAGGCTATGGCTGTAGCACGAGGCGGGGATTGAGACCAAGCTCGAAATATTTTGGCTGGATTGAAGGTAGCTGGAAGTTGGTAGACATCGCTTTTCTTAGAACTGTATTGGAGATATTCCACTGGTAGGGGTACTTCAGCGACTGCTAGGTCTCGCTCTTGCTTGCGACCTCGTTCCTGGCTTCGCTGAATAGCTTCAAACGCTGTTTGCAGGAAGCTTGCTTTAGTATGAGACTCTGAGCGCCGTCGATGGGGCCTTTCTTCCTTTACAATCTCTTCTCGGGCAATTTCTGTTGTCCTCTTGTCAGCCGTGAATTTTGTTCTACGAGGCCCTGGGGATACTGATCGAGCTTTGTGCGGCTTTGGCGAGACTGAACGGGCTTTTTGTCGGGACCTCAAAGTTTCGATTAGAGGCAACTTCTCGGGAGATCGGGCTAGTGGTTTCTCGGGTAGCTTCTCGGGAGCTTTCACAGGCAAAATCTCATTTAGGACTGGAGTAATTTTCGTAGATGGTCTTTCGAATGATGATTCCACCGTAGGGGTTCGCTTGACCGGCGACACGGATCGAGGTTTGGATCGTTGCTTTGGAGTTTTTACAGGAGGCAACTTCTCTGGCAAAGGCTCGATTTTACGTGTTCGATTGATTGGGGACTCTGAGCGAGGTCTAGGCGACTTCGTCGGAACAGTGGTGCGAGACTTCCGTTCGGGTGATGGTAGCGCACTCCTGCGAGAGGTTTTCTCGGGCTTCACAGGGCTCGGTGACCTTGCGGGCTTCTTACCGGCTCCTTGCTGGCTATCATTCCTGGAAAACCAAGAAGCAATTGCGGGAAACAACGGTGTTGTCGCGGATTTAGGGGAATCAGTGCGCATTGCATCCCTTGACTTTACCGTTTCCTGGCGTTTGGAGCTTATATCAGTGAGGAGGGGGGTTGGCGGCTCTGGGGCCGGTTTTCGACGCTGCGGAGAAACAGACCGGGCCAGGGGCTTCCGACGCTGTGGAGATACAGACCGAGCTAGGGGTTTTCGCGGCCGTGCCTCTTTCCGTAAATTTGGCAGCTTGTGCTCCTTCACTTCATTTCTGTCGACCAAGTCACGCGCAGAAGTAATTGTATCGATAGACCTACGCCTGCGAGGGGCAGGTGCAGTTTTCTTTGATGCTCGTGATATCCGTCGGTCTTCTTCAGCATCTCGGCTGGGCTTGGCATGAGAGTCAAGAATATTTTTGGCGATCCGAGTAATCGGTACAATAGCGATGGCTGCTCGAGCTGTTGAAGGAATTCGTTCCGCCTCTTTGTCCACGGTTAAAGCTTTAGGCTTCGATATTTTCTCAGGGATAGCTTCAGTTAACGGACTATTCGGTATGTCCTTGACACGGGGTGACTTAGGTTCTAAGACTTCTCGGGAGGTGATTTCACTGGATGGGGCTTTGGATTGAGGTAATTCTCTAGATGCAGTAACACTCGTCTTCCGGGACCTTGGTGGCAAAGTCTCTACTACGGGAGACTTGGATTTCGTGGCCTCCGTGAGCGCGGTTGGCTGCGTGACTAGATCTTTGGGCACAACAACTTCAGTGACAGCGGATTTCAGCTTAGCCGTATCCTTCGCATCAACCAGTTTCACAGCGTCAGCGGGGGTAGTTTCAGAAAAAGTTGCAGGTGAAGATTCCACGATGACGTTCTTGAGCTTCGGTAGTTCAGCCGTAGGGAAAATGTCGAAAAAGGAGGCTTTACCAAGACCAACCATCGGAGATTTCAGAGGGGCGTTAGGTTTAGATATGGATGGTTCGGATTTGGATGACCTGCGTGGTGCAGTCTTGATTGTAGGCAATATCGGCTTCGTACTTTCATTGGAAGTAAGTAGTTCAGCTGCGAATATCTCACGCGAAGTATCATCTACCATAGGAGACCCAGGCTTCTTGGCGTCTTTAAGAGTAGGAGAGGTGACTTTAGGCTTAGCAACTGAAACCCTCCTTGCGGGCACCGGGGCATCTGTGGGCTTCGGATCCAAAATTATATTCCGTGAGCGTTCCGTGGCTGGAGGTGCAGTTTTCGGTTGCGGTTGCGGGACAATATCCACGACCTCCTTGCTAATGTGAGATACCGTTTCTGGGGCAGCTATGACCGATTGCTCTTTAGGCTTCGCCAAGGGCACTGAGTCGGTTATCAAAACATTATTGGCTAGCGGCTTCTGTTTCGAGGATGCGGTGACAGAGGCTCTTCGTTTGGAGGTCTTTTCGACGGCTGGCTCTATCGTAGTCTTTAGAGCTGGCGCCTGAGACGAAGGCGGCAAGATATCTTCGATGTCGACCAGCTCCCTTGTTCGAGGTTCCGAAACCGATGGTTCAATCATTCCTGTCTCAGTTGACTGGGTAACTTCATTATTAGGGGTAGATTTCTTCGTCTTTTTCGCCACATTTTGGTATGCAGACGGCCTGAAAAGAGGCGGGAGGAAGAAATTTCCACGAAGACCTGTAGTTTTAGCTTCCTTCTGCTGATCTGGAGTTCCCTTAGTTTTGGCGGTGTTATCAGCAACCGAGTTCCTTTGGCGAGTCTTAGGGACCTTTTTCGGAACCTCTTGCGAGGCACTAGGAACGGAAACTCGTCGCGCTGGGGTATTTTCACTAACGATCGAAGATTCTCCGGTTGTTTCTAGGGTAGTGGCATCTCCCGACGCTTCTTCTGGCAAGTATGTCGGTGGCGGACCAGAGGGAGCAGCGGAAGTGGGTGTATAATATGTCGAAGGATCATCATCTGGGATCTCTCTGCTCTGGCCAAAACTTTCGCCGGGAAGATCAGTGAGCTCTCTTGTGAGTTGGGTTTTATCAGTTGGAGAGAGGCATGGGTTTCCTGGCTCAGTGATTGGCATTGAATCGCGAACACGCCTCAGCTTAGCACTACCAGCAGTCGTAGGGACAGACCACGTATCGGATTCCACAGGGCTGGTTTCTCCATCATCCGGAACGTATTCACGGAGTTCATGGGTTTCCGAAAATCTAACCACCTTTGAAGGACCGACAATACTCTCTGGAGGGGAAGTGGGTCTGTAAAGTTCTGAATCGGAGCCAGCATCACTATCACTATAGTAGTCGGACTCAACGCCTTCGTCCTCAAATTTCGCCGTAACCACGGGGATGTTTAATTGACTATCACGTTGGAAGTTTGGGCTTTGTTCTAGAGTCGTAGGATGTGCCGGGATAAAAGAGTCTTCGACGATACGATATTGCCTTGGGGACGGGGAAGCTGAAGGTTCGTTGAAAGCTTGACCAGGAAGGGAATGTTCAAAGGCGTGACCATCCTCAGTGGAGAGGAGGGGTGATGATCCAATTTCAACTTTTGGGAAGCCATCTGAGGTTGGAGACTCAGGAGGAAGGATACAAGGCGGCTCTGGTGATTCCTCGGCATCCGAAAACCCTTCATCGAAGGGTTGTAACCGTTCAAGCGAGCGTTGGTCATGGATACTTGTCCAGGTAGGACTCCTTGGGGTAAATGCTTCGAGTTCAGAGTCGGCACCGCTAGTAAGATGATATTCTTCAAATGGCAGGTGCACTTCCACATCATCACGTTGATAGGTTGAGGGTAATCCAGGGCTGGGGCTTGTCTGTTTGAAAGTATCACCCTGAATTAGTTCTTGAAACGCATCAAAAGTTTCCTCAGATGAGGGTGATTGTGCTCTAGTAATTGCAGGAGATGAAGTCCGTGATACCTCAGGGAGTGGCTTAGAAAACTGAGTAGATGGACTACTGTAAGAGATCGTAGTAGGATTCGATCCTAAGGGAGAGGGTAGGGTATATTGTTCTTCTAGTGCTGGCAAGAGATCTCTATACATGGGAGACTCCGGGAGAACTTCGGTTGGGTAAGATGGTAGTAGTCCTGCCGATTCACGAGCTTCGGGGCTACCTCTACTTTCGATATCTGTACTTGTTTCTGAGACTCTTCGCCAACTCCTACGAGCTTCCATAGTGGAGGGAGACTCAAATCGCGGGAATACTTCGTCGATGACATCAACATCTGAAGGCGACAATATCTCCCGTAGTAGAGGAGTAGTTGATGGGAAAACTTCATCAATGACATTAGTTTCAGTGTTAGCTTCGGATTCATGCTCTGGAAAGGTAATAGTGATGCCTCTCGATGGACGAGGCACAGAGACCGTGGTATCTGGAGTTGAAATGCGACTCTCAAGCTCCTCCTCAATTGCTTCATGCTTTCTTGTGGAAGTCCATACAGGCGGTGGTGTCGAAGAAATAATGTGAGACGGATCCTCTAAAGGCCATTGCATTTCCCGAATTTGGGGAGGCTCATACACGGATTCGTTCCATGGGCGTTCAGGCTTAGCTGCTGGCTCAAACAAGGGAGAGCTAGGGAGCTCTGGCAGGTCGGAGTAACCAAGCCAATCTCGTGGGTCAGAGACAATTGAACTCGTATCAAATGATTCGACAGCATCTTGAGGACTTGAAAGATATAGAGCGGGAACAGGCTCCTCAATCACCGGCGCTTCATACTGTATGCCCGCAAAGTTTGTTGCAGGAGGGACACCACCAGCAGATCCGTTATCCAGAGAAGTCCCTTCGGAAAATGTATCATAATCCGTCGACATCGGTAACCGGGGAAGTAGGGGAACGTTTTCAAAGTGAGCTCTAGGTAGGTCTCTATTGATACCACTCTCAAAAGTCATAGATCTAGGGCGTGCAGAAGATACTTGGTCCGGAAGGGACTCCTCGGGTTGAGAAACACTAGCACTTAGGGCACCTCTAAGGGATCCCGAGCTGTCCATGCGTTCGCTATGCGCAGCTATTGGGTCCGAGTCCAGTATATAATCTGTAATATCGAGATCCCTGTATATTGGTTCCTGGGCTGACGATGTAGATGGAGACCTGACCAAGAAGTTTTGGACGTCGATTTCGCTCGCGCCTGGCAAAGGCATTGAGACGTGCTCTGGAGTGTCATGGACGAGAAAGTCATTGGCATCAGCAATTTCCACGGCCGAAGGAACTGAACTTTTCTTGTCTTTTTCATTGTTGTGATCAAGAAAGTTAGTATTGACTCGATGTAGTGGAATGCTCAGCTTATATGGTTCGTGGGGAGGATTTCTGCTCTCGTATGGAGATGTCTCGATGGGCAGAATACTTGGTGACCCGGGGTAGCTATATGGTAGATTCGCCACTTCATGATGGATATTCCCAAGAGAAAAACCAGGAGCAACAGATCTTTGAATGGGGGAAGCTGGTAAAGGGATATTTTCAAGCAGTGTTGCGACACCACAGATAGATGAGGATAATTCTTCGTTGATAGTAAAGGATTTGTCGATGGGCGCAAGCGAAACAACGGATTCTGCATCCAGTCCAATTGCCTGATCAATGTAGGGGGAATCGAAAGCGGACACAGGAATATGTGGGTCGTGAGAAATATCCAATTCCAGAAGATGTTCAGATCCGCGAAAAGTAGGACTATTTGGAACTGGGGGCAAAGTGACAGCGATGGCTGGTAGAAGAACTGGTGAAGTGATGGGTGTTGCAACTGCGCTATCTAAAGGCGAATCAAGGTTCGAATGAGGCAGCAGGTGAGCCTCCCAGAGGACTGTGAACTCTTGCTGAACAGGTGTCGACGCAACAGTGGGAGGAAGTGATGGGAAATAATCTTCCAGAGCAATTGGCATGGGCGGCACAGATGATTGAGGTTCAGCCAGTTGAATTTGTGTGACAGAACTTTTCGATAGAGCGCGGGAGAGAGGGAGAGAGAATGCAACTTCGGCAGCATCATCATCAGTAGGCCACACGAAGGACTGTGAGCTAGGCGATCCAGGAAGAAGTACATCCACATCATTTTCTACGACATGCTTATACATTGGTGAGAGTAGAGTTGACCGGCTTCTGTTTTCCTTGTCGGAATCAGATACTGACCGAGAAGGCGGCAATTGACGGGCCTGCGCACAATCCAATTCTTCATCCGAGCCAATACTGCTAAGGTGGCTTGATGGCAGCGCTACAGGTACGAAGGAGCGAGGTAACTGAGTTTCTGGAGACCAAGGCTCTGGACCGTCCATAACTACACCAGTTTCAGCTTCCACACCAGCTCCGAAACCAAGGGTATAATGCGAATTTGAGGGGCTCCGGGGTAATTCTGCATCACTAGATTCTTGCGGGATTGATTGAAGGGATAGCGCTGTTCTGGGACTTGTGGGAAGGGGTACTATTGTGTCGGCAGTATCGGACTCATCACGATCAACGATCTCAGAAGCTGCCCCGAGAGAAACTGTCGTGAGCGCACTGTCTGGAAGCGCTATGTCATAGTGGCCCTCGATTCGATCGCTGAAACTCGGGATTGAAGATGCCGGCGAACGAGGCAAAATGTGCTGATGTTCAAGTAAAGCTTCTTCGGTAACAGCTCTTTCAATGGGTACCTCAATAATAGGATCAACTGCTGAAAGGATTGACTGCGCTGGCAGAGCAAGAAAGTTTGGCGGGATTAAGTTGATACCAACGTCTTTTAGACTTGGAGGTAGCGCCGGACTTTCAGGGAGCGCTGTTGGTACTTGGGCTAAAATAATCGTGCGGCCTGGCCTGTCCTCATACGTCGAGGTATATTGACTGATGATATCGACGGGACGCAGGCGTTCTCGTGGAGTCTGGATCGGGTTCCAACTAAGTTCCGATGAAGGAAGCTCAACTGCATCGAAAGCCTGGGCCAGACAATCATCGTCCCGCAGGCTATAGTTCTCCGTGCTAATTTTCGGCAGGACCGGGGGACTTGGCAACATTTCAGCGGCCCGTTCCGTCGCCGCTCTGCTTACAGGCAATCCAAATGTTTCCTCACCAAAATGAGTTGTGAACACAACCGAGGATGCCGGACTCGACGCGATACTGTGCGGGAGTTTGACATCACGAGGCAAGTCGAATGGCTGGAAGTTGTCGATACGCGAGCTCGCTTCGTAGACGGACTCTGGACGGCTGCTCGGAATGTTTCGAGGCAAATTGTTACGGTTATCTTCAAAAATTGCGGATAGGGGAGGAAGACTTTCAGGAAGCGCGATGGCTTCCCCAATGCGGTTAGCGCCAAGATACTCGAAATTATAGCGAGGAGTACTCCGTAAGTCATCGGATTCAACAACATCATCCACACCGCGAGGAACTTCCACCAAAGTTGGAGGCCGGCTTGGCGGGAGGTCATGCTGTAAATCGTTATGAGGATATGGCAGCCGAGGTGAGACTGGCTCCGACGCTGGGAGATTTTTTTGAAATGCATTCTCTGCACAATTCTTAAGAACCAAGGGTGCTTTGTGCAACATCGGTTCTCTAATGAGGGAAGCGGGCAAACCAGCTGCATGAGGGATAACATCAAAGCCACGGATATCTGCGATAATAGACGAAATCGGACTGTTTGGTAACGTAAGGGCGGCTGCGAAATCGGGATTTTCGATATCCATATCGCGACAGCCACCTTCCCTAAGCCCCGAAGCAGGTTGAGATTGTTCATCGTGGTCAACCGAACGTCCAGCCGCCTCAGATACGCCGCGCGGGAGCCCGTGCGATGGTTCTCCTCGTGTGCAAGGTGAAACTGGACGGCTGAGAGGTAATTGAGGAACATTTACAGCACCAGATTTGTCCCAAGCGGCCTCAAAAATTGTAAGAGGGCTTGTTGGAAGTATTGGGTAAACCTCAGCTTGTACTGTTTGACCCTCTTCGAAAGTTGCTTCTCGTTCAAGCTCCAAGACGGAAATTGCTTTCTGGCGTAGCAGAGGTGCCACAACCGCAATGGGTGCAACCATAGGGCTGGTTTCACGACTCGTAGGAAGCTCATGATAAAACCCATAGCCGCCTCCCGGACCTAGCGTAATACCTTCAGCCGGGATAAAGTAGGATGCCGGAGAGTTTGGGAGACTGGACAATTCAATGGGCTTGGGTTCCGTAGCTCTATCAGCCTTCGTAGTAGGAACGCCATTAAGAACAATTAACGAAACAGCGCGGGAAACAGACTGGCTAATTGGCAACGCAATATCGGGTTGATCGACTGGCACGTAGGATTTCAAGGTTTGGAGAGATGGGGATAATGGCAGGCTTGGCAAAGTATCGATGAGTACTTCCGATGATTGATGCCCACCAACAGGCTCTTGAGTCTCCACTTGGGATAAGTTACGGGCCAATGGCTCTAAACTCACGGGCAGAAGCAGAGGGCTTGTCTGATGACTCGGTGGGAGCGTATCATAGTAAGGCGTCCGGGAAGCACTATGCGCTGGCGGAAGAATAGATCTTGGTGAAATTGGAAGTTCTAGCATATACTGTGGCGATCCTAGGAACTGAAGGGCGGCACCTTCCACGCCTTCGAAAGATATCGGTGTGAGAGGCCTTGAATATGGAAGAGCATGGAGCCCAGCGGCTTTAGGGCGTATCTCGGAAAGCGATAAATCAGATTCCATGTCGGAGAGAGGTAGTGGTACGGATTCCGGGCCGAGTTCGGGCGCTACTATTTCGACGGGTTCTTCCGTAGGCGTTCGAAGTGCATCATATCTCAAGGTTTCGGGGAGCGAAGGGCACGATTGGATTGGTAATTCAACTCCACCAAGTCCAACCGAAGATGCAACCGACGGTGGAAGATTTGGTAAGTCGGCAATGGCAGGAGTACCAATGGAATATCCCCGCGATATTGGTCGCTCCAGTTCAGAATTGACATCCCAGGCGCTGTATGTAGAGGAACCGTGAGAAGTTTCAGGCGGAATGACGTTTAACCCCAAGTCCAACTTAGGTGAGGATGGTGTTGAATCGGGCAATTGATTGAGAAAAGCTTCAGATGTCGGCTTTACAGACCCTGGGTATGCACAATCTTCAGCAGAGGGTACAGAGAACTCGCTCGATGGAAGGGCAGGGCAAAACGTGACTGGTTGTCCTATTGGCTCGAGTGAAATGACGGAATCAGTGGCGTCAGCTGGTAAGGCGAACTGGTCCGCGACGGTAGATGGTGTTTTAAGAGCCCCAGCATTGGATAGAGCGTTGAATTCCGATTGAGACTCTGCGAAGTTTCGGGATGGAAGAGAATAAAAAGAAATGTCGATATTCCCCGGAGCGAAATGTAGATGAGAAGTCCCTGCTGGGGAGTGGGGCAGGACTATGCCTTCCGCCAAGACGACTGGTGATTGGGTCTCACGAGTTATTGGTTCGGCTTCCAGGGACAGGGCACGGGCGCTACCGGGTAAACCTGCAGACTCAAGTCCTGCAGATGCGGCATATAGAACTGCCACGTCATTTGCAGGAAACCTGGTGGTCTCAAAAATTTCGCGACTCTTGGGTTTTAGGGGACCGGGATCTGGGAGCTGGGTGTTGATTTCTCTCTCCGTTAGGAATATTGGTACTTCGACCTCAGGGCGAGCGTCACTTCGACTAGCCGTAGAGACTGAAATGGTTGACGAAGGACGGCTGTACGGTAGTATAGGCAAAGGTTCGGTTCCGACAGGAAGCGCAAATGAAGATCGCCTACTAAGAGGTAGACTTAGGGCAGGCTCATTGTCGACCGGCGCTCCAGAATTTTGACACAAAAAACGGCCAAAACTGGTTTCTGGGGACGCGCTGATACCTTCGGGAATATGGGCCGCATCCTGGTAAGTTGAATAGCTATCGGACTCTGGGAAGCTAAACCATTGATTCATATTTGAGCCATATTTGATGTCAATGGATTCCGAAGAGGAGGGTAGACTGTCGGGGAGATCGTAAATCGCAGAATCTCGCAGGATATCTGGTATCCCCAGCGATTCTGGTGGCAGCCGGTACTCTGGGAGAAGAAGAGGAGAATATAGAGATGTACGTGCATCTGCATGCTGCTCTAATATGTTACCTTCGCATGATTGGACTGAGAGCCTCGGGCTCGAAGCGAAGCTCCGTGGGAGCACGGGAAACACAAACGGCACCTCTTCGGCATCCCGTTGAGCCAACCCATGTGCCTCTGTAGCGTTTGCAATTGTTGACGTGGGCATCTGCGTTCGCCTTTCCGGGGCCGCACTTTCGGAGAAACTTGATTGCGCGGCTAGTTTTGATATCTCATGGCATAGAGGTGGCGTTACCGGACGGCTGATTGGCAGACAATACGGCTGCTCATAGATTGAAAAGGGTAGGCTAACGACCTCGGGAGTCTGGGGCCGACTTTGAGGAAGTTGAAATGACGCAAAGTCATGCTCAATGGATTTTTTCCGCTCGAGTAGCTCTTCCGCGACATCAGCAGGGTTTGTTGGCGTTACAGGTCTGCTTTCCGGAAGACTATGTGTTACGGCGAAGTGTTTCGTTCCTAGAAACCGAACCTCGCTATCGAGAGGAAAGAAAGTACTCTTAGTGCTCTGCAAAGCTGGTAGCTCGTCTTCTGTATCAACTATGATTGAGGCTGGTTCTATGATACCCCTATACAGAGCAGAATTTGAATGTGAAGCAGTTTCCGAGAAATTTGTATTGAGGTTCATGAAGGAGTTTGGCCGTCGTGTATCGGAGATTAAAAAACGATCCGTAGTAACAGATGAAGGTCCGGAGGGTAAAGCAATTGCGTTAGGCAACAGACCTTCGGGAGAAAGAATTTGGGCTTCGGTCTGTTGTACCTGAGATCGAGTGTCACTACCAGTAGTTGCTCGAGAAGCGTGATCCATACCCAGCCCCGAAGCCTGAATTGGCGCGCTTGTGGCCTCAGACGGCTCCACTGAAAACGGCAAGACAGGTCCTGGTGTCGCAAGTCGACTGATTGGCAAATAAGGGAAAGCTGGGTCATCATCATACAGAGCAACAGTCTGAACAGACGGTGCGCATGAGGCTGGTAGGACGACACTATCGTAGGCTGGTTCAAGCGGAATACCAACCGTTACTGCCTCAATTTCCTCTAGCGGTCGTGATTTCACAGATGAATGGCTCGTTGGCAAATCCTCAGAATAGCAACCCCTGCTCAAGAATATAGGGAGGCTTTCAGGAAGAGATACACGGTCATCGGGAAGTGGGACTTGATTGTATGGAAGGTTGGCTAAGCGTTCTGTTTCACGTATTGTTCGTAGGGTTTCTTCCGTATCTACGATTAGGGTTAGATTTAAGCATATATACTTCGCTTTGAAAGGGTCATTACCAAAATTCGGAGTACTTGAGAGTGTTGGTATAAAAATAGGTGAATGTCTATCCTCAGCGGGGAGAATTGGCGTAGTGAAAGAATGCGGTTGTTCAAAAAAGGTTTCTGGGAGTGGAGAAGCAACGGTACTCCTTGGAAGTCGAATATTGTGTAGTTCGGCAGGCAGCGTTTGGTTGCTTATCTGCTCAGATTCACCGACAAAGGCTGCTCTTGGATGTGGTGGCGATGAAGTAGAAACCCTTTGAGAAATAATAGAACCCTTACTACTTGGGATGGGTGGTAAATTGTAAAGAGCGGTATGGCGTGGGTATGTAGGTACGAAATCAAAATTTGAAGTAACAAAAGACAAATTGCGCTCGTCGTCATCGTCGTGGGGAATTTGGGGAAGATCGTAAGGTGACAAATTTTCTTCAGATGCATTGAAGGTTCGTAAAAAATTGTGTATATCTCGTTTTCGTCTCGGCCGAACATCTAATATCATGCGGGCAGGGCTATGGGAAGGCCTTTGCAAAAAAGGCTCATCTTGAATAGGTAAGCTTGAAGGGAGGGGAGGCGGAACAGAAGATGGACTAGGAGACTCGAGAAAAAGGAATGGGTCTACAGGTCGCGAACCTTCTTCTTCTAATTGTTGCACGTTGCGAGCGTTAGGAACAGATTTTCTGGAACTTGAGCGCACCGTGGGGTTGTCCTTTTTTTGGTTTTGTTCTTGATCTTCTTTCTGGGCAGTAGGGGTAGGAGGAGAAGCAAGCTGTACGCCACCTCTCAATGATTGTGCCGACATGTTGAGGGGAGGAACTTCAAATACCTGCGGCTTTTCTACCGTATATGCAGAAGAGTCTTCGGGCGCTCTGGCACGATCCGAAAGAGCACTGGGCGGCCGAGATCTCGAGGGAGCCGGCGTTATCACCCTTTCTTCTTCTGGACGCTCGAAGATTGACGAGATACTGGGGCGGCGGCGGCGGGATTCTCGAGAGGCAGTCGACAGCATGTCTGGATTATAGGCGTGTGTGGACCCAACCCTTCTCTGACCTGGTGCCTGGGAAGATGTTGCGATACCCAAAGGTGTCAGACGAGAAGGACCGTAGTCGATATCATGGCTAGGAGTTCGCGAATGTCGAGATTTCTTTTCAAGTGGTTCAATTTCCTCTACATCTCGAGCCGACACTGAGGACCGTGAGCGGTGGTGTGACGATCTTCTTTCCCGATGGGAAGAAGTGTCGGGTTCATCCTCAGCTACTGTTGAAGTGCGCCTATGACGATGTTCCCTACTCGAACTACGGCGGTGACGATGAGAGCTACTATCCCGTGTTGGCGAGACAGCTGCCGCTTCATCTTCAATCGCTGGAGTCCGTGTTTCAGCACGATCATCCTCGTGCCTACTAGAACGCGAATGATGTCTGCGGTGGTGATGGGAGCTTCTTCGACTACTTGATGAAATATTAGACTGTTGGTCATCAGGAATGTCGCCTAGCGAAAGACGATGTTCTTGGATAGAGCCTGCATCACTGTCTCGATGTCGATGTCTTGAGCTTTTATTTGAGTAAAGTGATGCGGTATCATCTTCATCACGGCTATGACGGTGTTCCCGATGTTCCCGATGTTCCTTATGATCTTTATGCTCCTTATGTTCCTTCTGCTCCTTGTCTTCGCGGTGCTTATGTTCTCTGTGGCGGTGGCGAGAGCTACGGTCGGTTTTGGCGGATGCGACGGACATGGCATCATCGAACCCTTCGACATCTTGGACCCGACTGTCTCGGCTACGGGAACGATGGCGACGTTCCTTGTGTTCTTTATGTTTCCCACCGCGTTCAATTTCAGGCGAAAGCAAAGAAATATCTTCTTTTTCATCTGGCAATTCCCGGTGTGAATGTCTAGAGCTTGATGGGCGTCTCGCTTTGTCTCTTTCAGTGCGCGGGGATATAAATGACTCGTCATCGAGCAAAATTGGCTTACGAGATCGAGGCTTCTCCCTCGCAGACCCAGCTGGTGTGTGTGTGGTATCCGAGGACGCATATCTTACGACATCGGGTGCACCATGGTCGCTAGTAACTGAATACCTCGATCGAGCTTCACGTGGGGCCCCGGAAGGAAGCGAATCACCATCATCGGTAAGAACCGAATGCCGGGAATGACGTCGCTCGCGCAAAGAGCCTTCTCTAGAAATGTCTCCCGCATACTGCAATTCAGATACACGCCGACCACGTTCCATGTGGCGAGAGCTTCGAGTGGATCTTGCCGAAAGAGCTGGACTAGGCGGTGGTTGTAAGGCCTCATCGTCGCCGTAAATGGATGCGGAAGCGTTAGACGGTGATCGGGCCCGGCGGATGACTTGAGGTGAGGGTTGATTTGACTCTTCGGGTTCCTCTACCTCGGATGGGGCAACCGACGCAATTGACGAATATCGTGGGCGATTAGGCCGTGGGGTAATTGGTGATTCAACTTGAACTCGTTCGCTGCGGGGAACGAAGGGGCTTGCCGCCTTGACTAAAGGGAGTTCGCTAGGGATGTGGGAACGACTCTTTGGGCGATGCGGAAGGGATTCAAAGGGAAGTGAAGTCATAGCAGGAGACATCATGCCACTCACAGGGGATACCTGTTTTTCGTTCAATTCTCTTGTGACTGGAACATCAGGAATCAGGTTTGTTTCGACTACCGATGCCTCTTTAACTGGAAGATCAGCATCTAGGGATTTCTCAGACTCGATTAAAGCTGGGGCCTCGACTGCAGGTTTCGCTTCCTTGGAAATCGTCTGTACAACTGGTTCCGTAGGTGGGGGTAGTGTTGGTGTGGTTTGTGCTGGTGGCGCCGACCAAGATGGCCATCTCCACCATTTACCACCCCGGGCTTGCGCGTCAGCTATAGTATTGGGTTCAGCAGGCTTGGGCGACTCTGTCTCCGATTTTTCCTGGTCCACCGGTACTGGTATAGTAACTTCCTCAGTAACAGATCCCTTTTCGTTGGGTTCGCTAACAGCTTGGGGAGTTTCTAGGGTAATTTCAGACTCAGTGGGCGCTGGTTCCAGTTGTACACTCTTCTCTTCAGTAATTGATCTTATACCATCCGAAGATACTGGGATACTTGATGGAGACTGAGGCGGAGATTGGGCTGGCGTTGTAGATTCCTGCGGTGGCTCGGCAAGTTGAAGTAGCACCGCACGTGGGTTGAAGGGCTCGTCCTCGTCGCTCTCTAAAACCGGCGACATTCCAGGCCTTGGAGTTTCGAAAGCCTCCGTGTCAGTAGCCTCGGATGCTTCAATTGACCTTTCTATAGAGTAAGCCTCCGGCTGGGACGGTTTCTCGGCAAGTGGGTACGCTTCCAATTGAGATTCAGTAGGAGTAGCAAGTTCGCCATTATCGATAGGTAAAAGGTCGCTCAATGCTTCAATTTCACCAACAATTGGGAGGGTTGACGATCCAGACTCAGATGTAGGCTCAGCAGCACGTCTCGGTGATTTCAACAAATCCTGGAACGGGGACTTGGGATGTATTGGCGGCGTTTGAGCCCGTGACTGTCGAGATCTTGCACCGAACTCCTCGAATGGTGTTCTTGGCTTTTTGATTGGAGATGTCGGAGATGTCGATAAAACTTGCTCAGCCGCGGCCGCAGGGTACACTGCGATTGGAGCCAACTGGAGCCTATCTGGTTCGAAAGCTGTAGAAGCCCGTTCGCCAATTCGAGACGGTGGGAGTTGAATGTCATGAGCATATCCAATAGATCCTCTTCTAAGCTCCGGAGACCCTCTTAGCACTTCGGGATCTGGGGATCCAGGGAGCTCAATGCGCCCACCCAAGGGTGTTTCTTTCCTCAATGGCAACCTTCGTTGAAGGTACTCGGGGGAACTTGGCAGGCCAGTAGTGTATGGATCTACGCCGTAATATGGAGTAACAGGAATACTTTGTGATTGATGAGAAGCTGACTGAGGCAGTGATTGGTGATGCTCGGAAGCGGTCTCGGGAATATCTCTAAGATACTGCGGCTTTGAGCTTCTAGAAGCACGTGAGGGCATGTATGAAGGTTGTTGGGACATTTGTTGTGATGGTAGAGACGAATGTTGAGCTGTGTGTGGCAAAGATGGAAAACTAGCAGCCTCGGAGGCCAGAGATGCTGGCTGGGAGTCCGGTAAGTCATATCTTGGAGGCTCGGGAACTGAAGTGCCTGTAGAAAGTGGTGCATAGAGTGATGGATATTTCGAAGCAAGGTCGTATGTATCAAAAGAAGGAGGTCCCCTTGATAACAGTACCGGGGGGTAAGATGGAGCAAGAGAGATATGTGAATCCACGACACTTTGTGGCACTGAGGGATAGTTAAGAGCCTCAGAAACAGATGGTAGGGACGGCGGCGGTGGTGATGCGGGGAGGTTGTAGGTCTCTGGGTAAGTCTCGAGTATCTGTGGCTGAGCAGGGATATACCCCGACGAAACCGGCCTTTCATATTGAGATACTGGAAGTTGGCTCACGTCTTGTTGCTCATATGGCAATGGTTGGGTAGATTGTGACTGAGAAATGGATGTGAGTGCCTCGGAAGCTATGGACCTCTTCGTGGACCGGCGAGGGAGATAAGACGGGGCTACAAATTCTTCCACTGGATGAATACTTTCCATAACACTAGGTGGTACTGGTGGATAATATCCATGGGTGGCCTCAGAAATAGACGCTATGGATGGCGGAGGTGGGGATGCAGGCAAATTATAATTTTCAGCTGGAACTTGCGGGTATGCCGAATAGTATTGGCCAATTGCTTGCTCCTCCTGCACGGATGGTTGAACAGGTTGCGCAATGCTCGGTTCTTGTCGTCTAATATCAAGTTTGAGTTTGCCATCTGGTCCAGGGACTAAGGTCACACGCATACTTGCGGCAGGAGTTCGCGATTGGGTTGGAGACTCAGGTAATCCAGTAACACTAGCACCGCCATAGTTTTGAGGTGGTGTCCTTATTGTCGAACGGAGAGAAGGTGATCCAGGGAGTTGTTCTACAGCAGCTTCATCCCATGTTGGTCTAGCCTCTTCAAATTGAGGTGTTTCAGGCTCAACCACAGGGGAAAGAGGCGAGGGCTCAACCACTTCAGCGACATTTCTTGGTGCCATGGTTGGAGTTTTGAGGTGCTCCGACTCATCAATTGATTCCAAAATAGATGGAGGTGCTGGAACATTTGCTGCGATTGGTGCTTCCCTAAATGAACGACTCGTTGGCGATAAGGAACCTCGGCTAGTCACGCTTCCCACGTCGATGGAATCAGATACGGCTATAGATGCAGCGTCTTGACGGATCGCTTCAGCGGTATCTAAAACAGGTTTGGGTTGTTGTCGAGAACCTCCAAAAAGTGATGGTGGTGTAAACCTTCGTAGGCCCCAGCCTGACCCGATTCCGAAAAACCGTGAAGACTGTTGTGGTGGCGACTCGACCAGCTTTTTTGGAAGTTCGTTTGGCTGTTGTAGTTCCTCGACAGCGAAGTCCTCTGGTGAAGCTTCTTTTCCAGAAACCAGTGGTAGGTGGGTTGGTGGCGACATGTCAGACTCTTCCAAAGGTTTGGCTTCCTCTGTGACAGTTTCAGCAAGGATAGGGGACACAGTTGCAACCTGATCTATAGGCAACGTCCTAGCCAATAATTCCGGTGATTCCTCTCTGACCTCCTCAGCAGTAATTGGCATAGTGGTGATTTGATCAGAAATAGGCAAAGTGGGAGCAGGCGAAGCAGGGGAGCTAATTGGCAATGGAACCTGTTCTTCATGATCGCTTCCAACATCTGTAGGTGTGAAGGGCCTGGCAACGGAAGCCTCAATTGGCAGAGAAATCTCTGGGGCTTCGGCAGACTCGGCATCAACCAATACGTCTTCCAAAACTCTCGTTTGCGGCTCCGCAATAGGGACGATACCAGAATCAGCCGGTAATGTAACTTCAGCCGGTATAACTGACGCTGTATCTTCCAATTTTCGAGTTTCGGATTCAACAACTTCTAATCCTCGATCCTCCCCTCCTTCGTCGGATGCTATTGACCGAACATACCCGTGTGGACGTCGGCTCTCGATACTATTGTCGATCTCAGGAGTATTGTTCACATCTACAACGGGCAGACCATTGTCGTCGTGGGAGTTTTCAGGGAAGCTATTTGTCAAGTCCTTCACCCTAGACTGATAGGTGTCTAGGTAGTCGTCCTCCGAAACAGGCGGGAGTCCAGATGGCACCGGGCTATCAAGGTTGTCAATGTCGCCGACAGGGTATCGAGGGATGTCTCCGGTGGAGGGGATATAAGATGGTTCATTGGCAAGCACAATCTCCTCTTCGACATCCTCATCCATATCGCCAGTAACAATAGGATCTTGTAGCTCTCTTCCTTCAACTTCAGACGTGGTGATAGCTTTGACTTCTTTGTTAGCTTCGATAACTTGCGTCGAAAACAATTCGGGGACCTCACCACCAGTGTGATCAATTCCAAGACCAACAGGTGACAATGGCTCCAACTCACGAGATGCGCTAGCTGAATCTTGTACAATAACATCATCGTCTGCCATGTCCTTGTTTTTTCCTTCTCTTTCATGATGAACTTCATCCTCCTCGATTTCCTCCGCCAGAACAGGTAATGCATCAATCCATCCAGACATTCTATACAGAGGGCTTTTATTCAACAGTTTTAGATCATCGGGAGACCCACCAGCAGGACTGATATGTTCCGATTCCTGTGGCGATCCAAATTTCTCCGAAAACTCTTGTAGTTGCAGGTCGTACCGTTCGGGGAAGTGTTCAATATGCTCATCGCCAGTTACAACAGGTGCAGCCTCAATAGCACGCTCTAAATCTGCAGGATATTCGTGATGGTCTTCGAATACATCGGGTACGTCGTCCTGATTGTGTTGATGCTCTTCCTCTTCTTCATGTTCAAACGTATCGCCTTGTTCACTGTGTGCTCTCGACGAACCGGCATATGAAGCTGTTGGTGATGTGAGCATCAGCTTGGGAATTGGAAGCCCACCAGGTGTCAGATGAGGGTGACTTGGCTCTGATGAAATAGCAGGTTCGATTTCAATTCCATGTATTGCTGCGAAATCTGCAGTATCAATGCGAGAGAAACTAGGCGGGAGTGCAGGTGGGTTAAAATCGGTTCTGTCAACACTCCTGCGACGCCTATCACGACGACGCGGGGCCCAATCTTCGATCTCAGGAGAATCAGTGATATCAGCAGGAGTAGACTCAGGAGACGACGGGGCTGAATGAGGCGCAGAAGAAGTTAATAATGGGCTGGCCGGCGCAGATGCTGGTGCGGACGCTGGTGCAGAACCTAGATTGCCAAGCACGTGTTCATCCCGCTCCTCCTCAATATGTCTTTCAGAGGAAGAAGGCGTAGATGCGCGAGACACTTGGATATCCACTGGTGGCACTGGTGATTCTGTTTCTTTGGTGTCTTCAATGATTGCGTGTGTAGCGGCAGCGGCAGCGGCAAGTCCAAGAAGTTGTGCGGCAGAGTGGGGTGTTCGGACAACCTCAACCTCTTGTTCAATCGGTTGCGCGAATGGCTCTATATGGTTAAGCTCCCGCTCAGCTTCAGAAACAGGTACCTCTGGGAACTCTTCAGTGCTAAGTTGAGGCAAACCTTCACGAGCTTCTGCTTCAATAAACGGAGATGCAGGAACAGACTCAGCGGCAAGAAGTGGGGCTTCAGAAACCGACTCGGCGACGGGTTGTGGGAGCTGCGGCACCTCAATTTCAGGGACTGGGACTACAGAATCAGCGTCTGCTATAGGTGTGGCTAATGCGGCTTCGATGAGCGAAGAGATGTCCAAGTCTTTCTGCAGGAATCCGGGTTCGGTCTGCATGACAAATCTTGACACGGGCTCTTCGGCAGGCAGCGACCTATCCACGATACCAATAACCGGGGTCTCAAGAGGTACTTCGACTTCAACGTGAGGTTTTTCAATTGGCGTTGCCTCAGAAGAATCAGTTCCAATTTCAGCAAGTACCTCAGCGTTAATATCTTTATATTCCTCTTCCACGGACATGGGTTCATGCAGAGCAGGCTCGGCGGCAGATTCCACTGCAGATGTAGGAGGTGCTGCAGCCATATCTTCTTCCTCGACAGGCAATTCCCGGTCAGAGCTTTCGCCATCGATAAACCCACCAGGCATATGGTAGCTTGTTGGAGAGCTTGGGACACTAGGCTTATCTGCAGCTTGGAACTCGGGCGACGGGGGACGCTGTTTGAAAGTCTCTGCCAAGTCTTGACCAATTATAGCAGCCGGGACTAATACTGACGTGGCAGCACCCAGACCACCCTTCCGACGCAAGAAAGCAAACATTCCCTCGCCATCAGCTGGGGCGCTGTCTGATTCGTCATCTGAAGTAGACGAAGACTCCGCATCTCGCTCGACAGAAGTGACAGCCGTTGCTGCTAAACCTTCTGCTTCACGATCAACTTGTTTTCCTCTGGCTTCCTCTTCCATTTTGAGTCTAGCTTCTTCCGCTAACCTGGTTTCTTCTTCTTCTTTTGCTCTAAGTCTTGCTTCTTCGTCTGCTCGTTGGCGTTCCTGTTCGGCTTCAATGCGCTGTCTCGCCAGTGCTGTATTCTGCATGAAATTAGAAAACTGCGCACGACGGTCGTCCTCTGGGGAAGTGATGATAGCAGCAAAAGTATTTTCTTGTTCATCCCGAGCTTGATACATCTGTCTTCCAAGAGCTCTATTCTTCTTACGAATTTGGCGATTTCGGCGGCGCTCTTCTTCAGCCTGCTCCTCTCTTTCAGCTTCCTCCCGAGCAAATCTTTCCCGTTCCTCACGATTGCGCTGTTCTTGTTCTTCGATTTCCCTTTGGCGGGCTTCAGCGGCAATCCGTTCTTGCTCTTCACGTTCCCGACGTTGTTGTTCTTGGATCTCCCTCTGGCGTGCGGCGGCAGCTTCCTGCTCTTCGCGCTCGATGCGACGCCTAACCTTATCAGCTGCGAAAGCGGCTGCACCGCCAGCGATAGCTCCAAACAACAACTTATTCCTCGACTTATGCTCTTCTTCTTGGCGTTCGCGGGTAAGTCTCTCTTCCTCTTCACGTTGTCGGGCTTCTTCGGCTTGTCGTCGCAAGAATTCTTCTTCCTCCTCTTTACGTCTCCGTTCTTCTTCTTCCTCCTCTCTACGTCTCCGCTCCTCTTCTTCAATTCGCTGAGCTTCAAGTGCCTGTTGTCGCAAGAACTCTTCATGGCGGAGTCGCTCTTCTTCTTGTCGAACACGTTCCTGCTCTTCAAGCTCCAAAGCACGTTGTAGGGCAAGCTGTCTGAGGCGGGCATGCTCGGCCTCCTCCTCAGCAATGCGCTGTAGATGAAGACGTTCTTCTTCGGCTTTTCGAGCAAATTCCTCTTCTTGTTGTAGGTGAAAAATCTCAGCTTGGCGGATCTGTTCAGCTTCGGCAGCAAGGCGTTCTTGTTCGAGCCTGGCTTCATTTTGTCGTTGGATTTCAAGTTGTCGTTGTCGTTCGAGTTCTTCTTGCCTGGCGCGCTCCTCTTCGGCAGCCGCAAGCTCCGCAAGATGTTGAGCCTCGATCTCAGCTTGTCGCTGTAACTCAATTTCAATCTGCCGTTGTCGTTCGATTTCCGCCAGACGTTCCTCTTCTTCTTGACGTTGTCTTTCAACCTCCACAAGTCGAGCAGCTTCAGCAGCAGCAAGTGCCACTGCCTCTTCTTCTTCTAGCTGTCTCTGCCGTTCAAGTTCCTCTCGTCGGAGTTGCTCGGCTTCAGCTTCTTGTCTTTGTCGTTCGATTTCACGTTCACGGGCCTTGTGCGCTTCATATTCTTGTTGTTGGCGACGCTTTTCTGCCACGGCACGACGAACCCGCTCCCGTTCTTCCCGAGCCTCAGCATCCCTCTCACGGCGTTCCTTTTCTCGCTGCTCTTCCTGTTCTAATTCAAGACGACGAAGATTCTCTTCCTCGACACGACGCTTAGCCAGTTCTAATTGACGACGCTCTTCCGCGCGATTAGCAAGTTCAATGTGGTAGAGTCGTTGACGCTCCTCTTCTTCTTCCATTTGTCGCTGTTGAGCTTCATATTGTTGGCGAATAAGCTCCTGTTGGTGACGTGCTTCAGCTTCTTCAGCGGCAATCCTTTCTTCTTCTTCTCTAATTTGACGGAGACGTTCTGCTTCTTGAATTGCATAAATGCGAGCGGCTTCACGTTCCTGCATGCGTTTGTACTCTTCTTGGCGTTGGGCTTCAGCTTCTTCCTCGAGCCTTTGTTCCTCTTCTTCGATCTTGCGGATGCGTTCGGCTTCCTGTTCAGCAAAGAGACGAGCAGCTTCACGAGATTCTCGCTTGCGGCGCTCCTTTTCAGCCAAGGCGGCGGCGGCGGCGGTCGCAGCAGCAAGAGCAGCAGCAGTGGTAACACTAGCCTCATGTTCATCGATGTCTCGTTGTCTAGATTGAGCTTCCTCGATCATGCGGCGTTCGTCAACAGATTTTCGCTCTGCTCCCTGTGCATCTCGGGTTTGCTGTTCGTAAATTTGATGGGCTTGACGTTGGCGGTCGGACTCTTCTCGCATAGCATTATCATATCGTTGTTGCTCAAGACGGGCTTGATCTTCTTGATAACGTCGGTGTTCTTGCTCCTCAGCTTCAGCAGTTCGACGGGCTTCTTCTTCTTGGTAGATACGACGATGTTCAGCCTCAACGAGACGGGTTTGCTCAAGGTCATATTGTCGGCGCTCTTCGACTTGGGCGGCAAGGTGAGCTTGCTCCTCCTCATACTGGCGACGGGCTTGTTCCTCCTCATATTGGCGGCGAGCTTGTTCCTCCTCATATTGGCGGCGAGCCTGTTCCTCCTCGTATTGACGGCGAGCTTGGTCCTCTTCATATTGACGACGGGCATCAACTTCAGCAGCGAGACGAACTTGCTCCTCTTCGTACTGACGGCGCGCTTGTTCTTCTTCATACTGACGTCGAGCATCGGCTTCGGCAGCGAGACGAGTTTGTTCCTCTTCATATTGTCGATGTGCTTCAGCCTCAGCAGCAAGACGAGCTTGCTCAATCTGATAAAGTCGGTGTTGTTCAGCTTCATAAAGTCGACGCTGTTCGGTTTCGTACTGCCTTCGTGCCTCGGCTTCAGCAGCAAGTCGATCTTGTTCTTCCTCATATTGACGGCGCGCTTCAGCTTCAGCGGCGAGACGAGCCTGTTCTGCTTGATATTGTCGACGTGCTTCAGCTTCCGCAGCGAGACGATCTTGCTCCTCTTCATATAGACGGTGGGCTTCAGCTTCCGCAGCGATTCGGGCTTGTTCTTCTTCGTATTGACGGTGAGCTTCAGCTTCGGCAGAAAGTCTAGCCTGTTCAGCCTGGTATTGTCGATGCGCTTCAGCTTCTGCAGCGAGACGAACTTGCTCTTCCTCATACCGACGGCGGGCTTCAGCTTCTGCAGCGATGCGGGTTTGTTCCCTCTCATATTGGCGGCGTGCTTCGGCTTCGGCTTCAGCGGCAAGTTGAGCTTGTTCCTCTTCATAAATCCTATGCTGCTCGATTTCATATTGTCTCCTAGCCTCTGCTTCAGCAGCAAGTCTGGTTTGTTCGGCTTGATATTGTCGATGTTGTTCAGCTTCCGCCAAACGTGCTTGTTCCTCCTCGTAGAATCTTTGCCTTTCAGCTTCTTCAGCCAGACGAGCTTGTTCCTCTTCATACCGTCGCTGTTGCTCTTCCTGTTCACGGCGCCTACGTTCTTGTCTAAGCCTTTGTCGTTCTCGGATTTCAGCAAGACGCTGTTCCTCTGCTAATCTCGCTTGTTCTGCCTCTTCCTCCTCTTGTCGTTTTAGTTCTTCAGCGGCCAAACGAGCAGCTTCGGCTTCTTCTTCTTCACGTCGGCGTCTATCTTCTCTTTCTTTTGCTAGAGCGGCGGCGGCAGCAACGGCGGCGGCGGCAGCAGCGGCCTCAACTTCTCTCCTCTTCCTCTCTTCTTCTTGCTTCCTCCACTCTGCTTCTTCAGCCTCTCTTCTTCTCATTTCAGCCTCTTCAGCCTCCCTCCTTCTAGCCTCTGCTTCCTCCGCAGCACGAATTTGAGCCTCACGTTCAGCTTTGATCCTTGTCAATCGCTCGGCCTCGCGTTGTCGGGCAGCCTCAATCAGGGCACGTCTGCGAGCTTCCTCTTCAGCACGAATCCTTTCTTCCTCAGCAATTCTAGCTCTTTCTTCTTCTTCTTCTTCAGCTCGTAATTGTCGTTGTCGTTGTTCTTCTGCCCTGACCCTAGCTTCTTCCGCAAGTCTAGCTTCTTCGGCTTCACGGATACGCTGCTGCCGGATTAGCTCTGCTTGCCTGGCTTCTTCAGCTTCACGGATACGTTGTTGTTGTGCCAACTCTGCGAGTCGAGCTTGTTCCGCAAGTCTGGCTTCCTCTGCTTGCCTAGCCTCTTCAGCCTCACGAATGCGTCGCTGTCGGATGAACTCTGCTTGTCTAGCCTCCTCGGCTTCACGGATACGTTGTTGTCGTGCTAGTTCCGCAAGTCTGGCCTGTTCAGCTAGTCGAGCTTCTTCTGCAAGCTTAGCTTCCTCTGCAAGTCTAGCCTCTTCTACTTCACGAACACGTCGCTGTCGGATCAACTCTGTTTGTCTAGCTTCTTCAGCTTCGCGTATACGTTGTTGTCTTGCCAATTCCGCTAGTCTAGATTGTTCCGCAAATCGTGCTTCTTCCGCAAGTCTAATCCGTTCGGCTTCCTCACGTTCTCGGACCTGTCGTTGTTCCTGTTCGATCCTGAGTCCAGCTCGACGTTCCTCTTCGGCTTTAACTTGTCTTTGTCGTTCTAATTCGGCGGCGGCAGCGGCGGCTCTCCTTTCCTCTTCCTCCTCTTCTTCTTCCTCGTCCCGTCTACGCCTTTCCTCTTCCTTACGTCGTCTATCATCATCCTCTCTCCTTCGTCGAATATCATCATCCTCCTCTCGATATCTACGTTCACGCTCCTCATCATCCCATCTTCTCCCCCCCTTCTCTTCGTCGTTAGACTTACTACTATTCATCATAGCAACAACAGCAGTTGCAGCACCAGCACCAATAAGTCCGCCAGTAACAACATCACCAAGTGTAGTACCCTGACTTTTCCTACGTTCCATTTCAGCATCTCTAGTAGCCGGGCTCGAGCTTGTCGGTGGAGGGGGCGGTCGTTGTTGATAAGATCCGGGAGTTCCAGGTTGTGGCGGCATATCACCTCTTCCACGGCCCCATCCTTGTGGTGGTATTTGTTGTCCTCGGCCGTACGGCATACCAGGTTGTGGAGGTTCACCACGTCCACGTCCGTGCCCTTCTACTGGTGGTCCATGACTGTAGGCGAATACACCGGGCAATGGAGGTTCCCCACGGCCCCGGCCATATCCTTGCGGTGGTTGTCCACGGCCAACTCCGACCATAGGCTGCTGTGGTTGTCCACGACCAACTCCGAACATAGGTTGTTGTGGTCGCTGTTGTTGAGGTGGTAGTTGCTGTGGAGGAGGTCCGGGTCTTCCGTCTCTTGATTCTTGTCCTGCGTCTCTGGGAGGTTCGGGCCTTCCATCTCTTGGTGGTGGTCCCATTTGCGGTGGAGGTCCAGGGCGATAATTTGGAGGTGGCTGGCCTCGTCCAATATTTGAAGGTGGACCAGGAGGCGAAGGTCCCCCACGTCCAACGATTGGAGGCGCACCAGGTGGTAAAGGTCCTCCTCTTCCAATATATCCAGGTGGCGGAGGCCCTCCTCTACCCATATTGACAGGAGCTCCAGGTGGTGAAGGTCCCCCTCGTCCAATGTTCGAAGGAATCATTCCAGGCGGTGGAGGTCCACCCCGTCCCATATTCGTAGGAGCGCCAGGCGGCAAAGGCCCACCCCGTCCCATATTCATAGGAGCACCAGTTGGTGGAGGTCCCCCTCGACCAATATTCATAGGAGCACCAGGTGGTGGAGGCCCCCCTCGACCCATATTAACAGGAACACCAGGCGGTGGAGGTCCTCCCCGACCCATATTAACAGGAGCACCAGGTGGTAGAGGTCCCCCTCGACCATTATTGAAAGGAGCCCCAGGTGGTGGAGGTCCCCCTCGTCCCATATTAACAGGAGCACCAGGTGGTAAAGGTCCACCTCTGCCCATATTCATTGGAGCACCAGGTGGCGGAGGTTGTCCACGACCCCATCCTGGCGGCGGAGGACCACCCCTTCCCATAGCAGAAGGAACGGGTACAAATCCCCTCTGAGGTTCAGGACCAACAGGACCAGGGCCAGTTCGTCTAGGATCTCTAGAAGTCTCAACAGCACTATATCGCCTCGGATCCGCAAGCCCTTCCGGACTCTTAATCCTCGGTGGGTCAAAAGTACTGTATCGTCTTGGATCTCCTCGTCCTTCAGGTCCCATGATCCGACTTGGTGGCGGCTGTTGCTGTTGTTCAATGGTACTCATACGTCTAGAATCAGGTCGAACTTCAGGACTCTTGATCCTGCTGGGAGCATTCTCCTTCCCACGTTCTCTTTCTTCTAAAACAGTCGAAGCAACCGCAGAGACAACAGCAGCAGTAGCAATAGCCCCAGCAACCTTTCCAACATTGGAAGATTTATTGGCAAGTTCCTTCTGCGCTTCCTTATCATCGTGAAAAGTGACCCGTCCTTCCGTTTTCTTCCCTTTCCATGAAGTCGTATCATCAACCAGAGGACTAATACTACTGTCGGTTTCACTGGTACTTGTCGAGCTAGAGTCGCTTTCCTTATTCTTTCCCTTCCCGGGAAATATAACAGTTGCAGCCGCAGCGCCAATAGCTGCTGCAGTAGCTGCCTTCGCAACAGTCGAAGCTGTCGTCGAACTAGTAGACGTTGTCTGTTTAATTGAAGTAGTCGATGAAGCCTGTTTGACCGAAAGTGCTGCTGATGATGAAGACTGTTTGATTGCATCTTTTGATTCTCGCTGTACTGAAGAAGATTGAGGCTGAAGTTGCTGAATAGAAGGTCGACGAGGGTCGGTCGGTGGTGGTCTACGTATACGCAATATAAAATTAGCTTGAGTTGATATTAAGGTCGAAAAATCTAGGTAATAATGCCGTTTATAATGTACAACTGTACACAAAAAAATGAAGGGAATTCTTTTCGCTGTTGCAGTCTGAACTTTTCTTCTTCCTTTCCGTTTCTTTTTGAGTTCGCAAAAAACATAGAATATGTACCAATATCCTCCAATATGAAACCAGTCGCTAAAACATCCAACCAAGGGAAACAAGAAAATCCAATTGCGCGCAACCAAACAGAAAGCAAAAAAAAACAAGACACCAAACTCAATCAATAGTAGTAGTAAAACGGGGTCACCTGCCTCTGAATACTCCCTCTCCTCTCTTCTTCTTCGATCAACCACTGCTTCTCCCTGCGGAATTCTTCCTCTTTACGTCGTCTCTCCATTCGCTCTCGATCGAATTTCTCCTTCTCCTTTCGATCATTCTCAAGTTCACTGAGCCTGGCAGCTTCTTTCTGTCGGGCGATATCCTTCTTCAGTTCCTCAAGTCTCATTCTGTCCAAACGTTCGTAATCTGCCATACGCTGCTCTTCCGTAATAAGTCGATGCCCAGGTGCAACAATGATTCCTTCGCTTGGTCGTCTATCATGGCTCTTACGTCGAGCAGCTTCAGCGGCGGTATAAGCAGCAGCAGTTTCAAGCGCAGCCTTAATCATTGTCGGAGATTCTTGGTCTTTCTTTCTACGATCTCTGTCATATTCATCATCGTCTTCTTCTTCAATTGTGTACTGATCCCGTATTCCGGCAAGACTGCTTCGTCGACTAGTGCTAGCGCTGCTAAGTCCAAAGGCCAGATTAGAGTCCAAGGATTCTCGCTTTCGAAGCCACCCTTTGCTACCAGGCTTGCTTTCGTCACTGCTGTCCCCGAATCCCAAAGCGCTATTAACGCTGTTGATACTATCACGGCTGCTGACCCTTCGTGCCTTACGTCGCCCAGTTCGGTTTCGGACAGCCCAGAACTGAAATCCAGTGCCGGTTTCGGGGCTTTGCTTGGACGAATACATTGACGAATCAGACGTATAACCAGAGACATTCGATCCAACACTTCTTCCAAAAGCCAAATCAGAGTCGGTCGACTTTTTGCGCATATGAGAACCTGGTCGGTTTCGTGGAGATGATCCTTCGTCTTCAGAATGGTTGAGGTCGGAAACAACTCCGGGGATAGCCATCGCAGCGGTAGTAGCAGCACCGAGGGCTCCATAACTCTTAGCATTTCCCCTTGAGCGCCCAATTGTGTCATCGCCTCCAAAGTCCATAGATGAATGGCTCGAAGAAAGATCTTCGACAGCACGGTTTTTACCTTTCTTCTTGTCGTGATTTCCCTTGTGTTTCCTTCTCTTACCATGAGAGCTCGAGCTCGAGCTAGAATCGTCGTCGGTATCGAACAGAAAATCACTGCTGGAGGCACTGTCGAAAGTATTCATCGCCGATGGTAACTTGACTCCTCGGATATCATTCGATCGTCTGTTGTAATTTGCCTTGCCCTTCAAGCCATGAATTCTAGTTACGTCGCCTGAAGAGGAGCTGGTTACGGATGGCTTCTGTGAAATCTTCTGTTTTTCCTTCTCCTTCTCCTTTTCCTTCTTGTGAGATGCAACTGCGGCAACGGTGAGAGCAGCAGTACCAGCCACAATAACAGCAGTTTTACCATGATGAGATGATGATGATGATGATGATGATGGCTTTACGACGGTGTTCGTGATAAGAGGGGGCAGGTTGCTTGGTTTAGATGATGCGGAAGCACTAGATTGGCCAGCGAACGCAGTTGCAACAGCTGCAGTAGCACCAACCAATCCAGTAGCAAGAATCTTACCTCCAACCGAAGACCCTGTTTGAGAAACAGTCGGGCTCGAAATCGATGGTCTTTTGCCACCAAGAAATCCTGTAAGAAGCAATGGCTTTGCCGGTTTGGGTGGGGGTTTTGGTTTTCCTGTAGTGGGAGATGTCACACTAGCCAAAGGAGGTGGTGGAGGAGGTTGGTGAGATGGTGGTGCAGGAATATAAGATTGAGACGATTGTGAGTAGGATGTTTGCGAAGAAATAGATGCGGAATGTGAATGAGATGCATGAGCAGCTGCTCCGATAACACCTCCAGCAACGGCAGCGGCCGCAATAGCAGGGACCATGTTTGAAGAGTGCTGCGGTCTAGGAGCTACCAAAACTGGTGATTGAATAGGAACAGGGGACATGGTGGTTAAAGGTCTAGGGGGGGCAACCGTCTGCATATTCGTGTTGATAGCCTGTGGTGGTGGTGCATAAGGACTGGCATAAGTAGGAGCGGTAGATGGAGGTAATGGCGGAAGGTTGGCCAGATTTGAAGGTGTAGTTGTCGATGTAGGGCGCTGCTGGTTTGCAAGTGATTGATCATATGCCATCTCGGCAAGCGTCGCTGCGTCAATAACGGACATCGTTCCGGTAGTCATAGTGGCTCCACCAGTTGCATTAACGCTTGATAACGGAGCGCCTGGTTTCGTAGGAGGAGCATAGCTAAGTTGTACCTGTGTCTGTGGTGGATAACTAGGGTTCGATGGAGCGGTTGAAAACGACGTTGGTGCGGATGCATTAATCGGAGTCTCGGGAATCCCTCCAGGGAGCGAAGAGGTCGGCTCTGCAGTAATCGGTCCACCAAAGAAAGACCCAGACGATTGTTGTGGTGGTTGAGGTCCAGGTCCAGGTTTACCCGCGCCAGTAGTGATGGTCAATTCGTATTGCGAACCCTCCTGAATGGGAATAGCGGCATCGGGATCCACATTATCGGGGTTATAGAATTCAGCCGCCGATCCGCCACCAGGCTTATATTTTGGCGGAACCATAGCTGGAGGCGGAGGAGGGGTTGGCATCTTGGGCGGTGGAGGGCCATAGTAGACACCAGGCTCCTGCTCAGCGAACGGCGTACCATAGTAGTAGGTGTCTGCTTGGCCAGGTCCGTGGTAAGAATCATGACCGGAACTTTTACGTCTAATCGGCGATCCCGGACGAGGTCGCGATTGTGGTTGTGATGTTTGTGATTGAGGTTGTGGTGGTGGTGGCGCTTTCGTCAAATCCTCAGGTTTTGAAGGTTTTGGTTCCGGGGTAATAGAATCAAGAGTACTAGCTCTCGAGGGAACATTTCGAAGTTCATTAATCGATCTTACTCCAAATCTTTGTAGCGGAGAGTTTCTTCCAGTCGTATTAGCCAGTGAAGCGCGTCGCAGTTCGGGTGATGTGATAACAGCTGATGTATCGGATTGTGCGGGAGACCCATTATTCCCAGTTCTATAAGGTTGTTCGTCCACTCCTCTCGAAATAGAGCCTCGGTTCGGATCCCGTTCTCGTTCTCGTTCTTGTTCCTGGGTCCTAGTATTCCGATCAAAGTTTCTCTTCACAAATCCACGTACACTCCTTCCAATGATATCACTCAAATCACGGGGTTCGCTGGAGCTCGGCCGCCTCGGCTGTCTCGTCTGTTCTTCTTGCTCCGGGTCGGAATCCGAATATGCACCATCTCTAGATGCGGTGGATGCGGTGGAACCAGGAGAATCCACCAACCCTTCCCGTCCAGCCAAACGATCCCGGATTTCGGTAGATGACTGAGGAATCAAGAATCTGACACGAGGAACCGAAGGCGGAGGAATCGGATTGGTCAAAATAGATCTTAACGGCCGAGCATTCGGGGTAGTGGAGGAAGCAGGGACGTCGTAACCGCCAAATGGTTCACTGATGGCACGGTTTGCCGGCGGAGGCCTCAGAATGCCAGTAGGATATGAAGAATTCACCGGTGAAGTGACAGTGGGCACATCGTTAGCCGAGGCCGAATGGTCCTGGGGAGGGGGTCTTCGCGACATTGTTCCGTGTGAAGACGCTTCGAAATAATTAAGATATTCTAGATAAATCACGAATTCAAATGCCTGTCAATAACCAGCCGGCTAACTAACCAACCAACCAACCAACACAGCCGTGATATTCCTCACGCGCAAAAGAGCGAAGAGAGGCAAGGCAAAGGGAGGATTCGAAACATACAAAATAGATAAAATGATAGAAGGCGAAAGAGGTCTTTGTAAAAATAATCGACACTTCGCCAGTCGCGGTAAAAGGAAATACGTCACGGATATCGGGATGGGGGGTCCTAAAGCAGTCAGTGTTCTTCAAATCGCGGGATGGTATACCTTGACAATAATAAACGACGATAACAACGGATAAACAATTCGATCAATCAATCAAGACGGCCAGGTCAAAGCAGGCTGAAGCAGTACATCGTGGAAGTACAATAAAGGAGAAAATAGATGATAATCGAAGTCGTAGTTAATGGAAATCGCCAAGTCCAAGTCCAAATCCGAGTCGCGGATTAGTGCAAAAGACACGCGGTTGGCAGGTTGCTGGAAAGGGTGGTTGATTGATGTTGGATGATGAAATTAAGAGAGATGGATCGAGGCAAGTGTGGTTGTTGTTGTTAGTGGAGGTTGCTGGTGTGTGTGTCAGTCTCACTCTCTTCAATAATGCAATCAGGCCGGCCGAGTTATTGATCGCAACTTAACTAACCTCCCACTTTTTGGCTGCTCACTATCAGATATTGGAGAATACGCGCCCCCGGCTTAGTGTCGGATATAAACAACCCACCCACGCTCGTTCATACTAATATTAATCTAGTCTGGCGAGTAATATAACCGAAAGAGCTAAGGGAGAGCGAAAAGAGGGAGAGGGAAGGGGGGAAAAAAGAGGCACAGGCACGGGCTTCGGCGTCGTGGAATTCAAATTGAAAGAAACGAAATTGCTGATGACAAGCTAAAGTCGGTCAGTCAGTGCAATCTCTCCCACGGCAATTCAAAGAGTGGCTGGAACCACACACCCTCCAAAAGGTATGTGGGATGGGTTCAAAACCCAGGAAAGGCCTAGGCAAGCTCCGAGTGCGACCTAACTTACTAACTAAACTATACTCTGGCGGATATGTAGATTCAAATCAGAAATTCGCGATCTAAAATAGATATAGATGTGTCGTGTCGTGTCGTCGTCAGGCTCGTCGCTCACATATGCAGCGAGGGCCGCGGGGTCCTCCATGCACTCCTTCGTCAGCTAGCTGTATGGTCGGACGATGAGATCAAAGACTTGCAGCGGGCAGCGGGCAAGCGGGCAAGCAGCAGGCAAGGCAAGGTCTTCCTAAGCTGTGCTTTGGTGGAGAAGAGATCGAGAGGAATCGAAAGATGCAAAGAGAGAAAAAGGACCCTCTCCGCTTCGAAATTCATTCTTTCCATTCGCCAAACCTACAGCTATTCATTTCGGCATAAGGCAGTATGGAAAAAGTAAAAGCGAAAAGAAAAATCATGTCCTTGCGCTTGCAAGCAAAAGTACATGTACGAATGTAAGTACAGGTACCAGGTTTCAAAAGCTATTCGTTCTGTTCGAGCTCCCCCCAGTCCCAACGTCAAACAGTGCAGCCCATCAAGACCCTCTCAGAAGGTCTAGTGATCGTGCATCCACATACTCCATCGGTAACCTCTACACGAGCTTCGAGATCAAATGTGTGTGAGTCAAAAGTCAGTATGTTCTGTTGTATCGTTTCAAGACATTTCCGTTGACCCACTCAGCGAATCGCTTGCTCCGATTTCCCCCAAAAAATGACCTGCATAACCCTACATTACATAGTACAGGCCATTCTCCCGGTGCATCAACCAAAAATAATCGTGGCCAATGTATGTATGTAAGTACCTCTTCTGGGTAACAAATTATTCGACTACATGTTATAGTACCCCGAGAGCCAGGCTTCTCAATCCTAAGGAATGCGATCTGACTAATCCCAGAATTTTCCAATCCTTGATCGATATTGCATGTGTGCGTAGTACCAGTTGTATGCCGACGTGTCTGAAAAAGACCTATCGGGTACACCCAGCACACACCACCTTCCCAGATTACAATCCTTGCTACTAACCAATCAAAGCCAGGATTCCCTAAACCCTGTCCAGCTGAGCGAAAAGGGTTTTCTGCTTCGCGAAGGCGAAGAGATTACGACAGGTGATCCCTTTAACTTTTTTTTTTCCCTCCCTTTGCCTCGTTTCTGCTGGGTACAAGCTTTCCCCACTTTTCTCTTAGTACTATATATTATAATTCTTGCGCGATATCGATTGGGAAGGCTACCTATCTCCGTGCAGTCGCATCGCAAAAACTCGCGAAATTTTTATCATGTGATGCATCTCTCGACATTGCATCGCAAACTAATTAGCTTAGGACTGCTGCGCTGCGACGGCGCAGAGACAGACACTAGAATGTTGGGCACGTGGGGGCGGATACGCCGATGTCTTGTAAAATATTACGATTGGAAGGATGTATCGGTACCTTGCGGTTTTGAGATGATATCATATCAGGATCTTATATAGGGCTATTGTCGCGAGCCAAAAGATAGGGCGCAGTCGGGACCCGACTAGTCCCACATTCTGTTTCGCGCAAATGCGATTTTGTCACTGTCACATTGATTTATACTTTGACTCGTAGACATCTACATTGTAATTATACTAGCTGAATATCCTGACGATGGAGGTGGCAGATATACTATACCTACCACAATATACTAACAGTTATGTTGTACCCAGTCACGTATCTAGTATTTGTGTATTATTCTCGTAGAAACAGCCCTAGTGCATGGGCATGGATCCATGGAGCGCCGTCGAGTCTCTTATAAGCTTAACTTGAAGCTCGAAGAATATCAAACTCTATGCATACGATGTGTATTCGTAACGATTTGAAAAATTGCAATTTCTTAGATTCGAATTCGTAAATATTAAATGAAACTGAAATCGATGTATCGATGAGTTAACGGCATTTCGGTTTTAACTACATGTATATCCAATATAAAATTCGAAGTTAAGGGTTTTGCAGTCGCATTAATATTGTCAATCAGATATCGATTCTAGATATCAATATAGGTATACAAATTCAAAATATATAGTCCTATATGTGCAAGAGGCTCCAAAATATAGTATAGAATACAAAGACGCTATTACAACTCTAGATATCTAATTCCAAAATACACAGCGCTTGATTTAAGTATTACTCAATTGGTTTCCCAGAAACATCGGTATTACGGTACTAACTATAGTATTAGGCACTTAATACTAAACTACAATTTAACTTTATCCTTAAAACTTCCGAATGTATACATCCCACATGCCAAGTAGCTGATATTAACATATATATATATAAAAGTCTAGGCTTTAGCGTTCTCATTAGGGTTTATACATTTACGAACCTCGAATAATAAACTAGAGATTATATTTATTTGATATAACAAAATATCCTTGGAAATTCCGATCAATAGAAGAATAAAAGAAGAAAATTTGTAGAAAACAGATATTTATTTATTAAAATACGACGTTCACTCTATAGATATCTAGATCTACATATAAAAACTCCATTTCTTCAATTCATGATCAAACCTCATCGATGCAGCGATCCATTCCAATCGCCCAACCAGCATATTTTAAATTTTATAAATCGAAATTCCCAAAATCCCGATTCCGATCTCCAGGTTCCAAGATTCCGATCACATCGCCTTAAACCCTTTTCTGGGGCCCAAACTACAAATGCTCCGCGGTAAACCGGTTTTCCAACATCCCCAAGACTCGACTACCGGTGGGTGGACCCCCCTGTACCGTTTAACTATTCCTAAATAAAGATATATTCTCCGTTATTAATCGATAAGGGAATGTATAATCGAAGGGTTTTATATGTCCCATGTGAAAGGGTTCTAGAGTTGTTCGCGAATTCGGAGGTCAGCCCGTTAACTCTTAAGTTGCATCTACAAGCTTAAGTAGGAGTTAAATCCACGTGGTAGGTACCACAAAGGAAGGTCTCTCTTTGGGTACAAATCAGATAAAGTCTGCATCCATAAGTATATACATAATCCACGTTAAAAAATTCCTTTCCGCGTGTAGATTGACCTCGAAATCGAAATTCCATGTTGCGCCGATCTAGGCACGCTTTGTAGCGTCTAAGATTGATCTTCATACCACACGATCGAGCTCACTATCGTTACTATTGATTAAAGTCGGAGTCAAGACCTCTATCATGAATTGGATCCGACAAGGGCTCTTAAATAAGGCAAGTTAGTCTTTATAGTCTATATATTTGCTACCTACTATGGAATCAATGCTGTCCTAGTTTCTAATACTTAATACCAATCAAAAGTCGGTTCTAACCAAAATCTTTTTATCAATAAATCAATCGTAGTTAAACAATCGTGCTACTTAAACAATCATAACAAAGAATACGCCATAAATATATATATAAATTGAAAATATTTTCTAAATCGGTCTCGAAATTCGATTCAAGCAGGCCCATGGGAATCGATTGCGTATGACGTTTCATATGCATATATGCTATATTATTTGCTCGGTTCGCAGCTTAGGTATGTACATATACGACGACAGTGGTCAGTGGATATACAGGGCCATTACCGTGACCTCTTTCGAAGTCATAATATCGTATCTCCCTATCATTATTACCGCAACCAACTAACCCGATGTAAAGTTTCGGGTAATATCCGTTGATAACGTTCACCAGGCAGACGCGTTCAATATCAATTCCCAGCCATTTAATTTCGTGGCGGTAATTAAATACAAATAGTGGCGTAAAATAGTACCAGCCACATCAACACCTTTTCTCTTGTTGGATTATATGGCCAGGCTCAGATCATGATATCCAAGTACCAAGATGTAGCCCGTATGATGATCCTTTGATTATAAGTAGATCGTAAAATTTATTGATAGTTAACTTGCACTCACCGCTAGTCTGGAGGCACTCACTGCTCGGCTCGAGTCTAATTAATATCCATCCTCCCCTACCAATATAGATAAACTTCCACAGGCCACGGTGGCCAACATTCCCAAAATATAAACTCTGCGGATCTGTCACGACTAAAAGTCCCGTCTTTTTGGCCCGGAGGCCTATCGACTATGTGCGGTGATAGGAAACCGCCCGGGTACGGTAAATTTCCTCCTCCGTCCCCGATTGCTCAACCGACTGCGCAAACGCCTTGACTTTGTTTGGAACGCCAAACCATACCCGGTTCGTAGGGGAGACACCCGCCAGCCCCTCCCTAATTGGGCTGCGGGTTTCCATTGCATGACTGGTGTGCAATGGATGGGCCGCCCCAAAATCATGATCATGTACTAACGGTACGTGACTAAAGATCTTTAAAATATGATAAATCATATTCTAGCTCTGGGATGAGATCGGACCTCCTAATATAATCGTCTAGAATCTATACTCAGGCGTGCAACGGCCGACCAGCCCCGATCATACATTCGTAGTACATAACGGCCGTATGTACATACATAGCTCGAATATATCGATAGTATAGAATACTATACTCGAGTTCCGAGATCAGGTGACAGGTCAATCCCCTTATATATCAACTCCTCCTCATCAAAAAGGAGTCGAAGTTGTATTTCATATCTCGAGACATACGCCTCATTGAGTATTTAAAGATAAACCCTTCAAGGGATTATTATTAATATGCATATAGCCGGTAAAATGTAGGCTCTGAGTTTGGCTCTGGTATGTATCCTGCAATGATATATACCCCCCTCCACATCTTCATGCATAAACCCATTAGTAAAGGGTTACAAGGGGTGGAACGTACACCCCCGGAGGGGATATTGGTCTTGTCAAAGGGCTTCTGCTCTCCGGCTCTCCGCCCGCGACTTTCAACTTCTTCTGCATCTTTGACTGGGTCTCGAACATCGTGTAGGAGGATATGATGTATCCCCCTACCCCCAAACATTTCGATATTCTTTTTATACACCGGTTAAGTTGGTGCAGTAGATATATCGAGGATACTGGCCACGGAGGCCGTAAGCTGATCAACAGCCTTTTCGGCATATCGGTGTATATATCAACCCCAACTAGAAGCTAAGGGAAGTCATAGTTATTATATTCAGAGGTTTACAACCTCTAGCTTTATCGAAGCACTCATACTTAGTGCCGAGACTGAGTTTTTATATATAAAACATCAATGTTTCTAACTAGGACAGTTAGTCTAGTACTCATCCGAATTCAAGCCACGCACCAAATCGTGATATATTTACCTTGCTAACTTCTAGAGTGTTTCTAACTGCCCAGTCTCCTCAATGCTATCCCAACCACCGGTGGTGACACAGAGATATTTTTACAAGGCTCTTCTTCATATCTCTCTCTCAATTAATATATCTCCCCACTCGGTCGAATTTGCAACCTGTTTCTCCTCCTTATGGGTCCCCTAACGATCTAAGGGACCAACGCTTTCTCGGAGGGTATCAGTATGCATATATGATTATATTTTTATGAGGAGACTTGGTCTTATATATTTATGACGACCAACATCGTTGACTTGGTTTACCTTACTAAAAGGATCTTGAAGGATTCGGAACGATGGGTAACCAAATATACCATGGCGATGGTAGGTCAATGTTCATTCCTAGCGGAGTATATATTATGTAGTCTTTCCGTATCTCGCATAGGGGCCTGAGCCGGAGATGGGAGAGAGGGAGGCGAGGAAGGGGGGGACATTATGGAAGTTGCGGCCAGCTTCTCAACAAGACCGAACCCCACACCACGGACTATCGAGCAGATAAATCTCCCATGCCTAGACTATTGGAGAAGATAAGTCTCCCATGCACCCCCTTCAGAGTAGAACCAGTTGTGGGGGAGACATGGGTATGGTCGGGTTGCATTTGCTAGATTTCTTACGAGCGCATATAGGGGGTGGGAATTGGGATCGGGAGGTGGAATGGCATGTTGGCTATGAAGGGAAGAAGGAGATTTGGGAGAGGACGGCTTCCCCTTCTATCGACTCTTCCTGCTACGGATGCCGTAGGATGTTGATTTTCCGATTTCGAGCCAGCTCATAAAAGGTCACTGTCGGCTGAGCTTCTCTAATTGTCTTGACTCGGCATTAATTTCAACATCGTAGCAGGACCAGCCGGGTCGAAGGGGGGAGAAAACACGGTCACGCAGCTGTATACTCTATGAAAAGGCCTGGGCCGTATCAAGGCATCTGGTGTCTATGGCAAAAATACCATGACACGAGATGTACCTCGAACTGCCTAGCTTTCTCATAGAGTGTACAAACTTGCGCCTGTGCGCTTGTATACAGTCCACTCCCCCCCTCCCCCTTCCCTCCGAGCCACCGCCGCTAAGTGGGGGGCTTGCTGCCCGGGCGTGCTCGCATGCAGCCCACTCACCCCCTTTGCAGCGGTGGCTTCCTCCAAATGCCCCGCCACCGGGTCGCCCTTGGCCCATGGTAATTAAACCAGGGCCTACTAGGTTATGAAGATGTAAGTATGTATTTCGATTTTACATGTAAATAGAATAGGATACACTTATCTTACCTGTGAGCCAGGGCTAGAACCGGAGCCCCTTAGCCTCCTCCCTAACAATCGCTACTCGGGCCGGAGCCCTTTCGCCGCCTTCCACCCCCAGCCATTGTGTCCTCAGCCACCTCACGCCCCCTCCATTAGTTAATAAGGGCTAGAAGCCAAGCAGGGCCGGAGCCCACCCCCAAGGCGGTTTTTTGGTGGAGGAGAAGGGGTCGGAGCCCCATCTTCTAACGTCACCCCCACACCAATGAAGGGATGAGCTGGAGGTGGGCAACCCACCATATGGTGGTAGAAGAAGGGCCGGAGCCCCATCTTCTAAATCCACCCCCCACACCCATGAATGACTAGGCTAGACGTGAGCAACCCACCATATGGTGGTAGAAGTAGGGCCGGAGCCCCACCTCTTAACCCGCCAGCCCAGCCCACCCATGGAGAGATGGGCTGGAGGTGGACGGTCCACCATATGGTGGTAGAAGAAGGGCCGGAGCCCCATCTTCTAACGCCACCTCCCCAACCCATGAATGGCTAGGGTAGACCTGAGGGACCCACCATATGGTGGTAGGGCCGGAGCCCCATCTTCTAACCCGCCAGCCCAGCACACCCATGGAAAGATGGGCTGGAGGTGGACGGTCCACCATATGGTGGTAGAAGCAGGGCCGGAGCCCCACCTCTTAACCCCCAGCCCATCCCCATTCATTGAGGGATGACGAAGGCGGACGACCCACCATATGGTGGTAGAAGCAGGGCCGGAGCCCCACTTCCTAACCCCCCAGCCCACCCCCCACTGATTGTGGAATAACGAAACTGGACGGCCCACCCACAGTATGGTGGTAGGAGAAGGGCCGGAGCCCCCTCTTCATAGACCATGCTCCCCTCCCCCAACAATGAAGGGAGGGGTGCCCACCTTCGTCTCCCGGGTGTAGGCTCAGCTCAGCCCAGGCCCAGCCAATGAGGGATGGGCGGGGCCGGAGCCCCCTCTTATCCACGGACAATGACCTTTGTGCATTGGAGGAGGCAATTGAACTGTTTATTTTATTTATCTATTAGCTATAACTCGAAATATACGTAGATACAAAGATGGGTAGATAGATAGATAACATACCGTAGCAAGAAGCACGCAGCAGCTCATCGTATATTGCAACATCTCAGCCTCCCGCTCCCCCACCATAGCTGCGTAAAACGCGTCTTTTCTAAGGAAGCATGAAGAGGAAGGCGTAAGAAGCCGTGATAGTAAAAGCCTGCGTGGAGAGAAGAGGGAGAAGAAACGTCGTGAGGATGTTAGCTAGCTTTTGATAAGCTAGCTAGAAGGAGATGAAGAGGACGTGAAAAAAGAATGTGAGGAGAACGTGAGATGGAAGGAAGATATGTAGCTTAAATAACGAGAGCGTGAGGATAAAAGGGGACGGAGGGAAAAAGACGTTGCTGAAAGACTTATAGGGCACAACGCAGAGCGTGACGGGGAGCGTGTGGTATTCTTTCAAGGAACCCTCTTTGGGACTTCGCAACACATTTCACCAAAGGCTGCGCAACACAGCAACGCATCCTATTCAGGACGCAACACATCAAATCCATTCAGAACGCAACGCATCACACAGTCTGCGCAGCCCTCACATACACCTACGTCATAGCCCTACACATGGGTCGAACGCGATATCGATAAGACCACCCATTAGTGATTGCTCAATTGATCCTCAAATATTTCACAAATCTACTCTCCACGATAAAGATAAATGGTGATACTGATAGTGAATGATCAGGGAATAATTTTCCATTTCATAAAACCCCCGACTTTTCGAAAGCCTCTGAAGCTTTTCGTATGAAAATAAACTCCCCATAGAACAGGAACAAGAAGAACCACAGCATTAACTAACAGGAATCTATCAAGAGCATACAACTATAACTCCTCAGAAGTGAAATATAACAAAAACCAAACCGATACAAAAAATCCACAATCCAGAACAAACCCCATTGAATTTCCCATAATTGAAAATTGCTTTTTATTTTTTCTCTATTCCCATTTTTTATTCATCTCAGCCATCTTTTTCTATGCATGATAGTTGCGCGTCTGTATGGCCGTTTAAACCCCGTTGGCAATAGCACCGCTTCCATTCTCGTGGATATTCTTGGTCAAAGTAGTCATACTATTTCCAAACAGTTAGCAATCATGTCCTTATCAAATAGGAGACGAAGAAAAATACTCACAAGCTATAGAAAGCCAACGGGCTAGCACTTGGTCCACATCGGTAAACGAATCGACTGGCCAAGTAACTTCCAAAGATAGCTTTCAAATAACCTTCTGGGACCCTCTTAACCAAAGTCTCCAATCCCAACTTCTTGACCAACAAACCGGGCAAAGCAGCTCCCAAAACGTTCTTCCTCAACTCCACATCTGACCACAACGAGGTCTTCTGCAGTTCCTCATCGAGGTTGGTGATAGCGTAGGAAAGGTCGTCGGAGATGAGGGAGCGTGGGCGGCCGGTACGTTCGTGTTCAGCCCAGATGGCCTCGAACTCGAGACGTGCATTGTTCTTGATGATGTTCTGGACTTCCTTGACGTATTCACCATAGAACTCGGGCTTGGAACCATCCTCCTTGATGCACATGTTCTCGATAAACCCGGCATCATCGAAGGAGAGGGATGCCAAGACCTCAAGCGAAGATGAAGTGACACCACCCTTGTTCGCAGACGCGTCCTTGAAGAGAATGGCACCGGCCTTCTCAAGTCTGATCTTCGCATCTTGGGAGATGAAAAGATTGGCGCCCTCGACAATATATGGAATCCTCGACTTGCCATCTTCGTCGATCAGCTGGCCGACGTTGCCAGACTCGATAGCCTCGGGACGACCACCGCATGGAGTGAAGATATCGGCAGCGATATCCTTAAGGTGGAAAGTGTTACGGAAGATGGTACCGTTGGGGACATACTCGCCGCTTGGGAGCTTGATCTTGCTTTCATCGACAAGAACGCGGTAACCCTGCTTGGAAAGCTTGCTAGTGTCGAATTCGGAGATCATAACACGATTCTTAGCAAGGCGGATGAGTTCGTCGCGGTCAAGACCGTTGGGGTCAACCAGAACACCGCTGCCATCAACAATAGCAACATACTTCTCGTTGGAGAGGAGGATCTCGTTGGATCCGAGATCGCCGTCGGGACCACCGGTTTGCATCTTTCGGACGAGGGATGGATCGATCTTGAGCTTGCGGTAGATACCCAAAACGTACTCACGAACACTGAGAGAGGTCATACCGTACTCGTCGTGGGGGATACCACCGAGACGTGGAGACTTGCCGGTGAAGAAAGACTTCCACCATGGAGCACCACGGATGCGGGCATGCTCGGTAGCCCAGTTGACAAGACCAGCAGTGTTCTCATCAGGTCCCATGAACAAGATTTCGGGTTTACCGTGAAGATCGACGATGGGGTCCTTGATACCGGGGGAGGTAGGTGGGAGAAGCAAGTCGAGGATAGAGTCGATATACTTCTGGAAAGCCTGGGTAGCCTTATCCTGCGAATTATAGTCGAGGAGCACAACACCCTTGCTACCACCTTCAGGAATATCCTTGTTCTTACGCTGCTGCGTGTTCGCGAGATTGTAGTTCTCGTCAAACATGCTGCGAACGTTGATAGAGTAGGCCTCACGGTTCCTGCTCTTAACGATACGGATACCTCCGCGAGCAATATCACGGAAGCGGAGATGGAAACCTCGGAATTCGGATCCGATAACGAGGAACATTCCGTAGAGAGGTTGAGGATACTCAATGGACGGCAAGAAAGCCGGGTTGAGTCGGAAGCTCAAGGCAACTTTTGTTGGAGTGTAAAAGTTGGTCTTGAGGACGTGCTGATTGAACAGCTGGAAGGACTCCATAACGGTAGCCTGGTGATCATTGGCAACAGTGGTGCGGATGTGGTTAACGATCTCCTCGGGCTTGAGGACTGGATCTTGGCGCAGTCTCTGGTAAGATAGAGTTGGGATGAAGTCGTCGGTCTCACCACGGGTCTGAACGTAGTGAGCATTGGCAAACTGTAAGTACAATGGGCGGACGAGCTGAGGATACTCCGAGATGATCTCGGTGATGTACTCGGCGGTGAAGGTTTCCTGACGGAGACGACGCTTGATCTTGGTCAAGACCTCGATATGGGCGGTGTTATTGGAGTCCAAGAGGCTCAAAAGCGAGCTGTATTCGTTACCGAGTCTGTTGAGGAAGTGGGTAATGAAGGTAGAGACGCAGTGAGCGTAGATGGTCTCCTGAAGACTCAAGTCGCCACGGATGAAGTGCTTCTGGAAGCTGTTCTGTGGGATACAGTACAACAGGGAGACTTCCTTCATGATCTGATGGATGGAAGCCTCAATTGGTGGGTGCTTAACAGTGGGACCGGCACCAGTCGGCATCAAATAGAGCGACATGACGGTAACACCGTTAGAGAACTGCTCGACATACTTGCGAGCGGAAGTAACACCGTAGTAATGGTAAAGATCGCTCATGGCGCTGAAGAGACCCTTAGCACTTCGCTGTCTGTAACCAATGATCAAACGCTTCTCACGGGTTCCTTGGACCTCGAACATCTCAATAACCGGGCCGGTTCTCTCGACAACGGCTTGGACGATGCTTCCGTAGAGCTCCTTGGTGTTCTCGGAAGCCTTCTCGAGGAACATTTTATCCGCAATCTTGGTGATATCGGTTTCATTCTCGTTGGGCTGGGTCTCCTCGAACTGACACTGGTAGACGAAGTAGCATCGTAGCTGAGCTTGGCTGTCACCTCCGAGAGACTCGACGGAACGGAAGGTTTCGACTCTATATGCTTTTCCGGGGTGAGAGTCGTTGAGGTACTTTTCGTCGATACGGGTTTCGTATCTTGGGCCTTCGAGGACGGAGACACCGGGGGTGGAGGTATCAATGTAGACGGCGTGGTCTATCCCATTTTGTATTTGTATGATTAGCCTTTAGCCTTTTAATTTGAAAATCTTGAACAGATGACAGGAAAGATGTGCATACCAGTGCCTTCACGGTCTAATCTGATTTCGAAACGCTTGTCAGCTCTGGAGAAGGCGGCAACTTTGCCAGCGTAGAGGGCGAGGATGTGGTTGGCAATTGTCTCGACAGACTCGGACTTGAAGTACATGTCTAGTTTTGCCTTCCGTTAGTATCTCCAATTGACTAGGTTAGAAAGGTATCGATCTTACCATCAATGCCGAGTTTGGTGTAGAACCATTCGACTTCATCGTCAATGAAGGCAGCAGGGATGAAACCAGAAGCCTCAATGGTGCCAATGACTATCAAAAACCGATATTAGCCGCAACATTCAGCTATAATTCACTAATAACCACCAGATAGGAATGAGCTGGGAACATACCGGCTTCCATCTGCTGCTCCTTTCCTTCGAACTTGGGAGCAACATAACCGGACGAGGTATCGGTGATTATTCTTCTGGTTGAACCTCCAGGAATGCTGAGATGGAAGGGATGTGGCGAAGGATGTCTGGATTCATCCTTGCTTGTGAGAGTAGGCGGTAAGAAATTCCTGTGAGCCGCCATTGTGTGATATTACGATGTCTAATGTGTCCGTATGAAGGACGAGGGAGGTAGATAAAGTGTAGGTGTGTAGATGTAGATGTATTGCAGGGTGAGGAGGAAGAGGAGCTAATGGAGCTAAGGGAGCTTAGTGAGGGAGTGTATGTGTGTTGGCTGGCGGTGGTGGTTGTCCTTTCGGTGAACAAGATAGCGGGCAGACACGGTATTTAAACAGCACACCGCTCTGTAATATGGAGAATTACGTAGCTGTAAGAAATACGTTCTTCGGCCGATGGAAATCCAGAAAAATAAAATAAAAAGATGAAATAAAATAACAAAAAACGTGATCGTGCTTGAAAGTGGAAGTTCTGTTGGTTCCTGTTAGTCAAGTTTTAGGTCAGAGCTATGAGGATGTCTGGGTAGCATCGGGAGCTTTGCCGAAAGCAAACAGGCCGCAGCTCGGGCATTCTCCCGGCACTACACTGCATTGCTTCCTGTCTCTCTCAACCTGAGCCCGGACACACTTTCGAAGATGACAGGGGTATTGTGTCCTCTCATGGAAATCGAAGCAGGAAAAAGAAAAATGAAGGTATGTATGTATGGATGGATGTATCTTACCGTATGTATTGTCTGGTTATACAAGCTGATGCAATCTGATATAAGAAATATAGCAAAGGAAGATAATGAACATACGTCGAGGCGGGTGAATACGAAAGCTGGCCGGGCAAGACGGCCTCCTTTTTATAATCAATCAATCAATCGAATCACACGTCTATGTTACGTCCGTATACATAAGCTATCAATGATGATAGATAAGAGAAGCCTCGACTCGACTGGACTGTCCCAAAGGAGCTCGGTCTCTATCTATCTCAGTCTCAGTCTCAGTCGCAGTCTCGATCAATCTCTCACTTGTTCACAAGACCAGGTGATAGGATGAATTAATGAACGAACCCACGAACTCTGCAGTCACTCGGTCACTCACTCTTCGGATAAACCGCGAGATAAAGCAAGCAAGCAACCCCCAGTCAACCCTTCCCAAAAGAATCACCCAGAGAGAGGTTGACTCTTTTGAAGTCTATTTCCCCCAAAGAATGTGAATAGAGAATGGAGTATATTTTCGAATTAAGACTGCCGACGCGTGATGAGTATGTGATAACTTGATCTCAAATATAGAAAGAAAGAAAAGGCTAACATTCAGGAATTCCAGACAATGTCAGGGACTTTCTGGCCTACTCCTTATATACCCGTTGTCTCCTCTTATCTATCTCTACCTACCTATCTCCAATTAATTATCTATCATCTGTCGCGATATCGAAAGATATCAACAGATATCATCATCTCACCATATCAGTTCAAATCCACAGTATATGCGAGTGTACTAACATACTATTGTTAACATGATACTGACAGTACAGTCTGCATGCGGATATTCGGTGATACCAAAAACTCCTTTTTTTCTCAGACCCAATCTTACTGGACATGCCGACAGAAACAAAAAGAAAAGAAAACACTGCAGCTGATCGGGGCTGCAGGTACCTTATTTACCTCTGCTACTACATCTACCCTGAAAGCTTCTCAGCTCCAGCTTGACCATCTATTCTTTTTTTTTTCTGTGGGGTGGTATTGTTCGGGACGGTACCGGGGTCGGTTACATGGTGCTCTGTACTATTAATATTCCCCAGCATTTCCAACCAATACTATACTACAGATGCCCCTCGAGCTCGTACAAGATCAAGAAGGAAGCTGTCCATACAGTCAAAAAAAACCCCCCCCATGATCAGCGAAGCAAATACCAAAAAAAATGTCGTCATAGAAAGAATATTCTACTCGAATACTCTAGCCACATAGCCACCGTCCTGATCTGGTCAAGAAACTGTGGCGAAATCTCTTCTTTTTTTCCTTCATAAGCTTAAAAGAAGGATCTATTTTTAAACAAAAAGAGAGAGTATCGCCGCATCCCCGGAATACCTCAACGTCCTCCGTGCGAACCATCAACACCTCTGTTCACTCATCGTTACAATTACCTAAAATTTTTAAGAAAATTTCCACCATCTTTTGTTGAAATAAAATAACGAAATGTTCTGAAATCACTCATCAAGAGCTCACTTGGTTACTCGTCAAATATTGCGTATACATTACTTACATACGAGGACCGTGACCAACTTAAAAACACCTCACTCGGTACGCATCAAAAAGTATCAACCCGCACCTCAAATCTAGCAACTGTTGCCGCTTCACCAGTTTTTCAAAAAACCAGGCAACCCTCATGATTCGATGCGAGGAGCAAAGACGGGGAAAAAAATTCAAAAAATTCTGTCAAGTCTAAACCATTCCAGTCTCAAAATCCGGGGAAACCCTGCACATCCCATCGGGAGCTCTAGTTGATTAAAAGAAATTTCTTTAGAATGTTCCGCCTGACTTCCTTCGTGGTAGGGCTAGCCTTGGCCTTTCACTCTTCTTTCGAATAGTAAGTCAATATGGGGCCATGACCATGGGGGGAGTGTGGAAATCTGTGGAGAAACCGCTTTACATCGGCTTCTTCCCGCTTTTCATCTTCAACTTACGAGACTATAATATTCTCCAAATGAGGCGAGAAAGAGGGGAATATGGGGCTCAATTACCTAATTATAATACGACCCATGGGTTTGTAACTCTTCAAACAAGACATCATTCGTATAAAAGTATTTTTCTTAAGTGAGAGAAAAAATTTTCTCGCTTCCAAACTTCGCGATCAATTGTAAAATAGGTAACAAGAGGAAGCTCTAGACCCGTCGGCATTAGCGTAGCTTAAGCTTTCCTTTTCCCATCCTGCAGTGCATAACGCATGCCAATCCACATCAACCATTCGAAAAGAAAAAAAAACAGAGTCAGGTCGGTCTGCAATACATCCAAACATAAAGTATTATACTGAGCTCTTCAAAAAAAGGAACTCCCAAATTTTTGATGCATATGGCGCAATTATTATCTAGTAATCGAGGGGTAATCGAGAAGATTTTATGGGGTAATGTGTTGCTGCAGCCTTTTTGTCTGTTTCAACCAATAAAATGTACACGTTGTACCTGCTGGCATGGCAGGTGGCCGACTGGTACTTCGGCTGCCCTCCTCGAACTCTTTTTTTTTTTTTTTTAACCCCAGGGAGCGGCTTCCACGGCCCCAGAATTACGGATGCCTCCCGTGGCACTAAGATCGTTAAATATGGGGGCGACTACAATTAATTATAGATCACGAGATTTGGGGGGGATATTACCTGTTATTTCGCTCATGTTTCTTATTTTTCTTATTCTGATTCTTCTTACTTGACGATATAATATATCGTTCCAACAGTTAGTTACACAGACGACAAAGAGACGTCTATACGAGAGAGAGCTCGTGAGCATGATCTTTTTTATTCTCGTCGGATTCGATTTTGATATATAATATATCGCTCATATGCATACTTCCGAAGAGAATATCTAGTTATTATATCGTAATGAGCAATCAAATCACGAAATCTCAGTTAGTTCGCAAAAGTTACAATCACCATTCCCAACATTCTTCGTCAATATCAGATCTCGTCAGACCACATCACCATGGTGGAATCTTGCAACTTAAACTATTACCCTATAGTATACTAGTATCATGTGCACTATTCACAAAAATTCCAAAATGTGAATCTAACAGGGGAAATTTAGCTGGTTGAAAAGCATATGCAATTCGATTTCTCTATCACACAACAATAATATCACACTCTCCTCGAAGTAACTCCACATTCGCACTCTTCCAAAAGCTTCAAACCCACATACACCAAACCCACCCAAACTTCCAAACTTGCAAAGAGAAGAAAGGAAAAAGGTTAACTAGTAGAAGACATATTTTTTTTTTCTTATTGCACAACCTCCTTCGGAATCCCACCCCATTCGTTCCTAACCTTCAACATTTCCTTTGCAATACTTTCATTCGTCTCATGTGGTCGAAAAGCTGTATTCCGTCCCAGGGTCCGATACAATCCCACCGTCAACCATCATCATCTCACCTAAAAGAAAAAACAAAGGAATGACTGAAAAGGACGATAATAAACAGTTCTTTGTAATGCAGGATCGATCGATCGATCCCCCAAAGTGTAAAAGAGAATCCTAGACCGATAGATAGAGTATTCCCGTAGATCTCGAGAAAGGACTCTGATGATACAAAAGACCGATAACAGGGAACAGAAATCAACCAATTAGCCCCATATCCGTGGCATAATGTTTTTCAAATTTATGACTTTTTCCAAAGAATAAAGAAAGGATAAAACGGAAATCGAATCAGTCGATTCTTCAAAAAAAAAAAAGTCAAAACGAAAAACCAATCGATCAAGAAACCGGAATGAAGAAAACAAAAAGGAAGGAGAGGGGCTAAAAAATCGTACAAGAAGGCGTAGACCCCATCGGTGGATACTCATCATCAGCATCCCCAGGTTTCTTCTCACAAGTACACCATTGCTCCTTTGGAACCGAGTCTAGTACACTCGGTTTATGCATGCCGCAACCTATTTTAAAAATCAAGATCCAATCAGCAGTCGCTCACTCACTCCCACACACAGAAATTATCTACCAGCATTTAGAAAACCGGGGAAGGGGAAAAACATACCAAACCAGGTCTTGCCGTCTACTCATATGCAAGTGCGGGAAGTCAGCCTCATGATCGATCTAGGGTCTTATTAGTTTTAAGGTGGGGAGGTTTTGACTTACTGCAAGTACTGCAAGTTGCAGAGCGGCACATCTTTGGAATGTAGGTAAAGGAGGAGTTGACGAATAGGAGTCCGTGTGTGTGGAAGTTGGGATTAACTATATATGCGGGGTTACGTCTGGAGCCGAAGTAGTTTTTTTTATAATGTAATGTATGTGAAAGAAGTAAAAAGGTTAAGCGGGAGTTTGCGAAAATGATGCAATCGGGTGTAGTCTAAGCTATGAGGCTCAAAACTCTGCTGTATGCATGTACTTCTGCACGGGTTTATTTTTTTCTATTTCCTTATAATCGAGAAAGAGGTGACGAAGGGTTATAAACTCTCTCCGAAATGAATTCGGAGACTTTTCGAAATTAATTCGATGGATTCTTTTTGAAAAAAGTGTTATCGTGATAAGGATTTTGAGGTACGTTTACGTTTGATATCTATCGGCTCAGCCGTACGTCGGGCGTCAGTTCGGAGATGCCGTGTTAACTTACAGTGCTGGCTGCAACTGGCGGGAAAAGATGTTGGAAAGTGGAGGCAACGCAGCTGTGGTCGTATGATTCTGGTGTTTTTGGCTGACTGATACTAAAGAGTCTGGAACAGTTCTTCATATTTAGGCTGTACAGCTGTGGATTTGTTTGATAATCAGAAACCACAAAAAGGCGGGTTATATTAACGAGATGCTATCCGGACTTGGCATCTAATTTTTTGAAGGGGTATATATTCTGATTTTACTGATATGAGATCATGATCTCAGTGATATCGATATGGAGTATATATATACGTATATGTAAATAGGTTGATTCTACTATTGGAACAATATAATACCATGATTGTTATCTAGCCACGGTCTCGTAGTACTCCTTATCGACATCTTGTCGCGCCACTATCACAACTGCTATATATTGGGGAACTTCTTAGGTATTTGATGACATATATGTATTTAGAATGGCTACCGAAATATGTATACAATTTAAATCTTGTCGTTATTTTTGAAGAACTTGGCCGCTCTTTTGCACAGTTTCTGCATGGTTGTAACATTCCAAGAACCAGTTAAAGTTTCAAAAGTCTTATAATTTTCATGTTTTATCTTGCGGTTGTCCTTTTTACACATCTTAACATGCATGGAGAGGATTAGGTCCGCTGGCTATGTCATCATCTAAAAAAATCAATACAGTTTCAGTAATCCCTAGGATCTTTTGAGTTAATGCTACTTAAATTTCTACTTTTTTAACGGGTCCGAGTCATGTACTCAATTTGAATTTTTACTTGGTAGGGATGTGACTGACCGAATTTTATCGTCTGCTATGTAGTACTACACAAACTTATCAATTGAATATGGTGCGTTCCCGATATCGACTTCAATAAATTATATTTTCTGCTAAACTACTTCCACATACTATGGCATTCTACCTATATTCTCAGTAGATATAAATCAACTACGTCCAGTTGGCTGGTGGTTGGCGGGAGAATGTTGGAATTTGGTGGTTGCCGTGTTGCTGTGACGCGCCACACATTTTTGGCGGTTGCCATCCAAACAAAGCAAAAGTCGCCAGCCAACGGGTCCATCGCCAGTCTTCCCGAACAACCTCCTTCTATAATACTCCTCTCCCCCAACGACGGCCCCCTCTCCCCCCCTCTAGGCCTCCCCTGTCAGTTGGATAGCATTGACTTTTTATCTTAGCGATAAAGCCTATTAGCCAAAGGGAGAGCCTCTTCTACTTACCCCCGCGCTGTCTCTGTGAGACGCGACCTCCCCACTCCCCTCATCATCAACATCATCGTCAACATCATCAACATTGAGACTATTACGACTACTATATCATCACTTGCATTGTCGTCGCTACTACCACATCGACAATGTTCTACTCTGAGACACTTCTCAGCAAGACCGGGCCTTTGGCTCGAGTCTGGCTATCCGCCAATCTCGAAAGAAAGCTCACAAAGTCCAACATTTTGACTTCAAACATTCAGACCTCTGTCGATGCGATCGTTGGAGAAGACCAAGCTCCCATGGCGTTGAGGTTGAGTGGTCAGCTATTGTTGGGCGTCGTTAGAATTTATAGTCGAAAGGCGAGGTATCTGCTGGATGATTGTAGTGAGGCTCTGATGAAAATCAAAATGGTATATTTCCTTCTTAGCTATAGCTTTTTATAGCATATCGGATGCTAATGGAGAGAATAGGCTTTCAGACCTGGAAACGTCGATCTGCCGGTAAATGCTATTATTGCGAAGGATTCCCTTATCCTGAAGGACCAAGTCGTCTCTGCTCAGGATCTATTGCTGCCTGAGCCTCTTGATTTCGATCGTACCATGACCGTGGGGACTCGTGCTGGTGTCTCTCGCCGTGAAGATATCACTCTAGGTGATGCCGATGATTTCCTTGTTGGGGATTCTCAATTGGAGATTGGACGTGGAGGCACTCAAGTCGCCAACCTTAATATCCTGAATCTGGAAGACGATCTGCAACTTGAAGATGACTTGGGATTGGACATTGGTGACGACTTGGGATTGGATATTACAGATAACGACCCATTTGCCGATAATTCACTCTCACTCGAAATGGGACGAGACGCCCCCATGTCCCGTGACCTTGCCGATGAATTCTCTCGCGATGGAGACGGCGACTTCGCCATGAAGGAACTTGATTTTAATGACACAGGAGACATCTCTCGTGGTGATCTGGGCCCGGGACTAGGAGGTGATACCTTCGATATGGAAGACGACCTCCAACTCGACATCAATGATGATACCATCCTCCCCCTTGCCCCAGAGGACGAAACTGCCGTCGACGGCGCCGCTACTCCCCGCGCAGAACGCGAAGATTCCCCCCTTACTGAGGTGGGTTCTGAAGGTGAACGAGAGCTTGAACGTGTTGTTCGAAATCTCGATATCAGCGATTTCGACCCTCTCCGTCTCCCCTCAGAGATGGAGGAGGAAGTTGTACCGCAACCTTCAAAGTCTCGCAGTGCTGCCAGGAAGAAGAAGGTGCCGTTCGATGCCACCACTGAGATGAAAACTAAGCAAATCAAGGCTCAGCAGGAGGACAGAACTCGTATCCTCAAGGACCCTCTTTTCCTTCATCGTGATCCTGCCATGCTGGCTCTCATGTCCCTTCAAGCGTCCAATGGCTTTGCCAACAGCATATTCTACCCCAAGGGCGTCCACCCTGATGTCGCCAAGCTCCTCTCCCCCGAATTCGTCAAGGAGATGACCGATAGAAAGCGCAAGCGTGCTCTTGAAACTGAAGCTCCAGATACCGAAACCGGCGGTTCTCCATCCCACAAATCTCCTCGTCTTGATATTGATGAGGAAGAAGAAGCTGCTGCCAACGCCACTATCGCCCGTGATGTCACCGCTGAAGGCGAAGAAATCCAAATCCCTGGCGCCGACGAATTCGAGTATAACGCACCCGGTGGTATCGACGACTCCTTCGACACTAGCGTCGGCGGCATAGGCTTCCAACCTCACCACGAACAAACCCTCGATGATCTTCCCGAAGAAGAAGTAGAACCACAACCTGAAATCGTCAGCCAGGCTACCACCCACGCCGTCCACCTTCTCCGTGAGAAATTCACAGAGCCAGTCGGTAGAACCGGCAGGTCGAACCAGAGTCAGTCACAGACGAAGGAGGAGGTCGTGTTCAGCAATATATTCCCAAAGAGCCAGACAACCAGAGTTGATGCAACCAAGATGTTCTTTGAGATTTTGGTTTTGGCTACGAAGGACGCTATCGCTGTTAAGCAAGGCGAAGATTCTGAGATTAGAGTAAGAGGAAAGAAGGCTCTTTGGGGAGATTGGGCCGAACATGGAGCTGATGAGAAGGAAGGAGAGATGGGAGGTGTCGCGGTTGGACCTGCACCCCCTACGCAGGTTGCTGCTGCTTAATCATCTCCCCTTTCTCTTCTGATAGTTCTCTTTATTTGGTTCATATGATTTTTCCTGTCTTGTTTCTTCTTTTTTTCTCTTTGATCTCATGTCGAAGGAACAACCAATTTTTTCTTGACAGACTTCTATTTGTGAAAAAAGAAACGATTGGAATTAAACAAAAAAGTCGGATTCCTCCTAACTATTCGGTCTCGTCCTATCTTTTCGTCTCTTGTTGTTCTTTGCGGTTTTCTTCTCCTTCTTCCCGTTTGCTTGCAATTTTTTGAATGATTGGGGAGTTCCGGTGCTCTTGAGATTCCCTTTCCTTTCCCCATTCGATATCCTGTGTAAAGTTCTTTGTGCGCGTATTGTACACTTCGTCATTTATTGTTTCTTTATTATTATTATTATTTGGTTTTATACTTGTAATGGCTTGTAAACGATTAGGGTAGATTATATTAGTAGCTACAATTTCTATGGAATATGATTATTCTTCCGCTGTCCATGTTATATATACCGTTTGCAATACTATAACGTACAAGACGGTATTTAAACCTCAAACGATTGTGCATTACCTTATATTAGTCTCGTATTGCAGACGCGGTCCACACTTTGACCTTATATATAGTATATATTTGCTATTCTAGAGTAAATACTAGTATATTACCTCCCGAACCACCTCGTCCATCTACTCGTACTTCCCCTGGTCTGCACAGTACTAGCTTGGGCCTCAGCCTCTGCCGTAGGCCTACCATCTCTCTCAGCAGCTGCCCCCTCAGCGTCAGAATCAGCCTCGACCTCGACTTCCCGGGTAAAAAAATTCCCTCTGGTACTACCACCACCTTCAACGTCGACTTCACCCGTAAATCCAACATATCCTTCACTGCCGCCCAATTTACAAACTCTTAGTGTAATCTTTACTTTCTTTTCGTTTTTCAGTCCCTTTTCTTTTATAACTCTCTTTGAAATGAATGTTAGAATTTGTTTTAATGTTGCCGGTTCTAGTGGTGGAGAGGGCGTTGGATTTGAAAGCTGTCTTTTATGTTTTGAGTTTGTAGTTGTAGTTGTAGTTCTTGGTGGTGGAGCGGGTGGTGATGGTGAACCGGTGGTGTTTGTGGGTCGAGCGATACAGAATGGATATTCGGTACTCCAGTATGTTCTCTTATCTTCATCCTTTTTTGCAGGAATGATAGATGGAGTATTTATCTTTAATAGAACGACTAATTTTTTCAGATCCATGTTTGTAGGTGGGACCTCTGGTGCATTCCGCTTTAGGGGCGTCCATAACCAGTAATCGTCTAAAATGCTAGTCATATTTATTCTCCCTTTCTTCGGGTTTGAGCTCGAATCCTTGCGATACGAAGACGGTGATAGTGGTGACGATGATGGAGGGGAGTGGGGTGTAGAGAAGTATAAACTAGCCACTACGACCAACTTCGTAGAACCCCTCATTGTAGGTCTAGTCTTCTGTAACTGTAACACCTCAACCTTTGCATTTTTAACATCATTATTGCGGATTATGAGACGTATGGTATAGTCCTTTAGTAAAATATGAATTCCAGGGTATGTGGCGGAATAATACCGACGGGAGCGAAGGATTTGATCTTGAAGTAAAGTACTAAAGAATGGATGGGTTGAAGAGAGGGAGATGTGGGATGTAAAGGGGAGATAGGAGAGGATTTGGAAGTGGAGCTCGGCGGGTAAAGAGAAGATTGGGGTGGATTTTGGGGATGAAGATGACATGTTGGCGGTGGAGGACTTTGTGAATTTTCGACGGAGGATGTGTTGAATCTGTTGCATATTTTGCTGGCCAAGGGGGGCGGTGTCTGGACAGTGTGAGGCTGATGGCACTGCGCTGCGATGGCTTCGGAATCGATTTCAAAGTTAAAGGCCGATGGATTATATTATAAAAAGAAGATTCTGAGGGATGACGGGAAGTATTTTTTCTCTCTCTTCGATTTAGTTAGGGGGAATTTATGCCTTGGGAAGGAAAGTTCCAACTAGAGCACAGGGCTGCAGCAGGCTGCAAAGAAGGGATCAAGACATACTTGGGGAGATCTGAGCTGAGGCTGCAGGACGCGGGAGGAATTCGGATTTGCCCATGCTTAATATTAAATTTGACTCCGATGGCTTCTTATATTCCCCATGATGCCGACAAAAGTGCAGAGGATTTTCTTGAGAGACTCTGGCCACTTGCGTACATTGGTAACGTTTACATACTGACTCCACCTTTTTTTTCCCTTCGATATTAAAGTTGGAATTAGCAATCTTGAGGCTACTGTATTGTCTAGTCAACTTCATAATTTTTTACAAAAAAAAAAAAAAAAAGTATGCATACGACGATTACGTGGGTGGTTTGCGTGGTTTGCGTGGTGTTTCGAGTCAGCGACGAACGGTGCAGCTATAGCCATCTGCTTAGCTGTACGTGCATGCAGATGTGGAATCTATAGTACCCCGCTGGCGGGCGCTAGCCAGCTGGAAGGAGCTGTCCTATATATAAAGATCCAAAAATTTAAAACGGACAAAATTTTCTTTGTATGTATTGAGGTTTCAAGGACTTCCATGTCCGTGTTTGGTATTTTAGAGTTGTATTAATAAGTAGAAAGGAGCTTTCGATAGGTCGTTGAATTTATTGATTTTTGTACAATCGTAGTATTAATATTGTTTTTAAAATAGTTCCTATTTTCGGTTCCAATTGGAGTCTGATTATGAGACTGGAGGATGCTAAACGTTAACGCATATTATGACAGGTTAAGTTAGGGCTAAATATTTAATATCGAGAGACTTGGAACCGGTGCGCTATAGATTCTTATTTAAATATTAGATAAGTGAGTTATAGCTATATAGGCTATGACAGCATATATCAGGTATGGAAGATATATACACATATCGGTCTCACGATGAACAATATACTTTCCATCCTTACGATTACGACCACCTAAATGATAAACTTCATGTACATCTATCATCTAACTCATAAATCATAATTATAATTTTACGTACGCAGGCCTAGATCCACCTTATATTTTTTTTAATTTCAATTATAATTTTTTTTTGGGAGGGGCTGGGTACGAAAAAGGGCCTAGATATTCAATAGGAAAAAAAAAGAAAAAAGAAATACATTGGTATAGTATACTGGGTAGCTCCTTAAGCGGCTTATAGAGAATAATTAACCAGTCCACCCGTCAAGGTAAACCGCAAAACTGATATTCTTATCCTTAATCATTAAAAAGGTGATAAAAATCATCATCTCTTCCCCTTCCTCCAACCCCTTCTCTTCAATCACTATTTCCCTCACATACTCCAAAAAGACCTTAAACGTAATACCTTCCCTCTCCTTATCCGTAGAAATCGTCCTAGCGATCCTTTTACTGCCAGAATCCTGCTCATCTTGACCTGTTATCACAATATCTAGTTCAATAGAAGATGATGAAGAGGATGAAGAATTGTCGTCCAAGCCTCGCAGGTATTCCGTATAATGATTGACATTATTGAGACCATTCAAAATAGCGAGTAACCTTGCGACCATCGTTGGTTTTGGGGTATATATCGGGTTTAACTTGAGTAATACGTCGTTCATTACAAAATTATTCTCTGGGTTTAAGAAAACAGTAGTCCGTTGTCCCTCAGCTTGATCATCATTGCAGACAACATCTGCAGAGGAATCGTCGGAAGAAGAAGAAGAAGAGGCCGGAAAAGGTGATAGAATCGAGGGTTTGGGTTTTCGGCTTCGTAGTTTTGATTTATTTATTGCAAGTGGGACGGGTTCCCAAGGTGAGATTGACATCATATGAACACTTGTGATGCCGTCTCTTGATATTCCTAACACGCAAGGTCTGTGATAAAGGATTTTGTGGTATAGGATTCCTATGTGTTTCCTTGGGGCGGTATACCGGGCTTTGCTAGATTTTATAAAACCGTGGTCTTGTCCGTGATGCCAGAGGGTTTCTCTCCAGATGCGGGATGCTAAGGAACATGCTAGTAGTGTTTCCCAGGGGAGGTAGGAGAAGATTTGGAGATGAATTTCAACGGGGAGGTATTTGTCGATTGGGATTCTTGAGGGTGTCGCCAGTGCCTGTTGCCGTCCGCGCCCACCGCGGGGGGAGATGTTTAAGGCTGTGTAGAATAGTTTTCGGGCCAGTCTTGAAGTTGTGGATGATTTATATGAATTTGTAGCAACTGAGATGATTCTTGAGACGAAGTTGGGTTTTGATTTTGGAGATCCATATTCATCTAGATCGATATCTCTTGTTGCAATATGGGAGAGGTCTTCGAGACTAGATGTGGGACTGGGTTCCGGGAAGGCTAGGAAATCGGCCTCTTCGTCTTCTCTTGCCGGCGTACGCGACATTGTTTACGTTAATTGATAGGTAAGTATATGCCTACAGCGCTATTTGTTAAACTAGGAAGATACATTCATCAATGCACTTTTATATGTATATCAATATTTTTCCAGTTATTTTAGGATCTCTGCATGATCAGGAGGGGTAGGAATGCATTCGAATGTGTCTTGTGTAAATGGTTTGTTGGAATAGAGTTAACTCGACCATGCGAGTTTTTAGGACAATGCAAGGCTGACGAGGCTGCCGTATCCTTGCAATTGGCGGTTTCTAAACCCTGGAGCTCTGCTGCATGTACTGGACTCGAGCCTAGCTACATGTATGCAGTTTTATCCGGTTCGTTAGACGCACAACATGGTGACCTGCATTCTCAACTTTGTGAGATTCCCCACTTTATGCGGATATCGGATACGCCTATCACTGCAGGAAGATATTTGCCGCTGGATAGGATATATAGTATATAATTCGATGCTACTGCCCTAGAAATATACCTGATTGAACTGCTAGGATCGTTTTCCCGAGGAAAGTAAAAGCTTCGAGAAAAATAATAGAAAAAGAACAAAAAGAAAAAGAAAGAAAAAGTAGATAGAGGATGGCCTAGCTATGATGTAGGATTAAATCATAGCTGGCCAATTCGACGCAAATCATTCTCCTCCCCATTCAAAAAAAAAAAATCTGGGTCAGAACGAGACTAATTCAAACGAACAACCACTCCAGGAATTTCCTTCCTAAACTGTTCAATGCCTCCGAAAGCCTTTCCATATCTAACAAAATTATCGTATCTGATATCTACATATGCCCACTTCCAATTAACCCTCATCCCGAACTTCCTGTTCATAACCCACTCCCAAAACGCATATTCCGACCACCCAAACTCAAAGTACCTTCTCACCGCATCCCCTCCGTCCTCTCCAGGTCCCGGATCCCCAAGTTCTTGCCCAACTTTACTAATCAACTGGTATATAACATCCGAGACTTCGGTATGTTTCAGCGGTTGTCCATTACTATCATGCCCTTGAAGGTTTGGTGGGACGGGCCCATAAGAGTGAGATCTGAAATCTTCGATCGTACTTGGCATCATTGCGTCGCCAACGCCATAGATTGCGTGAAACACGACGGGGATGGTGGTCAATGAGATATCGTCGCGGTTTAAAGCGTATAATAGCTTTTCGTGGGTTAGTCTTACGGGTTCGACTAGACTGTCCATGCGTTCTCGCATTCGCATCCAGACTTCGTAGCAGTTGTTTAGGATCATCATTTGTTGAATTTCTGCAGCCGTTGAAATGTCGAAGAGGTATTCTTCCTCTTCTTTCTTTGCGGTTCCTGTTCCTGTTTCTGGGGGTATGTTTTTCTTTGGCGTGTTTTTGATTCGTTTCTTGGCTCTTTCGCAGAAGTAGTCGGCTATTTCGTCGAAGGCTTCTGCTAGGCCTCCTTGTTTCATTTCTCTGAATTTGGTTTTGTTAAAGACATCCCATTGCATTAAGTATTCTACCTCTTCATCCTTTAGTTGTCTCATCGGTAAGTAGTATTCCCTCAATCTCTCCGTGTTTTCATCAATGATACCGGGTGCACCCGAGTCAACCGCGGCGGCGATATATGGGTCATTCGAAACCTCTCTTGGCCAAAAGATCTCATAGCCTTCTCTAAGGCTGGTGGCAATCTGGTTCCTAGTGAAGAATGGTTCGTAATACCGATTGGTTAGGATGGCTGAAATGGTGAAGAAGTTATACATCCCGCCGTAAACAAGGGCTTCGAGATGGCATTCTTCTTCCGTATATCCATGGTCTTCATCACCTTCGTCGTTTTCATGTGAACCATCCTCTGTGGAGGTCGAAGCAGCAGATCGTCCGCCTCTATCCGCTCGCTCTCGCTCTCCCTGTCTGTGTTCGCATTCTGTGGGTAATGGAATAGAGGTAGACTTCTGTGTAAGACATGCTAGATGAGTAGCTGTCGATGGATGATGCGAGAGATAGAGAGAATAGTCGACGAAAAGCTTGAGTTCAAGGACTTTCTTTGCCTCGTAAATCGAGGCTTTGGCGGCACCGCCGGATATAAGTGTATTTATTGACACCCTAGAAGGTGGAGGAGGTGATATTGTAGCAAGGCCCTTTGCTACATGAACCAGATGAGTATAATACACTGCTGCATGCTCAGTAGCTCGAACCTAGAGTATCCAATACCCCCGGTGTTAGAATTAGTCTGAAACCTTCATATATAAGTTACTTTTTTTTGTATACCCAAGTATGGGAATCCTGGAAGATGAGTGCTTACGGCCATTAATGCGTCGTCAAAAGCTGGGATTGCATTCCGACCGATATACGAAACCATGGAAGTCGAAAATGTCTCCCAGAGAAGACGTAGCTGCTTGCATGTTGAAATCAGTGCTAGTGCTTGCTTGAAGCTACCACAGGATCGAATGATCCCGATCACGACCTCTGTCGGCAGATCTAAGATTAGGGTTGGGTGATGCATCTTATAGATGATTCGATTGATGAAGATGAAGATGAAGATGAGATGTCTGTTGGAATCAGACGATGGAATTCTTTGGGTCCCCTTTTTATTCCCCGAAGATAATACACCGAGTCACTACCTCCAAAGTCACCTGATCGATCCCTGACGCCGAGCGTGACGTTGATGTTAAACGTTGTTCGACGTTCTCCTCAGCCCAGCTCAGGGGGGGCCAACCAATTGTTGGATTTTACGTGTTGGTGAAGTCTGTTGAGCCAGAACGGGACATGAAGGGCTCACCATACTCCACGACGACGACGTCTATAAGCCAATAAACACTGTCCACCATATGCATCTCAGGGTTGAAAGAGGATAGAAGAATCCCAACTAGTTTGCACACGACCTTTGGCAGATTTATACCGAGGGCTTCTGGAACGGTAGGAAATGGAGGATCAGGCTATGATGGGTCTTAATTTGGGTTTAGTAGGCATATCTGTTAGCTGCTTAAGATGGGTCCTGGTTCGGCCACCTGATAGACAACCGACGGGTATACTCACTAGTAGCAGGTTTAAATATACATCAGGCTGTGATTTTAAGGTTGCTTTGTTCCAATAAAATGCCTGCTAGCGCATAAATCTCAGGGCCAACATGTTTAATGTTGCCAATTCATGTAGCCTTGTCCTGAACTGGATGCAGCGATGCAATGAGCTGAGCTCAGGCGCGCAGATTTCGTAGCGAGAATATAATCGAATCCATAGCATCGCAATGTAACGGCCGGCCGCAACTAAATTCATGAAGGATCCAGGCAGTTGACTCCATCTTGCATTAGTCCAAGTATAATATATGCCAAGTACGTATACATTATCATTTGTTATCATTTTTAAGCTACAAAATTCAAAAGTGCAAGGGGGACAAACAAAAAAACAGGAATCCGAATTCCTTTGTTTGAATTCTGTAAAACAAACACAACAGAAGCAATCGATTCGAAGAGCGCGGGCATAGCAAATGTGCAAAAGGGTGACAGACATAGGTAGATACAATAAGAAAAATACAGATGCAAGGATATCAAGAAAGACAAATGATAGATAGCTCCGGTTCCAACCCCCAAACTTTCTCCAAACTATGTTACACTTAAATCAGTAGTTAAGTATTTGTACAGATTCGAATATCGCTCCTAAATTTTGGTCCACGTCGCCTGGATGTTTCTTCTCCTCTCTTTAGTTATGTACTTAGTTGATTCCACCCCATCTGCTGTATCCATTCATGCCATTCTTCTCCGTTGGGATCCCCATCTGCGATAATGGTGTGGGGTGTGGAGCGCCTCCCTTTCCAGGCAATGGGATGACACCCTTCCCACCACTTACACTTTTAATCCCAAAATTGATGGCCACGCAGACAAGCATCAAGAAGCAGAGCGCTGTGGGGCCCCATGCATCGTGGTACCTCACTGCCCGCCGTCTTCTAATCTTCTGATGCCTCCAGACAAACATTGTCATAGAATAAAGCAGGGTGAAAATAGCAAGGACCATAAATCCTAAACTAGCGTAGCGAGTCCTGTAGTCTCCGAAGTTGAGTAGTGTAGCCGCGATAGTTGAAATGTAGATACTGTATTCCAACCACGACAGGAAGGTTCGCTCGTTCGCAAAGTATACCTTTGGCTCGATACGGACGGGGACGAAGATTCGTTTTCCAGGGGGAGCGATGAATCGTTTACGACCCGCGCCGGCTGGTGTATTGAAGCCGACGTTGGAGCCTGGTTCAACGGATGGAATGGGTTTGGGGACTAGGTAGCGACCGATGATGACTAGCTTCTTGCCGACATTTCGGGCCTTGCGCCTGAGGACTCGGTAGTTATCGTGAGGCGAATACCAATGATATGGTTCGTCGTCATCGCTTTCCAGTCCAGAATCTTCGCCATCGGAATCGTAAAGGGGATGATCTTCGGCAAAGAAATCATCCTCCTCTTCCGGTCCCTCGCCAGCTCGCTCTTCTTCGTCTTGTAGATTTCCAGCCGCCCTAGGAACGCCAGATCTGCCGTTCGGCTCTGGGATTGGCAAACGGCGGCGGAGGCTAGTTGGACTGCTTGGGCTAGTAATATCTGTATCAGAATCATCCTCGGAAGTACCGGTAGTAGATCCTTGGTGCAAACGCTTGATACCAAAACGGTGGGTGACTGGTTTCCTGATGTCAATATCCATCTGTGGAAGCCAAAAGGGAAGAATTTTGATATCTTTAGGGAACAATGTCGCGGTTCCGTGAAGGAACTTCGAGAACTTGGGAACTGCTTCCACCAAGTGGGATGCAATGACATCACGGATCCATTGTGGTGGTTCCTGCCCCGCTTGCGTCTGGAGCTTGACTTCCAGGACAGCATAGGGGAACCGTTCGATATCTTCAGCAGGAAGGTTTTTGAATGGCCAATCGATGCCGATATCCATTCTCCTCCAGTTGTCACCGGCGCGTTTCCGTCCGTGATTATCCTCGCGGATAAGAGTTAATTCTGTATCTAGAGAGATACGAACACGGGCATCACCGGGGAGCTGGAAGGCGGTACGGTGGTAGAAGGACCTCACTAACGGATGAAGGCGCTTAGCAATCATCGTATACTGGGTCTCCCGTGCCAACGCTTCTAGGTCCTCAATCTCCGCGACTGATTTCTTGCCCTCCTTTCTCATCTTCTCAAATACCTGGTCGACGCTCATCCTGCCGGCCAAAAAGTCGTTCACATTCTTCTCCTTGAGCGCAAAACGAGCCTTCACACTCTTCTCACCGGTCCAGTCTTCTCTGTGAGTCTTCCTCTCCACGAATACTGTCTGTGTATCCATGCCACCGTACCATCTCAACCTGTGCGCCTCGGCACCTTCGCTCTTCTCCAGTCTTCCGAGATATAAATCGAAGTCATCGTTATCGTAGTATATCGACGAAATTGCGGAATCTTCCGGTGCAAACTCCTTGTTTGGGTTAAATACCAACACTGGCAAATGCTTCAAAATGATGAGCTTCAGCTCAGTAATATTATCGGGGTGGACCCAGTATTTGGTAGTTTGTCGCACAAAGTTTTGTTGCGAGCCACCGGCGGCGCTGTCGCCCTTCGCTGGGTTGCCGCGCGTACGGACGAGGTCGTACAGACGAGAGAGGTTAACAATGAAAGCATCATAGTTGTCCTTGAAGAACGGTTTGGCGTTTAGACGGGCGGCAAATACGGGACGAAGAATCCAGCCAGTTTGTTTCTGTTAATCATTCAATCCAATGTCGTTAGCATTCCCAGGAGAAAGTTGCAGCTTTTTTTTTGGTGCATCGGTGACCTACATCGTGCTTTTTGACAATCTTTTGGAACCCAGTGTAATTCAACTGGACGTACTTCGCAAGATCGTGAACATCCGAAATGACATCGCTCAGATCGGCCTCCAGCATCTCAAATTCTTCATCGTTAGGTTCCGATTCTGTCTCTGTATCGGGGACCCCAGCGGCGACACTAGCTCTCCGTCTCGTATTACGTTCCAACAGCTTAATCACGGCTTCAACCTCCTGTTCGGCACCCTTGATCCGACGAACGATTTCTCCGGCCTTGACTTTCTGGAACGTGTAGACCTTGTCCAATTCTGCCTCGAGGACAGCGACAAACCCGGCTTCGTCATCTTCAGTCCATTCTTTGGCGTTTGGGGCTTTGTAACGGGAATTCGCGGGGTATAGACGATGTTTAAGCTCGGACTTCAGACCGTCGTAGTCGATGTAGTAATCGTTATACTCTAAAACCTCGTTAGTGCCTTGCTTCCTACTACCAGATTATCGATACCAGACGGAAGGAAAGGAGATAATGTACCTTTGATGAGGCCTGTTCGCAAGTGTTGACCGAACCTGTAGTCAGCAGCCAATGAAAGGACCTGGTTAGCGGCATATGCAATGAACGACGAACAGACGTTAATAACGAAAGGTGCTGCAGACTTACTTCATTTTGGATCGATCTCGATAAAAACAAACCGGGTTAAAACCGACAAACGAAGCAGCAAACCAAAAAGATTAGGAAGAAGAAAAAAAAGAACGACGAAGCAGAATACCGAATCGTAAGAGAACAGTTGAAGTCGAAGTCGAAGTCGAAGGTAACGACGTTGAAGGTGAAGTCTGTTACGGAGAGAAAGCGGAGAATGAATGAATGATATCAGTTGATCATGAAGTTGCAGTTGACTTGGGGTCCGTTCGTTAGTTTAAGGGCTGGCCGGGATTGACCGTCCTTGCTGCAGCTGGCCTTCTGTTTGGGGAGGCGCAGCGGCAGAAAAAATCAACCAAGGGCGGCCTACCTGCACGAGAAACCTCCCACGAAGGACACTAACAACGACACTAACCAAGTACCTAACTACACTGACAAGGGCAGGATAACTGGCAAGGCTGGGAAATCGAATCACTTGGATGGAAGTGGATAATTGGGACTTGTAAGTGAGACTGGCAATCCAACGTCGATTAAGTTTTTTAGGCTTTGACAGGCTGCAACTAGTAACAGGTAGCACTAGCATGTTGACGTTCTGCTATGACGATGATACATGCTATGGAAAGACACACGGTAGCCGTATGGTAGCCGCCGTTTCAATCAATTCTTCATTCGACTCTGGACTTATGGCATGCAGGAGACCCGGAAAATGCAATTTCTCCCTCGCCGTTGCCATCAAGGGATGCTCCTGGTCAATATCCCTCTTGTGCCTGGCTAAGGAACGACCGAAAAGGGCCAAACTTGCCAGGAATTCTCGGTTCTGGCAGGAATTACAGATTCGATATATCAAAAGAAGAAAGCGGATTGAAACCCCCAAGGAAAATTTTTGGTTAGGAAATTTTCAAAAAGAACAATATCCGTCGTATACGGACATCCAAAGGACGGGAAGTTTACCTGCTGAAGCAGTTTAGAAATATCTTGCTCACTGATATACGTACATAGTAAGTACTTAGTAAGGTACTAACTCGCTAGCCCCCATGCAAACTTATCCCCGTCTAGTCACTGTCACACTTCGACGCTGTTCACGCTAAAACGACCCAAAGATATCGAAAAGTCGATGCTCTTGCAGCTCCATTTTTGCCGTGTTTCGAGTTCTCACGGCTTAGCGTCATGGCGTTAGGGAATATTCAAAGCAAAAAAAAAGAAATGGCTTTTATGAGACCCCACCCCGGCCGCAACCAGATGGGCGCGGGAGCATTCTTGGTATGCATTACCGAGCTATGGGCATCAATCAGTAATATCGTCAGGCATCAAACTTTTTTTATTGAAAATTTTTGAGACTTCTAGATCCTATTTTGAAAATTTTCTGATCTGGGGAAGAGACTATTTTGGCGGAAGTCCGTGGGGTGTCTTGTTTATATCAATCACATGGGGCCGTTGGGTGGCCAGTGAGCTCCAATTGATTCCCGCTCAAATAAAATTTCCAGCCACAGTTTGTTCTTGCTTATCGAAGTGTCAATCCCCACGGAAAGTCTACGAGAACTTCCAGGGAAGTTCAGGCTTATTATGCAATCGTTACTCGCTTAAGAATCGATGCATAGGCGATAAACAATGTCTCCATCCTAAGAGTTGAACTCAGGGTCTACCATCCAATCGTCCGAGAACGTGGCTTCCAAATCGTCTGCACGGAATGCGGGCAATCCCATGGAGCGTGATGTAATAGACTGGCAACTAATGCACGTGCAAGGATTCATCGCTGGGACCTTCATACATATCTTTTTTTCGAAAGACAAACTCTTGAACGCGAAGTTCTCGGTGAGATTTTCCGAACACCGTTTAAATCAGAAAAGTTGGTTCCTCTTTTAAGTACAATTTGGACGAAATTGCTGGTGGAACGAAAATTCTGAATTGCTGAGTCTGAATGGTCAGAGATTTTGGGGACCGCATGCGGTATCTCTCGCTTCCAACTGTTCGTTCAGTTCCACGAACGGCCGGGCCAACTAACCCTCAGTTTGTGTAACGGTGCCATGGCCATATGGACATTCAGGGCTGTCGCGCCCACGGCATGGCTGAATCCACATCCTCGTTGACGTTATCCTTGTGCGAAAATTTTCGAACCCATCCTCAGTTTCTTCCAGTGGCACCATAACCCCCATATCTATCCAAACGGTATTAAATCCCGAGCCGATATCCCGAGAGTGGGCGTCAAGGACCAAGGTGTATTTTATCGGCCGGCCTGGACTTCTAACCATACAAGGATAGGTTACGGAACAGAAATATGGGCATCCTCAAACGTGCAAACGGGCGCAAAATAGTGCTATATGCCTGGAATGTGGCCCTGGGCTAAAAAACCTTAAACTTACTCTAATTCGCCCAAGCGTTCATTCTGTTTATTTCATTATCCAATTACGATGCCGGCAATTCTAACTGGAATGTGTTTCAATCCACATGCTTCCGTGTTCAATTGGATTTCAGATCCCAATATACTTTTTTTTCGCAGTGCAGTCTGGCATGACCAGAATAAGGAAGAGGTCACACGACACTTCTTATTATTGGAGCGGGATTTTGGGGTTATGCAAATGCAATGCTGGGGACGATGATATGTTTAACCGGAATGTTGTGCTGCAGGAAATGGCCCGTTGAGTAACCATTAAGGTTCATATACACTGATTCGTAGGCTATTGGACACATGCTTAACATTGTAAAGTTAGTATCGTCCTGCCTGGGATGTGCATATGCAACCCGCACTAATTTCGTCAGACAAGCATTATCTGCTGTCCCAATTTAGATAGGTTCGTATCGTTGCAATTGATGACAAAAAATAGTCTTGTACTACGGATATCCAGATATTCCAAAATATTAGCCACTTGATCATGTTTTAGTCGCGGATAGAAAAAAGCTTGTTCTGATTCCAAGTATTCCCCTATATTAAACTTGGGGTCTTAAAAAGGAATACCCATGTCCGTTAGTAATCAATATTGCGGTAGGTCTTCAGCTAAGCACGAGCTCATTATCTTGACTTTGCGAGAGTTACACAAAATGTGTGACTACTTCATTTGAGCCCAATATATCAACAGTATGACTTAGGATTCGCAATATTCACATGGTATACCTTGTAATGAAAAGGAGAAAAGGGCGCAAACTATAGCATATTATACACAATGGGTCTCTTAGCCAACCAATAGTCATGAGATCGATTCGTCGGTTCGACGGGGTGTAACTTCAGCCACGTGCGTGTCGATATAGATCCATTCCAAAGATGTTATATCTCGCAGCTTTACTTTTGATATCCGGATACTCGTCCGCATTTTACATCAGGGTCCAGATAAATAGCTCCAAGGAACAAATCGGACCATATTTCTGTAAGTTTCCCATCTCTTTCGTACCATACTTTTGTCCAGTCTCACTAGTTACAGAATAATTACTAACATGAAGGGTCTAAAACAGTATGCAGAAACCTCATCAACCCTCCTTCCCAGAGTAACGAACTCACAGTATGGGCCATAGACCCTCTTGAGACCACCTGCGTGACAGAAGGTGGAAGTCCCGAGTTCCTCATAAATAAACCGAGGGCGGATGGGTTCGACTTCTATGATGAACTCAAACGGGACGGGAAGATACCTTATAACCCAAAGACGTTCTACATTAGTGCGAACGAACCTTGGGGCACGAATTACAATGTACCAATTATGGTGATTGAGAAAGATTTTAGGGCACCATTGGCTCTGGCGACGCATGTATTCCCACCGAAGTTTCCAGCAAAGTATGTTCTCCCTAGTGTCTTGATGTGGATTTTTCTCACTCTTTTCTAATATTCAAAAATTTAAATATAGTTTTCAAGCATTGAAAAATGGTAAAGTACGAAAGGATATCACCGAGGAAAGCCTTCCAGAGAGTGGGGATGTTTTTGAATTTATCGGCCATCCAGATTTCCCCGAGCATGAAAATGGCCTCCGGAGTAACTCTACCTCTATGAATATATTATCGTCACAGAATAGCTAACGAATATTTATCATAGTTGACCTTCGAAAATCAAAATTCGCACACAATGTAAAACGGATCCCCATCACCCGCGACGACAAAAGATGGCCAGCAGATGCAGTCGCTGACCGACCACCCATTGTCCTCACCCTTTCGAACGAAGAGCAGTTTCGCGCGGTAGTAGAAGGGAAAGAAGCCGATTACTTATTAGCAGAGAAGCTAGCAGCCTATGAGAACACAAAAATCAATGCCAAAAAGGTTATCGGCGGGTTCTTTGGCGGTATTACGAAGCAAATAGCATCGGGGGCTGCCAATATTAAAGATAAAGTCGGGGCAGGATTGGCGAAGATTAGACATTTTCGTCATGAAGAAAGCAAAGAGGACAATCCGGAACCTGATCCCGGAGAAAAGGGCGGGAAATGGAAGGATTTCAATTTGGATTATGATATGGACCCAGAATGGTTGGGGCCTCCTCCAGGGACCGAGCCCAACCCTCCAGTGATTGCAGAGCTAGAGCCAGAGCCGGAAGAGAAAATTCCGGTTGATGTCCCAAGCGATGTCCCAGTTGATGTCCTGCCTGAGAACAAAGAGTACAGCGGCTAATGCTAATACATATAGCTAGAGTTAGAATACCACTTATTTGTTTTCGGAATTTCTGATAAAATCAATCTGCTTTTGGTAAATTTACGTAAAGTATCGGCCTTAATCAAACCGCACAAGTCCATGTAGCTTCTGTAGCATATCGTGTCTATGCAAACCCATAGATATAGTTTAAATACTACTGGATCGCAGAAGCCCGCCAAATCAACTTATAGCTACTACAATTGTATTCAGCTGGGGATTTGTGCTCAACTATACTGGCTTTGCAATCTGAAGTTGATGTTACACAGTTGCGTGGCGCCATATAAGACAGTGCGTGATTTTACTGGTCTGCCGGCGCCAGTTGCGCAAATATTTAAATGCTCGTTAACTTTCTGAGTTGCGCGGTTTCGAGTCCAAAAATGCAATTCGTTTATGGCCATCATTATCGGAACATGTGAACAGCTTGATATAGCCACGGTCACGATAATTATAGGACTTGTGGACCCTTTTCGGGAAGACTTCGACTTCCTACATCCGTTTCATCATTACTTAAATCGCAAGGCGTCAGCGAAATCCGATACTAGATAGATAGCCTTCCGACAACTACTCGGCTAGGGACTTTGTCGACTCTTGCGCTTGCTTGAATGCTATATTGGTAGAGGTATCGGGTAGCAACGAGACAGCCTTGTATAGGTAAGTAACTATATATAGCTATAAAGACTTGGTACTATATTCTAATATTATGGTCAATGGACCTATCAAATTGCCTGCGCAAACCAGTTGATCAAATCTATAGCCTAGCGGCCGAGCCTCGACCAGGACGATGATTACATTGAAAGACCTGCCCGTCGAAATCCACATACAAATACTATTCTACCTCGACTGGCGGAGCAAGTATTACTGCTCCCTCGCCTCGAAAACATGGCGAGATGTCCTCCTTGTCTATGGTCAGGACTCTCGCCTCGCTGACTGTAGCCATTACGAAGACACAATCAGGGTTCTGGGTCAACAAGGTAATCCTCTGCCCCCTAGGCGTCCAGGATATCACACCCTTTTCCAAGGAAATCTAGTCTGCTACATGAAGCTAGGTTCTGAAGGAAACATCAAAGCTGTAGCATTTGGGCCCCGGCTCAGAGCTTTAAGCAAACCCATCAAATTGAGTTCACCAACGATGCAATACCCGATTATCACAAGTCTAAATCATTGTTTTCTTCTCAATGATCCAATATTCAAAAAACCTACAAATCTTCCTGATGATGGGACAGGAGATCCGCGCCGTATGTCACTTGAAATGTCTGTGGGAAACAATAATACGAGGTGTTATGTAGAAAACAAAGTATGGTTATTCTCCGAAGAAGCTCGTATTAATAGTATCACGATCAAGGAGTTTCTGAATTTAGTGGTGGAAAATTTACGAGAACACGCTTCTGAGGAATGGTTGACGAATAGAAAATGGGTTATGGTGAGAACTAGGAGATCGAACCCATTCCTGATAACTATTTACGCAGAACTTTTCGAAGCGCCACCGGAACCCATAAAAAAGAAAGGGAAGTTTAGACATCTCCTAACATTTTGGCAAAGATCTCGGTCTGGATTTTAATGTTGTTGACAGTGTGGCTTCACGAGGATGGGGCCAAAAAATAACAGAATGCATAGGTACACTAGATGTTATATACTTTAGTTTAGACAGCAGTCAGATTGATACGATGAAAGTAATGTCAACTAAGGCTTTTGAGTATCTGAGCTCATCAATCCTACCTCCCCGACTCCGCGTGTGAATTTCCCCCAAAACACTGCAAGTTCACCACTCGTCATTACATGGCGAACTCTTATCTTCATTAACTTCCATTTCGTCGCTTCAGACTGTCGCAACAGCATAGCAACTAGTCGGCCGTACATTTGCCTTATTGTAGTCTCCGAGCTCCCAGTATTCTTTCCAAACCGTTCAATCGCGCTCTCCCAATTATCCGGGGTTTCAGCACCATAAACAAACCCATCGAATGTCCCAACGCCCTCAGGCGGGTTTTCGGCGAATTTAAAAACAGGGTGGTTTAGAAGATAATCCTTTCGGGGATCAAGAGTGCAAATGTATTCGCCCATTAACCCAAATCTTGAAAACTCGGCGCCGATTATTTCGTGTATTGAAACAGAGACTAATTCTTCGTTGTAGATGAAAAGTTGGGCTTCATACGAATTTAGGAGGGTATGGATGCCCGGATATGTCTCATCCGAGTAGTCATTGCGGGGGAATGCATGACCATACGTTTGTATGAGATCTCGCCAGAGTGTGCATGTACGGGCACACATAACGTGGGATTCCCATCCCAGATAGTTAAAGATTTGAAGTTGGAGTTCGGGTGGTAATACCTTCGTGATATCGACAGGAGGCTGGGAATCCATCTTCTATGTTGCGTGCTGCATGCGCGACAACGATGTTCGGACTCGGGCGGTTTGACTCACACAACTACTCCGCAGATTGAATCCTGCTAGCTGTGCTATATAGGCTGTGCTACACAAATCGATATTATTTTGTCTAGCGCTAGCTATAGCTAGAGCGCTGCCAGCTCCGACTTGAACATTCAGCGTATAGATATCCTCGGCTTCCAGGGAAAATAGTCGTCAGTCTCAAATCCAATACATATTAGACCCGGTGGAAGGTTTCGTTTTGCTTGTAAACGGCATCTACAGACTTAAGCTTTCCCTTCGAATTGTCAATCCTTCTGTGGTTTGGTGGCTGTTCAAAAATAACACGTCTACAACGCACTTTGATTTATATCAATTTGCCTCTGAGATACATTCTTAGAATCTTTAGACCATGTCAGAAAAGAAAGCCCCATGCCTCCTACTCCCTGTAGAGCTTCAGACTCAGATTTTTTCATATCTCCCATTTCTCGACCAAATCCACTGCATGTCTATTGCCCCTATCTGGTATGCGATCCTTCAGCAAGAGAGCTTCAAGGATATTCGATATTACAACCACATATACCCCACGATTCACCGACTCACTTTCGAAGAAGACCTCGAAATCGACCTCCATGTAGTCGGGGGGCATATTGGAACGGCATCAATCTGGAAACGCCCTGCACCCTACAAGAACAAGCCACAATATCTACTCGCGAACATCGATTTAAAATCCGAACAGCCATCGGTTTTGAGCGAACGAATTTTCAGAGATGATTTCAGCGGATTTTCTAAAGACAAGATTGGGCAAATTCATGTCTCTCTTATCGAAGTAATCCTTGTGGCGTTTACTTCGAACGATCCAAATGCTCGTTTTAGCGGGCCTTGGAAACGGCGGTGGTTACTTTCAGAGCAAATAAATCCTCGCTTCGAAGGGATGACTATTTTGGATCTTCTACAGTTCACGATGGATGTAGTAGCTGCAAGTCATAATTTGGCAATGGAAAATTTGGTCACAGTTAAGTTTGTACTCTCGGGCTGGAAGAGACGAAGATTGGATGTCGTAATTAGCATCTAAACTGTAACCTTCCCTGGGTGGTTTCTGAGAGAGTCGATTCGCTGATCGTCACTGTTGAGATTATTGCCTACGCAGTCTCTTTTCTCAAAAGCAGAATACGAGGCCCAATAAGTCATGTTAGTATTCTCGAAACCAAACTCGTCGGCAAGGCAAATATGAAGTTGGCTCCTCTTTGGTGTTATGAAGCGTTAAACTCAAGGCAGATTTGGCACCCATGTATTTAGACATAGCCCCATAAGCCGTTTAGCGATCTCCCCTCGTAGCGGAAGAAATATCACATTCGCTCACTTTATGCTTAGATCTCCCTTTTATATTAATTTAGGCTGGTTTGGAACCTACCATGCTCGAGTAAGCGCTTGGCGAGGTTGGGGGGCTTAAGGTTATTGGGTAAGAAACTAGCCTTGGGGGAACTCCGAAGATTTTAAGCCATATGATAGATAAACAAAATTCGCACCGTAGTGTAGCATATTATGTATCGGTACGTATTGTGAGAAGTCCTCCGTTTTAGCAAATGTCTATGATTATTATACTATTCCGTTGCACGCTGACTAAGCGAAGGACGTTTTAGTAATTAGTCTCCAAGCTAGAAACGGAAAATTCTATTGAAGAAGTGAGCTGTTAGCCCACGAAGCACTTCTCAATTAAACAATAACATGCATGATAGCGGGGGAATCCCATGCTAAACGACTTAGATTGGGTCTAGAACTAGCTCTGCGGTCTGAATGGCTGGAAAACTGTGGAACTCGGAGAATTGATTTTAATCCTAAATTTTGTAACGGATTTATTGAAGGATTCAAGATGACGACCACCGTTCCACGCCAACATTACAGCCCAATGAGGTTTCCTCTCATCACCATATATCCCATGGAAGAAACTCCAAGGGATACATCGAGAATACGTCATGTTCATCGTCGGAGCGAAGCTTTGGACATATCATTGCATTGCGGCGCAGCTTGCCTCGCTGCACATCCACACCCCGGCAAAAGTCCCGCAGCATTGGCTAACCTGCATAATCGGTGCATGAAATGAGCCGTCCATAGAGCCTCGAAGGCAAATGAGCTCGGTTATGTAACACATCCCAAAACTACACACATTTACAAACCAGTGAAGTCATTTCTAGGTCATTGGCACCGTTGACAAGCTTTCCAAGCACGTATCTAAGACTTCATGCACTTCGGCACTTAATGTTTTGACGTTTAAAGGTGTCAATCGCTATAATTTTGTGCAAATTCGGTTAGTCGGCTCGTTTCGCGAAATTTATTGGGTATTTCGAACTACGGGCCACTCTTCAACGTGCCGTTCGATACTCGACGATCACCGACGTATACCGTGTGTATGAACAGGAACGAGTATCGCAAAGTAGTATAAAATACCCACTTCTTCCCATCAGCTTCCAACAGTCCCTTGTTCAAGAAATTTCTTGGCGCATTCAACTTTATACTCCAACAAGATCATTTGATCCCGTTTTTGCGGCTGAACTGCATATACGAAACTCTTTTTTTGTGCCACCCAGCCACACTTCGCGCTCGACAGGCCTCGAACGCGAACACCATTCGATTGACTGACAGTCGATAAGAAATCCTTCAGCAAAAAAAAAAAACTCCGCCAACCAAAAGAAAGGAAAACAGCCGCCGAAAATTGTGCCATAGATCTTAAATCCATTTTGGTTGTTTGAAAATAGGTAAGGTACCTGACTATCTGAAAGCGGGGGGGTATCGAAATTATTGTATATATTTGCAGCATTGACCCCGCTGGTATGCAAATATTCACCAAATTATCTCATTTTCTCAACTGTGTAGCGAATTCAAAGTATTGCATAGCTATACTTAGTTATACTGTGAAACTCTATCTTTAAACCTTCATCCCACTTCATCTTTCAGTTTTACCTCATACCCATATCAAATTCACTAACTTCGCCAAAATGTTCGGTAAACTTAAGAACTTCGCCAACATCGCCGAACAGAAACTCAATAGCATCCAACCCCAGGGTGGTTCTAGTATGGCTGGATCTTCGAGCCACGGAGGCGCGCAGGCAATCCCGGCGATGGAAGCTGTTGCTGCCCAAGTCGCAATCTTCCCACAATTCGTTGCCCAGAAAACCGAAGCGCTCGTTTTGAAGGAAAAGGTGTTCTCATTGAGTGGGGACTCGTACGATATTACCACCGTTGAGAAAGTGCCCGTTTTCAAGGTAACTCTATAAAGGACCTCGCAGACAGCATATTTCGTCGCTCGGAGCCCGTGCTGATAGGATCGATTATGGATAGGTCCAAGGGAAGAAACTATCGTTTAGCGGTCGTAAAATCTTCGCCGACCAACAAGGAAACGAACTGTTCCACCTCCGAAAGGAACATCTATCAATCCATACTACTTACTACGGAGAAGATGCTTCCGGAAAGGTCTTATTCGAAGTCAAGAGCAAGTTCAGCAGTACGTTGCGTCGCTAAACTCATTTCGCTTGATATGCGGTGTTTGTTGCATATGTTGTGGCTCGAAGTTAACGTTATTAACGCTGGTGTAACATTATAGTCGGGACCTCCAAAGCGTACGTCAACTTCACCGACGTAAATGGCACTGCCCATTCCCTTTTGATGAAGGGTAACTGGTTCGACACCAAATCCGATATTGTAGATGAAAAAACCGGCGCAGTCGTTGCTTCTGTCAACCGAAAACTTCTCAATTTCGGTGAACTCATTGGTGGCCAACAGACATACGTCCTAACAGTCGCTCCTGGTGTTGATATGGCACTTATGTGTGCGGCCTGCATATGCTTTGACGAAAAGAACAACGAGAAATAAGTCTAGCTCAGACAGCTACTATAGATCTTCTATCAGGGGGAGAGATCCTAATACTGTAATTAATCAGAAGTCTGTACTGCACTGGACCGTGGGGTTTGCATTTTGGGAATGTATGAATATGATTTATGTACCTCGTTCCCCACTTAATTCCCTTCCACTTCATACGATTAAGTTGAGTTAAATTTATCAAGATAACACTCTGGATTTATCCACTTTTTGTTTCCAGCCGCAAGCCGAGGGTGTGCATGGATAACTGTTCCCTGCACAGTAGTTCATGATTCAACTGCAAAAGTTATCGTGCCATTTTCGCATGTAGTGGCTGGAATCCAATTATTTAATTGGCGACCACATATAGTTGGGTCACGGTTCTTTCCAAGGTTCTTAAATTTGTCGAGCCTTATTGGCCTAATGAATGTCATCCAAGATTCTAGTATCCGGCGACGGATATCAAGTGGCCGTGGCTTTCCCACTTTTGGTATTGTTTGTCTCGGGATTATTTCTGTAAGAACGATCACAATAAGACGCCCTTCCAAACATATCAGCGACCATGATTGTCTTTAGAACGAAAATCCAGATATTCCTAGGATAGAGGCACAGCCGAGTTTTTTGAAAGTAGTATATAAGGGACCATGCGGGCCAGTGTCTTTTTCAAACCCCAAGTTTACCAGAAGAATTCTAGCATCGAAAGTTTTGAAAATCAGAACTAGCCACTATGTCTCGCGAACGATTTCAAAGTACGACAGAGGTTTTAATGCTCACCAAAACCAATCCTGTATCAGTGAATGCCATCAGACCCAAGATGCACACACCAAAAAGGAACATGCCAAAAAAAAATACTTCACAAGGTATCGGGCATGTGGTCCTGCTGCTTTTAGCTATCAGTACTAGTTTCGCGTAAGTTGGTTCAATTTGTAAATTTGTTATTTTTTTCGTTCCTGGAACTTCATTCCGACGGTGTACCTGTGTGCCTGAGAATTCCGATAATTCTTATCCATGTTATCGGCTCTTATTTATCACCAATTGCTTCTTTTCGATCTTTCAAAGGCCGCTTCCAAGTTTTGTGTCCTTTCACATCACTGCATGCATTAGCTTGTCTAGATCACCTGTCGGCAGCTCCACTTCCAACTTTCTGAATTCACACAGCTGCAATTTACCTATTCGAAAGGTGTCCCGCCCGGTGCCCACCTTCGATCGATTAATTGGCTTTAACAGATCTCTTTTATGAGATCCCGTCCTTGCTAGGCTAGCCAGCCATAGATCTCGCCAAAAAAAAAAAAAAAACTTAAAAAAACTTTAATGATGCGGTGCCAACCGACGCCATTTTAATGCAAGAATTCGTCCCTCCCTTTTGCTTTGGCGTCACCATGCATCCTTACCTCATGCCTGCAATTTTATTATTATTTTCCCTACCGTATACCATAGAATCTTATGTAAAAATCCATGGTTTCTCCGGACCCTTTTTACGCATTAGTCTCCATACCTCCATGTCCGCAAGTGTCGATTGGAAGAAAACTGCAAGAAAACCCTAGAAGCAGCCCAAGAAGCACTCACCTGCCATAGAATATTGGCTTCCTCGTCTCCACTTGCGAAAAAGGCTGGCTCAGTGTTTCCGGCCGAGACACGGCTTGGACTGAAATGGGGTGTTGCAATGACAATCTTGGTCTCTTCATTGCCTAAACGGGTAAGTGTAGCTAGCGATTGATCGCTGCCCAACGACCCTTGCTTTCCCTTCCAGTTTCGAACGTTTCCTTGTGCCACCAGTTGCAACTTCTGGGATACAACTTGCGCATGCAATTGCAGACTACAGGCCCACACCTGAACACGTAAAGGCTGCAGGTTGGGGACTCGGAATGGCCTGCCTACTGCTCGAGGAAGCTGAGTCTCACCTCGGGATGTGTGCTGGGATGAAGAGAGGAAAAAAACCATCAAATGGGATGCATTCCTGCATGTCTTGGAGGACGCAAAGTAACGTTAGTATGTTAGCTCCGGGGGAAATGAGAAAATGGGATTTGATATTCGGAGAACTACGTTAGTATAAGAGTCTTCCGATAGCCTACTAGTATTTATGGCTCGGTCTCCTCTCCTCAGAGCCTCATTCTTCCTCTCTATCCCCCCGCATTTAATCAGTTGTTCGTTGTGGTGGAATTTTTTTTAATACTAGTTTTTTTATAATTGATACTGGTTGCATTCTTTTCGTATCTTATAAAACTCTACGTAGCACAATGGTTGGATTCGCGAAGTACGTTAGCGCAGCTTTGCTCTGTGTGCAGAGTTTTGTCTCTTGTGTCGACCCACAGGCTGTCTACGACGGTGGCATCAAGGGAAATAAGGGTCCCATCAAGTTGAGGATTGGTAATGGTGGCGCCGGTCAGAGCGGACTTATCAAAGGTAATTACAATATATTGCATTCTTAATGCACACATACCCATACGGGTCCCTCAAACTAACCTTCGTTGTCTATAGTCCTCGCCGACGAATTTATCAAGTACGAAGTGAAGAAAGGAGCCAAACCATTCAGGGTAGCATGGTACCTCTCTGATACCACCGTTTCCATCAATTACCTCCAAGCCGGTACTGTCGATGTTGGCTTCACATATTCTGAGGTTGCGGAGAAAATTGCAATTAAGCAGGGAGTCGCCACATCACGACATTATGCCTGGAGGGATCACTTTTTGTTCGTCGGACCAAAGGAGAACCCGGCGAATATTACCAAGTCGTCAGACATCTTGACCATTTTCTCGAATCTTTACAAGGCTGCCCAGAACAATAAAGTTACCGATCCCGTACAAACAAGATTTTTAAGCCGATACGACAAGTCTGCCACGAATATCAAGGAGTCGCAGATGTGGATTAGCATTGGTCAGGTAAGGATACACCGCTAAATTCAGATACTAGAATTAATTGAGACTAATCAACCAATTTAAAGGTTCCATGGGCAACTGCTTACTCCACCTGGTACCACACCTATATCGCTTTCCCGGTCCAAGCCTTGGAGGCTGCTATCCTCCTTAAGGAATACACTATTACTGATAGAGGCACATACCTTTCCATCAACCCCGATCTCGCCAAGAAGACTGTTATCTACAAGGCCGCGACAGACAATGCGACTGATGCTTTGCTGAACCCTGCATTCTTACTCATTGGCAAGAAGGCTACCAACTTGGGAACAGTCAGAAATTTCCAGAAGTGGGTTGTGCATAAGAAGCTAGGGCAGAAGGCCATTATTGCCTTCAAGAAGACAGGCAAGCAGTTGTACACTGGAGCTCCATAAAGGAGTGGCCTAATACGCTTTTATATAAGAATGATGTTATTGTTGAATTGGTCTGCGTTAGTACTTTGGACCACGGTTTTATGCATCGTTTGGACGGATTTATATATAGGATTATTTGGGGCGTCACTGTTTGGATAGCCGTCATGATGATTGTACGTAGATGAAACTTGAATACTCTCGAGTCATAATTTAAAATAATGTAATTATGAGATACCGAATTTTGTCTTGATGGTTCGGTTTACCAAGCTCAAATTCACAGATGCGCGCACTTATCCTGTATCTGCACCAGCGCTATGGATACAAAGTTCCAGCCTATCCCTATGTAAACCGAATGGGCGTGATGCGACATCGAGGCTACAAGGCATATTAATCAGGTGTCTTCTTCAAGACGAAATGCTTGTTGCGCTCAACGCTCAAATCCGTGCTGACGCGGTGTTATACGTACCGCGGTACCGTTATCCGCAACAAATAATTACATGAAGTGGGGCTTACCCCGCCATAATTTGGCGTGCATGTTCGTACCTAACTAAATATAGGAAATTTCGATGTCGACGTCTGCGGCGAGCCGAGGGCGGACTAGATAATTGACACTAAGAGATATTATATCTTGCTGCATAGGAATAATACACGTACACGTGTGTGTATTCGCAGTTGCGGGTTATTTAAACCCAGGCCAGCCACGCAAATGACCAACGTCTTTCATTTATCGCGAGTTAACCTCCAGACAAACTCTCTTTAGAAAAAAGAACAATTGGAAAAAATTTTTATTGTCAAAATCAAATTCGAAAACGTTCGCAAAGGCAAAGAATACAAAATGGAAAGCGAATCGTGCAAGCCAAATTCGGAAGGTCTTCAAATCTTGCCTACGGAGCTTCTGCTGTCGGTATTTGAGTATCTAGACTCCGATGACAAGCGAGCATTTTCAAGATGCTCTAGGGCCTGCTATTTCCTTACCTTTCGACTTCGGATTCGCGGTATCTATTGGCAATCGTGTTACAGCACCACGACCCCCACTTTCCTACGACGGTTCGAAGACGGACAGTCTTTCTCTCCACTTGTCAAACATATCAAGTAATTATAAAAATAGAGAGTCTCACCGTTTATCATAAATATACTAACTTCGATACATTAGATCTGCTAAATTCGATTTCAAGACCATTCAGGGTCTTTCCACACCGCTAACCGTATTATCGAAGTTCCCAGCTATAACCAGTATCAAAATCTGCCTCGGCGAAACATACTACTTAGAAAGAAATTTATATGTCAGGATCCTATCTTTCCTCATCACCCTTCCGTACTATGATAATCTTATATATCTCGGCTTTGTATGGAGGGGTGATGAGGTAACGATAGAGTGGGACTCATCTTATGACAGGGAGCACATCCATGATGACCCCCACGAACTGTATTCCGGCGCGGTGGTGGATAGGACCTATACGATCGAAGACCAGCGCGCGGAACTTATAAAAGAGCTCCATTCATCTCAGTGGGAACGCCGGAGTTTTGAGTGGACGAAAGTTGCTCTTTGTGAAGAAGAATTCCTTGGGAAATACGTTTCACCGATTGGGCTTAATCAGCTAGTTTTAAGAGGTGAGGTACGCCTCCCCAAGGGCCTTCGATCGCTTCAGCTTGGGATACCAAAATGTGAACCCTCATTCTACCTGCCTTTACTTCGCTGCGAGGAAATCACCTCCCTTTTCCTGAGTATCCCATCCAGAGACACGGCAGTCAGTCCGATATACCCCGAGCTAAACACCATGATCGAACTCCCGCGTATCAAAGACCTTACCCTCTACTTCCATTCGGCAAACTTTTTCCACTACGAAAAACTCTTGAAACAGCTACCAAGTCAATTCCCTAATATAACGTCCTTGACATCTAGAGGTGTCAAGTATGTGGGAACGTTTCTTGTTCCACTCCCCGACTTCCCAAAGCTTGAGTCTCTTGACCTAGACGTACATAAACTCTGGGAGATCGAAATTGCAGAAAACCCACTTAAGAACAGGTTGGAAATTGGCGGTTATCCTGAACTAAGAACGTTCAAGCTGACTGCCTTTGAGGATGACGAGGAGGTGCAAATAATTTGTAGTATTTCGAGGTTTAAGGGATTGGATGGCGGCAAAGAGACTTATGGTTTCTATTGGGAAGAACTCCGCAACGGCCACCTTAGCGCTATGGTTCGTAAAGAATCAAACAATCATGAAAATGAAGAAGCTTAAACTTAGACGGTTGGTTGAGGTAGCTAGTGGAGGCTCGTAGCACGAAACAAAAGAGGAGGACGTGAAATGGCAGCAATAACAAAAAGGCACTAAGGAAGGCATAAGGTGATGGAATTGGCCGATAAATTTCGCAATATGTTTACCATTGCTGTATTAGATTTAGTGAAAGAAACATTTCAATGAACAGCTAAAGGCAGTATATATAACAGCGTAGAAACTTATGTGCTCTTGATGAACGGAGGCACCGTGTGCGCTTTCGAATTAACAAAGTTGAAAGTGTGTTGCTCAACCAAAATCCAACAGGATAGAGGCTTGCCTGGGGCGTGAAAACCAGCATTAATGCTCGCTATGATGCATGATGTAATACGATATTGATAAAACGGAGGAGGTATTGTATAGTCTTGCTGATGATATTAGATTATGAACGAAGGATGCTTAAGAGCTTGAATGATGAATGTATCTATGTTCCTAGGGGTGTCATGAGTGGCCCCTTCGGCCTTCTATATGGCTTCCATCAGAGCTAGATTAGGTTGGCATATTTGATTTATGGGCTTTGGAGAAGTCAGTCACATAATCTGAGCCTCTCGTCTTGCACGCCAGTATTGGATTTCTTTTTGACTGTAGTGGTAACGAAAATGAATTGGTTAATTGTATCGACTGAAGAATTTTAAATCGATCGTATATATATGCAAATTTGTCTTCAGTTTGGCCGTTATTGGGAATATTCATGAATTCACGAACTTGTCACTGCAGTTGAAACCGACACCAGCTTAGATCACATGCTCCAACTAGTAGCTAACTTAATTAACCACACCTGAGAGCTAGTAGCATGGACCTGGGTCTATAGCGCTATTCGGTCCATCCGGACTGGTAGGCTCCCTCTAATATAATCTCCATGAACTAACCCACAAAGTACTTCATACCGCTTCAAATCTTATACCAAATCCAGTGTTCCCGGCATAGTTGGCAAGAACGGACATAAAATCTCAATTCATCTAAAATTGAAACAGCAAACTCACATATCCAGGGTTTCAGTATCTGACATTAACTCCGTTCCGTGGAGATCAATGCCACTGAGACTACCCAGATCTAAAGTTAAAGGCCAGCCATACAGATGATGCGTATGAAGTTTCCAAGATGACAAGAAAATCGAGAAATGTCGGCAAGAAAGCTTAAGTGGCAAAAGGCTTACTTTGGTGTTAATGCATTGCTGTAATGTCAATGCAATAGATTGTCGGAAAGTGTCACCAGCTGTAACACGACCGTGGGTCTAGACAAAGCCCTTTTTTTTTTACCTTAAATAGATGTATGGCATAGACTCTCCAGTAGACCCTGAAAAAGGTTGGTATGACTGTATTATCATATCGTCTTCAAACTCTCTTGCTATATCTTTTCCACCCAATGACCTCTAACTTTATTCCCCGGCGTATCAGAGACTGCATTATCTCGTAAATGCCTCATTTTAGGAGCTATATCCTTCTTATACCCCCTCAAATGAACCAATATTATTAGCCAACAGATTCTGGCCTCAGCTCCGTCGATATATTGTAAGTAATCATAAGAATACTTTCTATCTGAGCTTGTGGCATATGCATGGCCAACTTAACTTTAAGCCAACAGCAACTAACAAGGTGCATATATGACAGCCAACAAGCGGAACTTTAAAGTGACTAACCGACCTCATCGAACTAATCTCCAAGTAGATATTCGATGCTGAATACTTGCTTAGCAGTTTCCAGCCACCTCTAATGAGCCCTTTGTAGAAAACTTTTGCAAAGTTTAGTTTTTCAACTTGAAACTCAAGTATGTGGATTTACATGTATAAAGAGACTTTTAAAAACTTAAAAGACTGGATATTTCTGCGTTGTCTATTTAAACGAGTCCACTGACTCTGCTATATTTAAGTCTGGGTGGGTCATAGGGACATCATCCAGGCCGCCACATTTGCAAACGTCTATAGGGCGAGTATTCTTAGCTTAGGCAGGAGCCTACAACACATGCACCTCGATGAGAATAGATTTCTAAATATCGAAGTTAACTAGACCGCTGTATACAATGAAGCTACGGTGTGTATACCATTGAATGGGTTAGACGGGGGCAAAAGCCACAGGGTAGACCTATTAATAAAAGTCATAGTGGTGCATTTAAACTCTTCCACCCCAAACTAGTGTTTTGAAGTTCGAGCGATCTAGACTTGTTCTTCAATAGAATTTAAGTATGGCATCATGTCAATAGCGACATGCAGGGCGTTACGGAACCCTATTTTATCCTTCCGTCATAGGAGGTTTGGGAGGTTTAGCATCATGAAATCTAGAAATCGGAATCTTCCGGAGAGTAAATTTGCAGAGAAACGTTTTCCATCACCTCTATTGAATTGCGATTGCGAAGTGCGCCTGTCTTGTAAATTAGAGAAATAAAACGAAAGATTCTACCATGAAAGCAATCCCCTCTGGTATAATGACTAGACTCCGTAAAAATGAAACTCAATCTTGTACATAAAGAAAGATAATGCTGTAGTTATAATGCAATACATGGTAATCGTAGATATTAGATACCTCATAGATCGTAGTGATGGTAAAGAGAGTAAAATAAATCAACGCAATCATTAAATTTATTTTTGGTAAAGGAGCTGAAATCATTGCTTTGGCGTATGCTCTACCACCCCTATCGTCGCCGTCGAGTCTCTTCTTCCTCGTTTCCATAAGCAGAAAAAGATACCAGCTAAAAACAGGAGGACGGTCAAGCCGAGTCCGAGACCCAGACCCAAAGCAATTTTAGCTGCTTGCGACAGCCCTGAATCCGCGTATACTGTTGACGGCTCGGCATTATCTGGTGTTCCTGTGTAAGTCGTGTGTGACATATCTGGGGATGTTTGGCCTGGAGACGGTTCTACGAAGACCTCGTTAGTAATCTTTTCCCATAATTTTCTCTCTCGTGGTTTTAGGACGAAACACAGAAGAAGAAAAAGGTTATCTGTGGTCTATATGGTTGGGCAGATAGAACAAGTTGGCCATTCTTCTAAAGTTGAAAAAAAAGAAAATTGTGTAGAAAGAAACCACTCCGACGAACCGTTACCTCTGCTTGAAAGTGTCGCCATTGTTGTCTGTTGTGCTCGTACGACATTTACTTGACTACAATATCGTCGATAGATGCTCATTGCACTCGAGAGATCGGCGGCGGATGTTGTTTGACAGCTCTGAACGAAACTTGATATGAAATTTGTAGCAGTTGCGACCGCCTTCGGTTCACAATAGCATTCGTTTTTTGCATATCGACCGCATCCAAGCTCTATACCGAGATCTTTGAATTCTGGGTCGTCTCCTCCACGGCCAAATCCACCATTGTACCAAAGGGCTGACTGCACACACTGACTGCCATCCCGATAGTCCTGATCAAATACAACGTTGACTACCGCTGTCGGGGCTTGAGCGTTTGTGTGTGGAATGAGAAGAGTGAACCCCAGCACCAAAGAGGAACCGGCGGTAACGAATGCGTTCCAGGTAGATAGCAGCATCTCGTCCAGTAGAAATCGAAGAAGAGGATTAGGGCGGGCAGGGATCAGTCGTTGTGGAAAGTGTTGTTTTTGTAGTATATTTGGGCTTGTGTAACACCACCTCTTGTTTGCTTGAACGTTTGCACGTTTGAGCCTTTCGACCGCTGTTTTAACCTTTTATCGCACCAGAACCATAAGAGAGTTGGACAGATCCAGGTTCAGAGGAGTCCATCGTGAGATATTCCCACTTTGATATGGGGCTAACTGGGCTTTTAAAGGTGCCCCTTCAGAACAAATATTTCCAAACTATTGCAGTTCGATCCATCATTAAGAGTGTCCTCAAAGACTATTGGACTCTCAGCCGCAGGCTGCATTGTCCACTGTGTACTAGCGTGGAATCCGCAGCCACCTATCGGATCTAGACTCTATAGGAGATTTTGGGGATGGCGGGTTCCGCATGGTCGCGCGCCATTTAAAGACATATTTCTCAAATTGGAAACGCTTTAGCTCTAACTGTTCGCCTTCGCATCTTGAGAACCGTTTCGTTCATTGCGATCTTTTCATCCGATGTAATAAAAATATATTTACCAATGTTTTCAAGGGCGTTGAAAATATCGAGACATCGTCGAAGGGTCGGTCCAAAAATAAAAGGAAAACTTGGACTGTCAGAGACTGCCTAAAATAACCTATTCGTAACTCTTTGACGCAAAAGAGGGGAAAGCATAAGAGAGCAGCTTTTGTTTTGCTACAAGTGTTTTTTATAACGTTGTCGGCACCCGCATCTCAGAAGGGCAAGTACACGCTTGTAACCGAGCTTTGAGCACTAGCAAGCGGCACTCTCTATCACTCTGCGTCACGGACTTAGCCATAACCTTACACCTACCAACTCCACTTTCCCCTAGTAGTGCATTCTCAGAAAGTCTGATAAAACCAGTCTACAAGTCTATGTATGTCTAGTGTAGCCGCGCCAGTAGCTCTGCTCGCTTGGCATTGGACCAGAAATCATAAAGTCGGTTGTGCTCTGACATGAACATCACCGTCATCCTGTACTCGGTATCGATGGGAAAAAATCGAGCTAAATGGTGGAGAAACAGCATGAACTCCAAAGCAATGCAATGCATGCACCGTTCGTCGACAGCGGGAAAACTCGTCACCGGTCATGGGGTTTGGCCGAAGGACGACAGCAAAATGCCCAATGATGACAGTCGTTTCGACGCCGGTTGGTTCGGTTTAGTACAGCCGAATAAAAAGCACAGTGATTTTTAAATTCAGGGATAGCATACGAGATGGCTCTGGGCTTGTCTGAGTTGAAGTGAGTGGTACCAGGTGCCCCGGTGGATGTTGATTTTGGCTAACCATACCATGAGAACTTGCTTGTTTCTTCTGCGATAATCCCACCAGGTTTCGGCAGCCCAAGCCGCTTCCAAAGGTCAAGGATCTACAGAAGTGTCGGAGGAAACGGCGTTATATCTCGGAGTCTCTGTCCCTACTGTCCTTACTCGCAGCTGAATCGTACATAGCACGATGCATCAGACGTCTGATCGACGGATAGCCTAAACTCTAAACGTTCGGACTCAGTATCTTCCTGAACAGCAAATTTATATCAATACATAGTACAAAATAAAACGGCTTGTTGGCAGACAGCCATCCCGAAGTCCGGAGTGGGAGTGCGCCTTTGCAAGACTGAGGAAAAGAGGGCCTGATGTGAGCCCAGAGTTTTGCTCGCACGATGGCGTTCAGAGACCCGGAGCTCTGTGGGTTCCGAAAAAGAAATTTATCCCGCCAGGAAATCGATACCAAGATACTATACGTATGCAATGCGGTTGTCTTTGGAAATATCCTCAATAAGCTTAAATTCCGCCAGATCTCTCAGTTTAACAGCCACAGCGGCGGCTCCATTAGTATCATGAAGTTAAAACAAAGAAAAAACTGGAGTCTTAGTTTCCGTTTAAAACGGAGTCTTATGCCAGGAAGAAGGACTATTTTTTTTAGGAGATAGAGAGTTTGGTATAGAAATAATATAACGTGCTCTATCGATACTTCTCAGATATGTTTCAGAACTCCAAGGAGAAAAGGTAATAGTTTTTAATTTTGACACCTTAGACTTTTACATGTTTGTACAAGATTGTATAAAGAATCGAGAAAAAACTCATATATATGCAGGTGCAAAAGTCTCGGTTCAGAACCGGTTGGTGACCAATCATACATGCTTCCCCTTTTTCTATGACAATAAGGGTGTTGATATATGTCGCCGCCCCAGCACGGAGCTTTGGCTCGACACGAGAACAGTTTTCTTCGCCCTGTGCAAAATTCCACTTGCAGGTGATCAAAATTTGAGAGGAGAAAGAAAAACCTGACAATTGCATATCCAATGTCCGGATCGATCCGGACAGCGCAGTTTTATCGGATATTTTTCAGTTTAAATCATAATATCAAGCCTCTTTTAGTATTGTATACTACCATGTTTGAAGCTAAAGAATACCTTAAAGGACTTACTACCTCAACTTTAGGTACCTACTCAACTACTCCGTGAACACTACCCTAGAGCCCAGGAACACCCGCGCCTCGTGTGGCAAGGGCCCCTACCCCTCCCCTTGCAGCGGAGATTTTGCAGGATGATCTGCACCTGAGTTTGAACAAGGTCCAATCCGCACTTTTCTCGCCTTTGAGCCGCACATACATACCGGGGGGAGCGAGATCCATCGATTCTCTCTCTTTTGAGAGACCTTTTTTGTTTTGCCTCCCTCCTGCAGGCCTATAGATGGCTGGGGTGAAAACTTGTTTGGTTTTCATGAAAAAGCCATGGAGTATAAAATACTTCCATCACCTGACACCCTCATTATTGCAAAAACGAAGGCATTCACTCAAAACCTGTCTCACCACAAGCTCCATTCGCTCGATAGCTTAATTAAAAACGCATCCCACACCCGCGGATGGTAGCGATTTCGAAGCGAGCGAGGACATGTGAGCTCTTGGTTTCAGTTTTCAGGGTTCTGTCAAAAGGAAATCCTAAGTTGACGTTGGACGTAGCTGCGGATATCCGGATCTTAAAAATTGAAAGATAAGTTGAATTAATTTCACCTTCCCAAGCTGATAGGGGAATATCTGAGACCTGCGGGTCTATCACGATATCAGTCAGGTCAATGCGGGAAACCAGGTTTTTGTCTAAGGTTAGGTTTTCGTGATGCAGCTAGTTTCGTTAGCTTAGCTAAGAAAAGTTTTGTTTCGAAAACAATATACGGGCTAGATCTTCTAGGTCGACATATATCAAAGCTTTATTATTATTTCCTAAATTAAAGAACATGTCAAAGGGTTTGACTTTCGCCTCCCGGTGAAAGAAAAAAAACTCTATTATACATAGATATACTAGTGAGTAGTGGTACTAGTAAGTGCGATTCGGTATATATAGGACCAATCCCGCCTCCTCTTTTGGAACCCGAACAAAGTGGGTCCAAAACTTCTGGGTGCCTCAGATTCAACTCTTCTCCACACCAGCTCTCCACTTATGCAACACTGCTAAATCGTTGCGAGGCAAAAGCCTCTCCAGCCAGCAGCTCATACATATTATGCACATCAGAAGGCCTCCCGCCATCTGTTTACTACTATGTATTGGCAAGCCCCGCGGGACCCGCCCGTCTTGTGTAAACTTCTCGACAAAAGAACCTAAGAAATACTGGTTGAGAAATCTAGATACATAGAATGCACTCTTTTCCCCTCCTCCCTTGCTAAAGCTTGCAGCTTGCAGCATGCAGTTCATGCAGACGTACATTAAAAAATAATGAAAGAGTTCCGTTCTAGCTCTAGTTTTCAAAAACGTGGAGCACATGGATCGATAAGCACAGGAAATTCCCCTCTTCGGCGACATTGGTCCGACAGGACGAGAGTTCTTCCTGTTTTTGAACTGGCTCGTGCCCAGATATCCCAACCTTCTATGTTTAAAAAAAAAGAAATACTACCCCCATGACACGATTCTAAATCTACGTTGACATCTTAGTGATGTGCATATATCGATAATTGGCGGGATGAGATCAACGCTGCATCCCAGGCAGCCACCTTGATTTGTACAAATATTCAATTTCAAAAAGGATATCAGATAAAATAAAGCACCGCCGTAGAGCGCTAGAGAACGCCCTCTATTGCTGTTCGGACCTTGGACTATCCCATTCCGTATCTCTTGCTGATTCCATGCAGAAAAGCTTGCAGAAGCTAAGCATATTATGAGAATGATAATAGATATCGATACTTGGTCATGTAGACATCTGTGGAAAAACCTGGAAGCTCTATAGATGAGCCTAGCTCCAAAGATATGAGTAAATCGGCTAACGCACTTTGGTAGATCAATTGACATGCAGGGGGTGGTGGCGATGTGCATGTAACAGGTATATTAATCTTGACGGTTTAAATACGGACAACGGTAAATCGTGCACGCGTGGGTACCTGGTGAAAATAACTTCAAGAGAACATGAGCTGTAAGCTGTTGTGTAACTTGGATACTGGAAAACTTTAGCGACCCGGTATCCCAAACTCATTCTGATGTAGTTCTGATGTGTAAATAAACTTCATACTGCCGAGCTATTGGAAGCTATGGTTTCTAATCTAGGAATATGCAGCGTCAAATCCTGTCATGAAAGTATTTTTGACGACATTGTATACGTATCATGTGGCAAATTTTCATCAGTAAGTCATAGATCTTCACAATATCCGAGCCATTTGCATTTGCAAGCTCAATGCACTGACGTTAATTAACTGTTCAGAGGACGCAAAATCAGCAAGATAGTTAAATTTGTATTATGCATGCAGAAAGAACTCTATAATATTTCGTATCATTGGGCCTATACCAGCACACTGCATCCCTAAATCCCTAAATCCACCGGTCCCGGTGTCGGCCTAGCCCACGTTTCTTTCTCTCAAGATCAGACCTATACCAACCGCACTCCTGGATCGTATATGCCGATCACACCCTATAATAACCTTTCAAGCATGTCTACAAATCCATACCATATATGTACTCACCAAGCTATGACCTCCTCATAGTTAACTTACATGGGCCATGGGGATGATAACGCTGTAGAAAGCTTTGAGAGCATACCCAATTAACTAATCATGAATACACCCCTTTTATAAAAAAAACATGCATAGTGTATATCTAATCCTTGAATTGATACATATACGGAAATTCTAGTATATTCGTATCCATAAAACCTGCATAACTTTCTATGAATCAACCGATGAAGCTTGTCCCGGAATCCCCATATGCCGATCCATAGATCTAATTTTTCTATATTTTAATTATAATATTTGTCAAGATAGTTATATTGACTCGCGAAGACCAGCTTCCCATCTCATTTCATTTCATCCTCTCCAACCTCACTCTGTAGTGTAGCATGTATACCCCCAAACTCTATACTATCGATATCAAACAACAAAAAAACCAATAGATACATAAATGTTTTAAATACCAAAAGGGGAATTAAAAAGATTTTATTTCAATGCAAAAAAAAAAAAATATATGTTTTGCGGTATTGTAAATGCTCGCTAAAAATGCTAAATATTCTAACGATATTTAAAAGGTATAGATATATCGATGAGAAAAATGGGGTGTGTGGGTGTGTGTGTGATCGATCGATGCTGTGATCTTTCTCCTTCGTAGGAAGACCCAATGCGTTTTGCAACAAGAGCACATATACTTTAGTAATCAAGCCGTAGCTCTGTTAGACAAAAAAAAGGAGAAGAACAAAAAGTTAGAAGAGGGGTATAACGCAAAAAGAATTACACTCGCAATGCTATAAACAAAACAAAAAGGAGAGAAGAAAGAGAGAGAGAGAAAAGGAAGAATATCCTCCAGTCCACCTTTTTCTACAAATCAATCAAATCCCTATGTCCAAAATCCGGCGGATTCCCTTCAAACACCACCTTCGTCTTAAACTTCAAGAAAGCATTCTTGTTACTAATCCACACCTCTGGTGGTGTATTCTTAACCTCATCGGTACTGATCCCCAGAATATCCGTAGGAATCCACACCGCAGGTTGTCTAGCAACAAGACAAGGGTGTTTATATGCCTGCTCCATCAGCGCCTCTCGTTGTTCGTATGTCAAATCCCCAAGATCGTCATCGATATGTGCGAATAGCCTTCGAGTCTTGGATTCCATTCGTTGTTGTTCTTCGTCGTCGTAATGTGGCTTTGAGGGTGGCATTGCCGCCTCCAAGATATGTTTACGAAGGTCGTTGACATCTGTATAGTCCGAATAATCATCTTGACGGATTTGCCGTACCAAACGTGCGATTTCGAGGCGTCGCTTCTTTTTCATGGCTTCGGATTCGTTGGTGTTTTTATCATCTTCCTCTCGAAGCTCGTTAAGACGGTGCACTAGGTCTAACTGAATACCTGGAAGTTTCTTGAGTGCCTTGCCGGGGATCCCACCGATTGCGGCAATCTTGTTGATACCCAAAGCGTTCGTGATAGCGCCTAGTTTCGCCTTCTTTGACGCCTTGGTCGAAGCCTTTGAGTGCGAGGTGCCAGGACGCTTTAGATGTGCATCGTCATCGGTATCCGAATCATCATCGCTTGAATCACTCGACTCACTATCCTCATCCTCTTCAGGTTTCCCTTGCGCAATCCTTCGTTCCCGTTTTTCCTCCCGCTTTTTCTCCTTCCTCATAATCCTGTTTGCTCTCTCTTCGATAGTCTCCTCCTTCAATGGCTTGGACTTGCTTTCTACACCCTCCAGTACCTCCTTCTCCTTCTCACTCCCAAATTTCCCTGATGTGTGGATGATGGGTTCGTCATCATCCCCGTGAGCATGTGCCTCATCGATCTTCTCGATAGCAGCTTGGTTCGCACCCTCAGGGTCCTCTTGCAACAACCGCCTACGCTCTTCGTATCTCCTCGCAAACTCCTTGTCAGATGCATCGGCATCATCCTCAAGCGTGATAGGTAGATACTCCAACAACGGTGCAAAGTTCGTGTACATAACCCTCTGGAAGATAATCGTCAAAAAGAACATCACAAGCATGATAATCGCATGTGGTAGACAGTAGATCTCATCATGTTCATCCCTGACTAGAAGGAAAAGACCAGTCATGCAGATTTCCATAATGTAGAGACCCATGTAGAGATGGTTGATGGCCTTTGGGAAGTATAAACCACCGCTGTCAACCTGATAGTCCATGACGTACAGCAAGTTGTAGCGATAAACGAGCCAGAAGAGACCGAACACCATACTTGCGAAGAACAGTGATAGCGGTGCGATAACGGAGTAGGTGATAGATATGACGCCAAAGTTGGTGTAGAGGGGGAAGAAAGTGCCCCAGGTGACAAACTTGAGGTCCTTTGCCTGGGTCCACTTCGCACGTGGAGTTCGATTGAAAAGCGGACCGATGACGTAGTAAAGGAATAACGGGGCGATTTGAAGGAGAGCACCACCGCTGATACCGAGAGCCTGGACGAGAAGATACGAAAAGAAAAAGTTGGAAGCACGAGGTAAAGTAGCCGCAAGCTTAGTCGGGATCGAAACGGGATCGCGAATGAAATCTTTGATGGTTCCGAAGAGGGCGGAAGAAACACTGACAACGAAGAAGACAGTAATGAAGAGGAAAGCAAAGTACCAGTTCTGAACAGTCCGATCCGCAGCCGTTCGAGTTGGCAGACCTGAGTACTTTCCTAGTGTCTGTAGCAAGAGCGGGAGAAGGACGGCTGTCAAAACCGAAAGCAACAGAGGTGGAAGAAGACCCTGGATAACAGACAGCAGCCACTTCGGAGCGTCCTGCAAGAAAGCCAGCCAAGGAACCAAATTGGCCAGGTGGGAAATCTGCGATAGCGATGCCACAAACACCATGGGGACGGACCAAGCCAAGATCAACCCTGCAACAGCGGCGTTAGAGGCACCGTATCTCAAATATCTATCCCACCACCTCATATGGAGATTCTCCCAGATCACATCATTCGGGGCGACTTCCAGGTATCTCGGCGCCATTCTCAGCGGAACGTGGTGATTCGTCGCCTGACAAGCCATGTGGGCAGCGATCTGGCTCTGGAATTGCAAAAAGGCGCTATTCATGAGCGGGAACTTTTCGGGAGAAGCCTGTTCCTTAGGGATATCTTCGTTGAGAAGTGCGAGCTGCTGTCGGCAATAATAGATAACATCAACTTTCCTCCCAATTAACGGTAGGGATGGCATCCAACTCGCCACGGGGACTCTCATCGTCTCTCGGTCCTTCGGTTGAATATACTTCCTCCACAGTGCCTCCGGCGGGTCTTCTTGATATTCAAAGTCCTTCGGATCTAATCCGTGGTCTCCATCATCTTCCTTTTGAAAAGTCTCTCTCGTCTCCGTAGAATCTTCCTTTTGCATTCCTTCGCTGCCTGTCTTTCCTTCATCCTCCAGCGTCTCGTCCTCTGGAATAGTTTGCGGGATCATAGGCGTTTGGAATGGATCGCTAGGCGCATGACTATGCCTATGTCCCTGAAAACCCCAGCCATCGGGCGTTCCCTTCGTCAACCCCTCAACCATCTCCACCCCATCTTCAACTGCCGCCCTTGCGGCTTTCTTCCCTTTCTCTTTCTTAACCTTTTTGAAATGCTTCTTCACACACATCTTGATCAGATTCGTTTCCGCTTCTTCCAACTTCTTCGCCAACCATTCTTGCATCTCAATCTTCTCCACCAACTCGGAATAATCCCGATTCAACCAGACATTCTTCAATCCACCTGGGAGGATATCGTAAAGATTGATCATCTCGTCGTACGTCATCCACTTCTTCGGAATACTGGTGACCAAAACTGTCGTAGCACTAGCCCTTAACCGATGCTGCGGCGACGTCAAATATGCCTGCCTCAACCTCACGAACCCCCTCATCTCATCGTAAGTCACATAAAGCACAACAGTAATAGCATAAATAGCCATCAGAAGCGCCGCAGTCCTTCTCTCCGCTTTTTGTCTCGAAATATTCCCCCAGCTCAATTTATCCAATCCTTGAACGGGGACATCTGGATCTTTATCCATCCCACCGGTAGCGTTCAACGGTAGCATAATGGGAATAATCAGGACCGCTTGCATAATACAGATCTTCAACATCATTCTCAGAAACCTTAGAAAACAAAAGGCGTCCAATCCCGATTTTGAGATGTATTCGGGATCTCTAGTCGTAAGCATAGCCGGGAGCCATGAGAACCAGCCCTTGGGTGGCGCTATCGTCTTCTTTCGTTCGGGGACCATGTACGTTCGAGGTTCGTAGATACGTGCTAATCGACGTCGGATTATCAAGAATATAACGGTTTGGATGATGAACAGTGCGAAGGCACCGGACATGGTGGCAAGCAAAGCTTGCACACTGATGCCGACGAACTTCTCCGCTTGTTTCGATTGAGGATCATTATCTAAATTGAATCCAAGGTTGGGCCCTGTGTTATTTGTGCTAGCTGTGGTAGTGGGATCCGGTAGTGAGGTTGGAATCGATGTCTGGATAATCGTGGTGAGTCTCGCTATTGTAGTAAGAGCTCCATTTGGTAGCCTGGTAGTCTGGCTACCAATTGTGCTAATTATTCTTTCGACTACATCCGTCGCCGAGGTGGGCAATGAAGCCGTCGTTGATGCTGTGGTGGACGACGACATGATGGTGTCGCGTGAGCGAAGCGAGGTTTAAAAAAAAAAAAAAAAAAGAGAAAAAGGAGGGGTGTAGAGTCTACAGGAGCTAATTGAGTGCTAATGGTGAAGATGAGTGCATGATTCCAAAGCCACGTTAGAGGTTTAATTTATGAAGAAAGGCGTAGAAAAGGAAAGGAGGGGGAGAGAGAACAAAGGCGAGATCGTTCTAAGGGAATGTGGTATCTATGGGAAGCGTGGACAATGTGGACGAGATTCCAGCGCAAACGGGAGTAAATTGAGTAGATTCTTTCCACGCCTGACTTCCTGGTGAATTGTAACCACAGATACAATCGCCAATGTATAAATTCTACCGTTTCAGTGGTAAGATGTTATATCGCTGAGGAGAGTAGAGTGATGTTGAGAGGGTGAAGTTGAGGTTGATGTTGAGGTTGAGATTGTTTATATTAAGGGTCAAGCTAGGCTAATGAGTGGTTCCTTGTTCGGAGCGATGTCGTGGGGAGAACAGTTAGTCAGTTAATAGGCAGCACTCGAAATATGCCCAAGAATTAAAAAAGTTATTCGACGGAAAGAGACACATATAAAAATGAAAATAAATGAAAAAAAGAATAAAAGGAAGAATCAGAACAAGAATCAGAATTTATAAGATCTAAGAAAATGAGGTTGAAGATCCAAAGACCTGGACAGGAACAAGCCTTTAAACCTGCTTCCAAGTTTCAAACCCACACCGGCGAGACGAGAGACGTCAAAATGGGTCGCCCTCCCACACCTCGCTAGCGCACTCAATCTGCCTGTCCACTCTGCGATTATCCGTCCTGATTGGCTGCTTCAGCTCTTAGTAGAACACCCCCGTTACGGCTGTTTGCATGGTTCAAATGGACATAAACCAGGGGGTGCTGGGATGCCCAGCTTGACGCGCGATACGTCATCCAACGGGAACGCTGCCTTTGGGACAATAGCCCGGATCAGAACATTCTAGGGCAAAAATGTATTTTTGGAAAGGAAAGCCTTACAGCTTAAAGGACCATTCAAATAAATCGAGGATTACCTATATGAAAGAAGGCGTTTGAAGGGAATTTGTCCAAAATATTGGATACTTCCAAGGGAATCAGAAACTGTCAATTGTTTAAACTCGATTCGTAAAATGCAGCCTAGAAAACAAATAGTTAGAAAATGAAACCCATGCAAAATGCAAATGCAAATGCAAGACAATGTAATTAGTATATGTAGTAGTACCCACCGTTAACCATCGTTTTTTTCTCTATCAAGTCGTGCGGGTAAAACCGTCCCTTCGTACCTTAGTTAACTGTCTCTCTCACTTATCCTGGAAAAAGAGGAACGACCCTCGCCAGTCGTCGGCACCACAACCATCTATACATCTGATGACACTTCAGCTCGTCGGCAGCGATTGCCATCCACCGCATTTACCTCGCTTGCAAAAAACAAAGCCCACAAAAAGAGACGTATGTGAAGAACTCGTTTTAACCGACGCTGCATGAACAAAAAAAAAGTTAACTTGAGAACTCTCCATTCACTATCTCCGTTTGAAAGAATCACCAAAGAAAAGGAAGAAGCAATGAAGCAAAAAGTATTGACTTCAACCATACTTCAAACCGGAACTCGGCTCCGTTTCCGTTGGTTGTCTCTCCTAAGATATCTCAGGACAACTGACACCCCGCGAATCAATTCCATTCCTTCCATGAGAGGGAGCAAGGGAAACAATAATACATCCCGTGAACATAATTTGGTATTTGCGGATCCATCAAGGACAATTGGGAGCTGCCCATTCCAACGTCCTGCCAAGGATAAACCTGACTTAAAACTGCTGTCTGCCTTTTCGGTAGGCCTTCCCACGATGTTGTCATGATTGACAGGGCTTACGACGTTTTACCCTGCTTTTTCTCTCTTCTCATATGGGATCGGTTGTTTGATGATCCCATTCGATCGGAACCACTCCACTGGTCACACGTTGAATGTCATCTCGCATCTGTCTGGTTAGTAGACGTCTGTAAGTCCTTTGTTGTGGCAAAAAAACAAGAAGAAGAAAAGAAAAGAGACCGTTAGTTAGCTCCAGCACTCAGGTTTGAGGCATCGATCTCGCTCAACAAATCATAATCCTTGTCACAATCACCACCGACCCACAAAACACAGTTGATGTTAATTGTCAACCGAAAAAAAGTGTCTAGGAAAAAAGGATTTGAGAGAGTCTGATTGTACTAAAATATAATGTCACAGTAGTAATACTAGAGAAGAAAGGAATTCGAGGTAGAAGAGAGTCAAAAAAGAAGCTTGAGGGGATATCACAAGAGACAAAAAAGGAAGAAAGAAGAAAGTAAGAATTCAAGAAGCAAAGCAATAAGAAGATAGTCAAGGAGTCAAGGAAATACACTAATGGCACATAAGGAGCGATCCTTGAGAAAACGTCGAGCCCAATGTATCATCGAAGGACAAGAAGAAAAGAGAAAAAAGGGTAATAAGAAATACAACAAGACAGAAAGGAAAATATTATGCCGGAAACACCCAAAATGAAGTTTTTCTCCACCCAGAATAAAAGGAAAAAGAAGAATCAAAAAAGCTCCAGTTCAAAACGATGTTTGAAAACCAACCAAAAAGGGAAACATAATGAACCACATTCCCCTTTCCCATGCGATGCAATGGTTATATTAAGCTCCTGGTGGGATCCCCGCCGGCGGAATAAACATCGTCGGCAAATCATTACTTTCCCACTCCTTATCCACTCCGTCCTTCTTCTTATCGTCGTCCCCTGCCCCGGTAAAGTATTCCTCATATACGCCTTCCTCCGGCGGTGAAAATAACGGAGTACTAGCATCAACCCTAGCCCTTTTTGTTGGACTCCCCGTATTTGCCGCTGTTCCGGCGGCAGCAACAGCCGCCGTGGCCGCAAACACACTTGCATCCGCATCATCACCATCGTCCGCTGAACCTCTGAATCCTGCGAATTCTTCAGGAAGCCGTCTCTTAGTCCCGGCCCTTGAGTCATCTTGCGAGATTCCATTTCCATCACTGTCCCCACTGCTTCCATTTCCTACGGTGGAAACCCCAGTTCGAAGTCCGCCCTCTTGTGAATAGCTATTAAAGCCAGATGTTGAGCCCCCGAAGTTCATGTTGAGATACTTTTTCCCATCTACCGGGGAGCTTCCCAAGAATCCCTTTCCGGCGCCCTTAGGCCCTGCACCTAATAGAATTTGGTCCAACTGAGCCGGGTCCTCATCCTGTAGGGTTTCCGAATCCAAAGAGCTTAGTGTCGATAATTCATCACTGAACTCATGCATCGAATCGTAGTCTGCAGCACCGTCCATTCCAGCGCTAGTCGGGATCTTCTTCCTTCGCGGTTTTGCGTCGTTGGCCCCGTCTGTCTCGGGTGTACCTTTGTCCTTTTGCGATCGTCTCTTAGCCGGCGGGAATCCTTCCTGGCCATTATGTATACAGCGCCGCTAAATTTATTTAAATTAGTATGCACCATAAACCGGTTTTTCTTAGCCCTAGGAATAAACTTACCCGAGATCTCTTACAAGCCTCGCAAGCAACTGGGCGACCGTTCTTAGAGATCTGATAGTTGACTCCACGAGCCGAATCCTTATTCGACCCTGGCACTACAGGCTGCGTCTTAGGCGATCCTTGAGCCGGTTTTGTGGGCGTCTCGAAAGCGCCACCTGATTTCGGTCCCTTCACAAGCTCTTTCATAATTTCAGCCTCGGCCAAAGCAACCTCATCCTTATGCTTGCATGCGATCTAAAGTTCAAAAAGTTAGATATATTTCTTTTAAGGATTTGCAGTTGATGTGAACACACCTTCTGGCGACGACACTCATCGCAAGCCGTCCTTTTAGGTCCAAGGATACTATTCTTCGGACTTGAGCTGTATGCGTATTTATTCCTAATAGTTTCCGCGAGCCGATGATTGTCCGCTAAGCCCTTATTGATAACGGCCTGGGACAACGGCTTGCCATCAGGTGTATATACGAGCGCCGGTTTGCTGGATCCATTCTGCGAAATGGATTGTCGCCTAGCACCGGAACCCGATCTTGGGCGAGCCGGGCCCGGCGTATCCGACCCTTGTCGCTTCTGAGAGGACCCCGGAGTGGATTGTGAAGAAGATCCGGCAGATATCTTCCGCGCTTTAGGCGCAGTAGGGGTACCACCAGCTGCAGCAGAGGTCGGCGACATCTGTCGCTTTCCAATCTTCTTCGCAAAACTCTTGATTTTGTCCGCCGCAGCCTTTGGATCCGATGAAAATGATACCTGCCTACTAGGCGTTACCACAATAGACGGAGAACCTGGTAAACTATCCCTTAGCTTTGCAGAAGGCTTTGACTTCCTCAGACCTTCCCTCGGCGAGCCACCCTTACCGATGTCTGCAGATTCAGCTTTCTTCTTCTTCGGCCCAGACCTCCCGCCCGAACCGCCGAGACCACTGAACCCTTCACCCGGATTCCAATTCCTCCTCGCCCAGTACGGGACGACAACATCGCCTCGCTTCCATGCCATCCAGCGCCCAAATAGCTGGACGGTACTCAATGGATCCTGGACGTGTTTAGGAATACTGTTCTGTACACGTTTCCTCTTATCCTGGGTGATTCCTTCAGTAATATAATTCATCACAATAAGCGCTGTTCGGAGCAAATAATCGCCAAGCACCGGAAGCCCGTCCAACTCATACTGTGAATATCCCACGTATGTCCGTTGGATCTGTACATCTTCGGTAGCAATCAAAAGATCCCAGTCGTCATCATCAAACAGTTCCTCTGGAAGTGGGTCTTTCTGCAAGTAATCTAACGCTGTAAACCACATAACCTTTTGGAATTGTGGGTATCGGAACTTCGCCGGAACTTCGGTATTCTTCTCAATTTCGGCGATTCTAATTTGTTGGTCGAGTGATAGTCTTGTTAGAAAGTTCCCCCCAATAACAAGTGCATCCTCTGGCGTTAGAACGGCATGTATCCACCCGGAGGGAATAAGCATTGTATCACCAGCTTGGAGATCAACACGTCGTACAATGTCCTCTCCGTTTCCATTACCATTAGTTAATAAGCCTGGGTACCAAGTCGAATTCTGGTCAGGCAACTGACTCCAAGTTTCGTACTTCGTCAAGTTGTATTTTGTCGGTGGAACAAAAAAGAATGTTTTCTTCCCCGAAATAACGTGATAAAATACCGAAGACCCGCCAAAATCGATATGGAAATCCGTGTATGATCCGGAGACTCCCATTAGGCAATAGAGCTGTACTTTGGGGAATGTACTTCGCATATCTTCAGGCCATACTTGGTCCGCTAGATCGAGCGCTTCTACGATTGCGGGTCGAACAACCGCCTCCGCAAGCTTGGTATGTGAAAACTCCTGGCTGATGACATTTTTAACCCGGTCTTTGAGAGGGGATTCGAAATATTCAACCCAATCTGCAAAACTCCATGTCCTCTTGTCTAATGATTGAGATAAAACATCCAAAACCTCAACCTTTTCTTCGGTACCAATGATATCCGCAACTCGTCGAACTGTGAGATCCGCAGGCATCACCATCCCCAAAGCGTCGGCATCGTCAGTTGGTCGGCGGGCTACCGTAACCTGATCAGAGGTCGCAACCCGAATCGCACTACGAGACTTCGGTGTGGCGTCTTTCTTATCCTTCTTAAACAGCGCTGGGAACTTTTCAACCTTGGAAACCTTCTCCACATCAATTGAACCATCCTCTCTCAAGCCATTCGTCAACAGGTGTATCTCTCGCAAACAATGCGGTCTCGGGTTATTAGAAGCCGGGATAACAATTGGTTGCGTGAAGCCTTGGCCTTGTTCGAAAAAATCAACATCGAGCAGTTCCGGGATCATACGAGGGAAGTCGTCGGGTGCGAATTGCATATGGTTGATAGGTTCAACGAAAGGATGTTGGGTAGAATCTCCGGGAGCTTTAAAAGGTGCACGTGATCCCTCATTTAGAGAGACATAGTCGATAGCTGTATGTGCGCGTGACGATTTTCGACGGTCTAGTAGGAATTAGTACTTTCCAGACGATCAAGTTTATCCAAGCATCACCAACTTACAAGTTGAAGCACCCAGTCGTGGAACACAATCCGAGCAGTGATATTTGTCCAAATCATTGACCTCCTTCTCGGAAACATTGACGCAAACATTGTGGTACCATTTCTTACATCCGTCACATTGGATCCAAAGTGTCGGCACAATATGCGACCTTGGGCCAGTCCGGACTAAAGGAACGGCTCTCCTACAAAATGCACAAGAATCAATCGGAGTCTCTTCATCTTCAGCCAGGTTTGATTCTCTCTTTGAATCCGAGGTATCGGCCATTGTCACATCTTCCACATCCATGTTGAGGGAGATATCCAGCGGGTTGATGCCACCAGACAGTAGTGGTAGATCCGAATTGAATATGTCGCCTGCCTTGCTGCTCATATCGAGGAATCCACTCGGTTCTTCGTGTGTGGCGAACGCTGTATCTGTCATAGAATCAATACCCATGGACGATGTAACTGGCGCTAACAGGTCCTCTATAGCACTTGATTTCGAAACATCCATTTCATCCAGTGCCATTGGGTCAGTCACATCGGAAGCCGTTGTATCTCTCGGTGCCTCTTGCCTCTCCAACTTGACATCATCAATCGAGGTCGATGTTCCTACAGGTTTCGGTGCTTCGACAGACGAGACCCTATTTCCTCTTACATCGTCGGTAATGAGAATAGGTGTCGCTGGTTTCGGGCTCGGTCTGGTAACTTTTGATACGCTTGCTCGTTTCACGATTGGCTGCCCCGGTTCCAGAGATGCAATGGTTGATATTGTAAACTGCATTTCAGGACCAGGCGATGAATCAGATAACATTGAATCGTTGAGTGGTCCCGGGGTCGTCGTATTAGCTGCTGTGACAGTAGCGGTGACTTTCATGGGTGACAAGGCGTCCAGCTCACTCGCGTCCTGTGTTGTGACATCAATAGACGTAGTAACGATGGCTAGCACAAGAAGTTAGCATTCGCCCTTGTTCTTTATGACCCATATGCCAACGATCTATTCTTACCAGCCTCGCCATTCGTTTCTACCGCTCCATCTCCTAGTCCGGGGTTAGTATTTTTTTGTGTCAAGAAATAAAGGCTCTACAGACGATCCACCTAACGCCACATTCAGGGTCGCCTACCGTCGGGTTTCTCGGAAAGGTATCGTGGAGCCTCAAAAAAGTGAACCAAATCCCTCGCAGCTTCCAAATCCTCGGCTCGAATCTTATCGTCCACGGGCTTCGGTGTGGGTAGACCGGCCTCGGACTGCTCTGAGTCGTCCTCGATCTTCAGTTTGGGGGTCGATTCGCTCGGTGAGGCATCTTCAGGTTCCGGGGCAGGGGTGTGAGGTTTTTTCATGGCCTTGGACAGCTGCTCGAAGAGCTTCTGACCAAGTGCTTCAGCGTCGACGGGTGTATCCGCAACCTCATCCCCTAGCAGAGACTCGACTAGGCCGATTCCAGACTCATCTCTCGAGTCCGACGAGGAAACCTTATCGGGTGTATGTTCTTTCCTTCGGCCGGAACTTCTAGACGGTGCCTTCTCAGAACCACTGGCACCTAGAGATTTTCGATTCCGTTCGGACGTACGGGTGGTTCGTTCTGTCTTTTTGGATCGCGTATTCGAAGACATCCTGACCGAAACCTACTGCCTTAACTACAGGCAGCCGTTCCGGGAAGACTGTGTTCGCTCGGGTGAAAGTCTACGACCAGATATGATCGCGATTGGGTGGCTGCACCAGCATTCCTGGGATACAACCTCGTTGTTTGGAACTAGTTGTTTTTTTTTTTTCCTCTTCCCTTCCCTTCTTCCAATATTGTTTTTTTTTCCTCTTTCTCCTAGTTCTTTCGAGTATAATATTAACGGTACCGCGTTGGTAGATGATAGGGTGTGCGAACTAGAGAGGCTGGATGTAAGAAAGTTAGTGACGTCGAGGTGATTAGAGGAGATAAGTTTTGGAGGTTTGTAGCAAATGGGACCCGCTATGCTGTCACCGCCACCAACTATTAAAGGAAACAAAGTGCTGACACGTCGATTGAGACAGTTCTAAGCGGCAGAATCGGGACAGAGAGAGGGTAGGAGTGAAGTAATACCACAGCGATCAGGAGGAAGCTATTGCGATCCAATTCGCACAGCAAAGAGAGTGCCAAAGCAGCAAATTTTTGCAGTGGACGAGGTCGTGATGGTGGTGGTTGGTTGGAGAGGGATGAAATGATGATGGGTTGGGCTGGTCTGCAATGGGTCTGGGCGACCCCGAAACGAGTGGTGGCATGACAGAATAGGATGTCCCGATCGGGGAATGTTTGTCGAGTTTTAACAACACATCGACCTCATCGCAACACATCGTCAAACCCAAGGTGTGCCACACAGCAACAAAGCCCAGCTCCGCCATGCCTTACGATGGCCACAACCATGACGACTGAGCTGAGGTACCTACCCAGATACCTAAGTAACTACTGTGGAGTGCTCCATAAATGCTGGCTACGAATAGCAGTGCCCGGGACTACTTAATACCTCTTGAGACTAGACTATCTCGAGACTAGACTATCTCGAGACTAACTAGCTCTACATAGAGCTGATAAAGCTAAGCTCGGGCAGAACTAGCTATAGCTGTAGTTTAGCTGTAGTTATCGTGTAGCCGCGAGCATGGCCTGATATAAAGCTTATAAAGCATCTACTGGTAGCTACTTGGTCAACAGCCTGGTCCATATTGTGACAGCTGCTGCATTGTCCATGCGCCAATATCAGCCATCTGCACCACAATAATCTGGGAGTTATAGAGAACGGGTTCACATGGTCACCTGTCGCAATTTTCTTCGGATATCTCGGAGCGGCTATTACCATACCCTAATTGATCTGATTTTAGTATCAGGCTATTATATTCCCCATAATGGCGTTAAATTTTAGAAAAGGAATCCCACCCGGGAACAATGAACTGCTTTGGTTGACTTCAAAATAACGAACTACTGATAAGTAACTAAGTACTTAGTAACGTAAGTAAGGAAATGACCTTTCCATCCCGAATACCATTCTATAGAATAAAAACTGAAAACCAGAAAGAGCTAGCCTTTTCAAAAGACCGGGACAGAAAGGGTATAACGAATGAAGAAACATGCTCGCAAGACGCTGAAAATGAAATAAATCCGAATTCCAACAATTTCGAAATCGCTGATATCAATATGTCCCCCCCGTTGATGACGGACGTTCCTCTAATATAGTTAATTCCAAGCCCAGATAGATGCATGAACACGAACAAAACTCCCAAGAATCGAAAAGAACGAAAAGAAATATCCAAGAATATCCAAAACAATCATAACCTCATAAGCTTCATGAGAAAGTTATCAAATCCTTCATATCGTAGTATTTGACCAGTGCAGCGCATCATGAGAGATCGAGAAATATATGCTAAGATCAATAGCAATACTCATCATCACTCTCCTCCCTCTCCTCGAAGTCGAACTTACACCCAGGACATTCAGAATCCTTCAGTCCACACATCTCTCTGTACCTATCCACCACTCTCTTCCCACAAGTACAATCGCTTATGCTCTCCTCGTAGCTATGCTTTGGTATCCTAGTGCAAGCCTCGTATACCATCTCCTTAATGTGGACGTGTGGATAATTCCGTGATGCCAAGTTTGAAGCTGCAGCAGTGGCAGCAGGGTCCATCATGGCCCCCATTTTGGGTGACCCGTTGGAACTTATGCTTGCTTTGGAGCTTGTGGATCTTCTTCGGCTACGGTTGCGAAAAGCGGATTTGATGGATTTGAGGCCTGTGGCCGTGGAGAGGATTTCAGTTGAAGTCATCTGGTGATGTTCTTTTTGTATATAAGTATATATATATACTAAGTATATATTATAAGTTCTTCGTGTAGTTGGTTATTATCTGATCGATGAAAAGGATTGAATTGAAGTCCTGAATCGAATCGAGTCCGGATTGATCAATTGATATCGATCGAGGTCGAATGTGTTGCCGTTGTGTTGCGTTCCCTTCAACAAGAATGATGCCAATCAAACGTTGGCTGGTTGGGGAACTTATTTTGGGTATAATACCTGTTTGGTGAGAACGAATGGATTAATTAGCACAAGACCGGACCAGACTGACCACATTTCAAAGACACGCTTTTAACGAAAACACTTACGTATACGTCAGGGGAATATCTGATGATATTGAAGAATTCCAAAAGGGTTGGGTAAAGGAGGAAGAAGAAAATTAAACTAGAAGAGAAGAGGAAGAAGAAGAAGAAGAAGAAAAAGGGTGTACTTTATAACTAAAGCCCGTTATCCAATCCAGACTGTGCTGGCTGACTGGTTGCACCTGGCTGGCTGGCTGGCTAACAAGTACCCAGGCCAGGTCTCAAGAAGCAAATAATTTTAAACCACCTCCTTGACGTCTGAAATACCCGCTCGAACAAGCTTATTCGCACGGTGGAATTTCGCAAGAGTCAGGATTATTATTTTTTAGGAACAAACCGGAACAAGATAAGAAATATGAAATGAACAAAGAGAAACAGAAGAAAGGAAGGAAGAAATAAATAAAAGAAGAAACAAAAGAAAGGAAGGAAGGGGAGGAATCGAAAAAAGTGACAGGGTAGCTTTTAGAATTAATAAAGCCTTGAACGATGTTATAATCCGTTATGCATGTCTGTCAGTTTGAAATATAAAAAAAGGATCAAGTACCTTCCGTATAGTATGTATGGACGTATGAAGTATGGATTATATGTATGAAATATGTATGTATGTAAAAATGAGCACATGGTCCTTCAGGAAATAATCCCTAACCCCTCCTTCTTATATCCAGACTCGCTCATTGCTTCGGAGCTTCACGGGTGGTCGGTGCGTACGCGTGCAGAAGGGATAGCATGCTAACTATACTAGACGGCGAGGGAATCTCATATTTGAAACTTGACATCGTAATAAAGCCCCCTCCTCTTCCCCCCCTTCACTATCGTACTATAGTATACTATGTAAAGCTAACTAAAGCCGGATCCAACAATAGAGATGAATGGTATACATAGCCAGTACATGTGTATGTATATAACGGTATAACCCCTAGCTTGGCCTACGAAATAGAATTAGAACTTTGGGTCGGTTCAGTTCTGGGGCAGTCGAGATACTCGCTTTTCTGGTCAAGTCGGTACAGCCTTGTAACCTGCATCCAGCCCCCCGGAACGCTTGTTCCCCCAAGCGAATTCGCGAAAATCATACTTACTTTCTCTATTACATGGGAAGATAACTGACCACCCGTAAATACCCTTAAGCTTCTTTACGGTCTGCATTCTTCACAAGATTTCATTGTTACTTGCTTACATTCCATGAAAAAAAAAAGGTCAAGGATGCATGCGAATTAGTTAGTATCGGAATTACAATCTACCGATGTTGTCATAACCCTGGCTTTTAATTCCTCCTCTTCCCGGGCCCCCCCTCGACATCATTAGTAGTATCATTGGTGATATTCTTCTCGAACGTCAAACCTTGGGGTTAACATTGAGGCTATGCAATCCCATACTGATCTTGATTTTTTTTTGTCTGCTTCACATGCTTCGAATTCAACATTGACAAACGTCCACCACCCCAATTTGAAACCACCGCCAAACATGTCAACAGCACTATGACGACAACCAATATCTTGGTTCAAGACATCACGATATCACACAAACCCCAAGCAAGAAAGAAAGAAAAGAAAAACGATAAACCGTTTTTAGTCCCCTATTCGAAAGCTACGAGATGGTACCCTTAACCCGTGCCTCCTTCTCCTCATCCTCCTTCTCCTCCTTCCACTTCCTCATGCATGCAGAGTTCCCGAGCTCCCAGGGCTGATCATAAGTATCCACATTTATAGCTCAGCTTCGCGCGCTTTGCTATCAGCACCTACCATGATCTCAAAAGAAAAAAGGACGCCCAGCTAGCTTAAAGGAAAGGTTAAATCCTGTTCCCGGTTCCGAACCCAAGAAAGGGAACGTGGGAAAGGTAAAACCTGTGCAAGTAAGTACCGTATCCCACATGATCTACGAGCCTCCAATCGTAATCGTGCCTGCGGGACGAGTCCGTAAATTTAATTTTAATCCCCCAAGAGGACGAAAAAAGAAAAAGAAGGACCCTACATGAGCTTCCCCTCCACTTAGACAACGTAGCTTTGCCACCAACCTTGCTTTGCTTCTTGCTACCTTGCGTATTTGCGTACTTGCTTGCAACTTCGTTATCCTCGGTCCTTAAGTCGGAGGAATGGAGTAGTCAAGAACATCTTTCGCATAATTGCACAAGGGGAAAAAAGAAAGAAAGAAAGAAAGAGAGAGTGAAAGAGAGAACGTGAATGATTCATGCATGTGTATGGGTTACACGATCCCCCCCTTGTCGACGTGTGCTTACGCCTCTAGCTCAAAGATTAATCTAAGATACTGCCATCATATTCTTTCTTCCCAATCAAAGCCCCATGCAGAGGGAGACATCAAAAATTCCAGGGCGTTTAAATAGACGCCAAGAAATACCGTGATTGACGCCAAGGAAAGGACTGATATCATCCCGTTGGGCACAGGAATGAAGAATACGTATACGATTACGGAAATGAAAGTGAAAATCTGACTTACATAGCAGTGACTTTATGCATGGAGCGATGATGCAAAAAAGAATAATCAGGAATACTCAAAAGCGAACGTGAGAGAACGAACGAAAGTAAGGAAGGCCCAAGCGACGGCTTGGAGTAATTGGCACGGGAATGGAAGGACTTGGAGGATCGATTAAGCTTTGTGTCATTTTTTTTCCCACCCTCCCCCGTCCGGCATGGCTGGTTAAGTTGTTCTTGAACAAACCGATCCTTCTCAGCCCTACACCGTCGCTTTAACCTAGAACACGGCCAGGAATTGTAAGTTGCATTGAAGAGGAAGGAAGGAAGTACCCCCCACGCATTGAAGCTGACCGTATACCAGAACTTCAACAAAAAACAAAATACTTATTTTTAGAGTATTTATCAGCCATAAGATCTTTTGTTATTTTATCGGTCAGGATTATAGATCTGCCGTTACAAACCAAGCCAAAAAAAAAGGGAAGGGGCATTGCAATTCGTTTATCTCGATAAATCCTATTTCATGCACCTTCAAGGAATAAGGAAACGGTAGCACAAGCCAAGTCTTTTTTTTTCTTTGACCAGCGAATCGCCGAGAGATGCATCGATGCTGCAATAACAAAAATGACTGCATATGAATATTCACCACCCCAGTTACTATACCATAACCGAGACACAAGCTTGCAAAACGGATGCTAGCCTAGCTGTATCCTATTTGTCCGGCAGTTACAATCGTATCGATCTTCTAGCTTGCCCATGGTATCCTGGTATACCACAGGTTGCCCATTAATCGGAGACATTGAAGCTAGGAAATCCCTTGTCTCGTGCGTCGCTACGTCGATTTATCAAACAGTTGTCCAGCCTCTTCTGGGAAATCCCGCCACCCAACATACTTCCTAAGTATCTCTCTATCCATTGGTAGCTAGTCAGCTTTTTTTTTCGATTGGACTAACTACTAAGTAGCTATCAGAGCCCAAATAAACAGCCCTAGGTTTAGTTTTGTCTCGTCGCCAGACTCCTCGACTGTGCTGTGCACACGATTGTAGAATACATATACCAGATATAAAATTCCACAAATGAACCTATCAACTGTTACATCCATCTTGACCTAACTAAAATTATAACCATAATACGATTTTCCTAAGTTACGGCTGACTCAAGTAGCTGGCGAAGCAGCTCCTCCTAAAATTCTTCTGCCGCTTTTCTCATCTTTTTTTGGTTTTTTGCGACAGGAAATATCTTTCTCTTCTTCTACTAGATGACTATCTATAATATCTTTAATATTTTCGATTCTTACCAGACGCACTAAGAAGCAAAACGTTATTGTTCTAAAGGATTTTAAAAATCTAATTTTAAAACTTCTTCACTAGGATAATTACTAATTTTAGGCCAAGAAACCCTAGATGGCGTCCTTTATTATCTATTGTTATTTAGACAAATTTATCGTAAATGTTAAAAATAATAAGCTTTATTTTAATATATACATTTATATATCCCTGAAAACCTCTTTAGCATGTGCCTCACTAGATATTCCCTGAGAATATAAGGGTTGCGGGGCTCCAATCCGATAAGTCGTACCAGGTCACTTGGCCCGGGCTTGTTGATAGGAATCTCAGACAAGATTGAATAGTGTATTTACTGTCCCGCGACCTCTCCATTTGCACAATTAGCTGCATGGGTATTATTATCGATTATCGTCGCCACCGTAAAATTCAATGGCATACTTTGTTCCCGGAGGTATCTCACTTCCATGCAGGTCTGGGTACGAGACGAGGTATCTCAGGGTTTTCGGAAAGGTCTCGTCTTCCCCACAGCTGTCAACTGGCCGTCGGGTCTCGAGGAACAGGTGCACTATCTCGCACAAAGCCTGTAGAAGAGTGTGCTACCTTAGCCTCCTATCTCTAGGGCGCCTGTATGCATTTTTTGGCGCCCCCCCATCACGGCTAGACCGGGATCTGAACTGCTTTTGCCTCATCATTCGTTGCTGAAAGAGGAGCTCTGTAATAGCTAAGGTCAATCGCAGTTTCTATATACATTAAAATGTCGAGTCAACAACTTACTAGGATGGCACCGGCCGGGCTTGTTTTAGGATGGTTTCTCGTTGGAGAGCAGTGGTCTTCTCAGCTGAGTCTGCTTTAATTTTTGATGCGCGCGATGTTTATATCATCTATGATATATGAAGGAATAGTTAGAAGACAATAATTAGTTTAAGCACGACGATGCTGAGGTGGAGGGAGAAGGGAGAGAAAGAAGCAGCAATACTCTTTCTCTCTTCAAAATATGTGTCAATAATACGTCAAAGAGTTATCAATATATTGACACAGCCGCACAGCAACACAATATTATATTCATTCATTCACAGATTGATTTCGAGGTCTACGAGACCGTATTCCTCTTTTAGAAAGAATCATCATCGTCATCAAAAGCGACAGTGATCGACATAGTATTCGATATTGAATTCTTGCCAAGATTCAACATTGTAACATAGTTACCCAGCCGGGACTCACTTATACAACTCCTCTAATTACATAAGTACGTTACACACATATCTCAAGTATATCAACACGATATAGGTACCTACCTAAGCACTTACTACAGTACCCCCAGCTTAGGCCTTAGTTTAAGTCTCAAGGTTCATTATTGAAGATAACCTCGGAGTTAAAGCATTTGTATCAAAGCACTCCCTTCACTTTACCACCGAAACCCCCTCGATTAACGTTATATGCCATTAACTCGATCTAGATCACAAATACAAACCGTCGATGCCACGGTTTTGCCATGACCTTGCATACATAAATTCATGCAGTGTCAAGGTAAATAGGTATGTACATACACTTTCTCTCATAAAGGCTAGCGTAACCCCCCCTGTTGTGTAACATAGACTGACTGATAATGGCAAATTGCCTTCCTCGAGATAATACATAATACATACATATCAATATTCTTACCGATACGAGAAATGGTCGGGTCTAGAATCAAGGAGAAATACGAAGGGCAAAAATGCTATATGTCTGTCTGTAGACTAATCATACCGGAATGCTTATAAGCAAAAAAAAAAAAGAACGCGCCCAGACCTGTAATCGGGATGTGAACTGGCTTGCATTTTCTTTACAGTCCCGGGTCCCCCGATTTCGACCCTTGTCCCGAGAAGATCAGTAAACGATCGATACTTTTTTTTTTGCGCGTGAAATTTAAGATTTAACCGAATTGACTCTAGGACGGCTTGCATATTTCCAAGACGACATTGAATGCTAGACATGTATCCTCACAACTTCAAAAGATTGGTTACCTCTCTAAAACTAACTTTTTTCTCTCTTCCCACCCAGAAATGGTTTTTTATCTCCAACTAACGTAAAACTCTCAAGTTAGTGCGAGTATAATTGCAGCCGTTAAGTACTTTTGAAGTTAGCAGAGAAAGTCGCACGGTGTAACAGCTATCAGCCGGAATTTCAGCCCTACCTTGGCCCCGAGAATTAGGTTCGTAGACTTTCAACTTGTAACCCTTTGGACTTTAAATTTCCAGCCTCGCATGCACGAGTTACGGGATATGCCGGATCTGCATTCAATTAGCCCATTGATAATGATGCGCTCTATTAATGTATTTTACGGATTGGGGGTTTTTTTTTACCATACCGCGGCAGCCTGTTAAAAAACTAAGTAATCCTCGTCACTACGATATCTAGCTCTCGGGCCGATTTTGGGTGCTTGTACTCCCATTTCTCAGATAGGTTTGAATTCAGCCACAACAGCCACAGGTTAACGGTTGAAGCTGCACAGGCATTGATTTCTATATGTCCGATTAGCAAGCTTAAGTCAGGCTTGCCAGTCCATATTTTAAATACTTGATCAAATCATCGCTATCTAGTACTCCAGATATAATTGATTGTAGATCTTTCTTCCACCGTATATTAGATAATATGATGCATAAGGTTTTACGTAAACGGAGTAGAGCTGGACAGATCTTGACCGAATTCAACTGACAGGTAAAGCACAGACCACCTCTCGCTAAGTATAACGCCACAGAGGCTCAACTTTCTCTTTCTGTGAACTTGAAAGATAAGATTGACGAGCGGATAAGATCAATTGAATAAATGATTTGGTGGATGTATTTCTCAGAGACACCTCCATTATTGATAGTATCGGCTATGTTCCCAATATAATATAACATCTAGAGTTTAATGGTAAGTAAATACTGACTTAAGTACTTAAATTAAGTATCCAATGACATAAATATTTGCCTAAGCTTTTCCCCAATTCGCTAACACCGACCCCTGTCCAAGCTCCAGCTCTGATGCAAAGGCGGCTTAAAATCTTGAAATAAAAAAAAAACCCTCTCCAAACCCCCACCACTCCCCTCCTCACAATCCATCCTCAATCCACCTGTGCACAACCCAATAAAATACAAAAAATACGACATGTCCCTCTCCACAGAAGCCCAGTCGCTCCTGCTGGCCGCCACAGACCACAACCTCCTCCTCCTCCGCTCTCTGCTAAAATCCCACACTCCAAACGTCCAAGAACCCGCCACCCTCCGAACACCACTCCACCTTGCCATCGCTTCTTTCGAAACAAATCCCCTCCCTCTTCCTTCAAACCAAGAATCTCATCACACAAACGGAAGCAATGGAGCTTCAATTGAAAGAAAAGAAGACGAACTCTCTCTCCCGCCGCTGACAAAGGCTACAAAAACCCTAGAGTTATTACTCCAAAACGGGGCGATATGGAATTCCTTAGATATCAATAACGAAACTCCAGGGTGTATTGCTTATAGACTTGGATTGAAGGAGTTATACGAAGTTATGGTTGATGCTGGTGTTCGTGCTGAACTATTATTTGGAAGGTTGGATGGGTATATGGCTCTCGACGACGAGGATGACGACGAAGACGACGGCGAAGAAATGGATGAAGATGCCATAATAGACATCTCGACAGAACAGAATAAAGATACACAGGAAGGAATAGAAGAAGAGGAAGCACCGGAATTAGTATCAACGGAGCAAACAGCTTTAGAAAAAGCAACAGAGGAAGCTATACCCGTCACAAGCGATGTATACCTCTCCTCCACACTCTCAATCGATGACGATAAAATCCTCGATGAAGACAAGTAAGTCCCATATAGCCCCCGAAAGAAGGTCCAATTACTCCTATACTAAAAGGAATATAATATAGAAACGGCGTAATGATGTCCTGGGAATCCCACATAATGTCCCTAACCGTCCAGCACCTCCTAACACCCGCCATCCCCACCGGTCCAAAGATCTTAAACATAGGCTACGGCATGGGAATAATCGACTCCTACTTCCAATCCTCCTCCCCTACCCCCTCATCCCACCATATAATAGAAGCCCACCCTCAAATCCTTCAAAAGCTATCAACCTCCCCTCTTTCAAAGAATCCAAATGTAACAATCCACTCCGGAAAATGGCAAGAAATCCTTCCCAAGTTGGTAAACGATGGAGATGTCACTTTTGACGCTATTTATTTCGATACATTTGCCGAGGATTATTCGCAACTTAAACTGTTTTTTACAGAGTATGTTATTGCGTTGTTGAACCCGGAAGGGAAGTTTGGGTTTTTCAACGGTCTTGGGGCAGATAGACAGATTGCCTATGACGTTTATAAGAAGGTTGTCGATATTGATTTACTTGAAGCTGGGTTGGAGACTGAATGGATAGAAGTGGAGGTGGATAGTAAGAAGATGGAAGGAGATGGAGAATGGAAGGGTGTCAGGAGGAAATATTGGGATCTGGAGAAGTATTGGCTGCCGGTCAGTCGATTCATCGGTTAACCATTTCCCGATCTACGTCGTTTGAAGGGATAGTACCCTCTACTCATATTATACCATATCCGGGGGCAACCTTAAACCCTGCAAGTCTTGAATGAAAATAATGACCAGGAACAGAAACTCGGGGAATCATAAGGCTGATGTATAAATAAAGCTACATCCAATGAACCAGGACGCATAATAACCAAAAAGGCAAGACAATCTAAACGGGGACCCGTCGAATAAAGCACGCATACTGTAAATAAACCACCGCCATGTCCATAGATTCAACCCGTCCATTCCAAAAAAAGAAGGGGAAAAAAGCACTTGTATTTCGATCTACAGCTCATTCTTATTGGTCCGTATAAAATCGAAGATAAAATAAAAAGTAATGCTTCAAAACCGTCCCTAGAAAAATGGTCATTCACCGTCCTCCTCTTAGAGCAAGAACCAAGTGCAGCGTAGCTCCTCCTTCAAGGTTATACTCCGAAGCCGCCTTATCGTCGGCCCTATATTTCAACCATCGTTAGTCACTGCCGTTCAACCACCAAATACTAAAAAGGTATGAATGACTGGCATACATCTGTTTACCACCGAAAATCAAACGCTGCTGGGCCGGTGGAATTCCTTCCTTCTCCTCGACACGTTCCTTAATCTTAAAGACCTATATTATATCACCAAAAAATATAAAATCAGTCTCTAGTACCCCTAAAACACCTTAAAAAGGCGAAAACAACGGTTTCCAAAGCTTCCGGCGTTCTCTTTGCTCGGTTCCATGTCTCCGATGAGGTGTGTAGCGGGGGCGGGGGCGGGGTTGTCGGTCCACCACGCGAACTTCCCCTAAAAGAAAGCAAGAGGAAAAATCCACCGGCGTGTCTTTGGAAAAGCTACAGAGAACAGCCAGAAGCAGAGAAGACTATCGGGGGAGAGCGTCGTACTTTATAATCGGGTTCGATATCGAGCTCGATTTCCTTTCCGGTCAAAGTTCGGACTCTTATTAACACGACTAGATTAGTCATCTTGTTCCACCCAAAGCTCCCTAGAGCCACCATAAACAAAGGAGAGGAAAGAAGAGCATACTTGATTAACATCTTGAATCGTAATTACAAAGGTAGTCTTGTTCGAGCTTCAAGAGGTTGGAGATATGTTTTGAGCGTTCGAAGTTGTGGAGATGGAACGGGAGGAAGAGGAGTGAGGTATACTGGGGATGGAAGCGTGGACTGACAACTGAGCGAGAGAACGTTAGTTAACGTGCCCAATTTAATTTGTGACGCAGCGTTACAAAGGCGCAACCACAACAACACCAAAAAAAGGATCCTCCGCCAAAATGCAACATCTCCACTCCTAAATTGGGCTTCACAACTTTTGTGACTGATAAATGCTTATGGAATACTATATGATTAGATGAATAATAAAAAAGATAATAAAAGGTCTTTGTTCTTATAATATACACTATGTACAGGCACTATTCTACTCTATCCATCTAATCCACTTCAGAGTTTTGTGCTTCGGACTTACTACCAATCAAAGCTAAAGAAGCTCGCAACGAAAGGACTTCCTCCTCCCATTGCCTCCCCTCCAGTCCCTCGACTTCCTTGATAACAGCCTTCGCTTTAACTTCCCGCCGGTTAAAACTTTGTACAACTCCCTTGACTCCTCCTCCACCTTTCTCCCTCCAGGTCGCTCCTTTCTCCGCTAGGTATAGCAGTCGATTCATCGTAATCCAATTCTCAAACCTCAATTGGTTTATAGAATATCCCGTCACGCTCCTTCGTTCTCCCCATGCTCCATCATCTATCTCACCCTTTCCTTTTCCTCCTGTCTTAACTTCTGGATTTCTCATGTCTTCTTCTTTTGCTTCTACTTCGGTAGCTTCCCCCTCTTTGACTTCTTCCCCTTCCTTTATTTCCCCTTGACTACTATTCTTCTTTTCATTCGCAAGCTGCAACCCCGCGAGATCAGTCTTTGGATCGTGCGTCGCCGTCAACCACGGGTTTCTGGGCATATTCTTCTGAAAATGTTCATAAACCTCCCTCAACTGTCCAACATCGTCTTCCGTCATCTCCGGCACCCCTAAACTGCCCAAATCCAGATCCAACGTCGAAAAGTCATAGGCAACGGTACTCCTAATAACCTTCTCCATAACATCCAATATCTTATTGTATTCCTCCACCTCTGCTCTCAACTCTGCGTAGTTTGTTTCAGGAACACCGGTAGATATAATACGGGATTGTTTTCGTAAGGGGTTGGATGAAGTATCAATGGAATCCTTCCCCGTCTTCACCGCCGCAGCTAACATTTCCGCTTCGTTCTTCAAACTCTTTTGTAAACTTCCCTCCCGTCGTACCAATTCCAACCTAATCTCGCTTGTCAGCCTCTGGCTGAACTGGTTTTGATATTTATTCAACTGTTCTAGGATATAAGGCTTCATCCCAGCCTCAAATCCAGCCCGGATCAACGCCTTCCAAGACATCAATTCATGATCTCTAGCCCCTTCCTTCGTAATTCCAGTCCATACCCTTCCGGGTTGGTATTTCGCCTTCATAGTTTCTTCCAGATACTTTTTTCTCCACTCAACCAACCCCTCCCATGACTTTTTCACTCCTTCTTGATCCGCCAAACTCCCGCAGGCTCCCATGATCACTCTATACGGTGCTTCATCTAGAATCCCCTTCCCACTCCTGACTGTTGAATCGATCTCCCTCATCGCTGCCGCCACAATCTGTCTCAAATGTCTTCTAGCAGCCTGACTGATGATATTGCAATATGTAATAATATCAGGCTCGACATTAACCCCATCGAACAATTCTATTGTCCGTCGGATAGTCCCAAACATAGGATTGACAGCAGCCTGATAGTCTTCCATCTTCTTTTCCCATTCCTCCCACTCCTTTGATTCCTTCTCTTTCTCTTCAGCCGTTCTTTCATCCGCACCTTCTAACTCACTTTTTATCAAAGTCCCCAATGGAGCCGGGGGCTCGGGAGCTTCGGGCAATCTTCCCAGTAATCCAAAGATCACTTTATTCAACAGGATAACCGAAGCTTTCCCACCGATTGCCAGGTATGCTAGAACGAGCTGTAACACACCCTTTTCGTCCATAGTCTCTTTCCACCAATTTGAAATAATCCACATCAGTGATTTCCCGTTTAATCTCGTCCCGGCTCTACACGCCATCAAAAATATCAAATACCCTTCCCTGGAAGGTCTATTGTGTATAAACAACTCGTAGATCCTTGTAGGTACCTGTGTAGGATGTAATCTTGCCACAATATCCAACGCTTCATACGCCGATCTCCAATTTTGGTTTAATATTCTGGCAGTAATGATCCCTTGTACCAATGTAAGGCTTGTAGCTCTGTGATGCATACCACCACCTGCATCTTCAGCCTTTGAAAACTTCTCGAGAGCTAGAGAGTAGAGATTTTCCAAATCCTCCAGTGGAGCACCTTGGTATGCTAAAAACTCAATGACGGCGCCGAAAACACGGGCGTTCAGGTGGTCCAAGTTTTGGTCTTTAAGCCAATTCCAGTATTCGTTCCCCAAAGTCCATTCTTCGGCTTCCTTGAGTGTTGAGAGGATGTGAACGTGAGCAAGGTAGTGTTTTGGAAGTTGGCCGGATTTGAGGTAGTCGAATACCGTGGAGATGTATTTAATCACAGTGGCCTTAGGGAGGCTCTTTGAACGGAAGGCTTCGTGGAGAGCCTGTGCGAGGTTATGCGAGTCAGAGTGACGGAGGATATCGAGTTCGATGAGGTTGGTGAGCGATTGCATCGCAGCATTGATATTCCCAGAAGCGATATCAGATCGAAATACAAATAACTATCCCTCATCAGAAAGAAAGAAACACAGAAGATTAGTTCTTGTTAACTTTCCAATGTATATAAGTAGATAGGAATGAATAGATATAGTAAATACCTCCGGCGCATAAGTATCCTTCAACTCATCAGTCGTCAACTGGGGAGCCCCCATGGATGTCTTCTTCCCGGCTTCGATCAATCTCTGCCGTTTACCCTTCCTGACCTTGACACCAGGAATATGTTCCTTAGTTCCCCATCTTATATTCAAATACCGTCTTTGCGACTGTCCTGCTACAAACAATTGTGCAGGACTATCCTTCAATGCTAGAACTTGGCATCGATAGCAAAGACTTTGAATAGCATTTGATCGAGTGATTAGTGAAGATTGAGCCAGCCTTGTTAACGGGCGAGTGGCAGATGGTAAACTCGTCATCCCCTTCTTTCCCTTCTTCTCTTCCTTCTCCCTTGCCGTATCTTATCGCCCTCTCCCGAATATTATGTCTAGAAAAAGAAAAAAGAAAAAGAATTGACCGACCCGTCGAGATAACAAAAAAGATTTAAGTAGCTAAGGAAGTTGAAAAAAAGTCAAAGAATTTTGCGTTGACCGAAATTCCAGCTTTGTGGTTGCAAGCTAAGCCGTCAAACGAGTCTTGGCATTTGTCCAGCCCAAACCAAACCGAAAGCTTGCGCTCCCAAGCTGCCTCGAAGAACGTGTTAACTTCCCTAAGCTATTCTATCTTCTCCAAAACCCTCCTCGACACCCCCCTCCTCTTCCCTTCAGAGATACCCACATACCCCCCCCATTCCACCACCTCATCTTCTTCGATTGATAGCTTCAAGATACCGATAACGAAGGCTAGAGATACCCGTCGAAATATAAATCTCGCAACCATGTCCGGCAATCTCTCCCTCTTCACCATCAACGCCATCCTCATCATCGATCAGGACGGTAATCGCGTACTCGCAAAGTACTATTCCGCCCCCCACCCCACTGCTCCCGGCGAGCCAGGTTCGAATCCTTATCCTACCCTCAAGGACCAGCAGGTACTGTCCCAGATCCCGATATATATAATATACTTTTCCTAATCCCCCGGGGTATTATACATCTACTAACATGGCTAAAACATCAATTCAGAACTTCGAGAAAGGCCTCCACTCTAAAACCTACAAGCAGTCCTCCGACATAATCCTCTACGACAACCGTATCGTAGTCTACAAGCCCGAATCCGACGTAACCCTCTATGTCATCGGTGCTCTCTCCGAAAACCCCATATTACTGTATAACGTCGTCCTGGCTCTTCGAGATGCTTTAAGTATTCTATTAAAGAATACTACGGACAAGAGAACTATTATTGAGAATTATGACCTTGTCAGCTTGGCTATTGATGAGATCGTGGATGATGGTATTGTGCTGGAAACCGACCCAAGTGCTGTCGCTGCTAGAGTTAGCAAGCCGCCGGCGCATGAGTTGAATCCTCAGAAGTTAGACTTCAGCGAACAGGGATTGTATGTCACCTTTCCTTCATACGGTCTTTTATATCGTGGGATATTCTATGGGAGTGTTCGAATGCTAACTATCATTTTTTAATTCTCAGGTACAATGCATGGAATATCGGCAGCAAGATCATTGCAAACAAACTGCGAGAAGGCTTATAATCCCAACGAAAACCTGCATAATTTATTAGCGGGATTTTGTATAATCTTTTCTCCGGAAGGCCCGGGGAGTTTCCTGTTCTATAGCCTTCTAATATACTTTGGTTCTAATGTCTATATTCCCCATCTATATTTATCTCATTTATTCGTTCATTCATTCTAGACTGTTTCTTGGTATAGATAGTGTATGAATAATAAGGTATGTACTAGTAGTACTAGCTATCTGGAAAAAGTGGTAGAGTGATTATCTAAACCTCCCCCGCTTTATCATCAATATGATAATCAGGGTCCACGCGTATATGCCATTAAGGGCCGTCTATCATCTCCTCTGCGCGTACTTACAGGCCAACCATCAATTCAAGTAAAAACATTAAGTTAGGCAAAGTAAAGAAAAGGACCCGCTGCACAGTAATATTAACTACCCCATAATTAGAGTAATCAGAGAGAGGGTAGAAAAAAAAGGAGGGGGGGGAGGAAGGAAATCCTTGGCCATCAATAAAAATGATAATGAAGAAAGAAAAACATTATTAAGACCCGGCCAGCTTTTTGTGTACAGTCCAAAAAACACCAGCAAGCATCTAAGTAGTAGTAATAATAATAATAGTAACAATAGTGGTAGTAGTATTGTAAAGAAGAAGTAGAGAAGAAAGGAAAGGGGAGGAAGAATGATTCGTGGTAATAAAAAGTAGTGGTGTAATTGGAAAGTCTGTGTGAACGCCATGTCCCATGCACGCAAGCGATAATATGTATCCCATAACAAAAACTGTAGTTAGAAAAGAAAAGAAAAGAATAAAATCACAATACCTCCTCTTTTGAGCCTTTGAAAAAAATACTGTTGCCCAGGTCTAGAGACTCCGATTAATTTGGGTTTATCATCGTCAGTTTAAACGTCCCGACGACGGATAACAACACTGGCGGCCTTCTTCAATCGATTCATGACAGCCAACCCTTCCATATCCTCTTCGATTCCCTCGATATGCACCACAACAACCCCTTCGTCGTCCATCCTTCTTAGCGCCCCGAAAAGTTTCCTCGAGATCTCTTCTCCACTAGTTCCCAAGCTCTCTTCAACTAGTTCTACATTTCTCTCTCTCAGCCATTCAACTTGTTTATCATCCAACTCCTTCCATTGTCTAGTTCTTAAAACTCCCAGCCGGGCAACCCTAGAGTCACTTCCGAAGGCTGTGGATTTCAGCATTTCAACACTCGGTTGGTCTGTGTTCGGGAGGTACAGTCTGACCCCACATGTTGGCGAGTAGTGTTTGTACTTCATCCCTGGTGCTCTCGGCGCAGCCCCACTTGCGGCTCCATTCGCCCCGCCCCCGCTATTTCCTCCACCGTCCTCCTTATGGACGATGACTCCTTCCCACCCTTCACATTCTCTGATTTGTTCTAGACTCACGCCTCCAGGTCTGAGGATTGCAGGAGGACTCGAAAGCCCGTCGACCACAGTACTTTCAAGCCCGACGATACAACTACCACCGTCTAGGATAAGCTCTACGCGTTTGTACAGGTCGACAGCGACGTGTTTAGCAGTCGTAGGTGATGGAAGACCTGATTTATTAGCTGAGGGGGCGGCAATTGGAAGGTTCGAGGCTAAGGCGAGAGCTAGTGCGACAGGATGAGCTGGCATGCGTACACCGACAGTCGTCTGCGTGGCATAGACGTGGGGTGAAAGTTTTGAGTTTGGTGGTAATGGTAGGAGTATGGTCAGCGGCCCTGGCCAGAACTTGTCGATCAGGGGTTTGTAGATTGCTGGTATCTCAAAGGTTTCTGTGGGAGAAGCATTTGCTGGCCTGAGAAGCTCTCGGGCCTGTTTGAGAGAACCGATATGAACGATCAGAGGGTTATCGGCCGGCCGGCCCTTGATCGTGAAGATATTTCTTACGGCTTCATCGCGAGTGGCATCTGCTCCTAAACCATACACAGTTTCGGTGGGGAATGCGACTGGGACATCGCTCGAACGGAGTCGCTCAGCAGCGAGGAGGATGGCTTTGCCAGTTTGAGACGAAGAAGAAGTGGTAAATGTTGGATCCTCGTAAGGATGAACCGACGGATCGGCGGAGAGTTCGAACTTGACGTCCGAGGGATTTATGGAAAGAACTTCGGTTTTTGTTATTCTGTGAGGGAAGGTGATCCTGGAAGACGACATGGCTGGTGGAGAGGCAGGCTCGCTGCTGGGCGAAGTCATCTCAATTGCTGATTGAGAGAACTGGAAGAGTGGAGAGTGAACGAAGGTTCGAAAAAGTGGAAGTGACTGGTCTTGGAGGGGTCTAGAAGGTATTTTCAAAGCGGACCGCAGACGTGGGGTCCGCAATGAGCAAATAAACCAGATGCGAGGGGCGTGTGTGAGAACAGCCAACTCAGATGTTATTTAAGCTATAGATAATAGCTTCTTCGAGATACTTTCCAATTCCCGAGTTTCTTTCTTTCTTTCTAGTGAGGTAGTTTTGCGAAAGAGGAGAAAAATGAGATTGATAAAAAATGACCTTTCAACAAACCAAAAAAAAAAAAAACGTTCCAAAAGTGGCCTGGTCGATCGATATCGTTATATGAGTCCCCAAGGGATGTCCCTCCCTGATAAGAAGAAAAAATTTTGAAGTGTTTTTTTTTAAAAGGACAAGCGGGCTTCCAAATCCCAAAAAGAGTTACCACCTGCCTGAGCAGAAGACAACAGGTCAAGGGCCCACGAGCACGAGCACAAGCACGGAATACCTGCAATGAAAGAACCTGGGTTTGGCGGGACGATTTTTGTGTCCTGGTGGGATAAAATGTATCGAAAGAAGTTAAAAAGGTGGGACAGCGAATGACTGGCTGGAACTCCCCGGTCTACGTCTGCCGCTGTCCTTCCACCACCTTCTAGACGCGAGACGTCCTCTGAACAAAAAAAACCGATTGGGAACCTTGCAGGGACAGCCGAATGGTAATTTGCTTAGGCTAAACTGGAAAGGCGATAACGAAGGAATGGAAATGTGGAGCGAGGTATGGCTAGGTACTAGAGAATCCGGGCAATAGTGGACCGCCAGCCAGGTACCTGTGTACACAAGGACGAAACTAGAGACGACTAAAGTGTCGAACAATAGCAGTGATTGGGAGGAGAAGAAAGCTTAGATACGGATGGTCCTTTCCCTTTTGTCTTTTTTTGTGAGGGAGCTAGGATGTGAGGGAGCCTGGTTAGTACCATCGACACGAGTATAAGTAATATTGAAACAAGGCTAAAGGAATACTAATCGAACCAGGGAAAGGCACGGGATATAAACTTACCGCTAACTGAGGCGAAAACTAAAAGACGAAAAAACTATAAAAAAAAAACGAGCGGTCGAGGATGAGTCGACCTGGTTGAACTAGCTGAATAATTCGAACTAGCTAGTCGATTGAGCTCTGACTTTCTGTCGGAGTGTCTCGAGATGCAACCCAACCGTCGTGGGGTCCAAGTGCAAGTTAAGTTGGGACTACGCTACGCCGTTTCAGATAGCTTGCTAGTTGCGAATTCACCAGGCCGGGGTGAACAAGTACAAAGCTTAAGTTCGTGAACTTGAAAAGGACGAAGCCGAGAGCTCCACGGGATGCCACTATCTTATCCTATAATTAGGTGGGTATATCGTATATACTTTCTCTGTGTGAAGTATATAAATATAGGTCTTCCCGGCCTACTGATGATTAATATCAAACGATAGTCCTAAGTGGGGAGATTAGAAGAACGAAGGAAGTTATCCTGTGGGATGAAGCAAATGTGGTGATGATGTGACGGTGGCCCTGAAGATGGTGATGATAGTGACGGTGGTGATGATGATGATGATAATGATGATGATGGCGATGATGGCGATGATGATGATTATGGAGAAAGGTCAAAGAAGGAACAGCAGCTGAAGAGGATCCGGCTGGTCGAGACGAAAGAGATTTGTTTGTGTTGTTTCTGTTAAGAAGTTCTTTTTGCTCTCTCGTCCAACCTGAACTGACCAAACTGACTCTGAAGAATGCAAAATGTTTCGAATTGGCTGCCTGGCGATATATTATATTATACCACGACGACTTCAGTTCAGATGCATGTAAGTACTAAGCCAGCATGCATGTACTGCATCTCTAGCTTAAGTATGTACGTGCTGATACTGGCTAATATTACTGGGGTCGAAGAGCAGGTAAGGTCTGTCTGTACCTTGCTGACTAACTACCCTCACTATTCCATGCAGCTCATATTCTTTCATTCACTCATTACCTTCTCTGACCCTAAACAGCCTGTGAGTAGGTAACCCCATATTAATTAATCTCTAGCCAAAAAAAGAGAACCGAAATTTCAATTAGAAACGAAACGCACACCTGGTCTGGTCTGGTCCGGCCGGTGGGGAGAAAAGCGAGGCTTCCAGGCAGCCGATTATCCCCCAACAGTGATTGTGGTTGTCTGGTTGTCTCTCTTCAGCTTGCCCAGCCTGGTGCAACAAAGCCAACCGAACGAATGGGTCACTTGGATTCGTACGGGGCCCCTGTCAGGCCACTTCCCCTCCGCGCGCGTCGTTGAACGCCTTCTGCACGACGCGAGAGATCCATTACATCCTCACCTCCGCGAGATGTATGGTCACGGCAGGGCAGGGAAAGACAAGGCAGGGCAGGGCAACTTCAAGTCATTTCGATCTGAGGTCCTTGCCGTTGTGGGCCCTTCTAGCCCAGCTGCGATTTCTTTTGGGTCGTCAAAGGCATTTTAGATGCGGAGGGTCCTTAAACAAACCCTCTCTATTGCATTGCATGCCTTCCATTGCATCGATATGCATGAACATACATACTTGCGCAGCCGTCCAGTTGGTTGGTGGGATATCGAAAGATTAGACGCAATAACCCTGGCGGGGTATGGAATAATCAGGCCTAAAAAGGTGGGTTGGTGGCTTGCAGGTTGCTGCACGTTCATCTCTTGCATCTGTCTGGACGAATTTACCGACATAACATCTTGTGCTTCTTTGTCGACCTCGACCTCGACCTTTCTCAGGTAGCTTCCGTTCGGGACGGCAAAGCATACCGATACTACAGTAACAACGACACGGAATGCAGTGTCAAGACGCCTAGCCGGTGGCTTACGTATGTACATATATTACATACAAAAGTATGTACACAACCCTGAAATCTGAGCGCCTGCCATCAGAAACATACATACTATGTATGTCCAGCATTGAATCCTGTCGTGTGATATGTCCAAATGCTGTTGGGCGACTAGTTCCCTTGAAATAACAATCACAAGGAAGTTGCCAATCATGCTGTCAAGAATTCTCCTCCAATCCGGGAAATACGGTCCATCCAATCATATTTACAAGTCTCACAAGAGCAAGGCCCGTCGGAAAGACGATGCCCTTGCTTGCTTGCTTGCATGCATCTCATCCTGAATTGCACTGTTCAGTCTCGCCTTTTGTCCAGTCTCGCCCGTCGGTTTGGTCTGCCCTAAAGCCTTCTGAACAAAATCATTAACCCTGACTTCGGGATTACTTCCCCATCGATTAATGTGCCCAGTCCAAAATGATAATGCCTCACAAGCTTGCATCCACTTTGAATTTTTACATTCTTGTTTCGTTCTCTTTTTTCCTTTTGCATTCCTTTGTTCCCGCTTTCCGGCACGCTTATCGGCTTTGCCATGTGAAGAAAAAGTAGTGTCCCCGAGACGCTGGGATAAAAAGAAAGAAAACCTAATAATGTGAAAGACCAAGCAGAAAACGGCGTCTCCGGTGCATCTCGGGACATGTCTCTGGTAACGTATGTAAAACTTCCCAGATCGGAGAGAATCCACTGACTCCACGTCGTCTTTCATCGACAATCTCACCGTATCCACTCGCTCTCAAATTCAAAGTTTGATTTCAGGGACCCGAAACAAGCTGTCCCGAAAAAGCAAGGCTTCAATCTCGAAACACCGCTCGCTTAAATTCCTGTGGGCCGGCCGTTCGGTGGATTTTTTTCCTTCTGTAACACCTTCCCTCCAGCTCTTTTAGGTCATGGCTTCTGTTTTTTGTTTTCTAGGCGAAATTAACAGCGCAATTGCGAATTTGCCTCAGGATGATAGATGGAGTTTCGTAATTTTGAGCCGTCGATGGAGACAGCAAGTCCGTGCTTCTTTGGTAAACAAGGCGAACTGGAGGGCTCTCATTTACAGAAACTTCTCGATCTTACGCCCTTCCAACGGCTTAATACTCCGCGTTATAGCGATTTAAGAAGGTTGCATTCTTTTTCTTCATGTTATTATATTTTAATTTGTTTCGAATCTGCGATTGCAAAAAATATTATATCAGAAAGAGGGAAAGAAAAAATCCCGTCGTCTATCGCGTACGGCACTACCGACATCTTTTCAAGACCCACCGATACTATCCGTATTAATCTTATCCTTCAGCTTCTATAATCGTTAATTTGTCTTGAATTTTAATCTCAGTCACAATCGGATTTAAAGGTTCCCCCCGCGTGGATATGTTACGAGTCATACTCAACTACCGATGTTGCGACTTTCTTAACATTTCGCGACAGACAACTCATTTTTCGTGAATTCCTCCACCGGCCCAAATTGATTTACACGGAATCTTTAGGCGACAGCCAAAGCTAAGAGCTTATCACCGGTTTTAGGCGCATCTAATCCAATCATCTAGCTACCTAATCCCTCGTAAATCGGTTCTCTTAACTTCCGTGGCCCGTAGTTAAAGGCCCGGTTTCAAAAAAAGCCCATTCCTTATCATCTTAAAACTCAAGATGTTGAGATCTTATCCTAAGTAAGACTAATCTCTTGCGGCTTAATTAATATAATATTAATATCCACAAGGCCGTCGACGGGGTTCATGGATCTACTCAGATCACCAAATATTATATGCAAGGCATCTCATCTTATCCAATATTGAGTGGCGACGTTCACGCGTACCCATCATATCGCAGGGTTCATATCCATGGATCCAAGCTATTCGGAGTTAAGTAATGTACTAGCCAAGGTATACTTCAAAGAAGGGAATTATAGACGGAAGGCGAGATATTGGTTCCAATCGGATGTAAAAGCGGGATTATCTAGAAACAACGATGGCTGCATGCTGCAGTTACCCTTACGTTAATCTGGTAATATAGTATATAATGTCAATTGAATATTTGCACGATATTATTGGAAGTTGGATTTGCTATCGTACATATACCTACGTATCTAAGAAGATGCAGTTAATCTAGAAGTCTAAGTACTTTCTATCTGAGATGCAGAACGCAACGTAGGGAATGAATCAAATTTCATGTTGTCAGAGCTTACCACTATTACAGGTATTGCCACTGCCTTGATCGTCAGGTTTTTTTGTGGCTTGTTATACATTAGGGTGTGTTATATTATCGTGGCAAGTCCAAAACTTCAAAGTCCGATTGGTCTTAATATTGGTCTTAGTAATTGTGCATAGACAGCATGCATATGTGCCAATGTTGCAATCTAGATCTATGACCGGCTATGGTACCAATTCTTAGTAGGAATCATTGTACAGGCAGCGCTGGATGTGCAATAGGTCCAATCCCACAAGATGTTAATTAACTAATCATCCCATACAATTGTACAACGGTACGGTTGCGAACATGTCCACTCTCATATTCAAAGATTTATGTTTTTTCAAGCTAAGCTGGTCTTAGGCCGTATATCTATACTTTGACGCATTGAACCGGTATTTCCATAAACCTTGAACCGGCTTTACTACCGTCGGATCAATTAGTAGTGGAACGTAAACTTCATGATCAACGAATTATTTGGGCAACATCAAGTTACCATAAGTCCTCTACGTATATATATATATTACGGTAGCAGAAGTTAGGAACTAGTGACGAATATATGGTAAAGGGTCCTAGAAGATGAATGCGAGGCGGGAATATGGAGGAACGGAGAAGAAAAACTTGTCCTAAGACAGCCTTTGGGAAACCTAGGCCTTCGGTGCTAGGCTTATAAAGGTCCTCTAATCAATATCTGGGGGAGAAAGGGGCTTAAATCCGGGGACAGACACGGCAATACATGGCAGAATACTTGAAACGTCTGTGAGTGAATCGAAATTTCTGGTAATATAATATCAATTGATCATAACAAAATGATCATATGATGATGCTAACCATTTTAAAACTTTATTTTCTTTTTACTACCTGCTGAAAGAAGATATATAGAATGGTAGTCTAAGGGAATATGAACCTGATCCCGCATCACTCTTGAGCCATCAATTTTGTGGTCATCCAACATATTAAATCTAGGCTCTCGATCGAGGTGCAAGCCCAACATATTGAACAATGTCAACACATCCCAACTTCGAAATACCACAAATTAGGGATCAAACATTGCATTTACATTCTTTCGGGTGTAAATTCGATAAATTAATTTAGTGACTTAGAAAAGCTATTTGACGAGAAGAGTACATCGACGAAAAGGATTAGAGGTTTCGCTTCGATTATTATGTGCTCTACTGCTTATTGGTGTCTCGAGCTCACGACGGTATGGGGAACCTGTTAAAATTTAAAATTTGACACTGGCAGGAGAAGGAAACTAAACGATTGGGTAAAAAAAAACAGGCGATTGGAAGTCGCTATGCATATATGCACATTTCACTATATTGACCCGCGCAGGATCCATACGCTCGATTCTATCACCCAATAATATCGATACAATGGCCGAAGATTATGCGAGTTTGCTAAGTTGGTCTGCAAACCCCTGCATATACTGTGTCGGACATCCCGTGCCGCTTTCTAGAGTATACAGCGTTCAAATTGCAGAAGATATCTCGAAACCTCGACAGTGATGATCATATGCGCATACAAAACCTAGGCCAAAAATTATGACCCTGAGTCGACAAACCCCAGAGAAAGATATCGCTTTTGTATTGCAATTTATTCGAAGGGATCATTTTGTTCATTGTAACATTATAATTCGATGCCATTTTTCGTGAATGGGCAATCCTGTACGTATGTTAAGTCAACGCAAACGTTGCAGGAAGGCTGATAAAAGCTCTATGGAAAATGTCGACATGCGTGTCTAGGCCAAGGTTGAAACTCTGACACGTCACCAAATATCATGTGGCGAGCATATACTTAGTTCATGCCGCTTACACAGCCTTGCCATCTTGGAAGCGGGGAATATTCTATTTCGCTAAATATCAGATTATTCATGTTAGGGTGCGTTGGGTATAAGAAAGCCGGCACCGACACCACTTGGTCTCGTTTCTAAATGTTACAAAATGTTACAAAGGGAGGCATTCGACTTTTTAGAGCTTTAGCGAGGACAGTTACTACCTAGCTGGACGCTTCCCTAAAGGTGCGCATGCGACCCCGCACCTGTACATTTGATAAACAGAAAAATCATACCATTTTATCTACTATTCACTCATTTATGTATATTTAATAAGGCGGCGCCACGGTGTACAGCCTTAATCTACAAGACGCCCCGATCGAGAAGACTTTGAACCCTGACCGTTCAAAATGTCTTCCCTTCCGAATCAAGAATACACAATCGGATGGATCTGTGCCCTTCATATAGAGATGACTGCGGCTCGTCTCATGCTAGACAGTGAACACGGGGCACCGCAGGAACAACACCACTCAGATCATAACGTATATCAACTGGGTAGCATTGGAGAACATAACATTGTCATTGCTTGCCTCCCCGACGGCGTATACGGTGTGACATCTGCAGTCGCCGTCGCCGTTCAAATGCTCGCTACTTTTGAATCTATAAGGTTCGGGCTGATGGTCGGGATAGGTGGGGGGATTCCCAGTAGAAAAAATGATATCAGGTTGGGTGACATCGTAGTTAGTCGGCCCGAGGGTACTTCAGGAGGAGTTATACAGTATGATTTGGGAAAAGCTATAGGACAAAATGAACTCCAACGCCTCGGCTCACTAAATAAGCCGCCGCAAGTCCTATTAAACGCCATGGCGAAGCTTCGATCGAATCACGATCTAGAAGACAGCAAAGTTCCCAATATATTATCATCAAGGTTAGCGGCAAGACCCAAGAAAACCCAAGCCCTATTCTCACACCAAGGGGCTTCAAATGACAATTTATATCTGGCGGATTACGAGCACTCCAACGAGGAAGAAAACGGTTCCTGTGAATCTTGCAACGTCTCGGGTCAAAGGGTCAGTCGTCCTGATCGTGATACGACCGATCCAGTCATTCACTACGGTGTTATCGCGTCTGGGAATCAAGTGATCAAACATGCTATTACCAGAGACCGGATTGGAGGAGAACTTGGCGCAGTTTGTTTCGAGATGGAAGCAGCTGGGCTTATGGATAATTTCCCGTGTCTTGTCATCAGGGGAATCTGCGACTATTCCGATTCTCATAAGAATGATCGCTGGCAGAGATATGCGGCCGCAGTTGCGGCTGCGTATGCAAAGGAGCTCCTCGACGTCATCCCACCCAGAGATGTTACTCCGACACCCGTGATTAAAATACTTCATATATTGAGCAAGGGTTAGATCCTCTTTCCTTTGTATTCCAGACATGGATCCAAACCATGTATTTGTTCTCCTACCTGCTACAACGCTATACTTTTCTATGAAATGCTGCTGATTAATCTATTACTTGTCGTAACTTGATTGCTACAATGCAATAGTGCATGATCAAACGTAAGTGATAAATTCCTTGAAAGGTTGGCACTATGGTGTTCCCTATCGATCCATGGTGTCACGGAACATCGATGAACCAACGACTAGATCTATAGCTATGGACTGACAGCCAATATTGATAGAACGGATATCTTAATACGATTCGGCAAACTGAATACAATAGACTCTTGGGTAAATTGCCTTGTGCTCAAGGGGCTGCCTTTAAGTCTAATGATCCAAGCTCTAGCTCGAGATGCCTCGCAGGCACAAGGGTTGAATTACTTGAGCAAATCAATGAATGGTTCCGGGATGCGAATGGGAAGCCTATTTTCTGGTTAAATGGCATGGCAGGCACAGGAAAATCCACGTTGGCTCGAACCATCGCGGAGACCTTCGCGAAAGACCGCCAACTCGCAGCTAGCTTTTTTTTCAAGAGAGGCGAAAGCGAGCGGTCCCATGCTCGAAAGTTTTACACGACTCTTGCTTTCCAGTTGGCCAAGAATATCCCTGAATTAGCATATCACATCATTAAATTCATGGACTCTGAGCCGAGAATATTCGAAGAACCCTCGAACGAACAGTTTGACCGCCTTATATTCCAGCCTTTATCCGAACTCAAGAAAACCTCAACTACGGTATTGAAATACATAATAGTCATCGACGCTTTAGACGAGTGTGGTGATGAAGGGGATACCAGAACAATTATCCACTTACTCTCTCAAATCGGTAATCCGGAATTTATAAGGGTTATTCTAACCAGTAGGCCCGAGCTTCGGATTCAGTTCGGGTTTAAGGATATAGGAGAGGGAAGATTTATAAATTTTGTCCTTACCGGAATAGAAGAGCATATTATCGAACGGGACATAGAGATATTCTTTCGCCATGAATTGGCGGCTATAAAAAGGAGATTTGAACAGTATTTTCATCCAGACCGACATTTAACGATCGACTGGCCTGGTGAAAAGTCGACCCAGGAATTAGTTAAAATGGCAACTCCTCTATTCATTATCGCGGCGACGATTTGTCGCATGCTTCGCAATACCGGATGTGACCCTAAAGAAAAGTTAATACGAATTCTCGAATCTCATACTAGGATAAGCGGTGCGTCGGAAATTGAGAGGACTTATATCACAGTACTGGATCAGTTGCTGGTGGATCTTTCCGACTGGGAACAAAAGGACATGATCGATGAGTTCCAGAAGATCATTGGCACAATTATCAATCTCGCTACCCCGCTCTCTACAGCTTCTCTGGCAAATCTCCTCGGTATCCCTAAAAAGAAAGTGGACTCCCGATTGGACTTTTTCCATTCTGTTCTCAGCGTTCCGGAAGACCCAAAGGAGCCTGTCCGGCTACTACATCTTTCCTTTCGTGATTTTCTCGTCGGATCTCATTTTAAACAACATGGTGATGGGAGTCTGTTCTGGGTCGACGAAATAGAGTGTCACAAGACCATAGCCACCGCATGCCTAAAACGGCTTTTTGATACACTTCGCAAAGATATCTGCGGGTTAGAAGACTTTGGGGGCTACGAGCTACAATTATTCAAGAAGATATCGATAATAACCTACAACCCGATGTCCAGTACGCCTGTTGTTATTGGGTACACCACATGAAATTAGGCAAAACTTCTGTTGACGACGGAGATCAGGTTCACGATTTTCTGAAAATACACTTTCTTCACTGGCTCGAGGCCCTCTCTATCCTCGGAAAGTCTTATGATATCATTCTCCTAATCCGCGACTTAACGTCGCTCATTGTAAGCTACTTAACATCATTGACTCTATATTTTATCGTGCTAATGTTATTTAAAAATGGCCCAGGATTCTAGCAGCACTGAAGCACTCGAATTTATTCGCGATGCACACCGTTTTGCCTTGATGAATCGAGCCATAATTGATTCCGCACCACTCCAGTTGTATTCATCGGCCCTCATTTTTACTCCTCGAAAGTCTATCATCCGAAGGATATTCATAGACCAGGTTCCAGATTATATTCAGACCTTACCGACAGTGGAAGATGAATGGGATGCGGTTCTACAGATACTACATCACGAACACCCTGGCCGGTATGTCTGGCCAGGCAGGCCCAATCCCGGACTCATGAAATTCTCACCCAGTGGTCGAATTCTCGCAGCAGCGGGCAAAGATTTTTCCATTATGCTCTATGATTCCTTTACTGGAGCACTGGTAAGAACGCTTAGAGGACATGGGCTTGCTGTTGAAGCTGTAGCTTTCTCTCCGGATGGGGAATTATTAGTTTCGGGCTCGCGAGACAAAACAGTCAGAGTATGGGACTCTGTTACGGGAGCTCTCAAGCTTAAACTTGAAGGGCATGAAAGTGATATTAAAGCTGTATCTTTTTCACCAGATGGGAGTCTGATATTCTCAATAGCCTCTGATGCACTTATGCAATGGGACTCCAAAACGGGAGCGCGTTGTGGAGTTTTGAAGGGCAGTTTTACTCTGGGTTCCCCGATGATTTTCTCCCCAGATGGACAACTATTGGTATCCGTCCCGGATAAGTATCAGGCCTGGATTTGGAATTTTGGTCTCGGGTCACATTGTATGCCTTTAGCCACGGCGGAACTGAGTCACGGCAGTGACTATCCATTGGTATGCTTATCCCAAGACGGCGAAATGATCGCTATCGGAAGACGTTATGGGTATATGGAGGTTGTTTCCACAGCTACGGGGGCACTACTCCAGACTCTGAAACCTCCAAATAAAGTGGGGCGCACCTGTGCCATGAGCTTTCTGCCAGACAGCCAGCTGGTGGCATTAGCGCTACCAGATGTGTCTGGTAGGTTGGCGGTATTTACGAACTTAAACACTGGCCTAGAGATATGGAGTATCCCTTTGGATCTAGGGAAATATCAGTGGCATTCCGTTTCTATCTCACCGGACGGTAAACTCTTGATAGTTACATTTACCTTAAAGTCGTACATTAATGGGAAATTCATGTTGTCTCGGCGTGTACAAGAGATTCGGGTATATGAATCTGCTACCGGGAGAGAAATCCACAGGCTCAAGCAAGTTTCGGGGATTGGGGTAATTTTGTGTCAAGCTCTTTCCTTGGATAACAAACTATTGGCTTCGATAACGGATGAGGGGTCTGTGATGCTCCACGATTTTGGAACTGGGGAATTGCGACAGAATTTAGGCTCAGCGGAGTCAGGCGAAGAGTATTGCGGTTTTTTGGAATTTCAGATCGCAGATCAAAGTCTAGGTTCCAGTTCTGAGTGGCTAGAGCTAGAGCCGGATCACGACATATGTCTAGAGTCTTCATTGTATTACAAAAAGAACCGGTTTGTGAGGATTTCGAGGGATGGTAAACGAGTCGCCGCAACAACTGGGGACATTGTCAAAGTCTGGGACTCAGATACGGGGCTATCCCTGGAAACGATAACTGGACAGTGGGGTGAGATTTGGGATATCCTCTTTGCTCCAGACGGTAGTTTGGTGGTAATCGGACCTGACACAACAATAAAAGTCCTCGAATCGGCTACCGGAAAGTCGCGCCTCAACATGCAGATTGATACCGGGTTCGCTTTCGGTTGGAAGTGGGATAAGGCGGAGGCTAAAGCTGCCATCTCGCCGAGTAACACCCTTCTTGCAATCGCGGAGCCTCATTCGCTATATATTTACAACTTGGTTAGCGGGGTCCAGCAGCTGGTGTGTAACGGATTCTCAGATATCGGTGCTTTAACATTTTCACCAGATAGTGGAATTATCGCAACAACAATGAAATCTACAAAGAGGAAATCTACAAGTGAGCTACTGATGCACAACGGTGTAAAGCTATATGATTCTGCAACTGGGGACTTCTTACATAACGTTGCTCAACTTGAAAAATCACCTTCGAAAAGCTCGGAGCGTCAAGTAGCGATTGCTTTTACACCCGCCGGAGATCTTATAGCAATGGTATCCAACTCTGGATCAATAACTCTGCTAGACCCGAAAAGAGTACCGCGACAATCTGAACTCTCCGAGAGGTCAGTATTGGATTTACATTTACCCAAATCCAAAGGTCATATATTCGTTTCACCAGACGGCAAACTAGCCATCTCTGCAACAAATAATGGGCTAGTCGAGCTATGGGACGTATCCACAGGAGGACTTCTGCAGAGCTTCTGGCTAAATGTAAAGGCCAGCGCTCCCACAAATGATCGGCCCCCATTTCTATGCTTTAGCGTAGTCTTTTCCAGTATTTAGAGCTGGATTCAAGGCCATACTTTTGGCGCAGTTATCGCCTACCAATACGAAAATTACGAAGGTGGTTACTTTGGCGCAATTTCGGATTGTAAAACAAAAATGGAACTAGTCTCGTTCCTAGACTGCAACAAAGAAAAAATCCTTGAAAGCACTTTGCCATCCGATGACGATTACATGTTAAAATTCTCACCTGACAGTAAGCTATTGGCAGCGAAAATAAATGGTTGCTTACAGGTTTGGGATATACTCGGCCTCATAGACCGGACAGCACGCGACCTTAGACCCACATATATGGATGATAAGAATACGGAGACCATTGTATCATTTCCGGATGACCTGCAGCTAGCTCGTCCACCAAAGAAGCTGACTAGCGGAGGAAGGGCCGTTCGTGGCCTTGGTCGTGTATCAAAACCAAGCAACGCAAATTCCCAATTAACCTCGTCACTACCCGTACTGAAATGCTCACTCAAACCAAAGGCTGGACCAAGGGGCGACCAGCTTAGACAGTCCAATCGTACCCTGGGGGCTAAAAATGCTCAGATAAACAGAGACGTTAAAAGGGCAACGGACACAAGGCTGTCCAACAACAACAGTCTTGGTTCGAAACAAGCCAATTCGATACCGGACAAGTCTGTCCCGATTGACAAAACCGTAACTAATTCCATACTCGGGAGCCTTTCTTGGGTTATAACCCCTATTAATAGTCTCAGCATCTCATTAGAGCATCCAACGACACCAGACGAACAGCAAACAGATTCAAGGAAACCGACAAGAAGCATCAAAACAGTAGCGTTTTCCCCGGATGGTGAATTGATTGCTCTTGTGTCTATGGTCCCCTCTATTGAAATCTGGAACCTTAGGAAACGGGAATTACTCCCTCGATGGCCTAAATCGCTGGAACGTCCTGAAATATCAACTTTATCGTTACGTACAGCTATTAATTTAGCGTTCTCTCCTGACGGAAATTTTTTACTAGCCTACGGCTACGGTTTGGCAATTTGGTCAATCTGCTCCGGGAACGTACGAAATTTCTCATGGTCTCGGGACGATAATATAAGCTTTCATAATATCAAAGTGGCGGCGTTATCACCTGATAACAAGCTTCTCGCAATAAGCTGTCAATGGCTCCTTCTGAAATCGATTACTCTTTGGTCTGTAAGTACTGGGAGAAAGTTAGAGCGTATTCGCTATGGAGGATATACCACCGAACTATCTTTCTCTAGAGATGGTTTACAATTGAAAACAGACGACCGCATATGGAACATCGAGCGCCTCGTTAATGGCCTTTCCGTATCCTCTGGGCGAGTTTTCCGGGCACTAACTATTGAAGACGAATGGATATCTCGAAGTGGGAAAAGGGTGATTTGGCTTCCTCATAGATACCGGGCAGATCTCTATGACTTTTCTGTACAAGAGAATACTTTAGTATTTCATCCAGAAACTGGCGGAACTATGTTTATAGGTTTTGCTTCCTAGTACTATAGTTTCATGGGAGGAAAACCTACAGAATTGTATCTTAATGGAAGTCATATGTATATTATCTCACGCTATTTAAAAGCATCACTGAAATAGAGAGCTAGTTAGCATCAACGTCGTTAATAATATAATATATAGTACTATATACATATATAATAATATATGGATGGGTCAGATAGATCGATCTAAATTAACCTCACGATATAACTAACACCCACATAACTGCAATATTTCAGGCCCAAATCTAGGTCACATAGCATAATAACAAAATGATTATGTCGCGAGACCAGCATCTGATAATTAATGGCTATATTGCCTATCGATATCTTTCCCCTACATGCAGTGCCCGACTTGAAGGTCGGGTTCTTATCAAACTTGGCATTTCGGGATTGGTGGTGTTGTAAAATGTGTGTTGTTCTTGCCAAGACGTTCCCCAAAGGCCTTACATAAGTTGTTCGAATATTTGCCGATCTGATCATTGCGCTGCATGCTGCAGCTCATCGGCGACGATATCAAGTCTATATCTACACTAGCACTGGGATCGAGCCTCCGTCTTGTATCGGTGTGAGAGCGTCCGATTTTCAGACGAATCGACACAGCTGACTGTCGACTGTCTTCCCATATACAGCCGGTGTTCAAACTTGCATGCTTTTCAATTTAACAACTCATCTACCGACGGCTAACGGCACATTTACATAAGTAGCTATAGGCAGCTAGGTTGTATCATTGCCGAGTTCTGGAGACTGCAGACTGTCAGCGTCTGGCAGGAGATATCTAGACGGCAGCAGGCAGGCTATTAAGCACGGCTCATGAGATGGTCCAATAGCAACTGAAAGCGGCGCGGCTACCGGCTACTTTTATTTTTGCCATTTGGAAGACTCTAGAAATCTATTCTTCGGCACAGGTATTCCAATGCAATGGGCAACAGTGCTATCTTGGTTTGGTAACACCTTAACGTGTCTGGGTATGAGACCATTCTATCTTGAGATCGATCTTTGCCGGATGGCGGAACGCAGAACACTTTCTTCTTCTTCCCACTTTGTTTATTCAACTGAATAAATACGCAATGCTCAATGTACACGTATGCCCTCTGTATATATATTAATGTTAATACAAATTTCTTTTTCCGGGTGTTTTGGAATCGTCGAATTATAAAACGGAATAGGATGACGTTAAGAGGAATGTGCGTGCGCTTGGCACGTATACTGTAGGGAAGGAATTACATATTGATGAAATACATGAAAAAAAGCGTAAGACTACCGGCCGGCCCGGCTACACCCTGCTACCGTGACGTTTATGCCTGGCCTCGGGGCTACTCAAAACGCATACGCTCAGTAGTGATCTCTAACCTACGTATCTGCGTATATGGGGCCGGCCCGTAAAATACCGTATAGGTTGATGTATGGTATACGGTGCATCAGTAGCTTTTTTTAATCTTCATCGCGGGGGTTTTGCAATATAAATAGCAGGAATGAACCCCTCCTTTTGCCAACAGATCGATCAGATTCAAATCTTTCCCTGTATTGCGACTTTTTTCTCACTTCTCTCAGGCATATACGCATCCGACCCAGTAGCAGCTATTTTTAACTTATAATATAATGCCTACGTCAAGGAACTTTTCTCGATCGTATTCCGTCCTTTGTTACTCTTGTGGGGAATTTCTTCATACAATCCGAGGGAAGGATTCCGCATATACTTTGCCAATAGGAGTCAGCCCTGGAGCACTTAAAAAGTCTGGTCTTTATGACAACGCCATCATTGGTGGTCCGATCAGTAGTCCGCCTGATAGATACTCCTGCATGTGCAGAGACACCTCGGAAGACCATATCCATTGCTTAAAGTGTTGGACAAATATAATAGAGAAATACAATATGACATCTGGAAATATTCCAGAGTCTAGACCCGCGAAGGCAATTTCAAAGCCTCTGGACTGGGTGTCAGTCTGCGACAAGGTACTTGGATATGTCAATTACCCGTTGGATCTAGTCAAGGGGACAGAGCCCTTAATTCCAGCTCCATGTATATGCACTTCATTCGTTGAAGATATTATACACTCGAACGATGTTATGGCGGTGGTCGAACAACTCGTCAGCACCTATCGCCCCGATAGTCCTACTGGATGCCCACATAAAGAAAGCCCGACTGACGTTCTCCATGATGACTGTTTACCCCGATCAATTGCACGTTGTTACGTGCATGACCCAACAGCTGGGGGCTTGGCTCCGGCATATGAGCAATACATCGGCTGTGGCGTCATGTGCAAGTTAAAAAACATTCCATTGAAGGTTCAAGAGCAACCCGATTGGGTTCAGGTGTTAGTTCGCTCGAACTACGGCTCGAAGAAGAAGGGATATACAGTACCGTTCCCCCAGTGCGAAGCAGTTACTACACTAGCGAAGCTACATGTAGGGTGGGGGGGCAACGCTGGATGCCATGTCATTTGTCAAGATGATAGAGATCCGATCAAATACAGCCACTGCAGACTGCTTGATTCCGAAACGTTGATATGGATGATTGATATTGGAATTATGGACGGACCTTCCTGCGGCAAATGCAACGTTGATGCGCTCTCGCTCCTTTTTATTATGGCTATAGATACGCCAGACAGAATCAGGGATTCAATAACATTAGAGATTTTCAACATCAATAATTGTGCTAGGCAGAGTGAACTCGCCATATTTACCTGGAGGGCATTGCATACCCACAAGACTGACGGATTTTGCTGTGAGAGGAGTCGGAGATTCAGCAGGGCGGCTGGAAATATTATGTTGTGGGTATTCTGTAACCCGGTTTATTTTACGACCAAATGGGCCAGGGACGAAGGGCTACTTGGGTTCGTAGAGGCTATTAACTGGTTTGTTATGTCAAGGATTGCAGAGAGCGAATTGGAAGCATCCGTCACTGGCGATGGTCCGGCAAAGGTGGATGATATTGTCAGAAGGGTAGTTGACACCGGTTTGACGGATTTCATACTCTACATTTGTGCTTAGTCTAGTTTATAATTGATATAATTATTTGTGCTTAGTATGAGAGGATCTCTTCAGCTTATTTAAGTATACATATGTTAAGACTGATTTCTTTTTGTCTAAAAGCGTATCTATGTATAGCTAAGTCTCGTGTATAAGCATCCTCCTGGTTACGTTACGTTACGAGACGCATCCTCCCTCAGCAGCCCGTACTGGAACTTACTTCATCCTAGCTATAGGTACCCGAGTTGTCCAACACAAAAGAAGGCCTATTGCACGTTGTATTTTAATGAGCAGCGTTGTATGCCAAGAAATAAGGTAACACAGGTTACTACATATAATGCAATGTGGCTATCAAATATAGGTTCTAACTTTTCCTAATTAAAGCGAAGGCCTCCTCCAATGTTTTGTGTATAATGGCAAGACTCCGCAGGGCCCCTCGGCCGGGTGCGACTGCATGTATACAGTAATCTGTGTAGATTCGTAGTTTATGTATTGGGGCCCGGGGTGGCCGGTGGGTGGCCAAATTTTGACTATTAACTACATCTGAAGGCTGTAAAAGTAACAATTAGGGAGGTGCATATTTTAAGATGAAATGTTGTTTCAAAGGGAGGATTTGGCGGCAGCAGCGTAGGTAAGTTGCAGACAGTTTGGTCTAGGTTAACGTTGATAAACTTATGCTTCCTCGCCTATGCCTGCCCACCACTTGCCCATGCTCTATAACTAGATCTACCCGCAATACATAGCGTTTCTTAGTACTAGTACTTGCGCTAATAAACATACCACACCTCCAATTGCGGATGTTAGCGGGTAAAATAGCGGCTAGAGATATAATATAAGTGCAATAACGGGTACGGATTAATGGGTGTAAAGTTGTGGATTTATCAACATATCGGCATTACCCTGATGTTCGTATTACCTATATTAATTACCGTCGCAGTAAAAGCTTAATTAACTAGCATATATAGTCCTCGAGTACTTTAGTCCCGTCTATTAATGAGAGAAACCAATTAATATTTAGATTCCCGGGATCTTAAAACCTCCTTCCACCAAGGTCCCAAACACGTTACGCGGGTCGTATTTTCTCTTGACCCGTCTCATTCTGACCAAATTATTATGTCCGTACTGTGTAAGAGGATTTTGGTTTACTCCACCATAGTTGAGATATTCATAGCCCGCTGCCTTTCCAACCGCTGCAGCTGCAGCTTTGATCTTTGTGAATAGATCCTTCAAGAACAATTCCATGGTCGTGTCATCAGATGCATTGGACCAATATATATTGGCGGAGATAACTACGAGCGGAGCTGTGATACCCAAAACATTCCGGCCAGGCGTCGCATTGGTTGTCTGGATATACTTGTTTCCAATAGGTTGCATAGCGATACTGTTCGAAAACCCGGGAATAGAGGTCTCATAAGGCAGTGAAACGTTCAGCCAGAGGCTGTGGATCGTTCGGAATAGCTGTTCATCAGCGAGAACAGAGGTGACGTGCCACTGGCTTCGAAAAGGAGATGAAAGAGTAGAACCGCCACCGAATGCCTTGGGCAAACTGCCCACCCCCGTTAAATTTGCAACAAAGTTGTTGTATGCTGGGATCGAACCATCCACAAATGGCTTCATGACCAGAGGGGGGTTTGACAAGTCGACCTCTCTTGTGTAGAATTGCGTAAAAGTAGCTCTATGGGGCTGGCCTGCGTCCTTGATAAAATTAGGAATAATGTGGTAATTTGGATCTGCATCTTGGCCAGTCACAATATAGTTGTATAAAGGCGTGAAAAGCTGTGGGACAGAGGATTGCGCGTAGCGAACGACTCCTGCAGCGTGGGCATTTATATTATAGGTTTTTAGCGTAAAAGAAGTCACGATCCCAAAGTTCGAGGAACCGCCTCTGAGGCAGCCTAAGAGGTCAACATGTTGATACTTGTTGGCTTTAATGATGCTACCATTGGCGAGGACAATCTCGTACTCGACGACATTGTCGGAACTCCATCCATACTTATTGGATAAGAAGGAGATTCCTCCTCCGAGAAGGAACCCGCTGACACCAACATCAGAATCTCGAGAACCCAGCACTGCAACGCCTTTAGGGTCAAGATGGTTGTAGACATTGGTCCAGCGGTTTCCGGCGCCAACCTTAACAATATGCCGATGGCGATCGTAGGAAACCTCGTCGAGGCCAGAGAGGGAGATGAGGATTCCATTATCCGTGGAAGAAAACCCCTTGTTGGGCATATGAGAGCCGCTTCGAATTGCAAATACACAATGGTGGTGTGAAAATAAGGCGACGGCCTTAGAGACATCCCTTGCTGTTTTAGGGGTAAATATGCAAGTTGGCGATAATTGGGAGGCGGCCACTGAGGGTATTCGTTAGCCAATATGATTTGATAGAAAAGGAGGATATACTCACACCAATGAGCATTTAGAGTCGTATAGTCGGGGTGGCTCTGCATCACGACCTTCCCTTGCCCGTGGAACTTTTGATTCAACAAGTTACACTACCATGCAATTATGTCAATATTATTCTCCAAACTATCACAAGAAGATACCCGTCAACTTACGCATGTCTGGGGATTTTTTGGTGTCCTTTTTGACGCCTCAGATAGCCCTAAGAAGCCTGAAGAGACTAAAAGGAACGTCGAGGCAGAGATATGCATCTTGAATGATGGGATGCCCTTAATTTGCGGATGGATTCAAGCTTGAACTTCACACTCCGGTTATTCTTTCGATCCCAAGTGTGTTCAATGCTTCCTATTTATAGAGAAACACCTAAGTAGTCTATTGCGTAAGTATGTAAATCGAGCAGGTAGCTCGGTTGTAAAGTAACCTCACTTGCAAAGAATTAGCTAGTTAGAGAAAGCATCCCCTGCCGTTCCCCGGCTTAGTAGAAGACCCTTGAATAGAGCTTCAGCACCTGCCAAAAACCAGAGCCAATAATACCCTTCAGAGCTATGGTAATCTGAGAAAATATATACCAAATCTACGAAATCGATTATCTAAAATACTCCTTGATACCGCGGACCGAATAAACAGAAACTTGCGGCGTTATATAATTTAGCTTTTAAGACGCTATAACTCACAGCTCTATAGGTATACAACAGAGCTCATTACAGATAGATATCTGGTACCGAGTTCTTTCTTCTATAATTGTTTATTTTATCGAAATACGCACGAGGGAAATTATTGTTCTCCAACAAAAGAATTCAATTGATCAGCGGGATCGTATTGAAAGCAACGAAGATGACAGACCAGAAGACTGTTCAAATTCCGTCATCTTATGGCGAAACAACCAATTCGCCTAAAAATGCTCGCGATTGATAGTCGAAAAGTACATATGCATGCAGGGTATATGGTAAAGTTTCTCTTAGAATGGAAGACAGTGCTTTGTGGAGCCGCTAACAGCGTGGTTGGTTGACGCCAACTGCTGGAAAAAAGCCGAGGGGCTGGCGCAAATCCGGCTGCCGGGTGGTTAGGATGAGGACTATTCCGCAGACCCCAAAATTATTACACCACTAAAAACTTGGATGATGAGATTGATTGACCGCAAAAACTCCTTTCTTTACTAACAACGAAACCAGGTAGAATTACAATCACCGCTGATTTAAACAGTAAGCGAGTTATAGGGAGACTGTCTCGTGTCACAGAAGGAGGGAAGTCGACGTCTGATAAAATATGTCTAAAAAACCCCAGAATCTTCCATTGAGGGTGCCCCTAGGTAGCTGAGTTAACGCTTGGAACCCAAGGTATGTAGAAGGCAATACTACTGCAGCTCTGGGTCTTAGGGGGTAGCAAATGCAATGCGAGGATATATGGCCGCAATTCTTCGGAGGCCACTACCTTGTAAACGTGGACTGCAGCGGTCTATCCACGCCCCATCGTCGAAAGCGGACGGGTGAGGTGCCAAACGGGGAAGGCGGCTCTTCGGGGAGTGGGTCTTGAAAGTGAGAGATTACGAGTCAGCGTATGTATTTTCCACTTTCCCTATGGCAAACACTGCAAAAGTTTTTGCACAGCATGGGATTTTGGGGTGCTAAAAAGCCACTAGGTTCACAACTGGTAGTCAGATACATCCTTGAAACATGAATCGAGTGGCCCAGTTACCGTTTACACCGATAGTCAAATTTTTGAAAGGTTTCTTTTTTAAAAAAATACTCCCGTAAACATGCGACAACTGATACATTTGAACCTCGATATTTTATAGTGGAATGCGACGGATTTGCATTGCATTGCATGCATGCAAATGGTCCCTAAAAACGAAAAGGTGAAAGGAAACCAGCCAATCCCGGATTCTACTTACTATTACAAAGTAAGGTATAATTAATGCATAGATCTATAGGGTTATGGAGCTGCCCCGCAATTTATCGAGACGATTTATATAGGTACAAATCCTGAGCATTCGAGCCAACAGTGTGATATGATAAAATACGACACTTATAGTGGTTAACATCTATATCATAGCAGCAGATTTATATGCCCACGTGCGTGTGCCACCGAGTTTAAGATAAAAGACTGGGCTGTAGATAGCGTAGAAAGTTTTACGATGCATGATCCTGAAGAAAATATCTCTGCCATGCGCCCAAACTATTGATCGCTCGTTTATTATTTAACGCTAAGGGAATCCGCAGTGGCTTCTTGTGTACTCACAACATACATCCCACGTAATTGCGAGAAGCCAACTTTTAGAATCGACATGAAAATTTAGTGGCTTTCTAGGAGCTCGCAAGATTCTTGGGCCTACTCTATTCAGTCCTGCAACTCATCTGCTAATTACGCCCAGATTTGCGATATGAATTCCCAAGGGACTTTGAGTTGCGAGGTGTCGATTAATTAATCGATTTATCTTATTAATATATTGCCGAGGATGAGTCTAGTAGCAGTATTAGCATTTTATTGAGTGATCAAAGGGGCCCAACGTGTGAGGGTACGGAAGTTAACAAGAGACCAACTAGCATACGTACCTTTCATTGAAGATATATAGGATAAAAATCAAGCACATCTAGCAATGTATACATGCATATTTTATTGAAAACCATGCCATTTATTAAAGGAGTTTGAGGTTGTCTATATGAGCGACCGAATTATATATAATTGTGTGCATGTGCCCCTTAAAAAAGCGATGATGAAATTCGAAAGGCCTAGAAGTATTCTACATATGGGACTTGGGGTTAAGGCATTCCAGGTCCTGAATCATGGCACCTTAGAACTTTAATGCGGGGGCGCCAAGGACTTAGCTCCTAGCGCACAAATCTACACGATATAACAGGCCATCCTATTGAAACCTTCTCCCAATAACGATATTCCAAGCTGCATAAGAGCCTTGCCGCTAAGGGATACCTCTACCTCAAACCTATGAGGCTAACAGTCAGGGTTTCATGGAAGGTGATTTCCAAAAAGCTTCTTCATCAACTAATGGCTCAACTTGTATACATATATCAGGAAAGCCGCTGAGTAATGTCAAAGATAGATCAGCCGCGGAGCAACAAAGGACCAAAAGTTATATATACTATAAGATCCACTGTAAAGAATGCACTTTTACTCTCATAATCTGGTGCCCTGGAGACTCTGTTTAGGAGGGGGGAGCGTTCATATACTCCAAGTATAGCAAAGCTTTGAGAATTATATATTATAAGCAGTTACTAGCTACGGTAGTTTCTTTCTTCATTCAATATATAGCTTGTCTCGTACTCAGCCCCACATAAAAAATTCTTTGGGTGAATATATAGCATGTTATGTACATTTTAGATCCTGCAATAGCCAATTTGCAACATGTCCTAGTCTAGCTATCAATACAAATACATATAACGTAGGATATATATCGGATGTCCTTATTCAAACAATTTGACCAAGTTGAATGGCTGACTAATAGTCATTCTTCTTATTGGAGTACTTATATCTGATACTCGTGACTGTGACCCTCGATATCACGGTCTTGACTCTAACAACTGGTTTCATCGTCTTCATGCTTGTTACTGTGACCGTGACTTTGTTTGTACACGAGCTCGAGCTCGAGCCGGATGGCTTTGGCTTTGGCTTATAGGGCGGTGAATAAGACACGCGCTCTAGATAGCTCTTTGGTATGCAGAATTCACTTCCCGGTTCATTGATGCAAGAGAGGTCCCATTCAGGGCAAACTTTCCTACAAGCCGTGTTGGAATCGCAGCCATCTTCACTATCCCCCTTGCCGCAACGAAATACCCGTGCCGTAAGATGCTCAGGACAGGTATCCATTTCCTTCCAAAATTCCTTGTTGAGACAAGTACTACGTTTACCACGTTTTTCAGGGTCCACGTCTTCAAAACACATCTTGGGCTCTTTGCTTGCGCAAAAATATGGTTGCAAGCCCTTTACCTTCTGGTAACTACTTGCCGCTAGGCAAAGCCCGCAGCTCGGGCAATCCAATTTGTTTGCGCGAGGAATACAGGCGTAGTCTCCTGGGCATTCGTTTTTATAAATGTCGGTCGAGAAGATTTCACACTCTACCTGCTCGTCGACACAGAACCCTTGATTGTTGCTACCGTAGAGTCTGTGGTCCCCGATGCATACTTTGCCGTCAGGGCAAGGATTGTAAATGCTACATAGGCCCTCTATCCTAGAAGGCTTGACCGGCTTGGGCTCTTCTGGCATAGATGGCTTGGGCTCTTCATCTGGAGGTGTGCTTGGTGATTCCTTTGATGAGTTAGTGCTTTGTGTCCTTTTAGAGCCCGAAAGATTGAAAACTTACTCGTTTCAACAGAGGATCAGCCTGGGGCATGGCGGCAGCAAGTGCCACAAAGATACTCAAAATAAATGCGGACTTCATTTCGGAAGGTGGAATTTGTATCAAGTCAACGAGACAAAAAGGAGTGGACGGTCTGCGTATATGACCTTGCTGTTTGATATCTTCGCGGGGATACTGATATCAACTGAACTCCTATGAAGAGCCATAACTAAATCAATTTATATATTTTGATACCTCACAGCTTTGCTTTTGTTTGGGATACTCGATAGTCTGATGTCCCTCGTTTAACAACTAAGATGTTACTAGCTGGTAAGCTTAAGCGGCTCGCAAGGTTGAAGGCGAGTATGATACCACATCAGGTGTCAATTTCTGTTTTTTTTTTGGCATACTTCAGGCCTTCTAGGCGAGACTACTATAATAATATATAGAAATTAAGCCGCCAAGGTTGCATCGATTGACTTATCGGTTTACACCTGAGCTTCTCGGCTTCAACCTATCGTTTACTGCGGGCAGTCAGGTGTCATTTCCAACACATATGGGGTGCAATCTCGTCAATAGGCTTTCGGTCGCATGGATTATATTCCATCCGAGCCGCCGAGGCATATCATCCTCTAAATGCAAATTTAAAGGGAATTTCTTAAAAATCCATAGAAGCTTACAGGCTATACCCCTGTTTGCGATTCCATGTTTGAAAATTTTAAAGTTGACTGGAAAGTAGCTCAGTTACCCTTAGCGTAGCTTAACTTAGCTTAACTCAGCTTGTCGAACACTGGCTCGGCAAGTCTAAGAGTTTGAGTATCAACAATCGGGGATCTGCGCCTGGTTTCAAGGTTATGTATGTGCCCAACAGAATCTTTGTGAGCCGCATGGGAGTCCAACTTGCGCGCATTTTCACCCTGATTGGCCCTCCCGGACCGGAGTTCGCAATTAATATTTGGGGTACGTCTCATTCATCAATTGATTCGGTAATATAAGGTCGTACAGTACAGTGCAGTCAATGTGTTCGGTGTTCGAGCTATTAAGGTATTGCTGATATCATAGATACCTAGGTAATCAAGTACGCTATAACGGCTACCTAGATAACCGTATGATTACTTGGAAATTACTAAAATATCACCGGTATATACCTATATAGCTGTCTGGTGTCGAGTCCAGCAGCTAGTTACATGGATACTAGCACTGTTTCGAGACGCCCATCCCTACGACGCTCAAAATACGACAATTTCAACACAGACTGCTAATTTGATCCGCTCTACACCTCATATTATTCTATGGGACGTTATATTTAAGGGCTACCGGTTACATCTACCACTTTTGTGGCAAAGCTTTTCCAAAGATCAAAGTACCAAGATACTGCGGTACAATCGCTTTCTTGTTTAAGCAATCCTCGTCTACTACTGGTCCCTGGAACTAAACGATAAAGAATCTAGAGTTCTAAAGCTCCTTGAGAGGCCTGCAACGCTTTTGGTAAAAGTTAATAGAAATGAATGGTGGTCTCGACACTAGACTGAACGGAGGAGGATGGAAGCCCAAGCTCAAGTTAGTTTACAAAAATTAACCCCTTACTATATACCCTCCAAACGTCATCCAAAAAGGAAAAAAAAGGTAAATCTAAAATACATACAAATAGAGGAAACCAGTAAGGATTTCGTATAATCCCCACCAGAGACCCCCAAAATTCTAATAGGTTATAATAACAATTGAAGTAGAAGAAGAAGAAGGAGAAGAAATACTACAAGGCTTCTCGAGCGTTGGGCCAAAGGAGACATCATCTTGACTTTTGGGTAGAAAAAAAGACAACATACTTTCTAATCCTATCCGCACCTATCATAAATTAACCTACTAGCCTTTTTAAACCCTTGAACTGTACCCCGCAAATCCTCTCCTTCCTTTCCTCCATACATGCCATTTCCTTGCCTCATCAACCCAGAGAACTGTGCTAGCAACACAAATCAACAAAACCCAATCCCTCGCTGCCAACGCCTCTGTCTGGAAAATCCACTGAAGAAACGGTAGGTAAACCACACCGAGTTGCCCCAGCACACTTGCCCCGACTGCCCCAACGAAGAATTTATTACTCGTGAGTTTGATTTCGCCTCGAAGGTATGATTTCCCTTCGCTGCGGCAGGTAAGAGCATTGAACATGTCGAAAAGGACGAAGCAGGTGAATGTCATTGTTGTGTCGCGTTTGGTGATGATACCATCAGCAGACATTTCTCGGATGTAGATAAGCATTGTTCCAGATAGAATTAGAAAAGCAGATGTAAAGACTCGTTGGAGGAGCGTGGTCGTTAGGATTCGGTCATGTCTTGATCGCGGCTTAGCGGCCATAACACCCTTATCGACGGGCTCAACACCAAGTGACTGTGCTGGAGGGCCATCCATCAAAATATCTAAACAATCAATTAGTACTGGTTCATAATATTAATATTTTGGACGGCATGAAAAGCTTACTAATCCAAAGAATCTGCATTGGGTTCAGCGGATTTTCTTTTCCGAGCAAAGTACTCAACAGTACCAATCCCAAAGCAGCAACGCTTGTACTCAACTGAAACGTCAAGAAATTTTGGATATTGTAATAAATTCCTTTGCCCTCTTCAATTGCTCGCAAAATAGTCGAGAAATTATCGTCGCTAAGAATCATATCGGCTGCTTCTTTGGCTACATCGGTTCCCATAATACCCATACTGATACCAATATCTGCCATTTTAAGAGCGGGTGCATCGTTGACGCCATCGCCAGTCATTGCGACGACAGCTTCATTAGGAGGAGCTTGCAGCGCTTTGATAATCTTGAGTTTGTGCTCCGGCGACGTCCGTGCAAATATGGTGGTTGTTTGTATCGCTTGTGCTAGTTCTTCATCCGTCATCTGGTCGAGTTCATCTCCTCGGATCACGGATCTTGAATGGTGACCGATAATTGCTTTCCCATTGGCTCCTACAGATGGGCTAACTCTACCTTCAATCGGAGAAGGTGGTAGTACTTGCATTCCAAGTTTCTTCGCAATACTAACCGCGGTTGTTTCCGCGTCACCAGTGATCATGATAACTTTAACACCACCAAGCATCAAACGCCGGATAGCTCTATCCACACCCTTTCGGGGTGGATCGAACATTCCAACAATACCCGCGAAAGTAAGGTCTTTAAAAACATCCTTGATATCAGAGCCAGCTGGTTTCTTTTCAAATTTCGATACGGATCCACTAGCAAAGGCCAATACTCGTAGTCCTTCCTCTGCCATTTTTTCAGCGGCGAATAGGGCTTTGTTCCTTCGAGCTTCGTCTAGAACTACCGGTCGTCCGTCACGAGTAAGGTAGGTATCGCAGCGCGCAAGAATCTTTTCGAGAGCTCCCTTGATGTATGCAGTATCTTGTGAAGAGCCAGCGCCATCGATGACGACGCCCATCCACTTTTCTCTAGACGAAAACGGCACCTCGGCAGAACGTAAAACACGAGGTCGAAGATCTTCTTCACCAAATGCATCCAAGAGATCTAACAGTGCGACATCCGTGGGTTGTCCAACAAATCGAGACTGTGTGGTATGCGGTGAGTGGGCTGAAAAGGCGGAAATAGCTTCGGCAGTATGATGAGCCGCGAGACGACCATTGTTACACAGATTTCCAATTCGTAGAAGAGTTCGCGTTGGCGCGTCGAGTGTGGAGGTCGAGGATTGCAATGATGTCTTAGAAACTGGTTCGGGAAGATCGCATGTCCAAAGCATTGTAACTGTCATATGGTTCATCGTCAGAGTTCCGGTTTTGTCACTACAGACGACGTTCACGCAGCCTAACGTCTCGACAGATGGCATCTTTCGAACGATTGCTCCTCGGTTGACCATCCTGATGACCCCTAGTGCCAGAGTAACGGTAACAATAATCGGCAAACCTTCAGGAATTGCTGCCACAGCCAAACTAACCGCCACTTGGAACAGTTCCAGCCATTCCCGCCCTTGCAAGAACCCGAAAAACACGATCAGCCCGATGATTCCGAAGCTAGCCATGGATAAGTCATGTCCAAGCTTATCCATAGAAACCTGGAGGGGTGTCCTAGGACTCTCAATCTCCGATAGCATGGCGTTGATCTTTCCAAACTCGGTTTGAGACCCTATAGAGACCACAATGCCTTGCCCATGACCATTCCTAACAAGCGTTCCCTGGAAAGCTATGCTGTGCATTTCTGCAATAGAGGGATCTGATCTTGTTGTGGGGTAAAATGGGGTTTCATCCGCTCCAGTAATCTCAACCGGGTCGCTCTGCTTCCTAACGGGCTCTGTCTCTCCTGTGAGATTGCTCTGATCGATTTCCAGGTCTGCCGCTTGCGTAATTCGAATGTCGGCCGGTATTCTGTCTCCTGTAGTAAAAGTGACAAGATCTCCAGGAACTAACAAGCTTGCACTAACAGTTGTTGAAGTTGGTGGGAGCCCTAACAGTTTTGCCTCATCTTCAGCACTTAAGCTTCTGCTACCTGGTGCATTCCCTCGGATGAGATGCGCGTGGTGCGGAACCAGCTTGTTCAAAGCCTCCAGCTCCTTTTCAGATCTATACTCTTGCACGAACCCCACAGTAACAACGATTATTACCGCTATTGTGATTGATACCCCGTCATCGTAATTGTGCATGAAGAAAGATATCGCAGCGGAAGCCAGTAATAAAAGAATCAGTCTCGACTCGACGAATTGTTTGGCAAATTTGAGCCATACTGGCTCTGGCTCAGATTGTGGTAGTTCATTGAGACCATGAATGGATTGGCGAAGGTGTACTTCAGCTGTTGAGAGGATGCCGTGAGAGAGGCTGGTGTGGAGGTCTAGCGCGACTTCGGTGGGTGTTCGAGTGGCGAGGGTTTTAAGAGGCGGCTAGAAACCAGTTAGTAACCACCATATACTCCTTATACACCGTACAACATGAAGGAGAGGAGAAAACGTACAATCTGAGTTCGAGCGCTCAGCGAGGCAGCACGAGGTCTTGTCATCGTGAGAAACCGAGGGATGAGGGTGTCGATAGCAATCGACCCCTATCCTGCTAACAGCCAGCCTGCCTATCCCTACTCTATCCAACGGCAAAGCCGAAGCCCCGCAATATCGCTACAGAATATACTCTGTATTAAACCGTGGTTTCGTTTGGATTGGTATGATATCGAAAGAGATGGTGATGTGAGTGACCGCCTAAGGATGGTAGCCTTGGACCCGTGTCTATCTTTGTATCGTGTAGAATCGAGTCGTTCCCGTAGAAGCTATTTTGATCTAAATACTGCAGACTTTTGTATAAGCACTTATGTACTTGATGATATTCAAGCCGTTATCAGATGCGGTGAAAGGTGATAGTGGTGGCGCTGGCGGCGGTGGTGATAGTGAAATTGACGAATTGCGGTAAGCTTTGTTGAGTAGGATGTTGGTTCCAGGCTGAGGTCATACCAAGCCAATTGGACTCCCTAAACTTCGAGTTCTCCCACCATTCAGTTTTGACTCCCACGATGGTGTCTTCGAAGCCTTGAACCTCAATCGGACTTGTTATACAAAAGAATACGGTGTCGAGATTCCCTACGAAGAGAATGTGATCGGTTGGATTCGACAAAGGGAGCTTTAGACACGTCGCCAGAAGCAGTTAAAGAACCAGGGGTCAACGCCGTTTAAGACCGCTTGGGCCGTCGGTACTAGTCTTGGCGGCGATATATCCAGGTTCGCAGTTCTGCCCAATACTTGGTAACGACATTGCGAATTGCGGCAGGTGCTCGAGAATATAGTTTTCGAATGCAGGATCTTGTCAATAACTTTAAAATCCAGCCGCTTTTAGGATATAGATCGATTCGGTGGATTTTCTGTTGGACCCATTAAGACCTTGTCATGTCGTGTATGCGAAAAGGGTGTCGTGCCACAACCTCCGTCACAACGCAATCATTGTTGTATTTTATCGCCTAAATTACGACAGGACATGACGATAGATCAGGATACAGTCGCTATGGTGTTTTATTACGAGGCCTGTATACTACTTAGTAGTTATCGATATTCGCTTGCCTTATAACTAGTCAGGCTTACATGCAAGATTCTCTAGCGTGAGATCTTGCCTTACGTAACAGGTATTTAGCTGTCATTTCTCCAAGTGTACCGGAATCGAAATTTATCCATGCTACTTCGTATATACCTTGGACAAAGCCCAACTTTGAGACCATAAAACTTTCAAACGAGGATATATATTGGCGGTCAGGCTGCGATATATAAATCTAGGATTATGAAGATATTTTTTCTTCACAAAGTTCATAATCAGGATATTTTAGGCAGGCTTGCCTCTCGCATAGCTCATTACTTGTAAGGTTCTAACACACCTCAAAAATCCAGGGAAGTGCACTAGTGTTTCAGATATGAATGTAGTTCTGTCAAGTTAAGTGGCATACATGGATAATTGGCATTTAGTCCAAGTGCTATTCTAGCCCTAAGAGTTATTAGAAAGAAACTTAAGAAAGTTGATGCGAAATATCCTGACCCAGGTGTGGGCCGGGCCGAGCTAGGCTCTCAAGCAGTAGTACTATACTCTTATCCATCTTGACTTACAAACTCCGTATCCGTTATACAAATTCCGCTGTCCAAAGGCTTAAGCCGATCCAGCTTAGTCAGCTTATATTACAAGCAATATATATCTCGATTGATATCAATCGATTCTCAGTGCAGTGCCCCAACGCAATTCTGTGGCGCAGATACGAAAACGGTTGCCGGAAAGCCTTCCGCGCTCATGACCCTGTATGTAAGTACATCAATATCATAACCTTGATAATTCTATTCATTTATACCAGACGTCAGTATAATAGGGATTTTATAACACGGGAAGTTCTATCGTCGTTACGTCTCATGAAATGCGAGTTTACACCAATACAACACAGAGTAAATAATTCTGGGTGCACCGATGGATAAATCATGAATCTATCACACCTGCGAGCACCTAGCACTTAGCGGCTAGATTTCGTACTCGAATTTATCTGCTATTCTGAAAATCGATCCTATTTGAGTTGGGGTTAAATGGTTTTTGCACAAAATTGAAGTGACTTCCAAGGCTGTCGGACAGGTGAACCTCCATGTATAATAGCACTCCACTGTTCATGCATCAAACAATCAAATTTGCGGGGCTATATATGGAGAATGGGGTAGAGGTATTTTAAATTTTGGCTGGGGTAGTTTTATTAATATCTTAACTAAGCATCCCAAGGCCGATGTGATAGAATTCAAATCTATCGGATGAATTGTCGCACTCGACCATTAAATCCGCGTATATGAGCATAGTTTATACCATGCATACATTAGGTAGTATGTCCCCAGCCAGCCAATTGAGTCGAAGGATAATTATTGAATTCGTGGTATTACATAAAATTATTCTAGCATCGACGCATTAGACGTACTACCTAGCATCAATTTTCAAGATAAGGCTCGAGATAATCACACCACATGATCAGACTTTGGAAGGCTACCATTTGAATGCTTGCGGGTATTTGGTCATCTGAAAGGCTCGTGTAATCCGAACTCATGCAGCTACTAATGCATCACATAGCTATAGTAACAATGTGGACTGCATGCTTGCGACCGAGGGTTTCCCCGCTAGTATAGCATAAAAAACAAGGTTTCCTTGGATAGCATAATACCTGGTTATGCTTGCATTTAATATATTTCTCGCGGAGCCGTCGATATTGATCAGTGCGTCAGGATCCTTTCATTAATTCAAAGGAGCAGTTATGCATATTATATTAGTGCGTCAATTTTTGGGTGCCTGAACACTATGATCAGTCCATGGTATTGCGGAGACTGTCCGTTCGAGTTATATTTCCAGTAGTTAGACTCTAGACTAAGGATCGACAAGAGGGGAACCTCCAAACTGTTATTAGTATCCAGCTTTAGCCCACCAAAATATCGAATGCTTCAATGAACGTTCGAACTAAAAAAATGTCCGTTTTCCGGACCGAAATTTCAAAGCCTTGAAGTGGGCCAACTCCGACGCACGGGCGCACTGAGCAGTTTTAAACCTGGTGCGTATTAATATTACTTGGTATTATAGGTCATGGTCACAGCATGGTTTGTTCGCTGCACGCGGGCATGGACCACTTTTTGACAGGACATTCACACCCTTTTCGGAGTTTGGAAAATCCGAGAATTTGAGAGCTATCCTGCACAAAGAGGGAAAAAAAACGTACCGCGAAATTTAAATTCAGATTCCTTCTAGACGTTCGCTAGAAATCCTCGAATCGTTATAAATTTCCTACCGGGTAAATGATGTTCAGACTCCGCAAGCTTCCATGGTCTCCACACTGTTGCATGAATTCATGAATGGAGCAAACATATGTCTAGCGTTTACTAACGAATCCACATGGTCGTACTGCGTATAGTAGCTGGCGCAAGCTATCCCTCGAGTAATTAAGAAGAATCGAAATCTATCCCTGGCACACAGGACTTCAATACCCCAAAGTTTCTCCAGCGCCCCACTCTGGGGGACTCCGACCCAAGTCCAACCTCCGTCTTATTGGTTAGCTCCCCACTGACTTACAGCCGTGGTTTCACGATTTAACCGTGCCCAAGCCAAACGTCTCTGTGTTGAGCGAGCTTTCGGACGCCTCCACCGCACAGACCCTGGTCCTTTGCCTGCATACAGCCGAATCTGTCGGGTCATGCTGGTGTTATGGAAGAACAATACGAACCCTCCAAGAAAAAAGCTTTTGGGGTTCGTCCGGAGTGTGTGTGGGTAACAATGTCGATAAAACCCAGATTTCATCCGCGATTTAAAAATTCTTGCGGGGCCAGCTCTTTTGCCCAGGCGTGGATGATGGGTCTTGAAGCGGAGCCCTATTCCGGCTGTTTCCCAAATATATACCGGGACTGCCGCACTCGTCCTGGTCACACCTCCAGCACGAGTTTATGATCTACGATTCTTTCTTACTGGTCACTCAACCGATAGTATTCCTGGCCAAAACTTGGGGTGCAGTGTGATTAAGTGTGATTTGGTTAGAGACACCGCAGAAAAGGGGATTTAACGATTTGAACTTTTTAACAAATTACAAAAACAACATGGAGGCCATGGATTTCGTCCGACGCGCAATCGAACCCAATGAAAACGGTTGGCCATTTGGAACCAATGGGTTAAAATCTGGTCAATGGAGGTCGAATCACACATCGACGGTTTCTATCGTATACGACCAACCGACAATATTAGTTCCTTGGCCATGGCTCCTCGTCAGCTTCACCCTATCATTCTTAGTAGCATTATGGGGGTATTATTCGACATTAAAACAACGAAATGAAGCCAGAGGCGAAAATTTAAGAGCAAAGATTACACTTACAATATTACTTTTAACGACGGTTCGATCGATAGCGACGTTTATCCTTACTATCAAGACTTTCCTACCAGAGCCAAACCGCTATCCGCCAGCCTCTGCCATCGCTGCACTATTCATTTCCACTCTTTCGAGCGCTCTAGATTGCGGGCTACTCTCCGCTCGGTTCTATGGAGCTGTCTTTAAGAGAATCGCCCAGCTAAATGCATGGATAACTTTTGCATCAGTGGTAATGACGTTCATATTACCCTTTGTCAAAGGCGCATTCGAGTATGGATACTACAGTCTCACGGGTGGCAACTGTCCGGTAGCTGTATGGATGTGTCCGCTACAACCTTCAGTCGTTGGATGTCCCGACGATTTCGCCACTCGAACAAACTCACAGAGAGCAGAGTTCTGGGGCGCTACGGTTCGAAATGTGGATAACCTCGCCCTGACGGTTACATTCACATCTCCTTCCGAACTAGCTCTTGCAGTTCTTGCAATCTTACTCGGAGCTTATATCACAATTTCCGGGTTTCACCTCATTAGCCAAACAAGGGATCTCATCGAGTATGTCTGGAATTATCGCCAAGAGGTGGAACGAAAGAAGGCTAGGGAACAAGAAGCCAACTCTGAGGAACTGTACTTCGTCGGTTCCCTCAAGCGGGAGAAACCAAAGGCGCCAATTCGAAAGGATGCATCTGTATTCATCCTTCTCTCCATCCTAGTTTTCACCTTCGTCTCGGTTCCACTTCATGCATACCAAGAATCGAAGCCAAAGGATATCATTATCGTCGACGGATTCGGGAAGAAAGATACCGTAAGGAAAGAATCAGCGGGTCCGAAGTTTAGAGAGCAGGTGCAGAAGCAAATTTCGGGAGAGAATACGGATGCATCAAGTTGGGTAGATTGCTACACGCTAGGGGCACCGTCGTCGAAAGACGGTTTCATGAAAACTTGGATTGAACTTCAGAAAAGGGAACCTTTGACTTTCCTAGCTATGTTATAATGATCACTTCGCTTATTTTGTTTACTTGTACATTTTTGCGACGCGATGCTTTTCAATTCTTTTGTATGAATAGTTAGATCAAATCTTTGTAGATACCCGAATAAAGCATTAGTTTCTTTTAGCATCAAATTTTCGCCAGGTGTATGTTCCTGATAATATCGAACTCAAGCAATATGTGGACATGTGTTAACTACTTCTAGCATAACCGGCAGTCAAGTCTACGCTTATATATTTATAACCGTGAAATTTTGAGGTCTATATATATCTACTCTGGGAAATACGATAATCAAGGCTTCAGTAACTCTAGGAGTCTTAGATCTTTTATTCTTAGATTTGCATTCCTTTTTATCAAGAACCGGTACTGAGGCTGGTGAACACATATACAGAAATTCACTAACGGACCTACATTGCTATAAAATTTATAGAACCCGACCTCATCAACTCCATGACCATATGAATTAAGTAGACTTTATGCCTCTGATTAGCTTCTCGATTAGTACATCGAAGGGTTCGAAAAACAAAAAAACGAAAAAAACAACAAAAAAAAAAAAAGTTATGAAGCCCAAGTAACAAAATCTTTGATATCGTGGTCCTGCATGACCAGTCAAGAAGCGTGATGTATACTATAACAAACTAAACCTAAATAACAACTATGAAATACCCTTTTATACGTTTGAATGAAGTCAACTAAAGATCTCAACCCATTATAGTACCTTCATCAAATTTCTGAGGAGAAGTGTCCTGTCAACAAGCCACTGGCCGAGGAAGGCGTTTTCGGCACCAGTCATAGCCCGTCGAATGATAGCCATCTTTCCGACGTTTCCTCTAACGGCACGGGCTTCAGCTCCAGCCATAAGCCCCATCAGGACGAACATAGCACTGCTAGGGTCATCAATCACACTATATAAAGAGAAAGCACCAATTGCAATATTACCGAGTGACGAAAGAACCCTTCCAGTCATCGCGAACCCGATTAATTTCGCATAGGAGCCAGCGGTAGGCAATAGCCACAGGAATCCTGAAACCCAGGTTAAAATTGCAGTTTGCTTATCCTGTTCGATGATTTCGTCTGCCATCTCGATGATTTTTCTCATGGACTCAATGGCTGTTTGGGTCATAAAGACTGGAACCTCAGACGCCGCAAGCGCATCTTTAATTTCGGTTGCGTTACCATCCCGCGCGACGTCTCGGAACACTTGAACCAAAACCTTTAGGTTGTCAATGGATTCTCGAATCAACCTTGCAGGACTTGGGGCGAGACGACTCTCGTCTAAGACTGGGAACCCGTACCAGTACATTGTACAGGCTTCGCCGCAGGGCCCATGTGGTGGCTTATCTGATGGTATATCCTTGAAATCGAACCAACTTGGGTCCATTCCAGTCTGGTCACTGACATCTCGCTTCCAGACGGCCTCATCCTTCAGAACCCATTTAATAGATGGTTCGACAGTGTTATCATGCCAGGTCGGACGTGCTCTCGGACAACTAACTTGCTCATCGCCAGTTGAGAATGGTCTGTAGCAGTTGAAGTACGTGTTTGAATTTACTAGGACCCAAGGAATAAACTCTGGGACAAGAGTGTTGTTGACGTATCTAAAGTAGAGCCACCATTTTCTTTGATAGTCGTCGGCCAATATGTTTTCGTAATCACTAATAGCCTTCTCTAAGCTGTTCGCCTGGGCTTTGAGTAGGTAGATGTTCATGCAGCGGTCGGGTATATTGTTCTTGTCGTTATTGATCTCATCTAAAGTATTGTAATTCTTATCGCAAGGCGCAAGGGTAGGCGTCGCAGGTGGTTTTGTAGTGGTGGTTGTTGATTTTGTAGTGGTCGTCGTTGGTTTCGGTGTAGTTGTCGGAACCGGTGGGCGACTGACGAAAGCTTGTAAGTCAACAGCCCAATCAGTGATACCACCCATGTTCAAAGACGATCTATACCAGCTTGTTCTGCCAGCCTTGTTCTTGTCATCCATGTATGCGACCCATTCGGTATTATTAAAGACGACAATATCTGACGTCGACTCCGTATCGTAAAGCTTTTTGGCGCTCGGGTTCAGGCGAAGAATTTCGCCGATTTCAGCATTTGAAATGTAACCCCGAGTTCCCGTACATCGCCCTGGCATTGCGCCTGATGCTGGTCCAGTGAAGGTGCACATTGGACCTGTGCATCCAGCTTTAGTCATCTTGAAGGATCGACCGTAACTGGAGACGCCGACGATAACTTTGTTAGACGGAATACCAGCTTTGGTAATCATGGATAGAGCGTTTAAAGTTTCTGTAGTATTGACATGAGAGCGAAGACAGTTACCGGCAGGGCATCCCGGAGAGGACCACTTATTACCGTAGTCCCACTGACCATGAAGATCGTATGTCATATAAATGACATAATCCAATACTGGTGCAAAGTCCTTGAGGGGATGGAAGCCTTGTAGATACCAGAATGATGCTGGGACCGCAATTGACAGTGTTTTTCCGGCAGGTAGAATAGCACGGACCATTTTGAGGAACTTCAAGTAGTTAGCACCATCGTTCTTTCCACCTGGTGGAATTCCAGGAATATCTGGTGCACCAGGATACTCCCAATCGAAGTCGAGTCCATCGAGATTGTGCTGTTTGAGGAAGTTCACAGCATTGGTCGCAAATGTTTGACGGTGAGCGTCTGTGACAGCTTCCCGGAAGATGGGATAAGAGTCTTGTTCGGTCGAGAAGGACCAACCACCGAAGGATATGATCTTTTTGATACCAGTCATTTTCTTAAAACGATCCCATTCCCCTTGAACACCAGAAATGTCAACCTTGAAGTCTGTGGTGATTTCTGCGAAGGCGTAATGAATGTGAGTGTATTTGCTCTTGTCGATGAGGTCGACTGGCATCTGGAGACAAGGTCTCTTGGGGGCCCAGGCTTCGTAATATGCAATAGAGAAGAAGTTGGCTGGCTTAGCAGCTTTGATAACATCGGTTCCGCAGTTTGAGATACATCCGTTTACTCCAGGAGCCGACGTACCCGGGGCACCAGTAGGCGACTTCGAAATGGTGCAGAAGTCGGAGGTAGTACCACATTGGCCCCAGATATTGCAACAGGCGTTTAACTTGCAAGGATTGAGGGAGGCGAGTGTTTTTCCTGCGGCAGGGGGCTTCGAGCCCGGAACTTGGGGTCCGCAAAGTGCGTTAGAAACAGCTGCGGGCATGGGTGGATTTCCAGTGCTGAGGCACATCCTGATGCCTGCCAGAAGATTATTGCATCCTGTCCAACCCCACGTCTGTTTGTTAAAAGTTTCAAGGTTGGCAACAGTGAGGCCATTGGAAGCTGCTATAGCTGCACAGTAGTTACCCGACTTTACGACAACCGATGCACAAGTACCGTCGGCAAGTGGCTTTGGCCTGAGATCGGGTAAAGTGCCCGAATTACAGCACACCGGCTGCCCGACAGCGAGAGTGGAGCAAAGATTGGCTTTGGTGTTATACGACATGAACTTTGCTCCGGTAATTTTGCATTTTGAAGCTAATGTTGCGCAGGAGTCACCAGAAACGACTTTGATGTAGCTGCAGGTTGCTCTGGGCCCGAGTTTATATTTTTGCCAATTGCTCTTGGCCCTGTAGTTTTTCGCAGGGGAGACGCCCTTGTTGGCTGCGAGAATTGCTGAATTAGCAACTTTTAGTTTCAACTTGGTCCATTCTTTTGTTTCTCGTTCTAAACCAGTTACACATGCAGAGTCACTCCAGCTTCTAACAACACGCTGGACGTTGGCGAGGTCTCCTTTAGTGTTCACAACTATACCGAGCACATAATCGGAATCAGGGCCGCAGTATTGGGCGAGAGTCGTCTCGGCAATACCACCGGATTGAATCTGGTCAATGAACTTTTGGACAAAAGCATCTGCAGCAACCTTGTTTTGAACGTTTCCGCCAACATACAAGCCGACTACGGTTTTATTCGAGTAACCAAAATTGATGACAGTTCCACAGTTTTCGGTCGTCTTGAGAAAGTTTTGAACTTGCTTTGCGGCCGTGATGACATCGCGGGATTTACCAGAGTCTCTAGTACCAGAAGATGCGAGGGAAACGGCAGCTTCTGTCTGGCCGTTTTCTTGACAGGTATTCACGACAATTTCTTGGCGTTTGGCGTTTTGACTGTTATCAATAGTACAGGCGCCGATTCTGACGGTGGTGTCTGGGCTATCAAGGGGATTGAAGATAGCAAAGTCGAGTAAGAGAGGTTGATTACAAGAGTTCAAGCGCTCCACACTATCATAAACTGTCCAGTCGGCAGGTTTGTTACCAACCTCTGAACACAGTTGTGGACATGCCTCAAGAGCAGAGATAAATGTTTCTTCAGCTGCAGCTTTTAGGGCGGCTACTACGAAGAACGCAGCTTGATAGAGCGCAAGGCGCCCTATAGAAGGCATTGGAAGTGATTCCAGAGTTTAGATCCCTGAAGATCTGAACTTGCTGAGGATCAAATAGAGGAGGGAAGGGATGAGGTGAGAAGCACGTTTGCTATGCTGATAAAGAGAAAGAATCTGAACTGGGGGACGCATGCCTGAATTTAAATGTTTTTGAACAGGCAAATACTCAACTGTTTAGTAGTATGCATATATCCAAGTTCTCGGGGACAGGGTTTGCTACGGAACCGCGTTTTCCGTCATGATCAAAGACTACGGCATGACTCTACTGTTGGACTAGGTGGAGTCAGCAGCAGCAGACTCAATCAGTCGAACTCCGAACTCCGAGCTCAAAATGGAAAGAAGTAATGCAATGTATGGCCGTGGCGTTAAGTTGATCCAATAATGACTACCATCTAGCGATTTAGCCTTAGGCCAGCCGTAATCATTATCAACAAAAAGGAAAGAACGGACTGGCCAGGCCGCTTCGCGGATCTACCAGTTAAGTTAACTTAACCTGCATTGGGTATCAGTAGTGACAAGTCGGGTTGGGCGAAGGGCACATACGGGAGATTTTTTTACAGCCTGACAGGGGTCGAGGAGGCTCAAGCTGCAAGATCCTGCGGAACTAATATGCACATGCGGCGTTCAGACATGAAATCCTCGGGGTTTTGAGGATATTTGCAGCGTTAAATTTGTCCAATGAATGTGTGTGGTCTTTTTGGCTGTGTTACTTTTTCGCTAAAGTCACCAAATCGGTCTGCCTGCCACTTTGGATCAATAAAGCTTGGCGCGGTTGGTGCCTCCACCCAATTAGACTGGCATACAGCCGCTGTGCCGCTCGCCCACATGAATCTGGCTGGAATAAGCTGATAAGGCACATCTGGTATTCCCTAGCTTGAAGGGCAAAGTTAGATTTTGCATGGTGGATTTGGGGAGTTCAAACATGCATAGCCACGGGCCAATCGGGGATCGACCAGAGCGTGGTGCCGCATACTGGCAGATATGTAGGAGAATATGGGGGTGCGGTTTCTTCCATAGCTAGGCCATATCTAGTACCCGGTCGTCGGCTTTGGATCCTTAAATCGAACCACATTGTGAATCCGATCGATATTGCATTCACCCGATAGGATGAAGGTTGGTTGCATAGTTAATTTGTGGAGGCTGATATATATATACGAGATCTTGGCCAATTTAGCGCCTAACTTGGGTGCGCTCCTCGGCTTACTTCAAACGGCAGGCGGTATATCTACAGCAATCGTGGCGGCGATGTTAGCATTTGTATCTGATCGTAAAGACGAGCTTTATATCAGGTGACTCTGCCGCAACAAAAATACATTTTTTTGCATGCAAGCTTACCTCGCCGGCGCAGGTCGAAAGCCTCCTCTCCATTTGAAAACGGTATCACGGCGTTTGTTCTTTCTTTCTTTTCTTCTTCTTTTTCTTTGTCCCAGTTCCCATATGCCAGTTTGCAAACATGCTTACATTATAACCGATCTTAGGAACAAAGTGTTTGTGGACAGTATAGCTAGTTCGCAAGCCGCTGATCCACAGGCCGCTAACCGTTATAATCACACGTATATCTGACCAGCTTCTTTTTGGCAGTAAGCTGGCCTGGTCAGTTTATCGAGCTCATGCTGGCACTAGTTAGTCAGCGCTATAATTCATAAATAGGAAGAATACTTGGTCAGCTAATGTATATCAATGTATATCACTATATAGGGAACAAGATTTTTTATGGAGATTTATAAAAATAATGTTGGACAGCTAATTTTATTTAATATATTCACTCGCAAACTCAACCGATAGCTTATTTAAATACCAAATTTATATATAAGTACTTAATAATATATATGATCTAAGGGTTACGGTAGTGTCAACCTCAGCTTGCCGAAGCGTTTTAATACAAGACTAGTGCCAACCGTGGGACGGGAAACCGCCTCAGCAGCAACTAAGCTTGGGGCTGTATGGCGCAGCAAAAGCCACACACACACACATACTACCGCAAGCTCATACCGCGTAAAATTGGAGTGCTTATATATATGCTAGGATATGATATTCCATCCCACGACCAACGCTGGATGAGAATGATGACTTTACGATACACAATATTCAAAAACTTTGGATAGATCGAAATACAACTTGGAACAAAATATATATACTAGAACAATGAATAGACTTCCCGTATGACTTCTAGATATTTATTGAAAATTCCACCCTTCTTAAGATCCTGATCTCTATCTTCCATATAATCCAAAAATCGCCGATTGAATATCCGAGTTATTCAAACT